AAACACGCCTATCGAAGCTTTTTCAACGAGAACACCACTTATGCCGACAACTCTGTGGTCAACAAGCAAAAGATGGTTATTTGCCTGGTAAAGGCTCGCAAGGCTGCCATGACTACGCGAAATATCGTATCTGGGTGGCGTGGGACTGGGTTGTGGCCGCTCAATATCAATAAGCCCCTGAATAGCCGACTACTCCTCGAAAACGCCAATAAGCCGACCAATACTAACCAACCTTCGATAGAGGACCCTGATTTAGGACCTCCTAATCCTACCCAAGGATCGAATCGGCTCTCCAAAGTAGTAGTTTCAACACCAAGGTCGGGCAAAGATATCGATGGGATGCTACAAATCGCGGCTAACCACAACCATGATAGCAAAGTCTACCGCCTACTATGGCGCAAGGTAAAAAAGGCCCTGGATCAAGATCACGTTGAAGCCGTATCCTCGCAACATACCCAGGAGGCTCAAAAGGCCCAGATCGAGGCGTTGCAACCATCGCGGAGGCGGCGTGTTGAACCGGATCCGAACGACGTGTTCGTCAACGCGCATCAGATCCACCGCGCCCAAATCGCGGCTGGGCGGATCGAGGAAGATATGGTTGAAGATAGCGATAACGAGGCTAACGAATCGCAAGGTTCGTGCATTATTTAACAACACCAGATAGCTAATATATGGTGTTATGTTGATGGTGTTGTCGGATTATGTGGGCCAAAAAAGCTAACCACTTCTAGGGGGTGACCGTGCGGCGGGGACTCGACTTATAGTCTGGATATAACTGGCCCGGGGTAGATAGGATAAAGGAAATGAATGGTATAGGAGAGGGCCTTGACTTTAATCAAAATCGTGTACGGCCAGTCTGTGGCGCGCGCTCGCCCTAGTAGCCCGGATAACCCAGTGACGTGTCCGGCCCTTCTCCCCTATCTAGAAAACCCGAGGATTGGAATATAGAGCTCTAATCCGTTGCCCTAATTGTGGCGTCCCCTTCCATCGAAAAGCCCGAATCGAATCCAAATATCTCGTCCCTATTAGGAGTATTGTCTCGTAGGAAAGTGTCAAAATCGAAGTCGTTAAGTATATCGCCAGTCTGTGAAGGGCTGGCAAATTCCAGAGGGAATTCCTAAGTCTAAAGTCAGCATACACTGCCTGTCTGGCAAAAACCCACCTATAGTTCGTCAGGAGTACTCACTATCTCGCTTGGATCTAGGGGATTAGTGAACGTAAGATCCGGATGTGACGGCGTTGGGGGAGCCGGTTGTAGTTGATGAGCAGGCACTAGAGGCTGACCGTTGGGAACGACCTGACCGGGATTGATACCCCTAGTAATTCGTCGGGCCGACTGGGTAGATTGGCCCCGCACAAACGTTCCGACTCCACGGATGGGCCTCGGAGCCGGATTCGGCTGGTGAACTTTTCGTTCATGATTCCTCAGAGCCTGCGCAGACGAGAATAACGGGTATTGGCAGCCCGGAAAAGGGCATCTCAGCCTGCAAATGTGCGAAAGCTCGTGATCCCGGAGGAGCTGTGCGGAATCGAATCCCACGGCTGCTCGTGGACAGGACTTGAGACGACAGGTGAAGGCCGAAGTCTGAAATTGTTTCTTAAAAAACTGAAGCTCCTCCGCTGAGACGCCTGGGTAGTCTTGCTGATTGAGTATGGATTTGACGCACTCTTGGTAAGCCGTTAGCATTGCCGAGATGCTGTCAGGGTTGTCAGAAGGTTGTGGAGGATAGCCTATGTCATTTGGGGTGTCAGTTAAAATCTCAATCTGATTAGGTGTACGTTTATGGCTGTCGGCCTCTTGCTTCTTCCCTTACTTTGTTCGTTTTGAAGTTCGCGCTCAAGCTGTTTTGTGGTCTTCGAATCGAGGCCTTGTTGGATAAACCGTTGGAGGGATTGGTTTTGCTCGAGTAGCAATAATCGTTCGTCAGAATGGCGTTGCTGCGACTCGTCCATCTGTACATGCGACGAAACCCGGCTCTTGAGTTTGTTTGCTAACCGATCTGCAAGGCGAAAGACACAAGTAGCTGAGTTTATTCCGCCATGCCTGCTGGCTTCTGAGAGAACGTACTCGGTCCAGTACTCTGTAGCGTAGACATGCAGACCGTGTATCCCCTTTATCATCCTTAAGACCTTCGGGTGTTCAGGGTAATCTTTTCTGAAGACGTCTAATCCGGAGATCAGACAAGCAAGAGTGGCTGCTGCGTGTTGCTGGAGGACGTCCTCTTCACAAATAGCCAGCTTACTGCTAGGGCTTTGAACAAAACTGGGGTAGGATGTGATGTCAGCTTCCTTAGCCTAAAAGCGGGTGACTGGTCCTGTACATACTCTTTCACAGAAACATGAATAAAAGCCAACGTTGCGTCGGCGCGCTCTTCAACTAGTGGCTCGCAAATATCCAAGATGTATTGAGGGGCGAGTTGGGTGACGTTGGGGTCCCCGGCGCTGAACGAGACGGCGGAGAGAAACTCAAGCTTCTTTAAGGGCCGTTTCGAAAAGGCAACCCATCCAAAAATGCACCTTATTCGTTCAACTGAGCGATCGTCAAGGTGAGCCAGTATCTGGGTGAGAATCCTCCGGTAGCTATGAAGTAAAACGTGTGTTAGCCTTGTTTACAATTTGGTCGCTACGTAGGTATCAGTAGTAGCATACAAGTCTGAAAGTTTGTCTGGCATATGGCCGATGGACGTCTTAACTTCCTCGCCGCTGAAGAAGATGTTCGTGGCAAGGTAATCAAGGACTAGCCGTGCATATAGAAACATGCCTGATGGATAGAAGTTAGCTCTGTTTATACCTCATTGGCCTGGGCAACGTGACTTACCATCGGCTTTTCGGGCGACCCCATGTTCAATCTCCCCAAGCTCGTCAGGCCCAATGTCCAGCTGTGAAAACTTATGGTGTAGAGACTGCAGTCTCTGTGATGCGTACTGTCTGATGGCCTCGAATAACGCCACCTTCTCGTCGCTAAGTGAAAGGGTTTGCTTTTTGCCCAGGCGCTTTGCCAAGCTACGCGTAGGACGACTCGACACGAGGACTTTGCAGATGGTGGATTCCGAAGAGGACTTCGAGACTACCTGATTTAAGAGGCTCAGCATCCTCGCTTGCTTGTCGGTATCGCACTCGTCCAAGCCATCGAGGAGAATCCAGATGTGTTCCGCCTGACATGGTCCACTTGATAGACTCCCCAGGAGAACCTGTAGGAGGTGCTCCAGCGTGGAGACGGTTGGGGACTTTTTCTCGAGGACGCACTCGTTGTAGACGTGAGCAACCAAGTCGTCGTCTCCGCGAACCAGCTGCAGGAGAAATGACCTCAGAATTTGCTCGTACGAGATTGAAGACGGGTACGAATAGGTGCAGAAGTGGTGAATGACGAGCATTTTGGCCACCTTCATGTAGTTGATGAGTTGGGTGGACAGGACGCTTTTTCCAGTCCCAGGACCACCTTGTAACCACAACATTGCATTCTCCCTTCTCTTTTGGAGCCATAAACTTATTTTTGGCGTTTTCAACACCCACCCGCAGGTCCCGTGGTATTTGGCGCCGTCGGCTGAAAGGGACTCGAATATGGCGAGCTGGTCCGATTCATTGGCTTTAAGCCAAGACATTATCGCCTTGTACTGTTTTGCCACGTGTTCTTCGTCGAGCCGGCGAACCCTATCGCGACTCTCCTCTCTCCAAAGTCTGATATCTTCACGCAGTCGGCGTGCTTCTGCTATGTTCCGCGCGTTGGCTTCTTGGTCGATGAGGGCCTCGTGGCGCTCCATACCCTCGAGGATGTTGTTGAACCGTCGCTGAAACCGTCCCCAGGACGTGAGAAAAAGTACCTTCCAGTCTAAAAGAATGATTAACTGGGAACTAACATGTCGAATAAAAGAGTATGGCACTAACTGTTTCGGCGCACAAACTTGTATGCATGTTTGTGGAATTGGAGGATATCGGCATAGAAGACGGCCATGGTTTTTTGGAACTCAACATCACGGGAGAACGCTTCCCCGAGAATTTCAAACCTTTTTAAAGCCGACGCAATTCGCGAGTATCCTTCCATGATACGTTCGAAGGCCTCGACATGTTCGCAGGCAACTCTCAAGATAAATGTGATGGGTGCCCACGCCCATGGAAGAAAAGGGGTACCGTTGCACAGAACGCTCATCGCCTTCTCATAATGCTCCAGCCCTTGGAAGAGGGGCATCAGCCGACGCATATTGCGCAAGCACTGCCTTGAAGCAAGCTGTACCTCAATGTTCAGAGCGGCTTGCCTCACATCCTGAATAGTTGTCTTATCGAAATCGCGCGAATCCTGAGGAGTGATTGTTTGCCTGAGCTCCTCAAACGCCCTCTGTACCGTCTTCCTCGCCTCTTGCGAGGCCACGGGGGCCAGTGGCATTTCGCGCCTTGGGATATCACACACGCCGCTAGCCAAATTTAGCGTTATGGGAGTATCGGGAATGAAGGGGCGGTTTTGAGGGCAAAATAAGATTGGAATCAGATATGCAATGTGAAGGAACGACGGCATCAAGCTTCAAGCAGCAGTATAATTGCACCAAAAAGTAGGAGTAAACAAACAGTAATTAATCACCGTAGCTTGATGGGCGATTCCCCCCTCTGGTGCCACTTCACGTAAAATCAGGCGCAGCTCGTCAGTGTGATGAACATGATACGATTGGGCATCAAAAGCTGAGCCTGCTGAGCCACTGCCACCACCCACCTGCAAGTAGGGATGCCCTGGATCCTGTGGTTGGCTTCTTCCTCAGCTCCGCAGATTTGCCTCGGCGCATAGTTACCGATCCAAGAACGTTAATAGGGTCCACGGAGGGCCTGCATATGCCGTGTCACACAAATATGTATGTACGTCTTGGGCTCCGACGAGGCTCTGCGGCTTCCGTTAGTGTTCACCGCCATATGCTAAACTGTCCGGAGGCTTGGGATTCCTGCAAAGCGATGGTATTTCCTTGCTAGTTATCTGTGTCTAATTTTACCCGCATTTCTGAGTAATTAATACACAGCCGTGCCTATTTTATCCCTCCTTTGGCATCATCCAACACATGTCGCACGCTTCAGCGGAATCTGAAGGTCTCAGGAGTAGATCGAGATATTAAGCAGACTGCTATCCAGATGGACCCCACAGGAAATGACCAACACTGGGCCCAGGCTTCAAAACGGCGCCGCCTGAACCACCCCCCTAATGGCTGGCAATCAGGAGATGATGAAGGCGGTCAAGCGCCACCGCCATGGCTGCCGGCACCGGCTTCAGACAGACATCGCTTGCACCGCCCATCGGAACACGACAAAATACCAAACACTCTCCCATCGGTTCAAAACTCAGCCTCCATCACATTGTCGGCTGGCTTTGCTACAAGCTATGGAGGACAAACTCCACGGCAGTTCCTACCCACCCCTGCAAATCAAGTTGGTTATACTCATTTTGCGAGGACTTTACCACCACTACCAACATTGGAGCCGACTAAGAGCTCCTGGTCCTCCCCGTATGGCGGCGCCACCTCACTGTCCTTAAACGACAAAACAGCGTATCAGCACCCTGGAGCCCAACTGGGACGAACAAGTCACGATGCTATGTTTATCCTCCCCAAACCCCCAACATCCATGAAAGGTTCTTACCCAGCTGGTGTTTACAACAATCCAGAACGAGACACAGAACCCGAGTACTCTAGCTCTATATCCGGGCCAGAGGAAACCGATACTACCATGTCCAAGGTCGTGTGCTTCGGGATGGTGAGTGAGATAATTTTCCAATCCAACGTTTCAACCTGTTTAAATCTTTAATATATCGCTACAGGTCCAATCAATCCCCGGAAAATGTGACAAGGATATGCTCGCAACAGCCGTCAGCCCGTTTCTAGTTCAGATTGTGTCATCTGACCGTTTCGTCACGGCAGATGGGACAGAAGGAAGTGGAAGAATTGCAGCGGAGCATGGACAGATGATCCAAAGTCTTCTCGAAGAAAGCAGCATTCAGCTGTTTGCCATGTGCACATTAGACGCGGAGCAGACAGTACGGAGAGCAAACCGCATCACTTCTCATCTGTTTCGACCATGCACGCTGAGTCTCACCATTTATGGCCCCGAGGATATGTTCGAAGATATTGGCGTCTGGTTCCAGGAGTACGGCGTGTACCTTCAGGATGTTCGTCATGTCCACCTTGACACTAAGTACTGCAACCCTCACAAACTGTCAGTCGGTAGCATTGATTCCTGTCCCTTGGTATCCGACGTCGTCCGGCAGTCTTCAAAATCCCTTTTGCTTGAGGACATCCCCAATCGACCCGACCTTCTCGATCTTTTGAGTCACGGGGACGAGTTGGAGGAGGCGCAACAGCCTACTCTGATTTGTACAGAGTTGAAAAAGTACTTCACATGTTTCTAAACTTTTGCAGCCAGTATCACAGATTGCGCTAACGGGATGGCTACTAGACACCAAAAGCAAGCCCTAACGTTCATGCTTCATCGGGAGCGGGGATGGACATTTGAGGAGAAGCAAACCGACCTCTGGGAGTATCTAGATGTCGACCATGGAGAGTAGTAAGTCATTACTTAACTTTGGCCTCACACTTTTGTCCTTGGTCTTTCTTCGTTTTCTTTCTTTTATTCAACCGAAAGTTTATGGTTCCCAAAACTAACAGAATCTAAGTTTCATAAACAGGGTTTCCGGGGCTCATCAAAACGAAGAGCCACCTCCATTCTACGGTGGCATCATTGCCGATCCAATGGGCCTTGGAAAAACACTGACCATGATCTCTTTAGTAGCTACTGACCTTAACCGTAACTTAGCTGGAGATTTTGCGCTGGACATGAGCGAAGAAACCAAACCTCGCGTTACTGCAACGCTCATCGTCATTCCACCTCCTCGTAAGGGCCGCTCCATTGCGGATGACTCCGCACACTCGACTAACACGGCAATTTTAGTAATCGGAACTTGGGAGGAGCAACTATCACAGCAAGTACTTGTCAGGCATTTCTAGGATCGTGTATGCTAATCCTTTTCTTCTGCATTAGGCATGTCGTTCCCGGCGGCATGAAGTTTTGGCGCCATCACGGGAAGACGAGACTGAACGACGTCAAGGAACTTGATGGTATTAACGTGGTGTTCACGACATATCAGACGGTGTCTGCCGACTGGAAACCTGCCAATCGATCAGCTCCCTCCATCTTGTTTTCAGTGCGGTGGCGGAGGATCATCCTAGACGAAGGTTTGCGTTAATTACCCCTAGTCTCCCTTCTCAGAATCTCGAACTACTTCATTCTCTAACAAGATTAAGCACATTTCATCCGCAACGGTGCTACCAAAATGGCCCGGGCAACCTGCGAGCTGGATTCAGTCTCCCGTTGGGCTGTGACGGGCACGCCGATTCAAAATGGGCTCGGCGATTTGCAGGCACAGCTCAAATTTATCCGAGTCTATCCGTACGACGACCCGAAGCAGTTTGAAACGGATATATCCCGCCTCTGGAAGTCTGGGGAAGATGACGAAGCTGTAAAGAGACTGAAACGCCTCTCCGCCTGCATCCTCCTACGACGATCCAAGGCAACCATTAGCCTCCCTGCTCGTAGGGACATGACGTGTGCGGTTGACTTCAGCCGAGAGGAGAGGGCGACATACGACGAGGCGAGAGAGCAAACAATCACCAAGATTGACGAGGCTCTTCATGCGAGCTCAGAATCGTCCAGAGCTAGCGTGTACGTCAACGTACTTCAGCAGATCGAATCCCTGCGGTTGATCTGTGATCTCGGACTTCATTACCATACACGACGCAACCGTACAGCACAGAGCGCTTCGGCCTCCGATGAATGGGCCGCCGCGGCGCAACAGACCTTCAACATCCAGCGGGAAATGGGTCACATCGTCTGCCTGCAATGCTCCTCGACGACAAGCCTGACGGAGTCTCTATTGGAAGATAGCCACGATCCGTCCTCCTCACGGCAGCAGCCGCAATTCTTCCGATGCTTACGCTTTGCCTGCGGAGAGTGTGTGCAGAAGTTGCAGAGAGCGAAACAAGTGCTGGGTTGTGGTCACAAACCCTCGTGTCTGGTGGCACCCGTGTCTGTCAACCATAGTTTCATGGAAGTTGTCCCCGCTACGGTGTCCGACGCGGCATCGGCGCCGCAGACAGCTCTGCCCTCAAAGATACAGGCACTTGTGACGGATATCAAGGCGGCACCAGCCGATGTCAAATGGTATCGTACCCGAGCTCCTTATCCATCACTATCAGCTGCAAGGCCTTGGTATTCTAAGAGCCACCGTATGCTAATCCTTGACAGCGTGGTGTTCTCCACATGGAGGCTCACCCTTGACGTGGTTGAGAAAGGCCTCGAGAACGCCGGCATACGAAGCAGCCGGTTCGACGGGAGCGTGCCGCAAAAAGAACGACAATCAGTCGTCGACAGGTTCAGGGTAGACCCCGGAGTGCGCGTCATGCTGCTTACCCTCTCGTGTGGAGCGGTCGGGTAGGAGACAACCACTGCTTGCGTGGTCCTTATCCTTAGTCACTAATACAAGTTCCTAGTTTGACCCTCACGGTGGCCTCGCGAGCTTACTTGATGGAGCCTCACTGGTATGCCACAAATCTGACACAGTTCGGGTACAGCCCTGACTACTGACACTACACAAAACGATAGGAACCCAACGCTAGAAGAACAAGCTCTTGCACGGATCCATCGACTAGGCCAGACGCGAGAAGTGACAACGGTGCGGTTCTACATTCGGGATTCATTTGAAGAGGTTCGTGAATCACCTACCCATCCAAACAAGCAAAAGGCTAGGATCTGACTAGAGGACAATACCAGCGAGTGATTGAGCTACAAAACGATAAAAAGCAACTTGATCGCGTGCTGCTTTCTCCTCACGACGGGGGTCAGGGCGCTCAGAGGGATGACAGCTTCGGGGATCTTCACGTAAGTGTCGAAAACGTTCTGTGTTGCCTTGACAAGTGGTGAAGTACTAATATAAGTTTACCGGTTTAGAAATTACGAGCGTTGCTGTAAGCCGTGCTTGGGGTCCCTGTCTGTGTGCCTTTTGGGTTTCACTACTAATTATGCACCACTGTTATGCGTCCTTGATCACGCATGGGTTCTTTTCATGCTTTTCACCAGAAACAAGGATGCGTATGAACACCTAGAACCTCTACCTTGGAATTACCGCTCGAACCGAGGAGTTAGGGGCTTGTTAGATTCAGGGCCAGGGAGATTAAATCAGTTATAGGAACGAATTAACACAGTTCTTACACGCAAGTTACTAATTTGATCCGGGATACCTTCGTGGTCTTAAAAATGAATCTCAGGCTGAAAGCGCCTCTCCCAATTAATTATTTTATCTGCCCAGATGGTGCCCTGGGTGTTTTCAGTGGGCTAAGCCGGACGTCAATCGGCGTCACGCGTGTTTCTTGACAGTTTGAGACCCGTCCCACGGCAAAGGGCTTCTCAAGTCCGGCTGTGTGCTCAAATTTGGTTGGAATATGAATCGAGTCTTGCTAAGATCCTCACTCGTTGAAGAAACGCTTCAAGTGACTGAGGGCTTTCGACTGAGGAATGGGGGTTGAGTTACCGACTTGAACGTTAATTAACCCGGACCGAATATGCCCACCGTCCACATCGAGTTATAAATCGATTTTGCAGCTTAACCTCTAGGATATCAGGTCTCGATGCAGAAACCGGCTTTTGACCATGTTCGCCAGGAAATGACGTCGTGTGTAACATTTGATATAGGTTCAGGGCTGGTGTAACCCCAAAAACACTTACACCGACGAATTCCGTCCTTCAACATGCAGGGCCGCCGAACGGTCCCGAACCTCCGAGCTTCACAGCAGCAACTATCCTTTGCCGTAACTAATGTTGGACGACAGAAACACAGGGTATGAAGGTAAAAAGCATTACGATTCGAACCTTCCCATTGGCGATGACGTGATAGCGACAGTTTGTGTTTCGAGTTCGGATGCTTGCTTCATTGGGTGACAACCACGAGATCAGGAATATTACCCGTCAAACGGAAATCCGAGGTGGCCTCGCGCTGGGCTATGTGCACATGGTGTTGTTCAAGCTGTGTCTTTTTTCTCGCACCATGACATCGGCGGCGATAATTACACTGCGGAAATGCCGTGTCGACCGACCCTCAAACCTTCCTTTTTGCAAGATGCAAAAGTACGCTGCCAAAGGTCGACGCACTGTAGGCCAAGGGGCATAGGCGACAGGCGCGCCCCTTGTCTCGGATAAAGTCCGACGGACCACCAGCATGACGTTGGGACCAGGGTTTGTTGAGGCCCGCATGAGCAAAGAACAGAGATAGTGTACACTACAGATTCATCGTCCAGGGCGTCACCAATGCATTAAGGGATGTCCTTATTTTTTCGACGAGGAAAAGAAAAGGAAATCTTGCTTTTAGCCACGGAGATGACTTGTGTGACCCGGCCGCCGACGATCGCTCTTTTCCCGTTGGCCCCTTGTATCCAGACTGCCTCGTAATGGCTGTTCAGTCAAGCCAGTGTAGGAGTGTAGGTGGCGGGAGCCGCACCCGGCCGTGAATATGGGGGGTAGTGTTCGTGTTGTGAAAGTGTCGTTCGCAAATCCCAGGTGCCGGCCGGTTGATTGAGCCAAGTCCAACGTTGGTGCGGGTGGGTGGCGCTGACATGGGACTGCAAAAAGGTTAATTGATTAGCGAGACCCCTAATCCTAACACGAGCTGAGAAGAACGTAACTTGGTAACCAACGGAGGCTGCAGCCAACCAAGCGGGCTGTTAGTCAGTCGTTTCATCGTTTCTTCGGCTCGCAGGGTTGGTGACCCCTTTGTTTCGATATGATCTCCAATTGCCTTGGTCATGTACCCAGCCAGTATATAGGTCCATCGGATGCCTTGAGGTCTGACGTCAACCCTTGGCAAGGGGTCTTTTCTCGGGCTGACATCCTAGTTGCCTGCCGTGTTTTCCGCTGTTCCAAGCCCCCTCAACCGACTGCCCCAACGGCGGTCTCCTAGGTCTTGACCCGCGCAAGCTTTGCACTCGAACACCGCTAGAGGGAAGGAATTGCTGATCACCTCGGAAGTTCGTACCGGCTGATGCCTTTTGACTTTCACCGATGGTGCAGTTCGATTCCCAGTAAAGGCCTTGTGGATGTGTATCACGCGTTCGGTTGAGCGGTTGGATTGTATGTCTTGTTATTTTTTTGTCTGTGTTGCTAGCTGCTCCTGCTGCTCTCTTAGTATGGGTTATGCCCATCTCTTCTTGGAGGACCGCCCACGGCCTGAAGCGTCCTATCTACACATGCACCCAGAAAAATGAATAAAGATAAAAAGAAGAAGGTAATGTAAGTAAGGGTGGGTTGAGTCGGTCAGGTAAGCCATCATAAAAGGGTAAGAGATCGCGGTCTCGACTCCATCACTCCTCGTTGAGAACGGGGAGGGAAGGGCGAAGATAAGATATCAATCAAAACAAGCCTCCGGTACGCCTGTAGTATGGTCGTAAAACGCAAAATGCTTCCCGTCCAAAAAAAAAAAAGAAGAAAAAAGAGACATCGCTCGCCAGGCTCGTCCGCCGTAGATCCCGTTTTGCCCGGTCATTGCGATAATGTAAGTTTCCGTCCAGGGGGAATTTTCCTTGTACTCAAAACCGTCGAATCGAGGCCGTGTGGTGGTATCAACGTCTTTCGGTCGGTATCAAAACAAAACCAGTACGCAATAACCCCAACTCCTATTTGGCCCTTTGCAAATGTGGTGAGAGAAAGTAGGAAACGGCCCGGAAAAGTTTTTTTTGGTCAATGAAATAGTGGAAAGGATGTTGTGAGGACATGTCGATGTGACGACTGGGGAAAGGGCTTCCAAGTAGCGGTTAAGGCCGAGGCCGTTGTCGGTGTTGATACAGGGTTCGCGCCGAGTAGCTTGGCGAGAAGAGTCGAGCATGGAATGGTCTCATAACTCGCCGCGTTATTCTTGAGATGGTCTCTCCTTCTGCCGGTCCCGAGAACCATGGTAAAGGTACGAGGTTAGTTTCCAAGGGATGCCGTCCACGATGCAGCCATAACAGTCTTGGTGTATCCAGCTCGTGGGCGTTTCCGTCACGAGACCGCGGCGTTGAGTACCGTCCAGAGTTCATTCCCTTCATCGGATTGGCTCCCTGCATGGCTTCGAGATACGATGGCGGTCGGGTAGTCATTTCTTGTTTCGCCCAGTTGAGGTGATCTTGCCGGTCGTCATCAGATCTCCGATGTATTTCTGGAGGAACTTGTTGTTGTGATCTAACTTGTCATGCTCGTGTTTGACCGCCTCGATCCGGTTGACGAGCGTATGCAATGATTCTTGCAATGCTTTAGCATGCCTTTTAAGAGGGAGAAGGTCAGATTAGTTATACGGTTGCGCCGTCAGGTTTGGGCTACCAGATTGAAGGGTAGTGCGACTCACCTGCGGAGTTCTTCTCGAGTTTCCTTGCCTAGGGTTTGGATGTCTTCGCTCGTTCTTCGGGGACTCATGGCTCTAACATCGTCGGGCCCAACGTGCAGGTCGACCGGCCCGACCTCTGTCGAGTCGCGAGGAACAATCATGGTGCCGCTGCTCTTTCGACTAGGGAGTTTCGGTCGCATAGGCTTCGCGGAGTGCCCGTGGGCAGAGTGGTCGACGGATGACCCCGAGGAGGAATCCGACCAGTCCGGACTTGTCGTTTTGCTCAGACTGGCGTCTCCCATGCTGAATTTATAAAGGTGCCGGCGTGGCGAGGGTAGGGGGTGGGCGTGGGCCGGTCTGCCGATTTAAGGCTGAGAACGGGCTCGCAAGAGGTTGGAATAGTACAGGGCCAGGAGCGCCGTGAATGTCATGAGCGGATAGGCCCGACTCGTTGTAAACGAATGTTCAACCCAGCGAGGGTAATGCGGCCACCATCCGAGAGCGAGGTGACGTGCGTCGAGCTAACGGTCGTCGTGGATGTTGTTTTGGGGGAAGGGAAGGGGGGTGGTGGTGATGGTGGTGTTTAGTTGTTGTTCGGGTTGCGGGATTGAAGGAGGTTGAGTTCGGGTGGTGCTGGGATGGAGGAATGGAAGTCAGGGCGCAAATTTCGGGCGGAACCTCTGAGGGGTAAGCCCAAAAGACAGCTCACCAGTGCTCTGGCGGCGAAGGTAGCCGGTGGGGCCCTTGGTCAGGGTCGCGGGGCCCGCCCGTGGAGTCGTGGGGCCCGACTGGGACAGCGCCAGCAAACGTCGAGGCACGTCAGTGGCCCAATGGGCAAACCGACCAGGAGTTGCTGGGGGAAGAACGGGCGGGTAGTGACTGGGGGGTGTTTGCTTCGGGGGGGGGTGTGGCCCTTCCAAGGTTTACCGAAAGGAGCCAGCACTTGTACGAAGTCCTCGCAGTACTCCGTATGGATGTCCTATCACTGGCGATTGAGCACCTTCCCTCCCAGACTTTCGGGTGGATCTTCGACGGATACTTATTTTATTTATTTTTCCACGTTGGCTCGTCGTCGCAGCAGCGGCAGCAGGGCGGAAGAAGCGAGCGACACGGCAGCGGGGGACGGCGGGCGGTGGAGGGTGCTCTGGTGCTGTCGGGTCGGGCAGGGCAACGGGCAGGCACTGGGGGCTGGTCAGGAGGTGGCTCTGTGTCCTGTTTCCACTGCCGCGATCAGCAAGCCGTGCCTTGGTGCACTGGGCGGCGAGTGGTTGCGAGGGGCTCTCTCGGTGTGGTCACAGGAGCGGAGAACCGGGACTTGTTTTGGGGTGCTGTCTGCGGAAAGCGGACCGTCGATCTGACCAAGGCAGTGGGTGCGAGGGGGGGATGCGCGGTTCAGAGCCTTCACAGCGGTCAGGGCATGCTCTCCGCGACGTCACGACGGCGGAGAGGAATTTGCTCCTCGGTCGCCCTCGGTCAATTTTGATCTCAGCGTGTTGGCGTGTCGGCTCGGAGCGCTGGAACGCAGGGAAGGAAAAGAAGGTTTTCTGAAACACCTGCAAAGTGCACCGGGACGCCAAGAATTCAGTTGTTCATACCCTGCATCCGGCTTTTCTTTGCTGTAATGAGATACAGCGGGCCGATTTTGGGTCGTCAGACGATGTATCAGGGTTTTGAACTGCGGTGGCTCCCACGTCATAATACCCGTTTCTTTCCGTTCTGCCTGTTTGCACAGTCTCAACGGGACGTACGAAGGTATTCAATACCGTTTATTAGTGTACTCAGACATTAACTTACCGTTCCAAGAGAAATGTCGGCCGCGCCTGCAGAATTTCGCAGCGAATCCAAATGATTGGTGGCCAAGCTGCCTCAGGCGCCATTCGTCCACACGTGCCGGCGACGAGGGCCGCCAGGCAAGGTTGCAGCCACAACGCTGAGAGATCGGCACAATGACGCCAGGGTCCGCCACCCTGATTGGCGTAGCACAGCGGGCGATGAAAAGGACCCCCAAAAAGTGGCCTGACAGGGGACGTCAGCCCCCTGGGCGCCCCATGATGAAATCACTGCAGAACCACCTGAAGGCAGAATGGCATATTTTTTCCCCTCCACTGGCAGAATGAGGGACAAGCAATTTTGGCATTTCCCCTCTCACAATCCGACCACCTTTGCCGCGCTGAGCTGCAGAGACACCCGGCATACCCCGGCACCACCTTCACGCATTTTGCTCCCGCACCAAATAGAGAATAGTCCGGTTCGTCCAGTTGCGATCCCTGTGCTCGGGCCCGGGACCAATGAAACGAACAAAACATCCGGCGAGTTGCGCGCGACGAAAACGGAAGCACGGGCAGAATCAGGCGGGCACGGCGGGCACCAGCAGTCGTCGTGTGTGATGAATCGTCCTGTTGTCCTCCGCCCCCATCCCGTCGCTGATCGGATGCGGCAGGGTGTTGAAGACGCCGGCATGCAAAGTCGTCGCAGATTCTGACTCTTCCGAGGCCGAACATTTGTCGACAGGAGCCAGCGAGCCAAACTGCCAACCTCCCTCCCAACGTGTGCTGTGCCACTTGAATGGATTGCGGGAAACCATGCGGGACCCTTCGCTGCAACACGGCCTTCCCTGTTTCGGCAAGCGCGAATCCCAGGTTCTGACCCCATCGCAGCCACTGACGAATGAATCGAACAACCAAGAACAATTGGACCCTTGATGCCGCAAGTCGCACTGTGGATAAGCCCGTGCTTTCTCTTCCCACTTTGCCAGCCGCTCGGCCGTCTCACCCTCCCAAAAGGGAGTGGAGTCCCGTCCGAGTCGCGCGGCTGTCTGTCTCAGTGCATCTTGACCACTTTGTTTTTCCCATCGTTGACTCGTGACGTACCTCGTACTGGAGTGTACGTGTCCGGAATACACTACTGAATATGAAGTACATACACTACATACAAGAACCTAGACGAATCCCGCCGATACCACCCTCACACTTGGAAGCTCAACCCTTCTACACTAACTAACCCCCCGGGGAGTGGGTAAAGGCTGGTTGGTGGTGGGGTGGCCAGCCTAATTGGCGGGGCTTATTATTACAACGTTCAGCGCGCGTTTTCTACCTAAGTTGATAACTTCAAAAAGTTCGGAAGTCGTGGGGTTGACTTCGCAACTCGCAATTGCAGAACTGAGCAAACACTATATCTCACCAAACACTCGCCGCAACCCGAAAGCCTGGATGCCTGAACCCCTCATGTCGACAACAACGGCCGGATCCGATCCGAAAGGGCTTTGTCGGCCGGAGGACGGTGCCGGTTCCGCACTCGCCCAGTTGAACTCCCTTGAGATAACTCGTCAACATGAGCTTTCTCTCACTGTCTGAAAACAGAACATGTTCGGACGGACAGTTGTGCATGGCGGGTTCATCCGCCCCGTGGGGGGCCTCCGCAAACAAAAGTCTCACCGCCTCAGTTGTCCCAAACTGGCCGCCGAGCCTCTTCTTTTACAACTTGGGGGAGAAAAAGTAAAAGCAAGATGTACGAAGTATCTGAGACAGGAACGCTCGCCCATGGCACCGGGTTGTTGTCCCTCCATGGAAAGAAGAAGAACTGCAGCCAGTGTTCTTTTGCTGTTACCGCCCTCAAGCAGCGTTCCCCCAGTCGTATAATTCGCACTGTACCGACCTTTTGTCGATCTTGTTCGCGGCCGACATACCCGAGCCAATCTTGCTAGTGGTCAGGGACGAATCACCGTCGAGTTACACAGTGTCACCTGCCGACCTGGTTTTCTCCGCCGCAAGGGTGGGACCCAAAAATCGACTGACTTTCCCCCTCTCTTTCTCCCACTCCCGAACCGCGGAGACTTCTTGTTAAGGCAACGTCAGTCTGGCGGTAAGCTCGTCGCCCTCGCGTCGCCTGGGGGAGACGACGGCCGTCGATCAGTCGAGCAGCGGCCAACACCATCCCGCACATCGGTTTTGCTCCCGAGAAGCACTCCCGTGTGTTGCCTCATCTTCGCTGCTTTTGGCATTGGAAGACGAAAAGAAAAGGTTCGGCTCAACCCCACGTGTTACCTCTCAAAGAGTCGGGGAAACCGGGGGTGAAAAGTTGGGACGGACTGGCCGTCACCCCCGTCAGGATCACGGCTGCCCGGCACTCGGCACTCGGTGCTTTTGCCAAGAATAACCGGTGACTGTTGTGCTCTGCCGCTCAGCCACATGGGCCTCCGGCTGTTTTCGAAGGTTATTCTTGGGAAAGAGACTCAAATGACAGGACCCGTTTTAACAGCAGTCATCTGCCACATTCCGCCACAGAGGAAGGCAACCGCCGATAACTCTTCGGATCTTGTGAACCCGCCGCCCGCGTTGCTCATCGAGCTCTCAGTTATCATCCACGCCTAACGAGCCAAAAGAGGTCTCCCGCTCCCGCCGGATTTCTGCCGAAGGAACAACCAAGGACTACCCCCACTTGACCACAAAACAAACGATCTGCTCCCCTGCAGGAATCCACCAAGCCCAATACCAAATTCCGCCCATCCTCATCAACGAGTTCGACGAGCTTCCCTCCCTGTCATGTGTTCTCTGGAAGGTCAGTCCAGTTATGATCGTCAGTTTTATCGACGCTCTCGGCAGCCTTCCCGAGCAAACCCGCTGCATTCGCTTCCCAGGTTCCCACCCTAGTCAACCAAACACACCCAGGGCTGAAGAAAAGCTTGAAAAGAGCCCTGTGTGGACATACACAAGAAGTTAAAAACAAGGGCGTACATATGTATCCATACCGCCGACTCCAAGAACGCCAGCCTTCTCCGGGTACCCCTCCCTTTCCCTTTCTCCCGCAATCGTCTCGGGTCGATTGTGCCTTCAGACAGGGGTGGAATCGAGGTGTGGGGGGGAGGGGGGCAGGGAGAACGGGGCTGATGCTTGGTACGGCCGCTGAGTTTTCGAGAAACTCGTGGGGATATGAGGCCATCGTGATCTCTCTCAGCCAAGATTACGAACCTTGGAACATCCCGCCCACAGTGTTCCTGCGGACAAGATTTGCATCGTGAGTTATGTGAGTACGTAGGTACGGTTAGATTCGGGAGTTCCCACACTGAGGGACACGGTAAAGCGAGTTCGTCCGCTCGCGACCCATGAGTTGACGAGGAGCGGCAATGAGTCTGATGGGACGGACGGCTGGGTGTCTGAGCCCTCTGCCCCTCCCCTCCCTCGTCTTGCCATTCGGTGAGCTCGTCATCGGTTTTGACCCCCAAACTTTCCACGAGTCACACAGCACAGGCGTGTGGTTAACATCAACGGGTCAACCCACCAACGTTCCTGGCAGGCACCCGATTCACGAGGGCCATGATAGGGCTGCGGCGTGGAGTTTTGGCATTTCCATCCACCCCCACTCCTCTCATTCCACTCGCAGACACATTTCATCTCTCACTCGGGTGGTCTACATAGTATCCAAGGTAATTAAAGCAGCTGGTTCGTAACACCTGTGTGCCCTGCATTGTATTCATCATAAGCTCTGTTGGCATGCTTACCACCCACATTAGGTACCTTGGTACATGACGCCCCCCTGGCCCGCCCTGTCTGATAAGTATCAAGACGAGTCAGTCAAGCAGTGTCTTTGATGTATGTACCACTCGTAAGTTTAAGAGCACATACAAACAAGACTGACTAGGTACTAATCTTGCCAACGCAGCGGAGCGCGTGCCAGCGCGATTTTTGCGACCCTCGAAACACTTTCTGCGAATGACCATGACGATCCCGTTGTTTTTTCCAAAGTCACATGCAGCGGGGACCCCATTCAAAACATGACTCCAGTCCCGAGTCATGACCGGCTCCGTTGGCATACAAGATTTGGGAAATTGGATTGTCCATTCACGCTGGCTTTTGCACAGTGCCACCAACCTCTATTTCAAATATCAACTGTTCACAAGGACACAAACCGTTCCTTCGCTCCACAGATGCGAATATCACTTTGCCGCAGTCTCTCGTATTCATGATCGCAATTATCAATGACCCTCTTTTCTACCCTCCTCTGTCTCTCTGACTTGTTACTCTAGGACAACAAAATTTGCGCAAAACCGAAGATCACAGCGCAATGACTCGAGTAATCGGTCCTTCCCATTCGAGGATGCCGAGCAACACCAAAACCAAAACAACACTCTCTCACTCTCTGTGGGTGTGACCAGCCTTACGAAGTAGATCCAAACATTCAAAATTCCAATGATTCAGATACAGGTGTGACATAGATACGGTCCCGAGTCCTTAGGTACAAACGCCATCATGAGGATGAATTATTATGAAAATTCCCAAAATCACAAGCTCCAAATCACCACTTCGATCCCTAACCCCGTCCGCGCACTTGCAAGAGAACACGCACACGCCATACAGCATTGTTGCCCCAACAGATTCCTCCGTACAACAGCACTCTTCCTTCGCTCGGCACACCATGCCCGTGCCACGACCTCCTCGCCCTTCCCTTGGGCATTGATGACCAGCACCTTACCGGGCTCCACAAAGACCTCCTTCAGCTGCGCAACGGTCACTGTGGAGGACAGGTACCGCAGCGCCTGCTGTCGGTGTACCACGTGGGTCCCCACGCAAGGCGGCGCCGTCACAAACACCGGATTGGAGTACAGCTTGTACGACACGGCCGTGCCGGCGATCTCGAAGTCGAGAATGGCGTAGTGCTTTATCGGCGGAGGTAGCCCCGTCGGCGAGAGGGTGTATGATCTAGTGTTATCACCCGTGGACGGGCACTTCTCGAGGCGGATCCCCTTGAACTGTACCGTGCGCGCGACGTTGGCCGGTGCTGGCGCGGCTGGCGGCGTCGGGCAGATCCACTCATCCGGGTTGGTGATGCTCTCGACCATGTCGGGTACCGAAGTGATCGAGCCGTTGTTGTTTTGTTGGTCGTCGAGGTGAAACCCGAAGTCACCCAGTGCGTTGGCAGGCTTGGTGACGGGGACTGGGAAGTTGGGGTTGTCGGCGTAGATGAAGACCCAGCCTTGGACGGCTCCGCCGTCGGTGGTCGTGGGGGCCGGCACGGGGCCGAGCCAGCCACAGACGGCGCGCGGGTTCTGCAGGCCGCCGAGCACGCGGCCCAGCACCGTCCGGACCGGCCAGTAGCTCTTAGTTCCCACTACCAGGCCGTTGTCGTAGTAGTAGGCGCTGCCGTGGTGCTTGGCGCTCTGGGACGCCAGCACGAGGCAGCACATGATGTGGTGGCGGAATAGCTTGCCGGGGAGGGTCAGGCCGAAGAGCCAGTCGCAGAGGCTGAAGCTGTTGGCCTCGCCGCGGACTATTCTGGTGTATGCTGATTCCATGAAGTCGCGCGCCTCGTCCATGTATGGCCACGCGATCGCCTCGCCGAAGCGCATGAGCGCTTCGCTCTGTTCACGATGGTGAGCGGCTATGAACGCGTACCGCGGTGCCGTGCTACTGCCGCTGCTGTTGAAGCTGCTGTCTATGATCTGCACGTTTTGCATGAAAGCAGCGGCGGTGACAAGCAGCCCCGACGTGTAGTCAGTTGCGATGGACGCGTAGGATGTTAGCAATGGCTGCTTCCGCAGACGCAGCAACAGTTCGGCACCAAGTAGCATGCAGTAGAGGAAGTCACGCCGCGTGGTTTCGTTGTTCCGGGCAGTGAGGAAGAGGCTCGAGATGGCAGAGGTGTTGCGTAGATCGACAAAACGGTCGGGTTCGTCGGCGTGCGATCTCGACAACAGCATGAAGAGGCTATCAATGCGCCGTTGCCGAGTGCCAGAGGCATGGAAGCCGTACTGCAGCTGTTTTACTCTAAAACGCCGAGTGTCAATAATTACCATATGATATCATATGATGCCCAAATGACCTCGCTCTTGAAGACGACAGCCGGGCACACCCGTGGCAATGATGGGGATATAACTCAGCGTGTCACTTACTGAGAGAGGCCAAGAAACTCTTGTAGCGCTTTATCGTCTTCCGTGATGGCGGACGCCCTGAGTAGCCGCAAACGAGCCACGATTCGGTCCAAAGAAATTGTTGGAAGTACGATATCCGACTGCATTTGCAAGTTCAGCAAAGGCTTGATTCGGAGCTGGTGAGCCCGGTACTCCTCGGAATACCCCAATACCGTGACTGTTCCGGCGATTTTCCCGTCGTACGACGGCGAGGTCTCGGGATCTTGGTCGATGAATGTGCTACTAGGGTAGTCGCGGGCGTTCACTCTCATTTGCGCTTCACGCCCATTATTGTTAGTCCGCGTGAGACATGCGCATGTGCCGGTCAACTAATACATAATTGAGCTATAGACACGACTTACAATGAACAGTATGTAAATATGTCGGTGTCTGGAGCTCTTGCGGCGTGAGCTCGTTCACAGTCATTCCTACGCGCAAGAGGAGGACCGCATCGATCCCTCCCGGAAGCGTGTACGGCCGGACAGCCAGAGATCCTTTATTCCTGATGGCTAGATTCTGCTCGAGGTGGTCGAGTCGCCGATCGAGCTCGGCATGTGTAAAGTTCGGAGTGGTGGTGGTGCCTGACGTCGTAGCGTAGGAGGGAGGTGCCTCCTGAGGAATGTTGTCGAGGAGGTCAGGGCTCAGGGGGATGCTGCGAGCAGGTGTCTCGTTTACGTTGGACGACGAGTAAGGCCGTACCACTGACGGCGGTGGTGGTGCTCGGTTGGCGCCCGTGTTCACCGTGCTTGCTACTTTCTGGTCAGTGAATCAAACAAGATGACGAGCCTACGTATCCGGTTGATAGCAGTTGTTTACCTTGAGATGAAGCCGTCGTTGGCGCTGTAGCAACGGCCGGTCGGTTTGCCGGGCCACCGGTAAAGCGACTCGGCATCGAGGGGCCCGAGGGGCCGCCTCTCACCTCCTGCAGCTGCGGAGTCGGGGTCGGCGCGACGGCCTCGGAGGCTCCTGGAAGGCTCACCCCCATTCCCTGTGACGCTGGGGTTGGCTGCTGCGTCTGAGTTTGTGCCCTTTTCGAGCGCAAACTCGCCAGCGACTGCTGCAAGCGCACACGCTCCATGCCGACTGCTATCTGGACAGCCATCTGCAGGGCTGCTTCGGCACCGTCGAAATCAACCATCCGCTCGCAGATGTCGGCCTTTGTGATGTAGGCGTAGACGTTCCCGGGATGACGGCGGATGACCTCCTCGACAGCCTCCAACGCTTCCACCAGCAGCGGCGGCGTCAACATCATGCGTGCTACGGCCAGGCTGAGGAGCAGCTCGGCGTCGCCAGGGGCTTTCTCCAGTGCCGCCATGTACATGACCACAGCTTGGTCATACTTGCCCTGCCCGGCGTACGTGTCGCCATGTTCGCGGAAGAGCCGCAATTCGGGGTCCAATTGTTGCGCCGGTTGTGCCGGGACGTGCGGAGGCCCGTATCCTTGCGGTTGCGTCGGCACCGGGGGGCTAGCGATCGTTGCCAGTGTTAGCGTCGTAATAGCGTGCGGTGGTCGATGTCAACGAGCCGGCGACCAACGGCCCTCCAGAGTCCGGCCCCCCGAGCCGGCGCGAGATTCCAGCGGCATGAGGATAAGAAGCTGAAGGGCAAGATTCAATCCTCACTCACCTGTAGATCTGCGGGCTAACCGCTGGACCTGCTCTCTCCTCCCTGCGCCGATTGCCGTCGCTGCCCGCCTTCTTGAAGAAACCCTTGACGGCGGCGCGCATGGCGCCGAATCAGATAGCTTAACGAGTTTCGAATTGATAGTATAAATGAGGTTGATACCTAAGTGATCGAAGGGGCTGTGATGTGCGGTGCGGGGATGAGGTCCTTCAAGAGAACGCCGTGAGGAACGCTGGCCATAATGGCCGATTCTGCGGCTGTTATATAAATGAGGCGCATGCATTCAGCTGGCAAGGTACCTACTCGTCCCTCCAATAAAGAGGTAACCTCTGACACTTCAAACTTGAAGCTGCAGCAAACATACTTTTCGGGAGGCACTTGGAACCCAAACACGTGCTGGGGTCCAAGGCTGCGCCATCTGACACAACCGGCAAACCCAACCCATTTAGTAACTTACCTAGATGCTGCGACTTGAGGAGGGCCGCAAACACGGTTGGTTGGCTAGGAATAAGCTCTGCACCGCGTTGGTGGAATCCGGGGAGAAATGAGGCTGGGAAACGGAAGATCAAGTTACCTATACAAAAAGAGCGCGCTCATACATGTTCTGTAATTCGCTCAATGGGGCCCAGAATTGGCAACTCTGAAGACAAAATACCGCAGGCGAGAACATAAACTGTTATTGTGATAGGTACCTATCTAGCTACCCACCTACTTGACCTACAATACCTTACACTGTAAGGTATTTAAGGTATCTGGGTTATATTTATTGAACTGGTAATTTCAGGTTCCTGGAACCCCATCATGCGCAGCGAAGATGGGGTCGAACGAAACACATTTGCAACCCTCCCTATCCGTCTGTCTCTGTCAAAGAAGCAAGGTAGGGCCAGGAAGCGGAAGGTACCCCTATTTTTAGGAAGAGGGAGCCTTGAAAGCTGCACAATGATAGCGGGAAGATGGTGCGGGGAAAACGTCGTAAGGGCGGGGGAATATTCAAGCCGATCTAACGATGGGACCAACCACCAGAGGTGGTGTTTTGGGACCCGGGTTCAGAGCTGGAAGCTTAATCCAATTCTGCATTGACCTCAAAAGATCGTTCTTCGAATCTTGGACTGTCACCGTCTCATCTGCGACCGGGGCAGACGGGGTGACAACCCCATGGCGCAACCGGCGGCATGACCCAGCAGGCCAACATGCCGAAACGGAAGCTAACTCCATGGAGGCTAATTCCACGGACCTGATTACTTTGCTTAGATACCTATGTTGCGGCGGAAGTCTTGACCGCCTTCGACGAATCCGGGCAGCAGTGCGGTGGTGGAATGGAGAGTCGAGAGGGACTGGGGAACCACACGAACGAGGAGGCTTCAATGGGAGCGTTGCGAAATTCTCGAGGTTGAGGTATTCGTACCGTGGTACAAGATATAGGCTTGAGGGGCCAGAGCCTGGTTTCTTCGTCTATGGTGACAGTGATTCGGTCTCGGACAATGGTGTAATTGCCGGAATAGGAAAGGCTACGGAACCTGGGCATTGGTGTAAGCAGGGAACATTATTACATAATACTTCACAGTCATGGTTTAATCAGCAATTTGAAACAGTGTAGAAAATGTAGCAGTATATCATTGCGTTCGCGCGGGATCCATTAACTTATATGGCAACTGTTTTGCCACGAACAAGGCATGAAGTGTCGTGTGTAAATTTTGATATTACACCCCTGAAAATTACGGATACACTCAATATTTCGTCTAAGCTTTTACGCCTCCGCAAATCCCGAGATCTGTGGGCCGCAGCGGGTTGGGCCGAGGGCGATCTCGGTGCCCCACACACCCCACAGAACTTTTCGAACGAGCCTGGCGCATTTTGGCCTCGGAAAGTGCATCAACACGTGTGCACAGTCGCGGATTCCTCACTAAAGGCGGAAAGGTATTGTCGGGCGGATTTAACGATCCTCGACAGGTTCGCCTCTCTTCACATCGCCTCACCACCGGGACACGAACCACGGGAGTCGCCGTGTTGTCCGACACCTCGCAAACGTCAATGTCGACGCCAACACCAACGCCGGCTTCGGCACCGGGAGAGAGTCAGACTCGGAATGGCCCTGTGAGCGACAACGACGCCTCGTTACCTCCATCCAAAGAAGTTGTGGTGGCGCATGAACCTAGCTTGGACCCCAACCAGACACCAGACGAAAACGACGACACCAATGGTATCGGCACCGATCCCGCGCTGGAACGGCGCATCCGGCTCAAGGTCGATCTCCGCCTCTGCACCATCGCCGGCCTGCTGTGCAGCCTCAATCTGCTCGATAGCGGTGTGCTGTCGAGCGCAGCCGTGACCTCCATGCTGTCCGACCTCGGCCTCGATCAGGGCAACCGCTTCTCTGTGTCCATCTTCATCTTCACCATCTCCAGTATTGTTTTTCAGCTTCCCGCGACCGTCGCTGTGCGCCTGCTCGGCCCACGCCGCTGGTTCACTTTCATCACGCTGGCTTTTGGCATCATCACCCTCGGCACGGGCTTTGTGCGCACCTGGCAGCAGATGATTGTGCTGCGAATTCTGTTGGGCGCTGCGATGGCCGGTATTTTTCCCGGTCTGTCGTACCTCATTAGCACGTGGTATCCGCGCCGCGAGCAGCAGCTGCGGTTCGCGTTCATGCAGAGCGGCGAAGTCATTGTGCTCGCGACGGGCGGATTGGTCAACTATGGTCTGAATAGACTCGACGGCCGCGGTGGACTGGAGGGCTGGCGCTGGATGTTTGTTGTCCAGGGACTTTGCACCTGTGCCATTGGCGCAGTGACTTACTGGTGGATGATCGATTTCCCCGAGAACTCGCACCGCAGCTTCCGCTTTCTGACCCCTGAGGAGACCGCGATCGTGTCAAAGCGGATTCAAACTGATCGGGGCGACCTCGTTGCGCAGGAGTTTAGCGTCGGCAAAGTCCTCGTGCACGCAGCCGACCCGAAGGTATGGGCGTTTGCCACGCTGTTCTTCTTGCAGAACATCGTGTCGACAGCGCTCGCCTACTTCGTGCCCATCATTCTCCAGAACGGACTGGGGTACTCGTCTGATGATGCTATCATCTTGTCCGCCCCGCCTTACTACTACGCCGTCGTCCCGGTCCTGATCTCGTCCTACTTTGCCGACCGGGTGCGTATCCGCGGGCCTATCATCATCTTCAACGCACTGTGCTTGATCACTGGGTTTTCTGTGCTGGGGTTTGCGCATAACTCAGGGGCACGTTACTTTGGCGTGTTCCTGGCTACTGGCGCCTATGTCGGAAACTGGGCGGCTTTGACGGCGTTTCAGGCGAATAACGTGGTTGGGTATGTCATATATTCAGTTGTGATCGTCTTGTGGGGTCAGAACCACGTTCCAACTGACTCTATTCTAGACAATGGAAGCGCGTTTTTACCGCCGCGGCTTGCACCATGTTTAACGGGGCTGGCGGTATTGCTGGTAGCTTTATCGTCCGCAACATTGAGGCCCCAAATTACACCACGGCTGTTTGGGTGTCTATTAGGCGAGTCTTCAACCCTCCAGCTTCGGCGGAAAAGCAAGCAGGGGCTAACCATGGATATAGCTCCCATCTTTTGATGATCTCCCTCGTATCAGTGCTTTCCGTGTACTTTTTCTTCGCGAATAGATCCCAGAAGAGGAGCTCAACCGTTCTAGAGAAGACTGTGAGTTAACCCTGCGTTTACTCCTGCATTGATGCGTGACTAACCACCTATGCTTAGGAGGGCTTCCGTTTTACGTATTAGACGACATCATGTAGCGTGCAAGTGAAAATCATGATACCCAGTTGGAAATAGTTTATTTGGTTGCCTGATTCAGCAAGTTCTAGCTTAGAAGTGGGTTTGATTCTTTATGACTTAGTGACACCTCAATAAATTAGAGTTCCACCCCCCACTGCACGCCATTTCTCATGGCAAAACATCCCCTAGTTTCTCGTCGTTCCCTCCACCCACAGTATTCAACACCGTCAACGCGCTCCGCTTCTCCAAACTCTTCTTCACCGGGTTCGGGGCCGAGAATACTTCCTCTAGCTCCTCCAGAGTCCGGTCCTTGGTCTCGGGGAAATAAAAGTACATGATCGCTCCCTCGATCAAATCCCAGAACACAAACACCAGGTAAAAATAGTACCCAATGCGTTCAAACGCCGGACCAGAAGCGTACTGTAGGATAGTAGAGGCGATGGACGATGCCAAGTTACCGACGGCAGTGCCCTTGGCGCGCGTAGCAGTGGGCAGAGTCTCGGCGATGTACATGCTCTGAAGCGGCGTCCAGCCAAAGGAGAAGACGATGCCAAAGATGAAGATAAACGCAATGGTAGTGTTGGCCGCTGCAACTTGCGTGGGATCATCGGTGGCCATCTTCGAAGTGCCGGTGATCACAGCAAAGCAGATCGAGGCAAATACAATGGTGTACAGCAACAACGGCCGGCGGCCCACGACATCCGTCATACGCGCGCCTAGGATGGCGCCGAGGAAGGACAGCGCCGGGTTGACCCCGTTGAGCGCCAGTACCCGGTGCTCCTCGGTAATCCCGGCTGACCGCAGCATGTTGACCATATAGTACGACGACAAGCTGTTCCCGCTGATCTGCCCGAACACCGCCATGCCGATGACGCACACCAGCCGACGCCGCGCGGAGTGTGTGTGCCACAGTTCGTGGTAGTCATACCACTTCTTGTCGGACGCCTCGGACGAGATCTGGTACATCATCTCCTGCATCTGCAAGCGCACCATCGGGTGGTCCGCACGCCCTTCGCCGTGGTACGTTGCCAGCACGCGGGCCGCGTCGTCGTGTCGGTCCTGCGCCATCAGCCAGCGCGGGCTTTCCGGGAGGAAGAAGACGCCGAGGCAGACGATGCCGGAAGTAACCATCTGGCACCAAATGGGGATGCGCCAGGCGTCGGGCGAGTCGAGGAATGCACAGCCGTAAACGACCCATGAGGCGATGATGCTGCCGATGTACCAGGTACAGTTGTAGAGGCCGGTGAGTGTGCCACGCCAGCGTGGGTGGGCGAGCTCGGAGACGTAGCAGGGGGCGGACACGCAGCAGAAGCTGACGCCGAACCCGAGCACGAACCGGCCGGCGAGGAATTGACCTTGTGTGGTGCTGGGGGCTTGCACGCAGGTACCAACGATGACGATTAGGGCGCCGACAAACATGCCCCAGCGTCGGCCGAAGTAGTCGTTGACTGGGCCGGTGAAGAAAACGGCGGCGACGGACCCGATGTTGTACATGGCGAAGATGAGGCCGGTGGTCGAGCCGGCGGTGGACCTATTCCGGGACTAATTAGCACGACCACCACTATCCAACCTCGAACCGATTCATTATCCTACATGTTAAAGTAGCGCTGATAGGATTTCATCCCGTTCAGGCCACCCATCAAACTGCCGTCGTAGCCGTTGAGGCATCCGCACAGATAACTGAGAGACAGCACGAGATACAAGCGGAACAGACGCGGAGACCATGGCGAGTACTTAGTGTCGTCGACATCGTGGGCGAGCTGGACGGTGACGTCGGTTGGGTGAGCGACAGTGTTATCGGCGTGCTCAGCTGTCGCCGTGGTCTTTTCGGTCGCATCCATTGTGGTAGGACGTTGCCACGCAGTGAAAAATAGAAAGTGCAGCGGCTATGCCGGACTGTTGATCAGCACAGTCCCAGCCGTGGAGAGGAATACACCGGCTGCAGGAATGCTAGATGTTCTCGCGCCTTGGTTACACTGGTCGTGTATGTATTGATGCGATCTCAGATGCGACATTGAGGCGCACCGCGAGGAATCCAGACCCGCGTGATGAGAAGTATTTGCTCCTCCAGAGAAGCGTTCAGACCTTCTCCTCGGCATTGTGTTCCCCGCATCGTGTTACCTCAAATACAAGGGAAAACACGGACAAATTCTGGTCTCGCGACCTTCGTAAAGTGACTGCCCAATGACCTTCCTGTTCCGGAAGTAAAGTTTGGCCGGGTCATATTGCCGGTATTCAACGCCAAGTCACATTACGTCCGGAACGTTCCGTTGTTTGACGGCCATGATTATGATTGGGGCGGGATTGGGGAAAGCCAAGTCTGTTTACCCAGTTGCTCATGTGCCGACGCCCGATCCAGGTTCATGGTTGGTCAAGTTATTCGGGTGTTGATCGCCCGAGACAGAAAACGGTGTAAAATAACTGTGATCTAACTCAGTCCCTATGTTCTGTGGGCTGTCCCCTTGATACGACTATACCGGAGTACGAATGTTGAACTGATACTTTCGTCTTCATCACTTCCTATACAGGCGGATTGTATCCAGACATCCCAGCCTGGGTCAAAGACCGGGACGAGGTGACAATGTGAGCAGTACTCCTGAGAGTAATTAATTATTATAGTCGAAATAGAATGGAATTACCTAGTAATTAAATGCAGAACTGGGATTTGGGGAAGTCTACTTTCACGTCCCCAAAACTCACAAGATAAATATGAAACAATCCCTGATGCTTCGTACAAGTCAACCAAGCTTGGAATGAAGGGGCATGTCAGGTAACCATTGCCAGTTAGGCTCCCGTTTGAGTCTTTCTGACAGTTGTTTGTGGCGTCGGTTTCTGGACACCTCGGGCTGAGATCGGATATGTACCTGGCTCGCTCTTACCTTTCGGCCCATATCATCGCCAAGCCAACACGGTTACGGAGTCGAACCAAAGCAAGTGCGACCCCCGGATTTTCTCTTGGGGATGCTCGCCCATTGGCGGGAATTTGGGTAACGTTAACCACAGCAAGTGCCAGGTGACTTTTCCACATGCGCCGTTGGAGATCGACACTTAGAGCGCCAAAATAAGTTACCCCACATAATTACAGGTCGCTTTACAAAACCCAGTAAACCGCCTCGTTAGGTAATCGGTTGTTCGATGTATCATGTATCAGCGTAGAAACAGGAAATCAATCCTAAATTCCAAACCGCCCAAGAGTGAAAGCTTCATCTGATACCTAGGTACGGTACCTGCATGTGCCTTACTTAGGTACCTGGGTGCGGGGCCCGAGCTCGGGAGGTGAATGATTCATACATAGCATAGCGGTCCCCAACTGGAGGCCCCCAGGCTTCCGCGGCTGCAGCAAGCGTTTGTTTCACTGTCATTACAGTACACCCCGCCAACCCCCGCATCCCCCACCCGACAAGATGCTGTTAGTCAACTTAGGGGTGATGAACATTCAAACTCTGTCCGATGTTCGGGCTGGAGGGGATAAACGTCATCGCTCCATCCGTTTCATAAATCAAAGCAGCGTTAGTTTTCGTATTTTGTCGCAGCAAGCCAATAATTACATGCCGTTCGAAGACGAAATCAACACTGATGCGAGGCCCCGGCTGAATTATCCATCTGTCTGAAACAACATAACAAAAGAAGAAAAAAAACGGAAGAACCCCCCCAAAAAGTTGCAAGCATCACTAGTCAAAATGAGAGTCCCGAACGGCATCCCCCCCGAGCAGGACAGCGGCACCCCCGACTACATCAATGAGGCCGTATTCCGCCGCAATACCCTCCCCCCTAGGTCCTACCACATTCCGGATACCTCCCTTGCCCTCAACGGCCGCTGGGACTTCTACTACACGTCGAGCCCCCTCAAGGCTCCCGAACCGACTCACCCCGCGTCCTGGCCCCCCCTTGCCGACGGCGAACAGTGGACCACCATCCAGGTCCCGGGACACTGGCAGCTTCAAGGCCACGGTATCCCCCACTATACCAATGTGCAGTACCCCATTCCGGTCTGCCCGCCTCACGTCCCGACCGAGAATCCTACGGGGACCTACCGTCGGAGCTTTCATGTACCTCCGTCATGGGACCGCAGCTCTCAGCTAAGACTGCGTTTCGACGGCGTGGATAGTGCGTACCATGTTTGGGTCAACGGGACACTGCTTGGGTACGCCCAGGGATCCCGTAACCCGCACGAGTTCGATGTGACTGCCCATGTGGCGAGGGACGGGCCCAATGAGGTGTCTGTGAGGGTGTATCAGTGGTCTGATGGGTCGTATATTGAAGACCAGGACCAGTGGTGGCTATCTGGTGGGTGATCGAGATACCTTACCCAAGAACGTAGTTTACTTTCAGTGGGAAAGCTGCTAACAAGCGATAGGAATCTACCGAGACGTTCACCTGATTTCACTGCCGTCAGAGACTAGGATCGAAGACTGGTTTGTCCGGACTGACCTCGACAGTGAGTACAAAGACGGGACCCTGGATGTCGCCGTCGACGTCGTGACCTCCCAGTCCGCTACCGTCACAGCAACACTCCGGAAGCACGCTCGAGATGGAGGCGGGGTAGTTGGTACCGCGAAACAAGAAGTCAACAGTGAAGGAAAAGTCCAGCTAAGCATCCCGACCGAGTCACCCTTGAAGTGGACCGCCGAGACACCCCATCTCTACGCCGTGGAGCTATCCATCGCCACGTCCGCCGACGCAAAGATCCAGACAGTGCATCAAAACATTGGTTTCCGCAAAGTCGAGCTCAAGCAAGGCCTCCTCTGCGTCAACGGCAACCCCATCAAGCTCAGCGGCGTCAACCGACACGACCACCACCCCCGCTTCGGTCGCGCCGTCCCTCTCGACTTCATCCGCAAAGACCTGCTCCTCATGAAGACCCACAACATCAACGCCCTCCGCTGCAGCCACTATCCGAGCGACCCGCGTATACTCGACCTGGCTGACGAGCTCGGCCTGTGGGTCATGGATGAAGCCGACCTCGAGTGCCACGGTTTCTACGACGCCGTGGCCCGGCCCCTAGACATCCCCGAGGAGATGGACTACGAGGAGCGTAAGAAACTCGCCTTCCCCCAAGCCGCCAAGTACACCAGCGACAATCCTTCATGGAAGGCCGCCTACGTCGATCGCATGGAACAGATGGTGGCGCGCGACAAGAACCACCCGTCCGTCATCATCTGGTCGCTAGGTAACGAGGCCTTTTACGGCCAGAACCACAAGGCCATGTACGACTATGCTAAGGAGGTCGACCCGGGTCGGCTGGTGCACTATGAGGGGGATGCCCACGCAGAGTCGGCGGATATGTACTCGTACATGTACCCGTCCGTTGAGACCTTGATCAGACATTCCAAGACGGAGGGTGTCAACCCAGACGGCACGTTTGAGAAGCCCATCGTTCTTTGCGAGTATGCGCATGCCATGGGTAACGGGCCCGGCTGGCTGGAGGACTACGAGGAGGCTTTCCGGACGTACCCGCGATTGCAGGGCGGGTTCATCTGGGAATGGGCTAACCATGGTCTGTGGAAGGAAGACGCTGACGGCAAGGCTTACTTCGCCTATGGTGGTGACTTTGGAGATGTACCGAATGATGGCACGTTTGTGATGGATGGCTTGCTGCATAGTACCCACGAACCGACACCCGGCCTGATTGAGTTCAAGAAGGTAATTCAGCCGGTCAAGTTGGCAGTTGAGGGTAGGGAGCTCGTTATTACGAACCTGTACAACTTTGTTGGATTGGAGCATCTTACCGCGACGTACAAAGTGGAGCAGTTTGGTGAAAGGTAGGGAACATTTCACCCTCGTAGAATCTGACAAGGCACCAGGTTGCTAACATTCGGCAGCACAACTCTTCTCGCTTCTGGTGTTTTGGATATCCCCGAGATCAAGCCTGGCACAACCGGCAGAATCCCCCTTCCGGCGACATCAAACAGCTTCAAGGCCGCAGCCAACGCCGAGATTTTCCTGACGGTCTCTTTTGCTCTCAAAGTCGGCACCTCCTGGGCCGGTGCCGGACACGAAATAGCCTGGGCCCAGCGCCGCCTCGCCGTCGCTGACCTCGCTGCCAACACAAAATCGCCCAATTCTCCTTCCCATCCCTTCAGTGTTGAGGCCACCAACAGCGACATCACCATCACCAGTCCCAACTCGAGCTTCAAATTCGACAAGACACGCGGCCACCTTACCAGCTGGACCGTCAACGGCACCCGCCTCCTCGAAAGCGACCCCATCACGGGCGCGGCCATCACCCCCGCCTTCTGGCGCCCTCCCACCGACAACGACCGTCCCAACTCTCTCCCCTACTGGCGCCGCTTCGGCGTCGACGCCCTCACCTCCCAACTCCGCGCCACAGACCTCACCACCACCATCCACAAATCCACATCCACCGAAGGAGGAGACCAGCCTAAAACAGACCAGTCCAAAGCAGACGAAGTCAAAATAACCTTCACAACCTACCACACCCCACCCATCCTGGACTGGGGCTACCTCTCCAAAACAACCTACACCATCACCTCCACCTCTTCCTCTCCAACCCTCCACATAAGCACCCACCTCACCCCGCACGGCTCCCACCCAACCCACATCCCCCGCGCCGGCTTCAACCTCCGCCTCCCCCGCGCCCTCAACCAAGTATCCTACCACGGTCTCGGACCAGGCGAGTCCTACCCCGACAAGAGCGCCGCTCAGCGCGTGGGAGTATGGGGACAGAACGGGGAGCCGGGGTTTTCGGTTGAGGAAATGCATGCACATTATGAGGTGCCGCAGGAAGGGGGGAATAGGATGGGGACGAGGTGGGTGAGGGTTGATAATGGGGAGGGTGGAGGAGGAGGAGGGGGTGCGGGAGTGAAGGTCACACGGTTAGTTGGTAGTAACGGCAATGAGGAGGAGGATGGGTTTAGTTTCCGGGTTAGTCGGTTCCGGGATGAGGTGGTGGATGCGGCGCGGCATCCGTGTGATTTGGGGGAGGGGGAGAAGGAGGATGCTACGCTGTTGCGGTTGGATGGGAAGGTGGCGGGTGTTGGGACGGGGGCGTGTGGGCCGGCGGTGAGAGAGGATTTGATGGTGAAGGTGGAGGAGATGGAGTTTGGGTTTACTTTGGAGGCTGTGGGTGTTTAGATCCGCAGCCTTAGGGGATGACGAGAAAGAGTTGGCTAAAACTGGAAGGCTGAATGGGCATGATAAATAAGGGGCAAAACGAATGAACAGCTGGTCGATATCTCACGCAAACTGAATCTTCAAAAAAATAATACGACCGAGTCTATTGCAAAACCCGTCTAAAACAAGCACCTAATCTATGGCCATGTCTAAACCACATAGTACCATTTCCTTCCCATGGGTATCCTGCTTCCACCTTTATCAAGCACACCGTATAAACATGCACAAGAGGCCACCCAATAATGTCCCTCCGACTCGACTTTTGTCCAATGCTGCACCGCAACAGGAACCCTTTCGATGCTCGACCATGTAGAAAGAAAGAAGAAAATAGGAAAAGAGACGTCTGTCTACGCGGGAAATGCGCGCAGATGCTTTTTACAAGGAAGCAATCACGTCCTCAGGCGTGTCTGGAGAAAGAGAATCTTGGGATCTCATCAGAATCATCAACTAATCTTCTCGACACCATTCATCTGACAACTTAATCCCGATCCGCACGGCCCGACGCATTCACGCCGTCACCGAGACCAGCATCGGCGCCATGCTCGTTGACAATGACGTCGTCGCTGCTGTTGTTCGACGAGTTGCCGCTGATACCAGGCTTCTCCTCAGCATCGCGGGCCTCGTCGCGAGCGCCGCCCTCGGTGGAGGTGACGTCGACAAGGCCGTAGTGCTTGGCATACTCCTGGATCTCGGTGGGCTGCAGCGACGGCAGCTCCTTGGCGGCTTGCACGTACGATATGTTCTCGACGTGGCCCTTGGCGAAGATGATGTCGATCTCCTCGAGCGAGCGGCGGGCCGTCTCCGGGTAGAAGAAGTAGATGACGGGGATGAAGCAGGCGTTGACCGCGGCGAAGAAGAGGTAGGTACCCCAGCCGATGTTGCGCACCATGATGGGGGTGACCATGACGATGAGGAAGTTGAAGAGCCAGTTGACGCAGGTGCTGACGGCGTTGGCCTTGGCGCGGGTCTTGACAGGGTTGACCTCGGCCGGGTAGAGCCATGGCAACGGCAGCCAGGTGGCACCGAAGAAGGCGATGTAGGTGAACAGACCAACCGCAGCACCGCGGGCTGTCATGCTGTCGTTGGGGATCAGGCAGGCGAACGTGATGACCATGCTGAGGCACTGGCCGATCGAGCCGATCAGGAACAGACGCCGGCGGCCGACTCGCTCAATGACGAACCACGAGGTCGTGGCGAAGATAGAGTACACGATCATGTTAACACCGCCCAACAGGAGAGCCAGGTTATGGTTGCCGTGAAGGATGGACTCCTCGAAGAGAATGGGGAAGTAGTAGATCACAGCGTTGCAACCGCCAATCTGCTGCATGAACTGAGAGCTGGAACCGAGCAGCATGCGGCGCAAGTGCTGCGTCTTGCCGCCCGTAAAGAGCGCCTTGACCGGGGTGCTCTTCTGGCCCAAGTTGCCAGCAGCGCGGAGGGAGTCCATGATTAAATCACGCTCGAGGATAGTTTCCTCGCTGCCCGGCTCGTAGCCACGGATGGCCGCGATGACCGTGTCAGCCTCTTCCGTGCGCTGGTGGCTCAGAAGCCATCTGGGTGACTCCGGCAGGAAGACCATGGGCACGATAATGAAGATGGCGAAGACGATTTGGAATGCAATGGGGAACCGCCACACCAGGTCCGGCGGCCCATACGAAGCACCGTAGTCGATCCAGTAGGCAATCAGCGTACCAAAGGCAATGGTACCACCTTCAATACAGATGAGCAGTCCTCTGTTGGACGTTTTGCTGCATTCGGCTGCGTAGATACGTTAGCACAACGGGACTGGTCAGGGTCCCCACGCCTCTCTTTTAACCGTGACGTACCTTGGTAAGTGGGAATGGTCGAGGTGTTGATGCCGTTTCCGGCACCCATGACAACTCGCCCCACGATCATCTGCGCAAGGGGCGTCGCACCGTACTGGGCGGTGACTTGAATGATCACGCCCAACAACATGATGAAGGCGCCCAGGATCATGGCCTTACGCCGGCCAAGGATATCACCAACACCGAGAATGAACATCGCTCCAGCCAAACACCCGATTTCGTAGATGGCAGTAACCAACCCTTGCATCGTCGGGTTGTCCTTGGTCGCTGTGAAGATGTCATTGAAGGCGGGTGCGGTAATGATACCGCTCATGACACTACAGATACGAGTTAGCTGGTGCTCGCTTCCAGCACACGCAAATCCACACGTAGTGATATCACGAAGGCCACTCACCCTTGGTCATATCCGAACAGGAGGAAGCCCGTCGTCGCGACAGTTGAGATTGTCAACGAGAGGGGCCGGCCTGAAAGGCCCATAAACTTGGGAGGGGCCATGGTCGACAGCTGCAGTGATGGTTGCACCAGGAACAAAAGACGATCCGGAACGGAGCACGAGAAGGGGGACGGGCGTTCTCCTAAATACCGGCACATATGGGAACTCGGGTCAAGCTGGAGGGCCGGACGGGTGCGGGATGGGGCAAGGGTCCCTTCTCCGCCGTCACGCGTGTAGCATGCCGGCCATGTGGAACGGATGGGGTCGGGGCCCAGTGTTCCCTCGCCTTCCCTGGCTTGTATCAGCCACCCGTGGGGAAAGGTTGCAACATGTCGGACAAAAATCTGAAAGAAAGTGTGGGTGGATGGCTTGGATGGTAGGAGACACTGGGAGAGTGGTCGCGTTGTGACCGAGGCACCACCGTACACCAAGATCCGGGGCGAGGACCCGTTGTTCGCGTTCCTAGATGGCGGAAAGAAGACGACAACATTGGACCATCTTGATTCCGTGGCGGGGTCGCCGCAGAACTGTGACAAATCCCAGAGTCAGGATTGTGATCATCGAAAAGACACTGCGGTGCATTCTGCAATGGAACCGTCCCATCCTTGCCAGCTTCCAGTGAGGACGGTCATAGGCCAAACACCGCGAGGTAAATGGAGATGTCTCACGACGACAGACCCTCCACCGGCCCGGCAATATCCACTTCATCGTGGACACTGATGGAGTATGAGGTCATCCCGTGGGTTCCTTCAAAAAACTGCGACAAGGCTGTTGCCGGCTCCTCTCAGCCCGAAAAGCCTGGGGTTCGGGTCTCATCATTGTGTGCCTTGTGTGTGCCGGAGATTCGAACTTCTGAGCTTTTGAGGGGATGAAGCGGGGATATTGTTGCGTGCAATCGGCCTCGGTAAGTGCTTGATCTCGGTGACAAGCATTGTGGCTCGGACGATGTTACCCAATCCCGTCGTCCCGCGGGCAACTGCCGCGGTCGTTCTCCCGCGACCTAACAGCGGAATAAGGCCAAGAACCACCCGCAAGAAGTTATCCGTATCGTTAACAGTTCCTCGTCTGCAGCGGTACCGTCACATGGGATGGGAGGGATGGTGCGGTCCTGCCGATGCAGCGTCGCAGCCAGTAACGTTAACAAGAAGCAGCTTTGTCTCAATGCGCTGAAAACTCCGAAAATGCAGTTGGACCTGGGGGGCAACAGGAAGCTTGGCGTGGAAAACACCGGAAAATGGGGTTGTTTTCGTTGCCCACCGGAGGGCCCGGGTGGAACCATGGCGTCACACACCGCCGAAGGGGTCCAGTAGCAACCAAGGCAACTCCCCGTAAAACTTTGAACCCCAGTTTTTGAACCGGTTAACATCGTGAGCGGCGACGGGTCGTGCATCCGCTTTTTTTTTTCTCTTTTTTTTCCCCGAGATTTTTCCAAAAGAGAAAACGAAAAATCGGTCATGCCGTTTAGTCGGCTGGGAATTAATTTTTTTGGTCAACCGGTTCGAAGCGGCTCTTCGCTGTTTTTTAGGCGGGCATTGACAGCGTTTCGTGTTGAGAATGGAAGGAACGGCGGAGAAGTGTTGAGGCCAGGCGGACGTTTGCGGGGAAAGTGGTGCCTTTGACGATACCTCCCCCATGCAGTCCACAACCCGCATAATGATAGTGGCACCTGCTCCTCAAACCCATTCTCTACTCCATGTTTGAGGAAAGCCCAATGCAGAACTGATGGGCATTCTCTTCATCCGTCAATTTCTTGCCATTTTTCTCAGCCTGGGAAACCCAAGCGACTCTGGGGTTTCGCTGTCTCACTGCCCTCCTCGAAATGCTCGGTTGTGAGCTTTCTCGGTCTACGATAATCAATACACTATCTAGAAAAGGGGTGCCAATTTCGTCGGGATTCCCCAATGGGGAATGTGCACAGAGTTCACAATTCCACACACACATCAAAATATCACTGTTCAATTGGCAAAGCTCAGGACTACTTTGGGATTTTCTAATGGCTATTTATAATAGCACCCAGCCTAGGAGCTGTCTTGTGCCGATCATACTTAATGTACAGAAAGATTCCTTCCTGCTTTTTCCGACCGAAAAACAAGCCTGGGAGGCGATGTGTAGTTCAAAATTTACGGCAAACGCCGAGACATAAGTCGAGCCAACGGATTGTGGGAGATCGCCGACCAGGGCATCAGGCGTCTTTGACGGTGCCCATGAAGGACGACATAGTGTATTCTGCCATCTGACGCCTCTCCTCGCCATCCGCCTCCATCACAAAAGAAAGGTCAAGGCGAACGCCTCAGGCGCCGCCCGCGGGGTGCCGGTTCATGTCCCCGCCACAACATTCACGGGGGTGGTGGGTAAAAAAAGTTCTGCTCCTGACTCGTGTCCGACGAACCGCCAGCCGCATCCCGGCATTGGTGTTTCAAGCGCCGAGGTGGATCGGCGTGCCAAGTCCGCTCGGCCCGTCTCCGGATACGGTCCCCTGAACACGGAGCGGGGCCCGGTTTTCAGCGTGCTCGATGGCGTGCCGGTCACTGCCGGTCACAGGCCGGCGGACTTGTCTTGCGGTCTCTCCTTTCTAGCCCGCGAACCAACCAGCGTTCATGTTGATCGCAACGTTGTGGGAGGCATTAAGAGTGTTGGTTCGTTCGTCACGAGCAGCGACGACTGCGCCAGGCAAATCGCTTCCTTCCATGAAATAGCAGGATTTACGGCTGACGAAAATCTTCCCAAGGCAACAGCAGTTAGTCGCTAACAAGAATAGCTCAAGCGGCTGCAGCAAATCTCCACATACTAGTTCCATGATCCTTCAACAAACAGGTTTCCACTGCTAGTGTTATGATTTGCACGTCTCGCCGGTTTTCCGTTCATATTAAGTCTTGTGTTATTGAATGTTGATTCGATAATGATTCTCCACTTGTTAATTCTTGCTCACCGGCACCATGAAAGTGCTGGGACTGAGTTTGTTAAGTTTGAGTAAGACCGGCGATGCTCAATTTCAAAAACTACGGTTCAACATCGAAGGGACATCGCCAACGACTGAGCCTTCTCTGTGCCATTCATCGATAACCCTCGGTAATCCTCGGCAAGCCACCTTAACAGAATGTCAAAAACGGTATGGACTTATGGTCATGGTTGGTTGGCAACAAATGATAAGTCTACATTGATCACAATCCCGATAATACTTGGGATGTAATTACTCAGGGGGCAATTATGAGCACCCTGCCATGTTTTTGACCACATACCCGGAAGAAGTTTTCGTTTCTCTTCGACTCCCTAAACATACCTGAGTGGAACTTGTCTTGACAACCGGAACGGTGGGCAGGAATGCCAAAAAGCAAGGACAGAAAGTCGGCGTTCTCGGGCTTAAATAATTATTAGAATGAATACGGGGAAGAACTAAGCTAACACCGAGTCTGGCCAACACCCTGAAGCTGGCCCCATACTCCGTTTTATTTCATACCCTACTTTTAATCATCAGCCGTAACAAGTACAGATAATCCAGCCTCAAGGCTCTACGTTTCGGTCGTTCGCTTCCCGCGCTTTCTCGATTGCGATCCGCTCAGCCCTCCATCTCGGCCCCCATCGCATCACAACCCACAACAAAGGCGCCATAAGCAGATAAACTAGCGCAATAAAAGTGTACGCCCATCCACTTGTCATGGCGTCGATCATCGGAATAATAACAGCCGATGCGCCTGCCCCAATCCAGCACCGTACCAAGTTGTTGGCTGCTGTCGCCGTGGCCGGCGCTTGCGGGTACACATCCACCATCAAAACACTGAGGATAGTGAAAAAGCCGTTCACCCCAAACCCGACGAAGAATAACATGACCAACGGCCCCGCTACACTTGTCCCGTAAGACAACAACCAACCATACACGATGAAAGCAACGCTAGCAAGTGCGAGACACGGCAGCGCTATCTCACACCGCACACTCTCGATCGGGAAACTCCCCAAATCGCGGTTCATCTGCTTGGCCTCATCGACACTAAGCCCCAGCCGCCGGCAGTGGCGAGCAAAGTTCCAATCGACCCCATAGCCCACCGCAATCGCAGATATGGCAGCGCTCACACCGACAGGGATGAAGGAAAGGCCGATCCGGAGGTCGTCAAACCCGTAAAGCCTTTCGAATTGTGAGGGGATGGCACTGACAAGCGCATAGTACCCGGCAAAGATAATGCCGTTCGCCAGCAGGACAATTCCAGCTTCCTTATCAGCGCAGATCTTGAGGGTTAGAAACGGGTTCACGAAGCTACGGGACTTTGCGATTCCCGCACTTCCATGGGCCGCCAGTTCAGACGCCCGTCTGCGCTTGGTCGATGGGAGCAGGTCCCAAAGCGACAGGTTCCATTCCACAGGTTCCGATGAGCCATTGCCCACCACAGCGCGCGCCGTTTCCGGGAGAAACAAGGCAATCAACAACACAACAACGCCAGCACAGATGACCAAGAACCAAAAGATCGACCGCCAGCCCAAAAAGTCACTGAGGATGCCGCCCACGACCGCCCCGAGCGAGACACCGACCACACCCCCGAGAGAAACGTAGCCCATGTAGGAGCCCCGTTCCGCGGCGCTGGCCACATCCGTGACAACCGCATTCCCCAGCGCGATGGTGCCGCTGCTCCCAGAACTCTGCAGACACCGAAGGACCATGAGCGCGGCAAACGAGTGCTGCAGGGCCAGCCCAATGTTCGCGCCGATGTAAATGACGAAGCACAGGACGTAGATGGGCCGGCGGCCGACGCTGTCGGACAGCGAGCCAGTGAAGGACGGTGCCAGGCCTTGGAAGATCATGTACATGGTGATGGTCAAGTTGATGAGCGTTGTCGAGACGCGGTACTCCTCGGCCAGGGAGTTGAGCGCCGGGAAGTAGATGTTGGCGCTTACGGGCGAGAAGAAACTCGCGACCGAGACCATGAAGACGATGGCGCGCTTCTCCCAGATGTTGAATACGCTGTAGGGTGGTGGTGGTTGAGCTGCGGCACCGTCCGTTAAGACGGCGGGCTCGTTATTGCTACGCTCGGGTGGTTGTCCATCTTCGACCTTCTTCTCATCGCCGGATGACCCGACGGCGCTTGAGCTTGGATGGTTTGGAAAAATAGGTGTGTCGATGGTTTCCGGTGTCAATGGTGCGGGGAGATTGTTAATATTCTTCTCCTTTGGAATTTCAATAGTTGCCGCATTTGAATGAGTTTGGGGGGTTCGATTGATCGCCATTTGTCTCACGATTGCAGAGTTTGGTGGTGTTTAATTGATCGGTTTTGCAGTCGGAGTACCTCGAATTTGGAAGTTTAAATGGAAACTGCGGCCGCCGGCATCCTCAGACCATCCAAGTGAACGAGGATGACCCATTCTTCCGATGATGCAAAAAAATGACCTTGTCGCTCGCGACATTCGGTCTTGGGAGCCCCGATCACGGACCGGCTTTAAGGCTTCCTGGCTGCCGTCATTCCCGACGTTTTCTGCACCGGCCCCGGACTCTGCAGCACATGGTCACCGATAATTCCACTAACTTAGCGTGCCGCTGCATGGAATCACGGCGTTTTTTGAAGCTTTAAGTCCGGACGTCGGAACACATGTGATTGCCGGTCATCTACTACACAACACACCGCATCAGCGCCAAAGTCATTCGGCCGGCAATTCATACTGTCTCGCCCCTTCAGTACAAAACAACACCACGACCGATTCCTTCGTGAGCCCCAATCGTTCCCGGTCCGTTTCATAACCCTTCTTCAAGCCCGCCAGGGTCGACGCCCCGCAAGGACCAGCATTTCCACCCAATGCCTCAATCGCCTGTGCCATGTCGTGAGATTCCATATCCTCCACCGCCACAGCAGCATCAACCCCCGATGCCAAAATCGGCCATGCAATCGTGGACAGGGTGCCACAGTTCATCCCACACATGATGCTGTTCCCGGTTGGTACCGTGGTCATCTTGCCGTTTTCGAGGGATGCCTTCAAACAGGCGGCCGTGTCGGGCTCGACGGCGATGACCGTGGTGGGTTGTGTCCGATTTGCGTCTTTGTAGTGCTTCGTCACGGCCTGGGCGATGGAACCGCAGCCGACGGGCACCATAGCATGCGTGGCTAGCCGGCCGCCGGTGGCGGTGAGGACTTGGGCGTCAGACTCGTCAAGCATGGTTTGGTAGCCTGCTACGACCCACTGAGTTGGTCAGGTAACGTTAGTTTAACGGCGCATCTCAATATATCGAGTATCAAGCGCTGGAAGGCCGCAAATTATCCCAAAGAAAGACGTTACGCAAAGAAAGAAGGAGCGTAAAAAACGAAAAATAAAACCACAAACCTGCGGCACAACCTCATACCCCTCCCAAGCAATATCCATCACCAACACCGAACCCCCACTCCCATCCCCCTCCACCGCCCGCTTCGTCTCATCCACAGCATCATCATAATCCCCCTCTACCACCACAACTTCCGCCCCTTCACCGCGTATCAGTTCCCGCGTCGACTCGGCCACATGCCGCGGCACATACACCGTCGCGGCCAGGCCCATATAACGAGCCATACGCGCCACGGCCCGTCCCCAGTTACCAGCCGTGCAAGTGACAAGTCGGAGGGAGGTGAAACCCCGTTGTTGGGCGAGGGTTCCCAGCGAGGCAAGAAAATGGTGGTGAGAGCCTCCCTCTCCTACTCCGTGAGGCGGTGGTGTTGTCGGATTATTATCAGGGCCGTCTTGCTCGGAGATCCCTAGCTTGTCGAGAACCGCGCGGTATGTGGCCCATGATGCGCCGAGGATCTTGAAGGAGGGTAGGCCGAAGCGACTGCTTTCGTCTTTGAGAAGGAGATGGCTGATTCCGAGGTCATTGGCGAGAGACGGTAAGCTATGGAGCGGGGTTGGGGTATAGGAGGGGAGGAGGTGTTGGTGGAAGGTTTGTGCTGATGTTGAGGTAGGCGACACTTTAGTATCCTGAGGGGGGTTGGTGTTGTCGCGCTGGTGGGTGAAGCGCCAGGTTTTGGCCGTCGGGTTGAAATGGATGAAGGGGTTAGGGGGTGTCATCACGCTCGTTCTGTTTCGGTTGTTCTGAGAAGGCCTGTGACGTGTTGTTATTAATGTTATGGCAAGGCTTGGACTGGTGGTTTCGCGCTTCGGCGGATAGCAACTTGCATGTCTGCATCATGAAAACACCGTTTACATGGCGCATCGTGATGTGACGGTGCGGGGTCAAGCGTGGGTCAGCCCGTGCCCAGACGGAGGTGAATCGGCCCGGCCCGGGGCAGTTCCGGGGCGGTACCAGCGTGAAAGCGGTTTGTATCGGAGGCAAGTGAATCAGCATTCGGTCCCTAGAACCGGATAGGTACGAGCCGGCATTGGGCAGGTAAGTAGTACAGCTTATACGCTATCGTCTGGCATCATCAAGTCAACTGTACATTTCCAGGCCGATGGGGACCAGATTAACCAAATATCAGATGCACCACCCGTCCTTCAACAAACCACAAAACGCCACAGACCATCAAGCGACAAGTACCACCCAGCCATTACCCAAGTGTTAACGCCAGCATAGCATCATCACTTTTTGAGCCGTTGCCTGCTCAAATCGACGGCCACATCAGCCGTAGCGCCGTCGATAAAGTCATTCATCATGACGACGAGCCGGTCCAGGTTGCACTGCTTGACCACATTCTCGCGGCACCACGGCAGGATCTTGGAGTCGCACAGACCCTTGGTAGCCAGCAGGCAGCTGGTGGTCACACTGGCCTCGAGAATGGAGTAGACGACGGCCTTGACGATGTTGGACGCCGTGGCCTGGCACTGGATGTTGACAAAGGCTTTCCCCTTTTGGGCGTCGGGCGTCAGCACACGGGGCAGCGCCTTCAGGATGCTGTCACCGTCGAGCGTGGCGTTGCCCTCGTCGGTGTAAGTCGAGAGCGAATCGACGCTGTCGAGCATGATGAGTCGTTTCTTGTCGCTGCGCAACTGGCCGATGCTGAGGTGCTTCATATCGTGCAAGTTGCCGGGCACGATCTCGCCGTGCGCCTCGCGCAGGGCTTCGTCGAGGTACTTCTTCTTCTCTTCATTCGACGGCTTCTTGCATACTTCCGGCACGCCGTCCCACCGCAGCTGCACAACCACGATCTCTGACGGGTGCTCCCGCAGGAAGGTGACCACACCTTTGAGGAAGGCATCGTACGCCATGCCGGGGATGGCGCTGTGCTGGAAGTACAGCCGGTCCGGCAGCGCCCCACGGTTGGCGATGGCATTATGCAGGTGCGCCGGGCGGAACTCAAAGTAGCGCGCGCCGATCTTGAGCATGGCCTCGAGGCTGTCCTTCTGGGTAATGGCCAGACTGAAGATGATGTTAGGCGCGATCAGTCCGATGGCATCCCGCGACAACGTGTCGGCGAGCTTGGCCAGCACGGGGCTGTCGTGGATGAGCTCGCAGACGACGGCACCACCGGCCTTGCGCAGCACGGCTTCGCTGCTGGCCATGCTGTTCATGCCAACGTCGTGCGCGGCCGGCAGCACAAGGCGCGAGAACGGCTTCTTCTCGGCTTCGGACCCGGGCGGCGCAACGTCCTTGATCCAATGGGCGTAGCTCGGTGTTACGGTGACGTAACACTGGTGCCGGTTCGGCAGCAGGTCGTGGCCCTTGCCGGCCTCATACAGGCCGTATGAGATAATCAGGTTGTCGCCATGGAAGATGGACGGCGTGGTAGCGATGTTCTCCATCGTACCGCCGCTGGCATTGCCCGTGAGCGCGTTGATGTCGATCCATTGCTCTGTGATCTGGTGGCCATCCTGGTGTACCTTGAAGTTGAACTTGCCCCGTTTGTCGAAGAAGCTCTCGATTGCAGAGGACTCGACTTCCAATGCCACGTTGTGGAAACGGTGCAGGTCGTTGACTGAGACCGACTTGCCCGGCACGGAAAGCTCAATTGAGCAACCACGTGCGGCGATGTACGTGAAAACGTGGATTCCTTTGCTCGGCATGTTCCCTGTCTTTCTGGTTCCAATTTGCCTTCTCTTTTTTTTTTTTTTTCTTTCTTTTTTTTTGGTTTCGAACCCCCTCTTTTCGCGTTTCACAAGCTGGCCGTGTCGACTACACTATGGGCTCGGTTGACGATCTTGATCCTGGAGGAGCGGGGTGCTGGAGATCTCCTAGGCTTCCAAATGGGGGCTCCTCGTGGGGGCGGGCAAGAGACCCCTTAAGAGGTCGCCGCCGTGGGCGTGCGGCTAGTCTGAAACTCTCTCGACTCGAAATCTGGGCGCGAGGCCAGCAGCCTTTGCCAGCCGTGGCGGCGCGGGAACTCAGTCGGCCGGTCTCGCCAATCGATGGGCTTGGTCCCGGTGCGTGTGGAGAGCTGAACAGCCCAGCATCAGCGCCCAGCCCTTTCCATGGCGCGTTCCATGGCGCAAATCAGTGGCAGGCTGGCAGCAACAGCAGCAACATCAGCAGCGGGCAGTGACAAACAAGCAAGCAGCAACCTTGCCTGTTCATCACACCTATCGTGGTGGTGCGGGGTGAGAGATCGTCGCCGTGGGGCCGTCTTGCCCTGGCGCCATTCTTTTTCTGTCCCCTCCTCGCGCAGCAAAATTCCCGCTTTCGATGCTCTTTTCGCCGTGCCACCGCGCGCGTTGCTACGTCGAGTCGTTGTTGCGTCGCCCCCGTGTTGCGAATGCCCGTCTGATGGTATGTGCCGGACTGTGCCTGTTTGACTCGTGTATGTGGAGTCGCGACGTCTCGGTTTCAGGGGCTAAAGTTAATTTGCTTGGTGTTCCTGGTGAACGTGCGCAAAGCAACCATATCCCCTGCTATCACAACCTTCTCTTGTCGTCGGCGCATTTTAGGTTTGCGGGGCCTCAGATAACTCCGGGAAATGGTCGCAAAACCGCGGTTTATCCGGTTAGCACAGCAAGGAACATGTCATTACGCCATGAGTTTAAGCCTTTTTTGTACCTTCCGCGATACCTTCCGCGACGGAGAGTTCTTAGTGTAAGAGGGAAGACGCCACTGGAAATTGCGAGCCGGAGTTAGGGCTTTGGCCGTCTCCAGGTACCTTGCCACGTGCTCGTGGGTAGCCAGTCAAATTTCAAGCCTCGAAAGCCTCGAAAGCCTCGAGCATTTCCACCCATCGCTTCCGTATCATAACTCCAAAAAGACATCAAGAAGGATGAACAAGACCAAGGAAACATGCAACATATAGCACAGTCAGAGGCCAAGGGGGACGAGCCGGTGGGAGCCCGCCGCCCAGTGCCTCTTCCAGCACGCCACATTCGGTAGGGTTGCCACACTTTATCTTGGGCCACTGTGCCGCGATCACACAGCGGCATGCAGTTTTGATGCCTACGGGGATACCACGTCAACTGTCCTTCGTCTTGAACGATCTCCACTTAGCGTCGATTTGAACGACGGAGCGCGCTCCGGTCCGGTACCTTTCCGGCGTTTAGCCTTTTAAATTAGATGGTGGCCAGAAATACATAACCGCCACTCGCCAAATGCTGGCTCTCGTAGTGTGTTCTTGTTGAGTTTACACTATCACTTTGCCTTCTTTCGATCTTTGGCACGGTATCACATACGAATCATATCTGAAGATATGGCAGAGGTATGACCACCAGCAACGCCTGCGAGGGGAAGGGAAGGAAATATTAATTATTTTGGCACAGTTAACCCCCCACCATCCCTGGTCAAGCAGTCCGCCATCCACGTTCTCTAGTCTTGGGGCAACGGACTGCGTACCGCAACAGCAAATACCATATACCGGTCTCTTCCCAGCGTATCATTACCCAACGCCAACTGATTCCCCTCTTCACCAACAAGACGAACTCCCTCTCCCTCCGTTCGCTCCCCAACCAGCGTCCGGTGGTGCCCACAGCGGGGTTTGCCCCGAAGCCCAATATTACGGCAGCTTCACCAGCCAGCCCAACCCCAGCTTCCCCGAAACATTCTTCAAGTCTGAACCTGGGACACAACATGGGCACCAGCCACTGCCTCAATTTCACTCCCACTACAACAACCACCACCAATACCGCCAACGCCAACGCCTGCTCCCACGTCGGACCTACACCCCACCGCCCAACCCACGCTCCCCGATCACAGCCCGCAAACTCCTGATCCGGGTCGGCGCCATCGCGCCTTCATCGCCCAAAGGTAACAGCCACACCATTCACCGCAGCAGCAGCATTAGCAGCAGCAGCAGTGGTGGCGGTAGTGGTAGTAGCAATAACAATGGGAGCAAGAGACTTCCCAGCCTGGGGCCGATTCAGCAGAGCGATGAGCTGGTTTGGCGCGGGCAGATGCGTGGGTTTGAAGTGTTATGGTCCTGCGAGGAAGGGCGTGGGCCGGGTAATGGGCAACGGCGGATGAGGGGGGGCTTGGAACGATTCCTCGCGGGAGGAGAAATGGAGCTTGGGTTGGGGTTGGGGATGTGAAATAGGTTTTCGCTTCTTGTACCCAGGTGCTATGGGCGTTGTGAGAGGGTGCTATTTTATGCACGAGGTGTGTGCTACATAGTTGATTTGTACCATGGGTACATTTTATGGGCTGGCTATACGGCCTGGATTAGTGAATATGTTCGAGCTTGTTGGATAAATAGTGGATAATTTGCTCACCTGATGAGTGAATATCTAGGCAAGAAATAGGGGGCCGCATGGAGGCAGCACACAGATCTTCAACTTGTAGAATAAACGAACGTATACGAGAGGATACCATGCCCAAGCATCTGGGACTAGTACAATACCAGAATAGTACACGATAAATCACAACATTCGCTCATAAGATACAATCATATTTGACGTGCTCCGTACAACACAACCCCGCTTGCGGATAAGTTGACAATGTGACCGTCACAACGGGTGTTATCATGACGGTTGGCTGAGGCTTGAGTGATCATCATCTAGCGTCCCGGGCCATGACTCGGAAGAAGTCCGCGAAACAACTCGACCCGGTTATGATGGGGTGTGGACCGTTTGTATTTGGCCGATTACAGAGGACTCCGGACGGGCGAACGGCGTGCGTGTTGAGCAGTTGCCGACTTGGAGAGGGAGACGAGCTCAGCAATAAGCGGGGAATACAGATGGCATGGTCTGTACTCTGTAGAAGGCAAATCGGTCAAGGGACATTAAATTTGTACACCACTGGAACCATACCAAGAAAGGGCATTCACAAAACCAAGTCAACGGGAAACTGCGTCCATCCAAAATGCAAATAAAATAAGAGCCGATCAGAAAACTAGGCGTGGCCAGACACGCACAAACCCCCAAATAAAACGAAGAGCATACCCCCCAATCAGGCGCCATTTTCTTGCCGCGTTGACACCATCACTCGTAGAGAATGTGAAAACAATCCAAAATGAACCAAAGGAAACAACCCGCAGACCTTCCCATCTTAACCCGAGAAGCCGACGGAGACCTCCAAGTGCCAGGGGCCGGGGATGATGTTAAGGCCAATACCGTCCAGCTTCTCCATACCGATGGTGTACGCATTGGTGCCCTTGCCACCGGGAAGAATGATCGAGTCGATGCCGCCGTGCGAGACCTTGCAGCCGGGGACATCCATCTTGTAGGCTTGGGCAACGAGAGAAGAACAATCCGCGCCAGACCAACCCTTGTTGGCGTCGCTGCCAGCGTCATACTCAACCCAGTTGCCGGCGTACTGGCCATCCTTGGTGAGCGGGACCTCGTTGGGGGCAAAGGCGCAGATACCCTGGGTGTTGGCGTCAACGACAACCACCTTGGACTCGCCCGGGGCGAGTGTGAAGATGAGTTGCTTCTGGCCCGGAACCTTGAACATGCCGGTGAGCTGACGATCGGCGCCCATCTTGTTGCCGCACACAACCTGGTACGGCACGTCCGCAACGTTGGTGTACGTCTGCGTGTATTGGTACTTTCCGAGAAGGCTCTCGGCAACAGCCATGATGTTGGAGTTCCACGGGCAGCCGCCGTCGGTGCCCAGGTTGCCGGTGTACATGACTTGAGCATCCGTCACGCGCTTCGACTTGCGGGAGGCAGCGCCGCCACCACAGAAGGGGATAAACTCGTTGATCAGGTCTCCGAGACTCGGCAGGGTTGGCTCCGGGGCCGCGGATGTGGTGCTGGTGGGCTTCGGCTTGGGCGGAGGCGGCGAGGGCTTGGGGATAGGTTCTCTGTGGATGTTCTTGACGAAAACCTCGCGCTTCGCCTCGGCACTACGGTGCAGGTGGGCATGGCCCGAGGGATGGGCGACGGCACCCAGCGCGCCGGCAAGGAGAAGGAAGTTGGTGATTTGCATTTTGATATATCCCGAGTTGCTCGGTTTCAGTCGTTGATATCGTCGGTGAGGCCGGCTCGTCTATGCTGTAGAGATGATTGTTGTTGTTGTTTCGTCCGATTGCTAACCGTGAGAACGTTGGAAAATGCCGATTGCGGTCGCTTCAAGTTGAAAGAGAGCGAGAGAGGGACAGAGAGAGTGTCGAATCGTGGCGGGCGTGTTGTAAATGAGTGAACTGAGATCCGAGATCTCGAAAAGAATGGATGGGACTGCGAAACGGTTCGTTTGTTGTGAGGTTGAAAGAGGGAAAAGAGAGACTGACGGGAGTTGGGTGCTGAAAAGGGCTGCCGGGCAGGGGGTGTGGTCGGGTGAAATGAACCAAGCGTGGACTCGTCTCCCATCCTGGTCCATCGGCCTGCTTGCCCTGGTTGCTCGTGGTGGTCCAGAACAGATTTCCACTCATTTTTCCACATTCCTCTCCTTTGACTGGCCGCCCGGGCCCACACCTGGCCAAGGCCAAGGGGCAATGCAGGTCCCCATCCCTTTTGATTGGCTCCCATGGCGGCACATGGTTGTCTGCTGAGTTTGTGCCTGGCATCGACTGGCATGATCCAACTTGTCCACAACCCTTTAGTTGACGCCAGCGAGAGAGTCACGGTTGGCCAACACATTGTCTGCATCTGCCATTGTTAAACGCTGGCATGGCCTGCATGTCCAACCTACTTATTAGCGCCGCATATGCTTCACGAACCAGAATAGAATTGTCTTGAGGCGACGAGGGACGCCCAAGACGATCTGTTTCCAAAAACGTCCACCAACACGAAGTGACATTTTCGACGTGACTTCTCGTATCTCACTAACAATTGTGCGGCTGAGTTGGCGTTGAAGTTATTATCGAGAGACCTCATAAACCAGTCGAACTTTTTAATTGCAGCGTTGCGCCGGGCTGGCCAACTCGGGCTCTGTTTCGCTGTTTCATCAAACGCCCTGAGAGGGGTCCGCCATGTTTGGCCACACAACACCAACGGCCACAAACTGGGATGGCCGCCCGACACCACGTTTTGCACCTCGCCGCCGTCCAAACATGACCAGACGTCGACAAGATTCCTGCAGCTCTGCCTCCCTAGCTCAACGCAGCAAACGGTGACGCGCGATGTCCCCTTATCCCTAGTATGAGGGGGGAGGCACACCCACCTTCTACTCTGCGCTCGAGGGGCATGACCCTTGTTTCTTAACACCTGGGTTTCCGCTCAAAAAAATGCAGCCTGGGACTGAACCGCCGCGATGGGGGGCGCCGGTTCGGGTCGACTGACGAGAAAAGGGAGAGATGAGATCGACGGATTTGTGCTGGCGTCTGTGTGAAGCGCCCCACAGTCCCCGTTTCTGGAATCAAGGACCCACTATTTCCGCCTGTTTGGTCCAAGCTTCTGGGACCACGCCGAGCACGCCCCGCGACCTTTTTTTCCAATTTTGGGGGATCGAAAACCGGTCGGCGGCATGTCTTGACATTGGACCACAAACAAACAGACCCCTTCTCCAGAGTCCGGGACCAACCCCTTGACCTGAGTTCCGAAACAAAGAGGATCTGGTCCAGCGTGTGATTCGTAGGTCTCGGCGTCCCAACCTCGCAGCAGACCCCAAACACCGACCGCACACCCGACGATCAACGGCCAAACGGCCACCAACCCAACCGCCCGGGGAAATCGCGGGGCCGTTGTCTTATCCGAAATTCTCGGCAACTCAAGTCCGACGTCATTTTGAAGCCGATATCACGGAGTAATTGACCCATTCTGCGGCCAACCCCGCGCAATTTTCAGCCGCCCATCATTGCGAGGCCATCCTCCCTCCCTTAGCCGCCGACCACCATGCCTCTCGATACCTCAACCTACAATCTCGCCTTGCTCCGGGTTGACGGGCGGAGATGGAACGAGTTGCGGCGCGTTCATGCCCAAATCCGCACGCAAGCGGCGGCTGACGGGTCTAGCTACCTGGAGATGGGACACACCAAAGTTATGTGTGTCGTGACTGGCCCGACCGAACCCGGGCCACGGCGCGGCGGCGCAGCCGCTGGTGGTGCAGGGGGTGGAGGGGTCGGCAGTGGCGGCGCAGGGGGCAAGGCTGAAATAGTAGTGGGCATCGTGATTGCTGGCTTTAGCTCTGTAGACCGGAAGCGATACGGACGAGGTGACAAGTATGTTCAAGCTGTGTGCAACTGAAAGAGGACCACCATGCTCCGCTCCAGATCGCTAATTCTGAAACCCCCTTAGGCGCACACTCGAACTTGCATCAACGGTCTCCAACGCGCTCGCAGCCAGCCTCCACACGAACCTCTTCCCTCACAGCCAAATTAATATCTCCCTCCACGTTCTCTCGCAAGATGGCTCGCTGCTCGCCGCACTCATCAATGCTGCCACGCTTGCCTGCGTCGACGCGGGTATCCCCATGACCGACTACGTCGCGGCCTGCACGGCCGGGTCTACATCCACCTATGCGGCCAACGACGAAGGGGCCGACCCGCTACTAGACTTGAACCACCAAGAGGAGCAGGAACTACCAGGGCTGACGGTAGCGACATTAGGAAATAGTGACCGTGTGGCGGTATTAGTTTGTGAGAGCAGGGTGCAGATAAGCCGGTTGGAGGGTATGCTGGCTGTGGGGGTAGATGGGTGTAAGCAGATGAGAGAGATTCTAGACAGGGTTGTGCGGGAGAAAGGTGTGCGGATGATACAAGAGGGAACGGTGGAGAAGGGGGTAGGCTTGGGTGATATTGACATGGACTAGTCAACTGATACGTTCCACGACACCTGATCTGTTGGCCGGGTAGACGTCAGTACGCCGTGCGAAGTATTACAATGGTAGGAGACAACATTCGTCCGGTGAGGATATCTCTTTCTTTGCACTGATTTGGCGTGTTCTTCTCCATGCGAACTTGACATAAAGTTTGTATTTTTTTTTTGCTCTGCGGTGGGGGTCGTGGTAGCAACCGAGGAGGAAAAATTCAACTACGCCTCATAATGTCATCGCTAACAAGCAAATTACCAGACTACGCAGTGGTACACACCCAACCGCCGACCTAAAGCTCGTCGTGCGCGGCCTCATCCTCAGTCTTAGCCTCAGTGGTGGGATCCGCAGCGGGGGCTGACGTGGGTTCTTCCACGGCAATGGCGATAATACCGTCCGGCAACTTCTTCTTGATGCCTTCACTCATGCGAATGGCATCGATCCAGCTCTCGATGCTTTCGTGGCCGAAATCTGCAGCGTCATAGTGCCTCCACCAGCCGCGGCGGGCGTTGATGGCGACGATCTCAACATCCCCCACCAAGTCTAGCGTCTTGAGCAGCGAAGCGGCCCCTTCGTTGCTCTGGGGAACTTCGTAAAAAGGGAAGAGGTTGCGCTTGCTCTGAGCGTGCTTGAAGGCCAATTGGGAGAGGCTGTCGAGTGCGCGTTGGGATTTTTCGGCGGTACTATCGGAGACGAACGCCAACACGCAGGTGTGCGACTTCTCAGTCAGGCACTCTTTGATCAGCTTCTCATGCGTGTTGATGGTGGGAATGGGAAGAGCGGTCTCGACGATGACAGGAGCTTCCTGCGTGGCGGTCTCCTTCTCGGGTTCCGGGGTGTTGGACGAGGCTTCGGATGAGGTCGACTTAGTAGGCTTAGAGGAAGCCTTGTCCGATGCCTTTTTGCTCTTGTCTCCCTTCTTATCACCCTTTGGCGGAACGTCGGGGTTGGGCTCTCCAGCTTGCGAGAGGAATTTGACAATGGGGTCCTTCTTGAGTTCTCCGTCATAGACCACGGCGGGGGCATCGCCACCAGGGAGCAGTACAAGTGTCGGAAACTCCTCCACGCCAAATGTCTCAACGGTCTTGGCCTCTTTGTTCCGTGCTTGGCCGATGGTAATCACACCCGCAAAATCAATGGCAATGCTCTTCAGGAGCGCAGACGTCGTTCCTTTCTCCGTGAACAAAATCGCCTTGGGGCTCTCCTGGTCACTCAAGAACTTGTCGAGCGACTTGTCCTCTACCTTGACGACGTAATTGTTGATCTGCTGAACGACGGCATCGACAATGGCGCTGGCGGTGCGCTGACCCTGATAATCCTGGACTGTCGGCTTGCCCCCGCCCTTCTTAGGTCGGACAATCTTGAGCGTTGGGAAGCCCTGGACGCCCATGGAGCCACAGAGCGGTTTATTGGCCTCGTCATCGCAATTTACGGCGGCCACCTTGGCCAGTCCATCCAGACTCTTGGCTGCCTTCTCGTACGCTGGCTTTAGGTTCTGACAATGGCCGCACCAGGGGGCGTAGAACTCGACAATCTTTCGAGAGACCCATTCGTTAGCTCGCGCGTGTGTTGAGAAATGGGTTCTCGGGTTGGGGGACTAGGCTAGCGCTCTAGGCATTGACTTACAGAGGTGTAATTGCTCTTCGTGATCAACTGATCGTAGTCTTTGCTCTCTACCTGTAGCACGGGCGATTTCTTTGTGTACATGCCCGCACTTGCCCCAGGGAAAGCAGATAGCAGAGCGACTGCCACTGCACAGAATGTTGGCTGGTGCATGGTGGGAGCTTAGGCGAAACAACGTGGGGATATCGGTGTCAGAAGTGGGTGGTAATGAGAGATCGTGCTCGAAGCCAGATGGATATGCAGGGAGCTGTGGGGTGGACGATCACTCGAAAGAAGGGCCAAGAGCAAGCCGCGTGCTGCGTTAAGAAGGAAAAGATTTTATTTCATCAAGTTCAAGTGCGGAAAGCTCTTGGGTAGGTCAGGATATTTTTAATTCTCTCGTGGTGAGGAGAGCTAGGAAGACCTCCAGGCTGGCATCTTTCCATCTTCGGCAAAAGAACACATTTCCATTGCCGTTAAAAAGGGCACGATGAAGGCCATCAAAGCGGCAAGCAGAGTGCGCATGGTGGTCAAAGCTCCCCTACAAGCATCAATGGACCCCATCCCGTCACGCAGCCTTGGCGAGCTTGGCAAATGACGCGCCAGGCGCTCTTGCGCTCCCCCACCAACAATCGCTCAGCCTGAGAGGCAACAACTAAAGCATCCGTGGCAGCTGTTTACACCAAGATACAACCTCACCTTCTTCCGCACGTCTGCTCCCGACACGCCAATCCCAGTTTTGGCTTCCGACCTTTGGTTCACACCTCAAGCGACCCTTTCTCCACCCCCGCCATGGCTGACGCCGTCCCCGCTGCGCTGCGCTTAGCCGATGTCAATATCTGGAAATGCGCCACCAAGGCCACCCAGCTCCGATCGGTCAAGCCTATTATGGTTTATTGGTGTACGTCAAGGCCATGAAGGTTCAAATAACAGCTGATCCTGACTGTGGGAGGTGAATATTGGGCCGTCAACCAGATCCTGGCTAAGGAACTGCACAACACGGACGAGGGCATCCTCAGCTATACAACCGCATTGATCGATAAGCTCGAGCAAGTAAGGATATGCCGCACCGGTACATTTAGTCTGTCTCCAGTTCTGATTAAAGACGAATAGACCAAAGCAGAGAACCCGACCGAAGATGCCATCATAGACGACACCGCGGGCCAGGCATACGTAGAGCAGTTTGCGCAGGAAACCCTCGATCGAGCAGAACGGGTTGTGAAGGCGAATCGTGTGACACAGTAAGCCAGATAACACCCCGTATATACTCGCCCTTTGAGCTCACAGATTGCTAGGCAAACCGCTGTGACGTTCGACGCCGCCGCAACCTTTTTTCACGTCGTGAATATCTGGGGTCCCGTGGATCAAGAGACACAGCAAAAGATCAAGTACGCAAAATGGAATGCGGCGCGTATTGCTAAAGCCATAAAGGAGGGTAAAGACCCCAACGAGTCGAACCCCAAACCCGAAGAGCCCGTGCAACCGGAGCCGGAGCCAGCAAACGCAGGCCCACGCCCTGTGACGGTTGAGGATGCGCCGGACACCGATAGTCTCCGAGATGTTGCGGGGACCTCGTTACCTCACAGCCCCGCGCCTGCGGAACCATCTCCGGTTTCTGATCCCGGGCTCCAGCTTCCAGGAGTGCCCACAAACCTGAGTCAACCCGCGGCCCCCTCTGGCTATTTTGGCCCCGACGCTTCAATAACACCACCCTCGAACCTCCCATCAGCTCCTACCAGCTGGAGTACATCACCCCAACATCCCTCGGCGCCTCCGGTCACATGGTCATCGCCAGCCGCCAGCCCTTCGTCTGCCAGTGGTTTCTACCAACAGCCATCACAACCCGCTGCACCCCCAACTGCACCTCCCACATTCGCCGCGAGCCCTCCAGCCACAGCCGCCACGGCGCCGCTTCCCACCAGCCCTCCCACAGATTCTCACCGTGTAATTCCAACGGCTAGTGCTCCCGCAGCCCCCAATGCCCTCCTACCGATGGGCTTAGCGCCGCCTTCCGGATATTCACCAGTTGGGGCCCAGCCGTCAGGTGCCTTCACAACCGATGAGGCGGCAATCGTGGGGGCGCAGAAGCATGCGAAATGGGCCATTTCGGCTCTGAACTTTGAGGATGTGCCCACGGCAGTGCGGGAACTCCGGAGAGCGTTGGAGTTGCTTACTGCGACATAGCTTATGTATGATACCCCATGGGTGTGAATTACCAATATGAGTAGCAGCGCGAAAGCTTTGAGACTTCAGTATGTGTCTGCGAAAAGCTGCACAGTGATAGACCTTCCTGTAATTTAAGCCTGGGCACGTAGCGCAATATGGATAGCCTGCTTATTGCGGTAATGCCTATTATGACGGAAGTCCGGGGCGAATCATCTATCAATTCAGAGTCGCCGACCCCTACATACATTGACCGCCATTTCACATGCTGGCTCGAGGAGATTATGCTGCGAGTAGTTACGAACCTGTCCATTTTATCACTGCCCCCTTATACTACCCCGCATGGCCCTCGTACGACGAGGAACCTCTGCCACCTGTCGATCCCTATCAAACCCGCATGTTTCATCAAATACGCCTGGGAGAGGACAGCCTGATCTTCACTCCATTTCACTTCCATCCAGGGCAGGGAAGAGTAATGTGGTGGACATAAGTGCTTCACGATGAACAGGCCGGGGCAATTGGCTTCCACTCACTATAATTCCTGATATTTGCAGTGTGAAAGTCTTTTGTGCGAGTTCGGAAGTACGTGCAGGTGGCATTTCCACGTTGCAGATAAAGACTCAGGTGAGAATACATAACGTAATCTAGGAAATTGGTACATTGGGACGGGTTGATGCCTTTGTTGTCAACAGTTGGTCGGTTACCAGGGAAACTACGCAGTTCAATGTAAAATAGATTATTGGCTTGCCTCGTGAATTAGAAATAAAGCTAGAAACTGTTTCTACAATTCGGGGCAGTCCTGTGTACGTAAAATCATTGTGCTTTGTTGTCATGACTTCAGGATATCTTCTGGATTGGAGCCCCTGAGAAGCCCCACCTGAGTAAACAAAACAGCTACATACCAACTTCAAATACTCTGACAGCATACTAGCCCCCTGGGCCAACCAACGCATTATTGTTTTGTTGTCTAGGGGCTGAGCATGTTTAAAGCATGAAATAATACAAGGAGAAGACAGAGGGGAAATTCGCCCTAGCGTGATTTTCATCAACCCCAACAACTTGTGCAATCTTGAGCACCACGTGACAACCATTACCCCCCCAACACAGAAGTCCTCCCAGAATCATTTGAAGCGACAAGTAACGGTCAGAGAACTGGCTAAAATGTACCAAGCTTTTAGCAAATACAACAAAAACAACAAGACTCTAGGCAGTGTGACCTAAAGTTGGAAGGAAACTAGGCAGTGATATGAAGATGTCTCATAGAACTGAATAGGTAGAGAAGTTCTGGAAGCTTTAACAACTGAAGAAAGGAAGAGAGAGCATCGTCAATGATTTCTTGTAAACATAATTTGAAGTAGTCATCAGGGAAACAAATCTTGTGAACAGAGACAGCCAGACAGTGCGTAAAGGGCATTCCCAGCCACCATTTGGCCTCTAGAGATTATTCAAACGTGCCTTGGGTATCGGAATATCCAAACCAGCCATCCCTCTGTAAGACAAGAAGCCGTAGAACTTGAGGCAAAGGCAACGCTGGAAGACATCATCCCAGGATACTCGCGAACCGAGACGGTAGCGATGCCTTGGTATCCCAAGCAGCGACCCATAGCCGACCTTCTGCCCCTCACACCCATGATTTCCACGACCACAGCCCAGAGCTCGGGCCACAATGAAAGAGATAGATAGTCCGGTAATTCTCCAAGGGCTAGGGCTTGGGTGTGAGGCTTGACTTCAAGCGATATCCCGTTCTTGCCGTCCCTCTCGTAGAGAGGTCGGTTACCTACGCGTTGAGGTCTGCACAACCTGCCTGCTCAGTGTGAACACGTCTGATTTGGTTGCGCACACACTGCCCACACAAAGGCTATAAAATATCCCCCCCTCGACCTGTTCTCTGCCTATTTCTCTTCTCCCACCACCCACATTCCACACCCGACTTTCCTCACACCTTCACTTGACTACCAAATAACAACGCTATAACAACTGAACACAACCATCGTACACTTCACTTCACACATCAATCACGATGATGTCGGCGTCGATTTCGATGGCTGGAGCCGCGATGCTTCTGCTCGGCAGCGCTCGCGGCCATGTGGTCATGAACACTCCGACTCCTTACAATCTAGATCTTCAAGCGATCGCGGGTAGTGACTCTCACCCGTTTCCGTGCCATAACCAGTACGACTTTACCGAGCGTACCATGCTTGAAGCTGGCAGTGCTGCTCTAATTAACTTTACCAGGTAAGTCGATCTATCTGCGATCCCATCCATTGTCACCCTTTGAGGGTTGTGGCGGCCACGACTAATCAGTACATCCCAACAGTGGCGCTCAGCATGGTGGCGGCTCGTGCCAGTTCAGCATCACCTATGACGAGCCTGTCGACGGTGGTGACTGGGACAAGTCGGCCAAGTTCAAAACTATCTACACCATCATCGGCGGCTGTCCGGCCGTGTCTACCGATGAGACTCACAATCTCGTTTCCGCTGGTGCTGTTATGATTCCCGTTCCCAAGTTGTAAGTATTACCGATTGAACAAACGAAATGAATTCCTGGTTGTCTCTTTACTAACGCTGGTAAACAGTCTCAAGAACGGCCCCGCTACTTTCGCCTGGACCTGGTTCAACTTGATCGGCAACAAGCAGATGCATATGTGAGTTCTGTCGCTCTCCGTAGTTCACTTTTGTTTACAATTCTAACCTCTGAAACAGGAACTGCGCTCCCGTCAACATCACTGGCGGTACTGACAACACTGCCGAGATTGAGAACTTGCCCGACATCTTTGTGGCCAACTACCCCAACGACCCCGAGGTCCCCAACTGCGTTACCGGCACTCATGCCGACAATGTTGTTGTCAACATCCCTAACCCGGGCAAATACGGTCGCATTATCCAGGCTCCCAGTGAGCCGGCCAACAAGCCTTCGGACTACTGCTTTCAGATCCCGCCTGCCCAATCTCTTCCCGTGTTCGAGGCTGATCCGGTTTCATCGGTCCAAGGCGAGCCCAAGAGCATCACTTTGCCCATTCAGAAGTCAACCGCAACTGTTGCACGGGCACAGAAGACCACGCCTGACTACTTCCTGCTCGCCCGGGAGACCACTGATTACTTTCCTCCTGTGGCCGATACCACCGAGCACTTCCTTGGCGCAGTTGAGACCCCCGACTATTTCCCACCCAAGGCCGTGGAAACCGACTACTTCCCTGGAACGGCCTCGTCTTCCAAGGCCGCCAACTTCTTCCCGGGTAGAGCCAAGTCCACCGATACTGCAAACTACTTCCCCGGCAGGGCTGAATCTACCGACACTGCAAACTACTTCCCTGGCAGGGCTGAGTCTACTGACACTGCTAATTATTTCCCGGGAAGGGCTGAGTCAACTGAGACCGACAACTACTTCCCTGGCAGGGCCGAGTCCACTGGCACTGCTGACTATTTCCCTGGTGCAGTTAAGTCTACTGAGACCGCCAACTTCTTCCCGGGAAGGGCAGAGTCTACCGAGACCGACAATTACTTCCCGGGCAGGGCAGAGTCTACTGGCACTGCCAACTATTTCCCTGGCGGGGCCGGGTCTACTGATACCGCCGATTATTTCCCTCCCGCAGCTGAATCCACGGATTACTTCCACCCTGTGGCAAAGTCTCGGAACGCTCACTATTTCCCTTCTGCGGAGTCTCAGACAACCGATTATTTCCCTCCCAAGGCTGAGGTTACCAACTACTTCCCTGGTGCGGTCCAGTCTTCGGACACCGCCGACTACTTCCCACCCAAGGCTGAGGTCACTGACTACTTCCCTGGAACGGCTTCGTCTACCGATACCGCCAACTTCTTCCCCGGCAGGGCTGAGTCCACTGATACTCCTGATTACTTCCCACCCGCGGCTCAGTCCACGGATTATTTTCCTCCCCTTCCCGAGTCTAAGGCGGCCCACTTCTTCCCCGGCAGGGCTGAGTCTACCGGCACTGCCGACTACTTCCCTCCTGCTGTGAAGTCTCAGACTCCCGACTATTCCCCCCCCAAGGCTGAGGTCACCGACTTCTTCCCCGGCAGGGCCGAGTCTACTGACACCGCCAACTTCTTCCCTGGTGCAGTCCAGTCTTCATATAGCACCGACTATTTCCCTCCTGCTGCTGAGCCGACCAAAACCCCGCATCACCCTCCTACTGCACCTGTCTCAGTCATCGTTTCTGAGTCAAGGTCCATCGACCTCAGCAGCCGCATGTCCACCGGCTTTACGACCATCACCCGATCTGCCGTCCCCAGCAGAGGCAGCAACAATAAACCCGGGCCCATCAGTGATGACAATGCCGTCTTCTGCAAGACTCATGGCGCCCTCCTTTGTCTCGACAATGGTATGTTCGGTTTCTGCAACTGGGGCTGGGCAATTCTGCAGAGGCTCCCTGCCGACACAGAGTGCCTAGATGGTCAGATCACCAAGCGGGAGGAGCCCAAGAAGGAGAAGCGCCAGATTATTGGCTTTGAGGGCATATATGAGTGGAACAACCGCCGTGTAGGCAAGTCGGGCCCGCTCCAGATCGATGACGAGGGTCACGTCTACGTGCCTGATGGTGGTCCGCTGGAGACCCAGTAAAGGCCGACAAAACTTACTTGCACTGATGTGCACGTGGCTTTCTACTACTGACCATGGTGATCCTGTTCTGGAGAACCCTGAAGGAGGGAAAGAATGACTACTACCCGGTGATGGTTGTACGAATAGACGATAGACGTTGACAGAAGTTGGGTTGGCCTGAGGTAATGTGGGGGGTACGCGGCCAACCAACTAAACACAGACAAATGGCTTAGAAGCTGGGGATGGAGAGGCTTCGTAAATCACAGTGTGGTTCCCCAATCCTGTGCCAGCCTCTAAATTAACTTTTGAGTGAACTGTGATAAGATGCGTAAATCGAGACAGAAAAAACAAACACTACTCCAGTCTAGAAATTTGAGCACATCATGTAGAGACACGGACCCAAGGATCACACGACCGCTTACTCCATTAATTTCTATTAAAACTCAAACTCGAAACCTAATTACATGGGAGACTACCAGCTATCTAAGTCGAAAGCAATGGAGTAAGCCAGCACTCAAATCTCGATCCCTTGTTGTTGAGTGAACGCAAGAAGATCAAACTGAGAAATACCGCCCACCTCAAAGAGGGGTAACACCTCACCGTATTCGGCCACGAAAGGCTCCCTAAAGCCCGGGTAGACCAAGTTGGGGGCTTCCTCCACCGTCAACACCCACCTGGCGCGATATCCGTGCTTCCTCACGTCCGCAGCCAACCGCCGCATGATCCAAAGGATCAACCCAGCGATATGCCTCTCCTGCGGTGACCCCGTACCGCTACCCTTGGTGAGACAAAAGTACCACGCCCGTGCAAACTCGTTTAATAATGTCGGGATGGCCACCACCCGGGCCTCGGTCCGCACCATTTCACCAACCCACCCGATAAAAGGCGCCTTCATCTCAGACGGCCGTACAATCCATAGACTTTCCCACGCCTGACTCGACACGGCCCTCAGCCGGACGCCAACAACCACCTCGACCTCCTCTTCCAACCCCGAGTGAGGGCCCAACAACAGAGGCCCACGTTCACCAGGAGTGGGTGCGGTCGTCTTCGTTTCCTTCATCACCGCCGTCGTCATAGCAGCAGAAACAGCAGAAACGGGGACATAAACAGGCACACCGATCACCTCCTTCACCTGCCCCCCTGTTCCCTGCTCCTCTGTTGCTTCACCCTCCCGATGCACCCCCCACCCAACAACCTTAGCCCACGACAGAATCACCCCACAATCTTCCGCCGGACATAGCATGCTCACATGTGCCGTCATCCCCAAACCAACACCCTCTTCCCCCGCGCCCTCGCCAGGGGCATCACACCATAGGAAGCTCCCGTGTTGTTGTCCTGGTCGATACCCCCATACCATAAGTGCCGCATGGCCGGTCACGGCGTATCGCGGCTGGGGTAGGGCACGGTCGAAGCGGTCGAGGACGAGTTTTAGGGTTAAGGGGTTGAGAGGGTGTGTTGATAGGGGAGGTTGTGTGAGTCGGCGAGTGCGGGTGTGTGTCGAGGGCGTTGTTGCCCTGTTAGTAGGATGATTGGGGACTGGAGCGGTAGAAGGATGTGTTGTGGTAACGGGGATGGTTCTGTCTCGGTTAGCCATGCTGCTGCTGCTGCCGATCCTGCCGATCCTACTGGCACGTTGGAGTTCCGGTTTGGGCAATCCTGGAAGGGTTCGAAGGGGATATGTGCGGAACGAGCCAGGGCTTAGGTTTGGGGCTGTCAATGTTGGTTCTATCAACGGGGTGAGAAGCATTGGGGTGGGTTTTGAGGGTTCCGGTCGATACTAATAGTGGGCGTCCTGGCGGCCTCGAATCGGTAGCGTATTGGTTTTGGCACCCGCCCAACGAGAGGGCGGATTCTCGATGGAGTCTCTGGGATCCGGGGGTCGCGAGGTGGGTGAAGTCAAAAGGCTCCCAAGTTTATCAAGCGCTTGTTGCAACAGTACTTAGATTCTACAGTCACGTGTGGATGGATAAGGGGTTGGGCGACAGTCTGTTTATGGGACACAATGTTAGCACAAATCCGCAGCTTGTCCTTCAAAGAATTGAAGATGGCAAAGATAAAAGTAACAATGAGGATGGGGGGTTCCGGCAAGGATATGGTGAATGGTGAACAACACCAGCACCACAAGTTGATCAGACAAAGAGAGGCACAACACAGGACAAAGAACAGGTTACTTGGGTTCGCTCCAGCAGTAACCACCTGACCAGAACTTTACGGGTATGCGCAATCAACAAGCGACAGCAGCCGGTAAAGTGCTAGAATGCATCATGTACATGGTTACTAGTCTAGCGCCCGTGCCTGCCTTGCCCAAACGCCTGCCTACTCACACAACGCCTGGACCCGTGTTCGCTTGCCCGGGGATATGCTGAATTAGCCCTTATTCTAGAGATCCTCTTCCACCTCCATCTCGTCGCCATTCGCCTTCCCATCCGCCGATGCGTCTTTCTTAGCCATCGTGGCCTCCTTGTCAATCATCTGCCTTGACACGGCGACGATGTTGTCTTCAATCAACTGTTGTCCGACATCCTCTAAATGCTTCTTCGGGTCTAGCTTGCCGACGTAACGAGTCTTTAATTGATCCTTCGACAACTCCGTTTCCTCTTTGACCCGCTTCTCGTAACCCTCGGCAAGGCTGACGAGGCGATCAAGTCGTTCCTTGGTCCGCTGGCCCTCCGTGCGGAAGTCCTCCATCTGCAATGCGTCCGTCCACGGGTGTTTATGCAAATTCATCAACATATTCTCCTCCAGTGCCGTTTTCCGGTAGTTAATGCCGATGGAATAGTAGTGTCGGTTAAGGCCATGAATAAGAGCCTGAATCGATGGTTTGTTCAAGTGGCCCAAGTTGGAGGTAGTCTGGCGGGGTTCCTGGCCCATCATCAGACTCTGTGGGTTGATTAGGCGAAATGCATCGATAACGACTTTGCCCTTCACGGACTGAATGGGATCGACAACGACGGCGACGGCTCGTGGCGTGAGCTGCTCAAAACTCTGTTGGGTGTTGATATCAACCGACGAGAGCCAGCAGCCAAAACCGGGATGGGAGTGATACCAGCCGACGACAGATTCGGGTCTGCAATGAAAAAAGATAGTTAGTTGCTGGTACCACCACGGCAAAAGTCCACCGTACACACCTGCCGGTTTGCCGTAGCATATCCATCATCTTCATCTGGAAGACCGGGTCGACAGCCTCCACGCTGACACCCGTACCACTCTGCGGCATGGCAAACACATCCACTACGCGGACCGTGAAGTCGTCCACAAACTCGCCCAACATCAGACCCATGACTTCCATTGGTACACCGGCACGGCCATGGCGCAGCATCTTGAGCAGAGCGAGAGACGAGATGTGGACTGTTTCGGAATTGTCGATGAGGTTGGTGTTGTCCTGCAAGTCGGTTAGCATACATTCGATTTACAGTAGAACGCTGGCCAGAAATGCATACTGTCCCCGGAGCCGAGCCACCCAAGTTCATGCCACCACCAAGCAAACTCCTAAAGCGCTCCATGATGAAGTGTTCGCCGGCTCGGTGGACTGTGATGTGGAGGAGGGGCAGACGAGGGGCGGTATTGGTTTCGCTGAAACCCGAGGCAGGCTGGTCGGGCGTAGAAAATCGGGAAGTCTCAAAAGTTGACGACCGTAGATTAACAAAATGCAAAACGGAAAGAACCCGAGTTTGGATCGAGGGTCGTCAACACTAAAGGCCGGACCTCTTGTCGCGTTGTTGGGAGTTGGAGGTGATACCCGCTGTTGCTGTTGGAGCTGGGGCTTGAAGCTGTCCCTTGCTGGCTGCGTTGACGAAAGCCCTGGCAGCCTGCAGTGCGCGCGAGGACGCGATTACCTCAGCAGCTGTGCTCAGCCCATGAGCTGCTGTGAGCTCATCAGGCCCAGAGCATGTCCCACCTTTCTTGCCCCACCAGAATCTAGCCCACAAATTTCTTGCAGCCTTGCAGACATTCTCCCGAAGATTAACCGCACCAACCAACTATAACCACTTCGGCCAACGCACGGGCCAAACTTTGCACAAGCCAATAGGCGCTAAGAACGCGATAAGATATTCGCGATGGGCGATTCGTCCTGCTTCTCTGGGGCTTCGGCTTCTTCGTCTTCTTTGGCGCAGGGCTCCTCTCCTTCCAACTTGCCGACCAGCAAACTCGATTTCGTCGAGAAGCTTTCCTTCAAACGTGCTTCTACCGACCGCGATTCCGAAGACCGCGATTCCGACGACCGGGAATCCGACAGCGACGATTCCGAGCCGGTGCGCTGGTACGGCCAGAAGTGGGTGAGACCCTATCCTCGAGCGACGAGGATCGAAGTATTCGAAAGTTCCAACAACACTAGCAGCGCCAATTCGTTTCCCGAAACTTCTACAATTGCCGCTGGCGATAACAACCAAAACCCTACCGACGACGCAAACTTTTACTTTCTTCCCGCTCCCGGCAAACCCGTTTCGAAGAAAGTACTTCGCGAAATCATCGACCAAATCGACACCGATCAAGTGAGCGAAGGCCGCATCCTCTACGAGTTCATTTGCCGCATCAACAAGATGCCGAAGACTACCGATTCCTCCGGCGTAGAGCGTAATCGCCCGCTCTACCAGGTCATCAACACCGACAAGAGGCGCGTCGCCTATTTCTACGATTCCGACATTGGCAATTATGCCTACGTGACTGGCCACCCGATGAAGCCACATCGTATTCGCCTCGCCCACAGTCTGGTCATGAATTACGACGTTTACAAGTACCTCGAGATTTACGTAAGTCAACTTGGGCTTTACTTGATCGCCTTCGCCCGTCCCAGTGTTCGATTTGAGTCGATGAGGGGCTAATTCGAGTTTGCCTTAATGTTTGTAGCGTGCGAAGCCTGCCGTCACCTCGGAGATGACGCAGTTCCATACCGATGAGTACATCGAGTTCTTGCAAAAGGTCACTCCAGACAACATGGACAGCTTCATGCGTGAGCAGGGCAAGTACAACGTCGGCGACGATTGCCCCGTCTTCGATGGCCTCTTTGAGTTTTGTGGCATCAGCGCCGGCGGCAGCATGGAGGGAGCTGCCCGTCTGAATCGCGAGAAGTGCGACATTGCCATCAACTGGGCTGGTGGCCTGCATCATGCCAAGAAGAGCGAGGCTAGCGGTTTCTGCTACGTCAACGGTATGTGCACTTTCTTGTCGCGACACCCGAGGCTTTTGCAGTCGCGTCTTGCTAACCCCGTGTTCCGCCACCATAGACATTGTTCTTGCCATCCTCGAGCTCCTGCGCTTCAAGAAGCGCGTCCTTTACATTGACATCGACGTCCATCACGGTGATGGCGTCGAGGAAGCTTTCTACACGACCGACCGTGTTATGACCGTGTCTTTCCACAAGTACGGCGAGTACTTCCCCGGCACCGGCGAGCTCCGTGACATTGGCATCGGCCAGGGCAAGCACTATGCCGTCAATTTCCCCCTCCGCGATGGCATTGACGACACCACTTACGAGACCATCTTTGAGCCCGTCATTGAGGCCGTCATGAAGTACTACCAGCCCGAGGCCGTTGTCCTCCAGTGCGGTGGCGACAGTCTCTCCGGCGACCGTCTCGGCTGCTTCAACCTGAGCATGCGCGGTCACGCCAACTGCGTCAACTATGTCCGCGGCTTTGGTCTCCCCACTCTCGTCCTTGGTGGCGGTGGTTACACCATGCGCAATGTTGCTCGCACTTGGGCTTACGAGACTGGCCGTCTGGTCGGTGTCGAGATGGATTCATCGCTTCCCTACAACGAGTACTACTCTGTACGTTAAACCCCCTTGCATCGTTTCGTCCGCTCAACCTTGCAACAGTAACTGACTGATTTTAGTACTATGGCCCGGACTACGAGCTTGACGTCCGCTCGTCTAACATGGAAAATGCCAATAGTTATGAGTATCTCGAAAAGATCAAGATCGCTGTCATCGAGAACCTCAAGCGCACCGCCCACGCGCCCTCCGTCCAGATGCAGGATGTTCCCCGCCAGAGCATGGGCATGTCTGATGACCAAGAAGCCGAGCTCGACGATCAGGACGAGGATGAGAACCAGGACGTCCGCATGACTCAGCGCCAGTGGGAGAAGCACGTCGAGCGTCATGACGAGTTTGAGGCCTCGGATGACGAGGATCTAGCTCGTGAGAACGGTGTCTACAAGCCGAATGGCGCTTCTCGCCAGGAGACCAACTTCGGCGCCAACGACAAGGCTGACGACACCATGGAGGTCGACAGCCGTGCTGCTACTCCTCCCGCCGACGACGATGAAGCCATGATCGACGAGGCCCTTGCTGAGGTGCTCGCCGAGGTCGCCCAGTCCGAGGCGCAAAAGTCCGCTGCGGCTGCGGCCGAGCAAAGCGCGGAAGCCGCCAACGCTAAGACCGACAACGATGGCGACGTCGATATGACTGATGCCGGTGCCACCGACGAAAAGGAGCCCGAGGCTACCATTAAGCGCGAAGAAGACGCCGAAGGCATTTCGGCCACCGCCGCCGAGCCCGCTGAGAAGAGCGAGAGCCCGGCTACTGCGGAGGAGGCTGCCAAGCCTGCCGAGGCTGAGAAAGAGGGCGACACCGCTGCTATCGAGAAGAAGCCCGAGCCTTCTACCTCTGCCGATGCTACTGCCACCGGCAGCACCGATACTGCCACCGCTACTGGTGAAGAGGAGAAGAAGCCGGCCGGGAACGCCGAGGCCACTGCTACGACCGAGGCGTCCGACAAGGATGCCGGCGCTGCCACTACCACCTCGGCTGTCACCGACGCTGAGAAGAAGGCTGGCGAAGACAAGGAAGAGGCTTCTTCGGCCTAAGTCCTTCAATCATTTCGGACGTTGCTAACGATGCCAAGACGAGAGAGAGGCGGACTCCAAGACGGGAGGCGGCCACTTCGGCCCTTTTTTTTTGCCCCCCCCTTCCCCCACCGCCTCACTGGTAGCATCGCTTTCTTTTGCCTTTGGCTTTTACCGGCTGCGCGGAACAGCTGCGAGACACATGTCATGTTATATGGAAGGGTTTGTTTGTTTTTGTCCTGTAATGTAAAGTGGAATTTGCGACGGCGTTCCGGGAGGTGGACGGACAGCCACTGGTTACTGAGGATTGGCGGCTTTGGGAGTTGGCTTTTTCGAATCGGTGTTTCTGTCCTGGACATGGTCGCGCATTATACCTGTACCACTAAGTAGGTACTTACCACACCCAATGTAAAATGATGTGATTTCTATCCCCGTTTAGCGCCTAAACTTGTGACCGTGATAATGGATGTTATGATAAATAAACCCTTAGAGTCGGCCAAGTCATTCGTTGGTCCCTCCGTTGGCCAACATAGCCCATCTCGACTTGTAAAAAGCTAATTAGGCTCGACTTATTCATCCACGCTAAGCACCAGACACCAGCCGACGTCGGGTCAGATACGAATCACCCAAATTTAGACGAACTACTTGAACATAAGTTGGTCGGCAATCCCTTGACGGGATGGAATCATTCCAATTAACTGCTCCTTCTCAATGTCGGCCAGCCACAAACCAGCTGAGCCCCTCTAGAAGTACTACTCTCTCGCCGTCATGAAGATGCTATTCGTAAAAACAAAAGAAATAAAAAATGCCTGCCTGCTAATGCTCCAATATGTTTAACTCCAAAAAGAAGAAGGATAATAAAAGTTTAAAAGCTGTTGTAAAACCTGACCCAGACCCGTGAGAGTCAGAACCGGAAAAGCGAACCCCGTCTTGAAAGCAAAGCCCGCATTCTAAATGCATTTCTAATGCAAATCTAAAAAGCCAAAAACAGAGACTCCCCGAGTCCAAGGGAGAAGCCAAGATTCACTTCATACCAGGAAGTGATCAAACACCCACAATCCGAACACCCTGAAATGCGATGGCCCAGATCAATGACGCCCGAACCGGTCGACGAAAAAACGCAATGCATGAACGAGAAAGAGAGAACGGAAATGTAAAATCGAGAAAGGAGGGTCCAAAACAAAATGAAATAGCGAGAGGAAACAACAATCCCGCCGCGACCTTAAAAACTGAACAACCCACTCCTCCGCTTCCCAAACGGATACACCAGCAACGCGCTCAGCGACAACCCCACCGAGATATTGATCGCCACTTGGATGACGCTAAACAAAACATTAAAGGCCGAGTTGTTCAAGTCCGCCGATTGCGTCGTCGTTGTCGACATCGTGCCGTTGACCACTGTCCCGTTGGTGAGGATCGTCTCGTTGCGCACGATCTGGTCTGCGCTGGTCACGCCGCTGAGGAGGGAGCCGCTGGCGGCCAAGCCCGAGGGGACTTGCACGAAGATGGCAGGGAGCATGGCGGCCGCCGCGAGGCCGTAGCCGATTTGGCGAGCGCGCCGGCTAAGGCCGATGGAGGAAGGTGGTGCGGTTGTTGCTGTAGGTGATGATGGTGCAGTTGGTGTGTTGCTTGTGACTGGGGTGATGGGTGTCCCCGGAGTGGATGTTCCAGAGTCCAGAGGTGTTGGGGACACGGTACCCAGCTCCGGATCCCGTTCCTTCTTGTGAGCGAGGGTCTCGTCCGAGTCGACGCCGACTGGTGGGCAGTTGTAGTAAGGCGAGTGGTGATGGCGTGGGTGTTTGCCAACGAGCCGAACGAGGCGGGGCTCAAAGTGATATTCCCAGACATCGAGGAGCCAGTTCTGGGCGTAGCGGCCGAGGCGGGAGTAGAGATTGGCGAGGACGCCGATGGTGAGCGCGCCAAGGGAGCTGGAGACGATACCGTTGCCCTTGAAAAAACGGGCAGAGAAGTTGTTGACACAGAACCCCGCGAGGGAGATGAAGACTTGGACTAGCTTAGATGTTAGCAGCAAATTCCCAGTTTGGTGCTCGAGAAGCCAAGAAGGAAGCCTTACCTGGTACTTGTTTCCACTTTGCCTGGTTAATAGCGCAGAGACAAAGTGTAAATGGCAACACAAAAAGCAGATAATAATTCTCGGGTGGCCGCTGCGTGTACCAGTCCTCACCGACCGAACAGTGCACGGCGCTGACAGCGTTGCTGTCCATGTAGCCATAGATAACCGACCCGATGGTAAAGCCATAACCAAGAAAAAGAGTGTAGATCAACGCATATACCATACGGACAGAACCAGAGATCATCTGGCGGCTCTGGAGCTCCAAGCTCGCGCAAAGGACCATGTACCCCGGGAGGATCAGTGCAATGGACGCCTGCGCAAGAGAAGAGAAACAGAAAATATCACCACCCCGGATGGAACCAAAGGCTCGGGCCAGAAACGAGGTGCTCACCGCCGCGGTGATCTCGAAGACGTTGGCGTACAGCTCGTTTGACGGCGAAAGGTAGAGTTGCAAGAAGCCAACCAGGCAACCCAGAATGAAGCAGATGGGCATGTCGATGTACCGTCCCTCGAAGCCAAACGGCGCGACCATGGCCGAGGCGATCCCGTACAGCAAGATACGCAACCATACGGGAAATTTGGGCTTCGCTGCGTTGATCTCGTTTATGCGAGCTGTAGCTTCATTCACGCCCATGCGGTCGTGCACAACCTCCTTGTAGATCTCGTGGACATCCCGTAGTCGCCCAAAGTCGAGCCCTTGGCCGGCCCGCACTATCTTGACTTCGGTCGTGTGAGTGTTGCTGTCGTCGAAGGAGATGATCATGGTGTCCGGGAGATACATGAACTGGCCCTCGATGCCAAGGACACGGGCAGACATCCTCATGTACGCCTCCAGACGGTGGGTCGGAGCGCCGTAAATCATAAGCGCTTTGCAGAGCTTCAAAAGATATTCGTGGCGGCTGATGATCTCGGCAATATGCACCTTGATACGGTACTCGTCCGACTTCTTCCTGGACTTAGAGTGTTTCTTGGGCTTGGTTGTCTCCTTCTTCACCTTCTCGGTCATAGCTTCGGTCATGTCCTTGGTGGACCCTGGTGCAGCAAACATAAACGACGACTCCATGAGGCCTGTGAGGGTGCTCGATGAATGCGTCCTCCATGGCCGGCGACGTTCGGGTTTGGGCGTGGTGGATCTCGAGGCCGGTGGTGAGCTCCCAGGCGTACTCGGAGCGCTGTGGTCCATAGGCGACGAACCGCCATGCCTGTCCTCGGCGTTGTAAAGCTTGAGCAGTGTGCCCAAGATGCCGCCACGGTAGGCATGCGGTGCGGGCACGTATTCCACATCATGCTCCACAGGCGTCACCGTGCCCGATTTTGGGGGGAGGAACGCGTTGAGCAGTGGGCTCTTATGGCGCCGGTGAGTCCTGACGAGCTGATCGGCCTCGAACTGCCCGCTCTTATGCGGTTGAAGATAATCCGAGTCTCGTCGAAACCCACGATCCTGGGCCGTAGCGGGCACGGAAAGTAGGCTCTGCTGGTCCACGTGGCTGTTCCCCGAGTCGGCCGAGCTTCTCCGAGAAACCGGGACGGACGAGGTGCCAACGGAGTAGGCGAGGCGATCGGCCCTGTTCTTGGCCTCGACTTCTGATTTGTGAGGTGTTGTGGGCATATCGGCGGAAGCTGGGAGTGCGGTCGACTTGCGAAGCACGGGACGGGGTCGGCTTGGTCCGGGCTGGCCTCTCGACTGCTCGCTTTCGAAATATTGTGCAACGGCAGCAGCAAGCTCGGCCTCATCGACGGAAGGCCTCCGAGTCAAGTTCTCACTGTGCAGGGGGGTCGAGCCATTGCTGTATGGCGACGGCGCGTAGGAGAAGTAATCCGGGGCATCAATGAGCGGCTCGCTGGGTGTGATGTGAAACGGGCTGCCGGGTGTGCTAACGTTATCCAGTGGCTGCTTGTCGCTGGCGAACCCGACTCTCTTCTTCTCCTTCCCTCGTGGCGGTTGTGGTCCTCCTATGGTAGTATCTTGTGGTGAGGACGTGGAAGAGGACTCTTGCTGCTGCTCCTTCTGCTGCTCCTGGTGGCCATGCCATTCCCGCTGTGGCTCACGTGGCTGCTCACCAATTCGGGTCGTCTCATCCGGCGTAACTTGTTCCTCCACAACTCGTGGGGATGCCATTGTTTGCGGGTGAAACCTCGCCAGGCGTGTTGTGTAATGAGCCCCTGAACCACTCTGCGGATCAGATCGCCTTGAATAATGAGTCTACAGTACGAAGAGCTCAGTCGTTGATTCAGCTCAACACAGCGATTCGAGGTTCGGTTCTCCAGAGATTTGGATTAGCGTTGGTGGGGCGGATGTGTCGGGTTGGAGAGACCGGATCGGCGGAGAAAGGGGAGCACAATCTCGAAAACTCTCGATCACAAACACAAGATAAAAACAAAATACACACAAGACAAGGAGGCGAAATGGGACGCGGGCGCAGAGGTATGCGAGGGAAAAATACAGTGGAAAGACGCAATGCTTCGCAAAAAGTCGAGAGAAATAGGTAGGGCGTTCAGTTCAGATATCTGAGCGGCCAGGAGGCCCGAGACTTGCGGCGAGGCCGGAGGTGTCTTCGCTCGGCCAAGAGCTCTCCTGCAGGTTCTTCGAGAGCAGGTGAGCAAGAGCATTCAGAGGCCAGCCGCTCGCCCGCCGCACAGCGCGCGGAAGGTGGAACCAATTGCGAATTCGCGACTCCGATGGCCGGGATGAGGGAGGTTGGCTGAGATCTCCGTTGGGATTCTTGATCATTCTTGTGGCCCAATTCTCCACCAGCGTTGAGTCCAGGCCATCAAATCCAGCCCTCCTGAGTCGGTCCTACCCGCTCGCGCTGGCACGTTGGACAACTAGACGCATCCAGACGACGCTTGAAGCGCAGGAAGGAGCAGCCCATGGTGGGCTCGTATCTTCAAGGCTCCGCAGCGCATTGTCCTCCGCCACTTTGGTGGGCCGTTTGGTTTCGAGTTCGAGGTTTTCGACCCAGAACATGCAGAGGAAAAAAAAAGATATCTGCGGGCCCACCCACGTCATTCCCAGCAGAGCTACTGCGAGCGCTTGTGCTAGGATACAACGCGGGATGTGCAACCGGTTTACCCGCCCGAGCATGCCCCAATCAACAGTCGGAATCAGGGATCGGGTAGAGGCTGGCACTCTGGTCGATATGCTGTGATGCTGTTGACGCGGCGTTGGCTTCGGCATCCCGTTGAAGATTTTGCAAACAGGAGCAGATGGCGAAATTCCGGCGGTCAGCTCAGGGGGGGCTGATAGTTAGTTATGTTATCTCCTGCACGTTGTCTGTTTATCAGTCCAGGTCATGACCAGGTTACAATCAATCTGCGGCCGATTTGCCCCGGTTGACCTCAACCATTGCGGGTCAGGGGAATGAGAACCAAACACACAAACATTGCGCATTTCCTATTTGGGTATTCCGGATGCCTTGCTCTGTCCAGCACGGATTAGCAAGGGACCGAATGTTGCAGATGCACAGGGGAAGAAGGGCAAGATTGCGATTCTCTTGGGAAAAAATGGCACAGCTTTGCCAATATCAAAATAACTACAGTTCCTATTCAGTGAGGAGAAGAATGCCTCAATCTTCTGTTAACCAAATCTTTGGTGATGTCAAGGTTCTATTGGTCTCCCGTGCGGCTCTTTCCCAGTTCCCGGCTTGGAAGGCCCTGCACAATGCACGCCACCGTCAGGCACAAGAGCGCACGGGCAGGGGTCCAAATTTGTGAGTCGTTCGAGATTGGCCACCCTTGGAGGAAGGTGAAGCCAATCCTCGAGCGGCAAAACTTCGAAACTTGCCCATCCAAGCCATCCTGTTCGAGCTTGATCCATCCCGAAACCCACGTGTGGCCGATGCAACCCTTCCATTCCAGGTGTTCATGGCTTCACTCGGAACGTCTAAATTAAGCATAATGTTCAAAGATTGTCAATTTTTGATTGATATCTGTCCTGCTGGCTGCGCCATTACTTCGAAACGATGACGAAGTTGGTGTTGTCATAAGGCTCACCCTGGCAGAGCACCTTTCCATCGTCGTCTTGCAAAGCTACCATGGTCGCCGAGTCGAAGCCGATCGTCTTGCCACCCACCGTGGTCGCCTCCGAGTCGACAAACCACAAGTCCGCAAACTGCGCCAACGCAACCTGCTTGCCCGAGTCGTAAAATTCCTCCACGAGCCATTCGGCATCCTGGCGACAGAGCTTCGGCCCGTTGTTGACCTGTATGGTGACGGATGTGCCCAATTGCGAGTTGGTGATCACACTGGGAAAATGGCTGTTAGAGAGATGATCGTCGTTACCCGGACACGGGTCTTCCCGCTAGCAACAATCCCAGCACTTACATCGTCGCAGCTGTTGTGCTTTTGGTCGTGATGTTCACCGCCATCCAGTCACCCGGCTTGACTTTGAGACCGTCGATGGTGAAGGACGCTTCCGGGTACCACTCCCACCACGCAGAGGCGCTCTGGCCGCCATCGGAGTTGACCTTATCGGTACGCATGATCAGCCACTCCTATCGTTGAACGACTCAGGAAAACGAGGGTTATCAACAGGCTGTTTGCTTACAATGGTGGTCACGCCCGCCTGGAGCAAGGTCGAATTGCATTCGGCCCCATCAATGCCAACCCATGCGGCAGCGAACTGCGGCGCCGGGATGCCCGGTCGCAGTTTCAGGTCAGGGACTGTGAAGTAGCCGATGATGTTGCTGATGCCATCCGACGGGGTCGTGTGCTGCGATGCACCACACCAGTTCGAGCTATAGCTAGTCACATCTCTCTCCTCGGCCTTGTTATCTTGGTGGTAGCCGTGGTGGTTTCGGGACGCATGTCGGCGATGGCCTTGAGCCGGCTTCCGAATAAAATCCAGGTTAGGCACCTCGACGTCTTTCCCAGCTTGCTGAATGCTGGCCACGAAACTGAGCTGTGCGCTCACCACCGACGACGCGATCAGCGAAGCGAGGGAGACGGAGCGCACGAAGGACCACATGTTGTCAGGATTTTTCGACAGATCAGTGCAGTTGGAGTGCTGATCAATACTTGGCGCGAGATGGGTACCTCGTCAATGTCATGGAAAGTGAGCGATCCAGGGTGCTTTTCTCCACGGCCGCGATGTGCACGAATGAGGCGGCATACGGAAGGGAGATCGACAGCGGCGCTGAAACCACAATGGGAGGAAGCGTTGTCAATCGCGACCTGTGTGGATTTGTGGTTGTGGTTGTTGTGCGTGGGCAGGCAAGTGCGCGCGCAAGGGAGGAAAAAACGTGATGCCAATGGCTGGCGCGGATTTTTAAAGAAACCTTTCCAAATTCATCTCTTCTCCCTTGCAAAGCCGATACGACCAGCGGCTGTTTTCCTCACAAGCCCCCATCTCGCACCATTCCGCCCATTGCGACCATTCCGACGGGTGCCACTTCGCCCATGAAGAGAGAGACTGCCATTGGGCCTCGAACATTGCGACGGCCGTGGTCCCCCGTCAATGCGCCCGCCGAATCCAGGTTTTGCCCTTCAATAGTTCAAAATTCCGGCTGGGCTCGCTGAACTCGGGGACGCCAACGTCACATTCCTCCCACCCTCCACTGTCTCTTTCCGGGGGTAGCGGAGGTTTGGTCGGTGTCTGGTCCGTGTCTTGTGCGGGCACAACAGGGCTGTTCCTAAAATAACCACGCGCAATTCCGGCAACCGCGGGCCGCCAAAGTGCGTTTTTCGCAAACCGCAAATTCTCGCATCTTGGCGAGAGAGTTAGGGGACAGAGACAGGCAAAACACTTTGTGCAGGGCTACTAGTTCGGAACCGTTTTTCCTCCCTCCACACGTGTGTAAATTCCAACTCGACAAGTCATATCGCGCTGCGGCACCGTCCTCAGCTTCAGGGACGACCCAAGCCGGCGGGACACACCCCCCCTGTGCCCCCTGGGCCCTGGTCAAAGACCGGGGCCACCCAGACAACCATTCCGTCCATGGGATCTTCACCCCGCACTCTTTTCCCGGTTCTTGGCCAGCTACCCGTGCACAATCTAGTTAAATAGTCGTGTATCATGCTGTTGAGCCTCTATTGTTCGAGAAGCTTTTTTTCAGGTCCAGTGAAAAAGTATGACTCGTTTGATGTTCGAGAACCTGCGAACTGACTCCGTCCAGCCCAGGCAAACGAGACCCGCACATCATCGCTCAACCAATACTTCCCCAATTACTCCCCATCTTCAACCCATCGTAGCCACTCCACGATGCCAAACTCCGCCCGGAAACCGAGGATTGGTTGAATCAGTCTCGCTGGGGCCATCGTTCCAAGCCTTTTGTGATTCGCAACTTCGTCTCGGGTATCTGCAAGCGCCCAAACATCATTCCGCTCTAGCCTCAACATGTCAGCTGCGTACCAAATCCTTAGAGCCAATTATAGTAGCCCCTGGTAATGGGCGCGTTGGAGTCTTTAAAATGCTTTGTTGAGTAAGCTCTTAGGCATGACTCAAAAACGTGGACATGTAACAGAAGTTTAGTAATTTTTCGATTCCCAATGGGTATAAGAAGCCGACGGCCAACTATAACAGCAAGTAATTAGTCTGTTGGGGTTACAAAATACAGCAGGAAGGGACCTAGGGAACTTCCTTCTGGCTATTGTATCCCTAGGTGGGAAATCCAGAGACGTGGCGCGGATTAAAATACCGGGAATACCGCGTCGAGATGTTGTTTTAATTATCAGGCAAGTTCGGAACAGTATGTTAGATAAATTAGAGGGTTAGGTTGCTCCAACCGGGATATCTCATTTCACAACAGATGAAACAATGCCACTGGCTTGTATTATCCCGAGGTATATGTATCTTTGCTATTACACCTGAACTGAGGCCTCTTGGTTGGCACATGCTGTCCTCCATCTTTGAGACTCTCTCGCGGTGTGCCATGACCTCAATATAATCCGGGGGGGGGGGTTCGGCTCAACCCAAGGCTGAACCGGAGATTCTCACAACGGTTGTAGTCCGAACAACTACACCACTAGACAATTCCTCGTATTCTAAGCACCCACGACTTTGTAACAAAATACTTTATCATGAAACCCCCCCCCCCTTTTTTTTGCTATTCAGGATTGTCAACTTTAGTTCCCTTTGTGGGTGGAACAAACCGTCACTACCTGGTAGTCATGACAGGCCATTGGGGGACATCATGTTTAAGCCACGTTCCACAGACATATGTGGCAAGCCCGGAATCTAGATCAAGGTGGAAAAGAATTGAATGTAACCGGTCAGTGGCCATGTAATGCACAACAGCTGTGGTATTTCGGCCGGGTTTGGGTTGGATTAATCTTGAAACGCAAAGGCATCTTTTGATACCATTACTCACTACGTTTTGTTATCTTACGAGAATTAAGGATAACACCTCCTGCATGTAGTAGAACCAAGTGTCAAGATCCAAAGATTCCCAAACCTGCTCGACGCCGAGATCTCAGTTTGATGCAGACTGCCTGGTGTAGCGATGGTTTTAGGCAGCCCTAAACTTGTTAAATTATGCAACGTGTCAAACACCTGGATTTTCCTTGTTACAATTTTTCTCTTTTCGGAGACGTCAAGTCGTCAGGCAGATCTGGTCGGATCCGGTCGGATCAGGGAGCCCGATCGTGATAGGCAACAGTTATTTGCCACTTCAACACTCTCTGTTGCTCGTACAAGGAGGCAGTTGCCTTGAACAATGAGGGGAAACTAGGCATAACGCCTGGAGAACAAAGAGAAAAAGAAATGGGGGCATGATCATGGGCCAAGGAGGAAAAAAGAGGAGACGTCGCAGGCGAAGTTGTCATTTGTACGACCCAGTGGTTGTCCGGGACACACAGTCAAGGAGCATTCGCCTCATTGGTACGCCGTCACTAGTTAACAAACATTCCAATTTTTCCCGTGACATGTCTGGCACGCAGCTGGACACATATGCTAGTGCATGCAGTGGAATGTCGACAGCGTAACCCCTCTCTGGGGCCGGCCCAGACTGGGGCGGGGGCTTACAATTTGGTGTGTCCTCAATTCCATGCACTGGTGTATCCGTCGTTTTCGGGGATGGGTTCAACATGACATGCAGGCTCCGGTTCGACTCATCCATTCTCGCCGGCAGTGGCTCACAAGGTGTCGCGTTGCATTGAGCTGCATGGACTCCGTTCGGACATTGGGCGGGTGAGTCACCCCTCTTGGGGGCCGCAGAATGGGTCTTGGACCCCAATGTGGTTGAGCGATGCAGATGAAGGCAGGTAATGAATTGAGAACGATTTAGACGTGAAGAAAACAAAGATTGGAATGGAAAATGAAGTGTGCAATTAAGTTAAAGCGAACTAAATAACTTTCTGAATCATGTCCCATGGTATCGTCCGTAAAACTCCGAATGCCAGGCCCGGGTGCTCAGCACCAAATGCCTTTTCCATGGGCGGGTTTCCATGCCAACGCCCGTGTTGACCCCGCCAAAGCCCAATTGACTCCCGCAACCGTTGAAAGCATGACCTGTACCTCGTCCCCCTGGCTAAAACGTAATTTTGAGCCTCTGTTTCAAGAGGCTCAATAAATAAGCATCAGGGTCCGATACTGTTCCATGACCAAGTTCCGGTTGTTCGCCTCCCACTTCAATCGTTGGTCCTCCTCAATGGTGATTTCCTCCGGGTCGGCCCCCGGCATGACGCCTGGCACCGATGTGACTGGTGTGGCCTGCTTGAGGAGGGCTTTGAGGCAATGGGTGTTTGGGACGTTAGAGAACTTGGTCTCATACATCAACCACTTGCCCAGGCTCTTGAGTTTTGGCGCTGCGGCGGGATCAATGTCGTGGCCGCAGCTCAGGCGGGCCAGACACCCAATGAGCTGGACCCATCCAACGAGCTCGCCGATGGTGGTGCACCCAGGTGGCTGACGGAACTCAACGGTCCCGCGGCCATCAACCGGGTCGATGTTTTGGAAGTTCCAGCGGAAGGTGTTGTGCGCGAAATCCTTGTATCGCCCGCGGCCCAGCGCTTCGCCGGTTGGTGATGACTTAGAGCACCAATTCATCATGGCCGGGAGCGTGAGGAAACTAGGCGGCGACGTGTCCACTCGGTCGAAGGCCTTGATCATGGACAGGGAACCGAAGTAGTGGTTGTTGCGGATGCTCTTGGCCCAGATCGAATTCCGGCGATAGGGCGGGACAAGCTCATCCAGACAACGTTCGAAGTAGAGGGCAGACTTGGCGAGCCCCTGGACTTGGTCGAACTCCCAGTAACCGGCCACGGGGGCAATGTGGATATGAGTGAAGCATTGATGGCTTGTGGTGAGCTCAAAGTTTTCGTTGAGCATGGCCATCACGGTGTCAAGGCGCTGCTGCCACGAGTCGCCCGACTCAATGAAGCTCATGAAGGGCGAGACGAATTTCATACCGAACCGGTAGTCAGAAGGGCGCGAACGGATGCACGGCTCGGTGGCAATGACCCACGACCGGTCGTCCCAGCCATATCCGTGTAACGGGTGCTTGCTAGCTAGCATATGGCCGATCCCCGCTTGGCGAAAGCGACGGCTTAGCTCTGCTTCGAGATCATGGATGGTTTTGTGGTTGTGTTTCCTGCTGCGGACGACGAGACCAAGCTCCACGCAAAACAAGAAGCCAGGGGCGTCAACAGGCGGCGGTGGTGGGGATATGCTGCCATTGCTGCTGCTGCTCCGGCTGCTGCTGCTCTTGCTCCTGCTGCTGCTCCTGTTGACCGGGCGACGCAGCACCGTAGACCGGCGGGTCGGCACCGGGAGGTCATATGTGACGTGCGGCATGGTGGGCTATTCCAGGCCTAAGGAGGACTGAGGACGTCCGGGGCCGGAAAGTAATGTGGTATGAAGTTTGAAGTGAGAGGTCACCAATTGGGTCCTCGTCAAGTGAAGGGCTTGTGGTTGATGATCAGGGGTTGGGTTGGGGACCCGGGGGTCAGGCCGCTATATATGCCGCGGCGGTTCATGCTGCCTGTGTCATGCAGCAAGCAGTCAAGCATACTTTTTTCAGGTTTGGGTGGTGTCCAGCCTGAGTGACTGCAGGAACGTCGGACGGGAAAGCGGACGGAATCAACGTGGAAGTGCGAGATTCGGGTGGGTCCGTCTGCAGGTGGTAGATGGCCGCCGAATGGCTCAGCGGCGGCTCGTGAAGGTCACCGGCCCTGCATGGCGCAAATCCCATCCGAATCGAACAAAGGCCAATTGCAGGACGGATGGCCGCGACCCCATCGGCCAGGCAACCGCAGCACATTGGGTGGGACGGTGGTTGCTCACAAGGCAGACCATTTAGCAGGCAAAGGACCTGGACAAGTGGGCTCCAAGACTTGACAGCCGCCAGCTCCGCGTCCAGTGCATGCCAGCCGGCCGTTTCGTCAAGCCCGTTGGGCGCCTCTTGAATCCCAATGCATTGGTTGACGATGCTCCATTCTCAAACAACAAAGACCCGACAGAACGGAACCGACTCCTGGAAGGTTTAGCCTTGTCCATATTTTTAGTTTTCCATGCAAACGTTTCCCTTAAACGCGCGACCAACATAACGCAGAAGAGACAGAAGAAACTATTTCATTCTCGCGCCGAAGAGGTCGACAAAGTGAGCCAACAACACAATTGAGTTTCAAATCAAAAATTTCGCAATGAACTATAGGTTTGCATTCACCTTTTATTTTTAAATCATAGCGGCTCTATCCTGGTGCTTCTCTTTTTTTCTATACTATTCCTGCTTTCACCGATCCCAGCCCGCCTTCCCGAAACCACAGGGTCAGGGGTTGCCGGTACTCCGGGACCACGTCCGGCTTTATTTAGCTTTTGAGGCATAATGCCATGGTGATAGACCGTTTCACCAAGCGCCGGCATCTGCAGCAGTAAAGAAAATGGGTGTTCATTGAGTTGCTCTATTATACATGGAAGGTCCGGTTGATTCGCCCCGGTTCATCACGCCCGCATTAGACTTCCTTTGTAATGGTGTGGGCGCATCATTGTCTTGGGCCACCTTACATTGTCCGGCAGCTCATGTCTGTGTTCTGAAAGGACTGGAGGCGTTATCCGTCGCCAGATTGCTCCCCGACCGCGGCAGTGCGGGTGCGGATGATTCTTCCAAGGTGTGTTGTGTGACGTGTCCGAACACCTTTGCTTGAATGACAGCTTTCTTCCGGGAATCTGTTCTTTCTCTTTAGCAAACACCCCCAACGCGTTTCCCGCTGGTTCGAGAATCAATTGTCTCTGGTCAGACTCCCCCCGTCGGAGACTGAGTCAGCCTCACTCTCATCATCTGCCTCGTATCCATCGTCAAAGTATGTTGACGACGGTCGCTCCGGGGTTGGCGTTATTCGGTTGTTGTCCCGGTCTACATTGATGACCTCTAAGGGAAACTCCTTTCGTTTCTGAAGCCACCTCTTAGACGTTGCCAGGGCCTTCTCTAGTAGTTTCTCGCATTTAGGGCAAAGCTCGTCCTCTTTGAGGACTTTTCGATAACGTTTCTGGTCGCTGCACCCATGTTTGAGCAAGCGGCCGACGATGTTGATGTGACATCTATACTTGACGAGACGAGGGTACACGTAGATATGTGTTTCCCCCTCTGAATCTAGACTTGTCCTCCGTTTGATATCCTCGCCCTTACCTTTCGCCTTTTTTGATGATCTCCTGTTTATGGGCCAGATTGCTTTTGTTTATAGAATGTTGATTCGATATTCCCAGGCACCATTTGGAAGACAAAGGCAGTTATATATATATCGATTTAGCCGTGCAGTAATTTCATGGACACACAAAGTATTATACCTTCAAGATGGCTATTTTTCTACATACAGGGCCTGCTCCGCGTCTTGTGGCTAGAACACAGTTGTTGAAACACGCTTGTATACAATGAGATTATGCGATAAAGTTAAATACCTGGGTAACTACACGGGGTGTTCAATAGAACAGATGAACGACCTGTAGTTCCATATTCGAGATTCTTTATACTTGAACAGGCGGAATTTCACGGGTGGTTCAGAAAACGTATTTGGTCTCGGCGCTTTCTTTGCGAACAGTGGCTTGTTATTTATTCTTTTTTTCTTCAATCGGAATAAAAATGATCAAAAGCATCATATTGGAAGAGGGAGAAAAAATTGAAGCCCGCAGTTGCGAAGCTTCGCAAGTGCGATCACGCTGGGATTCGAACCCAGAACCTTTACCAGCTGATCCGTTACCGGAAAGTAACGCGCTACCATTGCGCCACGCAACCTGTTTTCTGATTGGGACAGGGTATCCACCCTGGAATTCATAAGGGACAACTCGCGATGGAGCCTCGATTAATGACATTTCTCACGATATTATCATCAGGGTTTTGGTTTGCCTCTTCTCAGGCCGTTGGTGATTTGTGCATGAGACCAGCAGGGTTTCATATGTTGCTCCACGAAAACTCCCTGTAATGGCATTGGAAAACTGCTTGCTCAGCGACGAGGGTGAAAACCTTGTTCACTACCTATTTTCTGGTAACGCCTAATTACTATGTAGGAATCTCTCCAAACATAAATACGTAATTCTATCCAACGAGATGAGTCATACATAATATCCTGCAGCGTTTAAGCACTGAAGATAACTTCGCAGCTCCGATAGATTTGTGGCTCTACATTGCGCATAAATTACCAAAGTAACACCACCAACACCATCCAAAAAGTTTCCCTCCCGCCCTATACACCGTCTACGGACTTAAGCAAGCCAAAACCATACCCTTTGCAAAAAGTTCTTGGGCACCGGGTCCCGGTCGTTTTCGCAAAACTCATCCATCTCCTTCTTCCCCGTGATGACGTCAATTTCGTCAATTTTCCTGCAGATGGGAGTGCGGAACCAAAGCTTGTGCCCTAGATAGAGGAGGAAAAAGACCGGAATGGTGATATATGCGGCCAAAAAGTCTTGGTATTTGAACGGCGAAAAGACCTGGAATCCGTTGGTGATCGTCAGGACTGAGAACACGACGAGCGTGCCCCACGCAAGGTAAGGCTGTCCGATCGTGCGGTAGGGAAGCGTGCCTAGCAGGCCTCGGAACTTGAGGGCGGAGCGGAAGCGCAGGTAGGTGATGAGCACAATGATCCAGGCGATGAACCCGGAGATGGTAGAGATGTTGGAGAACCAAAGGAACACTTGGGCACCGTTGGTGGACACGTTAAGGAAGGCCAGTAGGCTGACCGCCCAGGTGGCGAGTACCGCCGCGTAGGGCACTCCGCGTTTCGTGGTGCGGGCGAAGAAGACCGGAGCTTGGCCGGTCGCGGCGAGGGAGTAGAGAATGCGGGAGCCTGAATAAAGGAAGGCGTTGCCAGCGGACCAGGCGGAGGTCAGGATGGCCGCATTGATGACATGGTTGAGGCCCTTGATACCAGCGCGCTGAATGCCGATGACCCAGGGGCTGGCACCGGCGTCAGAAGTCTCGGAGAGGAGCTGGCGGTCATCGGAGGGCACAATGGCGCCGATGATCAGGCTGCTAACGCCGTAGAAGAGGGCGAGGCGGTAAATGAAGCGGCGAGCGGCCTTGGGAATGTTGCGACGCGGGGCGATCGTCTCACCGGCTGCTAGACCGATCAGTTCCGGCGAAGTGATGAAGCTGAACCCGGCGCGGACAAAGGCAGTCCAGTAGGCGGTAAACCGGCCGGTGGCACCGGTCCCCACGTATTCCTTAAACGCGCCTGGGTCGTTCCAGTACCGGAACCCGGTGGCACCGCCTTCGGGGACACCGCCTGCCATGATGACAATGCCGAGGATGATCAGGCCGGTAATGGTGATGAACTTGATGCTGGCAAACCAGAACTCGGCTTCGCCGAATACCTCGACGGCAATGATGTTGAGGAGCAGGCAAACGACGAGAATGATGGTAATCCACACGCCCGTTGGGACCGGTGTCTTCCAGTAGTCGAGCAAGATCGCGCCGGCCGAAGCTTCGGCGGCAACCAAAATCGCGTAGGCATACCAGTAGTTCCACCCCGAGGCAAATGCCAGACTGCTGTCGACGTAACGGTTCGTAAAGTAGGGCATCGTGATACCCTTCATCGGTAGGTACGTGGTCATCTCGGCGATGGTGTTCATGACGACCCAAACGACAAGCATCATGGAAAGGTACCCAAGCCATAATGGCACGGGTCCAACGAGAGCCAGGATGGCGCCAGATCCCACGAAAAGTCCTGTCCCGATACTATGCCCCGTTACTCGTTAGTAGCCATCCACGCCCGAATTGGAGGGGGATGGTAAAACTCACGCGCCACCCAATGCCATGAACTGGATGTGCCGGCTCTTCAATCCGCGCTTCAATTGCTCGGCCTTGTCGAGCGAGACAGCGCCATCGAGGGTCTGGGAGGCCCCCTGGGCTTCATCGGCGCTCGGGGGGCTTTCCAATTCCGCCTCACTCTTCATCGTGGGCGCTGGTGAAATTTGGGCAGCGACCTGGTGTGGTCGGTCCGGTGACACTCGGTGCGGTGAAAAGTAAGAGGTGAAGAACAAGAGAACCGCGGTCAACGACCGGGGACGGCACGGCGCCTGCTTATCTTCTTTCCAAGAGGTTACACCCCGCCAGTCGCGGGCGTTTGGTTGTGATCGGGGTGGGGATCGAAGGATCCACGGTGGTGCGGGAAAGCTGGGGTATGAGGAGAGGGATGGCTGGGCGGCTCCCACCGGGGGTGACTTGTCGAGCTGGGATGGGTTCCTGAGATCAGACAGTCTCAGATTCAGCAAGCCGCAAAAAAGAACAGGTGCAGGGTCCCGTCAAGATGGCGGACTAGGTTGACGATTGGGTTCTGGACGGCTGGTGAACGCGTCAACCTGCAAGAGGCGAGGCGGCTTAAGCACGTGGAAGTTTGCGTTCGGAGACGGGCGCTGCCGGGCCGTTCACCAGGGATGGGATGGAGAAGTCGAGATTTCGGGACAAACTCGCCAAATCCGTCAATCAATGGCAGGTCGGCTGACAGAGCGTTGAGAGTCCCACGTCAGGGTTTTGCAGGCTCAAAGTCTCAGAGGCTCGTTCGCGCAAGAGGTCTCAGATTTGGGGCGAAAAGCTGGGCTGTGAAAGCGGTGACGACCTTCCCCATTGGCAACAATCCCGCTGTCTGCCCTTGTCGGCCCTTGCTGCTGGGGTTTTCAGCATGCTGATCATCTGTTTTTTCTATTGACCCACTCGGCCCATTGACGTTGTCGCGTGCGACGTCAAGACGAACAGTCCTGTTTTGGCTTGGCTGAACGGTTCAACCGCGCCTTGCCGAGTCGATAAGCATGGGAAGTTGCGCCAAGCATTCGTCGACAGCGGACCGTTTGGAGACGAGTCAGCAATTTCGCCGAAACGGGCGTCGGTCGGGGAAGCAGAGAGGACGGAATCAGGGTACGTGTCCGGGGGTTGACCTTGGGTGGGTTGTGGGGTCGGCCGGCAGTGCTGAAAAATGTCCTACCCGGCGCTGGCAGGATTTCTGGTAGCGACGAAGAGGAATTCGATATGTTACACAACTCGGTCAACGACATTTGGCTTGAGCATTGCCGCAACTTCCGCTGCACCATCGCATGGAGTAACGGATCGATCAACGACCATGACAAGAAAGTGCATCCAAAGCCTGCATAGAAGAGTTCGAGAACGCGGCCGGGTCTGGAGCCGGTCGCTCAACCACCGCTCTTTGAAGTAACGTTATCGTTCGCCGACTCGGGACCCCTGTCAGTCACTCGGGGAAGGGGGAGGGGTACGAGGGGTAGGTGGGTCACCCCGCAAACTGCCCCTTGTTACTCGCGCCTGCCGAGGTCTTGCTCCTGGAAGTAGCGTAGACATCTCCAAAGTTTTGGATGGCGAGGATGGCCGCAGCTGCGGTTTGGACACCGGTCAACCTGAGGTGGTAACTTCCTTTTGTAGTTGCAGAGATCACCTCACGACATGAATCGAGACCTGGAATTCAGGAGCAGGGGGAAGGTGCGTTCAAGGGGACCTGTCAGTCATGGACTTCCTATAAACCCCTAAACCCCCCCCCTTCGGATTCCCATCCCTCCTCAAATGTCGTTCTCGTGCCGCGAGTTGGCCAAAAAAAAAAAAAGTTCGCGACGTCGAGGGTTATCTACAACATCACCGGTAACGTCAGAGTTCTAAACTTCACGGAAGCCCATCTAACCGTAGCGTCCCCTCCCACGGATTCTTCTCCCATTCCGAAACCACCGCCTGACACTTAATCTCCACCACCAACTTCTCGTTTGGCAACGCCGCAACCTGCACGCAAGTCCGCGCAGGAGCCGTGGTCCGGTCTGGCCAAATCTTGTTCCACTCAGCATTCATGGCCGCATAGTCGCGCTTGATATCTGTCAAAAACACCGTGGCGTCCACCACGCATTCGAGCCCTAGCCTATCCTCGGTTGCGCCTCGGATGACGCGCTCGATGTTGCGTAGGACGGCGGCTGTTTGGGCACCGCAGTCGAGTTTGTAGGTACCGTCTTTTTGGGCCTCGCAGCCTTCGTAGGTGCCGTCCGGTCGGCGGCTGGAAATACCGGAGACGAAGATTGTCTTGGAGGTGCTGGGGATGGTGCGTGCGTGAGGGTAGTTGGCTAGCCCTTGGGCGCCGGAGTCGAGGATGAAGCTTGTGCCGTTGGGTGCCGGCATGGTGATCCGTCGATGGGGTCGTTTTTCGTTGAGTTTGTGGTTTTTGGTATGTGAAGAATTGGGTGTTTTGAGTCTTGTTGACCGTCCCTTGAAAGATATTTTTTGGTGTTGCCCACACCGCTGTAGATGATATCATCTCAGTAGGTAGTTAAGTTGCCGCCCGGCCCCACCACTCCAGTTGTGAACCTCGAGTTTCAGACCCCCGCCTCCGCGCTAAGGCCGTCTTTTGCGTTGAGCTCGGGTCGCTCGGTTTGCGCCGCTGCCATCCGTGATCCGGTTCCGCGCTTTGCCGGACCGGGCGCGTGTGAAACCACCAAGACACCTGACATCACAGACCACCTGGTCATAAGTTATTCGTTGTGGGTATCAATTGCTACCGGGTATTGCAACTTCATAGGGAAAGCTTTTTGTACAAAACAAACCAAAAATTGTTCCCAAGTTTAACTGTCACCATTTCACCACAGCTTCGCATCATGGAAGCCACAAACTCGGAACAATGGACCCAGCAGGCCCTAGAGGAATTCGCCACGGAGATATGGACTTGCAACACGGTTGAACGCGCAGCCTCATTTATCGGGTCTCAAAAATCGCCAATATGCCTGCCGAATTACGTTGCGGGCAGACTCACCCCCCTACAGTCGCAGCCGATGGCACTCATCGATTCCTTCAACCCCCAAACCGGCTCATTGCTCTGCAAGCTCCCATGCACACCAGCTTCAGATGTGGAGACGGCAATCCAACACGCCAGACATGCCTTCACGACGTGGAGTAAGACGACACGAAGGGAGAGATCCAGCCACCTGCGCCGTATTAGCGACCTGCTCCAGGAGCACCGTGAGCTGTTTGCGGTATGGGAGAGTATCGACCAGGGCAAGACCCTTGAGCGAGCGAGAATTGAAGTGGACAGGGCGATATCGAACTTTTCGTAAGCCGTCTATGATGCACGCGAATTATGCACATTGGACAGTTATTCACCTTGGGCAGGTACTTCTCAACATACATCCTGCATGAGCACACAACCGCGCGGATGGTGGACGGCGTGGCGCTGACCTACGAACACCGTTCCCCGGCCGGTGTGTTTGCGCTGATCTCGCCGTGGAACATGCCGCTATATCTTCTCACGTGGAAGATTGCGCCGTGTATTGCATTCGGCTGCACTGCGGTTGCGAAGCCCAGCGAGATTACGAGCATGTCGGCATACTGTATGTGATATTGTATCCTCACCCCTGTAATTTGTATGTATGTGTGTATGTGATGACTAACAGCCAATCTGGGGGTGAAGTACTAGGGCTGTTGCTCCGCAAGGCCGAGCTGCCTCCGGGAGTCGTCAACATTATCCTCGGAGACGGACCCACCACGGGCGCGGCGTTGGTTGCCTCACCATCAGTCGACGGCGTCTCGTTCACCGGAGGCACCCAAACCGGGATCGCCATCCGCCGTGCTACGGCTCATCAAATCCGGAAACATCTCTCCCTCGAACTAGGGGGCAAGAACCCGAACCTGGTGTTTGCCGACGCGATGGACCCGGCTACCCGGGACCGGACCATCCGGATCGCGGCAAGCGCGGCGTTTGAGAATCAGGGCGAGATCTGTCTTTGTGGTTCCCGAATCTACGTCGAGCGTGCGGTGTACGAGGACTTTGTACGCGAGATTACCGAGTACGTGGCTGAGAAGTATGTTTTGCGGAAGACGGTCGGTGCTGTGGCTAGTTTGCAGCACTACGACAAGATCAGGGGGTACTTACAGATGGCCGTGGAGGAGAAAGCCACGTTCAAGTTGGGGGGTATCCCTCCCGCACTTGACAAAGACCAGAATCAGGGGTACTGGATTAACCCCGCTATCTTGACGGACGTAGCCTCGGGGTCGGTGTTGCAAAAGGACGAGATATTTGGTCCAGTCGTCACCATTTCGCCCTTTGAGGATGAGGAGGAGGCGGTACGGCTCGCCAACGATAGCGAGTATGGGCTCGCAGCGGTGGTTTTGACCAACGATGGGGCGAGGATGAGACGGGTCGGGGAACGGATCGAGGCAGGTATGGTGTGGGTAAATTGTTGGCTGGTTCGGGAGCTTGGAACGCCGTTTGGGGGTATGAAGAATAGCGGCACGGGCAGGGAGGGCGGTGAGTACTCTAGGGAGGTGTTCACGGTAGTCAGGACGCTGCATCTCCCTTCCGATTGAGAGACGCCGGAGGGGCTTAAATGGCCTGGGCACGTCTACATCCACATTTTTATTATATAATTACCTTGGAGAATGGACCTCTTCAGTTCATCCACCTGAGTCTCGCTCTTCCTCCATGCCCATCCCAGGCCAGTCTTTCATCAGTGTATTGTGTTTAGGGCTGAGCGCAGTCGGGAGTACACATTCCGAGAGGCTCGGCCCATACCCGGTGGGAGTGTTCTCCTTAACACCGTCTCTTAGCCGCCAACCCGGTCCACCTCCCCAGGTTTCTCCAATGCCGGTAGTTTCCGATAGCATCTCCCCGGCTTCCTCTGACTTCCCGAGACCCGGTCTCCAATAACCAGGGCCGGGGCCGTATCCCGGACAACTCGCCGATATTTTCGGAATTTTGAGTCCGTGCCGATGGGTTTCGACCAATCACGTCGCGCCATTGAGCGACATCCGCTCCGTTGTTCCGTCTTCCGCAAGGAACGGAGCGGATGTAAGTGGGTCCCGGCGGCTCGGGTGTCCCTTTTCGGGTAGGTTGACTTACACGGCGGGCATCGGGTGACATCATGTCTGGAAGGAAGGGAAAGTGCGACTAGCGGTATGGGCGTGTGTTATATCGTTTGAGGTTCCCTACTGTCGGTGATTTTGTTTTATGGTTTTACTTTGGCAAGGACAACGCCTGAGTGACCGAAAACTGTTGATTCATTGTCAATTCGGCGCCAATTCGCTACCGATCTAATCCGGCGTTTACGGCCAATTCTATACACCATAATCCGTAACTAATTACATACCATCACGCACCATGGCTCCCGCCGCATCTCGCGACCTACAGCCCAGCTGCTGCGACTCACACTCCTCCTCGTCATCCTCCCTCTTCCGCATCGACATGCACACCCACATCATGCCGCCCTCCCTCCCAGATTTCGCCTCCTTCTTCCCATCATCATCCAACACCACAGACGCCAACTCCTACCCCTGGCCCAACTTCCGCCCATCCGCCCCATCCCCCGCAACAACACCACCCAAACCATCCGGCCAGGCCGCCAAAGAAGAAGACAACGAAGATGATGGCGCAATAGACATGTACATCGGCCCCCAATTCTTCCGCCGCGTAACCCGCTCCTGCTACTCCCCCGCCGCCCGGCTGCGGGACATGGACGCCGCAGGCGTCGACGTGCAAGTGCTGAGCACGGTGCCCGTGCTGTTCTGTTACGACGCGCCCATCGACACGCCGCCGCAGCGGGCCGCTGTGAGGGCACTGGTGAGGGGGTTGAATGATCATGTTGCGGGGGTTTGTGCGGAGACGCCGGGGAGGTTTGTGGGGTTGGGGACGGTGGGGTTGCAGGATTTTGCGAGGGTGTCCTCATCAGCGGGGGCCGCTCCGGGGGAGGAAGCAGTGGCAGAGCTGAGGAGGGTAATGGAAATGCCGGGGATGGTCGGGGTGCAGATTGGGACGAGCGTGGAGTTGGGTGGCGGTCGTGACGGCGGCGTGATGATGCTGGACGATGAGCGGCTGGAACCGTTTTGGACGGCGTGCGAGGAGTTGGATGCCGCAGTGTTTGTGCACCCGCTGGGGTATGCGTTGACGCGGGAGAACCCGGCGCGCTGGGGAAAGTACTGGGGCTCGTGGCTTGTGGGAATGCCGTCTGAGACGGCGCTGGCGATGCATACGGTCATGTCATCGGGGTTGTTGGTTCGGCATCCGCGGTTGCGGTTGTGTTTTGCCCATGGCGGTGGTGCGTTCCCGGCGTTGTTGGGGCGGATTCAGCACGGGTTTGACTGTCGGCCGGATTTGGTGGCCACCAAGGCGTGCGGTGTTACGCCGACGGAGCACTTCGGCGGGCAACATAGGGAATCGCCTTCTCCCTCACGCTCTCCTGGGTCGTCGACATCTGATGCTTCTTTTCAGCCGCAGATCTGGATCGACTCACTGATGCACGACCCGGATCTGCTTGAGTACGTCTTACGAAAACTAGGCCCGAGAGGGGCTGAGCGCATCGTCCTGGGCAGCGACTACCCATTCCCTCTCGGGGAGGTCCCCGTAGCGGGCAAAATGCTGACGGAGGATGATCGGCTTGGGCGGTTCATGACTTGGCGCGAGCGGGCCGGGGTTCTGTCCCTGAACGCCATCCGGTTCTTGAAGCTGGGCCGAGAGTTTGAGGATAAGTTCCAAGAGCGATGGCAGCTGTTCGAGGCTGCGAACGGGATCTCTTCGTCGTCGGGTAAACAGGTCACAGATGCGGCTTGGGATGGCTGGCGGCATCGGGATAGTGCCATTGATCTGGACGAGGACGGGGGAGTACGGAAGGGGCGTGGGAGCGGCGAGCGGTCTCCTGGTAGCGTTGGGAGTTTGTGAGAGTACGGAGCCGGTGTGGATCACGAGGTGTAATGAGGAGCGATGGTTTAAAGGTCCTTTTGTAACATGTTGTTCAGCGAGAATCCCAAGTTTCTTTAGTACGCAATACGATTTGTTTTCACCGTGAAGCAGCGCAGTTGTGCACATAGCTAATTTCGCTGACCTTTCGGCGAGAGTCTGAATGCGTTCTGTCCATCAGTCGGCAGAGCATATCTAGAACGAGTTACCGGTATGGTCTTGTAACGGTCCTCCCCCGTATGTGCGGATGCTCCATATTTGTTCTCTGGCGCCCTATTCCAGGGATCATGCCGGGGTGAGATTGTTGTTGAGAAATAGGGGTAAGCAGCGGGTGTTTAGCTGTAGCGGTTCATACTTCTACACCTTTTATGAGATGCCGAGAGTTAAAATCTCTTGTAGACATCACCTATCGCCAAGTTCCCCTCGCTGTATCAAGGTTGTATCCTTATCTTGGGCCTAACGATACTGAAGTAACCCTCCGGTCGTCGGATCAACCTAACCCCGCTTCGCCGCTGACTGAGCTCCCAAGTTCCACCTCAAAGACCCCTGATGGATGGAAAGGGGGAAGTGGCTAAAGGGGTCCATTAGGGGTATTTTCGGGCGAATAATACACAGGGCGCGCCCAACTTATCAGATCAGATGATTGACCCCTGATTCCCCTGATACTAGTGTGTGGGGATCTAATTCTGCCCAACACATCCCGGCTCTCACAACGGTTTCACGGCAGGAAAGTGAGATTGAGTTCTTATAACAAAAAGAAGCAAACCCACGTGATACTCCTTGGACCACTCACACTTTTATTCACAAGTGTATCATATTCTGTTAATACTTCGGGCTTTCATCTACTCGCACACTCATCATGACACCACCCCCTCCGCCCCAAACCGTCTTTACCAACGGTAAAATCTTCCAGTCAGGCGTGGCCCCAGGGACGAATGCTGGCCTGCATCGGCCTCCGACCTTTGCATCATGCATGCTCGTCCGTGGCGACCAAATAGAGCATGTCGGCTCAGTCTCGGACGCCCCCATTGCCGCGGCCCTAGCGGATGCAGCAGTCCATGTCCATGACCTGCAGGGCCGGACCATCCTCCCGGGCTTTGTCGACGGACATATGCGTAGGTGTCCCTCGTGTCACGCAGTCTCTTGTATAAAACGCTGGAAAAGAAAACGGAGTGATAGCGGGAGAGAAACAAGTAAAGTATGTTGCTAACACTTCCTCAGACCTCATGCTCCTCGGCCAAGCACTCACCAAACTGGACCTCTCCCCCTGCCGCACCCTCGCCGACATCCGCGCTGCCATCCAATCCTACTCAGCCACCATCCCCTCCGCCCCACGCATCCTCTGCCGCGGCTGGATGCACAGCATGACTCCCCAGCCAGGCGGCGTCACGGCCGCCAACCTCGACGGGCTCGACGCCACCGGCCGCGACCGCCCCGTTCTCGTCGATTCCAAGGACCTGCACTCCACGTGGGCTAATACGGCCGGGATCCGGGACTTGGGGGCCGACAGTTGGAAGGAAGTGCCCGGGGGTATCATCGAGCGTGATGAAGCGGGGAACTTGACGGGGGTGTTTAGCGAGGCCGCGAATATGACGTATGTGTGGCCGTACCTGGCGAGCGTGGCTAGTGTTGAGGAACGGGTGGCTGCGGTACGGGCGGCGGTGAAGGCGTATCATGAGGCTGGGTACACGGGGATGATCGATATGGCGATGGACGAGGCCGGGTGGGAGGCCCTGTTGGCGGTGCGGGAGAGTGGGACCAGCATCCCGATGCGTATCGCGGCTTACTGGCTGGTGCGGCCGCTGGAGACGGAAGAGGAGACACTGAAGCAGGTTGACCGGGCGGCTGAACTGGCGGGCCAATTTAACGCTACCACCTCGCCGGACTGCCGGGTTGTTGGAATCAAGGTGATCTGCGACGGCATCGTCGACGCCTGCACGGCCGGTCTTGCCGAGCCGTACGCGCACGATGGCCGCACGGAAGTGCCGCTGTGGACGCGGGAACAGCTCGAGCCCGTGGTGCGCCGGGCCGACGAAGCCAAGCTGCAGATTGCGTTACATGCTATCGGGGATGCCACTGTCACGATGGTCGTCGACGCGTTGACCAAGTTTGCCGACCCGGCCCGCCGGCCGCGCGTGGAGCATCTCGAGCTGACCTCGCCGGAAGACGCCGCACGTCTCGGTAAAGGCCGCATCACAGCCTCGATCCAGCCGGTACATGCCGACCCGGCCATCCTCCGGGCCTGGCCCCGGCTGTTGGGCGAGCACCGGTGCGGGCGGGCTTTCGCATACCGCGAGTTTGCTGACCTTGGTGCGCCCCTCGCGCTGGGCAGCGATGCGCCTACGGCTCCGCACTCGCCACTAGGGAATATCTACGTCGGAACCACGCGGCGGTCATACAGGGAGCCTGGGGCGGAAACGACCGTGAATCCCCACTTTGCGCTGGGACTCTGCGAGGCTGTGGCCGCAGGCACCGAAGGAGCGGCCTACAGCTGTTTTGATGATCACAGGGTGGGCGTGCTCGGAAAGGGGTATAAGGCGGATTTTGTGGTCGTAGACATGGAGTGGGAGAAGGAGAAGCTCACGGAGGCCAAGCTGGTTGGGACGTGGTTCGACGGGGCCCAGATGTGGTCTTCGGCTTAAGAAATCTGCCTGCTCGAAGCTTGGGTTGATTGGATTCCCTCAGGAAAGCGGCGTTGTCAAATTCGGCTGCCGATACATACATACCTACGTACATATGTACATACACCTATACCCCTTACTCGTAAGCATAGTACTGCCTCGGCCAGATGTTCATTGCCGTTTTCCTCCCGCTCTTCAGCGGCAACCCCGCGTGGTGCGTTCGCACATCGCCCGTCGCATTGGGATGCAGGTTCACCCAAAAGATGGCATTACTCGCCACCGGCCGGAACGCCAGTCCTCCATCTTCATGTTCCCTCCACAGCGGCTGAGCGGCCGCCACCTCCGCACCCTCTACCTCTGATCCTTCTCCCGCCGTAACCACCGGCTTGACATCACCCCCCCACATTCTCTCCCCATTCGGGCTCGGCAGGGTGATGGGCTTCGCGAACGGAAAGTACGTCTCTCCGCCGGTGCAGGCATCCTCGAGGATGGCAAAGAAACTCGCGACACGGTTCCATTTGCGCAGCCTGTCGTCTCCTGACTGCTGCGGTACGTTGTACCAGTCGTGGTGCATATTAAACTTCTCCCCTTCACCATAACGGACCAGCTGTGGTGGACCCATCTCATCCCACCCGTCGCGCAGCATGGTGCCCATAAACGTGCGCGTTCGGTTGAGCACGCACATCACCGCTGGGTCGGTACGCGGCAGGCCTGCAGAGCTTGACGTCCGGTCTGATGTTGCCTGCTGTCGGCCGTATTTGCTGACTTGGGACCTCACAAACTTTGGCTCGGCCGTCTTTAGGAGCGCATCGATCTCTGTTTGCGTGAGGAGGTCATGGATATAGATGATGAGCGGGTCTAGCGACACTAGCTCGGTCCGGTATGTATGGGTGGTGTCGCATACAAAAGGTACCTCCTCGGGGGTGGACGTCGTTGCATTGGGGCTGTTTCTGAGGAATGGCAGGGCGAACGGGTAGTCGGGGATCGGAAAGTCGCCAATAAAGGTTGCGAGATCAGGGGCCGCGATCTTGGGCAGATATGGGAAGCTCAACCCCAAGAGAAGGCCTCCTGCCCAAATGCCAACTGACTTGGCGATGCCTTGTCCAGCCATGTCGATATGTTCGGTGTCTTGGAGCTTTGGGTGGCTGCCGGCGGAAAAAAAGATAGCCTCTATTAGCACAATTCCTGACCTCCCCCAGTGACTCTCAGCTGTATTTGAAACTCATCTGGTCGAAGAAGGGGAGAAAAAAGGTAGCATCGAGGGGCCTTAAAAGGCCCGGTTCGGAAGTTATTTGAGGTATGGCGAGCCCCTGGTCTTGTGCACCATGTTCGTGGTTGTCCAATTCCAATGCCTCCCCAGGAACTTGGCCTTCCGATGCCCGATGCGACAGAATCCGCATGCCGATGTGCTCCTCGATCGACATGTGCATGGCCAGAGATGATGCCGGGGGAGGTGTTACGGAATTTTGTCCAGACCGGGTCTCCAGTCAACCAGGCTGGCTCAGCGTAACGGTGTGCTTCGCTTCTCCAATCGAGGCCCAAAACCACAGCGGGGCATGTCCCGGCGAGCCGTTGCATCCTGGGGCCCCGCGTCGACTTCCCCAAATTGGGCGAGTTGGAGATGAGGAATGCAGTCCCGTCTGGGTAATTCGGAAGCAAGTCCTTCCCCGCCGATCTCGTCGACTCCGCGGCTTTCGTTGTTAGTGGGCAGAGAGCGTCAATGGGTGAAATGCAGGGGTGGTGGTGATCAAGTAGCAGCTTCCCTTGCTAACTACACGTCAAAGTCAAACATTAAATGACACCAATCATTAAGGTGAAGAAATAATCATCTGGGAGAAAAGCGCCCTCTCTGGTTAACCAACTGGCCGCTAAAGAAATCGTTCTGAAAGTTAACAGTTCCCCGAACACATTTTAGAAGTTTAGGTCAAAAGAAGATTGTGGTCACCATGTAATTAAGGATTAAAGGTGGGGTTAAGAAATAATTCGAGGTCGGTACATGTACCTTCCATTACAAGTGGCATTCTAGTTTGTGTCGCTCCTTCCATCTAATTAGGTTCGGAAATGCTGAACTGACCGTCTGGTTGCTCTTTCTCAAGGTTTCGGTTTATAGTCTACGGTCTACCTCGGAGAAGGAATCCGCCTCTCATTGCTCTACTCTTGACTGAGAAGCACGAGGATTATTTACATGCCTAGGCATTGTCGCTTACCTGCTAAAGAGCAACAAGACGAATGTTCCGGTGCCTTATCGCAAACGGAGTCATCAATCCCATCATTCCCATGGATACATTGGCTCACCGGGACTTGACTCGAACCTTCAAACCGCTATAAGACCCTTTCTAGCCAAGTATCATGGTGAGGAAGCTCTTCGAAAGTAAAATGTGATGTGTTTGATTAATCAAATAAAAGAAACTGTGACTGCGCACGCCATACTGCTTGAACGTCAACTTCATAGACAACTCCTAAGCCTCATTTCGCTCTGGCATGGTGTATGCCCCCTGATTTGCCGCCATAAACCCACCATCCACCACGATATCCGATCCCGTGATGTACGAGGCATCGGGTCCTGCCAAGAATGCCACCACGCCGGCAATATCATTCGATGTTCCTCCCCGCGGCACCGGCTGGGTCTCAATCATGTTCTTGACCGCATCTCCAAAAGCCGCCATCTCTAGTCGAATCAAGGCCGTTAACACGACCCCCGGGCTCACGGTGTTGATCCGCGCGCCCCGGGCGCCCCAAGCCCTCACCGAGGCTTGCACGCGCAGGTAATTCGCGCGTTTGGACAGCTGGTAGGCGACGGTCGAGTCGGTGTAGACGTTGGGGCCTTGGCCCTCCTCCAGCGCTAGCAAGGAGGGGGTGGTGAGAAGTTTGTCGCGCGGGGCGTGGGCGAGATGGCCGATAAGTTCTGGGGATGGTTTCAGCCCGAAGCGTGAAACGCTGGAGATGCAGGTGAGCGAAGAGCCCGCGGGAATGAGGTCGGTGAATGCGTCGATGACGTGCACGGTGCCGAGGAGGTCGACTTCGAAGACGCGTTTGGCGGGCGCCATGGAAGGGGAGAGGCCAGCCGTGTGGACGACAGTTTCGTTGTGACCGGCCGCAGCAGCGGCGCGGGCGAACGTTTGCACGGCGTCAAAGTCGGCTACGTCGACGAAGTGAGGCTCCACGGTGTGGCCCTCGTCCTGGAGTGCTTTGGTGGCCGCGTCGAGGTTGGCTTGGGAGTAATCGGCCAAGAAGATCGTGCGACCGCTCCCTAACCGCCTAGCGACCGCTAGACCCATACCGCCGCTGCCGATTACGCATAGGATGCGGGCAGGAACTGTAGAAGGGGACATCTTGACCTGGATACTATGTTGTTTGAATTGTGTCCAGTGATTACTCTGGCGGCAGCTTTGAGCGGCAGATTTTAGAAAAAGGTTTCCGGGATTGTGATAATTTGAGGAAGGCATAGAGGAAACTCGCGAGGGCTTGGAATTTAAGGTCCGGTGAGGAGATCGCCCTGGGGAGTGTCATGGGGGCATCATGTGGACGGTTGTCGGCGTTCTGCAAGGGAGAAGATGAATACAGACGGCTGAACAGTATAAGTTTTGGTGATAGTGCCGGTAGCAACACCATGCACTGTCATGTAGGCAGGATCCGGTGAGGTAACCAGAGTGGACGCCGACCGGAATGTTGTTCCGGTTCAAGATGAGATATGGGCAGAGGAAAGAAGGGGGGAAACAGCCAACCCGGATGGATGTACGGTGATGGCGAGGAATGTGCGGCTGCCATTAATGGTCATTAGAGAGCTTGTACGGTAAATTGATACAAGTGCCAAGGTCCGGCGATATAATTACATGCCAAAGACATAAATAAATATTATGGAACGTGCAGCCTGCCTAATTAGTTCCTAGTTGAAATGTAATTAGTTAAGTCGGTTATCGTGAAGGAAGCCCAAACCGCGGTGAATAGTTACCACTTGATTATACGTAAATACATGCAACCTCGAAACCTAACCCGCACGGTTCGTCTCCCATTACTGGAATAACTACGTAGAATCCTGATGTCCATATGGTTATAGCGTTGTTGTTTAAAATCTCGTTTTAAAACACCGATGGCTTGATTTATCCTCTTTCGTCTTTTTTCACTTGTCCTGTTTCATTTTCCTTCACTTTCTTGACTTATTTCTTATCCTCTTGTTTCGCTTTTGTAGAAGAGTGCTGCGTTGCTAACAGTAAATACTAAGGTAAACAACGAAGTCGCATATACACGACTGGACTCTGTCGCTACGGGCAATAAAGTGACATCGTTCAAAAACCGGGTCCGGGCTCGCGACAGTCGTTGTATTGTATCCGGGGTCGAAAATCGCCGAGCTCTATACGATATATGGTGGGGGTTTGAAGCCACATACATCTTCCCACTCGCATACGAACCACAATGGGTCGAGAACAACTATGACCGTTGGATCACGATGGATCCCCCCCAAGGGGACAAGAAGATCAATTCTATACAGAATGGCATTCTTCTCAAAACCGATCTAACCCAGCTCTTCAACCACTATACGTTTTTTGTCAAACCTGATATACGTTTCCAGATCATTAATACCTTTAGAGTTTATCGTCACTTACAGTATATATCTTTAGAACGGATACAAGATCTTCTTCATCGAAGACTTACACCAAGTCGCCAGGAAAAGTCTCGATGCCCGCCTGCTCGACGACCCCCGCCGTCCGCCGGACTCGCTATTCCGCTGGCATTTCCGCCAGGCGGTCCTCAGAAACATGAGAGGCATAGGGAAACCTGTCCATGAACATGATTTCCAGCCAAGCTAAGATATAATGGGTGAGATCCAGGCCGGCCCTAAGGCCGCTGAACGCATGGAATTTGAGCTCTTCGACAAGCTAGCTCACTACACAGATATTGTATAATGGAGAGACGGGATGGAGGAGAAGTGCAAAGTGAGAGTTCTTAGCGTGGCGGCGCAAGCCGATGCCAAGTTTGAGACCGCGTCGCTGTCGAGACTGCCAGCAGCGCCTTCTCGACTTAATGCGCGGTTTCTGATGGTCCATGGCCCGGGTGTCTAGGAGGGAGAGCCAGGAGCACCCTCCAGTATCCGTAGTCGTTATTATTAATAAAGCACGGCATCCTTCGGCGTCAGTTTGGCCCACTCCATCTCTCATCGGGGAGCCGGGGGCCAGGCCAGGTAGGATCGGCGCAATTTCATGCGGCAATCCATGCCAGTTTCACGACTTCCGTAGTACACTCCATACATACGGGTACGGATAGGGAAGAATTCAACGCATCTAAAACAAGGGGTGGAAGCACTGATGGGTTTGCGACGAATAACCAGATGAGCCGGATTATATGTAGTGTACTGTGTGTGGGCTGTTAATGGAGAAATCTGGTGTATGTTGTGGCGCCACAGTTTCATTTTGGGAATAATTGTTGGGTTGAACTTGAGAACAATGAACAACCAAAAACAAGCAAAGGTACCGATAGCAATGATCGATTGCCACTGGGTAGAGTAACGCGACGGCTTCCAACCTTCCACTGCCCTCCACTGCGTGCCGGAATACCGATCCAAACGCCCCAGCCACCGCGTCTTCTCGGGCGCCGTTGAACCCAGTCTTGGCGATACAAATGCGGGGAAGGGAGGGAGGTCGGCCGAAGACCCGGGGGACTTGACTTGGGCGCGATGGTGAAGCAATTTCGTTCCCGGGAGAAACTGCGAGCGATGGGCGGTAGCGGGAAAATTGAGATATGAAACAGAATTAGTTATGTGCGGTTATTACTATAGCAATGAGATGGCGCGGTGCTTTCCAAGGAAATGTTGACGACGCGAAAAGCCGGAGTGTGTTCGGGGCCCTCGGACAAGGCCAGGTCCCTGCTTTCGGGCTGGGGGCAGCCCGGAGCCTATTCAGGCTCCTCATTGGAGGAAGGCCAGCGAGGGCTGGGGGAGCTTGAGAAGGTGACGCAGCTGATGGCTGACCACGCTAATCTCCGCCGCAGGTGTTGAATGACGCTTCGAACTACGTCATACCAGAGGTCCCTTGCACCAAAAAAAAGTGGCAGATCGGGAAATGCCCAGTCACCAGCTGTGCCAAGCAGCCGTGACCTTGGCCTTCTTGCTAACATCGTGCCATTTCGCAACCCCTCCCCTCAGCAGAGATTTTTTTAGCGGTTTTCCGCCCCGCTGCTGAGCCGTTGCATCGTTTGTTTTGAACCTCCTGCTGATTTGGGGTTCGAAAGTTATCTTAAAGGTTGTCTTTGTTTTCGATTTCTTCAGCACCTCGTGCTGCTAGACTTTGGCTCTGGTGCTCAATTGGGGCGAATTGTCGCAGATTCTCGGGCTTTTTGAATGGGTGTCAGTTGATTGGAGACAGCCTGAATCGCCGTGGACCCTGACTTTGCTTCCACCGCTAGCAACCCTCCATTCCACTGTGCCGCGGTCGCCAGGTGACCATCCGGCTGGCAGTTGGACCGGATTCGGGTGATGATGGAAGCGATGATGCCAGCAGAAGGAACCTGTGTAGACGTAACAGCCAAAAAAAAAAGTGAAGCCTCTTGACGAAGTCCCTGAAACTTATCTGTTTTCGCACCGCCCCCTCACCCCCACTTCCACACTGATCGGTTACACCCCTCCCTCCCTCATCACCTCAGTGCCTTGGTTACGGGCCTGCAGCAGCCAGTGACTTCAACTTCTCGCCCGATTCTTTCGTTTGGCCCTCCTATCCTCTGAGCCTCCCTCTTGCCCGTGTTAGAACTTTGTTCTTTCCTGCATTCCCCTGTTAAAACCTCGCCCATCCGCCGCGAAACCCCACCACACCTCCTCCCGTATCTTCCAACCTTGAAGTTGCTGCTCCAACCCCCCCTCTAAAAAAAGAAAAGAGAAAAAACATTCCCAGACATCCGCCATCCGCATTTCTTTTGGTGCGCCCACGAATCGACCCGTCGCCGTCCATTGCGCTGCTTAGATCCTTCGAAAGGGCTAATTTCAACTGAAATTTCCGGCAAACTTTTTTGTCGGGGCGGTTGCTCTGCCGATCACTGGTTATTTTTGGTGGGAATTTGTCAGGCCCGGGTTGCATACGGTGCCCCTCCTCTACCTTCATCACGGAAACACAACGCTTTAGAGGACCGCGAAACACACGAGAGGGAAATAGAAACCAAGAACGAGGATAGAGTCTGCGTACGCCCGCCATGTCGACAATACAGCAACTTAAGAACTTCATTCGCCATGGTAAGACTCTCCTTTTGGCATCTGACTAATGGTGCGAGTGGCGCGCAAAGTCACTATGGACGACGGAACGGAGCTGATATTTTGGGTCCTATCGCAGGCAAGCAAGCACGCGCGGCGGATGAGCCGGGGCGCTCGAAGAATGAAGAAACATCGCCAAATCAGCAGCCAGTGAAGAACATCACGGCGCGGGCCACTGACCCTGTGCTTGGTTCTTCCGCGGCTGCCAAATCCCAACAGGCGACCCACTACGAGCCTGCCCAACCGCAAGCCATAGACGGCAAGGCGAAGCAACAGAAGCGGATTCCCGACGAGAACATTGCGAAACTTGTGGCCGAGGAGAATGAGAGCAAGAGCAAGTTCCCCAACTATCCGGGCCTCGAGCGGTGGAGGCTCATCGAGAAGATGGGCGACGGCGCTTTCAGCAACGTCTACCGCGCTCAGGATCGTGAGGGAACCGCTGGCGAGGTCGCCATCAAAGTCGTCCGCAAGTATGAGATGAACAGCATGCAGGTACGTCAGCTACACCACGGGGAAGCCCCGTCTGAGCCTTTCTGCTTTGTTACCCCTGCCCTCATTCCCTTCCCTACTTAACCTTGCTCGTTTTTTTCTTGTCTGCTTGCCCCGTGTTTTCCCTTGCGTTTCCTGTCCCGCGGCCTTTACCGACACCAGCGCCACTTCTAGAATCGGCATCTTCATCCCGACTTTAAGCCAAAGGCTCCCAAGGCCGCAGAGGTGCGAGGATTCTCCCTTCCTTTACCCCCATCGAGTGTGTTGCTTTTAAACCCCCGGCTGGTCCCAAGTTAAGACCGGGTACCGCTGGCGTCATGCCGCAACCACCCGGGGCAAGCGCCCAGAAACACCAAGTCGAGTTGCTACACCAAAACATCGCACAATGCTAACCGAGACGTAAAGAGGGCAAACATTCTCAAGGAGGTGCAGATTATGCGCCAGATTGACCACCCCAACATCGTCAAACTTGTCGACTTCTCTGAGTCCCGGCAATACTACTACATCATCTTGGAGCTTGCCCCCGGTGGCGAGTTATTCCACCAGGTCGTGCGTCTTACTTACTTCAGCGAGGAGCTGTCACGGCATGTTATCGTCCAGGTCGCAAAGGCGCTCGAGTATTTGCACGAGGAGAGAGGGATTGTGCACCGGTAAGATGATATATTCCGCCGCTATTTCGGTTGTGTCACACAAATCGCTAATCTACTTGGTAGTGACATCAAGCCGGAAAACATTCTCTTCAACCCGGTCCCTTTTGTGCCATCGAAAAACCCTAAGCCGAAACAACCTGGCGACGAGGATAAAGTCGACGAAGGCGAGTTCATTAAAGGGGTTGGTGCAGGCGGGATTGGGCAAATCAAGATTGCCGATTTCGGCCTCTCCAAGATCATTTGGGAAAGCCAGACAATGACGCCTTGTGGCACCGTTGGGTACACGGCGCCTGAGATCGTCAAGGATGAGAGGTATTCCAAATCGGTCGACATGTGGGCTATGGGCTGTGTGTTGTACACCCTCCTCTGTGGCTTCCCGCCATTCTACGACGAGAGCATCGAGGTGCTTACCGAAAAGGTCGCCAAGGGGCAGTTCACATTCCTGTCGCCATGGTGGGATGACATCAGCAAGTCGGCGCAGGACTTGATCTCGCATCTGCTTTGCGTCGACCCGGAGAAGAGGTTCACCATCAGGGAGTTCCTCGCCCACCCCTGGATCCGCGAATCCGGCCCCACGCCTCGCGACGAGCGGAAGGCGGCTTTCTCGACCGAGCAGCCTCTGCGCTCTTTCGACATGTCGAAGCTCGTGGATGGCGAAAAGCGCTACGACTTTCGCTCTCCAGCGGCAGTCAACCTTCGCGAGGTGTTCGACGTTGGCTACGCCGTCCATCGGCAAGAGGAGGAGGGCAAGCGCCGCAAGCAGGTGGGCGCCAAAGCCGGCGGTGTGTCGCGTCTCGGCGGCCTCGACGAGACAGTCGACGAGGACGAAGAGATGGCTGATACGGACACGACACAACAACTCGAGCAGAGCATGCGCGACGCCCAAATCCGCGACCAAGACCAGCAGCAACAGCAGCCGCGCGGCCGGGACCGCGAACGCAAGGCGCACCCTCCGCCAGCTGCCGCGGCAGGGACCGAGCAGCGCGGGTATGGCCAGCACTCCGCTGCCGTTGCTGCCGCTGCGAGGCAGCAGGTGCGGGATCGCAACAAGCAAAAGGGCGCGTTTGAGCTAAACTTGGATGGCGCCACGCTACTTGGCCGTCGCGGTGTTAAGGCATCTGCGCAGCCGGCTTAGGATGCCGATGCAGCGCTGTTGAATCGGGGCGTGTGGGCGTTGAAGATTGTGAATGGGGAGAGTGACTCGGGTGAGGAAGACGGCGATGACCGTGATGGTAATGGTGGCGATCATCGGAGTGGTGATCGCTCGGGTGATAAGGACAACTTGGACAACGATAGAGATGACCATGGTGCTGGCGATAAAGACAATGATTGTCAGGTCCCGCCTACGCCGGTTTCAGGCGCTGAGTTATCGCCTACGGAGGAAACATCTTCGCCAAGTGGTCATCCGATCGGTGATGTGAAGAAGGTTAAGTGGTCGCTCACGGGTTGAGGGACGGCAAGAGCGGTTTGTTAGTAGAGAGGCCGTTGGAGAAGAAGGGACATTTTGCTTTTTACACCTCTTATTCGATGCGCTTATATTTCTTGGGCGTTGTTGGGAATTGATTTCTGGGGTCAAGATGGAGGATGGATTGATGGATTGATGGGTCATGGGCTATGTGAGGGGGCGTTGGTGGTAGTAGGAATGGGAATGACATGAGAGACGGGAGTAGGGCTAAAGGGATGGAAAGAACGGGGTTGACTGAGTTCGTCGGCAACAGCATTGTTTAGGTTTATGTAACGATTCTTACTCTGACCTCCTCTTCTATTTCCCCCCTCCTCTTCGGTTTTCTTTCCGAGGTTAAGGAGATTTAAGTGGCTAATTACATGTGGGATTGTGCTGGCAGGGCCACAGATGGGTAGATGGAGGCACACCAGGGAGGACCGACTTTGGTGGAGGGCTTGAATCGTGGTTTACTCCCCTCTTCCAACTTATTTCTTGAGCAAGAGAGATAGGTAGAGAGACCTGTGGCATGTCTTGCATAGAATTCTACTCGCTCTGGCTGTTAGTTTGCTCGCTCTCCCTTTGGATGTCATCGGGGTTGTGTCCGTTGGTCTTTCCGGCCGGCCTTGTCTTGGTCCCAGCTCTGAAAAGGTTCCATCGATCGAGCCGATTTAGCTCCTAAACCGTGTCCCTAGGAATCGGCAACTATCTGACAGATACTTATTTGGGCAATTACACTACACGTAGTGGCAGACCGTCGTTGTGCATGCGAGTCGTCGATCAGTTGGCCTCAGCTCCTCATTACAAAGACGAAACTAGAAAATGAAGCTCGATAAGTTTTTGCCTGAAACGTCATGTCGAACCACACTAGATGGTGATATCAGTTTTGGGATGCATTGGGCTGAGGTGGGGTTATGACGTCCTAGATTTTGTTGTTTGACATCCAGCGTGTTTTGATGCCATTCAGGGGTTCCAAACTTGGCTAGGAGGCAAAGGTTGTGGGACGTGGCGTTGGAGTTGGAGTGTGGACCCTAACCCTAGCCCCTGAGTTGTGCTGCTTGGTACGCAGGCGTGGCAGGTACGTTCATATTGAAGTTCCGGGGATGTTGATGTGTAACGATATTTTCATCATAGGCTCGTATCACTAACAGAAAGATACCCAGTGTCGACGTAGTAAAGAGAAAATCCTAATATTCCCCTACTTGCTCGGCGGCTCATCATTCCTCCTCCCCGCTCCCGGAACCATCGCTCGGCACAAACTCACCCACCCACTTCTTCATGATCTCCAGAGACTGCTGCTGCACCTTGGTCACATCCGGGTTGATCTTGATGTTGAGATTCACGAGCGCCTGCTCGGTGAATGCGTCATCGGCATGTTGGGCGTTCTTGATGACGAAGGTGACGGCGTTGTCGGAGGACACCAGCGGGCCGCCGGGACGGGACTCGCTGAGGATGGTGGTGGCGCGCCAGGGGTCGAACTCACTGTGTGCAGATCGCTGGTGTTACCATATGTAACCCCCCAAGCAACATGGGAGCGGGGAGGGATGTTTTCGTCTTTATTATACTCACCCACTAGTCCAAATAACCCTTGTCGACTCCCTCAACCAACCCCCCGTCTCCTCATTCAGCGTCTCAGGCGTCCTCCCATCCGAGCTACCATATTTCTTCCCCTCCACAGGCGGGAAATGCATCTCGCACTGGCGCTGCCAGTACTCTGAGTCGATCTTGCGTGAGACCAGCGACGGTGGCGAGGACGACGCTTGGTCGGCTGGCACGGCCGTAGCCCAGGAGGCGAGCGGCTCGTTGCAGAGGAACCAGTACCAGGTTCGCCAGGGGTTTCCGAGCGTACGCGCTTCGAAGAAGGGGTTGAGGAGGTCGTGCGTGTTGAGGCACCAGAGGGGGTCTTCTTGGCCCCAGACGTCGAAGTATGTGCAGGCTAGGGGGGTGTTAATGTGTACTGCGCTGCGGTCTAGTGAATAATGCTCTAGGCTGGGTACTTACTGGAGTCACGGAAGTTGAGCTGGAAGTAAGTAGCGTAGTTCTGCACCGTCGCGGGGATAGTCCCGAGGATATCATGCTCTTGAGTTCCGTTCGATGCGAGAAGGGAGTCGCAAATGTTGAGGACCTCCTGATATCCTCCGGTCTCTTGCCAGTAGCGGAACGGAGTGGCGATCGCGCTAGTTGGGTTTGTCAGTACATGAATCAGCACCAAGGTTCGCCCCTTGCAAATGCTAAGGATGAATTACTTACTACGCAAAATCATCATCCGCAATCGGGAATGTAGCCCCGAATAGTTCCTTCACCGCAGCCGTGGCATTCTCGTTAGCCGTCTCCGCGAGCAAGAAACTGTCTACAAACGAGGCGACCTCGGTCAGGGCGAGACTGCAGCTCGTGTCCCCGCGGTAGGTGTCGATGCCCTGGCGGATGGTGTCGTAGTAGTACCAGTTGTCGGTATTGGCCTCGACAGTGGCGCTGCTGAGGTGGTAGGCGTGGTAAACGTTCGGGTAGAAGTGCTCGATCCAACTGCCGAGCGTGGCCGAGTAGGACGCGCCGTAGTAGATCCAGGGCTGTTTCGGACGCGTTGTTGTTAGCATAATTCCCGTGGTTTCTTTTTCGTCTGCTTTTCTTTTTGGCCAGGCGGGCTGGTGACAGGTTACTTACCGCCTTAGACGCTACACTCGTCTTGTTCTTGTCAAAGGGCAAGGCGACGTTCTGCGCAAAGTTGACCATGTCAGCTGCGGACTGCTCCATGGTCAGATATTGCAGTGTTTTCGAGTCAAAGCCGTCGTAGGGTGAAGACCCTCCAAAGTAACGATCTGTAGGCTGCCATTAGTATGCCAATGTCTTTCCGTTAAAAGTTGAGATCAAGGCCACGCACGCTCAACCACGACAGACGCGGCACCTAGCTCCTGCGCATAGGTGCCCGCCAACGTGGTGTTCATCAGATACGAATACCCATACCCAGAGTTGATGGACGTCGTAATGGGCTCATCCCCAGGCGTCATGATCACGACCTAATGCACACACAACATCTATTCAGCACACACCAAACCAAACGCTAAGCATTACGGAGTACAGGCCTTTTTACGAGAAGGAAGTAATATTACCGGCGACCCCGGCCCAGCCCACCACTCCGGGTTAACACAATACAGCTGCTGCCACGAGCCCAAACTCGCATTTTTATGGTCGATAGGTTGCTCGAACCATTCACATGTTGATGCGGCACCGGCTGCGCGGACGACTGCCCGTGCCGACTCGCGATCGAGACTTGCGCTGCTGAGTTGGTCCTGATCTTGGATGGCTCCGTGGGGGAGTGGTCGGGGTGCGATCCAGGGCGCCAAAGGCAGGATGGCGCCTGCGGGGAGTTTCATGTTTGTTGGCAGACGGGTTGGTGATTCTTGCGTGTGTGAGGGACTCTTGAGGGAGAAGGTCAAAGGGGGGAAATGTGCTGTTTGGAAATCTCAACAAGCAAGACGAAAGCTGGACAATCTAGTGTGTTCTCAGAATAGGAATGGGTTTTACATGTCTATTATTCCCATCGTGAACGAGCTACACAATGCCGGGAAAGATTCGAGTCTCCAACCTCAAGTACCGAGCGTAGGGCTCCTTGTGGGGAGAGTGTAACGGTACGGGCCAAGGGTCTGGATAAGTTGACAAGGTCATATGGAACAGGATGTCTTGGTACGGAGAACTGCCTTTGTACTCTTCCAGCGTTATGGTTAATTATGCGTGGTGGTTGACCGGGTTACGATATTAAGGGCTAGGAAGGTATGTTGACATTACTTGCTAGCCCTGGTCAACCGATAGGGATGCGGTGGACATGTGTGAACGATGGGTCCTTACACAAAAACAGGATGCCTTCTCGATTAGAGGCCGTTCTTATGAATACAAGGATTATGTCGCTGGCGTTAAGAAAAGAAGCTTATTTGCAAATCGTCCCTACAAGTGTCGATCTAAGAATGGGTCCCGTTTACGATTCACCCGCGTTAAAGTCCCGAAAGGCCCGGTTAAACCTACCAACCACAAAATGGTGCGTCTCTTTCCTACAAAACGTACAGATCTTCCTTAATCTCGAAAGGGTATTATAGCCCCCATTGAGTAGGTCCTATACTTGAGTAATATGCTCAACTACTCCTATCCCATTCCGACACAGTGCAGTGGATAAACGCAACGCCGGGGGGGCGGAACCAGAAAAGCCGTTATTTTGGCGCCGGCAGATAGCTAGACCTTAATTCGGGAACGCAAAAGAAGAGCCGTAGAAGGCCGTCAAGCGGGATATGTGCGGGGGTCGCGCATAAATTCTCCGAGCCAAGCATTTTAGATGTTTGGTCTGCCTCGTCTTGTGTAAGTTATTCCTCGAGTAGGAAGCTCTCGTGAGACAATGGACAAGTGACATAGAGGTATGTCTAAAACCAAGAACGATGCGTTGGGAGTTATGTTTGTGAGCTGTGACTTCTGGTGCTACTCGTGGCCAATAACGAATTCATAATGTGATAAGAATACCGGGACGGCACCTTTTTTTGAGCCCAGCCGTACCAGGTATGGGTTACTCCTTGAGAAACAACCCGGGCCTTTCGTGACACAAAATGGATCTCCAATTCTAACATTCCATTACACAAATCTCGACATACAGACACGCAAGAAACACACACACATCCAGCAGCTTTTGTCTACCCTATAATTACCTTCCCAAAATTTAAACCACCGCACCCCTCCCTCCAGTCCCCCCAACAGCCAACGCAGCCAACACCTCCGGCCGCAACGCCGGCAACTGCCGGCCCTTCCTCCCACCTTCTGCCGCCGGTGGCCCAGCCACAAACTTAATCTCCGCCAAATACGCCAAATACCGCCCCACATCCTCCCGTCCCACACTTTGTCCCGTACTCTCGTCCACGCCCGTCCAGCGGTCGGCGTCGGCCTTGAGGATGGCCACGGCGTGGCGGTCGTCCATCTCGGGCGCGCGCGTGTTGGCCGGCAGGTCGTTCATGCAGAAGTGGTATAGCGGCATGAGCGCGTGCTGTTCCTGGTCCTTTTCGAGGGCACCGGCTGACACGAACCGCTCGAGGTCGGCCTTCCAGGCGTCGTAGGATACTTCGGGCGTGGCGAAGCCGTAGTATTCAAGGATTGAGAGGTACTCGCTCATGCGCAGGCGTGGGTGGGCCGTGACGTGCACTACGTGGACGTTGTTGTTGGTCCCCTTGCTGTCTTGGCTGGCGGGGAGGGGGTTCAGGGCGGAGGCGACGACGACCCGGGCTACGTGGTTGACGGGCACAGCGTTGACGGTGTTGATGATGTGGGGGCGTGAGGAGAGTTGGATGCAGCCCTTGAGCATGCGGATCAAAAAGTCGTCCACGTTGCACACACCCGTTTCTGAGTCGCCGAGGATGTAGCCCGGCCGCACGACGGACCCGACCAGGCCACGGCGTCCGGCTTCACGCACGAGCTGTTCGGATACCCACTTGGTTTGACCGTAGCCGGTACCCAGCCCAGACCGGCTGCCCTCCATATCGTCGGCCTCCATGATGGCCCCCTGGCCGGTACTGGTCTGCTGGTCGGATAGGTGTATGTAGTGGTCTGTGTCCAGTACGCTCGTGGAGCTGACGAAGGAGAACACCTTGGGCCTGCCCTCGTTGCACAGACACATCGCGTCAACAGTGGACAGCACGTTGGCAGCCATCATGTCTTGGTAACGCTTGACCCAGTGGACGGTGGCGCCGTTGTGAATCACGACGTCTACCTCCTGGGTCAATGTCTTCCACGTGGCATCGTCGATACCGAGTTGGGGCTTGGAGAGGTCACCGACGATGGCTGTGAGCCGACCGACCCACTCGTCTTTCCACAGACCGTAGCCCTGGAGAGACCTCTGGAGACGTGCCAGAGCAGCTTCTGGGTCCTTCACACCTCGAACGTGCGCAACGAGCTTGACATTCCGGGCGGTGCGCTCGAGAACGTCTTTGACAAGATACGAACCCAGGAAGCCGGTAGCGCCCGTCAAGAAAACGGTCACCTGCTCGGCCGAACCCAGCGCGTCGCCATTCGCCGACTGGTACTTCTCAGGAAGGTGGCCCAACAGCTCATCTAGAGACTTGGCATATGCAGCCTCGCCGGCCTCGGGGCCTACGGGGGTTGTGTCGTTGTTCCGAAGCTTGTCCACCTGCGCACTGAACCCAGCCAGGCTGGGGTGTTCGTAAAGCGTCATGATGGGCACATCGGTCCCCAGGCTCTTGCGGATCGTCAGCAGGAACTGCTGTGCAAGCAAACTGTGGCCGCCGAGATCGAAGAAGCCGACCTCCCTGCGAACCGACTTCGGGTTCAGACCGGGGATGACATCAGCCCAGAGCTGCGCTACGGTCTGCTCTATCTCGGTGAGAGACTCCCAGCTCTTCAGCTCTTCCTCGGACGCATCCTCCACAAGCTCGGCAACATCGGGGAAGGGAAGGTTGGGCTTGTCGACCTTGCCGTTGGGGTTCAGGGGCAGTTTGTTGAGAACGATGTAGATGGTGGGCACCGCATATGTCGGCAGGCGTGTCTTCAAGTGGTCGCGCACCTCAGTCTGCATTCGTCGGTACTTCTTCAGGAAGACGGTCACAGAACCCATCTCGACACCCTCGTCTTCTACATCGGCTGAGCCCCGGTCTTGCAGCCAGCGCACCCATTCCCTGTTCTCGGGAACAATATAGCTGACCAGGGTCGGTTCTTCGTTACGATCTCTCCGCACAAGCGTCTTGCAGTCGCGGATGAGTGGGTTTTGGCTCAAGTTGCTGTCGATGTCGTTCAACTCGATGCGGAAGCCGCGGATCTTGACTTGGTCGTCGGCTCGGCCCACGCACTCCACATCCCCGGACTCGAGATACCGGCCGAGATCTCCGGTCCGATACATGCGGTCTCTCGGTCCCTTGTAGTATCGTCGCCAGGGCTCGTCCTTGGCGATCTTTTGGTCTGCTTCCACCCACGTCTGATTGTCGACGAACCAGTTGGAGAGAAACTTTTGCTCGTTCAAGGCTGGGTCTCCAAGGTAGCCCCTGTGATCTGCATGTTAGTAACACATTTCTTCGTGAACGATGATAAGGCACGTACTCAGCCAACCCCGCAGCGCGGACAAAGATCTCGCCCACCTCGCCGACCTTACACATCTCGGTCCGGTTCTCCCGGTTGACCACCAGCAGCTGGACGTTCTGCATGCCCTGTCCAGCCGGCACGGTATCCTTCAGTCGGTCCAAATAATCGGCATCTCTCGCACGGCTCGGGATCTCGTAATAGCTAACTGCTCTTTGAGTCTCGGTTGTACCATACATGTTGATGATGTTGGCATTTATGGCCAACCGCCGGAGAGCACGGCAGTCTCTGGTGGTCAGAACATCACCGACGAAAAACACGTGCTCGAGGCTTGGGAACTCGGCTGTGGCGCCGCCGACGAGGATCTGCCCCATGGCTGGGGTCAAGTGAGTGACGGTGGGGTTGTGTTCACGCATCCATTCCGCCAGCTTCTCGTGCTGGATATCTTCCCGAGAGGGCACCAGCAGTTGTGCGCCGAGGAACAACGGGGTGAAGATGTCACGCTGCACGGGGTCGTGGGCAATGCCGGAGAGAAGGGTGTATCGGCTCTCTGAAGAGAGGTGGAAGCGCTCCGCCATCCAGCCAAAGTACTTGACTAGGCTGTAATGCCGGCCGAGAACGCCCTTGGGACGGCCCTCGCTACCAGACGTGAAGGAGAGCGTGGGATTTGAATCTGGCCCAACAACGACGTCTGGTGGTGAGGATGCCTGCTGCCTTACGCTGGCAAAGATATCCTGGCCGTCGACTTCACCACCGGAGAGCACGCCATCGTCACGCAACCTCAGGTCGGGGACATCGGTCTTGAGTTGGAGCTCGTCGTCAATGTACTTCTGGACCAGGGGTGCTAGGGGCCCATTCTCGTCGGTGGCCCGCCCGATTCGGAGCAGGGCACGTGGCTGGGACACTTCGAGGTAGATTTGTTGCCGGGCCGGGGGGTATGCAGGGTCGAGCACGGTCATGGTCGCACCGGAAGCCTGGGGTTAAATATGTTAGACTAAAAGAAGACAACACCATAGGCAAGGGACACTAAAATGGCCGCTGTTACGCACCAAGATACCCATTAGGGCCACAACCAGGTCGACGGAACGATGGGCCCAGATCATGACCACATCGCCATTGGTGACGCCGGCGTTATGCAAGTACCATGCTAGCGTGTTGGCCGCCTCGTAGATCTGGCCGTAGGTAAAACTCCTCTCCGGTGTGGTCGACGACTTGGTCTCGACAACGCAAGTCCGCTCGGGATGCGCCTCGGCTTGGGCGCGGAAGTGCTCTTGGATCGACCCGACGTAGCCAGACCAGTCGAGGTCGACCGTGGGGTCGGGTAATGGGGCCATCTTGAGGAAGGAGGTATGGAATTGTAGGTTACGGGTATCAATTGATGGTTTGGAGACCCAGATATGGGAAAATAAGTGTCGACGGTAATGGTGAACTTATACCCGACCCCCAACAAATATTTTTCTCAGTGACTCAATGCCTGGATATTCTGAAGCCTGAGCTCCGAAAACGGGACCTAAATTTTAGTGGGGCGACTACCCCTCCCCCGCAATGTGGTGGGGGGTCTAGAGCTTCCGAGTTCTTGGAACGCGGTAGCCATTGCCTCTTTTAGCGACCAACAACACGCCACAAAATCGCGAAAATTGTCGATTGGGAAGAGAGTGATGGTATGAGACCGGCGGTGAACCTGAACTGTTGATGAGGTATTTCTTTCCATCTTTTCGAGGTCGGGATACTTCCAAAACTACTAGATCACCGTAGTCCCTCAGTCATTCTTGCTGTTTGGCGAGTTCATTGCTCCAGCCTTTTGCAGATTTTTTATCGTTCACCGCAATTTGTCCACTACTGGTGAGGCTAGCATGCTATTCCTCCAACGGGGATAACTGTTCTTATTTTACCGTCATTCTTTTATTGTCAGGTGGACGTCGAGGTTGTTAATTTTACGAGGGAGCATCCCTATCTTGGCCTTATGCTGGTGCAAAGAAGCATCACCACACAAGCAGCTTGCCGTTGGTTTTCACAGCTTAGTTGGTTTGGGAAGCACCATTCGGCGGTGGCACTCATGTTTGACTGTCAAATTTGGCAGTCCCGGTGCTGAGACAAGGGAACCTCAATGACGAGAGTAGGGGACGCCCAGGGAACGGGAAAGATATTGGGAAACTAAGCTCTGTTGTTTTTCAAGCTCCGAAGTGCCGATGTGCCACATTGGCCGGCAACTAACAGATCTGGCACCAAAGAATACCGAATGCTTCCGCAACGCCGAACGGCACAATGTGAGGTAGCAAACAATTGAGAGCCAGGATCTAACGTAGCGACAGTGAGAGAATAACCAGAAAATATGAAGGCTGCAGTGATTTGACAAGCAGAATAGAGGCACCCAAAGCCAAGAAGCTCTCAAACTCCCTGCAGCATTGCATCTGCCCCCAATTCTAGCTTTGAGAGCTTTCAGGATCACTCTGGCCATTGATATATAGGCCATAGATAGTGGGCACAAGGTCATTAAAGACGGAGTAGAAGGCAAACCCTCGGGGACGCACTTGTCACGAGTATCCTCTTCTTCTTCCTCTTTGTTTACGGCCCTGTGAACAGGAGGGCTGTCCACCACAATCTGCCCTGTGAGGACCGGGGCTAGCAGGGTTCGGAAGAGTTAAGCCCTGGGTGGTGATATCAAAGAAAGGTAGACTTCAACCCCAGAGAATTGAACTAGAAACCATGGCGTTCTGATTTTGCAGAGGTAGTCACCTAAATGAGAGCGTAACAAGTTCGGGCACGGTTCTAATGGATCCTAGACCACCCAGGAACTAGGCCAAGGGGCTTCTATCTCAACTTGCAGCATTAGTAGCACCTGACCAACCTCCGGTGTTGAGTAAGGGGATCCTCAAAGCACCGTTGACTCACCCTAGGGATGATACGAACATCTGTAAACAACTCCAGCCCACGGAACAAGAGGTGCAAAATGGATTCATGCATTCTTTGGAAAAGTATAAATAGGCCGGCCCCCCCCTCTTCAACCCGGCTTCTCATCTTCAACCCACAACCAGAAACCAGAATCTCGATCCGGATGTCGCCTGGCAACAGACCTCTCCTAGCAACCGGCACCCATCACATTCTCAACAGTACTATAGGTCATCAAGCGCTATATACACCCACCTCAACATGGCGTTCACCGCTGCCCACTTTCTGCGGATGACACCGGTGGTGTTTTCCTGGGTGGCCCTGCTGCTCGCAGTGCTGGTCCTCTGCGCGGGCAACAAACCCGGCTTTATGGGGGGATACAACCTCATCTCCGTGAGTATCAATGCGCAGGGTCTCAGTCCCATCCACAGCTACTAACAAGAGGGCCAATGATCCAGGTTGACATCCTTTCCTCGAATAGCCCAAGTTCCAAACAAGTCCTCGACACCCGTTCGCCTTCTCCCAGTAATGATTGTGGTGGACCGCTCAGCTGGCTGTGCGATCAAATGAACTCGGCAGCTTCAAGTGCGTTCCAGATGACTCCAACCCCTCCTCCGGTTCCCGCTCCAGCGCCCACTCCGACAGCTGGAAGCCAGGACACCCCAACCGAAAGCAGCACTCCGTATGTGGCCAACTTTAGCGGCAGGTTCTACTCCTTCTACACAATGACCCTGTGCGAGGGCATGATTACACTGGACGGTGACCACAACATGGACCAGTGTCACCCCTACTTCACCGGTACGTTCATCTTAGCCTTCCTTTGTGTAAACCAGCACCGAGACACAATACCAAAACAAAGACTCCTCCGGCTAACACTCACCCACCCACCAGGTGACCCGGCAACAATCCCCTATCTTCTCAGCGTTGCGAATCTTTCCCCGCACGATCAGGCCCCCTTGAAGTCTCGCTCGTCCTGCTCGGATGCCGACCCCGACCCAACAGACATAACACCCCCGTACGCAATTCTCTCGGCCCTGGAACAACTCACGACGCTTGCCCAGGCCATCACCATCCTCTGGTCCGTCGGTCTCGGTTTCACAGGCCTCGCTGTATTCGCCTCCATCCCTGCCGTATTCATCAGCCACGATGACGGAGACGATGGCATCCCGGCGACTTACCAGTGGGCGGTTTACACCAACAACTTTTGCTCCATGTGCGCCTTTGGGTTCCTGATGCTGGGCGCTTTGGTCGGTGCGATCGGGGCTAAAGTCAAAGAGGGAACGATCAGGGGTCTGGCCGGGATGTACAGAGATGCGGACGCTGGTGGACAGGCCCCAGTGGAGAACAGTGGGATGGAGGTTCTGAAGAAAGGGAGCGGGTTTCGGGGCATCGACGCTGTGGCTGGGACATCGTGGGTTGGGATGTCGTGGGGCACAGTGGCGTTGATGCTCGTGGTGGTCGTGTACTGGGTGGTGCGGCTGGTTAAGCTCAGGAGGGCGAAGAAGGAGAAACGGGACGCTGAGGACAGCAGCAGCGTCGAAGAGGTGCCTCGCCCGGGATTTCCGGGCTATCCCAACTTTGCTAGGCCGCAGGGACCTCCGCCTCCGAAAGCCCCGCCTCAGGCACCTCCGGCCCGTGGGCCTCCCGGTGCCGGGTTTTCCATGCCGAACATGCCTAACATACCTGGGGCACCGTGGTTTTTCAAGACGGCAATGAATCAGATGGGGAGGGGGGGGCCTCAGCAATAGCACTTGCGGGATGCATTGGGTTTATTTTCTTTTTCCTTTTCGCATTGCATTCAAGGTTACTTTTAGCCTTGCTGGCTCCAAGGCTCAAGCATCATCAACACAGCAGTTTCAGGGGTAGATATAGGGTTAGGGTTTCACTCAGGGGTAAACAGATTCCATACCCGATATTTACATCTCATAGTCACAAATACTTAATACCTAATATGCCCATCTGAGTCGTTCCAGCAATGTCTTTTTCTAACGCCGTTCAACTATGTTACACCAAAATTCGTTGAAAATATGAGATGAAGCATGATAAACAACCTAGCCCCCGACTACTCTCCCAGAATTAGGTACTCTTACAAAACCAAACCTTCTTCCCTCATACTTAACCCCTACTTTCCATCTCCATTTGACTCACTCTCACCCCCCTCATCCCTCCCCACCTTCAACCGCCACGCCCAATGCCTCCTCGGATCCCCCACCAACCTCCTCATCGACGGCAAATCCTTCGCCCGTTCCCCCGTCTCCCTCAACAACGCCCCAACTGCCTTCTCCGCATACCCCCTCGCCTCCTCCTCCAACCCAAACATAGCATGCACCAACGCAGCCTTCGCATACGGCGCCGCGAGAGACCCCCACAACTCTTCCCTCTCATACAACTCCACCAGTTTCGCCACCAACCCCGGCCGGATTTCCCGATCGGCTTGCTTCATCCCCTGCGCGGCCATATGGGGCGGTAACGGGCGCCGGGACATCAGTTGGTCAATTTCGCGCTCGAGGTCCGCGATTTGGCGCAGGCGGCGGTCGGATGCGGCGGCTGCGGAGGTGGGTTGGATGCATTGCGAGCAGGTGCAGGTGAAGCCCCAGTCGCGGAGGCGAGTGAGGCGCTCGGCGAGGGGGAGTTTGGCGTAGATGTAGGTTAGGGTGAGTTCTTCGCCGGGGGGGATGTCGCGGACGGCGATGGTGGTGTGGGTGGTGTTGTTGAGGCGGTAGTGGAGGCTGATACAGGCTTAATATGGAGTAACGAAAAGGAACAAATGAAGGAGGAAGGAGTAGACAGAAACTTACTTTGGCCGACAAGCGTGATTTATCTTACTAACCTCCGGGAACACGCCCAAATGCGCCGAATCAGTACCATTCCCACTCACAAACACCCGAAACGCATTCCGTTGCACTTTGTCCAACACCGTGTCCCCAACCTGCCGCAGAAAATGTTTCCTTGTTTCACTCGGTAGCCTGTCCACGGCCGCTTCGTACATCTCTAGGCGCCGGTCAGGCGGGACATGTACGTGCGGTGTCGATTGGATTAACAATGCCGGCCCGCGCTGCAGGATAATTTCCCCTTTGTAGATGGTCCGGTTGGCGATTAGCCCGATCCCTTTTCCTGGGATCTCGGCTTCGTAGTAGTCGATGCCTGGTTTGAGTTCGATCTCCAAGCCAGAGTTCGCAGTGAGGGTGTCGTCAGAGAGCTTGGCGCGGGTGTCGGTGTCCTTGAAAATGTGTACATTGTGTGTCGTAGTGATCATGGACAAGCCGGCGTGGCTGGCGTGCGGGTTGGAATAGACGCAGTACTCGGTCGAACAGTGCTCGGGGCCGGTCCAAGGGGCGGGTGGGGTGTAGATGTCGGCATCGCCAAACTCGCAGGAGGGCTGGCGGTCTTGCAGAGGGGTGAAAGGGCAGCGATGGTGGGTTGTTGCGGCTGCCAGTGAGACACCGACGAGAAGGGAGAGTAAGGAATACCTCATGTTTTGCCGTTGTAAGTCAACTCCGACTCCATCTGTGTCTTGTGACAACAAGTGATCTCAAGAGTTAAGGTCGAGGTAGACCCAAGGCTTGGAATTAGAGAAGTCCATACCAACATAGCCCGTGGCCATATGTCCCGCAACGCTCCCTTGACGATCTGTTAATCCATCCATCAAATAATGCCATTAACGTCTCGTTGTCGATCTTTCAACAGGGGAGCACTGACACCCGTTGAGCTCGATGCCGGTAGTCATTTGGCTAAATATCCCCGACTGGATGAACAGCGCCAAGTCGACATTCGGAGCAGCCGGCTCCATGTTTGGTCGCTAAATACGGCATGACTTGCGCGAAGAAGTGTATGCGTTAAACCTTTTGGTACTTCTCTTTGGATATCCGGACTTTATTGAAGATCTAAGAGAAAAGGGGCAGTCCCACTTATTTGAGCTTCAGAGAGCATCACTTAATTGTGTAAGTTAACTTGAAGATAAACACCATCCTGAAACGAATGAAGTTACGTCAAATCAATGCGCCTAGCTACCGTGTTCCAATGCATGACAAACAACGTGACCCGACAGAACCAGAAAACCAATTATAACTGCCTTGATCCATAATACCTTATATCCTTTATACTCAAAATACCGTGATCAGAGAAACTTCCTTCACACTTATTTATCCAGCGTGTCCACATCATTCTTGCTCCCCGTAATCATGACATACCCAAACTCAGCCGCCTCACGCGCCCGCTTCGACATGTCCACATGACCCAAAGACGCGTACGCCTCCGCCATCTTGCGCAGCGTCGACACAGCATGGATAGTCATAAGAGACGTCCTCGCGCTCTCCGGGTCGGAGTAAATCCCGCGCGGGTCCCAGCCGGGCTCCGTCTCGTCGGGCACGCGGAAGCCAAAGTTGCGGAGCACCTGCAGGCCGTAGCGGATAACTTTCCCATGATTCTTGCGCCCGCGGTGCGCGACGATGAGCCACTGGCACGGGTAGATCAGCGTGAGCCGCGGGAGGTGGTGGGCATCGTACACGTCCTTTTCGTGGGCGTCCTCGAGCTGCTTGAGCAACCGCTCGACGTTGCGGATCTTGGCTTCTGGGATGAGTTCCTTGCCGGGGAGTTTCTTCTTGCAGAGTTTGTCGACGGCCTCGGCTAGCTCGCGACGTTTGTCCATGGCCGCCTTGCTACTGCTGTTCCGCTCGGTCTCGCACAGCACGCATTGGCAGGTGAACCCCCAGCCGGCGAGATGCTGCAGGGCGCGTACGTCGGCCAGCGGCTTGACGGGCGCGTACTGGTGGAAGAGTTCCTCGCCGGCTTTGATGTCTTTGGTCGCGCGGTTAATCAGCATGTCGCCGACGAAGGAGCGGATGGTGTTTCCGATGCAGTGGTGGTTCATGTAGGCCGCATGCACCCACAGGCCCTTGGCCATGCGCCCGTCAGGCTGGCTGGGCCGCGTGTCCAGCAGCGTGGATCGTGGCGCGCTGAAGCAGTTCTTGGTGCGGATGCTCTCGACCAGGAACACGTCCACCACGGGGACCCCGTCCACCATGGTACCCTCTTTCCCCGTCCGCTCGTACGCGCCGCCGTCGTGCAGCGCAAGCACGGGTTCGGCGAGGGACGGGTTGTCGCACAGTTGTCGCACCACCATGGCGTACAGCGCGGCCGACGCGCGCGTGGGTTCGTACTGGTTTGGCATCAACGTGGCTTTCTCGACGAAGACCAAATCACCGGCGCGTAAGTCGCGCGTGGCGAACAGCCCGCGGCCGTGGTGCGGAGAGTCGGCAATGCGCGTGTTACGCAGGAAGGATGCCCGATCGAGATGCACCGACTGCGGGCCGAGAGACGCGTGCATGGCTTCAAAGTCGTACTCGCCCGTCTCCTCCTCGCGCAGCCGCGCCTCGCACCGGGCGTGCTCCTTAAGCACGCTGGCGTTGTCCAGGTTGAGGGATAGCGCTGTGCTCAATAGCTTGTGGCTCTCGGCGTAATGGCAGAGCCCGTAGGCTGCTCGCCCGGCGTTGTAGTAGGCACGCCAGTCACGAGGGCCACCTGTTGGTGAGGCCAGCGCGTCTTCCTTGGCTGCGTCGTAGCGGCCCAGGAGCAGGTTGACGCCCGCTCGCTTGGTCCGCACGGCTGCCTTGAACGCGTCGTCGTCGGACACTTCCAGGGCCTCGGTGTAGCTGGGTGAGCGTGTTAGCAGAAGTCGACTAATAGTAGTCCGGGACTGACCGAGTCCCTGACTAAATCCGAAACTCGAGTGGAAACTCACCAGAAAACACACGTCGGGAAATCCTTCTCGATAAACGCTCGGTCCGCCGCATTCCGCCAGTCCTCAGCCGTCTTCAGCAGCGGGCCCAACCTCAACTTCTCCGGGATCACGGGGTCCGTAAACCGCAACAGAATCACATCCGACGGGTGATCCACACAAATCATGTAGTCGCCTGCCGCGCCGTTGTTCTTGTAATACGGCTCCTTCACGGCCACCACGCAACCCTCGGGCACGCCCGAGAGAATGGACGAGTCAGCTTGGTTGTAGATGGCCAGCTTGTCCGCGTTGCCAAACTCATCCTCCACGATGCTCACCGCGCCCGCGCCCACGAACGGCGCGCTGACCGCCTTGACGATGAGGCCTTGGCCTCGGTGGTGCGTCTCGGCCTTGAGTTCTGTTAATGGGATCTGTTCGGTTATTAGCGGGTTTTGTTTCGAGCAAGAGAATGAGTAGTGAGTGCGAGGAGTAATGAATAAGTACAATTTCGAGTTCCCGGATGGACTTGGTCGACGCCGGATACGCATCTGCCAGGACCGGCTGCTTCACCGGCCGCGGCGCCAGCGGCGAAGTGCTCTGCTTCTTGAGATGCGCATTGTGTGTCGCCGTCAACGCCTCCTTAGTCAGTCGCCGAGGCGGCACAGTCCCGGCCTTGCTCTTGGCCTTGGCGGACGCCGATGTGGACGTGGCCATGCTAGGAGAAGCCACGGCGACAGCCATGGCGATATTAGTGTCGTGTGTAATGTAATGGAGTTAGTCAATGAATGACTTTCTCTCTCTCTTTCTCTTATTCTCCCTGTCTCTCTATGTCTTTCTCTCAATGTTGTGATCGGGGCTGGAGATCGCGACTGAAAATGCAACTGAGAAAAAAAGGGGGTCAAGCGACGACTAAATCGAAACTGAGAACAACACCTGCACATCTGCACAGAATAATCCAAAACGGATTCCACGCCGCGACCTGCCAACGCAGCGAAGCCGGAAGATCAATGGAAGCAACCGCCCGTGCTGCGGGCCGGGATCTTGAAGAAAGGTGTCATTCTCGGAACCTGAGCGGCCGCAAAACTGTAACCGACTTAGCGGGCTGGCCCCATTAGCCGTGCTCCCGAGACCAGTCCCCAATGGAAGTTTAAAACCCAGCACCCCGCGAGATCCCCAATTTGCCCCCAAGGTCGACGTAGCAACAGGAACAATACCACCGTCCGCCCCACGGGGAAATGCGGAGAAAGCGGACAGTTCTGGGTCTCAAGCGGTCCGGAGCCGCCTGGTGCGCTAGTCAACGGAATTTCCGATTCGGGCAAGTTCCCGGCTCGAGGCCGTTAGCCGTCGTCACGGGAACCCATATTAAATTCCTCCCTTTCGACCAAGGTGTTTATGCATGCTCTTTTCTGGCTTGAGTAAAGAAACAACTGGAGAACAACCTTCTTCAGGAAACTCGCCGAGCAAACGGCCGAGAAAGTAATGAAGAACAAGCATGCTCAGACCTTCTCGATCTCTCATTACATTACGCTCTTCTGTCGCCTGATGCGAAGCCCTGCGTCAGAAGCTGAACTACTTATGTCGTCGTAATGACCACGTGAGACGGGCGATAGCGAGGTCGTCCGGGCCACGTATGCCGGTATGCCCTGCTCATGCAACACATACAGCACTGTCCCTATCGCCCTCGGTGATGGTGAGAATGCTCATCTCCGTCGTCAGAACAGAAGCCTCATCAGGATCCGCGCATACCATGAAATCCTTCGCCCCGTACCGGGCGAGGACATCCTCAATCGACTCCGTCCATTCGTCTCCGACTACGGACTCAACCCATACATTCCGTGTCCGCATAGAGACATATAATTCCCCGTTCACAATGTTGAGTGCACTCCGGCCCTTAACGACCTCAAACGCTTCCAGCAACGGCCCGCGATCAGGCGTACCAATCTCGCCATGCTCCCCGTCGCCCACCGCGTTCGGGTCAATCCCCGCCTCGAGGAGAATTTTGGTAGACCGGGCATCTCGTAGTGCCGCTGCGACTTGGAGTGCGCTGACAGCATACCCGGCCGGGGTGGCTTTGGCGCCGAGCTGAAGAAGCCGTTGGATCACCTTGCAACCCCAACATGGTGATGTTGGGCTGTCGCTGTTCGCACCCACGTGGTGGTGGTTGACGATGGCGAACACCAAGAGCACGGATGGGTCGAAATGGCCCGAGAAATAATCCAGTACATCCGACAGCGCCTGGCAGGGCTGTGCCCACGTGCCGGCAGGGAGCTGGGCAAAGAACTCCAGTACAGAACCACGGAACCGGACTGGTTGGACAAGGTGGGCGTCTACCCCCACCGGGCACAGTTCGCCCCGCCGGTGAAAGCACACGCCCGGCTGAAATTCGAGATCAATCTGGCAGGACAGGTCTGCACTGGTGCGGTCCAAGCTTTCTAAATATGCCCTTGCAAGACGGCCTCGAGGCTCGACTTGGAGCATGCGGGCGAGGGTTTCCAGTTCCGGTCTCGCAGCCGGTTCGAGGAGCGTGAGGCCGTTGGCGCGAATGAATGCGGTGATCGCTGGCGATATCGGATTTTCCAGCTTGAAGTGTGTCTGTGGCGGGTACCAGAAGAGGCTTCCCATCGTTGGCGCGCGAACCCTGACCAGCTCCACGGCCGGGGTGAGCCACGCCAACGTCCCCGACGACAGGAGCGTGTCCGTGTGCCAATGAAGCAGGACAACCGACGACTGGGCGCAGTAGCGGTCAAAGTCAGAATACATTTCAATGCCAGGCATCTCGGGAATTTCTTCGTCCCATCGCTCAACGCTGGCAACAGCCGTGTTAAGAAGAATGACTGCATGATCCGCCAGGGCCTGTTCCCTATGGAGGCTGAAGAACGCGGCAGGGCCAGATCGGATCCGGCGAGACTCCAGGAATTCAAGGACGGTGTAGTGGGCAAAAGCGACCGTCGGTATGTCGTCCACAACCCTGCCCCTGGGCCGTACTGTGTACGTGGTCGGCGTCACCAGACACCCGCAGTATTCTCGGAGCAGTTCCTCATCAAACATATACCCTTCAAACAACCCAGCGTTCGGGTCGTCCGACTCTTGCAGTCCGCGTTCCACGGCCGCGAACAGCACCTCGAACGGAATGTCCGCGCCTCGGGGCACGTTGATCTCGGAAATGTCCACCGTAGCAATGGGACTGACACCGGGGATCACTTGGTGAATCGCCCTGTGCGTACTCATCCACCATAGGACCTGTTGGACGAACAGCCGGGCATCTTCCGGGATACTCATAAAGACACGCTCATATGTCTCATCCAAGCTCTTGGGCAGGTTGGCCAAGGCCGTTTGGATAACTTTGGACTCCGGCTTGAGGCGTTGTAGGGAGTCGAGTTGACACACGACCCATCGAAACCTAGAAGTTTACAAAACACAAACACGGTCAGCATCTAGATCTGCGCCGAGCCACCGTTGCTTGCCACGAAACAACTCCAACCAAAGAGAGCGGCTTACATCCCGTTTGCTTTGGCGGACAACGCATTTGCAACCTCCCGTCGTAGGTCCGCCCGCCAACGCTTAAACCTTGGATGGGTGTCTAGTTTCGACTGGACATAGAGCCTGATGTCATCGTCCAAAAACGGGTTCTGCATCGATATAGGCACCGCAACCTCGGTCATGGCCTCCTCGATGTCGGCATATTCCCGACTCGTCGCAAGGAGCCGTAGGTTCTCGAACCGGCTATCGGACGCGAGCTCTCGTAGAACTCGAAGCAGCTTTTCCCTCTCTAGGCTCTCGTCCAATGCATCAATGACGACAAATACCTTTCCAAACGCTGGTAAGAAGTCGGCCAACGCAGCGAGGAGGTTTTTGGCCGTTGGGTTACTTCCCCGCCGATGCAATTCGTGCACGGCGAGGGGCACTCGGCCCAGCTGCCGGCACAGCTCGAAAATCACCCATCGCAGGAACGGCACCGTTTCATCCTGCGCGTGGCCAAAGTAGCAATAGTAGTACACATAGCCGGAGCTGAGGCCTTGCGGGCCACGATACCGGTGCGTGGCTTGGAAGAGGTGCGATGCGAATATCGTTTTCCCTGCGCCAGGGATCCCGTGGATCCAAAGGCAACGCGTTTTCTCTTCCGTAAATGCCTCCCACACCGGATCGCGGAAGAGCCAGTCCCCTGTGCCAGGCTCATAAGCCTCGCAGGATCGTTCGTGTATGTCCGATGGGTCAGTGGCGCACAGCCAATTGTAAATATTACGTTCTTGTTCGTCTGCTCTGTCAAATTAGGACAGTATTCAAAGAAAGTGAGGGGGGAATAAAACCGTAAGACAAAACAAGGAGACGTTTCACGCTTGTAGTGGTGGGTAAATGACATACCGGTAATGATTGCGTATATTTTCTCCGTGTTGGCCTTGGTTTCTTTAATATCAAGACTGTAATGCAGCAACAAAGAGCCAAACCAGGTCAGATCATTATTTATCTCAGATTCGCACGGTGTGTTGGTCTGGAGATGAAACTCACGAAGAATCGGTCGTTAGAGCTAACGCAATGATGCGCTTGTACTCCCGTAACTCATGCAATAAGCTTTTTGCTTTCGATTCCTTTAAGAACCAGGAAAGGGCGCTCTTGATCGCTGTCCGTTTTGAATCGGATCCAAATACAGCTTCATGGGGCAAAGCTTTCTCAAGTTCAAGAATGACTTTTTTGCATCCTTCAATCGGGCCGTGATCCCGTGACAGAGCTTCGAGTGTTGCTGGAACCTGATTACACGAGACGAGGAATTGAAGGTCATCCAGAATCGTTTTGAGCGTCGAAACCTCCACGAGAATCAGGCGCAAGTCGCTTGGGGCGTCCCGGACGGCTTCCAAGAATCGTTTGCACAAGGCGACCACTTTGACGGCCGTGTGAATGATGGATATGATGTTGGCTGCAGCGCTCAGGGGATCCATCTCCCCAGAGGGGCGATCACAACCGTCCACTTCTACTAGGTCTAATTGAAGGGACAATGTCTGGCCGTCTATGAGCGTCCAGCTAGACGGTCGGCGTTGTTCATGATCTTGGTCGTCTAATTGCGTTGATGCATCGTCTTGGGCTAGTGAGGCTGCTGAGGCTGCCTTTTCGCTTTTGAAGGGAACCAGGTCTCTGCGCATTGTGTGCGACGGCCAGCGCAAAACACCTGGCGGTTCCGTTGCCAATGAAATCGAAGATGAATTGGTCGGTCGCACTGCAGGATAGCCGAGTTGCAGGGTATGGCGGTTAAGGAAACAGGGGGACGGGGGCGTAATTCGCCCACGAGTAACATTGAGTGCAATGCTGCAGGAAAACACGGGGAATTTAAAGAATCGTGAATTACTACTCCAACTTCAACTGTTGATGTCATGGGATGATGGGTCGCGACGAGACCGCGGGGTTATCATGATCTGCCCTGCTGCGCATCTGTGGGCCCCAACGTGGTGTTTCTTGGTGGTCGCCGCATAATCACAGTGCGCTGAACTCCCTTAGGAACCGGTCCAGCCAAGTCCACCGCATTGTTCTCTCCCCAATAGCTCCCGTTTGTGTTGCTGGCGCCCCAGTTCTCCGTGACCTTCATGTCCAAAACAGCGACATCCTCGTAGCCAAACTTTTTGTACAGAGCATAAGCAGCCGGGGACGACTCGACGCGGCAAGGAAGCCCAAGGCTGTCAGCGAGGTTGACGCCCCACTGCATAAGGGCCGACCCGGCCCCGGAACGCTGCCGGGTTGGGTCACACGCAAGAAGGCTTAGATCTATGTTGGTTTTTTTGGGGTGTATCAGTAACATCGACCGTCAACAGCAGGGTCGGAAGAGGCGAGGACCTTACACAATGCTGCTTCGCCTTTAGCATGTTGTTGCTGGGCCCGATCCATTTCACCCATGAATGCGTTTACGACAGATACATCGCAAACGTCCCCCCATGTCTCCGTTGTCGCATGTAGCTCCTTCCCCTTCCATTCCTCCTCGGGTTGTTGTTCGCGTTGAAGTCGCCACTTGGCGTAGGCAATGATCTCGCCTGGTCGGTCTGAAGGTCCGCCCTGGGGGAGATATTCAACGACGCAGACAAACCCCTGTGTCCGGGGCGGAGTGGTTTCTTCAGCGGGGACAGCCGGCATCAGCTTTAACTCGAATTTTGTTTTGCAGTCCTCGGATACCCCGCGGGGGTACATCAATTGGTTCATAATGTTGTCGGCGAAGGCCGCAAAGTGTATATCTGCCATGGTCTTGATATCCCCCTGTGTGGCTGCGCGGACCCGCAAACGGGATTTCGTCGCCATAATTGCTGCTTCGTTGGTGATTTGGGCCTTTTTTTTATGTCTTGCACGAACTGTTTGTTGGGTCGCGTGGACCTTTTCAACATCCTGGTGGTGCAAGGCAGACGGCGACCTTTAAGAAATAACACCCCACTTGTAGCCCCCTCTCACCACCCCGCTGCGGGTGAGAGGTGGTGGGCACAGTTTGCATCGCGGCCAACCTATTTAGGAATGGAGTTCGGATTGGTGGACTCCTGCTGAGGTTGGGGAAGGCTTGGCCCTGTTATCTCATGACTAAAAGGTTTCGTGTGATTTGAACTAGTGTAGTTACATGGTACAAGGAAACCGTCCACTCCCCTTTCTCATCTCTGCAGCGGTCTTCTTGCGTCGTTAGAGTTGGGGAGGAGGGGAGTGACTATGCTCTCGAGCTCTGGTCTGGACATGTTGAATGTCGTGCTGTACTTGAATATGTGGGGTTCCCACAGGCATTATCCAATCATTTACGATCTTTTGTCAGCCCCACAGAAGGGAAGCTCACCCGTGAGCCGCACGTCGTGTTGCGCCTTCCGAACTGATTACGAATGATCGCGACATCGTCCCATCCAACATTCTACCATCATGGGCAGCTTTCGGACGAGATTGATACTCTCTTTACCGTTTGTGATCTTGAGCTTCTTACTCACCCGCGCACCGTTCACAATGACTTCAGTGGCCCCGTCTAAGCCCTGGGCGGATGGGCCCTTGACCCTGATCGCAACTCCTCAGTTCCAAACCAAAAAGGTAGCAACGGCGGGCTGGCAATGGCCCCCCCCAGTAGACTCTAGTACTGACTGTTGATCATACAGACCGATATCTTTACATCGGGAGCGACACACATGGCCCTACTACGTATGGTACCCATTAACCCATCTCCAGCCCGACTCTCGAGTCTCGAGATACGGTTCACATGTATTGATGTCGTGACTTAGACAACTCAATTTTTCGCGGTTACAACTCTATATACCGCCAAGCTCCCATCGTCGCCGATCGGGATAAGACTGACTTCTTGGGCTACTGCCTCACCTGGCTTAAATTCGTCAAATCGCACCACGAAGATGAGGAAGCCACTCTCTTCACGAAAGTTGAAGATCTTCTCAACGACAAATCGATTTTCGAGGAAACACAAAAAGAACACGGTTAGTCATCGTGGTCTCATTTGGTCTTCTCGTTCGGCCCCTGCAATAACTAACAACGCAATGCGTGTAGCGTCTTTCCTTGCTGGCCTTGCAGAATTCGAGCGATACTTGACCGGCTTGAAGACGCCCTCTGAACTGTCTGGGGAGGAACTCGTCCGCATTCTGGACTCTTTCCAGCAGCCATTTGAGCAACACTTCCACAACGAAATCACGACGATTTCCAAGTTTTCCGGCCATCCTAATGCGCCTAAGCAGGGGACACCCGAGAACGACGCCGCGTCAGCGACATTCAAGGCATGGGGCAAGAGCACTGTTACCAAAGCTGGAGTTGCGGATGTCGTCCCCTTTTTCTTGCTCAACCTTGACCGTACCTTTGAGGATGGCCTGTGGGCGAACTGGCCCCCAATGCCTGCTCCCATTCGATGGGGCCTGATTAACATCGCTGGGTCCTGGCACTCCGGTCGGTGGAGGTTTGCTTCCTGCGACGCTGCCGGGCAGCCAAAGGAACTCTGGGCACATGGAGCTACTGCTTAGGGAGGCTTGAAGGTTGTAAAGACGCGGCATTTTAGCGTGCAAGGGCGTGGTACACTAGGTGTTCATATCCCATATCGCCACTAATACTTAGGTGTATGAGGTCTTCGCTTTTGAAACCTGTCGCTTCACCTGTGTACTGGAGATGCTGTGTCCTTCTGGCACGAGGTGTAATCCCGTCACCAAGCCCCTTCAAGGACCCACTGTCCGGTCTAGGTGGTGGTTCTTCCCAAGATTAGGGTTAGGGTTTCCCTGCGGCGCTGACAAATTGCCGTTCATGGCCATATCCACACCCTTCGGTTAGCCGTCATGGCACCTTACCTTGAACTGAAACTCCCCAAGTCGAAGGTCAGAACAAAACAACCGTCGTCATACTACTGCAACTTTGCCTTTCCAATTCATCACCGTACAGGCCTGGCCTTTTTTTCCCTGGTTACTACGATGGCGGCGACTACCCGAAGTTCTGGAGGTTGCTGGACCTGCCGGCTTCGGCGCAAGAAGTGCGATGAAGAGCGGCCCCGCTGCAATGGTTGTCTTACACTCGAAATCGATTGCCATTATGGGAATGACAAGCCAGACTGGATGGATGGCGCCGAGAACCAAAGGAAGAAAGCCGAATGGCTGAAGAAGGAAGTTAAGCGAAAAGCGACACATCGACGGGAACGTCGACACCTCCAAGGCTTGGAAGTTAGACTAGAATCCCTCGATGCGTCGCTCACCGACGAAAGCGACAGCACGATGCCCAAAGACCTGATCAATGCCGTGCCTGTGCCACCTGATACCGAAATGGCATCTGCCCCGTCCTCAGCGTCTAAGGAATCCACACCGACGTCGAGATTCGACACCCCGCAGACCGAGTCTTCGGCGTCAGTCCCGACCCCTGATTCACAAAGCGATAGCCTTGTTTCAATTTGGGAGCAATCTCGAGTGAAGCTGTCGCAGGAATCCGAGTCGCACTTGACCATGACGTACTTGGATTATGTGTTTCCCTTTTTATTCCCATACTATCGACCATCGTTCGCAGATATCGGGCGCGGTTGGCTCTTGGTACTTCTTATGAAAAACAAAGCGCTCTTTCACTCTGCCCTCAGTTTAGCAGGGTATTTCCACGGAATTCTCTTGGGGCATATCCAGGATGGGATCTCCGATTGCCATGGGCACAGTCTGAAGGTGCTCCATGAGCAGCAAGGGTTAGCACTCCAATGGCTCCAGCGGGAGATGCAGGAGATCATAACCCGCGGTGTCAAGGGCAACCTCGCCGAGGCGAACCATCTTATGGCCGGCATCATCCAGCTCCTGACATGCGATCTCGCTATTACGAAGCCCGGAAACTGGGTGATGCATCTAGAAGCCGCATCGGAGCTCTTTGATGAAATCATGATCCAGAACGCAATGACGGACAATAACCGGACCTGTTTTCTGTTGGTCCTGCTGCAACTAGGTTCCACCCCTTTTACCTGGACCCCGAAGAATCATCCATGGGGCTCCGACCAAGCTATACTGCGTTTCTTTACCGCCCAATTACTTTTCCTCGATACCGTCTCCAGCACCACCCTCCAACAGCCTCCCCGACTACGACGCTGGCACCGGGATCTTTTGCTTGAGCCTGACGAGCAGGCTATGAAGGACATCCCCATCACTGATAAAGAACATGATTTCCCCCACATCAAACTTCATGAGTTTACCGGGGTACACAACTGGGCCATCATGTCGATTGCGGATATAGCCGCGCTGGACACATGGAAAAAGGACATGAGACGAGCCGGAAGCCTGTCTGTCACGGAGCTCGTAACCCGAGCATCGACAATTGAACAGCATCTCCGGAAATGTCTTGACGAAAATGAAGCTAACAGCAATCGAGAAGACTCGAACACTGGGGATGCTGATTCAGCGCTGTTTCGGTATTTCGCTTCTGGTTTATCCAGTTCGAAGATTCATGATGTTTCCCTAAACTCTCAGATTTGGGGTCAAGCGGCTCTAACATACCTGGCCGTTGTTCTCTCTGGGTGGCAGCCTTCCGCCGCTGAAATTAGGGACTCTGTCGCGCGGACGATCGAATTGCTACTTCGGCTTCCGAACCCTGACTGCCTTCGCACCGCCGTCTGGCCGTTTACAATCACCGGCTGCCTAGCTGCTCCGTCACAGGAACAAATATTCAGGGATTTAGTAGCCGGGATGGGGCCACTGAAGGTGTTCAGCACAGTCCGCGAGGGCCTTCTTATCATGGAAAAGATATGGAAGAATCGTGCGGTAATTGACGCCAACCCAGAACAGTGGGATCTGGGTACTTGTTTGAACCTGTTGTGTCAGCCAGTTTTGTTGATATGAGCATGGAGCAGGAGACGATGGGTTGGACGAGGCGTTTCAGACAGGTCTTGACGAGAATACACATGGCGCAAGCATGGCGGAAAGGACGTCACAGCCCGGAGGATGACGAAGGCTACCTTGGATATCTAAGGAAAGCAAAAAGGTTTAGGTCGTGGTACAAGATGCTACAAAATAAATTGACTGCACGGCATTATTCTCGTGCCGGCTACAAGACATTAGAAGGGTCGTATTCCGCCTGCGGCTTGTATATCACACTGTCCAACGCCGCCCACCACCCACTGGCCGCCGAGTCACTGTCCCCTTTTCTCGCAGATCTTCCCCGCTTCCCAAGATCCAATGGCTTGGGGACCAGTGAGCCATGCGGGTCTAGAGGGGTCCCTGAGGTGTGTTTTTGTGGTGCACCCGAATCGCCTAGATTCTCATCTCCCGGCGCATCTTCATCGACCCCGTTGTGGCCTCGTCTGATGCCGGTCTCCACCCCTCGGTGTGGCTTGTTCGTCTCCATTTCGCTTGTCTTGGGTGTCGAGCCGTTCTCGGCTACCGTTTCTTTAGCTTCGGGCACCTTCCCGAAGGATGCCGACCTGGGGATAGGATCCTTTCTCCCCGCTGCGACACTGCCCGGGCCGTTGTTGCTACGTGGCTGACCACGCGATGAGGACATCGTCACATTCCCCAACCCGACTAGCTGTCTTCCAGCAGGGCGTTGGCGAATTTCATCGCGACCGATAGGCGAGACCTTCTGCCGGTCGCGTGCCGTGTCCGTATCTGACGGATTCATGGGCTGGGTTTCCAATGCGCCTAGAGGGCCATATGCATCTCTTCGGACGGGCGCCCCGCCCCCCTAAAACTGACCACCGCCGTATCCGTATGCTTCATCTGGGTGCATCCTCGGTACCCTAGCCGCCGGTGGTTGACCCAGCGACTCCTCATAGATGTAGTTCCCGGCCCCCGCCCTCGATCCAGATCGAACTGGCGGTACGGGAACCGCCCTGTTGAGATTGAGACGGTCATCAGCGTATCCGCCATATCCTGTCTGTGCCGGTGGAGTGGGCGTGAAACCTCGAGTGTTTACGCCCTCCTGGCTATACGCCATGGGGTCGTTCTTGCCGGCAAGGATTGCCCTTTGGAGCTGTTTCTGTCCAAGCTGAAGGAACACAATAGATAATGCGCTGAGCGTAAACAGGACGCACACAACGATCAGTAGCGTCCAGACGGCAAATAACCTGGAACAGGCAGAGCGGCCGTCGGTTGCAAAGGCCATCCTCCCCGAGGCAAGACTAGGTGGCGCGCTGATTTCGAATTTCCCATTCTCCCGAACAGCCGAGCAGCTGAAGTCAGCCATAGGCAGGCCAAGGACCACAGTGAGGGCGACGAAAGGGATGAGGAGCACGAAATCTATGGACCAGGTCACATCATACATGAAGTACCGTCGACTATAACCTGTCCAGGAGAGGAGTGCCCAAGCCAAGGCGAGTCCGGGCTGTGTCACAGGTTAGTACTCCCTGGAGTCGGTTAAGACAGAGATATAAAGAGTCGTTCCACTTACATAAACGGTGAGGATAATTATCATGGGCTGAGCGGGCTGTCGACCGCGCGTGGTCGCCGATAGGAGTGCTTGAAGAAGTCATGTCGTCAGCTGCAAACACTCTTGATGCGAACGTGCTAGCACCTGGCCATCCAATCTGCCCAAAACTTAGACGCTTGAACTTACTTCCCATCAACCCCGTAATAATAGCCAAGCAAACGACCTCTGTAAAATAACCGTTAGCCCAGCTGCGCTATCGCGATTTGCCCTTGGAAGCTAACTGAAGGAGAGGCGAAGCCTAAGGCGCGGCTGCGACACCCAACACAGCTCCAACTGCGCCAAGGAACAGATCTACTTACCAGCCGCGCGAAGCGCAAGAAATGCATACGAGTAGAACCCTTCTGGGCGAAGAGAGAGGGGGTTCTTCGCGACCGTTCTCATAACGAGCGTAGTATTTGTTAGGGTGACAACTCGATGTGGAACAAGAAACAAACACCCGATTTTGGTTTCGGTGTTTCGGTATGGATGTTTTGACTAGGCGCAAACAAAAACGGTGTGGTAAGAATGTGTTTTGGTTATGAAGGAGAAGGAAGAGATCAAGCTCCAATTCGAAGGGGGGCAGGGGAAGAAGAAAAGGCCAAAAGGTGGCGACGGTTTGGCGAGTCAAACTTGAAAAGCGAGGATCATACATGATGCACGAGTGCGAATTTTCCCCGATACCTCAATGATCATGAGACATAGTGTCCTCCAGAGCCAGGCCAGTGACCACGGTGATCAGACGTTGCGCGAGATGGGTGGTACAAAGGATAGCTCTGACATGAGACGAGATTGCGCCAGGTACTGCACATGTATTGCATTTGCGTGTAGATGAGAAAGTCTCCCTGTCTCCGATGAATTTGAGTCGTTTCTAAGGTGTCTCGGGCGCCGGGCCCGACCCCGGTGGTGTTGGTCGAGGCCCGGGTGGGGCCGGAAATCCGGCCGGGAAAGTGGGGCATGCGAGACGCGGGGAAACCCAGACAGGCCCACGGCCGCGGCCCGGGAGAGGCAAAATGCCCGGGTTGCTGTCGTCACGATTTACCGATCGAATGAAAAAGACAATATCCAGGATGGTAATCGATTTGAGTCGATGAACCCCATCGCTTTGCAAGAACAGTCAGGCTTCGGCCCCAAAAAGCAAACGAGTAATTAAAGTGCTGGAAGAAACAAGACCTCAACGTCTTTTGCACCGTTTATTGCACAATTTTTTGCCGCTCATACTCCAATCCGCCTGCCTAAATCTCATGTGAACATTTCGGCATGATTCAGTAACAAAGGAGAAATAAAACCACCCCCGCGCCCGCTGTTACGACCGCATCATCACAAGCCCCAGTCCAAGTCGGCCTGTTTAGATAACTATCTCTCTAGGCAGGATTCTAGCGTCGAAACTCCGGCATGCGTCGCTGGATCGCGAGATATAATATTAACCGAGCAGGTCATCCAGCCCATTCCCAAGGGGCTTAGCACCACTTCCAGCAGTGTTGCTCGGGGTCGACGAAGTAACGGAAGCCCCCCAAATACCAGCGCTGCTCTTTTCCTTGGCTAATTGACCCATAGCGGGGCCAGGGCCAGCTTGGGTGTTCTTTTTAATGCCGACGCTCGCCTGAGACCAAAGGGAGCCAAACGCGTCACCACCGCTCGCTGGCTTTCCGGATGCAGCTGCTCCAGCCGGTTTAGTTCCACTCAACAAGGGTTGGGGGGCAGGCTGCTGAGTGGGCGCGATTTGGACCGAGGAAAAATAGTTCGGGGTCGAAGCCTGGTATCCCGTTGGCTTGGGTGCTTGCGACGCGGGCGAGAGGGTGTTCGCGTTAAGTGGAGCAGCGAACGCCGAGAGATTAGCAGCGGGGCTGGCAGTCGAGCTGGGAGGCGGCGAGATAGATGACATGGCAACCATCCCGCTCAGGTTCGCCTGCTGCGGTGCGGACACTGGCTGGGGGGCAGCAATGGGAGTGTTTGAGGCAGCTGCCGTGATGGGTGGTGAGAGAGCCGCATGCTGTGGGGCCGTCTGAGTCGCCGGGGTCGCCGACTGGAAGTCATCAAACTCGTCTTCATCAGCGGCGCCGCTGTCGAGAGCCGCCAGACCAGAGGAGCCGGCCGGGGCAGTGGCGGGTGCCGCGGGCTCATCGAAGGAAAAGAGGTCGACTTCGGGCTCCTTCTTCTTCGGTTGGTCCGTAGTCCGTTTCACTCCTACTCTCTCAGTCGTCGCGCGTGGCGGCCGGGAGGTGTTTGCTGACGCAGTCGGGCGCTCCCCTTCGTTAAATTCGTCATATTCCTCGAACTTCTCCGCCCGGGACTGGGTAGAGCGGTAGTCGTCGGACTGACCGCCAAATCCTCCTCCGTCACCGTAAACTCCGCCTGAGTAACCGCCGAATGTCGAGCTGCCGCCGCCCCCATGGGCGGAATCGCTTCCAAACCCGCCATAGCGGCTAGAGCTGCCAAAGCCGCCGCTGCTCTGCATACTGGTGAACTTCCCTTTATTTGTCCGTGCTTTCTTCCGTTCCGCTCGGATGCGCTCAACATCGCCAAGCAGGTCGGCTAGTTCCTTCGCCCGGTGTCTAACATTCACTCCTTGGTCCTTTCCGTTTTGATCGATGAAGTGGAATTGGCGGAGCATCTTGAGCAGTGTGATATGGGATCGGGCGTCGTCAATAACGCGCTCGGAACCGTGCTTGATCAAAAATTCAAGCAATTGGAGCGCCTTATAGATTTGCCGCCATTCTTCGGCAGCTTTCTCCGTGAAACGCCGGTAGATCATAGGCATGATCTCGTTCAAGGTTTGGCTGCGATTGGTGTTGTGTCAGATGATTCGCGGCAATCCCGAATCACAGCCGGGCATGTAGCACGTACTAGTTGAAGGTGCCATCGGCAATCTCCTGCATCTGTGTCGAGGACGCGCCCCATGGCTCATTGTTTGTCGCTTCGCGGACCTAGGACGTGTTGTGTTGAGCTAAGGTCACCTGGCGCGTTGTCTAAACAGCTTACCTTCGCCTCCATCTCTGTGTAGTTCATGACAGCTGCGGCGACGGTTAGATTGACGGTCCGATACTTGGCGCGCAAACGTGAGGGGAAAAAGAATGTACAAACCATTTTGCATTTTGCGCACCCCGGCCTTGATGTCGTACAGGGTCAGATTTGACACCTGTTTCTTGATGTTGTTCAAATCCATGGTTTTCGAGCGTGGGGGCGAAGCCTTCGCGGAAAGAATAGCACAATGGGAATATGATCGGCTATCAAGCCAATATTGTTCAAACTCAAAGACGGTTGACGACGTGCGGGGGGTTGGCACTTGGGGTGGTTCTAAAGTTTTGACAAACTTGCAAATGGAGGATGGGCATCAGCGCGCAAGACGCCCTGCGATTTCCCGGGCCGCCAAGACATCTTGGCCCCCTGAGTGGAACCCTTGGTGGTCTCCATTTTGGCCTGAATATTAGGGCAGAAGGATTGAGTGGGTCGTCATGGTAGCGTGAATGATTAATAGCACAAGCTAAACAAAATGTGACCATCGACCAATTTTTTTCCTCTCGTGTCTACAGTCAATTCATCTCTCTACCTTTCCTCTCGACTATTCTGGAATCAACAGGGACTGTCCTTTGAAATGTAAGTACTAACCGTCTTTCGTTACTCGACTACCCTGAGCCATTTCCGTTTACTCGACCCTCGACGAGTGTAACTTGCAGTTGGTGTTCATTCCTAGATAACATGAGCTCTATATACTATCCTCTCCTTGTGCTTGCCTTTTCCAGCCTGTTTCCCTTGCGTTTTGTCACATTCCTGCCGATATCCTCTTCAGTTGCCTGTCATGGGCGTCCTAGATTTTTCAACGCACAATAATACCATGTCATGCTTCTGCAAGGGCAGACCAAAGGGCATTGGAACCAATCGGTGTTGGATTTGGAAGTCCAAGATCACACCGAGTTTCCATAGCAATGGATCACAGTTGTATGGCGTCACACTGTCGAAAGCCATAAACAGCTTGTTTTACGCTGGGCCTCTAGTCTGCGGTGGCTCCCGCATACCCGGGCACGGCAACGCAACGGAGCTGCCTGAGCTTCCGGGCTCCAGCTCCGGAGCTCCTCAGCTCAGCTTCTCGGTTACCCGCGCCACCCCCCTCCAAACCGACCTACCTAAATTTGCTTACGTTCGTAGCAGCGATCACTTCGATCTTGGAAAGCAGCCCCTCCTTTTATCACGTGTACAAACAAATGTCCCTCATGAGCTTTCATCCGCTCCTTCCTCGTCCCACCCCACGACTCCCTGCGTTTGGTTGGCCGGATCTTACGCTAACCCACTCGCCTCCAGACGGAAAATGTTTCGACCCCTCCTACCCCGCCATTGCTCATCTTCCATTCGAACTTCTTCCCTCCGCCATCTTCCCCTGACCCAATTCCTTTCATCCAATTCGCAAAGTCTTCAATCTATCCCAAAAACATCCGCCAGAGCGTTCTCCGCCACATCCGCCAACATGGTCAAGAAGGTGTCAGTTAAGCTCTACCCACGTTGCGCCGCACAGTACAGTGCTCACCTTGCCATAGCTTTTTCGACATCGAGTGGGAGGGTCCGGTTCTCAACGACGAGTTGAAGCCGACCTCCACTGTGACGGGTACGCTGCTGAAGCATTTTGTCGCTGTCATTCAATTGCTCTTGCATTAGCTGTTACTATTACCTTTGCCCACTGCAAGGCGTCTTCGAGTTACCATCTCACTAGCAGTCTATCACACCACTCGCTTAACTTAACGCTAACATAGAAATCAGTCCAGAAAGGTCGCGTTAACTTCGACCTCTTCGACGACGTTGTCCCGAAGACTGTCGAGAACTTCCGCGCGCTTGTGACCGGCGAGAAGGGCTTCGGTTACAAGGGCTCGAGCTTCCACCGCATCATCCCCGAATTCATGCTTCAGGGAGGCGACTTCACCCGGGGCAACGTGAGCCTTTCAGACTCCTATGTCGGGACAATATAAAACCGCTAACCCTTAGTCTAGGGCACCGGTGGCAAGTCCATCTATGGCGAGAAATTTGCGGATGAGAACTTCAAGCTGAAGCACGATCGCCCCGGTCTGCTCTCTATGGCCAACGCGGGTCCCAACACGTAAGTTTATCCTCTCCCCCGAATAGACTACCCAACAGTGACACTAATCGTCATCTTTCTCCAATAGCAACGGATCGCAATTTTTCGTCACTACCGTTGTGACCTCTTGGCTCGATGGCAAGCATGTTGTATTTGGCGCGGTCGCTGATGCGGAGTCATTGAAGATTGTCAAGGCTCTTGAGGCCACCGGTAGTGCCAACGGTAGAATCAAGTATAACAAGGCAGCCACCATCGTGGACTCCGGTGAGCTTCCGGCGACTGAGCAGTAAGTACGTACCAGAGGGGCTCGAATCCTTACCGTATAACATAAATGGTTTGAAGTGTGGAAATTGTCGGCGAGTCTCGAAGGGTTCAAAAAGGCGGCTAGGCATCAATTGCTTCGCTATTGGTCTCAACAGCTGCTAGTCTTGACATGGAAAAGAATTGCCCTGCCTATCCACAATGGTTTCATGTTACACCCATCACTTCTAGTGTGATGACTGGTTCCCGGGATATAAGCTGTCAACTGGCCAGGGGCATACAATGCCAGCTAGGGTTCATTTAAACTACCCCTGCGACCAACAAACATCTGTTAAGCAACACATCCTAACACCACCCAACAACGGTCATGGGGGAAACCCCACATTGGGGGCCAATGCCTGAGGCACATCCTCCAGGTCCAACCACTGCAAAAAATACACGCAATTACTCGGACTCACCGGCCCTCCTTCTTCGCACAGCTCAAATACGGGACACCGCCCACAGGGTGCCTCGGTCAACCCGTTACTAAGGGGTTCGGCACCTGGTACGAGCGATAAATTGAGACCGACGCCGGCCTCGCGTTCCTTTTGTCGCTTGTGAAAGGGCACTGTGTCCTGTTTGGTGGCGCGCGCAACGCGGTAGCCACGGCGCCGACCGACCCGGACGGGCTCAATAAGTCCGTCGTAGGTCAACACGTCGACAAGCTGTTGGATGTCCGCTTCACCAAGAGTTGTGTTATTCGTGATGCCGGTTTCGTGGATGAATTTGGCCATCTCGGCTACCGTCGGATAATGTTTGTACCCGGCGGGCATGGGAAGAAAGATGGCGCGGGTTTTGGTGGATGTAGTGGTGGTGGTGCTTGGCGTGGTCCGTGTTGTGCCGACGGCCGGGGCGGCGTCGTCGTTGGACATTTCGGTGGCCGAGCGTTTGGTCCCGCGTGCCAACGTGGTGGTCTCACCGGCGGTTACCGCGCCACGTTTGGGGGTTTTAGTTGGGCCGGCCGTGCCGGTTGGCTGAGAGCCACGATAGGCGCTCTTGGTTTTGATGTACTCAAATACAATGCCTTCGAGCTCGGCGATAAAGGCTGTGTCAAGCTCCCCTTCGGTGAACCAAGGACCACCCGTCGCGCGGTCAGAGGGACGGAGAGTGGCCTTGATGTACATCTTCTTGTTCGGGTGCTCGACATTTTTCATGCTCGCGATGTATCCCTTGGCCTCGAGGAATTTTATGGTAGATTTTACGACCGCCTCGTGCATGTTCAGTCTGTTCTTGATCGTTCGGTTCCAAATGCCGTCGGCACCCGCCTCGTCGATGATCGCGTACACCATGACGGCGTCGTCATTCGGGAGCGAGGTGTACCTAGTCAAAAACTGTCAGCTTTAATTACCTTAACCGAGTGATACAACACATATGATTTCCTACTTCTTTGCTTCCTCTCTGCTCCTCCATCTCCACGATAACCCGGCATGATGATTTGTTGTACCGATTAAGAGCTTATCGTCAGTGAGGCCTTGAACGACGTTCATAAGAAGCTCCAAATCATTGTTCGGGATTATGTTGAGATCAAGAATGTCGCTCTGTGCAAAGAGCCGAGTCGCGGAGCCATGCTGCCGGATCTCCTCGTAGAGCGCATCTTTGAGAATCTGGAGCTTGGCGGGATTCGCCATGGGCAAAACGAAATGGTGCGCTTGCGCGCGCGTGCAATCTCGGATGTCGGTTCGGGGATGGAAAGCAGTAGTTGAGTTTAGTCGATCGGCAATTGACTTGTTTGGAGGGGTAGTCTTCCGAAAGGATAAGCTGCAAATGCGGTTCGCGTTGTGGAATGAGTGTTGGTGTTTCTGGAAATTTAAGTTTGTGAGAGAAAAGTTGCCCCGCTATCAGCAGTCACCTTTCAGCCATGCAAAGTCTGACCGGCATGATTGGCCGATGACCCCCCACTAACCTAACAAGGGTGGCCAGTCAGGCTGCTCGCATTTCCCCCAACTGGTAATCTCCAAAACACCAAGAAGCGCGTCTTCAATGACACTTAAAGAAAATGCTTCTTATAAAAATGTTACACCAAGGCGCTTCAATTACCCATAGACGTATAACTTTGTCCGGCATATTGTACATCCCACGCTTTTACATCCTGACGGCTATCTCCATCCCACTTATTGCATTCCGTTCAACCCATCCTTCACAGAATAATACGCCAGCCCGCCTGGGCGTGTCTGATCTTCTCACCTAACGGAATTAGCACTACCATTCCCAAGCCAATAACCGCCACAAATATCCCGGCTTGGGTCCCGAAGCAATTGACATAGCCGACCTCCTCAACCCATGGAACAATGCCGTAAAGAAAGGCGAACGCGGCGATGTTTTTGTACCCTAGAAGAGTGGTTAGGTTGGGCATGTAACGTATTGGCCTTCACGGGTGGAAACTACTCACCATTAACGAGCATTAGCGCGTCCGAGTTGACGGGTAGTACGCAGTCAGATACATACGCCATCGTGATCGTGGGTATTGCCGTGAGCGCAACCGAGATCATGCCATACCCAAAAAAGAGACTGGTCCAGTGAAGCGCCTTCTCTACACCATAACCGAAGGTGACACACCCCGCCGCGGTGATCAGCAGTGGTACGATGCAGAGGTGTAAACGATTCTCCGGCTCAAAGACTCCGTTGTTGCGTCTTGCCCTCCAGTCGCAAAACACGTCTACCAGCCACCCCCCGGCATAACCACCCACCACGTTGCCGAGAAACCCCGCAATGTTGATGAGGCCGTTAATCATGGGCGACCAGTTGTATGGCGGGGCCTGGAGCACGAAGCTATTCAGGATGTTGACCGCTACCGTCAGGACGAGCGAAACCGCATACCCCAGGAATGCGTAGATGACGCATGGGTATACAAACATGGGGAGTGGCCGTACGAACATCTTGACCAAGTTCGTATCTGGTGCAACTCCAGACCAGAGGCTCAGCTCCTGGGCCCACGACTTCTTGGGCACTGCCGTTTGCGCGTTGAGGAGTTCGCCATCTGTGTCGCCGCCCGTCCCCGGGTTGCCCTCCGTTGCGTTCCCGTCCGTATTTTCGCTCGACGAGACCCAGTTTGCGTCCTTGCGTTTCTGCGCGCCCATTCCGCCCAGTTCATCCCGGTAATACCTCGTCTCCGGCACGAACAACAACACGGTAATGAAATTGACCGCGGTCAGCATCACGGCAATCCACTTGTGCCACCGCCAACTCAACCCGGTGATGACAAACCCACACACCAACGGTCCCAGGGTATTCCCGCCGGTAATCGAGTTCATGTACACCCCCATCTTGGCTCCCCTCTCGTGCAGAAAGTATAGGTCATTCACCATGCTAGCCCCCAGCGCCTCAGTCGACGAGGCCGCGAAGCCACCCACGATATTCGACCACAACAGCGATTCAAACGACGTCGCCGCCGCGCCCCAGACCATACACCCGCACAGCAGGCCGCTGCATAACACAAACACGGGCCGCTTGCCAAAGTAATTCGCCAGCGGCACCCACAGGAAGTTGAACACGCCCATGACTAGGATCGGCCAGAGCAGCAGCGCGCTGGTCTCGGTGGCGGTTTTGTCGAATTCCTGCGAGAGCAGGTAGAAGGCTGGCGCCAGGCCGCCGATGCCATAGTTGGCCAGGAAGGTGAAGGCGCAGACGGATAGAAAGGCTGTGTGTTTCTTCCAGCGGGGCCAGCGGAGGGGGTCGTTGGGGTCGTTGGGAGAAGGCCGGGGGTGGAGGAGGAGGGCCGGGTCGGTGCCATGGTGGAGGCGGACGGTGCCTTCTGTGTTGTCGAGGTCGTGGAGGGTGTGGAGGCCCATTGTTTCTCTCGCGGCGATGGTGTTAGGTTTGAGTGTTCAATGCGGTGCTAATTTGTTGGAAGCTGAAGATTGCGGGAGCAGGCCGGCCTGGTGATGGTGTTGCTGGGAGTAGTCGGGGCATGGTGGGGGACTGAGGTTATGCGGACGGGCTCGGGGCCATTTTGAGACATTGTGTGCGATGTGAGATGCTTGAGATCAACATTCCGTCAGGAGTGGCTGCTCTGTGCATGGCCAGCGTCGGACGTCCGTGACCGGTGGCTTCCGGCGGTTGAGCACGGTTGGCTGTGTCGATTTTACAGTGTGCTCATTTGATGAGGGTTCCCGTTACGAATAATCCTGGCCCGATGAGACCGGATGAGTACTTAACAATGTTTGAACGTTTCTTACCGGTCAATGGTAGGACATTGAGGACTTTTCGCGGTGCTCTGCGTCGACATAGATCCCGGCCCTGGCTATCCCGAGAAACTTACATGTATGTATGTACATACATCCACAACCAAAGGCCGTGTCGAGCGGCTAGTCATCAGATGACGTCTGTGCTATGCGACTCCCAACCGAGCTCAAGGGGACTCCAACCCCGGTCAAACTACGAAGTATTTCAAGGGAATTAGATATGGCCGAAAGACTTAACTAGTAACTACATACTGTGTCGCTAGGGGCTTCAGGTTGGTTTAAATCACATCGACACTGATGGCTCGCAATTTGAGGAGGCGTGCAAGTCTACAAAAGGGAGGCAGCGATCATTGATCGACGATTTAAGCTTTTCGGGAACCCCAGTTTTTGATGGCCGATCTGCAACGAAGGTGACGGCATCCCATCTTGTTGATCTTCATCCACTCCCTCGCACACGTCGTACCTGGCTTCGTCTCAATACCTTCTATTGGGTGGGAATAATACAATGTACGAATACTCCAAGCGGATTTGGGAAGTGTTTCCGATCGGAAAATATTGCTGGGCTTGTTATTTTACATCCCAATGCACCTGCGTTCACCGGCCAATCGATCCTCGCGAAAACGCCGAGGTCGTGTTCTTCATTTCATTTCCCACTTCTGGTCCAGGCTCGACGAATGTGGTTCTTATCGTGAGTCTTGGCGGAAATGGCTATTTTAGGACAGCCAACCAAGCATTGTTGGTTTATTTCGCTGCCCGATTTGGGACGTTGTGGCGGAAAATAAAATAAAAAACACGATCTCTTATCTTTCCGCCCTAGCCGTTCCGAGATCCACACTTCTGCTGGAGGACGCAGGGCACCCACGAGGCCCGAGGGTGCTTTTCCAAGACAATCACTTTGGTCTCTGGCCTGTGAGTAAGGACGGGATACGCAGATTTCCAGAATCGGAAAGAAAATTCCGAATCCAAGAAAATCTTCCTGGGTGGTGGGCGTGCACGCCATGGGACGCATTCCGTGATGATTCAGGGGTAATATTACATATTGGACGCGAACAAGCATGTTCCCAACGATAAGGTGGAGTTCGTCCCTGGGGTCTCGACCGCTGTGGGGGACGGGTCCGGGGCGCCCTTCGTATTGAAATCCGAACTTACAAAAACGGCTTTGGGTCTCTCATCGATGGCTTGAGTGGTTTCTTTTCCCCTTCTGTGACTTGTCAACTCTCGAGTTCACGCCTGTCGTTCGTTCGTTTCAAGCCAACTTCTACGGTCTTTACTTACCAGCACCGATTTCCGGTAGCAGCCATTCTTTTATTCTTCCGCCGTCACCGTTTACTCCTTTCCAACATGCGCTTTTTGTCTCTCCTCGCCCTTGGCGCGCCGCTCGTCTCGGCCATTCAGTTCTTCGAGCCGATCGCGAACGCCACTCTCCACAAGGGCAGCACATACCCGGTGAAGTGGCACAGCGTTGACACGGATCCGTCCACGTTCAGCATCTACCTGGTCAACTTTGTCGACTGGCCCCCCTTTTACACCCAGGTGGCCTCGGGCGTGAAGACCGTCGATGGCGAGTACGAGGTGACCGTTCCCTGCGACGTCGACTCTTCGTGGGGCTTCCAATTGTAAGTCATGATGTACCTCGGCATATAAGTGAATAGTGGCTGGCGATATAAAGGTGTGGACTCCTATGGCTAACAACTACGACTAGCAACGCTATCAACGGCACCAACGTCTACATCATCCACGCGCAGACCTCCAAGTTCTCCATCCGCGACGGTGACTGCTCCGGCAGCGGGCCTACCACGCTCCCCGCGCCCCCTACCTGTGAGGCCACCACGGTGACCAAGACGGTGACCGTCACGGCTAGCGCGTCGCAGAGCAGCGAGACCGAGAGTACGATCGCCACCACCATCACCACTTCTGCCACCACTCCTACCACTGTTGAGCCGCCCCAGCTGACCACGACCAGCCCGCCTGTGACGAACAGCGGCGCGGGGAAGCCCGTCCTTGTCACTAGCACGATTACGTCGACGGTGTATGCGCCCTGCGGCGATGTTTGTGCCGTGTAAGAGCGGGGTTGATGAGAGGATTTCTTGAAGGAAACGAGAGAGACGGAAAGGAGTTGGGTTTTGGGACAGCAGCATTCTTGATTAATTAGTTAAATAATTACCGCAATGTCCTGGATTCAGCATAATTACTTCCTTCCGCCAACATCAAATAACACATGATATCCCCTAATTCCTCATCACCGGTTTGATGTGTACGTTCAATGGCAGCCTATCCCACAAGGGGTAGGTCTTCTGTTGCATGATCCAATCGTGGCTGTCATCCTGGAGTTCCATGTCGAACTCGAACACGAGCCGGGCCAGAATCAGACGCATCTCAGCATAAGCAAGGCTTCACAGCCGTTAGCACTTGTACACGAGAAGTAGAGAAAAGCAGTGTGGGGAAAACGGAAGAAGGAAACAAAACCTACTTTCGTCCAAGACAGTTCCTTGGGCCATAGCTGAATATTTGTGATGCTTCGAAGATGTTACCCGCTGCCCTCGCTTCCTCCTCACTCACTAGGAAGCGGTCCGGGTTGAAAGTCCAGGGGTCAACCCAGTTGTCGGCGCTGTGGTTGGCAGACCAAGGCTGGACTTCCACGAGTGCCTATCGTGTGATTGTCAGTATCAGTTGTTGGCTGTGAGCTACAGTTGGATTGTGTGCGAAGACTTACACCACCTGCTATGAAGTGACCCGCAATCTCTTTACCCTCTGGCGGAACGACGCGGACTAAGTCGGCAACCACGGGAGGGTACATGCGGAAGCCCTCGTTAATTACAGCGGTGAGATATGGCAGCTGGGCAGTTGCCTTGACGGTGATGTCGTCTGCGTTCGTAAAGGCCGTTCGAACTTCTTCAGCCAGCTTTTTCCATGTCGACGGGTTCTCCAATAGCAGGTATGTCGTGCCAGAGAGCGAGCTAGCCAACGTCTCGGATCCTCCCATTGTCATAACCAAACCGCTGGTAGACAGCTTCTCGAAAGACAGGTTCTTTTCGAGAGAAAACTCGGGTTAGCAGCCAGTTTCTAGCCTTGTTCAGAAAAGGAAATCTCAAGGAATCAACTCACCCACTCGTCTCGATGCTTTAACAGCCCCTCGAACAAGTCAACCCGGCCCTCCTCCATGCCCAACCGATACGTCAAAATCTCCTCCGTCATCTTCCGGAGTGTCTCGATGGACTTTTGCCCAACAGTGTTAAACAAGATTCTCACGAGCCCCCTGCCCCCGAGGTAGATGATCGACACCATCGCGGCCGCAGCTTTCAACGTCCCCATCAAGAAATCCACCCACGGATGGTACTCCTCCTTGTCCAGACACCCAAACGTCCTCCCCCACACTAACTCCCCGCCAATGTCAAACATTGTCCACCCATACCACTTCTCCATATCCAGCACCGTTCCTTCACCTCCCTGGGACCCCTCATCGCCCCGACACTTCCCCTTAAGCTTCTCCACCAACAAATCCACATGCACCTTCAACGTGCCCCCGGGCCCGGTCCACCTCTTCAACGCAGCATCCGCAAACCCCGGCGCCAACGCCCGCCGCAACCGCCCATGCTCATAATACTCCGCCTGCAGGATACTCGTCTCCTGGTCGTCGGTCGCCGAGGTGAATGTCTTGCTCTTCGGCATCTCCGGCCAGGACCAGTGGCCGTGGGCTTTGTTGCCGGGACGAGGCGGTAAGGCGTTGTAGGCGTCGCGCCATGCTGCCGGGGAGGTGAAGGAGAGGTGGTTGGGGCCGATGCGCACGACGGGGCCGTAGCGGGCGTGGAGGCGCTCGGTGTGGAAGGCGGAGGTGCCGAGGGCGTGGCGGATGGCCCAGGGGTAGGGGGAGGCGGCGTAGAGGAGGGGGCCGGGGAAGCGGTGGAGGGGGTGGAGGAAGAGGTTGTAGAGGGCTGTGGTTAAGGGGTAGGTGAGAAGCTGTGGTTGGTTGGAGGTGTTAGCTCTTACTTGGTTTATCTTTTTTTTTTCTAAAAAAAAAAAAAAAAAAAAGAATTAAAGGGACCGAGGGCTATACCAGAACGAGTATGCTACCAAGAACTAGCATCGGGTGGGAAATGGCCTCACCAAGGAGGTCCCGAATTCCGGACATCGTGAGAGGGAAGGGAAGCGAAGTTCCAAGTTCCTCTTGAGGCCAAGCAATTAAGACACATGTACCAACAAGAAAGTCAATAAACAGCGAAACATGCAAGTATTCAAGATACTTATACTCATCAACGACGATCGCTCAGTCAGCACTCGCTCGTATGCCAATCCCAACCTCCTTGGTCGCAATATTTTGTCCAGTCGAGATCTTGGGTCCTGGTTTGCTCAGCATTTCAGGGATCATTGACACAACTTTCACCAATCCGGAAAACGAGGTGCGAGTTGCCGTATTTAGTAATCGCGGTCGTTTAAGTTAAAGTCAAAGAAAACTACGTCAAACCACAGCCGTTCTCAACTTTCAACAGCCTGCCTAGTAAAAACAAAAAACAATTCTCTTCCCTTCATCGCAGACGTAGTTAGTCTGTTGCGCGACGGTCGTCGTTTGGTTTGTTCTTCGGTGACCCTTCTAACCGCGGGTCTGTATATAGGCAAAATTCCGCAGAACTGCAACTCGCCCATTGCAAAACTGGGTGGAGGTTTTACCGAAGGCTCAAGGAAGCTAGCTGTTATTTTTAAGAGATACCTACCTATCTTTCACGTCATTTCAGTCGCGTCTACCTGGATTTGGAGAGACCAGACGGAGGTCATTAATCAACTACTATTAGCTGCTGCATCGACGAACGAAGTAATAGCGCTGGAATCTCGGAGGCCATCAACTCTATGTTCCGCTGCTAGGCAAACTCGAGGATCTGCCACGCTTCGACGCTCCTTGGTGGTTCACTCCTGGCTATGGTGGTCAAGACGCTCACACAGATAATGAGAGAAACCGTTCTGATTAAGCAATTAGCAAACAAGACAATAACTCAGTCACATGTTCTAGGGCACAACCGCGCACTGTTTCGTTTGGTCTGCTCTCTTATACGAAATTCTCGAATCTCACTTTGAATGTGCCCATCATCAGTTACATGTAATTTACCCGCGTTCAGTCGCCCACACTACCTAGCTGTGATAATCACAATAACAGCTCAAGGGTATAGTAACAGAACCCAAACAGCTATCAAACCTCATAGCCCTGATATCCATTGTCCACCGCCGGCCCCGATTGGTCTAGGCCCGTATGTTTGGGAAGCTGAGCAGTACCTGGCAGCACTAGATCGAGTCTCAAAGGGCTATGTGTACACAGTCCCTTGTACTTAAACTGCTGCGGGTGGTCCCAGGGGCGGCCCCAGGGGGAAAGGGAATGGAAACGGCGGTGTTGGTTGGTGCGGTCAGTCCCGCCAGTCTCGGTGAGTGCCCCAAACCAGACTGTCAAGATCGCTTCGGTAAACACCACGAGTTCCCGTGCCTTTATTATGTCCTCAGATTCTGACGACACCGGATCCATTACTAAGAGGGTAGCAAAATGTCCAGTTCTACAGCTCAAGCCCCACCGCTTGATCCGGTCTCTAAGCCTTAGCCCGCTCTCCGCATTCTTTCCTTTACGATGCTGAAGAACTCTCCCAGCCAGTCCATGGTCGTACTTGGTGGCTGATCCAATGTAAACGTGGTTCTCAACCCTAATCGGATTAAGGCTGGCGCTGCTGCTAGGCTTGAGAACCCAGGCGTACACCCCAAACGAACTCGTATCCTGCCAAGCCAAACTCCTCCAATCTGCAGCTGTGGGTGGGCTGGGGGCGGCCATCATGTGTTTCACCTGGGTTGGAATGAATGAAAGAATGGTTGTCGCCCAGATTTCTGTCGATTGAGCCCTCAAAGTGTCTCCATTGGGTGGTGGTATCATGATCCTTTAATAGACTGTCAATGACGTGGCACATTCGCGCCTCGAGGACGGATTCCTCCTCCCTCTCGAGATTTCTGTTTAGAATCGCTTCAGCGAAAGAGAGCGCATTGTTTCCTAGTTCCACACCCTTTTCCCTCGCCATTGATCGTGACTGGGATTTGACCGCTTTTGGTTTCCGGCCGATTTGACATGCGATGCGTTCGATGTCGATTCTTCGGCGGCGGTGGATGAGTTTGGCAAGGTGCTCTTTCTCCTTATCTGACCATTCCTTAGGTTTCTCTTCTCGCACTAAGCTCGCCAGCTCCCCGTCCTCTTCTATCATGGCGACAAATGTTTCCAGGGAGGTCCGCGCCTACTCAAAGGTCTCACGAGCCTGGAATCCTTGCTGTAGGAGTTTTTGTATATGTTCCCTTTCATCTGGGGTTAAGATATTTTCTCCATGATGCTGTGCCTCAGCGGCGTGAACAGTATAACTGGCGGTACTGTTGAATTGCACATGACGAGGTGTTGCCCTGGGTGTATAATCCCGCCCTGTAAAGGTGGGAGAACTTAGAAAAACGGTAGACCTTCGGAACCTTGCTGGCAAGATGTAGCCCCCGTAGCTGGATCGGAAAGCCGGTAGCAAAGGCAGCATCTTTAGCTGGCTTTGTTGATGCTTGACCTTGCTGATGATCGTTGAGGTGGAGAGTTCCGAAGGGGTTGAGGTCAAAGCCGTCGGAGTTGACGGTAGAATAAGTTTTGACAAACGGTTGGAGAGGTTCTTGCCTGCTTGAACTTTCACATTGAGCTGGTTAGATGAGCAGAGATTTGTGGAATTATGGGAAGGATGGGGGCAATGTGCACATCGGTCAGATAAAGTTGCTCACACAACAAACGCTATGCTAGCCCCTTCACCTAGTTGCCGTCGTGCGTTTAGGAAGCACAGGAAGCTTGCACTTTCACAGACCAGATTTAATAAGGAGGTACAGAAGGCATTAAAGCTTTCCTTGAAGGAATCATCCCGAATGAGCCTCGACCGCGACTGGTATAGAGATGCCCGATGGCGAGAAGTCTGAAAGAAGTCACAATGCCAGTGGCCTCTAGGGCAAAACAAGCTAAGAGTTTCTGAACTACGGTACACTTTTTCTACACACTTGCGCAGCCGAGTTTAGACCGCGGCTCGAGGTAAGACTTTCTTTCCGACATGGCTCCGCTATAATCGAGAAGTGAGAATATCAGGTTCCGTCACCAAGAAAATGCGTGATTAATAGAGGCGGTAAAGATGATGGACGTAGCGTGCTCAAACAGCCCAGGTGACCGTCGCTTTGATGTTCACCGGGGGGCCATCTTGTGGAGCACCAAGAGCCTAGTTTACTTTGGAAAGCTGGAGACTTGCAGGAAAGCAGGCCAGATGATTGTAGTAAAACAGCTCAATTTCTAAATGAGTATATGTGACTACCGCTAGAATATAGGACGGACATAATGGGGTATCTTGTGTATTCTGCTGGAACGCTTCGATACCTCTTAGACTCGTTGGTAGATAGTGATGCGCTTCAGCGACTGGTTGACTGTAAAGATTTTGAGGTCATACTACTAGAAGTCTGGGAGAATTGGTGTGAGTGTAAATTGGAAGAAGGTGAATGAAACTTATCTAGCTCTTAGATGCTAGGCCCACAGGACTAAGGTCTGCATACACATGGCGAAGTTGACGATGTGGTTTTGGAGTTGAGGGGTTGATCGACACCAAGCTGCCCCTCCAAATGGGTCGAGAACACCCCGGCCCCCTACTGTGGGGACCTCTGGGGAACAACAGCCAATCATGATCTTAGATCTCCGTCGAAAGGCATCGAACATCGAGAGCTTTCCACGAGGCTGTGTGCGACCATGGGCTCCTCGATTTCTTTGATGGGACCTGCCTTGGTTTCTTTCCATCAAACTTTCCACACTTTTAGCGTTTGATTCGAACAACAAGCAGGATATAATATACGCACCCAGGGCTTGACTACCCGTCGGCTTCCGTGTACCCCTCGCAAGTTTTTGCCTTCTCAATACCCCACCATGTCGACCGCCGACGAGCTCAAGGCCTTGGGCAACAAGGCCATCGCGGCCAAAAACTTTGACGACGCGATGTAAGCTGCTTGGATTGACGGAGATTCAAACTTTACACCCCTCGAAGACTGACAACGAGTGCAGCGACAAGTTCACGCAAGCCATTGCTATCGACCCAACCAACCACATCCTCTACAGCAACCGTTCTGCCGCATACGCCTCCAAGAAGGAGTGGGACAACGCGCTGAACGATGCCTCAAAAACAACGGAGTTGAAGCCCGACTGGCCGAAGGGATGGGGCCGGAAGGGCACAGCGTTGTACGGGAAGGGCGACCTCCTGGGGGCCCACGATGCGTACGAGGAGGGACTGAAGATCGACCCGAACAACGCCGGCATGAAGAATGACTTGGCGTCGGTGAAGCGAGCGATGGAGCAGGATGCGGGTGGACCTGGTGAGTATGAGGAAGAGTCGGCGTAGAGTTGGACACCAAAAGCTGACAGTGTTCCGTACGCAGCTGGCGGATTTGACCCGACCGGTGGCCTCGGCAACATGTTCAAGGATCCCAACCTAATCCAAAAGCTCGCGAGCAACCCCAAGACAAGCTCCCTGCTGGCCGACCCAAGTTTCATGGTCAAGTTGCAGGCTGTGCAACAAAACCCAAACAACATGCAGGATCTGTTCAGCGATCCCAGGATGATCCAGGTCCTCGGGGTGTTGATGGGTGTCGACATGGAAGTTCGCGATTCCCCGCCCGCCGGCGCGACCGATGTGTCTGGCTCTCGGGTTGAAGCGGAAGAGGACGTGCCGATGCCGGATGTCAGTGGTAAGAAGCCTGAGCCAGCAAAGAAAGCGCCGGAGCCGGAGCCAGAGCCGGAAGAGCTAGACGAGGAGGCCATCGAGAAGAAGAAGGCAAAGGAAGCGGCCGATAAGGAGAAGGCCCTAGGAACCGAAAACTACAAGAAACGCAACTTTGACGAAGCGATCAAGCACTACCAGGCCGCGTGGGATCTTCACCAGGACATCGTCTACCTCAACAACCTCGGCGCCGCCTACTTCGAGAAGGGCGACTATCAGGCTTGCATCGACACCTGCACCAAGGCTGCTGAGGAAGGCCGCAACCTTTACGCTGACTTTAAGGTTATCGCCAAGTCGTACGCCCGCATTGGTAGCGCGTACGAGAAGAAGGGAGAGTTGGCGGAGGCTATTGACTTTTACAACAAGTCCCTGCGTGAACACCGCACGGCTGACGTGCTAAACAAGGTACGGGCCGCGGAACGCAACAAGATCGAGGCGGCGCGTCAGGCGTACATCGACCCGGCCAAGGCAGAAGAAGCACGCGAGACGGGAAACAAGAAGTTCAAAGAGTCCGACTGGCCGGGGGCGGTGGCGGCGTACAGTGAGATGATCAAGCGAGCCCCTGAGGATCCTCGCGGGTACAGCAACCGCGCAGCCGCTTTCATCAAGCTGCTCGAGTTCCCTAGTGCGCTCGATGACTGCGATACGGCCATTAAGAAGGACGCCAAATTTATCCGCGCGTACATCCGCAAGGCTCAGGCTTACTTCGGCATGCGTGAGTACAGCAAGTGCGTTGATGCCTGCACCGAGGCGCTTACCATCGACACGGAACACCACAACGGTGCCAACGCGAAGGAGATTGAGCAGCAGCAACAGAAGGCGTTTGGTGCTATGTACTCGGCGCGCGAGAACGAGACCGAAGAGCAAACCCGTGAGCGCCTGACGCGGGATCCTGAGGTAAGTTTGAACATGTACTTCCTTTGTGAGTTGACAATGCTAACGCCCCACTCCCTAGATCATGAGCATCATGCAAGACCCAGTGATGAATGCCATTCTCCAGCAGGCCCAATCGGACCCTGCCGCCCTGCAGGAGCACATGCAAAACCCTAATGTCCGCAGCAAGATCCAGAAGCTGATTGCCGCCGGCGTTATTCGCGTGGGCCGGTAAGAATGAAATGTTGGTAACATGTAGGACCGGAAGGGAAAACAAAAGGGGCAGGTCAGGAACAGACACATTGGGAGGGTTTCTTCATGGGATAGGGGATTGGGATTTGCGTTGTGTATAAGCTTGACGATGATGCATGAGAAATGGACATGATTCATTTATCTATGGCTCGTCCCTTTCGTCCTTGTGGTATACTTTGCTGCGCCCCCGGACTCACCTTTCCCTCTATGTCTTGCCTCAACATCACATTATCACCAAGTCTACGTCGTCCCATTCTTCTCCGTACCTTTTAACAGCCTCCTCACTTCTTCCCCTTCCCACTTCACTACCTTGACCCCAATCCCTTCCATTTCGCTCTTACACGCCTCCCATTGCCCCGGGTCTACCGACCGGGTACCTTCCTCTACCACATACGCCACGAAACCTTCCCGTACCGCATCCTCGGCCGTGCTGCGCACACAATAATCCCCCGCCAGGCCGACGACATACACATGCGTCGTGCGGTTGGCGCGCAACAGGTCAGCAAGACCGCTGTCTGCCACACGTGGGTTGTGAAGTGGCGGGTAGAAGGCCGAGTACATCTCTACCTTAGGGTCGGTGCCTTTGTCGATGGTGTGTGTGATGTGGGTGGTGTCTAGTTCCGGGATGAAGGCGGCGCCCGGGGTGTGTTGGACGCAGTGCACCGGCCAGAGACGGCTGGTGTAGGATTCGGAGGGGTTGGATGGGTTGATGATGGTAGCCGTGTCTAGGAAAGGACGGCGAGGGGGCGAGGTGTGGTTGGAGGCGAAGGAGATGTGGTCTGGGGGGTGCCAGTCCTTGGTGGCGACCTTGAGGGGCAGCGTGGTGCTGGGCAGGGCTAGGAGAGTGTTGATGAGGGGGGCAATAGAACGTCCTTCGGCGACGGCGAGGGAGCCGTTCTGGGAAGGGCATGTTGTGTTAGTTACTCTTTTCAGGTATGTACGCTTAGGACGTTGCTGAAAGGGTTAGGGATGGGAGACAGGGTTTGTGGCAGGGCTTTTCTAAGTTGACAGTCATGTGACATCTGAGCAGAATCGATGCTTAGCTGAACTAAGAATTGAATTTCTGGGGAATGTCCCAGAGTCGACACCGAGAACTTGGACATTGGTGGCGGAAGTTGCTCGCGCCGCCCGCTTAGAACAGGGTAAGACTTGATCCTCCGAGAAACAGACAGACACACATACAACTGCCCAACTAAGTGAGCCCGCTTCTCGGGGAAGATACTAAGTGCTTACCGGAGGGCAAAAATCTTCTTGCATGTCAACGACCACCAGCGCCGGCCGGAACGCGGGGTCAGCCATGGCCGGAGCTTGCGGCTGAAGGAATTATTAGGTAGGGTGAGGTTATTCCCCGTAAGACTCAAAAAGCTGGGCCACTCCAAAGTTAGATCCGGAAAGTTCAAAAGACCTGCAGTTGTCCCATTGCATCTTGCATCGGTAAGGCGGGTAGTCACAAGGAAACCGCGGGGCTCACGCCCATATGGTCGGTACCATGGAGGGGCAGCGCCCGATAAGATAGGGCGTCAAATCGCTTTATTAGTGGTTGAGGGCCTCTTGGCAAAAGAAGCAGAGAGGCGCGAGGTGCCTGACGAGAGGTGCTTGGCGTGGAAAGAGACCGCTTAGCTAAGGCTGGGTGGCTTCCTTGAATCACCACATCCAGTGCCGTAAGCCGCTGAGAAAGCGCTGAAGTCGTCGTTCGAAACGAAGCGATAAATGTACCAAGATATCCATTGAAAATGGATTCGAGGCAACGATCATGTGGCAATGCTCCGTTTTGCAACAACTCACCCTGGTGGCTTGAACTTTGAAGGTTTCGATCCTCAGTGTTGCCCGTGGACATGGGACGGTTATCATTCAAAATGGTTGGGGCATGAAAAGGGAATTGTTGATCGCTTTTCTCAACGCACACAATCTGCCAGTGAAAACCCTAGTCAGAAAGTAAATATTTACTCTCTTAGGTGATTCAACTGCATGGGTCGTCATGCATCGCGCACCACAAGTGAGACCGCTTTCACCACGAGAGAGGAATCGTGGCACAGCCCGGGCTGGCTTCGTCACTCCGTTTCCCAAGATGGACCCGCCGCAATCCGTTTATTAAGTGGGGGCGGCCACAAACCGCGTTGCGATTTCTGGCGGCAGCCAGATTGCCATGCCATGCGCTGTGCGTCTAACCTTGATTCTCGTCTTCCAATAACTCATGGAAAGGTGGAACCGACGGAAAGCGGAATGGAACGGGTGAAAACTTGCCAAATTAAGGGAGTTGAGAGCGGCCCCGGATTTCGAATTGGTCGTATGAAAAGCTGACCGAGAAGGATACCCTCGAGTTAACGTCAGTTAACTAGTTAGTTATCAACCTTGGGCAATCGTGGCTTTCTGTCGTTGACCAAGACCCTGACCGCCTCAAGAGTCTGTTGGAAACGGCTTGCTGGCGATCTTTTGGGTGGAGTTCTGTTGTAGAAGAGCTAACTGGAATGAGGAGTGAAGTCAGGGGTAGACTGATAGCAGCTGCTGGCTGCTTTGCAGCAGGTATGCAACGGTTATTGCCAGGCCGTCCGTTTCTTCCCGCGCTAACCGGCCTGGGAGTTGCTTTTGGGCCGAGACCAATCTTTAGCAGCCGTTACGCAAAACGGTGCGCCAGGGGATTGCAGGCAAACTGGGTGGGTGGTGAAAACGGCGATAGCCCAGCCCGGCTCCCCAGCAGATTGAAATTCTCGTTTTTTTTTAAAGATCGATCACCGCCTCGGACAAGCGAGGAGAGATTGGTCTCCTCTCGGTGGTTTGCTTCCCGCTCCCTTCTATCGACGAACGCCCAATTCAACATCGTTCCCGTGCACCAACAAGGGGACTTCGCTCAAATAACACGACGCAGTGCCTTACCAGGCTGTCAAGTCTGTGCTGCACTTGGCCTGCACCTGTGTCTCTTCCGTTATCGTCGGCCCGAGCTTTCGAGAAATTGGTCCCTGAAAACCGCTGGGGATTTTTTTCTGGTTCATCACACCCCAAACAAGACCTCCAGAAGGCATTGCACGGCACTCGCCGGTGTCTTCGGGTTGGTCATCCCGGTGCATTGCATAGCATCTTTCGTTACATATTTGGACTGGGTGTTGCCCACCAGTCGCTGCTCGGTAGGTGTCTGCAGCTTTCTCCTTACTGGGCAATTCCCGTGACGACGCGCATCAATACGACGACGGCACCGACGCCGTTCGGGAGCGGCCTTCATGGCACTTCGGTCGTCACGGAAGGCTCCCATTTTTTGGATAATAAGCACACGCTTGCTATCCTTGGATTTAGGACATCAGGATGTTCTCCTTTTTATCTTGGCTGCGGTCTCGGAAGCTAATCGGATGATCTCGAACCAGGTTCCCCCAAGTACGCTAGAACCCACGAAACGAACCTCCTCGATGTTGCCTGGGCTTCGGTAGTCGCATTTCTTCAACACCACAATGATTGGCTCCAACCTCCTGCCCTCGCGGTTTCGTGGGGAGCAGCCGGCTTCGCAAAACGTCGCGCCCTCATGGCTGAACAAGAAAGTCACGCCACTCCTCCAAGTTCTCTCGCGGATCACCTCAACACACCCGATCCAAACTATTGTCATTGTTGCTCTGCTTGCGAGCACATCCTACATTGGCCTTCTCGAAGAAAGCCTGTTCGACGCTACCAGGAATGTGAGGAAGGCTGAATGGTCTTCGCTCACGGAGGGGAGCCGGCTGCTTCGCGCCGCCAGTGATACCGCATGGAAGTGGCAGCCTTACGATGTCAACGCCTCGATCCCGCCGTCTGCCGACCATCTGGCCCTCCTGACCCTCGTTTTCCCGGAGTCGATGTCGTCGGACCCCGCCAAGGCCGCCCCGGTCGTCAATGCCGTCCCAACCCCTCAGAATCTTTCCATCCGGTCGCTCCCTTCCACCTCGAACTCCTTTAGCACCTACTCGCAAGACAGTGCGCTGGCTTTCTCGGTTCCCTATGACCAGGCCCCCGAGTTTCTGGCAACGGCCCAGGAAATTCCCAACGATATTCCGTCTCAGGAGACAAGAGAGACTGAGGATGGCCATGAGAAGCGGATGTGGATCATGAAGGCCGCGAGGGCTCAAACGAGGAGCAGCCTTGCTCGCTGGGCTCGCAACGCGTGGGTTGAGTTCATTGACCTGCTCAAGAACGCCGAGACGCTTGACATCGTTATTATGGCCTTGGGCTACATCTCGATGCACCTCACCTTCGTTTCGCTCTTCCTCTCGATGCGCCGTATGGGTTCCAACTTTTGGCTTGCCATGAGTGTCCTGTTTTCCTCGACGTTCGCTTTCCTATTTGGTCTCTTCGTTACGACAAAACTCGGCGTCCCGGTGTCCATGGTCCTGCTTTCCGAGGGCTTGCCCTTCTTAGTTGTTACTATCGGGTTTGAGAAGAACATTGTCCTTACCCGGGCTGTGCTGTCTCATGCGATCGAGCACCGTAGGCAAGACAAGTCTTCGAACAAAGGCAAGAAGACGGACGCCTCTGGCAGCCTCATTCAATCCGCCATCTACGTGGCGATCAAGGAGAAAGGTTTTGGGATTGTTAAGGATTACGCCATCGAGATCGGAATTTTGGTTCTCGGTGCGGCCTCCGGCGTTCAGGGTGGTCTCCAGCAATTCTGCTTCTTGGCTGCCTGGATCCTGTTCTTCGACTGCATCCTTCTGTTCTCGTTTTACACCGCCATCCTCTGCATCAAGCTGGAGATCAACCGCATCAAGCGCCACGTTGAAATGCGGCGGGCCCTTGAGGATGATGGTGTCAGCCACCGTGTTGCCGAGACTGTCGCGCAAGAGAATGACTGGGCGCGGGCTGACGGCAAGGACCAACCGGGCACGACAATCTTTGGCCGCCAGATTAAGATCACCCACATTCCCAAGTTCAAGGTTGTTATGGTGTCGGGCTTCTTCTTGATCAACGCCTTCAACCTGTGCACGATTCCCTTCCGCAGCGCCAACTCTATCTCGCACATTTCCTCCTGGGCTAGGGGCTTGGGCGGCGTTGTCACTCCCCCGCCTGTTGACCCCTTCAAGGTTGCCTCTAACGGGCTGGACATGGTGCTTGAGGCTGCCCGTTTGGAAGGTCGTGAGACTATTGTTTCCGTTCTGACCCCGATTCGTTATGAACTCGAGTTCCCCTCGATTCATTACGACCTTCCCCAGTCTCTCGGTAAGATCGAGGATGAGGGGTTTGCTGACCTTTCCGAGTATGGCGTCGGAGGTCGTATGGTTGGTGGTATTCTCAAGAGCTTGGAAGACCCCATTCTTTCCAAGTGGATTGTGGTCGCCCTCGCTCTGAGCGTCGCTCTTAATGGATACCTGTTCAACGCGGCAAGATGGGGCATCAAGGACCCTAATGTCCCGGATCACCCCATCGACCCCAAAGAGCTGGCCCAGGCGCAAAAGTTCAACGACACTGAGTCGGCCACGCTTCCTGTCGGCGGGTACCGGCCCCCGCCTTCGCCGCCTTCTGTCCCGCCCACTCCGGCTCTGACCGACGACGAAGGCGAAAACTCGCAACCCTCTTCTCGCGCTGAACCTCAGAACCCCGATCTTCCTCTTACTATTCGCAGCAAGGAGGAGCTGGAGAAGATGCTTCTGGAGAAGCGTGCCCACGAACTCAATGACGAGGAAGTCATTGCTCTCTCGATGCGTGGCAAGATTCCTGGCTACGCCCTGGAAAAGACGCTCAAGGATTTCACTCGTGCCGTCAAGGTCCGCCGGACTATCATTTCCCGGACCAAGGCCACTTCCGACCTGACCGGCATCCTTGAGCGATCCAAGCTGCCCTACCAACACTACAACTGGGCCCAGGTCCACGGTGCCTGCTGTGAAAACGTTATCGGTTACATGCCCCTGCCGGTTGGTGTTGCTGGTCCTCTCGTCATTGACGGTCAAAGCTATTTCGTCCCGATGGCCACAACAGAAGGTGTCTTGGTCGCCAGTACTAGCAGAGGCTGCAAGGCGATTAACTCTGGCGGTGGTGCTGTGACGGTTCTCACCGCCGATGGTATGACTCGTGGCCCCTGTGTTACTTTTGAGACTCTTGAGAGGGCTGGCGCGGCCAAGCTCTGGTTGGATTCGGAGAAGGGCCAATCGGTCATGAAGAAGGCATTCAACTCGACAAGTCGCTTTGCTCGTTTGGAAAGCATGAAGACTGCGATTGCCGGTACCAACCTCTACATTCGGTTCAAGACGACTACTGGCGACGCCATGGGAATGAACATGATTTCCAAGGGAGTCGAGCACGCGCTCAGCGTTATGATGAGCGAGGGCTTTGAGGACATGAACATCGTCTCGGTCAGCGGCAACTACTGCACGGACAAGAAGCCCGCGGCTATCAATTGGATCGACGGCCGTGGCAAGAGTGTGGTGGCTGAAGCTATCATCCCCGCTGAGGTTGTCAAGTCGGTGCTCAAGACGGACGTCGACAGCATGGTGGAGCTCAACGTGAACAAGAACCTGATCGGATCTGCCATGGCGGCGTCCGTTGGTGGCTTCAACGCACATGCTGCCAACATTGTTGCGGCTGTCTTCCTCGCGACAGGTCAGGATCCGGCCCAGGTGGTGGAGAGCGCCAACTGTATCACCATCATGAAGAAGTGAGTCGCCATGTCTTTTTCTTCCCTCTGTTCTTTTTTCCCAACTTCTTACTAACTTGCAATAGCCTCCGCGGATCCCTCCAAATCAGCGTCTCCATGCCCTCGCTCGAAGTTGGTACCCTCGGTGGCGGCACAATCCTCGAACCCCAGGCGGCCATGCTCGACATGCTCGGCGTGCGTGGCCCGCACCCAACTAGCCCCGGCGAGAACTCGCGGCGTCTGGCTCGTGTTGTCGCCGCCGCGGTCCTGGCCGGTGAACTCTCGCTTTGCTCTGCCCTAGCCGCGGGCCACTTGGTGCGCGCGCATATGCAACACAACCGTTCGGCCCCACCGACACGCAGCACCACCCCGGCCCCCTCGACGCCGGCCAACGGGATGGAACGCGCGGCGTCGACGACGGCGCTGAGCGCGGCTGCTAGTGCTCGCGCCCGGCGTTGATGGATTTCCTTCTTTCTTTTTTCCACCCACTTTATATAGTGTCTTCTCTTGTTGTTTCCCTCTTCCGTCTGCCTGCTTGTATACATCTTGCGCAGAATAATGTAGATACTGCATGCATGCATCATCATCCTGGAGTTGAGCGGCCAATACGCGATTGAAGATACGGGAGCGAGTGCTCTGATAGAGGCGCCTTGCTGTTACCAATCAATTGATTTGTCTGTTGACATTCTTGCGTACCACAATGTCTTACTTTCACTAATGTACTATGTATGCGAGTAGAATCCCAACTGCAGGGCTTGGCTTACCCACCCTTGACTTGGTCTTGAGTCTTTTTTTTTTCCCGCGTTGCAGCTGTTTGTTTCTCATCCGTATAGGGTGTTTTCGCCCGGTAGGGACAGCAAACAAAAGTTGTCTCACTGCGGAACACACGGGTTTGTGCTCCTACTTCCCGTCTCGCTTCGGCTCATAATTTGTCCCATCACTCCCGTCATCATGTCGGGGCTAACGGTATACGACTGAGTTTCCGACGACGCCATTTCCCACGGCGGATCTGGGCCCTTGCTGCTTCTCTGAGAAGCCGGCAATGACTGAGAGCCAGCACCGGCAGGCAAAAAGCGGCAACGCCAGAGGAGCCACAGGGGGCCCCGCGCTGCAAGCGTGCACAAGCGTGGACAAGCAGGTGCTGCCGGAACACGGGAACCAACTGCCGGCTTTCGGATCTAACCCGGACTTACGAGTGACCCACAGCTGCCCGTTGTTCGGCCCGTGGTGTGCGCAATTGGGCCACAACGCTGCAGAAGACAAAAGGGACGGATCCGGACCTGTATTCGTACAAGAGTCGCGAAGGAGGGGGAGGGGAGACTTGAACGGCGAAGCAGAAAAGGAAGGAGGGTTTGTTTGGTAGGTAGGGAGGGAGAGGGAGAAGACAACGCCATGCGAGCATGGCGTGACAGTTCTTCGGCATAACCTTCTTTTCTTCATTGCTCACGAGTCACCTGAGTCACCAAATTCTTCAACGTTGTCGCTGCCGGAGGCCCTATTCAGTTAACTCAGTTATTAATAATTCCCTTTACCACGGGAGCCTGTCGGTGCCCGGGGTTCTCGACACCGACAGAAGGAAGCGGTGGGGAAACGCTGACCAAAAAGAACCTCCCTCCAACGAGCCCAGCTTCCTGATTTGTCCCTTTGCGGCGAGGTCGAGGGGACCTTTGAGCCCGACTTTTCCTTTTCGTCTGCGCAGCGCGTTGGTGTCGCCTTCGAAAGGCTGGCATGAAATTTGTTATCCACTCGGATATCGGGCTCGCCCGGCCGGCTCCACCCCTCCTTTTCTCCCGGGCGGACGCCTTGTGTTTGACTGCTCAACGGGGTTAAGAAAATATAGACGTTACGTTGCGCTTGGGATAATTTTTAATTTTAAGACTGGCGCGCAACTTTGGATTGTTTCTCCTCCCCTTTCATCTTTTGTTTTCTTGGGTTCAAGGTAGGAAACCACGGCCAAGTTTTCTCATTCGATCTTTCACAAATAGGAGAAACTTGACTCAGTGCCACGTTCTTCTTGCGTCAACAGCTTGGTCCATTGAACGTGAGATCGTCGCCGCCCACCAATCCAAGAACAAAGCACACAAGACATTCCCGAGACATCGCGTGGAAAATGACCGCGACCACGCCCGCGCCCGGGTCCCCACTCGGGGCCGGTCCCGGGCCGGAAAATGAAAAAGAATACTCAACGCCCAGCAGCGGGGACGACACAGCCTCGTCGACGAGCACTACTGTGCGCAAAGTCCAGACATACCCAGATCAACAACCACCATCAGCACTACCACAAAACCTGAAGAGCGTAAATGAGACTCAGATTCCGCAAACCGAGACTTCAGTTCCAACCGCCGAAGCTACAACCACCACTCTCGCTGATAGCAATGCGAACACCGACACCAACGCCGTTGACGGCCCCTCAACCGCAGCCGCAACAATGCCCCCTCCAGAAGAAACACGCACCAAGCTCCAAACCACCATGATCATCCTTGCCCTCGCATCCGCTCTCTTCCTTGCAGCCCTCGACGTAACCATCGTCACGGTCGCTATCCCCACCATCGCGCAGCAGTTCAACTCCAGCACGGGGTTCACGTGGATCGGCTCGGCCTACATGATCGCCACGGCCGCGGGGGCACCCGTATGGGGTAAAGTGTCGGATATTTGGGGGCGGAAGCCCATTATGCTCATTGCGGTCGGGGTGTTTTGGGTTGGGTCGTTGTTGAGTGCTGTGAGTGTGAATATGGGCATGTTGATTGTGGCGCGGGCGATTCAGGGGATTGGGGGTGGAGGGATTGTGATTTTGGTGAATATTTGTATTAGTGATTTGTTTTCGATGCGGAAAAGAGGTGAGTCTTTTTTTCTCTCTTTTTTTTTTTTGGTTTTTTTTGGTGGTGTTCTTTTCCTTTGAGAAAAACAAAGGATAAGCAAAGGAAGGAGGAAAGTTCACAAGCTAACTAGGGAACAGGCGTCTTCTTCGGTGTGATGGGCATGGTATGGGCTGTCGCCTCTGCCGTCGGGCCAGTCCTAGGGGGTGTCTTCACGACCAAAGTCACCTGGCGATGGTGCTTCTACATCAACCTACCCATCTCGGGCGTGGGCATGGCCATTCTTGCCTTCGTTCTCAAACTACACAACCCCCGAACGCCGATGCGTGAGGGCCTCAAGGCGGTCGACTGGCTCGGTTCCATCACCGTTGTCGGAGGGACCCTCATGGTTCTGCTCGGCCTCGAGTTTGGCGGTGTCAGCTACCCATGGAGTTCGCCCACCGTGATCTGCCTCATCGTTTTCGGATTCGTTGTGGCCGCCCTGTTCGTCATCATTGAGTGGAAGCTAGCTCAATTCCCCGTCGTACCGATGCACCTGTTCAGCATGCGGTCCAGCGCCGCGTCCCTAGCCGTCGGTGCGATGCACGGCTTCGTCTTCATCTCCGGCAGCTACTATCTCCCCCTCTACTTCCAGGCCGTCCTCGGCGCCTCCCCGCTCATGTCGGGCGTGTACATCCTCCCCTGGGTCATGTCACTATCCCTCATGTCCGCAGCTACGGGCCTGTACGTGAAGAAGACCGGCAAATACCTCCCGCCCATCATCTTCGGCATGGCCGTCATGACTCTCGGCTTCGGCCTCTTCACCAACCTCGAGGACACCCCCAACTGGGCCAAGATCGTACTATACCAGATCGTCGGCGGCCTAGGCGTGGGGCCCAACTTCCAGTCTCCGCTCATCGCACTACAGTCGACTGTCGGACCCCGCGACATGGCCTCGGCCACGGGCACATTTGCCTTTGTCCGCCAGCTCTTCACCGCCATCTCCATCGTCGTCGGAGGCGTGGTGTTCCAGAACGGCATGCAAAAGCAGTACCCGCGCCTGCGCGACGAGTTGGGCCCCAACGTGGCCGACTTGCTCTCCGGTGCCAACGCCGCGTCCAGCGTGGGGCTGGTCAACCAGTTGCCCGACCAGCAGCGCGAGACCGCGCGCGAGGCCTACGCGTCCAGCTTGCGCACTATGTACATCATGTACGTGGCGTTTGCCGGGCTGGGCTTGCTTCTATCGTTCCTGGTGGGCTCGCGGCACTTGAGTAAGGATCACACGGAGCACAAGACGGGGCTGCAGCATATGAAGCAGTCTAAGGAGGACAAGCTGAATGAGGCTGCGGCGGATGGTAAGGCTGGGACCCCGTTGCGGGACGAGGAGAAGGCGCTGCCAGAGGTGGGCGAGAAGAGCGAGAAGGGGTCGTCGCCACAGAGCGGATTAGAAAAGGAGACGGTGTAAGAGGGGGGCAGGGCTAGACGGTTGGACATGGGTAGAAGGTTCCGGCGCGGTGGCCTGCTTCAACAGCTATTTATTTAATGCATAATAAGCGTTGCGTTTGTGATATATCCTCAGTTTACCTTGTATGTCCACCTGTTTTCTGTATCGTACGACACAATGATCAGAGTCCGCGGTTACTTCTTACTTGGTGTACTAATTTAAGGGGTTAGTAGGTGCTTCCTTTCTTCAGTCGCCGCCCCTCCCTTATCACAATGCCCGCCTAAATATCGTTGATGTACCGAGAGTCACTGGATTTTCCAAGTAATTAAAGGCCTCGTTGCCGCGGCTCGACTATGTTCCGTTCTTCCTATACCGTGTCAGCCTCGTTAGCGGATGAATGATGGACCATCATAAGGCGGTCAGAAAGCGGATGCCTATGACGGATTTTCACAGTGGGTACGTCTGGTCGAGGATATAGATAGTGATGATGTACATACTTCAACTCTATATACTAAACATACTGCACTGAACTGAACATGGGTTGAACCCATCAAATCCAACCTTTTCCCCATATCCCTTACTTTCACTCACCACCAACTTCTAACCTCCCAGCCTACTTCTTTTCCGGCGGCTGCGGGAACTCGTCCAACACAACCTCATCCCCAGTCACCTCAAACGTGACCGACCTCCCCTCACCAACTTCGCCGTCATCGTTAGTCTCGTTCAGCACATCCAGCACAAACTCGTACGAGCCAGGATACAACACCCGGTTGCCTTTCTCATCCACCCTGGCAATATCACCAATCTGCACCTCCACAGTCCCGACGCCAGTCTCCCCAGCCTTGATGCCCCGGATACGGGTGTATCCGACCAGAGTCTTGCGCGGGTACGGCTCTGGGCCGTACGAGCCGCGGGCGAAGACGAGAGCCACGTAGTCGGATGTGACGCTGTCCCCGGTGTTCTCGACCGAGATGGGGAACTGCACGGGGAAGGGGCAGAGGTCCGTGTGTGCCGCGTCACAGCCGGCCGCGAGGTCGGCGGTGGTGAAGCTAGCTGGGTCAATATCGCCAAAGACCGGGTTGAAGGTGGTGTAGTGCAGGCCGTGGCCGAACGGAAGCGCGGCGTGATCCTTGGGCAGCCAGCGGTAGGTGCGGCCCGGGTTGGAGGCGCTACGGGCTTGGTTGTTGTTGTTGTCGCCCTCAGGCAGAGGGTTGGCAGGTCGGAGCGTCATGTCGGTCATGGGAACTTGCTCGACGTATGCGGCCACGTACTGCGTGACAGGCAAACGGCCAGCAGGCGCGGCGCGACCGGTGATAGCGTCAAGCACAGCTGTACCACCAGACTGGCCCGGGTAGCCGGCAAAGAGGATCGCAGAGACATTGGCGTTGGAAAGCAGCGGCGTGTCGTCAACCTGGTCGCCGAGCTGGGTCACCACGAGGGGCTTACCAAGGCCAGCCAAGGTTTCGAGAAGGGTGAGCTGCGCAGCCGGCCACGCGATGGACTCACGGTCGAGGCTTTCAGCCGCAATGCTCGTGTCGGTGCCGCCAAAGTACAGGATCACGTCGGCCTCGTCAGCCGCTGCGAGCGCGTCTTCCGTCCAAGTGTCTTCATCATCGGCAGTTTCCGCCAACGGGCCATCGGCGTATTTGTAGGTCAGGTTCAGCTGCTTGGCCGCATAGATGGGGTTGTGGATGTACGGCGGAGTGCCGCTGTAGCCGCCAAGAATGCTGTTCGTGGAGTTGGCCCAGTTGCCGATGATAGCTACTGTCTTGCCCTCCAGATCCAGGAGCGGGAGAGTTCCGTCGTTCTTGAGCAGCACCAGGCCGTCCGCGGCCGACTGCAGCGCCAGAGCCTGCGACTCCGGGGTGTTGACATCGGCCCACCCGAGCGACCGGTATGGGCTGCCATCCTCTGGGTCAAAGTATCCAACACGGACGAGACCTTCGTACAGGCGCTTCAGAGCCGTGTCGATGGTATCCTCTGACAACAGCGTCTCGTTGTACGCCCCCACCACGTCCGTGTAAGGGGGGTACCCCTGGACCTCACAGACCGTGTCGGTGCCCGAGTTGTAAGCCAACGCGGCCGCCTCGGCGTCGGTCTGCGTGGTGTTGTGGTAACCGGGCAGGAAGTCCCGGATCGCTTGGCAGTCGCTCGTGATGTAGTTGTTGTGCTCAGTCCAGTTCCAGTGCTTACGGAGAATGTCGTCCATCAGGTACGTGTTGGCGCACGCGGGGACGCCGTTGATCCTGTTATACGCACACATGATCGAGCCGACGTTCGAGTCACGGGCGCACTGCTGGAAGGGCGGGAGGTAGTACTCCGCCAGGTCTTGCGTCGAGACCAAGGCGTCGAAGTCGTGGCGCGTGACGCTGCCCCAGCCCTCCAAGTCGTACGCCGCGAAGTGCTTGCACGTTGCAACCACCCTCCGTACCGACTTGTCGTCGCCCTCTAGGCCAGACAGCAACGCCTTGACGTATCCTTTGATGCGGACAGGGTCCTCACCAGGCGTCTTTGTGTCCAGTCAGCAACACTGTCATCTCCAAACCCCCAAGCCAAGCCCCTCTACTCCCGGGTCTGCACTCACCTCATGGCCGCGACCCCATCTAGGGTCCTTGAACGGGTTGATGTTGGGCGTCCAAAAGTCCAGACCAGCGTGTCCGGCATTGGCGAAAGCCCGGCCCTCTGTGCTGATCACCGTCGCAACCTGGTGTACTAGATCGTCGTCAAATGCCGCTGAGAGGGTGATGATGTTGGCAAAAGAGGTCGCCGAGGAGTAATCCCCCCCTCCGAAGCTGAAGGATACTCCAGGGGACCACGCGATACCATGAAGCGCTTCACTCCACCAGGCGTATGCCGGGAGGCCAAGCCTCTCAGCGCCCTTGCTCATGCTTGGGGGTTGTTAGTCTATATCTTGTGCACGTTTCTCAGCTGTGGTCGGACGCGGGGAGGAGGAGGGTAGTGCGCACTCGACGAGGTTTTGGAGCTTCTCCTCGATCTTCAACGCCTTGACCAGGGCAGCAGCCCGGTCGGCTGGTGAAGCGGTCACATCGCACACCGTATTGTTCGCCAGAGGTCCCTCGGTGCAGTCCGGGTACTCAAACGCCGTGGCGCTCTGGGTAGAAATGGCCGCGGCCAATGCCCATCTCAGTGCCGGTGAGAACTTCATCGTGACTTCGTGGCAGCAAGCATGCACAAGATACAACCACCCAAGACCAGGACACGGTCGTGGATATATCCCTAGGTCCCATCTTTATGTCCCTCTGATATCAACAACCCATGGCGGGTACGGTCGCCGATCGCGTCCTTGCCTGTGTGTATTCCCGCCGGGTAAAGTAGAAACTGGGGCCTCGGCTCACAGCCTGTAGCTCACTACCACTCGATGACCTCTCCTCACCGGCTCGAGAGTTTTCTCCAACTGGGAAAATTCATGGCCCTGTCTCGCCCCTCTACCCCACGTGGAGAAATTGGAGGAGATCTCGCAAACGATGCGACCTGCAGCAAAATAGATTATTGTGCTCTGTGCTGAGCGGGAGATCTCGCAACAATGCAACCCGAGATAAGTGAATTGTTGCGCGCCGTGTTGCGGCTAGAGCTTCGGGAAGGCCGATCGGTTTTGAAAAAAAAAAAAAAAAAGAGAACCTGGTCCCTTGCGTCATCCCTCTGCCCCTGGCGTCGTCGAGGTCAAGCTAGGAATGAGACCTGGAGATCGGTATCCCCCACTGCGGGGAGGGGAAGTGAGGTGAGGTTCTGCTCGGATCGGCCGGCCGTCGGGTGTCAAACGGCGGCTACTCTATGGTTGACTCCCTTCCCCCGAACCGGGTATACAATTGATAGGATCTTGGCCCGGTATCAGTCGGTGCAGTGGTAGAATGTAGCCATTGCTGATGGATGACACCAGTCTACGGTTTTTGATTACTGTGTTGGTTAGCGAACTGAGAAAGATATCGCGAACCTCTGAACGTGAGTCAACACGGATGGATATAATCATCTTCTAGACTCATAAACGATTGAAAACCCGATTTCCTTGACAATGCCTGACGATAAGTGCGGTACACTCCTTTCATGTGCGGAAGAAAGTGGAGCAACGTGGTAAGTTGTTTTAAGTGTGCAAGGTTACACGGATAGTCTAACCCAACACCTATTCTCAGTCTTCAGAATTGGATCAGCCTGCTGAAAGGTGAAAGATGGATTCCATGACTTCTTGAAGACCAAGTCTTGGCGCAAAAAGATCAAGTCCGCATTGTGGGGAGGAAACGCAGCTAAAGGCGAGGCCTTGCATCAGGGTTGTTACCAGCACGGCAGGAGCTCTGGGCCATTGGGCTTTCGATTGGGTGCAGCAACTCCCGGGGAAGGCGGGAGGGAAAGTCCAGGCCGTTCCGTCGCTCCCTGCGCTGCGCCGGAGCTGGATGCGAATTGGAACCCCACTCTTCCACAGCCGCCAAAACCTAAACTCCAGTGGAAGGATGAAAATTTTCGGATTGGGCTGCCTCCAGGAAGACTTATTCGGCGCGCTCACCCATTGTTTTCTAGGCGGTGAGAGCTGTCAATAAGCCTCCAAAAGCCGCGGGGTATATTTTTTCTGGATAGTGATATCGAGTTATCGTCACGAGGATCTCTTCATTCCGCCCTAACGCTGTGTATCCCAGGTGCCGTTGTATAATTTAGCACACGAGCTTCACCACACTCACCCTTACTCTAACCTCAACAACCTAGCTCTCTTTACACCTCGGTCACCCAAACACTATGGCCGACCAACCAGCACCCGGACGCGACGCCCTCGCTGAGGGCCGCCGCATCTACCTAGGCAACCTACTTTACTCAGTCCAGCCCGGGGATGTTGAGGACGTGTTGCGCCAGAGCGGGTTTGCCGATTCTTTCGAGAAGTTGCATATCTCGATAGACTCCGTCAGTGGCCGGAACCCGGGCTATTGCTTCGCCGAGTTCACCTCCCGGGAGGAAGCCGACCGCGCCCTAGACTCGCTTCCTGGGATCACCATCTTCGACCGCCCCGTGAAGGTCGGCCCATGCAACCCGAAGACAGCCTCCTCGGGCCCCTCACAGTCGCGCTGGGGCAGCAACCGCGGGGAGGGCCGGTCAGACAGAGAGTACAATCCCAATTATCAACGTCGGAGCGAGTGGAAAGGGAGCGACCGCGACTCGGCTAGGTCCGGCCAGCGTGATGGGGAGCCCGGAGAGAGAAACCAACGCCCGACGGACAAGGCCCAGCTATACATTGGGGGCTTGGGCGTGACGACCGACCAAGCGCAACATGATGCCGAGATACAGGATATCCTGGCCGGCTATGAGTAGTACGTATCGCCGTTTTTGAATACAGGGTCCTCACTCACTTATCAACTCACTCGCCTGCCCCTCGTCCGCTTTTTGGCGCATTCAATACCCACTCACACCTCCCTTACCTTCTCCTTGGTTGCAAGAACTCACACCCACACCTTCTCAGCACCACCATTGGCAAACGCATTACCCCACGAGCAGAGACCCGTGCCACTCCCGGTAACCATCATTACTGCTTCGTGGATTTTAGCACGGCTGACGAGGCCGACCGGGCGATGCGGGAGCTCAACGGGAAGGAGATAGAGGGCGGTACACTTCGCGTCTCTATGCCCAGGAGTAGGGGGCCGACTTTTGAACAGGGCGGAAACAACGGGTGGAGGAATTCGCCGGATTCAGGATCTCGCCAGTCTAATCATTCCTCGTACGGCAGGCGGCCGCAGCAGGAGGGAAGCCCCCAGGAAGGGCAGGAGAGACCTGAGCGGAGGGAGCCTACCGAAAAGCAGAGAACTATCATGACTTCCAACAACTGGAGGTCGAGCGCGGCCGCAAATTAGGAGCGCCTAATTTGAGCGGGGTTCCAGCGCTGGTCTCCCTGGAAGATCAGCCTAAGAAATAGAGATGTCTCTTGCTTCGGTCATTCGCCGCTGGTTAGGCGCTCTCCCTTTTTGAATGGCCGGGTCCTTATATTCGCAGTGAAGGGATGATGTCCTTTTAATGGAGTTGTGCGACAGAAACAGAGCAAGTCGTGCACACCGGAAATCCTTCTCGTGGTAGAGCATATGCTCTTTTGAAATCCACCATCGGGAGCTTCACACCCCCCTCCCCCCATATTTTAAACAAACGCCCACTGTCGCGAAAACCCACAAATCCTTGGCACCCTGTCGCGTGGTGGTGAAATCGTACGATAATTGCATCAGCCCCGCCAGGAGACATGGGCCAAAATAACAAAAGGGGGCTAAGACAGTCACAAATATCACACGAAGGAGGTCGCTGACGCTGAATGAGATCACTATTCGGTGTCAAGCCACCCTACATGTCCCCATATTTCCTGATATTTCACAAGACCGCCACACCGTCGAAAATAACAACGAGCTTCTCCCATCTTTCTCTTCTACGATGCTCCTGGGAGTGTACTGTACAGTATTCACGCGAATGATGATGGCCCTGTCCCACCAGTGTACGACGAATCGTGAACTGGGTCGTTGCAAATAACATTGGTTATTCCCCCCATGAAGGTTCCTCTTCCCTGCATTCCTCATCCCACCCCGGGTGCGCAGTGAGTGCCTTGTCCGGAGCGAGAGATGGATGCGCGAGATATATCTTGTGCGAATCAAAAACTTACCCCGTGTCTTGCAAGCCCTTCGTCGGGCCTAGCGTCCATATGAAGATTGGGTCGACCCCGTCTGCTTGGGTCCTCGTCTCGCCTGGTGTGAAGCTCCTCTCCCCCTTTCCTCCCCATCTTCCGGTCCCTCTTCCCCTCTGTGCCCTTGTTTGGCGATTATTTTCTTTCGCCAACATTGTTTCCCGAATGGCTAGGCATTTGATATCACAGCATGAGAGCAATTTGACCGCATCTTTGAAGATGGGCTCATATTATCCCATTGAAGAGGAAGATGGCTTCTCATAATTAAGATGTCAACCACGTATTCCAGCCCATAATCAGACGGACACTCTGCTTCGACGAGCCTACCACCCAGTCCATACACATCTCTCATCCAGTTTTCATTTCCTCGCCTGGTATTTCAGTTTCCTCGATGGATCACTTTGGCTCTTGATGTAACGACAAAAGAACGAACCTTCAACCGCTCATTTCGACCTTTCAGCCCCTGTCTCTCGTCTCACCAATATAACCTAGTTAGCCTCTACTGAAAATCAACTTCGGCTCTGGGTAGGAAACAACATCTAACGTCCTTTGAATCGTTAAAGCAACTCAGGAAGACCGACTCCTCCCGCGATTAACTTGCTCATACCGCGCCTCAAAATGGCAACGAGTAAAAGCAATTTCACACGTCGCAGCGCCACCGAAAATCAAACGCTGTCAAGCATGGTTTTCTTATGTTAATCACGAAGTATATGAGCAATAAGCTCAACCACCGAGACCCTTTCTTTCGCTAACTGACACCGCCCAAAGAGAAGAGAAGGAAACTCGCCACAGACAGTTCCACCTCGAATTCACCTCCCGTCGAATAATACCTCAGCCCACCCTCGAAACCGAAACTCTATTGTCGTCAACGGCCGGCCGAAAAGAAACGAGAAACGAGATCATCATGCATCACGACGTTACTAGGAAATTTATGAAATAGACCACGGAATCACAAAAGAGATAGGGAAAACAACCGGAACACAACATCGGGCCGGGGTTTCATCGACATGTCACAGGAGACTCTACCGACGCGGTGTCCCACCGTCCTCGGCTGACGATATCGTCCGCTCGACACCGCCACCCGCCCACCCGGCTCTGCTCAACACAACTATTGTATCAATCCCTTTTCAGCGTTGTCGCCGTCCCCTTCATCGTCCCCCGCCTCCTCACCGCCACCGCTCACTTCACTACCACCAAAATTACTCCCACCAAAACTACCAACCCCAGCACTATCCCTCCTCTGCAGCCCCAACCACGCCTTCTCCGCAGCATGCGCCAAATACCCGTCAATGAGCGGACAGTGACAGTTCGCATGCCGCAGCACCTCGTCCTTGAGACGGAACACTTCGTCCTGTAGCTCGCCGACACGTGCGACCAGCGTGCGGTTCCGCTCCTCGGCGGCACGCTCGTCGGCTTCGAGGCGGGCGGCCGCGGCTTGGGTTTTGGCGCGGTATCGGGTGGCCGCTGCGCGGTTGCGGACGAGGGTTGTGGGTTTGGGGTTGGGAGGGGCAGTGGGAGTGTTGGTGTTGGTGTTGGTAGAAGAAGAGGTGGAAGGGAAAGGGGACGTGGCGGCTGGGCTGGTGGTGGGGGTTGTTGACGTGGTTCTGGAGCGTCGGTTAGGGCGTATCGCTGGAGCGTTCGGTTTTGATTTTGGCCTGCGTGGAATCGGAGAGGAAGAGGTCGTTATGGTAAGTGTGGTGGCGGGTGTTGTGGTGGCGGCCGCGGTGCTAGAAGAAGTCGTTGGGGAGGTGACGTTTGAGAGTGTGCTTTCGCTATTGCGGGAGTATGCGTGGGCCATGGCTGGCGGCACGATGGTTGCCTCTGCTAGGAGAGCAGAGGTAATGTCTGTCTGGTTAGTCGGGTGCCATATTCCTTGTGGTCCGTCCATCCGCTCCCAGGGGATATTTGGTGCGCCATACCCGCCCTCACCTACCGTGCTGTCTCCGCCATATGTGCTGGCTGGCACCACCTCATCCTGTGGTTGGGTTGGTAATTGGTTACCGTGCCAGCCAATAGGTTCATATGTGGGCGGCAAGCCGACACTCAAGGACGCTACAGGATACACGGCAGAGCTGGACGGCGGGAGAAGCACACCGTGGGGCGGTCCCTGCTCGTCCGCTGTGGCAAGGGGGTCACCCGGGACCCACGACATCGAATTTGGGATGGGCCACTCAGGGGCAACGCTGTTGCTTCCATGATTTAGATCCGGACTCCAGTCGGCCGGCTGCAGAGCATGTTGCGGTCCGGGCACCCGGGTAGAGAACATGTCGCTGGGGCCAGTCGTGGACATCTGCAGGAACGACTCCGTTGACGCGTGAGACGCGTGGTAGCGGCCGGGATACTCACCGTCCTTATTCAAGCCCAATTCCCGGTCGATTATGGGAGGCGTGACTGGGTAAGTAGGAGGTGGGTTTCTCTGAAGGTCGTGAGCAGTGGGCGTAAAGCCCATGGACTCTGTCTCGGCCCCTTGTGGGCGGACCCAAAGGTGCTGTGTCATCGTCGGGTCGAGCTTCCTTGGGAACACGGGAAGGCAGCCAAGATTCTAAGGATGGCAATGTACGGCTTTCGAATGGTCAATTCTCCGGATGCTTTTTGGGACAGAGTGAGAAGAGAGAATGGGATATGCACCTGATGTTTTCTGATGAGGGGCTCCAAGTTGTTGCGAATACAGCGTATCGTGACCCCGCGGTTTGGCTCGTCAAAACACGGTGCAAAAAAGGTAACTGGGTAAGTAAAAAGCGACGAAGCAGAGCAATTACTCTTCTCGAAGAGCATTGACTCTGTGCTGGAACAAGTTGTCGGTATTATACAAAACAAATGATAACAATATCCCGTGCGCAGGTCGCGATTACAGGTCAAGAGTCAAGAAACAGTTTGTGAATTCTTCGAGACGCGAAGGAGAGACGGACTCCCCATTTGCTCATCTGAGGTGCGGACCGCGAACTCCCCTCCTGAAAACCCCAGCATGCGGGCGCTCATCGCAGACGGGAAAGGACCCTCAACGGCGGAGCATTCGCTCCAGCACGGGTCGCTGACCAAACAATTGCCAAATGCCAACCCCGAAAGACAGCATGGAACCTGTAACAATGGCGGGGTGCCGTCATTCAATGATGGTACAGGATTTGCTGGCTGCTGCACGCCATCGCAAATCGGCGGGACATGAGAATTATAAAAGGGGCAGCCGAGCTGCTCCGCGGAAGTGCGCAAACAGATGTACAAGTACGGAGTACACGGCCTGGATATCTCGTCGCGACTCTCTTGGGATGAGTTCTTGGGTCAAACGAAACAGATGGGAATGTTGAATTGCCCATGTTTCGCTGCCCAATCGTGCCAAGGGATTCTGAGTCACTCAACAATGATTGGTTGTAAAATAGCCAATGGACCCACTCACAAAACTTCCCGTCCGTCCTTGATCCTCGGCCGTTGTGGCCGTTTTGTTCCAATTTGGGAGTTTTTTTTTTGGCGGGGAGGGCGCTTCGCCTGTTCTTTCTCACTATAACTCCCGGGCCAACCCTAATTCGCCCGTTTTCGTCACCTCGCTGCCACGACACAAGCATGCTTCTTCAGTAGGCAAGTGGGGAAGTCGGATCGCTTCCTAAAAGACAGACGCGATCGACAGGCAGCCGACAGTGTGAGATACGGGGTACCTGCTCCGCCCTACAGGAAAACTTGGAAATTTATCAGGTTCGGGCGTTGGAAAGTCCTCCTCATGACGTTGCTGTTTCCCGATTTCACCGCTGGTATATGGTGTTCATGTTTTGCGTTGTTGTTCGGGGAAAAAAGACGACTAGCGAAAAAAGGAAAACAAAAATCATTTGGTCACGCTGTTTCAAGAAAAAGATCATGGCCGACGTACGGATCAACTTGTTTCTTGAATACTGAGTATCCTTCTTAGGAGATGAATAAAGATTTTCCACTAGAGTGAACCAGAGACGATATTCTGCCCCCATCTCCCGAGCTCGCTGGTGTAACAGTACCGATCTTGTGCGGCAAACGCGACTTTTTTCAGGGGCAATACTAACTGTACTCGTACGCAGTCCCCTCCTGACGGTCGCCGAGGCGGTTGCCGTCCATAAGTTTCAGGGCGCTCCCCTCGAGAAAGCTGTTCTAGATATATCCGACAAGCACTTCACGACGGGGCTTACATATATCGCTGTCAGTTTTCTGAAAACGCTGCAGCGTGTCATGTTGGTCCTTAGACGCTTTGTTCATTATATGTAGTAATTATCTACGGATTCAAGCAAGCGTAACCAGTACGGTGCGTACCGTGGATACTGCCCGAGGCCTCCTAGGGCCGCTTACACTACACAGGTCGCCGTTTACGCACAGCAGTGGGATATCTACAATGGGTGGATGGCTGTTGGCTGTTGGCTGTTGGCTGTATTATTTGTTCTAATTAGCTTTTGTGAATACTACACCTCTACTTTACCCCTGATTTGTTTACGATTGTTTTCCTAGTGCGCACTACGCAGTGTGCCGCGATGCATTGCTGACGGCCAAGCCCGAGCCATAGTTAGTGTAAAGACGACCGAAGCTATGTTGACACGGCGCCGAAGAGAGGAGCCTCCTTCGTTTAGAAACTCGGAATGGTCGGGAATATCATCCAGTGCCTCGTCACTTCCGGAAATCACAAGCGTCTGGGCCAAAGCCCACTCACTGCCTCGGCCTTCGCCTCTGCCACTGGGGCAGGGTAGAGAAGATGTGCGTCGGCGTTGGCCCATGGCAAAGGTCGGCACAGTGGGAGTTCGAGTGGTGCGCTGTGCTCGCTCGGTTGCTTGAAACAGGTAGATTTCTCTGCCTACGTGAACCACAAAGGTTTTGACCAGTCCGAATGGGTACACCGCTGGCTGACTGGATCGGTGTCCTAAACCAGAGCCAGGGGAACTGGGACTGCATTCTCACCGAATGGCTACGGCGTTCTCAGCGTCCAGCCGGGGGATAGGGGCGGTAACTTCGGTATGTTTCTTTGGGGCAATAGTTTAAAGCCGTGAATAGCTGATCCCTGCTTCAGCGTCAAATAGAGAGGCTATGAAGGTTTGGATATGAAAAAAGAAATTGTGACCAGCTCCTCGCTGGATCCATCTGAAAATCGGGCGAGACGTGCTGCTAACAGCTAGACGTTCTTTTGCGTCATTCTCCGTCTCGCTCCTTGTTTAAGGTACCTCATACGAACAACTTGATGTGGTAAATCACAAAGAGATAGGACATTGGAGATCCCTAATTCCGCAGCTGCTGAAAACAAACGGTGAAGCTACTCTAGGCTTTAGTTTCAAAGTACGGATAGTTGGATAATTTTTCATGATCACGAGGCCAACACCAATACGCTTGGAGTCCTTGGGAGCTTGTCGTGCGGTGTCGTGTACACTCCAGAGCAAGGGGGGCGGAAATGGAACAGCGGAAAAGCGGAACAATCCGCGCATCGATCTTCTTCGACAAGCCACATAATCGGCCGATCCCGAGAGGTTTGCCAGTTTCTGGGTCAAGTCTCAGAACGGTTCCTGCCGCAGCCCCTGACTTGTCCAACGGAGTAGTGCAACGTTAACGTTACGTTAGTGTACATACCGAGTGAGATTTCATGACGATGGAAGACAACCTCGGCTCCGGGCTCGCCAGGGGCCAGGTAAGGTAGGTCCGAGGACGGAACCGTACCGAGTGCTCGGTTCGGCAGGACTGACTGACTGGCTTGGCAGATGTCAAATTCGATCTCCTGTCAGTGGATTTGGTTCCTGTCGAAGGGAAATCTCCGAGTTATGCATCATGTCGCAGGGCCAGCCGCACAGCCGCGCTGGACACTGATCAACGCTGAGGGCTATTTCAGGACGCGACAAGTCCGACATAACTACCTAACTCGTAGCAGGTTGCATGAGCCAAAAGCTTGCCACGGGTGGCTTGGTTGTGCCAAGCAAAGACGTTTGGTTTGCACAGCAGTTTTGTGAATGAAACGTAACGCTCACCATGGGGCAGTGATCTTGTTTGAATTTGGTATCTTTTTTGTTTCCTTCTGTCTTTCTTTTTGCCTCAATAACGTTGTCCCCGAGACTCGAATGACCACTCGCCGGCGACCACGAGACACCGCCAGAAGAGAGCCGTGTGTCCAGGTCTCAAAGTCTCAGTTGAATTAAGGTTTTTTGGTGCTGATGGGGTTGCTTATAGGGTTAGGGCGGGATATTACCCCGAGCGTGATGTCTCAGGCGTCGGATTGCCCGCATTCGCGGGTAAGCCGTGGGCAAGATTCCCGAGTGTTTGGTCAGGGAAACGCCCAACAAGGCAAGCCCAACAAGGCTCATCAGTGACAGGGGCCAGCAGGGCCAGCAGAGCAGGTGAGTGGGTCGACTTACAGGATGCCAACTGCTCGCTCGGGACGGCGTTTGTGTGCGCATCGTCATTCCAGTCCGGCGGCAGCGTAACTCGTATCAGACCCGGGACAGGGGAGCCCTACGCCGATCGTTTTGACGTTGGGACCCAAGATCTTGGATATAAAAGATGTCAACGCGCTCGGAATCAACATCAGCATCAGCATCAGCATCAGCATCAGCATCCGCATCGGCATCTCAACAGCAGTCAATAACTCACTAAACAACCAACCTCACTCCAACCAAACCCAACTTCTCAAACACCAACCCGTCACTATGCAGCTCACCGCTTTCGCCCTCCTCGCCGGCGCCATCGCCTCGGTCACCGCGACCGGCACGAACGCCCAAGCCGGCGCGCGCAAATTCAGCCTCGTGGCGCTGCATTCCGGCACAAAGATCCACTCGAGCAACCTCAGCGCGACCAAGAACAAGCTTTTTGTGTCGCTGCCCAAGGACAGGCAGGACGCGCAGTGCAGCGACAACCAGGTGCACGACCGTGCCACGCTATACGTGGCGGACGGCGAGCTGTTCTTGTACAATGGCGAGGGCAACGAGCAGCAGAAGTTCGTGGTTGATATGTCTGGGATGGGTATGTGTTTTCTCGTTAAATTACTCTGTGAAACCAAAGAAAGAAAGTTACTGACAAAAGATACACAGGCGGGGGCAACCTGCAGTACTTCAACGCCGCCGGCGGCGCGCCCAGCGCCCCCTTCGAGACCAAGGGCTGGGAGATCAACTCCTCCAATGCCTTGACCTTCAAGGGCGCCAACCTGCTGGCCTGCTCCGTCCCCGACGGCTCGTATGCCGTGTACGTCTACAGCGGAAACGACCACCCGGCCAACCACAAGGACTGCATCCCCTTCCAGGCCTCGTCCATCATTGTACCCCACCCTGTTGCGTGCGAGTACAGCACCTTCTAAGAGCGGGGCGACAGGGGAAGGAGGTGGATGCGGTGGGATGTGGAAGGAAAGGGGGTTGTGATAGACGGGAAACGGGAATAGAGGCAGAGGTAGAGGGTTAGGGTTAGGATAGCTAATATTGTGGGTGTAAGTCCTGACAAATTGGCCCAGTTCGATTCTCACGGAGGTTTAGACAGCTCAGGAGCTACTTAATAGAGCATATAAGTCTCATATTCAGTTCTTGGTCGCGATTTGCAGTTTCAAAATCTCAAATTTTACAAATATCTCAAAGCTTGCGTCACTCTACTTCCAGGAGTACGCATACCAGCCACGACCCCCAACAGGCCGCATCATCCAGGTATGTACAGGCTCCCAGGCCTTTGGGGTTGGGCATAAGACCCTTCTCAGGGTCACCATCAAGATCTAGTGCCACGCGATAGTAGCGCCCCTCTCCTGCGACTCCCTAGCCAGCTCAATGATGCGAAGGCCGTCTCTCGATGTCTCCGGCTTGACAAAGATCTCCTCCCGTCCCAAGATGGCGGCCGACACATTCTCGTAGTAGCTCCGGTATCGGCCAGGAATGCTTGGGTACTTGCCGGTGTACCTCTGGCTCTCCTCATCGTACTTTTGGATCTTGGGATCGAACTCCGTTTTGGTCGTCAACGTGCCCCAGATACGCTCGCTCTCAACGCCATACTCGGCGCTTGTGGCTGGCTGTCCTGGCGCGGCAATCGCCTGGGCTTCCTGCGGATCCACGCCGAACTGGTACGCAGGTTGAGTTCATGGTCAGCAAACAAGAGCCCAAACCCTCGAGAAAGGCTGGGCGAGGTGAAGAGGGAAGCGTTGAAACACACCTTGAGGAAAGACCCCTTGGTGCCTCGGACAAACAGACGCAGCTGGTCTTGCATGTGGGTCACGACGGCTGTCTTGACCGTCACCAACAGGTTCTTTTGCGCTCCGGAGTACTGCAAGATAATGGTGAAGGTATCGTCGACGTCGCTGTCCACGCCACGGTTGGACCGGAGGAAGCCAGTGACCGACGCAGGCGTCCCAAACAGGAACAGGGCTTGGTCAAGCGTGTGAGTGCCTAGGTTGGGGGGAACGGTGAGCTAAAGCCCTACAATTTTACTTCGGCAACGTTGTACTTATGTGCATGTTGGCCCCGAGATGTAATGGAGGCGGCCTATTACAGAGGAATGGTTTGAAGTTTGAACCTTACCGAGACCAAAGGTCATGCCCTGACCAGGGCTGTACTCCTTTTTCGTCCAGCCGGAAATCCAGCCGGGATCGGGGTAGTCAAAGTGGATATCCGCTTCCAAGATGTCGCCAAGAGCGCCCTCATCGTTGAGATGGCGAAGGGTGAGGAAGTCGCTGTCAAATCGACGGTCTAAGAGGAAGCAGTTAGTAAAGAGACAAGTGCAGTCGGGCGAGGTGAATAAACTCACTTTGGAACACAGTCAAAATCACACCCTTCTCCTTGGCCAAGGCGATGAGCCTGTCCGCCTCAACGCTCGTGTTGACGAAGGGTTTCTCGACGACAACTAGTCAACCGTTAGTTCTGCATCCTTCATACAAGGAGTACCGTCAACACTCCCAAAATTCAAACTCAAACTCACCATGCTTCCCAGCCAGAATCGCCTTCTCCACAAACTCCTCGTGGGTGCCGGTGCATACAATAACGAGCTCAATGTCATTGTCCGCATAGAACTCGTCTGCGGTGCGATAGTGTTTGGCCTGCGGGAAGTCGATAGTGCAGTGACCCCATCGCGGCGTCGGGATAGACGGATCGTCTGCGCTAGGTGCGGCCGCCCGTTGCAAGAATGCGTACACCTGGAGTTCTGGGTTGGGCAGGATGAAGGGGAGATGGAAGCACTTGGTGGAGAAGCCGTAGCCGACGATGCCGACTTTGATGGGAGCCATCGCGAACTTGGGAAGCGAGGTCTCGTTGGGTTTGAGATGTGAGTTGCTTGGTCTCACAAGCATACAACGAGTCCCTGTTTACAGAACAACGCTATGCGGGGTATGAATCGTGGCTTCGACCTCGCGAACGGTGCCTCATTTCCCCAACCCCAACCCAAGTGTGGAGTAATTGTTGCGGCGTTGAGCTTGCTCAGCTTGTGACCAGAAGGATATCATCCTTTTAACCGGCTCCGAACCATTGGTTGAGTTGGGGCTACCATTCCCCTAAACAGTAGGCGATGGTAACTTCAGAGTGGGTTGGACCCTCTTGTAAATCCGCTAAAGGAGAGATGAGTGAGGCGATTATTAATACATGTTCAAGAAGAGTTGTGAACTCTGGGGTATGGCCATGATTTCTTCATCTCTCGTATGGTATTGGGCTTTCCAAACACAGAAATGTTTTCGAGTGGGCCTTTAAGGTTGAAAATTCCCTGGGATGCTATTCCCGTCAGACTGGTACACCCGTGGGGTTATCTCCGGCTCGGTTACCGATTTCTTGAAGCGGGGTGCCGATTAGGCAGACAGATGAAAGTATCAAGTGTTTTGTTGAAACTTCATGTCAAGAAACCGAAGTTGAAAATCAAAAGACTCCGCCGAAGGCAACGAGCCGAGGATCACCGGATAATTATTGGATAACTACAGTTAGGGGCATCTCGAGGCGGCGACCACAACAGGTTTAGTGACCGGCTGGAAGATACCTCGTAAAACGTAAATAATTAATGAGGCGAGGCCGGTCATGAATATCAAGCAATGCCTTTTAATTAGGCGTTTCCAGATTCTGAATTATCCATACCTCGGTCCGGGTGTCAGGTAGGTAAGAAGCCACTGCTACCCAAGGTGCGACCTGAAGCTGGAATGTCCGAAATAATGATATGTCGCCTGGGCGAACAGTCGTTTGTAAACATCTTATCTCGCCTGATTTGATTCATGATTCCGTTAACAGACTTGCTGTAACCCTTGAAAGGGGTTTAGTATCTTTCGACCCCGGGTAGAAGGGCAATCAGGGGGGTGATGCTTTTGTCGCTCAACCGTAAGCCTTCGTGAAACTCAGTAGTGTCATGAATTTGGACATCGTCGGCAGAAAGGCAGGAGGAAGCTGTGGTTGGATGAGGTGGTATCACCCCCTCCAGCTATTTCGTTTTTAAGTTTAGAGGACTTGAAATCCCAGCTGTGCTGACAGATTCTAAATTTCCTCGTCATCTTGCTAGAATTCTAGATTCGAGAGTCGAGACCTCTGCCTGGGCCTGAACTACTCTACCTCTGCCTATGGACAACTCCGAGTCGCCGGAGATAATACGAGCTGATAACCAGGTTAGCCGTTGAGGGTAATTTAGCATATCGTTTCCCGAGATGGCACTAGTGTAGTGAAGAAGTTCCTCAAAATATGGTCATGGTCATTGGTCACCGAGTTCTCATCACATAGCAAGGCAAGGATACCAGACGAAGGTGGTGTTTTTTCTGGCCGCACCGTTGTAACCCTCGAGGCTCGCACCGGGTACGGCCCCCCTGGCGTGAGGTTCACGTGGTGGTTGTGATCCCGGCACGGTTCCATCGTTCCGTGTGCTTGGGGATCTGGGGTAACCATGGGCCTGAGGGTTGATTGGGGTGTTGCCAAGAGACCGTGCGCACAAATGGTTCCCCAGAAATCCGGAATGGTCTTTGAACGATTACATTCCTGTTCAAGGTCGTTTAGAATCGGACGCTAGAGTATTGCGTGACAGGGTCGACGAACCACTTCGGACCAGCGAAGCCTCGGAACTTTCTTCAACGTTAGTCATGACAGCAGGGAGAACGCACAACCACCTCCTTCGCACACAAGCTTCCCCCAAGCCAAAACTCCATTACTCTAGTCTGGATCCGGTTGGAAATCGGCCGCATCAATAACGGCAAACAGGCTGAAAACCTGCAGCGCTTTCCAAGGCACAAAGATGCCAAGTTGCTTCGGCCCGGGCGGACTTATTGTGTGAACAAACGCAATTGCGGCTGAGGCCCCGCTGCCCGCTCCCGTTGAGGTATTTGTGAAGGCGTGATGGCAGTTGAAGGTTGATCAACAGCCCTACGCAAGAAGGTCTGTATGGAGGTAATCAGGGAATAGTTGATGTTGAGATTCAGCCGATTTCGTCAAGCGAAGGAAGGTGCGGGGCATTCACAGCGGTTGATGCACTGTCCAGGCCGGCAGGTCCCCCGCCTAGCCTCTCCCTATTTCAGCTAACTGCAGTGCAACCTTGCTTCCCAGAGCCGCTTCATTTCTCAAGGCGGTAATTTATCCAACTGTCCACACCGGCTCAAGAACCCGGCAATTACGGCAAATGGCAAAATGGGGAACGGCCGTTGTGACCACTCGGATACGGGGTCTGACTTGAACAAACATCGATGTCGTCCGGGAATCGAAGCCAATTGGGGCGCTTCTCGAACAAACATGCACTAATTAAGTGCGCGATCCTGCAGGCCCGGCTTCTAGCGCCGTTCAGCGTTCAACAACACGGGCCGGATAAAGCCCGATGCCGGATTACTCGGGTCATCGCCCGTGAGGCATCGGGATGCGGGGTGACGACGAGGGTTGGGGGGACTAATAGTTCATGATGAGAAGAGTTTAGCGTCTACCGTATGTTGGTAAGTTGAGGGTTGTCACCTGGGCGCAGGTTTTTTATTAAAGTTCTCGCGCCGCGACCTCGTCGGACCCAGAGCAGTGAAGTTGAACTCCAGGGACGACTGGACACGAAGACCTCACCATCATCACCATGCATTCCACTCTCACCGCACTGCTGGGCTTGGCCCTTCAAGCCGGCAGCGTTTTCTCAAAGCCGCATCCCCCGGCGTCAGAGACCTTCTTCAACCGCACCATCTACACTCCGCCGGCGGACGGTCGGGCTTTGTATGCCCGTATCGCCGAGCTTCACACCGGCTCTCTCCTGGTAACGTCCAGCCTCTCGGGTGACGGCATCTTCGAGGGCGAGCTGCAAGCCTTCCCCCTTTGGGAGAGTGAGGACGGCGGCGCGAGCTGGACATGGATCTCCAACATCACCGATCAGGTCAACGGCTGGGGCATGAGCGCCCAGCCCGCCCTGCTGGAGCTGCGCCGGCCGCTGGGCAAGTTCAAGCCCGGCACCGTGCTCGCCGCGGGCAACAGCTGGAGCAACAACGGCACCCGCATCGACCTGTACGCCAGCACGGACAAGGCCCGGACCTGGGAGTTTGTGAGCCACGTTGCTGAGGGTGGTCGGCCGAACACCACCAACGGCGCCACGCCTGTTTGGGAGCCGTTCCTGCTGTAAGAACAAAGAAACCCCTACCTGCTTGCCTCTTCAGCAACGCCTTAGCTAACCCCGTATCAAGTCACTATGAGGATGAACTGGTCGTTTACTACTCCGACCAGCGCGACCCTCTCCACGGCCAGAAGCTGTCCCACCAAACCTCCTCCGACCTCCTCACCTGGGGCCCGGTCGTCAACGACGCCAGGTTCGACGAGTACCTCGCCCGCCCAGGCATGACCACAGTAGCCTACATCCCCCCGATCGACAAATGGATCGTGACCTACGAGCTACCCGTGGGCAACTCCTCCTCGCACGGCTCCAACTACCCCGTCAACTACCGGCTCTCCGATTCCCCATTAACCTTCGACTCGTCGCCGAGCGTGGAGATCCTCATCACCCTCGCCAACGGCACCCTATTCGCCCCCAACGCGTCGCCCTACGTGGTGTGGTCGCCCTCGGGCGGACCCAACGGCACCATCATCGTGTCGGATGCCGATTACAGCCAGGTGTACGTCAACACGAAGGGGGGCGCGGCGGACGCGTGGGAGGCCAAGGATTCGGGCCACCCGGCCGCGTACAGCCGGGCGCTGCACGTGTTTGAGAAGAAGCAGGACCTGCTGGTTGTTGTGGGCGGCGATACCTTTGATGGGAATGGCGTGGGTGCGCTGACCTTGAGCGTGGAGAGTGTGGCGTCGCTGTTGGGAGAGGAGACTGGGCCGGGGAAGCCGCCTGGTAAGGGCAAGGGGAAGGGCCCTAAGCGGGGGAAGCGGGATGTTGTGTAAAAGAGCCAGCTGCTCGGTGCTGTTGGGGTGATGGACGTTGAGCTGGGTCCTGTTCTCTCAGGAATCAACCAATGATTCCAGGAAGACGAGCATACTTGGAAAGCTGAGGACCTAATTAAAATGACCGTTGATAAATTACATCAAATCGTAATGATGTGTATTGTTTCGCCCGAGCTCTGATACTCTATCCAACGCCATGCAATGTATCTACATCGAAAGTTCTATGTTATCACGATTCCAGGGTTTCTGGTCCAAATGCCGACGAAAGCTTGAAAGATCCCAGCTTAACAAGCAATCAACCGTCGTCAAGATATCCCCCAACCGTTAGTTAATATGTACGATAATAACTCCAATCCCTTGTCACCCCCACTTCCCCTGAAACCACAGCCTCCTAAAGCAACTACCGCACCTGAATTAATTAAGATATTAATTAAATCACCCACCAGAACTAAATAAATCACCCATCCCTCTCCCACAACGTCAGCGCCCAATCCCCACCGCACCGTTCCGCGGCACTCATCCGGCCCGCACACTGGTGCATGCACTGCCAGTCGGGCGCCCGCCGCGTCGCTAGCACGGCGTTGTCGGCAGTGCCGCAGTAGCATTGCAGGGCGACCTGAGTGCCGAAGTGCCGTGGGGCCGTCCTGCGGCGTTGGTTGTTGCTGTTGTTGTTGTTTTTGTTCGTGTAGCTGTTGGTACAGTACTCGGAGCAGACCTGGTTGGTCATGTTGACGGCGGAGAGGAAGGCATCTGGTAAAATGCGGACTTCGGAGTCGTAGTAGCAACCGAGATAGGTCCAGCCCGAGACGGAGATGGTGGGCGGTAAGGGGGGTGGTAGGTCGGATGGTGATGCGGCGTAAGTGGTGGTTGCTGAGGGTGAGGAGGATGTGGAAGAGGATGATGGTGAGTTTTGGTTATGGCCTGGTGATGTTTGGTTCGCGCTATCTGGGCTGCTGTGAAGCGCGAGTCCGGGGATTGTGTTCTCAAGCTTGGCGATTTTGCTGCCGAGAAGGGTGCCGACCACGATTAAAGCCGAGGTGACGAGGAAGAGAATGCAGGAGAGTATCAATGTGGATGGGCGGAGGTTGAATATTCGGCGATTCTGAAGTGATGATGCCGATGGTGATAATGGCGACCCTGATGGGGACGCTTCTAGCTCGTTCAGCCCATTGCCTAATACGACGGATCCTTTTTGGTGGTTGGCCTGGGCGTTATGCCATGGATGGACTGGCTGTTTTCCAGGATGGCCGGACCAGACAATGATCGAGCCGCCCCGGTTGCGAGCGCCATTGGGGATGGGCAGATCTGTTCCCTGAGATGGTTGGGTAAGTAGGTGAACCACGCGGTTGCACAAGGGACTAGGCTGCTCACATCGTCGGTAGGTCTTGGTCGAAATACCATGGTGCCTGGGCGGAATGGCTACCTAGAATGATAGGTAGTCGTCACGCAGTTGCCGAGATGAAAGCGAAGCAAGGTGCGACGTGGAGGCCCATTTGGCTTCAGTCGAGTTTAAGAGACATCGATGTATTCGGAGACTCTGCCTATGAGATTCATGGCTAATCCATTCTGCCAGCCACAATCGCGGCGGGGTCCAGGCACCGATGGGAAACGGGCATGGACATGGTGCGCTTGTTTAAAACCTCCGTCGGGACACCAAGGAGTTGGGACAGTCTGGGCAGTTTCTTGGTAGGCCCGGCTCTGTCAATTGGGGGATGCTCATCCTGGGCGATCGAGCCTCTGGCGGAACGGCACAGGTGCGGCAAATGGAACTTGGACGCCCACGCGGGCCCCTGGTCCACCGGCTCTGCCCCCGTGAATCTGTCATGGCGGGTCTGACCTGCCCTGCTAGATCGGGAAAGGCGCACGGCACGGTGCTGAACAGGCGCCCAGTACCCTGCGATTAAGCTCCAAGCCTTGGGGGCTCGTCCTGAAACAAGCGCCAGAAGGTAACCTTGCCCAAAACAGGGAGCTGTCAGTTCCCGCCAGTTCCAGTATCTGTATCTCACCGGCACAGGCCGATCTGGTGGGTGTCATTTCTGGAGTATCGGATCTAAAATGCAACCCGTTGGCAGAATCCGAGGCAACCTTGGGCTGGGGAAAGCGCAAGTGACATTTCTGGTGGAAGTTGCTACCTATTCGCAGAATTTAGTCAGCAAAGCCAACAGTCCTGGCTTCCTCCTCCGTACAATGCCAAACGCCGGTCAGGTCACCTGAATTAAATCTAAAATGATACCCACAAGGAACGTAGTGAAGGCCTTCTGATGTATCCCATTTCTCCGTGACACAACCTTCCATCCATTACTTGCGTGTAGGAAGAAAGGACACTTGAGACGGCACCCGATAAGGCCTGGACGAAAATTTACTCTGAGCCAGATCTGTCAGCTGCTTGCAATTATGCCAGAACCAGAAGAACACAGCAAGGCAAAGAGGCCAAAAGGATAAGCTGCTGATAAACTAACAACCCGCATTCATCGCAGAACTGTAGAGAAATTAACCCCCAGGACAAATGCAACGCACAACGACAACGCAATAGTCTCCCACAACACCTCTAAACCAACGATCAACCAACCGCATCGCCCTCCTCACCAACGTCCCAATCCACGCCTAACCTCCTCCCGCCCCCATCTCCATCCAACAAAACCCCATAAAAATACCTCCTCCCGATCCCCCCAACCCGCTCTCTCCTCTCTCCCCCACCCATCCTCGAAACCCCCTCAAACATTCCTCCCTCTCCACCTCTTCCCCCTTCCCCATTCACCATCCCGCTACGGGCCACATACCACATCGCCCCCGCTACACTCCGCGGATCGACCGGCATAGGTGGGTACCGCACCGCAAAGGAGCTCGCTAGCACGGTGAGCATGCCAGTGAGGAAAATACCGGCGAGGATGGCGGATACCATGGGGGCGAGGGGTGGTGTTGCGGTTTGAGAGAGGGTAGCAGGAGGGGAGATAGGGATGGGAAAGGGGAAGAGGGTATTGGGGAGGAGGACGGGGAGGAATTCGGAGGCGATGGTTGCGAGGGAGACTGCGAGGGGGAAAGGTTGGTTATGACGGAGGGCGGATAGGAAGCCAGAAAAGGGGTTGGTGCAGCGCGTGAGGAGGATGGAGGAGGATGCGGGTTGCGTGTGCTGGGCGAGGAGATGGTAGGGGATCATGGTGTTGACGCCTGAGTGCATTGCATGGGTAAGTAATTGAAGGGTTGAGTTTGGGCGGGAGTAAGAAGGTAAGTAAAGGGGGGTATGGTATGGACGTACTGAGGAAGAAAACCTGCCAGCAAAAGGCGAGAATGACTCCCACTAGCGCCGCTATGAAGCGGATGCCAAAGTTGTTGTTGGTGTTGAGAACCGATCTTAGCCGACCGTCCTCGGCGTGGTAGTACACGATAAACACCAGGATAACCAAATGAAAGACCATCACAGAGGCTTTCCACGGGTACCCCAACACCATAAATGGCGTCTGGTATTTCCAGCCACCACATGTTGCCGCCTCTCGGGTTGTTTCTTCCACATCTTCTCTCGGAAACGCCTCATCAACAAACACAACCCCATACCCCCCACGCGACCATCTCAGCGCATACCTCGCCTTCCCACCACCCATCACGGCCTTCTTCATCCCCTGTTCGGTGGAAACCCTTCCAAGCACCCTCCTGACTGCATCTCCGCCTCCGTGAGCCAACAACGCTGCCATACCCGCGATACACCACGGATCCGCGGACACTCCCGTCACCCACTTCTTCTTCTTGCCGATCTTCCTACCACCTACCACCACCCACGCAACCACACTGACTAGTATCAGTAATGCGGCTAACACCGCTACCAACGCATATGCCGCCTGCCGCGTCACTCCCAATGTTAAAGTCCGGGTTACCCCGTCGTCGTCAGGGTTACTGAGGAGCTGGAGACGCAGCCCGATGGCTTCGGTAGTTAAGGGCGTCAGGAATGAAGCGAGGAGGACAGCGAGTGTTGTGAAAAAAGGGATAGCTTGGCGGTCTGGTGTACATGTAGCGGAGGAAGCAACGGTTGACGAGGACGATTCGGATTGGGCCACAAAGGATGGGAAGAGGGTGGTGACGACCGGGAGGAGCCAGGAGTTGTATAAGCCGGTGTACTGCAGCAGTAGCATTTGTGAAGGGGGTGCACTGCTTGATGTCCCGGCTATCAGGGCCGGGGCGTTGGCGGTTAGGGTCTGGAAGGGCTGGTAGAGCTTCGCATTGAGGTCGATGATTCGTAGAAGGATGAAAGGGGGGATGCAGAGGAGGGCCGGGAGAAAAGCGCCGAGGAAGATGTAGGCGTCCCTCTGTGTTGAGGAGACCGTAGTCGTGGAGTTGTTGGTATCCGTGCTGGGATTGGTAGCGGTTGGGCTCGGGGTCTGGGTGGAGGTGTGTGTGGTCACAGGAATCTTGATGTAATACGTAACCGTGGATTCCCCCGAGGTCGGTATCACCATGCCTGTGATGGTGCTAGTATTTGTTACCGTCCCGGTTGAGGTTTGCGTCAATACGCCCACAACAGCAGAGGCCACGCTCGATGTGAACGTGACTCGCGAGGTCGTCGCGGCCTGGGTGACGATAGTAATGGTCGACACGGCTGTGCTGCTCTGGCTTGCGGTGCCATTACCGGTGCTGTTGGTGGGTAGGACGGAGTAGATTGTGCTTAGGCTGGCACTAGGGACAGTGGTGAGGGTCGTTGCGGTGATCGGGAAGACAGTGGTGCTGGTAAACGGGATCGTGCGAGTAGAGGTGAACGCCGAAGTGAATGTGATGGTAAACAGGGGCAGTGTGATGTTGGTGGTAAACCGAAATACGGAGGTTGAGATTGCGACGACCCAGGCGCCATCGGTCCAACTGGAGCTTCTTGCGGGGATGCTTGTGGAAGAGGTCTCCTGAGAAGATATAATCACCAGAGACGTGCTTTCTACTGTTCGGTGGATAACCGTAGTGTTGATATAGTTCACCGCTCGAGTAAGCTGTGTCTCATTGTGAGTAACAGCCATCATCGCAGCACCACCGCCCAAGTCCGGCATTAGGGTATCCGCCACGATCACCAACACCATCGTCGCAAGGAGCAACCCAATTACCACGCCAAAGAACGGCCATCGTAGCGCTGTCGGCTTGTGGTCGGGCGTGGCCTCCTCCGAATACCACACTGGGCTTTCCTCACCGTGAGGGGTGTTCTCGACTGCGTTCTCGACTGGAGCAGGTGCCTCATCGCGGGCTTTCGACCCTTCAGGGGCGTACTCGAAGGCGAACCCGTTGTCTCGGCGGCAGATGTCGGCTTGTTGCTGCATATCTCGCTGGCAGCGTTGCTGAGCGCTAAGAGAGTGTTGAGGGCATTCAAGTTCGTCCTGGTCCTTAAAATGTATACTCTCGATGTTGGATTACCTTCCTCGCCGGCTCCTGCGGTTCATTGACGTCAATAATTGCACATTTCTGCTGCCCGCTCTGGCTTCCATGCTTCTCAATCAGATCGAAGCCAAACGGGACACCTAACTGGGCACCACACGCTTCATATGGTATTACGCCAGCCCGACGTGTGCGCCTGGATAGCCCGAACCATCGGAGCCCCTCTTCGGCCAATAGTTGCTGTTTCGTTTAGTTCACCTACAGTTCCGTGATTATCACCTATCTCTTCAGTGGGTGCCGCCGGGCTTGGCTGAGCTGGTAATGCTGGGTAACCCCGCGGCCTCATTTCCAAGTCCACCGCCGTGTCGGGATTGGTGATACTCGACATGTCCGGTGTGGTTGGGTGATACAGGAACGGCCGGGGCCAGTAGTTTCGCCGCGATGGTCCGTGGATGTAACGTCCGTCGATTACGCAAGCGTGCCGCTTCTGGATTTAGAATAGAATCTTGACCGAAGATGACCTGGCACTAATGTTGTGTTAGCTGGACTAACAAAGCTCGTGGAATGTGATGGTGACTTCTGAACACGATCGAAACGGCGTGTCAGTCACACATGAAGAAATATAGGAAGACAGCTCAAGAAATTGGCCGCTCCCGTCATACACCTTTCCCAGCTCATCCTTTCCCCTCACATAAATTCATGGCCGTTCTGCACTCGAGATGTGTTGCAAAAATGGCAGAGGTGGCTTGGCATTCGACATTCGACGGCTACGGGAACCACTATTTCCCTAACAAAAGCCGACCGGGACATGATGACTCGCGGGTATGAAGCACCGGACGCGTGTGGGAGCGAGAAGGATTATTCGTGAATAAAAACGCAGACGAAACGCCCCAAGGATGGTATTGTGCTTGTTGTTTTGCGTCCAGAACCACCCATACCCCATGTCCATGTTCTGCTATGCCCGATTTCCCCCATACCGAGATCAAAATCGCTTTCTCGATCGCCCCCGCATGGTGGGTAGGGCCATGCAAGGCCGGCTTGCGACAAGCCGAAGCCGCGCCCCCGTTACCATCAACTTCCCCGACCACGAGGCGCTTAGAACACAAGGGCAGCACCCTTGGTCTTCTTGTCACCACTATTGGAAAAAAAAGTCAGAATTCGTCCATGTTAAAGCTGTGTCGTGCGAGCCGAGAGAGACTGTGGTGACGAAATGAGCAGTCGAGTTCTGGTGCCGTATTGGCAAATTTCATGCGTCCAATGCCGCCCATTGTTGCCCCGGATTGGCAGAATATCCGAAAACTCGCGGGTTGGATCGTTCGCGGAAATGCGGCAATGCGTTGAGAGCTGGAGCTCATGTGGTCTCGCGGAGATCGCAGGAACCCACGGCACTTCCCCAGCAACATCCGTCCATCCGCAATACCCCGCCTGTCATTCTCTTCCCAAGACACCGGCCCCTCCCCGCATCCCAACTTAATTTCCTGCGTTGAGTTCGAGAAGCTCGGTGGTCTGTAATAGTCGAGGTTCGGGAGGTTGCCATTCGGGAGGTTTGTTGGAAATCGGGCCTCGTGCTCCGGGTATCTCGGCGGTCTCTCTCGGCATGCTTCACTGTTCGTAGACAGGGAGAAGGACAAAAACTTACCCAAGCTCGAAGTGCTTGCAGCGCTTGAGCGGCAGCTGCTTCTTGGTCTTGCATGACGAGCATTCCTGTGCCGACCTAGTTTAGCGACTCGTTGCCCCGCAGGCCCCAGAAAGCTTTCTCTTTCTGTATTGACGAAGAATGTAAAGCTCACCAGACGGAGAACAATCTTCTTGGTGGTCTTCGCCTTCTTGTGGAAGACGGGCTTGGTCTGACCACCGTAACCGGACTGCTTGCGGTCGTAACGGCGTTTACCCTGCGCGAATGATGAAGCCTTGCCGGCTTTGTATTGGGTGACCTTGTGGAGGGTGTGCTTGTTGCACTCGCGCCCCTTGCAGTAGGTCTTCCGGGTCTTGGGTACGTTCACCATTTTGACGGATCGGTCCGGTCGCGATGTGGTGAGGGTGGTGGTCGTTGGTGTCGTCGGTCGGTTAGATCTTCTCGTCTCGTGGGTTTTCGCGATTTTGCAAAATTCCGGCCAGGGCTACCTGCGTGTGTGGGCGCACGGTCGAAAGTTGACCCGTGCCGGCGAATCAAAATAGCTGGACGGTCCATGCGGGCCCGACCCCACCAACGCCCATGCCCCACTCGAGCGCAGGCTTGGCAACACCACTTCCATTCTGAGCCGAAACCGCCAACTCCAAAGTCTCAGGCGCGCCCTGGTTCCCATCTGTTGGCCGTTTAACGTTAGTCATGTTCCCGACTTCGTTTTGGCCGCGCCCATTTCCTGCTCATCATCGTCCGTTAATGCCCCCACAACTTAATATACCCTTTAGCCCTTGACTCGCGGTACATTCAATTGTTTGCCTTGAGCCTTCGGTCATTGTTTTTCCCACCCGAAATCCCTAAAGGTAGGATTTAACATTCAAATAGGCTTAACCATGAAGCGAAGCAGTATCATCGCAACCGGTGTATTTCACCGAGTCTCATTGTTCTGAATCACTAGTCTTAAACATGCAACTCTATGCTTCTACCGCCCTCTCGGAGTAGCTACACCAATTCCTCTACGATTGCTGAGTTGTTTGCTTGGGACGGCCAGTTGCTTCAGGACTGGCCCTCACGGCGGCACCATTGGCCCTCACAGAAGCGCCGTTGGCCCTCACAGCAGTGCCGTTGGTTCCGCCGCCTCGGCGTTGCGCACCATCACCGGCAACAGCTACAGCCCTTCTCTCCTCCGGCCATGGCACCTTTAGCGCCTTCATGGCGTCCTCTAGTAGATCATACCGCGACACACCGGCCAACTGCAGATGCCAGTTGGCCTTGTCCAACCCAGCATTAACATGAAGCAATTCACCAATGGTGACGTTCCCATGCTCCCTCACGTTCTTCTCAAACCCAAACGTCTCCGCCTCCTTCCAGTACTCCGTCGGCGCCGACACGCCCCCGGACACGCCCATCGACCACTTCCACTTCCCTCCGCTCTGATCCGCGCCAGGCATGAGCGACACCACACAAAACACCACCACACCATAGTCCACCGCCCGGCCACCCGGCCCCGACGGGCGCTGCATGAAATTCTCGATGGCGCCCACGATGATGGTGCCGATCCGCTTATCTAACAGCGCCTTGCGGCGCTGTGGATCGGCCTGCAGCGTGCGGATGGCGTTCAGGACGCGGGTGAAAGCGCCGAGCGGGCCGGCCCCGTCGTAAGGCTGCTCGCCGACGCCGGATTTCGCGGGGATCTGGCGGTGGGTGAGCTTGATGTGGGGGGGCTTGATCTTGTGCAGGTGGTCAAGCAGCATCTTGGTTTTGGATTCGTTGCTCGTGGGGATCACGAGGAGGACGTTGTTGGGATTGGGTTGGGGCCCGGGAGCTGCATTGCCGCTGTTGGCCGCGCCGGCGTCCGTAACGCGGGCACGAGGAAGGAAGGGGAAGGAAATCTCGGGAAGGTCATTCTTTGGGACATATGGTCCGCAGATGGCGGTACCATCGGGGGCTGCGAAGGTCTCGGTGATGCTGCGCAGGTATTGAATATCGCGTGGGAGATTAAGGCGGTAGAGTTTGTGGGTAGTGTCCGGCGTGAACTTCGCGGTAGTCGTCTGAGTAGAGGCCACTTGGGGAGTTGTCCTTGTGGCCGCGGGTTTACCCTGTACGGCGGGGGCGTTAACGGTCCGGCGGGGTTGTGGCTGGGACATGGTTGCTACTGTGATTCGGTCGATGTTGCGTATTTTGGTTTGTAGGTTCACGGCTAATTATTCCAAAGATACCAGGTATGTAAACGTTCGCGTTTAATAGTTCAGAGGTTACAAACAATCCCCCACCCGTTTGTCGGCCGGTACACCCCCTTCTTATACCATTATGGTTTCCAACATCATCATTCCTGGGATGGTTACTCAATACTCATCCTAACGACCAACTAACAAAGAAACAAACCGGCGTCTGGACGCAAATGGACACTTGCCGAAGCCCTGCAACAAATCGGCCCCCATCGACCGGTTTGTGACCTATGGCACGGTCGTCGGCAGCATTGCCGGCGGCGGTTCAGGCCCCGGAGACCATGTGGGGGCCAGATGTAGTTGAGGATGCTTTTGGAAACAAAAAAGGTGATAATTCCCCATTCGCTAAGAAACGCAATCAATGCCCGTAAACGGCAAACCCCACTTAAGACCTAGAGGCCTTCGGCTGTGCCTCACGATTCCCTGACGAATCCTTATTCCCTCGGCCGACCCCAAAGAAGCAACGGTGGAGATGGCTTAATGTGTCCTTCTGAAACTTTTGTGGTGCTGTTGGTATTGTTAAGAACCCACCGGCGCCGGTTATCCCCACTTACACTACCAACCAACATCAACAAGAAACCAGGACCTGCGTTTTAACTATCCACCGGGCTACGAGGTGGAAACCTCCACCTTTTCGAGCATAGCACATGCGATGCGCCCACCACTGGCATCGTGGAAGACAATAGATCGGCCGCCGATGTATCCCAGTTGAATCTTGTTGGTGGCCGTGTAGGGGTCGTTGAATCTGGTCATGACGGTTTGGTTAATTAGATCCAATAAGATTCTCTCCCCTTCTTCCTTTCCACGGACAAAAAATCGCCGTGAAGAAGGAACAAGAAAAAATAGAAAGGAAGAGGCAAAAGGGGGAGGTAAAAGTAACTCGTTAAGAATCTGACCCACTCTTTCAAACCCTCCGGCCCGGCTACCGTCCCATACTTGCCCGACAGATCTCCAACCTGACATGTCTGCGGCAGCGCACTATCGCACGGCGGCGAGTCTCCCCGTACATACGAGTCGAGATGGCCGCCCGTATCGGTGCAGTTTCCGCTCTCGGGGACGGGGTGGATGTGGATGTGGTACTCTGTACAAAAAAGGGGGGATTGTTCGTCAGTTAATTAACAGCAGAAATATCGACCAGAATATTTATCATCCGGCATACTGTACGGCCCTCGGTCTACTGCGAGACCGGTCACGTCCACGGTGTAGTTAATGCCGATGGTGCTGGCCACGGCGGTAACAGTCCCCAGGACCGCGGGCAAGTCGAAGCTGGCTACCCAAGTTTCGCCGATGACGGGGTTGTTGCGGACGGGGCGAGCGTCGCCCAGCGCGCCGGTGGTGCTATTGGTTCCCTGGCTCACGGCTAGCATGGCCGGGCAAAGGAAAGTGAGGAGGTATCGGAGCTGCATTGTTATGGGTAAGACTAGAGATGAGAGCGTACCCTTGTGGTCAAGTCAAAGTCTTTCGGGGAAGGGAAAGCATGGGTGAGTGCGGTTGTCTAGGCTTCAAATAACGAGGGAAACACCCTCAACGGGACCTCAACAGCCTGAGCGAAATTCGCGGCCTAGGCTTTCATCAGTTCGAAATTTAATATCGGATTGGGGGTCCGAGGCAAGATATCCGATGCCTGGATACCACCCTTCCCGGGAAAGCTCGTATGTCCCATCCCGTCCAGCCAGCCCCGGGTCTACGGTTAAGTTGATCAAGGGTTCGATACCAAGTAATTACAGAGACGGTTCGGTCCCGAAAAAAGGATTCACGGTGGTGTTACACAACGGGATTCCTGGTATGGTCTACTCGGTATGTACGGCAGTTCAACGGATCCCAAGACGGGATTGTAAAGGTTGCGGCTAATAATATCGCAGCTGATAATAGGATCTTGAAAACCAGAGCCTACTTCTAGGTCTTGGTGAAATATGTACAATGGTATCGTGGAACGGCCTCTGAGCTTACGAGCTACGCCAGCCCTGAATCTCATCCAAAGTGAGGACATATTCACTATCGTAGATCTAGAGCGTGTTAGTCAAATACTCTCCGTCAGGCTCGAAATGAAACAAGAACATACCGTCTGCAAGTTCTCAGGCGAATTCCAGTCGGGGTTCCGAATATAGCTGTCTCCGCCCCAGACGGTGAACCACAGCCATTGGGCCTCGTAGGCTTGGAGGAGATCAGGAAGGGGCGCCGCGCCAACTTCGGCAGCCGCAATCAACTTCTTGTCCTGGCCGAGCTCGATGAGCTGGTTGTACTGCGTCGACATGGGCTGGGGGAGGTTTCTGTTAGTTCCACAATTCTTCTCCGTTCTCAAAACCCCTGGATTAATACCGAGACTTACCCCATTGCCTTGGACGTAGACATCTGCAGTCAGGATATCCACCGTTGCATCACCCGGATACCACTCCTCCAACAAAGAGTTCCACAGCCAGATCAAATTGTTGAGCCCGTGGTACTCGGTCAAGCGCTCATACAAAACGGCATACAGCTTCTTAGCAGGCTCAGCACCCTTAGCCCCCCACCAGAACCAACCACCCTCGGCCTCGTGCAACGGGCGCCAGAGCACCGGCACGCCGGCATCCTGCAGCCGCTTGAGCTGAACGGCAATAGCATCGATATCCCGTATCAACAGCGTGTGGTTAGCGTTGGTAGTCGAGCTAAGCGCGGCCTCAACATCAAAATCCGTGGCGTCCGTGTAGAACCCAGACCACCACTTGTGCTCCTCGGTGTCGTACAGACCCGTCGGCGCGTTCCAGTGCCACAGCACCGACACAATCCCGCCGCGCTCGCTGTGCACGATGGCCTCTTCCACCGACGTGCCCACCGTGCCGCGCTCCACCCGCGAAGGGGAGTAATCCATCAGGTCGACCGACACCACGGCGGGGATCTTGCCCGTCTGCTCGCCCACCCAGTTGGCGTCCGAAAGTTCCTGCTGGCCAGACAGGATCTTGTTGCCGTAGATGGACCGGAGGTAGGCATACAGCGCGGTGGCGTCCGCGTTGGCGGCTGGGTTGACGAGTTCGGCGTTGATCTCGTGCGGCGGGCGAGGGGTTGATGGGGTCAAGGTGATGGAATCGATAAGGTACCATCCCCAATTGTTGACGATGTCGATAGTGTTGGAGCCTTCGCTCAGGAGCAGCTGGCCACCGGAAATGTCCGCCCAGTCATCGCTGGCCGGGAAGTACACCTCGCTGCTTGCGCCGCCGTTGAGGACTACGTACGTGCGTTTCTCGCCGTAGATGGCGGCCACGCGGATGTTGAGGTCGTACAGGCGGGTGGTGGTGCTGTCGACCGTGAAGGTGACCTTGTCGTCGCCTTCGTCGAAGCCAGTCACGTAGCCAGTACCTGAACACTGTAGTTAGTATGGAGTTAAAGGCTCGAACTTCTAGTCCTGAGTCTGCTGACCGGTATACCCGGCTTGTGCCGTGTCAATGGTCGTCCCGCTTAGGGTTCCATCCTCAGCCTCGAATGTGCGAGCCTCGGCGTCGGGGTCTGTTGTGGGAGGGTCCTGTGGGGAGCAGGTCGGGACGCCGCGCACACCTGCAGCCAACGCAACGGCTCCGTAGAGCAAGTACGAAAGCATTCCAGTCATGCTGTCGGGGTGTTAACTAGCCCGTATGATTGGTGTTGTTCACCGTCGACGGCAAAGAAAATGATGGACCTTGTAGACTAAGATCGACGCTCCTGAAGAATATTTGGAGGAGTGGACATCAGTCGGGATTTAAATGATAATTATTCTCCGTCCCACAGTGTCATCGCGGTTTATGAGGTCAGGATGTTTAACATAGTTTAAACGTCAACGGCGCCGAAAATGGCACAACAATACACTCTCAGCAATCTTGGCTGGTGGGGTTTTCCAACATGGGCGGAGGGTCGACTTCCGGGCACGCTATCTGGGCCTCTCAGGGGAACCACCGTCCCCCGAGGCGCGAGGGACGCCCACGATCCCAAACTCTCGGATCTGCGCATTCGTGGAAATTTATTCAAAAGCCTAGCTCTATGCGCTTGGCGCAGCCTAGAGGGCGGACCAGCTCACGAATTCGGACTGGGTGTTTTCTGTTAGTCGGCAGCGCAAAGGAACAAAGGCTCACAGAAAAAAGATCAGATGCAGATGCGGTGTTTGGAGAGTCCGCCTTGGCGACGCAACGTCGGAAGTTTTTGCTATTTTAGAACCTGGCAAGCTCAACGCTGAGATTCACGACATTCGATAGGTGAGCGCGGATGAAGATTTGTCTTGTTCACCGGCTAGGGTGCTTTGATAAGTTCAGTTTTGATTCAACACCGGTTAAGCTTCCAATGAGCAATCCGAATCTAAATGATGCCTCCTAATTAGTCCTTAAAACGAAGCCCTGGGGAGCATCATGTTAGAGAGCATCTAAGAACCTTCCTTATATCAAATGAACTCCTTTAAACTGGGAAGCGGAGCCTCTGCGGAATGTGGGGGTTGTATTGACCATACCCGGACTACTTTTTGGGTTCACTATCCCCTTCAGCTTGTATTTGGGTTGGTATCCGGAGGGACCTAGCGTTGGAAGTCGTCCGCATTGAAACACTCGGCGCCATAATTAGATACTAACCACTTGGACCTGAATATACATTACGGCAGGCTTAGCAGAGGTAAATAGTTAATAATAAACAATGTTCTACCACGGATGCGTTCCAGTCCGTCGGCACATCGGGGGTTTACAAGCTATCTTCAGACTCGTTCCCTAGGGTAGACATGGTGACGAAAGATATACCCTGGCATGTCATCAGCCGGACAATACTTTCGATTTCCTTGGAAGTATTGAGATATGGGCGAGGCACACGCCGGATCGGGGGGGGGGGGGGGGGAACATTAGCTTTAGAGGGGCCACGGTCTACGGACGACGGTATGATTCCTAAAACGTCGCACCTTCATAGCCACATCATTCTTTAGGGCGGTCTGTCTCTGGTTGGCACTCGTAAGGGGGTCGTATTCGTGCCTTGAGCGCTAGTATGTTCTCGTCACGTCGAGACGGTTATGTTGCACTGTTGTGCAACCGCACTTTTAGAGCCCCAACAAGCCACACGCGACTTCGAAACGAGGTCCGTCCGTTACCACGCACGCGATGATACTCGTTTCTTTTCGGGGAAGGGAATTCGATACGCCGAGAGCGCAAACACCATTGATGCATTCCGTGGTCACAATCATGCTCTTAGCCCGCAATCACGCGTTGTGGTAATACTCATAGACTCATACCGCCTTGGGATTTTATGGCCGTCTGAACTAGCACCTTGAAACACATTGTGGATGACTGGAAACCGACGATGGCAGAGGGGCATGGAAGAGCAATAAAACCTCGACGCCACATCGCATGACACGATAACCGCAGAACTGTTCTAGACACTGGCAACATTCGAACGTCCCGACTCCCCGGGTATGCCACTGAGGGTCTCAAAAACTTACGGGGGTCCTGACGGAGATGGTGCGAGCATCTTATGTCAAAGTCGTCATCTACATGCAGGTGTCCGCGATGTACCCGGTTAGTTCCTACATGAACTCTGTCAAGAACAGGGTGGACGTTGACAACAAACCCATGGAGCCGTCGATCCCGACGGCCTGAGCTCTAACCTAAGCCCCTGTTACTCTACCACTCCATTTCGAAGTGAAGCGAGGGCTGGGATAAGGCCAATTGAGACACAACTCTCTAACTCTCCTGGGATTTTGGCGGATTTCTGGCCAAAACTCACCTAACCACACAGAACCCGTGACGGGGGCCGCATCAAGCAGCCAAATCACCTTAGACATGCATCAGGTTTGACGACCACGAGGAGGAGGCCATTCCGAGGTAGGACCCCGCAACAAAACCCCAAGGGATGCGCCGGGTAGCACGAGGTATTCGGCGAGAGAGAACCGTGCGCGCCGTCGACGGCTACTGGAACGCCGGAAAACTTGGACCGGGACGCGGGGATCGCTCAGACCCGCGGGTGTGGCCGGACTTCGGGGCTGGGGAACAGGTCGTCGACTCGCGGGCCGTTCAGGTTCTCCATGTCGCCCGGTCCCATGGCCGTTTCATCAATCAACCCGGGGAACCTAGCTGGTTGAGATGCGTGTCCCGCGTGCGTCTGCGGATTGGGAACGGGACGTGCGCTGGCTGTTACAACCTGCAGGTGAGCTCAAGCTTGCTTCCACCAAACATCCTGAAGACGTAAAGGAAGGAGGATTGGGTGAGAATTGGTGGTCCAGCCGGGCCTGGAAAATCCTCGTTTGTTTTTGCGCCTGCCCGTTTCCCGTCTCAAGCCGCCATGAAATGATTGGAAGAACCGGTTCAAAACTGGGCGGCCCGGCCTCCATCTGAGGTTCGGCTTGATTTCGCTTGGATAATCCGGTTCGCACGGGTATTTCTCACATGAATTGGTGCGCCCCAGCCGCAGCCCTATGCGAGATGTGACCTTCAGAGGAAAAGGGCCAGAGGTTGACGGTTGATGGGTGAACATGATGGCGATCTTCGCAAGCAGGTCGGTATTTTGGAAAAGAAATCGTCCCTTTCGACGAAAACCCTTCGGCGGTCGCCGGCTCCCTCTCAAGAGGTTTCGGGCAGGCCGGCCCGAAAGCCCCTGCGGCGCTGGGCATCCCGAACGCCTCGTTTGCCAGACAAGGGCGAGTGGAATGGGTGGGGTGGGCCGGTCCGTTGGGGTGTGACCCTTTTCGCCAAGTTTCGCCATAAAAGCTTTGTTTTTGTTTACGCTCCTCCTTCCCAGTACTCAGAAACATATCTCATAACCAAGATATCGAAGGGATGGTGAAACGAGTCGAGTGAGTTGGTGTTGTGGATGCCGCGCACGAATAGGCTGCGAGGTGGCATCGACCTTCCAGAACACGCAGGTGGAGTGGAAGTTTCATGCGACGCCTTCACTTCGGATCTGGATGGGGCACCTTCAGCTGGGATTTTTAGCTCCATGATCGCCCATCGCCCGATCTCTCCACATAACGACCACATGCCCTTTCAGGAATGTCTTATTATTTATCAGTTTGCGCTAGAAAAAAAAAGACGTCCAAGGGAAGAATCTTGACTCTCCCTCGCTGCTTCGGTCGTTGGCGCTAAGGTACTTCAGGTTCGTGGAAATGGTGGCGCTTGAAGACTTACGAGTTTTCTTCCTTCTCCTTACTGATGCTCGCCAACTACTACGTCGTTGCAAACCGTGGCTTCCCTCGCACTGACTCTTGTCGCGTATTCGTGTGTGAAGGGGGGCTGTGGGACGAGAAGTTCTCTGAGATCTTGTCTCGTTTCGGCGGGGCAGGCGTGCTCACGAAGGCGAGCCCGAGAAGCCTTGCCCTATCGAGAAGGGCGGTGGGTGTTGGCAGGTGAGCCGTGTGCACAGACAGCGAGCCTTAACGACATCGGGTTAGTGGTGACATTGAAAAACGTTCCCCGCTCAATGGTTGGAAACCGATCTTTTGACACTTCAGAACTTGGCTGGTTCGCTTCTCAAAGAGGTGCTCCTCGCCAGCGCGCAATGACAACCGGGTGATTGAGGAACCATGGAACGCTCGTGGCCAGAACATTTCCCTTCGCGTCGCGACCGCCACCTGTAGCACCCGTCTTCCTCAACGAATCCTCATGTTCTATGTCATTTGGGGGAATCAACAAGATACACAAAATTGAGCCATTTCTGGCGAACAAGGCATCCCCAGGCTGTCTGCCCTGTGGAATATTTCTGGAATTCCCCAGCTCGCGGGGATGGTTTTTCTGGGGGGCTGATCGACGCTAGGGTTTCCGCGGGTGGTTAGCTGACCCTGCCGATCAAGGACCAGGATGGGAGGAGCGGAACAGACAACAATTCGGGTCTGGTGTTGAACCCACCAAGACCACCTTTTTTAGCCCCCTGCGATGCTTGGGACGGGACGAGTGGGTGAGCATCGGCCTCCCGGGTAAAGCAATGGCGCGAAGCGCTGCTGCAGGTCCTGACTTCTGGGGTAAGGCTTCCCCACGATGTCCTGCTGTTCGCAGGGATTGGGGGGTTTGACCGGCGACCGCGAAGGCGAAAAGAACCCATGAGGACCTGGAATCAGGCACTTCGGGACTTTTCTCCTGGAAGAGCCCCCATGGCTTTAGTCCAGTCGTCGTTCGATCTCTCGTTCCTGCATCGAAACTTCGGTATTAGTATTAGTATGGCATGGTATCGTCCGTGGAACGCAGCCCGGGCGGACGCAACCACACCACACCACCACTTCGTGCTCTCGCCTTCTTGTGTGTAACAAAGGCACCAACTGCCCTACTCACACCTTAACTCGTTGACGTCTCCGACCCTTGGACCGGGTGAAAGGGTCCGTGATCAACTGTATCATCTTCTCAACCCCGCTTCCCTCGATTATCGACGACAGCTCGACCGGACTTCGATATATCATGGTCTCACGCCCCCGACAATAAGCCTTTATCGTCCGTGGGCGTACTTGTTCACCAGCCAACCAGCCCTGGATCCGGAGCATTTTCTCGTAGCCCACTGTGCCCCTCCCAGATCGAAGACGATATCGCGAAATATCAGGAAGCCCGCCGCTGAAACCCACACACACTTCCCCCGTCTTCAAGATGTCGGGAGCCGGACCCCCACAACCTCTGGACCCCGCCGCCTACGAGGACCGGTCCGGAGTTCCAATCGCCGTCGTCACTGTCACGCTTAGTATTGCTACACTCTGCGTATGCCTTCGATCCTATGCCCGCGCGTATCTCATCCGCCAGTTTGGGCCGGATGACTGGGCCGCCGTCGCAGCCCTAGTGTTTGCCATGGGGAGTGGTATTATGGTGGCGTCGAGTACGTCCATCCCTATGTGTCCTTTAGCGTGAGAAAGGAGGTGACGAAACTTACTAACAGCCTTTTCTAGACACACGAAATGGCCACGGGAAACACATGGCTGTCGTTGACCCTGCGTTGCTGGGACCTTACATGCGGGTGAGTTCATGCGTGTAATTCCCAGCCATCTGCTTGGTTCGGGCCGTATTTGACTAAAACCTCTTGTAGACCTTCTACATCTCGATTGTGCTGTACAACGCGTCGTTGACAGCCATAAAAACCACCTTCCTACTCCAATATTACCGCATTCTAGGGACAGGCGTCATACGGACAATCATCATTGTCGCCTTTTTTCTCATCGGCCTTTGGTCGGTTTCGCAGCTTCTTGTTGTCGTCTTTACCTGCTCGCCGATCCCCAAATTCTGGACTCCAGATATGGAGGGGACATGCATCCCCAACCTACCGTTCTGGTACATCAATGCAGCGGGCAATATTGTCACGGATGTGGCCGTTTTCCTGCTACCGCTCCCGGCGTTGAGCCGTCTTAATCTTCGCAGGGGCCAAAAACTTGGTCTGCTGGGCGTCTTTTCGCTCGGGTTCTTCGTAGGTGTCCCCCTCTTTCCTCAGAGAGGCATGTCCGGTGGGAGGTCCCTAACAGTTTTCTCTTCTCCTTTTTCTAGACCTGTGCCATCTCCGTCATCCGCATCCAATATCTCAAGCTCAGCCCCGATGTGACTTGGGACAACGTCGCCTCCTCCTGCTGGTCCATCGGCGAGCTCTGCTCGGGCATCACCTGCGCCTGCCTGCCCACCCTCCGCCCGCTCATTACGCGCTGCCTACCAGGGCTACGCTCTCAAAGCGAACAGAGCGGCGGCAACCAATATGGCAGCACCCCCTACAGCAGCGACAAACGCTCCGGCCGGCGCCGCCGTGGTCGTCACAACCAGAGCGAGCTGTCCACCACGCTTCAGACCATCGGCTCGGCGGGTACCAGTCGATTCAAGAAGCGCAGCACCGACGAGGAAGAGGCCGCCAGCAGCCGCGGCATTATCTACCCGGAGGACGTCGAGCTGCAAAGTGACGACCGCTCCGACAAGGGCATCCGCTCGAACGCCGTCGAGGACGCCTACCACGACCCGTACGGCCACGGCGGCCATCCCATACAACAAAACATCGCCCCAAATGAGTCGCATAGCACGTATGCGCGTACTATGGACAAGCTCAAGCTTGGGCTCAAGTCTACCGTGCAGACGGAGATTCGAGTTGGGTCGGCAGGCGGCGGTCGGCCAGGGGAAGAGACACCATGGTCGGCGGCGGATCGCGGGATCGAGGTGAAAAGGGATTTCGTGCTGACGTCGAGTGCGCAGCGTCGGATACCTTAAATATATCCATGAGAGTTAATGCTATATTTTTGTTGATGTTATTGCTGCGTTGTTGTTTCCCGGGCCATCTTGTCCTCCATGCCATGCTGTGTACGTTTATGTCGTCAGTTCGGAGGACCGTCTGTCGTGATGGTACGTGTCTTGTATGAATAACTGCCGGGTCCAGGATAGTTCTTGATACCTATCCGTACACTCCGGATCTCGATGGTGTCGGCGTCGACGGGGGAATATCATGATCAGGACATCGCAAAGTGACGATCTGGGCGGTTGGGGTTGCTCTCATCGTGGACATTCAATGAATGGTATCGGGCGATGAGAAGCCGGGTTCTCAGCACCAGACCATAGACCTACACGAGAATGAAGCACCAGGGCCCGAAGCGATATAAGAATCTCCTGGCCGGGGTAGTGGGGCAAAGATGCCGCCGAGTTCATTCCGGGCCGGGTAAGTTCCGGTGCTGTGCCCGTGGGCTGCGGCAGCCCACTCGGCAGTTGAAAACGCCAGTCAAGGCCAGCAAATTTGTCATGGGTAACACAAGGGTCCGGCAGTCTCCGTTTTCATCTTCATTTGATGGCTGCACACGCGCTGTGGCTTCATGTCGGCAGTTGAGAGTCTCCTATAGATTGCACTCAGGAGCCAGGGCATGAGCCTTAGGGGTGTGCAAATGGGCGGACCGGGCAACAACCCGGATATTGTTTTTGTGTGAGTACCAAACAAGAGACGGCGGCCTCCTAAGCTTTCAATAAAGGGAGGAGGATTATGTCCGCGTAGGAGCTAACTGCTTGTCAACATTGTGGCCCAATCCTCATCCTCGGGACCAATCTGCACAATGTGCGCGTCAGCTGCGTAGAGTCCGTCTAGATGGTAATAATTAAAATGGTTTTTCCTGCCGGGCCGCCGTCTTACACTTGGGTGCCAGTGCCGACCCGCCCTAATCTGCTCAGGGGGGGAATGGTGCAACGTTTTCTCGGCGACGGTTTAAGATCACGTTGAGTAGAAACAAGGGTTGTTGCTTGTTGTACGGCTGAATATCCTACTACGTTGGAGGCCCCCAACATCACGACCCTTGGACGCACGCTCGGTATTTTGGTTCACCTGCGATTAAGGTCTCTCGAAAAATATCCGAGGTTTCACCTCGTATTGGTTTTCGTCCCATATTGGTGATTCCCGAACTGTATTTGCTTGTCGCAGCGTAAAGATAGGTAATTACAATGAAGGCCTTCCGGAAATGATTCTCCTTGGAATCCAAAATCTCCGGGGTTCTCCCACGCCGGTCTTGATACAGCCGTGACCCGTAAGCCACCGTGTAAGTGTGTAATAATTGTATGAGATCTTAAATCAACACAGTTCAGGTCAACATAGTTACCGGCCTCTGCTGAGTCCTTTTGCTGACCCATTTGGAGACTTTGTTGTGGCTCTTGAGTCTTGAGAAATCGCAACCACTAATTAACGGTCGCTCCTGCATCTTCCACGCTTGCACTTTCCTGCCCAAGAGAGAAGGGCTGAAATCGCCTGACGATACACAGCTTCTCGAATCGGATTTTAGTTAAAACCCCGCGAGACAACTAGAAAGCGGCTGCTGCTGCTGTGGCGGGGGTTGCGTCCGGGGCCAGTGAATTACCTGATCTATCCGGACCATCATTTCTAATTATGTCAAGGAACGCGGGGGACAAGCGACCAGCATTTGCTTGTTAACCACGGTCTTACCTAAGTAGCTGGCGCTCTGCGAGAAACTGCAACATTTTTACGAGTACGCGATGGCTCCGGGCCCGGAGCCGGCCAACGTTTGCGCCAAGTCGCGGCTCTTGGCTCGGGAATCTAGAACAATTGCCATGTGCGTCCGGAACGGCTCCGGGATCCAACCGGAAGATAACGTGGGGTTGGAGCGACTGGTTTATTGAAAATAGCCATGTCGCAATCAGGATCCCGATTGCATCAGGTGGAACATGAGCTGTGGTTGGCCACGATTTTAGAGGAATAGCTAGGTAGTCTCGCATTCGGTCTCACTGCATCTTAAACGGTTTGATGACTTCTAAATTTTGGATAATTCATTAAGGGGTTCAAAATTCTCACAAAAATACCGTAGACTCCCCGAACCATTGCGTATCAAACAGAGCCCATTAAATGCTGTTCAGAAGCCCAGAATCCCGGTGAACCACCGCCTTGTTCTCAGAATATCAACAAATTTGAAATGAGGAGAGAAAGCGCTACTGGTTTTGGTATCCCGTTTTTTTATGAAGGAGCGCCGTTGCGGAGGACCCGATGGCGTGCCCACCCATGCCGATGACACCAACAACCACCACCACACAACCGTTCCCAGCTAACAGACGGACTCGGCGGGGTCGCTCGACCATCTTCCCGTTATCATTGGTCTAATAGATGCCGCGATTCAAGCATGCCGGGACGTGGAGGCGACATTTCGCCGGCATCCCACGCCGCGTCCCACGTTGGAGAGGACCGGAAACAATAGATGGGTGGGGGCTCCGGCAAACGAGGGCTTGCGAGTCCGGATTGTGGGCGGCGATGGATCCCGTATCTGGATGATTCCCGCTAGGTGTTGTGGAAACTGTTGGTCTGGGCTAGCGTTATGTTTACTTAAGATACTCTCGTTCGTCCGCATTAGCTAGACTCGGGACTCCTGAGAGCTTTTGACAGTGAGACTCAACGAGCCTCCCATCACAAATCGACCTTCTCCGGAAATGTCTGTCAACCAAGAAGCGAAGGGGTTGGACGAGAAGAGAGGGGTCGAGTTCTCCGATGGCCGTCTTAGCCGGAGTGAGGATGAAGGCCAGGAATTGACGTGGACCGAAGAAGAGGAGAAGGTATTGGTTAGAAGGTGGGTTCACTTCCGCTGCTCACTTACAGATCGCAGTGCCGGGTTCTAACACACTGACGGTATCAGGCTCGACTTTTTGATCATGCCTCTGCTGATCCTTGGATTCTTCGCCTTGCAAATTGATCGAGGCAACATGTATGTCCTCCGACTCAAAGCACCCCCGGCCAAGGAGTCAAACTGATCAGACCACTAGCGGCAATGCCCTCACAGATTTCTTTCTGCGGGACGTAGGCATCACGCAGTTCCAATTCAACGTCGGCCAGCAACTGCTGTCTGCCGGCATTGTGCTTTTGGAAGTGAGTTTCCCATGCTTGTTCGTTTGAAGTGACCGGGAGATATTTACCTATGTAGATTCCAAGCAACATCATCCTTTACAGGCTCGGCCCGACGGTGTGGATTGGCGGGCAAATTCTGGCATGGTGAGTTCCTTACCGCGCATCTGGCTGTTGGTCATGGATTCTCACTAAGAGTCAACATAGGGGCCTCGTAGCTACCCTCCAAGCCTTCCAGAAAGGACTCGGTTCATATCTCGCCACAAGGTTGCTCCTTGGGTATGCATCTCTCATAATTTTGTTTAAATAGGTTGCTATCCACTGACCATTAGCAAAGGCTGTGCGAGGCGGGCTTTATTCCCGCTGGGCTGTTCACCATGACCCGTTGGTACAAGCGCGATGAAAGCACCTCAAGGTTTTCAATCTATTTCCTGGGCAACCTGCTATCTGCCGCTTGCTCGGGGCTCATAGCGTACGGGATGTAAGTCTCACTCAATCCCCCCAATCCATAACCCCTCTATCCAGGCTTCTAACACGCGACAGCTTGCACATGCGGGGCATCGGCGGCCTTGCGGGTTGGCAGTGGTTGTTCCTGGTAAATTCACTACCGGTAGATATAAGTGTTATCAACTGTTGCTGACAGGTCGAAGCTCGAGGGCATTTTCACCGTGTTGGTAGGAATCTTGTTCATCTGCCTCTTCCCAATCTCGGCCGCCAACCCCGTTTCTCTCATTGGCCTCCGATACTTCAACGAGCGCGAATCCCAAATCCTGCAACAGCGAGTTCTTCGAGATGACCCGAGCAAGGTCCAAGCCCGTCAGAACATCAGTCTGGAGGAGGTTAAGACGACGGTTTGTTTGCCCCTAACCCCCCTTTTTTTCTCCGAATCTAACCACCCACACAGTTCACAAACTGGCGCCTTATCCCCCACCTACTCATGACCATAGTGGCTCTAGCACCTGCTTCCACCATGGGCTCCTATGCCCCAACGCTCGTGATCTCGATGGGGTACGAACGACTGCAGTCGAACGCTATGGCATCCATTGGGGCTTGGATTCAACTCGTCATGAATGTTTTGTGGGGTGTCATTGCGGAGAAGACGCGTCGCAGGGGCCTGATGGTGTTCCTGGGGATTTTGATTCTTTGGGGGACGTCGGTGAGTTTCTTACAAATTCAGGTCTCAGACGGAGTGAATTACTGACACGGTTGAAATAATTAGCTTGGAAACCGTCTGCTAGTAGATTCCACCAACTATCCACTGAAATTCGGCGTACTTACAGCTAGTCTTAGCTTCCAGGTTCCATTCCGTAAGCATTCCCCCACCAAACCTGTTCCTATCTCACACGTCACGGTACTGAAAAATCAGTTTCATCACACTAACACATTACAAACCTGGCACAGACGCTGTAAATGGCTCCTGGCTCTCCCTCAACTGCAAGACAGCAGGTGAACGATCCATCACCATGGCCATGTTGATCATGTGCGCCAACATCGCCGGCATCGTGGGCAGTCAGTTGTTCCAGGCGCAGGACGCACCGTTGTACCGGACAGGCTTTACGGTAATTGTGGCCTTTCTTTCGGCGGCGGTGGTCCTGGCCACGCTTGCCAACTTGCAGTATTGGCTGCTCAACAAATTCCAGAAGAGGGTCGGCAAGGATCGGTATCAGTACTAGACGTGTTAGACAAAAGGAGACGGTGGGGCGGGGGCTTGGAGTTCGGATTTAAGTTCCATGGTGAACTTAATGATAATCATTTAGAAGACTTATTTGAGGTCGATGGTACAGTCTTGCCGAGTTCCTAGAAACGGCCACCTCAGGATATCGCAGACCTAAATCCCGTTAACTCCACGGCCAAAAATAACTAACGCCTCCTCCCTACCCCAAGACATCGGAACATTTTCCCAAATACATTCAGATAAGAATCCCAATCACAAGACACTATGCAATCTCACAAGAATGAGCCAAATCCGCCAAACAATCCCAAGAACAAGACACTAACTAAGCAATCCCACAATAATAATCCAAATCCGCAAACAACTGATTGTAATCATCCGTGGACCCCGTCACAAAATCTGTCCAGATCCCATCCAAGCTAAACGGGGAGCAGGAATTATCCATGATCAGAGGTCCAGGTCCTGCGCTGGGCCCAGATGTCGCCGCTAGAAAAGCGGCCATTCCGTCCTGCCCACCGCCTACCGGATTCGTTAGGAATGCTAGTGAAGGGGTTGGCGCTGCGGGCATGGCTGGCAAGGGAAATAAGACGCCGGGGGGCTGGCTCTGGGCTGGAGCCGGGGGCGGACTTTGCCAGGGGATTGCGTCTGGGCGTGGGAGCGCGGGGATGGTTGGGTTGGGGAGCGGCATTGTGGCTGGTGGTAGGGTGGTATTGATCTGTGCGGCGCTGTGAACAATGTATTGTTGCTGTTGTTGCTGAGCTGCGTGTGTCTGCTGCTGCTGCTGCTGCTGCTGCTGTGGTTGCTCTTGTTGTTGTCCCTGGTGGTGCATCTGTTGCCCGGCGATGGCACTCCCATTGAAGGGGGTAACACTATGACTATTCCTTGACATATCGCCGGAGGCACCTCCGTCACCACCATCATCACCATCCCCACCCCGATGGCGAAACCCTACCACAGTGGCACCACCTTGGTGCTTAGCGTGATGGCGTTTCAGGAGGGTGACTAGATTCCGCAGCAAATCAGCGGCGGCTGGGGAACCGGCACCTAAGTCACTAAGAACACGTCCAGCATGAGCTAGCAATTCAGACACGGCGGCTCGACTCTGAGCATCATCCGTTTCGGTTCTGGCTCCAGTGACTTGACCCTGCGACCGACGGCGTTGGCCGTCGCTCGTGGTATTTACTGGGGATGCGTGGTGTGGTGATCGAGGGGTTGAACTGGCGTAGATGGCGAGTACGGTACAGGCTGTGGATAGATGGTTGATGACAAGACCGAGGCGATGGGCAGATAGAGTTTTTGTTGTAGGGGCCGATCCAGTCGAATCAACACTAGACGGATGCAACTGGATGACATCGAGGCCCAGAGATACTACAGCACGGGTAGTCTTGAGACATATTGCGCGGGACCGCTGCTGACTGGGGGTGTAGTGACTCTGTTGAAGCAAGAGGAATGGCCGATGCAGGCGAGCTCGGCGGGTGAGGAGGCCTAACTGGACGACCAGGCGCTGCAGCTCAACGGGACCGAATCGGTTGCTTTGAGGCGGTTCCTGGCCCTGGAAATAAGGGGGCAGGTTTGCCAGGCCCTCTTCAAATAGCTCGTCCAGTGCGAGAACTTGGTCGCAGTCGGTAATGTCCGTGTCGGGGCCCCCGGGGTAGCTTGCATCTAGTACTTCTCTGATGATCTCTGCGATGCGAGTTCGTTGAATAAAGCAGGACAACTGGGTAAATTTGTTGGGCTCGGTGCTGGCAAATTTGTCCACCGAGCTCATTTCATTGTCGTTGATGTTTCTCGGGTAACTGACGTTCATGTGCCGGGTCTGGACGGAATACGTGCCCTCGTTAGGGCCTCCCATAAACCCAAGAAGCCTGAAGGCGATTGGTTAGCGAGACCTGGCAAGGACAAACAAACGGCTGGGAAGGCGTCTACATACCAGTCTGTCCCAGCGATATACCACCATATTCTACGTTTAAGCTCACGGGTAACTTCATCTTCATTTCGGGCGGACCTGGGGCTATCCACGAGATGAAAAAGAAGCTCACGAGCGGCGGTCAGACTACGGTTGTGGAGGATCCGGAAGCGGGAAGAACAGCCCTCAACGTTATGGATCATGTAGGTCATGACCGCCCAGGCCTGCGCAGACTCCATGGCCACGGCGTTAGTTTCTTTGGTCGCATTGGCGAGTATATCGAACGCCCAATCCCGCCAAAACTCGGATGCCTCGGAGGCTTCTTCGGCCGAGGTAAAGTAACTGTGGAATCCAACATCGGGCTGCCAAAAGTAGGCGCTGAGCGCGCTTAGCGTGAGAATGAGAGCGGCGATATAATGTGGAAGCTTTTCTTCGCCGCGTGAAATGTCGTCATAAAACCTCGTGATGAGACCCCGGGTTGTTGCCCCATGGATGACTGGGAGGAGGGGATACACTTGCTCCATGTAGTCCTCGAGCAAAGCCAGAGCCTGGGCCTTGGGCATCATCCAGATACGGTCACGATATTCCTTAAAGCGCTTGTGGAATCCAGATCGGTCGGTGGTTACTTCGAATTTCAGCTTTCCCAATCTCCCGAGAGACATAGTAGCCGTAGTAGCCGTTGGTGATGATGAGTGGTGTTCGCCACCCGGAAGTGATGACAGCGAAGCGTTGGCAATACTCCTCGGAGAGTCGTGATCACGAAGAGTCCCTGACTCCCTGTGGCTACTCTCAAACACAATCTCCTCAAGGACTCGGAGCCTCTTTAGGATCTCATCTGTCGAGGACGCATCGGTACTGGTGAGGTTAGCATCGCCCAGGACCCACAACCGTCAAAGCAACAGAGAAGCAGGCGGGCAGGCCAAGAAGGAATACGGCAAAGTGGCAACCAAAAAGAGTGAGGAGAGCGCGCAACACAAGTTTCAACCACTTAGATTCACTCCATAGCAAGCCTGCAAAAGAGCAAACACTACCAACCTGGTATCAATAGCGGTTCTTATGGTACCGCTGAGAGGTCCCAACAGCCCCTGCTGGCCCTCGCAAGGCAGGCCTCGTGTGACACAGCTGGAGCATGGTTGGCCACGGTCGCACTTGAGTTTCCGCTTGCGGCATGAGTCGCACGATGTCTGAGGTTGGCGTCGTCCATGGCTCTGGACTCCCTGGGCGGCATGCTGCCCGTTGTGAATGTGCACGAGCTGCGAGGCGGGAATTGAATGTCGTGGTGGTACAGACTCGAGCGTGGGCTCGTGAGCAGGATCAACGGCTTTCCGCTTCATGGCGGAGATGCATTCAAAGACATTGATATGAACAACAAGGGAATGAAGTATGGGGACCGCGGACGATCCGTGGAGGCTGCCTGTTGAAAAGGAGTGGAGGATGTTTGGTTGGAGACGCGCGATGGCCGACGCTGCCGCGGATGATCCATGGAGAACCGTGGCCGATTGCCATAACAATATCTAACCCTAACCCTAGCGCCAACAAGGGAAGGCCCCACAGGCGTGACCCCTACCAACGCGACCCCACGACCAGCACAAGAACTCTCGACTTTCCATCGAACGACTTATCGGCGCTCTGTCTTTTTTTCCCTTCTCCCCTCCTTAATGTTTGATAACTAACTCTTCACGTTCGGAGTACTCTACACCCGGAATACGCCTCTTGTTTCTGTATTGTTTCTATTCCCGCCTCGAACCAGCAGCGTTCAGACTCGACCAAGCCTTGCGAGTCCCAACTTGAGCAAAATCGCTTGACTTTGGAACTTTGGTTTCCCTTCTTCTCCCCTCCCCCTAATGAACTTGCTTTCTTCCCTCTTCGCCATTTTTCGCCCCCGGTTTTCTCTGTCTCAGAAATTCTGGCCTGCCAATTCCCCACCAAGTTTTTTTCCCCGAGATTGTTCGCTGGTTTCAAGTTCGCGCTCACCCAATTGCCAGCTTCGCATTTCTCAACGGAAGCAGCGCCAACGCACCCCCAACTTTACACAGGGATCGGCTATGGCCTGAGACATCGGAACAGGGGGTTCGGGCAGGCTAACTCGGTTATTTTTGTCACTTCCGCCTGTCACGAGCTTCCATTGAGGTTTCGGGCAGTCCAGCAATCCTCAGCAAGGGACCTCAGCAAAATCTGTCTCGGATGACTGTCCCAAGAGCAAATCGAGAGAGGACGGGCCGAAGAGATGATGGGATGAGACGGGATGTGAAGGCCGCCAAGCAGCTGCAAGGTCCAAACTTTCCAGGGACTCAAGCCAGCAGCCGCTATTCTCGAACTTTCTTCCCCACAAACTCTGCCATATGGCCCGGGAGGGGTTCAATTGCGCTGGGTTCAAGATCAGGCCCCTTTCCGACATCTGTTTTGGGCCAGGGCCAGGGTATGCGACGAGCGACTACCGCGTTAACCGCTAGGTGGCCCGGCCCGAGCTTTACCGCTCCTGCTGCTGCGGCTGCTGTTGCTGCGATGCAAATTGCGCTGTACATGGTATAACCCCATATGAGGTCGTGACAGGGCGCCACGCCCGCTGACGCCAGCGACGGGGAGGGCACGAGCCGTCCCCGAGCCGGGCGAAGCGAGCCCGGGTCGCTTTTTCCATGTCGGGTTACGACGTTACCCATCTGTGACGGCATGATGCCCTTGCTCCTAGGGCTCTCACGCACCATGCACTCTGCACCATATTTCACCGGTCACCAACATGCTGCCCACAACCCACGCTGAAGAGAGATTAGAGGCCCACCGGCTGACTGCTTTGCGCAATTGGCTTGCGATGTTTACTTCTCAGCGGTCCCGGCGGCCCTTCAGGGCAAAGTCCATAACGGGTATTGTGCGTGTCCATCGCGAAACCGTCTAACCACGTCGAGACAGCGGCGAGAGTGCCCAACCATGCTACCCGTTCCTTCACTGCGGCACGCCGTCGGCGAGTCCCCATCTCGGCGCCGGTCCCCTTGGTCTGGCCACGATACTATTCCCATCCCGGACTCTGACAGGTGAGTCCGCCCAGGGGGGCGGAAGAGCGAAAGCAAACCCATCGTCCCGGACTGCATAGAAAAAAACGATGGAGAACGAGCCAGGTAGTGTGTGGAGTAATTTGCGATAATATAATCATGTTACCCTACCTGACCAACCCAGCAATGAGGACATCTGCTTCACAATTCACCACGAAGGTCAATTCGTGACTCCGGTCGGTGCGAGGGTGTTCCATACACAACCCGGGCCTCCTCCACATCATTATCACCCCTCCCTCTTCCTCGACTCCTCTTCCCCGCCATGGCCCACTACTTGTTCCCCGCGAGCAAGAGCACCGACAAGGATGGCCGCAAGCATGAGCACCACCTCTTGCTTGCCGACCTTGTCCGCGGCGCCACCGACTCCATCAACGCCTTGGCTCTCTTTCGAGATCTCGTAGTCCGGCATGACAGCGGCCCGGAGACTCCCGGGTTCTCGGCCTTTGATGCCCACGTCGGCGATGACAGCAACCACCTCCGGGCCGGGATGGTCAACGACATGTTCTCGACATATCGCTGCCTCTTCCAGGTTAGTCCCACAGCGTGGGAGCTCGTGGACGATTGGCTGGGTGAGACCATTGCACAGCTCAAGGCAGTCATTGTCCAGGCACGTGCTGCCCACCGCAAGCCTAACAGAGGCAAGGCTGAGTCCAGCCGTAGCCGATGGCATCGCCATCCAATAGTACCCCAAGAAGTTCTTGGTCGCCTAGGATGGGTTGAGCCAGAACGGTCGTTCGGCTTTGCCGCTGAAGACGGAAGAGGGCCGTTAGTCTCGGGAGCATCGAGTTCTTCTTTTGAAAAGGAAAGGGGCTCGGCCAAACCTCACAGGGATCAGCCCGTTTGGGATGTTTTTGACTCTACCGTACTCAGCCGCTTCGTTATTTACGCCTACGTACTGTGCAAGTACAAGGCCCCGAGCTCCCAGAGTGGTCCACCACGTATTGGCCTCGACCACCAGGCCGTCAACGACTTCACCCAGGGACTGGTCAACGACAATGGGGACGCTCACGTCCAGCAACTATTAGATACGGGACGAATTGAAATCGAGTTCCGGGCTTTGCAGGCGTGGCTCTCCGAGCTCAGTTGTGCATGGCTGCAGTCGCTGGCAAGGCGTTCCCGGGTCCGGAGTGAAGCATCAGGGTGAGTGCTGCGCTCTCAGACCTATCTTCCCCTTTGATGTTGATTACAAGGCTGACGCGAATGTCATAGCCTGATCTCCAAGACGGTCCAGAGGTCGAACCTTGGATTGACGGCGGCTTCGTCTTACCCTGGGTATCTCGTGGAGCGCGAATACCTCTCTCGCCAGTCGACGCCACTGATCCTCGTCGACAAGCACTCCTGCTCTCACGGTAAGCTCCTGACCGTAACCCCAACTAGCGAAAAGGGATATCGTCTTACAAGTTCCGACATGGGCAGGGCACCACACCAACGTTTTCGAAGCCACGCTCGCCCCCACCCCCAAACCCCACGCGACAGTCAAAGTTGCCTCTCGAATCCGGGACGTCTTCCGGTGCATGCTCCCTTCGCGGAAAAAGACCGTAACCAGCGAAGACAAGACATCGTCACCACTAGGCCTCGCGCTACACTGGCGCCTCAAGCGCACGTCGGTCGATGCTCTCCTAGCAGACAACAACCCAACGACTCCCCATGTTGTAGTGACAGGCAGCAGTCGGCCCGAACCACAACGACAGTACCGTAAGCGGTTGCTGCAAAAGTTCTGGCCCGGCAAAGGAGGTGATGAACCCAACATCATCACCACCCATAACACGACCAGCAGCTACAACATCCGCAGAAGCAGCACAGTCACCCGGCCGACCGTATCCCGCTCCTACACCGCCAGCACCACGGCCACGGCAGACGACGGCATCCCAATCGACATCGTCAAGAAAGAAAACCGCAAAAAGGAGAAGCAAGAACAACGGCAAAACCGAAGAAAGATCCAAAAGGAGCGAACCCAGTCCTTCAACGTGAACGGGTGTCCACCCACCTGCCCCGCCAACGAAGCACACATCGCAGCCTTCCTCCGCGCTGACCACGACCGCATCGCCCTCGACCATTTCGCCTCGCGACCAGCCTACGCCTTCCCGATGTCCCGCACCAACACCGGTCCTGAAGTCATCGGCCCGCTCCATTCCAATACCTGGCCAATTACGACCAAGGAACAGAAACGACAAGAACAAGAAAGAGAGAACGAAGAAAATCATAACAATAATAATCAACACGTACGCGCCACCCCATCCCGCACCATGTCTTCATCTTCCATATCATCCCTCGCGCTGTCCACGCCGCTACGCTCGCCGTCGATATCGTGGGGGATCAATAGAGTGGAGGGGGATGTATCCGCTTGGCCTGGGGTCCGTGAAAGGGGTGAAAAGGGGGAGGAGCCAAGGAGCCAACAGGTGTTTCGGTGGGAGCATGTGATGGCTGAGTCGAAGGGACGTTTGGGGTGGATGTTGGAGTCGGAGTTGAGATCGAGGAGGAGGGGGGTGAGGGTGTCGACGAGGGAGGTGAGAGATTTAAAGGTTTGAAAGATGGGAAGTGTGGGGGTAAGGAGTGTGTTTTATGAATTTATGGGGTTGGGGATTGGGATCACTCTTTTAGGTGTTTCTTTTGTGATGATTTTTTTGGTGTTGAGTTCTGGGTTGATATCTTACATCTCACGGAGTCAAGCATGGGAAGGTACCATTAGAGGATAACATCTTGCGGCGTTAAGTCTGGGGTTCATGCATCGATAATAAACACTAGGGGAAAACACCTAATTTGATATATCTTCAACTCACTCACTTGTCGAAGCGAAGCTTCACTTGAAAGGCAGTTCTGGGATATATTACGTAGTATATTGAAAAAGTAAATGACATGAATGCTCGATTCTCTCATAGGAGCTTTTCCTCCAAAGTTCTCTGGCGAGCGACTGTACGTTTATAGACGCTACAATATTAGTGTGGCATTATGGCTGAGCCACGTCCGTGATCACCATCATCAAACTGTGCGAGGCGCAACACGGCCATCGAACCCTATAAGCTAGATAATTACTCTATCAATTGGCATAACATCGCTTCCAAAATAGATTAATAGAGGTGGATCCTCGTATTTTGATGAAGTTTGAACTGGTGGTTGTGACGTTGTTCCAGGGTAAACCATCGAGAGGGGAGACTCCGTGACAAATAGTTAATTACAACCACCAACCTTCGCTCTGCGCTGGAGGCGGCGGCATAGTCTGGGATATTCTAACTACTAACCATATAACCACTATGGCACTAACCTTACAACCACTACGCCCACTGAGGAAGGTCGGTCGTAGGCAATGCCACGGTCGGCACTATTTTTTACGATGTACGAACATTACATGACAAATACTATGTAACTAACTAGTATGATCCCCTCTTAGTCTTTACGACGTACGAATTTTACATGACAAATAAACCCCGGGCAGTCTGACCACCTCTTCGGCTCTTCTAATTTTTATCTCCATAATTCGGCGCTTTCGGACTTACACGGGCCTGACAATTTCCGAATCCGGTAACCCACGGTCTCGCGCCGGCTCCGCGGATCTTCCGCGGACTTCGGCGCAGGACTCACTGCCGACAGCTTGCTTTCTCTGGGACATTTGTCCAGATGGCGAGCAAGGATCTACGGGAAGGATGGGGAGCTTGATTTGCTTTAGGTCGCTTCGTTGCCTGCCGCAGTGCCGCCGGCGACCGTTTTGGGGGAAGCGTTGCGAGGTTAAGGGCGCCAAAAATGTGTAGAAAAACAACCGAAGCGCCGACCGAATCTTTGGGGGAAAAAAACCTCCGGTCTTTGTCGGTCCAGCAGCAAAGCTGCAAATCAGTAAACACCAAGCACCGCCCGGCCGATAACGATCTCAGCCCCCTTGCGAATAAATAACCATAAATCGACCAAAAATCACGATAAGCCCCTGAGACCATGTCCACCGACGTCGACAAGAAAATTGTGGCGAACGCCCTTCCCGTTCCCGCGGCGCCACGGGCCGAGCCGACGCCCACAACGGTGATCCCAGCGACAGCTCCCACTACAACAGCAGCGGCCGCAACGCCATTTGTGCCCCCCGATGGCGGACGAAAGGCGTGGCTGGCTGTCGCGGGCGGGTTCCTGTGCCAGTTTTGCTCGTTTGGCTTTGTCAACGCGTATGTTCATTAGTTATCCTCTTTCTATCGTCTCTATCTTTGGAAGAGCGTTATTCTCCAAAGGCGAGTGATACTGACTTTGACTAAAACCAGTCTCGGCTCCTTCCAATACGTCTACGAGAAAGAGATCCTCCCGACCCAATCCTCCTCCAACATCACCTGGATCCTGACCACGCAGCTCTTCCTCATGTTCTTTCTCTCGCAGCCGCTAGGGTTAGCTGCCGACATGTTTGGCGTGCGGGCCGTGCTGGCTCCGGCGTCGTTGTTTTCCGTGGGAGGACTGATCGCGCTGTCGTTTGCGTCGGAGTACTGGCAGATATTCCTTGCGCAGTCACTGTGTTTTGGGTTGGGCGCTGCGGGAGTGTTTATCTCGGGACTAGTGGCGCCGGGGCAGTATTTTGGGCGGAAGAGGCCGCTGGTGCTGGGGATTGTGGCGGCTGGGAGTTCGACGGGTATGTGTTTTGCGTCCCTTTTATGGGAATATATTCTGGGATGAATATGTCATGGATATATGGCTAACTGCTAGTTCAGGCGGCCTCGTCTTCCCAATCATGCTCGCCCGTCTGTTCGCCCAGATCGGCTTCCGGCAGACACTTCGATACACAGGGCTCATGGTGGGCGTGCTGCTGGCGATCGCCAACCTGCTGGTGACCACCCCGATCCCGCCCAAGGGTCTCTCCGGACGCCGGTCGCTCGTGAGCCTGGCCAACTTCAAGCGGCCGACGTACTTGATTTTCGTTGGGGGCAGCTTCCTCTTCTTCTGGGGCCTGTTTGGGCCGTTCGATTACCTACCGATCTTTGCCTCGGCTGATCCGTCGACGGCTACGATTGCGTTGTACTCGGCTGCGATTATCAAGTGTGTATTTCCCTCCTCTTTTGCCTTTTCTTTTTTCCTTTTATTTTATTTTTCAATTATCTTTTTGGAAATATAAAAACACTGACAACTACAGCGCCGCCTCAATCCCCGGCCGTATTCTCCCCAACTTCTATTCCACCCGCGTCGGCTCCTCCCTCCGCATCCTCGCCGTCTCCGCCCTCGTAGCCGGCGCCTCCGTCTTCATCATCTGGCTGCCCATCTACTACCACCGCTCCGAAGCCGGCCTGATCATCTTCGTCCTGGTCTTCGGCTTCGCCTCGGGCGCCTTCATCTCCCTCATGACGCCGGCCCTGATCGAGGTCGCGGGGGGCAACCCCAGCGAGCTGGGCACGATGCTGGGCTCGTTTTTTGTTATTGTCGCCGTGGCTGATCTGACGGGTTTGCCGATACAGGGCGCGATTGAGGGTGGTAGCAGTGGGTTAGCTGGGTTGATTGTGTTTTGTGGGGTTGTGATGTTGGCTGGTGCGGTGTTGTTGGGGGTGGCTGCGTGGAGGGCGGGTAAGGCAAAGGAGGAGGCGAAGAAGGCTGCTGAGAGAAGAGAGGCGGAGGAGAAGGGTCCGGCTGGGAGTAGCAGTGGTACTGGGAGTGCAGAGGCATAGATGGGACGGCCTAATGCATTTATGATATGGGTTGCATACACTACCTAGGGGTTGGATACCAAACGGATAGAGGGTGGTGTAAGTGAGGGATAAAGGGATAGAGGGTTAGGGTTAGATATGGGACATTTTGGTTGTACTAGAACCTTGTAATACTCGACGAGACAACGTCACGACGCTACTCAGGAACTCAATTCACCTCTCCTTCAATTGTCTTTCCCGTGGCCGTGCTCGTCACGGGTTAGTGACATGTGCAAGTCGTAAACCCTGACTAAATTCAGGGACCAACTGAGGGGTACAATGCATGACGGATCCGTAATTCGAGGGGTCATTTACAGAGCGCATTTGCTCAGCAGCCAACAGAGATAAGTCCCGCATGCATGCTCCCCGAGGTCGGCCAGCTGCACATTGTCAATCTTCGTCTCAACCCCAGTCCTCTCTCCCTTGATTATCGGTTCCCGCGGATGGCCTGCGCATTCACGGTCAACATCGGCTCGACGGAAATGCAGTAGGGTTTTCCGTGCCGCCGTAGAATGGTGCGGGCGCGTGGGGCGGTGGCGTGCTCGGTTCTGGAGGGGACGACTTACACAGCAACATGACACGATGAGGGGTCTGGGGAAACGGCAGGGGCATCGGACACATGGCTTGTGCTTGAGGGGAGAGTTTTATAAATTGTTTTGAGTTGTTTTTGAAGATAGACTTTTTGCCTTCATTTTTCCCTACTCTCACTGGCCTTGTATTTATTTCACTCGGATAGAGCCTACACGATGGCGACTGGGCAAGCTAACGGCATTGTCGTCCCAGAGCCAACAGTGGCGGGTGCCGAAGATGTCAAAACCGCGGCTATCTCAACGGAGACGGAAATCACTAATGAAACCACGCCAAAACCCCCGTTTTACCCTAAATCCGCTATCAGGTTAGTCGATCACTACATCGACGAGCCTCGGCCCCTCCGACTCGGGATCATTGGCGGTGGCCTTGCGGGCGTTCTGGCCGGTATTTTGTTGCCTGCCAAGGTCCCGAATCTCGAGCTCGTCATCTACGAGAAGAACAAGGATTTTGTATGTTTTGTCATGTTGCCCTTTTCTCTTTTTTTTTTTGTTGTTTCTTAACATAAACGAGACTCTAACAGTTTTCATCAGGGTGGCACCTGGCTCGAAAACGTCTACCCTGGCGTGCGCTGCGACATCCCCTCTCACGTGTACCAGGCCACGTTCGAGCCCAAGCACGACTGGTCCGACCAGTTCGCCCATGGGCCCGAGATCCGCGCGTACTGGCAAGGGGTGGCCCGGAAGTACGACGTGTATCGGTTTGCCAAGTTCCAGCACCAGGTGGACGATGCTGCGTGGGATGCCGAGAAAGGGGTGTGGCGTCTGCGGGTGCGGGACTTGACCAAGGGGGATGGTCAAGGTGAAGCTCAAGGCGAGGGCGCGGTGATCGAGGATGAAGTGGACATCCTGTTCACGGCCATCGGGAGGTTCAATGCGTGGCAGCTGCCCGATTACCCGGGCAGCAACGAGTATCAAGGGGTGCTACGGCACGCCTCGCACTGGGACCCATCGTTCGACCCGGCCGGCAAAAAGGTCGCCGTCATTGGCAACGGGGCCAGCGGCATCCAGCTGGTGGCCAATCTGCAGAAGACCGTCGCACACCTAGACCACTACGCGCGCAACAAGACGTGGATTGCGGCATCCTGGGCCGGCGACGAGCGCACCCTCGAAGCCCAGCCGATCCCAGAGGACAAACGAGAGCTCTTCGCCCGCGACCCGCAAGCCTACCTCGCGTTCCGTAAAGAACTCGAGGACAAGTACTGGCGGCGCTTCAGCAGTTTCCTGCGTGGATCCGACCTCAGCCGGGACCTACGCACGCAGTTCACCGACATGATGCGACAGCGGCTAGCCAGGAAACCCGAGCTGCTGGAGCACATGGTGCCTGACTTCTCACCCAACTGCCGGCGGCTGACACCCGGGCCGGGCTACCTCGAAGCGCTGACGGCCGACAACGCGTCGTACATCCGCACGCCCATCCGGAGGTTCACGACGACGGGGATCGAGACCGAAGACGGGGAACACCGCGAGGTCGACGCCATCTTCTGCGCCACGGGCGCCAACTCAGATCTAGTTCCGCCTTTTCCCATCCGCTCCCACGGCCGGTCTCTGCGCGATCTGTGGAAGCAAGCAGACGGGAACGGGAACGGGAACGAAGGCGAGAACCAAGAAGAAGCGAACACCTACGGCTACCCCTACACCTACCTCGGCATCGCCACGCCAGACTTCCCCAACCTCTTCTTCGTCCACGGCCCACACGGCACGGGACCCTCCGGCACCGTCCCCCACAGCGTCGAGACCCAGCTCACCTACCTCGCCCAACTCCTCCGCAAGGTCGGTCGCGAAGGGATCAAATCCTTGTCCCCAACTCGCGCGGCCACCGACGATTTCCAGGAATACGCCGACGCCTTCTTTGCGCAGACCGTGCTCGCCGACGGGTGTAGTTCGTGGTACAACGGCGGCCGTCCGGGGGGTAAAGTGCACGGGATTTGGCCCGGGAGTGCGGCGCATTTGACGGCAGTGCGGCGGAATCCGCGGTGGGAGGATTTTGAGTACGAGTATTTGGGGGATGGGAGTAGTGATGATGGTGAAGGGAAGGGGAAGCCAAGGAATCGGTTTGCGTGGTACTTGGGTAATGGCTGGACGAGACAGGAACAGGATCCGGAGGCGGATATGACGCCGTATTTGAAGCTGGCCGGGCAGGTTGATTTACGGGCGGTGCATGAGTCGTGGTGGGAATTTCCTTAGTGTTCTTTCTGTTTTTTGTGATGAAGGGATTCAGGGGTTTGTTTACCCCCTGTTGGGCATCACTTAAATACCGTATTGCCATACGCTAGGTAGATTACAAAAACCGTTGGATACGATGGTTAGATTGGCACTTCAACCCTCTCGCATTTTTTGAAGAGAAATCCGACCTTGATCGCCCTTGAGAACCGTTGTCCCACTCACCCGGTGTGTCACTCGGCATTCGTGGGGTTGCTATGGCGTGCTCGTCCCGGTCACTGGCGCAAAGACAAGGACCCATGGTCAACCACCACCTGCACGGTCAAGCTTCGGTGGGACAACGTGGGGTGGAATCATGAGAAGGGTGTAACTTTATGTACATATCCCTGGACTTTTCTTTTTTTTTTCCTGTATTTGTTCTTTCATGTTTCTTGTCCATGTGGCTTGTGAGACATACCGAAACATAAGGTACCTACACACCACTGCAGTCACGGAAGAAACACCATGGCCGACATCGACAGCCCGGATACTACACCCCACCGTCACAATGGCGATGAGACGGAGCCTCCCAAGGACCAGCAACATCCTGGTGAGTAGCTAGTTGAATACTCTCCCAACTCCGAATCCAATGAAATTCCTCACTAATTAATAATCACGAATACAAACAGTCCGTTGGTACCGCTCGACCTTCTACAATATGACCATCCTCGGCCTCTGCAACCTGGCTGCCCCAGGCATCTGGGGCGCCATGAACTCGCTCGGGGCCGGGGGTGCCGCCAGCCCGCGGCTGGTCAATGCCGCCAACGCGCTCACTTTTTGTTTGATGGTCGTGTCGTGTTATTTGTCCAGCGCGCTGGTCCATTATATTGGTATCAAGGGGGCTTTGATTTTCGGGACGTGCGTATATACCCACCCTTTCTCACATCCGTAATTTGAACGATTATTGACCAATTTCTTCACTTATAGCCTCGGCTACGCCCCCTACGCAGCCGGGCTTTACACCAACAACCGCTTCGGCACCGAATGGCTCACCCTCTTCGGTGCGGCCCTCTGCGGCATCTCCGCCGGCGTCTTCTGGATGGCCGAAGCCGCCATCGCCATTGCCTACCCCGAGCCCTGGAACCGCGGCAAAGCCCTAGGCTACTGGCTGACCTACCGACTATCAGGCCAGATCCTAGGCGGCGCTATCAACCTGGGCCTTAACGCGGACCGGGACCAGGCGGGTCAGGTGTCGTACACGGTGTTTTTGGTGTTTATTGCGTTGCAGGCGGCTGGGCCTGTGGTGGGGTTGTTTTTGAATAGTCCGGGGAAGGTGGAGAGGAAGGATGGGAAGAAGGTTAGTTTGGAGATTGTGAGGGATCCGTGGTTTGAGATTGGTCAGACTACGAGGCTGTTTTTTACGAGGGAGTTTCTTTTGATCGTGTTGTTTATTGGGCAGGCTGTGTTTTCGGAGGCGGTGTTTTTTACCTATCTTGCTTGTAAGTCATGCCGGGGATTCCCTTTTTTGGTGATTGTTACCTCGAGGCTCGAGCTAGGCTAACGTCTTTGCAGTGTGGTTCTCTGTCCGGGCTCGCGCGTTGGGCTCGTTTCTGTCAGGCATCGTGGCCGTAATAGCGGGGAATATTCTAGGAGTAAGTATCTTTTCTCTCTTTTCACTGCTTACCTTGAAAAGGGGTTAAAGTAGGTAGACTAATAACAAACCAGCACTGGCTCGACCGGACCAAAATCGCCCTTAAAACCCGCGCCCGCGGCGCCTTCTGGACCCTCATCGTGCTCCAAGGCGCCTGGTGGCTCTGGGCCACGGTGCTCGTCACACGCTTCCACCGCACGCGTGACAGCTTCGACTGGACCAGCCCCGGGTTCGGCAGCGCTTTCGCCGTGTTCCTCTTTTTGACCCTCGGCTTCCAGGTCAACTACCTCTTCCTCTACTTTATCATCCACAACCTGTCCCGTGACGAAGCCGAGGTCATCCGCTACGCAGCGCTGCTGCGCGGGACCGAGTCAGCGTGGCAGGCCCTGAGTTATGGGTTGACGTCGTTGACGGTGTTTGGGGAGGTTGGTGGGGTGTATATGAACTTTGGACTTTGGGCTGTCGCTGTGTTTCCCGCGTGGTTGGTGGTCAAGCACTTCGGGGCGCAGAAGGATCAGACGGCGTTGGGTGAGCAAGGCTCGACGGAGGTGTCGGTGGTGAAGGATGGTGGTCAGGGGGACTCGGGGTTAGAGGGGAAGCGGGATGAGTTGTGAGAGAGTCATTACCTAGGTAATGTAAGGACACTTGAATAAGCCGTAATTCTCGTTTTAATGCCAAACAATCGAGACCATTATGACCCTTTTCACTCTAATCGTTATAATAAGTACTACTTGAATTATCAAAATCAAAAGAGTGACAGATCAAGATACACCCATCCGCCAAGACCGTAACTCGTATCAATCCAACACCAAAACCTAAATATCTCAGACAATCACTCAATATCAGATATCCACCAGGTACTCCGCTGAAATGGACAGTTATCTTTCTTATTCCCGAAGTTGTACAAATAACATTACTTGGTTATTCTCGGTTTATCTGATTCCCCTCTGCTCCAGTCCATGCCGACTGTCACCATCGGCACGAGAATCACGCCATTGCGTGCTCCGGCCCACGGCCGGCACGAGCGGAGAACGGAGAGCGGAGCAATTGCTTGGTCCTCGGATGGCTCGATTTGGTTGATTACGGGGCCGTCTGTAATTATTCAAAAACCTCCTGTTTGCGATTTACTTTTGGAACTCGCCTTATGGTTCATCACCTCAACATCCACACTAACACTGAGCTCTTTTCGACCCTTTAAAGCCTTGTACACAGACCAGAATGGCCTCGCAAAATGAGGTCCCCCAGGGGGCCAAGAAGAAGTTAGTTCTGAATGCGTTCGTCGAGATGTGTAAGTGACGCCCCTTTAACTTTCCTCACGCGATGACCGCATAGACACTAACAACTTCCAGGCAGCGGCCACCAGTCCCCCGGCCTCTGGCGGCACCCAGACGACAAGTCCTGGGAGTTCGACAAGGTCGAGCACTGGGTCGAGCTAGCGAAGTTGCTAGAGGAGGCCAAGTTCCATGGCATCTTCATCGCTGACGTGCTCGGGGGCTACGACGTGTACAAGAAGTCGCTGGACCCGGCCATCATCTCGGCGGCACAATGGCCGGTAACCGAGCCGTTGTCGGTGGTGCCGGCCATGGCGGCCGCGACGAAGAGCATCGGGTTTGGAGTCACTATCTCGACGACGTATGAGCAGCCGTATCATCTGGCCAGGCGCTTGTCGACAGTGGATCATCTAACTAATGGACGGTGTGTTTTGTGCCCTTTCTTTCGTATCGCTCGGTATTGGAACATGCGCCGATAGGCCTTTTAGTGTGGGCTGGAATGTAGGTAACTCATGGGCCCTGGAACGTACGCACTTGGTACTTAATTACTTCCCAGATCGTTACCAGCTATCTCGATTCGGCCGCCCGCAACCTCGGCCGTACTGAGCAGCCCGCTGTATGTAATCCCCCTTCTTACCTAGCAAAACAACCAATTTTAATAGCTTTACCAGCACGACGACCGCTACGCCCAAGCCGAGGAGTACATTCGCGTCATGTACAAGCTCTTCAACGCCTCCTGGCGCGACGACGCCGTGCAACGCAACCGCGACACGGGCATCTACACCTCCCCTGACCTCGTCCGCCCCATCAACCACGCCGGCCGCTTCTTCTCCGTCCCCGGCCCGCACATCGTGCACCCCAGCCCTCAACGCACGCCCTTACTCCTACAAGCGGGCACCTCCCGAGCGGGAAAACTCTTCGCGGCCCAACACGCCGAAGCCATCTTCGTCTCCGCACACGCGGCCTCCGTCGTGGCGAAGAACATCGCTGAGATCCGGCAGCTAGCGCGCGAGCAGTTTGGTCGGGACCCGAGCACATCGCCGATCCGGGTGCTCGCGCTGGTGACGCCTGTGCTGGGGCGGACGGAGGAGGAGGCAAGGGAGAAGTTGGCTGAGTACAGGAAGTATGCGTCGCTGGAAGGGGCGCTGGCGCTGTTTGGGGGGTGGACGGGGATTGATTTGAATCAGTATGGGGATGAGGAGGAGTTGCGGCAGGTGGAGAGTAACGCGGTCAGGTATGTCACTGCGCTACACCCTAGAACTTGGACATGGGGATTTACTAACGCGTTGACTTACACACAAAGGTCTACGGTCGAAGCATACGCCCGTTTCTCGCCGGCCAACGACAAGTGGACCAAGCACACGGTGGCCGAGCATGTCAGCATCGGTGGCAACGGCCCGGTACTGGTGGGCACGCCCGAGCAAGTGGCCGACGGGCTCGAGGCCTGGGTCCGCGAGGCTGATGTCGACGGCTTCAATTTTGTGCGTCCTCCACCTCACCCTAAGTTTCACTAATACCCCTGAATTCTCCTTACCCCTTAATCATCCATACAAAAGAAAGAAACTGATATCATTTCTCTTACAGGCCTATGCCCTCTTCCCGCAATCATTCAAGGACATCATCGACCTGCTGCTACCAGAGCTGCAAAAGCGCGGTCTGTTCTGGGATGACTATGCCGTGCCCGGGGGTACCTACCGCGAGAACTTTTACGGTCGGGCTGGGCAGACATATCCGCCCGAAGACCATGTGGCCGCCCAGTTCCGGTGGGCAGCGGGCGTGCCGGCCAGTGAGCATACGATTCCAGAGTAGGTGTAAGTTTTGGATAGATAGAAAGGAAAGTAAATGGAGGAATAGCAAGCTTTGTGAACATTGATGTCTGAAAGCCCAGAAATGTGTAAAGACAACCAACGCTGGCGGGAGTATCTGAACATGAACAAATTACACGCCTGAAGAAACCTACTTGCGTCTTTATGTGTGTAAGCGTCTACTGGACATAAATCCTCTACCTTGTTGTTAGACATGGCTCAGTAAATGACAGCTGCTCAAAGCCCAGGACAGCTAACCCCTTGCCCCCTTCCTAGCCACCAAACTCAACCCTCTCCATCCCTACACACTCAAATCTGCCCTACGAGCGAAACTTCTTACTAGCCTCCGCAAACCCCATCCCCCCCGCAATGGCCGCCGCCATCTGCGAATCCGCCTCAACCTGCTTCTTCATCAACGGCAGCGCCTGTTCCGCCAACTCCCTCGGCAGCACCACCACGCCGTTGACGTCGCCTATCAGATAATCCTCGGGCCGAATCACCACGTCCTGGCCGTCGTTGTCCACCGTTACCGGCTCGTTGACCCCCACCACCTTGAAGAGTGGGCCGGGTGGAGTGGTGCCCACGTCGCGGGCGAAGACCTGGCTTGTTTAGATTCGATGCTAGGAGAAGAAACCAAAAAAACTGAAGAAGTACGCACCGGATACCCAAGATCCTTTTGCTCCTGCAAATCGCGGAACCGCCCATCAATCACCGACCCGGCCGCCTCGCTCGCCTTGGCCCGCGTGCTCATCAGCCCGCCGTACAGCGCATTCGACGACTTTGGTGTTGACGTGACAAAAACCACCGCGCCTCGAGGGACTGAGTCAATCTATCATTCCTCCGGTATCAGTACACTCGGCGGAAAGGGAAAAAACAAATCGGAAAACAAAACAAGAGGGTGCGAGTAACTGACATAATGACTCGGCCACTTGGGTCGCTCATCCTCTTTCGGCGCATACTGTACCGTGTACGCCGGCCCGATCATCTTGGTCGTTCCGTCCTGGCGCTGCGGCGACCACATCGTGATGCCTGGCAGGAAGCCGCCGTGCGAGATTTTGAGTTTAACTAGGGCATCTGCGACGTCGCATCTGTTGCGCATGCATGTACAAGGTAAGCGCTTTGTGCTAAATCTCGTGGTAAGAGACGCCGGGGGGTATGTAATACGTGGTGTATTCCTGCAGTTGCTTGACGATGGGGTCTTCAACGGCCTGTGCCCCTGAAGCCATGGTGTATGTATGATCGTCTTGGTGGTGGTGAGGATGAGGAGAACCGAGGTCCAATGGTGGCCGTTAACGACGTCAACTGAACAACAGAGCAGTGAAGCTTTGCTGGGCAATTGGTCCGAAGAGGGCGCCGAAAGAGACTAATAACAAGTCTAGAGCAGACGGTACACATTGCAGTCCGTAAGTGCAGAAAGAGTGGTTTACAAAAACCGTGACGCAACAGACGGGCCGTGGTGTTGGGCGGAGCATGTGAGTGCGCATGTGGGGCCGGTTGCCGCAAGGCCCGCCCGGCCCGGCGTGCGCTTCGGCGTCCGAGCCCGGGCGTTCCCGGGTGTGGTAGCTTCATGAGCAACCTAACACCACTGCGCCCGGCCTAGTCCAGATACGGGACCTCAGATTCCACAGCCACTTACCTACCACAGTCCTCATATGGTCATCGTCGAGTCGGGCAACCATGATTCCCAGGGGTGAAAAATAAAAAGATCCTCGTGACAATTCGCCCCTCTCAACCCCGTGAATCCCCTCAAGGGAACAACTGATATTTGACTAGAGGAGCGCCTTGGAGATACTAAGTGGATGTAGACGGGTCGCTGAGTAACCCCGTCGTCAAATGAACCAGTGACTTCGCTGGACTCCATCTTAGAATCCGACTACGTCGGACTACGCAGTAACTAGCTTCAAATTAGCCAAGTTGGGAACATCATTTCCTCTCCCCTTTACGCTCATCCGTAACACGCCCTGAGACGCAACACTCATATCAGGTCGTATTTGACGCCGAAGCCAATTCCAATTCCCAATTCCTAAATTCTAACGTCAGCAGGTCACTGCAACCACGCACCGCGAAACCCCACGACAAGAAGCCAAACGCGACGGCCCCACCAATCTACCGGTCAGCTTGGGGGCCAAGACACGAGCCACAGAGCCACAAGTCAACGTGAGTTAGCGGCGGCCATTGGACGGCGGCCCGGACGGCGCTGCAGGGGGACGGCCGAGGCGATGCAACCTGCTGGGCCAAGGCACCGGATTGGCGCCTGGCCCGCCCGTTGCATTTCTGATGGCTGCCCTGAAGGATTCGATCGCGGCAAACTTTCCAAGGTTGGATGGAGGTTTGCTGGTCCCCGCAGTGCCCATGACAAAACAAATTGGCCGTTTATGCCCTTTGTGCCTTGCGAGGAGCACTCGATCCGAGTGCCTAGGAACAAGTGTCGATGTTTGTGTCCAAGGTGCCTGAGGGAATGAAGGAAGAAAGGAAATATCAGGTTTTTGATCGTAGCCGGTCCCAGAAGGAACACCGAGCCCCAGGCCTGAATCGCTGGCTGCATGATAGTCGAGGCGCTGTTGTCTCTTCTGACGTCCCAGCCACGCGGCACGCAGCCGCTTGCATGCTTTACCAAACCAAATCCTCGAAACGCCTCAGGTTCAGGCTCAATGATCGACCAAGTCAGGCAGACACCGCAGCCGGTATTTCGTAGTTCCCTTTGTTTCCTCATAATTTGATGCGACGATGGCCATTAATCATATCCGGCTAGTGAGCAGTGAGCATCGGGAAAATTCATCATTCTCACAATTGCAAGGATCCCCAAGACGGGTCCGCTCCGCACTGCGTATCGCGCGCACTCCAGACTCCATGTCTCGGCGAGCCGCTGACACACGGGACTGGCCGGGCTGTCCCCATAGTTAGCGTAGTCACTCTAACCGACCTCGCTGAGAATTGATTTGTTCGAGGCGCTGGCGTCTTTCGTTTAGCGGTACAAACAGGCCCGGCGCAGGTCTTGTGCTTTGTTGGTAAAAAGAGAGAAATAAAACACGTACCGGCCGCATATGGAACGGCAACATGTGCGTTGGAAAAGTGATGCTGGCCGAGTCAGACGTGAGATGAATGGGACCTCAAGATGACGATTTGTGGAGGTGATGCCCGCGGAGTTTGCTTTGTGGGCTTCGAGTGACCCGCCAATCAGGGCGGCTCGGAGGTGATCCCCGCCCATGACGCCGGGCGTTGTTGCCCCCCTCCCCAGGCCCTGTCAGAGCGGCCAGCCTTACCGGATGAAGCGCCCAGGCTTGGCGGGCAACAGCGCCTCGACCTTGCACCTCAGCAACCACGCAAGCTGCAGCAGCCAAAAGAACCCAAAAAGGACCAGAGCCGTTGCCGCTGGGCCGGACGGGACATCCCCCCCCTCGACCAATGTCTCACCAATTTCGCTGATTGTCACGGTCGATTCGAGCTCGCACTGTCGAGACTTCACGGCTACGCTTCCAATTTTACGGTCGAATTTGACGACGCTCAGGCACGCAAACTTTGTCGACTCCCAATTCCAAGCTTCACGTCTCGAGTCCGCTAAGAGAGTCGAGCAAAACCCACCGAAAGCCCCTCTTCGGGCAGCGCTCGTTGGACCCTTGTCCATATATACAATCCGGAACACTGAGATCACGGAACTGAGTCTCGTCTGACGTGCAACAAACACAAACGCAAATTTTTCAGCTTTCTCCCCCATTGGGGGCCGCACGCGATGCCGGTGGTGCCTTAGGCTGCGTACCTAGATGGGCCGGCAACGACATCGATCGAGAGGGCATTTCAACACTGCTGCTTAACTGCTTAGAATTAAACCACCATGGCCCCGCGATTATGGGACGCAGCTCGACTGGCGCGAGACACCAACGATAGCGCGTCGAATAACCCAATGCCTACAATTCACCCACGGCAGGGGAAAGGGAGCCAACAAGATGTTAAGGTATGCAAGACATGAATTCCCTTCGGACTAGCTACTCTTCCACAAATGGTTCCTCGCTAATAACGTAAAGCTCGTCCTGATCGTGCTGGGCGCTATCGCCGCCGCCATCATCCTCTACCTCTTATTCCGCCACTTCTACAAAAAGTATAAAGGTCGCGGACACAAGTATCAACAAGCGAGTCGAGAAGACGACCATCACACCCCCAACACCCAACAAGTTAGTCGGGAACTCCAAACCAGCCCCCAGACGAACCGCCAGAGCACGAGCGGCAATGCCGATAACAACTCCGGGACAAACGCTGCCGGCGTCGATCGTAACACTTCTGTCCGCAGTGTCATGACCCTCCCAGTCTACCGCCCCAAAGCCGCCGAATCGGAGCAGGTGCTTGGTCGCGAGGGCGAACGTGATGGGATTGATATCGTGGTCGAGATGCAGACGGCGGAAGATGAGGAAGCGTTGCGAGACGAGGAGATGGAAGCACTGTACCAGATCCGTGCCGCACGACGACGACAGCTCGCCGACCGCGAAGCCCGACGACGCCAACGCCAGGAAGCCCGTGATGCCCACGACACCGTTGCCCTACGCGATCTACGCGACCGTGCCCGGGCCTCGGCCACCCGTAACGCCGAGGAGATCGAGGGCTTGCGCGGCGAGCACGACCGTGTGCGCGGCCAGCGCCAGCGTGCGGTCAGTAGCGTGTCCTACGCCGAAGTGGGCATTGCTCGCGCCGACGGGACCCGCGTGCGGGCCAACAGTACCGAAAGCAACGACCGCGTCGGCCTGCTCTCCGACACCGCCAGCATCGCGGCCGAAAGCCTCTTCCACCGCCGTGACCGCAGCGCCAGCGCCACTCTCAGCATCGACACTTCCATCACCGGTCCGCACCGACCCGAGTCCCCGGGGGCTTTATCGACTGCAGGCGCCAGTAGCGCCGGGAATTACCCCTTCGGCGCTCCCCTCAGCGCACAGAATAGCATCCACGTCCCCCGCGCCCGCTCTCGCTCCCGCGCCAGCTCAGCCGCTACCACCACCCGCATCCCAACCCCGAATAGCATCACCAACGGCGGCCTAACCCCCTACGCGGGCTCCCCACCAGAAATCATCGAACCCTTCCCCGACGGCGACGGCGACGAATCGGCAGTCGACCTCGGCGACTCGGCCAACATGCCGCCACCACCAGGTTACGACGAAGTCAGCCTCGTCAGCGCCGGCGGTAATGGCGGTAGTGGTGGTGGCGGCGGTGATGACAGCAACAGCTTCATGTTCACCCCCTTACACTCGCGTCGGAACTCAGATGCCCTCTCGCGCGTGTCCTCGGTGGCTTCGCGGTCGGTTAGCCCCTATCCGGATCCGCCCCCAGACTATCCCGGTCCTGGGCCAGCGGAATTGAGGAATAACCGGCTTTCGGCACACATGGAGGAGTTAGCAGCCCAGGCACAGACACAAACACAGACAGAAGAGGAATCGAGAGCGGGGCCGTCGACAAACACGACGAGTGCAACAGACACGACCGCAGAAAGGACGAGGGGCAGGCCGACCTTGAGGCTGGAATCTGTGGATCAGGTACCGCAGATTGTGATTGAGCCGTCGAGTGCGAAACCTGGAGAGCAAACGACCCGGTTCTGATGTGATCAATTAGGGGGTTAGAAGGGGGGCGTGATATGTCCTAAGATTACAAAGAACAATATTAATGTGATGAAGGGGTGGGAATGTGAAGATATGGGTTGTGGTTAGGAGCAGTTGAACTTTTGGGGGCTACTCTGTTGGTTGGTCGGATTCACCCGGGACGCGGAAATTGGGGTGGTGTGTACACATTTTGGGGGTGTTTGCTTTGTCTTTATATCTTGTGTGTTCTCTTCACATGTCTTTGGAGTCATTGGGGGTGGGAAACATTATTCTTGGGCCTGGCCGCATTCTCACTTGGCGCGGCCGGCGGTCGGAAGGAGTTGGAGTTGTAATAATGCTTTTGGGGGGACAAGGAAAGGGGTTTGCATGTCATCACATAGTAGTGCGAACTAGTATGTGTTTGTCCCGTTGGATTTATTAAGTAAAACATACAGGCGTGGTCATACAGACAAATTTCAATCTTTTGTCACTCTCAAATTGGATCATTGTTTCCCCGGTATCACAGCCCCCACGACACTGAGCTCACCAACAACCAGGCAAAGCCTGTGAATAATCACAAACCCTCTTCCTATTTCCAATCCATCTCAACTCTGATCACATATCTATCCCACCAACTGTCAGAAACCAACATCAGCAAGCCCCCTTAGTGTAAGGCGCCAACAACAAGACCGGAATTCCGGTCTATGTTCCTTACAGATACTGTTTTGGCGATTCGATACAATTTACCCGTGCCTAGCCGCTCCCGTCTGCCATATGGTGTCTCAAGTCACAGCACGTTACGGCCCCACATTGTGGCACATCCATCACAGCACATGGGACAACATCGAAAACACAACCAAAGTGAGAGGAGAAGAAATTTCCGAACCCGAGACCTGTACTTAGAATCATCGGTACATGGAATCAAGACAACGGCCCGAACTGCGCAACCTAACTGATTACCTTCTTTTTCTCCATTGACCTTCCTACAGTACGGCCGTGGTTTGGAACCTAATAGTGTCCAGGTATGCCATGATACAGACTCTTCAAAGCTCAAAACCAACCTTTTATGTTGACTAATCCGTCAAGTCAGGTCCACGAGTTGCTCCCAATCGATATCACTAAACAAAAAATCGAAACAATCCAGCACCGAGGATAGGAAGCGGAAAGGTGGGGTTGATTTGCCAAGGCGAGGAATGGGCCCCTGGTACTTGAGTTGGGACTTCGTTTTCCTCAAACACATGTCCGATATTTTCACCGTCACGAACCCCCCAAGTGAATGGTCCAGCATACCAGCGGCTTATTCAGGCCGTTGCCTAAACAGTAGAAGTGATGGAGAGCCTCCGGAAAAAAGAAACGACCAAAAAAGAAGCTTTTGAGTTTGAGGCATGATGACAAGTTCAACGTTACCTCTTTCATCCGGCGGCATTCGGAAAAACGTTCTCTGAAGCTCCCAATGCCGAAACGCGAACCCACTGTCGCATCCGCAGTGCAAGCATCCAACGGCCGAGCCATGCTAAACCCAGTTAAGCTCTGAGCCGACCACGGCCGGGCCGTTTGCTGGTGTCGCGAGGGGGGATGTGCTGCATGGGAGAAGAAAAAAGGAACCTGCACTTACGACAGTGCAGGATTTATTACTTCCTGATTATATCCGAGCACCGACGGGTTGGAAATCCACACATTGATATGTTTAGTTTGTTCGTTTCCTCGTTCCTTCTCCCTGTCTTCCTTTCCTCTTGGTTCTAGGCATGTCATGTTCTCGGTACTGTAATCCCGTCGCTTGGTCGGATTGTGATTCATAAAAGGATCACGGCCCCCAAGCCAAACGGAGAAGTGAAAGAGAGGATATCAGAAACAATCCCTCGTCAACGATATATCTCGGCCAGCCCACCTTCACTACCAATCGAGCTTCCCGTCAGAGAATCACTCTTCTATCAACCAACCTCACCTTTCAGCAGACGAACAACGCTTCAGTCAACTAAAGAGTGTTCACCAAAAGTACCCCGGACTCATCCCAGCCGGCGTTCTCAACTTGAAACTACGACAAGAGCCCACCTCATATTCACCACCCGTATTTACCATCGTCTCAAGTGCCACATGGCAGCCGTGATGGACCAAGATCCCGAGAAAACAGTCTACTACAACTCCGAGTCGGACCGCACCGAAGCCGACCACCCTCCCCTCAAAATGTCCGACGGCCTCGAGACGCCGACCGAAAAGCCGGCTGACGGAGCCTTCGAGTCTCATGCCCCAGCGTCTTCATTGCAGCTGGCAGCACCACCAGCTCAGACGACAACAGATGGCACACCCCCGGCAGCACCGCCCTCTAACGACATCCCAGATGGCGGCCTAACCGCATGGCTGCAAGTCCTCGGCTCCACGGCCATCCTTGTCAACACTTGGGGCGTGATCAACACGTTCGGCGTCTTCCAGGCCTACTATGAGTCCGAACTGCTGCGGGATCATTCGTCGTCCGACATCTCCTGGATCGGGTCAACACAAGCCGGGCTGCTGTTCCTCGTCGGTGTTGTAGCCGGTCCGCTGTATGATGCCGGCCACTTCCGCCATCTGTTGTTCGTGGGCTTGTTCTTGATCGTGTTCGGTCAGTTCATGACCTCGTTGTGCACGCAGTTCTGGCAGGTCATGCTGGCGCAGGGCATCACGATGGGGGTTGGAATGGGGTTGACGTTTCTGCCGTCGGCGGCCATTCTGGGACAGTACTTCTCACGACACCGAGCGCTGGCCTTGGGCCTGTCGAGCGTGGGATCGCCCGTGGCGGGCGTGATTTTCCCTATCATGTTCAGCCGGCTGCAACCGCAAGTTGGGTTTGGGTGGGCGACGCGAGCGATTGCCTTCATCCTGCTCGCTGTGTCGGCGGTGCCCATCGCGTTCATGCGCACACGCGTACCGCCACGGGCGAAGCGCTCGTTTATCGACACGAGTGCGTTAACCGACGCGCCATACGTACTCTTCATCGCGGGTGGCGCGCTCGCTTTCCTGACGCTATATGTGACGTTTTTCTACATTTCGCTCTTCGCCATCTCGCACGGCGTCGCCAGCGAAAGCTTTGCCCCGTACCTGGTCACACTGCTCAACGCCGGATCCGTCTTTGGCCGCATCATTCCCAACGCCTTGGCAGACCGGTACGGGTCGCTGAATCTGCTCATCATCTGCATCGTCGCGAGCGCCGTCCTGGTATTTGGCTGGCTGGGCATCGATAACCTCGGCGGAGCGGTGGTATACACGCTGCTCTACGGCGCTTTTTCCGGCGGCGTTGTGAGCCTCACGCCCAGTGTGATTGTCGGTCTGTCGCCGGACATGAGCCGGGTCGGGGCTCGGATGGGCATGGGGTTCCTGGTCATGGGCGTCTCAATCCTCGTAGGGACGCCGATTGCAGGAGCTATTTTGGGCGACAAGGAAAACCCGCGATGGTTAGGTACAATCTTGTATGCCGCGTTTGGTCTACTGGTCGCGGCGGCGCTCGACATACTGTCAAGATTCCTCCTCTACAGACAAAAAAAGGCGTGGAAGGCGTAAATTAATGAAAGCGTCAATGGAGTTGGAGAGTATCGTTATCAGCTAGTTATCACTTAGAACCGGAATGCCGAATGCAGCGATAATTAATGAATGCAACCTAGACAACAAACAATAAGAGCAATCAATAGTACCCAGCCACCCACAGTATAATGGCAAACTATCAAAATTCAAGTCCTTGGACAAAGAAAGATCAAACATGGCTCAAAGAACGATTCCTCCACAAACCCAAACATTAATTTCACACAACAAAAAGTAAGTGGCACCCATGGTTCCAATACCACCACACCCCCCCACTTACAACTGGTGGTAAAATTATCGATCAAATTATCAGCCCGAAAACATCTGGCCTTGTTGCATAAAAGAATATCGGATAAGAGTTGGTGAGTTCCAAAGTAGGGAGGTGGGCTGCGACGGTGAATAAGCGGGTCTGGCGGCAAGAGAGAGACACGAGCCCAAACCTCACAATACACCAGCCATAACTACACCATGAAGGCCAGTATGAGGAGCACAAAATCCAGGGTCCCAAGTGCTGGTCCGTGGCGTACTGAGAAACCTTCATCTTTTCGATCTCAATCTTGCTAATGACTACGTTATCGCGTCTATTACAGGACCCTCGAAACCGAGGAACGAGTCTTTTCAGCAGCGTGATATCAATGGCGAGGACTCCACTTCTTCTGCCAGTGCCCGGCCATCAAAGCGCAAACATCTAAACAATGACGAAAGTGAACCGCGTACAGCGAAGAAGGCGAAAACTGAGCCTCAGAAACGGGACGTCAAACCTTTACACCGCAACCGTGTTCTCGAACCAGCTCTAGCTCCCATCAACCAGGCACCCGCAGATGTTCTTTCCATTCTGGTCTTTGGCAATGGAGATGCTGGTGAACTGGGCCTTGGTACTAAGGTGCAGGAAGCCGCTCGCCCGCGCTTGAACCCGTTTCTCGACCCCGAAAACCCAGCGGCACTCCACATCGTCCAGATCGCGTGTGGTGGTATGCACACAGTTGCGCTGACGCGAGACAATGAGATCGTTACGTGGGGTGTGAATGACAACTGCGCTTTGGGAAGAAACACGGTTTGGGAAGGGGGACTGCGCGACATCGATGGAGACCCTGAGGAGGAGGGTGAACTGAACCCCCTGGAGGCTACCCCGACCCCGATTCCCGCGGACTCTTTCCCTCCGAAAACGAAGTTTGTTCAGGTCGCAGCTGGGGACAGCTGCAGCTTTGCGCTCACGGATACCGGGGATGTGTATGGCTGGGGAACGTTCAAGGTAAGATGCATAAGCTGAAGTCGTCACCGCTCGCTGTATATACCTGTGGTAGACTAATTCCAACGCGCAACAGAACGCCGAAGGGAAGGAAAAGTTCGGTTACGATGAGCATGGACGAGTCGTTCAAATGCAAGCCGCACCGACTCAGATCCACAAGTTACGCAACATCACCCAGCTGGCCTGCGGTGCTAACCATGCTTTGGCCCTCGATGCAAACGGCATCGTTTGGACATGGGGCTGCACCGAACAGAACCAACTCGGCCGCCGTACCTCTGGACGCCACGCTACAGACCCACTTACCCCCGGCGTTGTCAACATCAGAGACATCAAGGTCATGGCCTGCGGGGACTATCACTGCCTGGCTGTCGACAAGAAGGGTCAAGTCTGGGCGTGGGGTCTGAACAGTTTTGGCGAAGCCGGGTACGCCAAAGCCGCCGGCAGCGACGAGGTTATCCTGCCCTTCCCAATGAGGATACCCGGCTTGCGCAGGAAGGGTGTGGTATGCTTGGCCGGCGGCGCTCACCACTCGGCCGCGGTGACGGCCGATGGGCGATGTTTCGTCTGGGGCCGTCTGGACGGTGGGCAACTCGGCATTGCGTTCAGCCCCGAGCAGCTGCAAGACACCAGTCTGATTCGCTACGACGAGCGCAACAAGCCACGTATCTGCCTCCGCCCTACCTCGGTCCCTGGGATTGGAACCGTCGCTCATGTGGCGTGCGGTACTGATCACACCATCTTCATCACCAAGGAAGGCTCGGCGTATGCTACCGGCTTCAACTCCCAGAGCCAGCTTGGCCTGGGAGCTGATGAAGACGATGTCAATGTTGCTCAGTTGATCAAGGGCAAGGCCGTGAAGGATAGGGTCCTCGTATGGGCCGGCGCTGGTGGACAGTTTTCCGTCGTTGCTGCGCGCTCTCCACATCAAGTCAGCCAAAACTAGCCCATTCGCGATGATACCCCGACGGTTACGACTCAATGTATAGTGTATATAATGTATAGATGGCAGAGATGAGAAGGCGCGTTTGTTTCTTATCCGCCTCGAGGCTCTGCGGTCTGGGGTCCTATCGGGAGCCTTACTGTCTAGTCGAACACAGCATGGCTGAGTTCACCCCTGTTGGTATTTGTCGTGCAGGCTGATATAAATCGTCTATCCTTCTGCACCTTTAGGAAATGAGACTCGGCAGCTGCGCTACTTCGATACTTCATACGTGATAGCTCACCGAAACCAGCTCGCTCTTGAGGTTGCTGCTTGGCACCTCGAACAGGCAGTTGGGGCAGTAGTAGGTGACGATCTTCTCGGCGACGCAGCGTGGGCATAGTATGTTTCGTTACGCTTAGCATCCTTATGAACTATTGATTGCCAACTTCTCTTCGGTCACCGATTCACCTGGAGGAAAATGGACTACAAAATCGAGTCCCCGGGATCGAAAAGAGGTGGCAACTGCCCTAAGTTGTTGTGCCGCCTCTCCCTCCGGCTCGTACTCTTCAAAGCCCTGGTCATCGATCCCGATCCTACTGAGGCACACAAACTGGTCCGCTTCGAAAGCTTCCCACAAGGCCCGGAGAGCAGGGTAAAGATCGCTAAAACCGAAGAGTCTCAGCTCGCGCATGGAAGGGGGCAGGTTCGACCTGAGAGCATCTTCTGGCGGTCCTTCGTGTCCGTAGAAGTCAAGGAAGGCTGTCTGGGCTCGTAGAATCTCAAGCACAGTGAATTCTCGAAGAAAGCCAACGTCGCGAAGACGGCTAGGGGGCTGAGGCAGCACAAGGCCGTCGATAGAGAACGATAGTTCCCTGAGAGTGCGGTGCCAGGGCCGAAGAAGGGAAACCGCCTCGTCGAATTCGACCGGGTCGTTTGCTTCTGTTGGTGAGGGGAGCGTGCCTGGTCGTCGTCAGATGTTCACCTTGGCAAGCCCCGACCCTACGGCTCCTAAGAGGTTTCGGAGAGAACCAGCCGTCATGACAGTGTCCAAGAGAATCAGCTCACTGAGGTTGTGGAGCGGAGGCGGATCAGCTAATGTCTTCCGGCCTAAGGACACACAGAACGTGTCGGCAACATAAGTACAATGGTTGCAGTGTAAGATCTGAAGGTTAGAAGCGAGTCGTATGATAGGCGCAAGTCGATCAAGCAGCAAGTCAGCTCCAAAGCTTGCAAAGTACAGCTTCTCAAGTGACTTCAACGTCCAAGGATTTAAGTGAGTAGAAAGGTCGGGTGTCTGGGGAAATCCGGCTCCGGGCAGATCGAAGCCAAAGGTCTTTAGATTCGGCACAAGCCCCATCGATAGCGAGACTAGACATCTTTGTTCGGCCGCCTCCCTGAGGGCAGCTGGTTCCTCATGTTCACTCTCCGAAAGGTGGGAGCGCAAGACCCAAGTCCTTTGCGCAAGGCTGACGCTCAGCGGCGAGGATGGGCGAGGACCTGGGTAAGCCCTTGCCTGCGCATCGTTCGAATGACCGATCTTCAGTTCGAGTGCCTTCAGGCGGAGGTCAGGTCGCGCCAGGAGGGTCCTGATGAGAAGGTAAAGATGGCGCTCCCGGAAAATGATGATATGATGGTACAAGAATGGCTCCGCTGCAACATGGCTCGTCCTGCACGCACGGCTGAAGTTGCGCAAGTCCTGTTGAGCTTCCCAAGTCCAGGTGCACAGGTCGAGTGCTGCCTCATCGACAGTGTTTTGCCGGACAAGACAATGACAGCAGAGATAGCTGCATATTTCTGTCAAGAGCTCGGCGGGAAGGTCGTTCAGCATTAGTGTGGCCGTTGTCTTAATCCTGCGAATGCCTGGTGTTCCAAGAAAGGAAACGGATTCCCAGATCGCAGGCAGTGTATAGGTAGCCGGCCAACCTTGTAATGCCGAAAACGGCGGCGATCAACCAATATTCTCGATTACCACAGCATCAACACGTATTAGCACCGGCCTAAAAGAAGCACTGACATGTCTCTTTTAAGTGTGTTTTCAGAATGAACCGTCCGGTGGACAGTCCGTGGTTGAGCCGCAGATGTTCGGTTGCTATAGGAGAGAGTTGCTGACCTCCCAACACCGAAACTAGGAGATTCTCCGCTATGCCGACAATGGTTACCAAACGGGATATCGCGCCCTAACTATCACACATTCCTTTTCAATCCGAGAAGAAGGTTTCGGCCCTTGCATTACCGGCGTGGGATGTACCTAATTACCAGTGGATACCCATCGCAGCGAGAGGGGTCGCAGCCGCTAACTGCGTCCCGAGTCACACATGAAGACGAGAGGGGTACCTTGACGGCACTTGATGGCGTGCCAGTGGGTTGCAAGCCAAGAGAGGAAAGATACCCTCCTCGTTGCCCCCAATTTTCGTCGCGATTGGGATGCTAGCAAGGTTAGGTGGTTAGGTATCCTCGATGGCCCCGGCCTTAATGCGGAAACGGAGCTTGCTCCCAGCTGATGGAGAGTCTTCACAGCACAGTGTGTTAATGATTAACGAGCGGCCCCGATGTCTCAGGCCCAATCCAAAGTTCGGACTTCCGGGCGAGTCGCAAAGCATTTGTCAGTGTGACTAAGGAAACAACACCGCGACAACTCAAAGGAAGAGGAATGGGTCAAGGGAGACTCGCTGTTGGCGATACCAGGGCCTGCAATGTGCTCTGGAGTTGTCTGACCACGATTGCTGTAATCCCTTACTCAGCGATCAAGCAAACGGAAGGAAGGGAAAGCGGGGCAACCCGGCAGGCCGCCCCCTTGCATGTTCCCACCAGAACGGCCACTGTGCAGGTGTGGCAGGTACGAACAAGCTGACAGAGCGAGCGTCTTCGATTATAGAGATTGTGTAGTGCCGAGAATGGGTCACGGCCATGCCTGGTCTGTTATTTCCGTTTCTCGCAATCTTCCCAGATCGGAATCACCCAAACCGTTTACACTAAGCTCAGCCGGTCGAAGAAGGGAAAAGAGACACACCGTGCGGACACGGCTTCTTGCATCATTGGGGCAACACCCCTGGCGACTCGGCTGCCCCTCCATGCTGGTCTCCGGGGTCGAGGCTCTCGGCCAAAGGCCCCCCTCGTCTGATTGATGTTGGATTATCCGATCATGACGAATGCAACAGAAACGATTGCGACGGAAAGACAACGGGATACCCTGAGACTTGACGCAAAGTGGAGACTGGCAACTGAGGGGCTCGCCAACGAGGCAGGCACGAGCGGCCCGTTGTTTCCAAAGATTCAGAAGGGTATGCCCGTAGTATAAAGTTGGCGGGGAGCCTACCCTCTTGCCCTCGATGGTGCCACCAGACTTTTTCCCCATCCTCAACACAACAGTACCCCGCCCTCTTTCCGATATCGCGAGACTCAATTTCGGTGTTTCTTAACCAGCACATCTCAAACCGCAAACATGGCGCCCAAGATTGCAATTGTCTTTGTACGTTTCCCGCTGCTGTCTTAATGTCTGCTCTCATCCCTCTAGGGTGCTTTAGTCTCCGCCGGGAGGAATTATAGCCAGGGAAGAAGCTAACAGCCCGCGGTAGTACTCGATGTACGGCCACATCCAGAAGCTCGCCGAGGCCGAGAAGGCCGGTATTGAGAAGGCTGGCGGTACCGCCGACCTCTACCAGTATGTTAATATCTTGACACCCGAACGCCGTATTCCAGAACACGGCCCTGTACGGTGGAACCATGTGCTAATTCACTGCAATAGGGTTGCTGAGACGCTCCCGCAAGAGGTTCTTGACAAGATGTACGCCCCGGCCAAGCCGGCCAACATCCCCGTTCTCGAGGACCCGAGCGTGCTCGAGAAGTATGACGCCTTCCTGTTCGGTATCCCTACGCGGTACGGCAACTTCCCCGCTCAGTGGAAGGCCTTCTGGGACAAGAGTGGCAAGCAGTGGGCGTCGGGCGGGTTCTTTGGCAAATATGCCGGTCTTTTCGTCTCCACCGCCGGTCAGGGTGGTGGTCAGGAGTCGACCGCCATCGCCTCGATCAGCACCCTCACTCATCACGGCATAATCTATGTCCCGCTCGGCTACGCCAAGACGTTTGCCCTCCTGACCGACGTCTCTGAGGCCCGTGGCGGCAGCCCCTGGGGCGCCGGCACTTTCGCTGCCAGTGATGGCAGCCGCCAGCCCAGCGCCAAGGAGCTCGAGCTGGCTACCATCCAGGGCGAGGTATTCTACCAGACCGTCGCCAAGGCTTTTGGTGCGTAAATTTGTATCTGGCGGAAGCGGGTGTTCGAGGCGATAGGCGTGGCAGCTAATAGGCAGTCGGAAGGGGGGTTAAAGAAGGGCGCCGGAGCTGCGCCAGGCCAAGCTGCTGCTGCCTCTACTACGGCTACTGCTACTACACGGGGCAAGGAGAAGGAAGAGAAAGCTGCCAAGGGAAAGGAATCCAAAGAAGGACCATGTGGCTTGCCTGTCAAGTGCGTGATATTGTGATAGACAGCAATGCGAGCTTGATTTTGATAAACACAACCGGATGCCTTGTCGTGTTATTCTCGCAGAACTAACCTCAAATGAAGTAGACATGACTCTTTTCCATAAAACTTCAATCGTTGCGAGCAGTTGACGGTCACACCAAGGGAGGTATAAGAATACGTTCCTCGAACGTGAATCACCAACCTTAATGTTTCTAGATCACTTTGGATTGTGGCACAGGACGCATGCCGCAGGGTACTTTTCGGCGGCAGTCTTTGCTATGTTACTTCCTTTTGCTAGCCTTCTTTTCCTCTTCATTCTTTGATTCTTAGTGGAGAGTTACAGTAATCATGAAATTCCCAAAGTGGAAAGAAGACAAAAATAAGAAGACAGGACTATCTTTAATTCTCCTCCCTTCCTATTTCTGAAGCATCTTCATGTAGTCGTTAGCTTTGCACAAAAACAAGGTTTATTTTTTCCCATCAAATCTTATTGCCACTCCCTCAGTGGCCATCAACTCCCTGATTCCCTGACAGGCCCGGATGGGAAGTGGGCAAAGTTGGATCGTGAAATTTTTCTCTAGTCTCCCTGCCGAGGCAATCAAGGGTTAGGGTTATGCTTTGTCACCCCAATCGAGCTTTTCAAGGCTTGCAAGCTCGACTTTCTGAGTTTCTCTCAGTTTCACAACCTGCAAACAACCAAACCAACCAACCTGCAAAATCACCAACACCCAACCATTCAACAAGGAAAAACCAAAACGGCCCACCTCTGGCTTTTCTATAACTCGCCACGGGCATCCATTTTCCGGAAATCTCTACTATGCTCCTCCGCAACGCCCACTCGGACGACAGGGACCCGGACATTTTTCACACCATGACCTCGCACAATCCCGGTGCCGCCGGCCTGCACAATCCTCATGAGACGGGCATAGGAAATAACAGTATCGCCGCCACAAACTATTACGGCAACGGCCATAATACTGATGCTCACACAAACAACACCATGGACGACGTCTGGGGTTCCAACGACGATGGCCACCACCACTACTCCCAACCCTACCCTCACCATCACAACCACACTCAAACTCAACAACCCCAGGCCTATTACCAACCTTCCCCTTACCACTCCCACCCCCAACCCCCCTTGGTAAGCGACATCCCCCGCCTATCCGCAGCACACTCCAACGCGGGCTACCGCGACGGCATCACGCTCGCCAAGGCGCGCACAGCACAGCAAGGGTTTGACGAAGGTTACGGGCTGGGCGCGACGGTGGGGGCGCGCGCGGGCCAGTTGCTGGGGGTTCTGGAAGGGTTGGCGGCTGCGGTTGGGTTGCATTCGCTTTCGAGGGGGCAGAGGCCTCGGAGTCAGGGGAAGAGGATGGGGGGGCAGAATGGGGGAGGGAGTGGAAGAAGGCATACGGTGTCTGGGTTGGGAGGGCAAGGGGTGGTTAAGGGCGAGGAAGGGGAGGAGGAGGAAGAGAGTGAGGAGGAAGAGGAGGCACGGCGGATTAGTGACTTGTTGAGTGAAGCACGGCGGGAACTTAGCGTGGTGGGGGTTTTTGATAGGCAATACTGGGCGGACGATGGAACGTGGCGGTACGAGGTCAGCGCTCCGAACGGGAGCAGCAACAATGGCTATTACCGAGGCCTGGAGGAAGGTGGGCTAGTCGTTTTTGCGGATGTGGCTGAGGCGCACCCGTTGCTACGCAAGTGGGACGGGATCGTGAGAGCCGAGGCCGCGCGGTACGGGGTCGACTGGGAGATTTTGAAGGACGATATGGGCAGCGACGGGAGGAGGGAAACGGGTGATGAGGAGAGGGAGCGAGAAGCGAGGGTGAGGAGGGATAGGAGTGGGGCGCAGTCGGCCGCGAGGGAGCGCGAGGCGTTGGCGTGGTGAGGATGGGATGGCTACGAGTACGGACGCGTTACTGGGCGCTGGTCGTTCAGAGAATTCTGGCTGGCCGAGATTGATGTGTTTGGTTTGTGTCCAGCCAACATTGGACATCGCACTTCCTTTGGTCGCAGCGGATGGTGGTTAAGGCCCATGCAAAAACCGAGACAACAATTCGGAACAGCTGGACGACATTTCCCCATCAGATTGCTGTTGCGGAGGCGGCCGTAGGGTACTGATGCTAGGGAATCGAGACCCAATGTCTCAAACAAAAAGCCGCCACGACGGGGATCGTAGCGGGTGTGTGTATTGCATTGCATGTATGAAAGTCATGATACAAAGGGTCATCAAAAAGGGGATCTTGATAGGAAACAAAACTACACTGCGAAGTTCTTTGCTCTACGCTCACAAAATCCAAGTGCATCCCGCAATGTCCCCAGAACTTATCAGTCACTTGACTAAGAAAAGTAATCATCATCCGCATACCCGAAAAAGAAGGGGCAGCACGAGTCCACTCACTCAACCCAGCTTCTTCTCAATCTTCTTAAACATGCCTGTCACGCCCCGCTCCAACCTCCCAGCCCTCTCTTCCAACTTTCCCCTGACCTCTTGTTTCGGCTGGTACTGGGTTTCAGACCCATAAAATTGTTGATGAACCGAGTAGTCGTTTTGACCCGGTGCATGTCCCAGCTGTGCATGTCCCGGTCCAAGCCCTGGCGTCCCAGGGGGCGGGCCGACGCCGACTAGCCCAGCTGCTGGAGGGGTGGGTGTGTGGGTGATGCCGGAGGTGTAAGGGGCATGCACGTGTGAGGGAAATGTGCCGACGTTGAAAGGGCTTGCGAGCCCGGGGCTAGCCAGCGGGGTGCCTACACCCCCGTGCGCCGGCATGGTTGCGGCGCGGGAGAGGCCTTGGTGTGCAGGTGGGTATTGAGATATGCTGGCCGCTTGCCCACCGAGAGAACCGAACCCCTGGGGCGCAAAGCCCGGCGAGGTTACGCTGTGCTGAGGCGGACCTGGGAAACTAGGCGCGCCGGGCGGGTGTTGAAGGTTTGGGGGCGGGATGCCGGGACTCAAGGGGCCGAGGCCGCTGGGTACGAGGCCGGGCGAGAAGGGGGTAGCGGCGTCGTAAGCGAGAGTCTGATGGAGGGGGTTGGCAATGCCGTCCTCGGGAGGCGGGGTCTTCTCGCGATGGCGGATTTCTTCGGGCGCGGGGGGTGCAGCTGGGTTGTAGGCGATTGGCGTAAATTGTTGGGCGGGTGGCGATGTCGTGTCTCCTGTGCTGTTGACGGCCGACACGGGGGGTCCTGGGAAGGACGGAACCCCGGAAGTGCTACCGCCTTGGAGACCGGCCGGTGTCCCCTGAACGGAATCGGAGATGGCGGCTTGCTCGAGCTTCTGCACAACCGAACTCATTTCGGTGGCCTGCGCAACCTGGCGAGGCGGCGGCGGGCCAGGTTCGTCGAGAACCTCGCATTGCCCGTGGGGGAGCACGCGCCTAATCCCGTTGACAAATTGCACCGCATCCTGGGGCATCCAGAAGTAGATATCGAGCGAGTGCAATTTGTAGTGGTACTTGTTCTGGTTGTGGGGGTCGTAGGTGGGCAGATGCCACTCATCGTTTCCCTCGACCTCGCCCACGGTGAGGGTTACAAGGCAGGTATGCTTGTACGAGTAGCGAAGATGGACTCGGTCGAGATCTGGTGTCGACATCTTGGATCAGCGCTAACCTTTCTCCTCAGCCCAGCAATGCAAGTATGCTTACAGCCATCGAAAGCATCTTGATCTTCCGTCCCCGCCTTGTTGGCAACCTCCACCCGAGCCCGTCCCTGGTTCGCATCCTCGAAAAGATACACATAGGAACCTTTGTCGAAGCGGTGGTGGGGCGGATTATTGTCTGGCGGTCCATAGAAGTAGTGGATATCCCCGTAGCTTTCAAGAGTGTTAGACAGACTGCAGGCGTTTGGGTTAGAGCATTGTGGGAAAATGGACTCACAGTGTAGCTACATTTTCCTCTCCCGGCCGGGCGGCCATTTTTGCGACGGGTTTCTCTAGCTGAAAGGAAGTGTGAGGGGGGCTGTAGCAAGCTGGAGGAGGGGCACGAAAAGTGAGCAACCAGAGAAATCACAACAGCGCTCAAGCTTCCACAGATAGAGACGGGGCGGGCAAACAACTGGGAGCTGGGTGAAATCGAACCCAAGGGCAACGATGATGAGGGAAGGAAAGAAAATCGCGACAGGAGAAATCACGGAATCAAAAATACAGCGACAGCTTCAGGAGCATGTGTGACCGGCATGCTTGGATTGTCACTTGGGTTCCGGGCGTGCCCCGCGTTGCCAATGGAACACCGGCATCAAATCAGCTCTCGCAAAACCCTGGTGATCCGGCCCAATTCTGGCCATTGAGCCGGTTCGAGAGCTCTCTGACAACGGTGGTGGCATGGAGTGTCCGCGAAGCGGGCGCTTAAAGGTGGGATGAGAGTGAACCAATAGAATGGCCGAGTTGGCTGGAGAAGTCCAGATGAGATGGAAATGGTTTGTAGCTCTCTGATGCAGGCACGGCGGGGTCATCAGCGACAAGAAGCACGGGCCCTCTTTGTCACAGGGCCCCGCATCCCTGTAAGAAGCCGTCAGTTACGGGCCTGGCCAAAATTTCGCGAAAGAATCCGAATTGTGCTGTGAAGCCACCGCAGGAGGCCGACCGAAATCATCCACGAGCGAAATTCAGGACCCGACAACGGCCAACTACATCGAGAAATAAGAAAGGGCAGCCCGGAGTACTCAACAATTTAGTTACTGCCGGGACTTCCTCACGTTAATCAGCTTCGACTTCGATCGACCACGACTCAACAATCCCAAAGCGGAAGCCGACGACCTCTGGCCCTCGAGGCCGTTGTCTCTGGGATAACAAAAACACAAGACTTCCCAATTACAAACCGACCCAATTTCTCCGGTGACCTTCGAGAAGCGAAGCATACAACCAAAACACCGCCAAAATGGGCATCGCCAGCGTCGCCAATGCCTGCATCCACCTCCAAAACGTAACCCGCGCCCGCATCGGGTTGACCTCAATCCCCAACACCAAATACAACCTCCGGCTCACCCTCGCGATGCACCGGGCGGGCCTAATCGCATCCATCACACGCGGCGGGCCAACACCACCGCCGCCCGAAGCCATGCTTGCGACCGAGACCGAGCCCCTGACGACCGCCAACGTTGCCCAAGCCCGCCTCTGGATCGGGCTCAAATACTGGGAAAATAAGCCCGTGATCAGCAAAATCCAACCCATCAGCAAGCCGAGCCGGGCTGTCACGGCTACATTACCACAGCTATCCAAGGTTGCGCGTGGGTACGGGGTTGGCCCGCTCAAGGGGCTCAGGCTGGGCGAAACACTGTTCATAAGCACGGATCGTGGTGTGTTGGAAATCCGTGAGGCGATAGAAAAGAGGGTGGGCGGGCTGGTGCTCTGCCGGGCTTCATGAGCTTACAGCAGGGGGGCTGTGTTTGGCGATGCGGTTACATGTACAAGAATAAGCAGTTTGGAAATGGGCGGTGTTGGACGAGGGGAGGGCATCTTTCCCCTCGGCCCCAAAGGGGGAGTCGTGTGTCGACAAGACGGGCGGAACAACGGGAAGTACTGGATGGTTCGGACGAGGCGAAATGTAGATTTTATGTACGATCCAGATCAGGGGAGCTTGACCGCTAGGTGTGTCGGAAACGACGGAAGGTCTGCAAAGTACAGGCCTGACAAATCTCGCCGAATCAGGCAGTTTGGCAGTACGGGCTTTGCACATAGAGTTTATGAATCAATGTATCATATCATATCCGTCGAAAACCCCTTGCAAATGGCACAGAAATATCAGTATGAGTATGCAATTACCTGAGTCCCCCAAACGCTCTAAACGCCTGCCTGGTGGCCAAACTATTCTACCCTACATAGATCCCGTCACCAACTCCTCAACCCTCCCACGGCCGGCGGCCTTCCAACAATCACAAAAAGCAAACCGATTTCTTTTCCCACCAGGTATCATGAACACATATGTCTCCCCTTCTTCCCGGTCCTTCTTGTTTCCCAACATCTACTCCAACAACTAATGCTATCTCTCCTTACCACCGAGTGGACTCGAAGAAAAATGGTTGAACCAAAATAGTCAATAAGAAAAAAAGGGGAAGAAAATGCTAAGATTAAAACAAATAGAGTGGGGGGTTAAATGGTGGAAATCAGCCTGCCACTGGCGGCTTCACGAAAAATTCTTCTTTTATTTGTCAACAGCGATGATAGGGGCATGCGCGACGTTTTATGCGGCAGCCGGCTTCTCGTCGTCGCCGGCCTCGGCCTTCTCTTCGGTTGGGATCTCGCCATCGGCAACGCCCGGCTCCTCGCTCTCGACAACCTCATCGTCAGCCTCAACAGAAGCAACAACCACCTCCTCCACCGCCTCACTCTGCTCCACAACTGGCGCCATCTCGTGAGTAGAGGTAGACGAGCCCGCCAGGTCCGTCTCAGCAGCTAGGGAAACCTCACCCTCAACCGCCGTGGCCACACCAATCGCCTCGTCCGCAGTAGTGGCGTGCTCAGCCTCTGCAGCAACACGATTCGCGGTCGGGGCTTGGGATGATAACCTCGCGGCCGAGGTGGCGGCTGTCTTCTTGACAGCGGGCTTCCTCGCCGCGGCCACGTTAGTCGCGCCATTCCGCCTCGGGGGGCTGGTAGGATGATGGTGGTGAACAACCTTCCCGGTAGTCTTGGACGCTGATGCCGCGGTCGGCCGCATCATGCGCGCTAGGAAACCTTGGTCAACCTCCTTCTCCCTCTTCGGAGGGTGGTCCTTGGCAGGTTGCTTTGGGGGGGGGCCGAGACTAGGCCGGGTCGAGGACGACCGCTTAGCCGCTGTTGAGCCCTGGCGAGCGAGACCCCGCGTGGTAGAGGCGGCGCGGGTCGAACCGCTGTCGGCCGTTGAGCCGCTCGCCCGGCTAGCCGGACGACCGTGGGCATCGCTTGCGCGGGGCGAGGTTTGGCGCGAGGCGTTCACTTTCGAGCCGGAGGATGCGGTATGGGTCGTCAAACCTGGGGGCAGCTTGACGGGGCGCGTAGGCGATTTGACCTTCGGCTTCACAAAGCCGGTGTGGGCGGGTGAGGACTGAAGCGGGGGTGGCTTCCGAGCGGACGAGGGGCCAGCCCTGTTAGTCGAAGCCGCTCTCGGGGTAGTGTGTTTCTCGGCGGGAGTTATCCTCCTGTCGGGCGTGTTTTTGCTTGCGATGGCATGTGTTGTCACTGTCGCCGGGGGAGTCCGGGGGCCCCTGGGCGACTTTTCTGGCTTAACCGTCGTCTTGTTTGCAGGCGCAACTGCGAGGGGCTTTGGTGCTGGCTTAGCTGCGCGCGGAAGAGGCTTGTTGGCCTCAGCTCCCTTCTTCGTCGTCACTTTTGGTGCCTCTTTATCACTTGCCGCTGGCTTCGATGGCTCTGGTTTAGGAGCCTCGGCAACGAGCACAGGAACCTTCTCCGTTTCCTTCTTCGTCTCCTTCGCTGTCTCCTTCACGGCCTCCTTTGCCGTCTCCTTCTTGTTCTTCTCTTTCTCCTTCTCTTCCTCTGGCTCCGGCTCTTTTTCCTTTGCCTTCTCCTTCTCCTTCTCCTCTACTTTCTCTTCCACTTTCTCTTCTGGGCTGTTAACTTCCAACTTTTTCGGTTCCACCGGCACAACCGGCGTGGGCTCGGGCTTCACGGTATCAACAGCCGGGGTGGGCGATGTGCTTGCGCTACTCGCAGGGTTGGATCGTGGAGTGTCTACCCGGGAAGATTGTAGGAAAGGGTTCGCTGAGACAAGACCAAGCTGTCCCGGTGACTTGGCTGGGGCGTCGAACGGATTCGGCTTCTCTACCCCAGTAATAGGGGTGCCGACGTGGCTGGCGCTGTGGTCGCCGCTGTTCTTGCGTGCAGAAGAGATCGAATCTTGGCTTCCTTCGCGTGTAAGGCCCATCCTACCGTCCTTTTCAATCGCTACGAAGCTCGTCCGAATCTTGGAGAGAGGCCGGGGGGAGTCGCCGGAGACTAGAAAGCATTGTTAGCCCATGCGCGGGGAAAGTAATGCGCGCGCACGCATAGCAGCTGGGACACAGCACTGCTATGCAAGCACCGCAACGTCTTCCCGGAAAGGCAAGCGCCTTACCGTTTGGAAGGATGCCAGGCGACCTGCCTCTGCCCGGGGGACTCGTCTCGCCCTTCTGCTCGAACATGGCGCGAAGGTTCTTGACGGCGCTCATGGTTCCGGCTGTGGGCAAAGCACCCTAAGCCTCGGAGAGAGTTATGTACGTGTTTGAATAGGTAGCGATGTGAGGTTGGAGCTCGCTTGAATGTTTCTTCGCGACACAAGTCTGTCACGTCAAGACGCGCAGCTTGTGAGGGGATGTTGCGATGATATGGGAAGCCAACCCTGAGGCGGGAGGTGGCCGGTGGCCGGTGGCGGTGGTCTGTGTCAAGCTCGGGCTGGTGCTGCGCGTCGCTAGTTGAAACCGCGCCCCTTTTTGGGTATCGCGCCTGTGGCAGCGGGTTGAGGCTTGGTGCCTTTCTTGAGCTCCAAACAGCCAATGGCAGGCGAACTCGTGTGAGATGCGTTCGGCTTAGAGCTGACAAGGTGAACAACGACAGCGAGTCGGATCGTGGTGCGCGAGCGCAAAGGACAGATTTAGATTTGCGACAGAGACACTGGATCGAGGAGGAGGGGGGCAATGAGCAAGAAAGAGTGGCGGGCGGCCAAACGCGCTGCCATGGAGCCACCCGACAAAAATGAGCGCGCGTGTCTCAAATTAGAGGAACAATTTGGGCATGGGGCCAGACGAACGCGAGCCAGGGCCCAGGGGTTTGCTGCGGGGCCTCTCCGGGCCTGCAGTGGCCCTTTCCCTCTCAGGCGAGCCCGAAGGTGCAACCCCCCGAGGCCGCGGATGAAGCAGGATGCGCTGTTATGCGCACCCACTGGTTGCGAATTGGATTTGACGGAAGGAGAGCGGCCGGCTTGAAAAAGAAGCTTGGAGCTGCGAGCTGCGTTTCAGAAGTCCGGCAGACCCACGATGCAAATAGGTCTTGGCAACACCGGGAGCTTCTCATCTCTGGAAGTGGAAGTTGGGATGAAAGAGCCAGCGCCCTGGATATGGCCCACATTTCCGTCGCGCGATCTTTTGCTTCCCGCACTTCCCTGTCAATGACACAATCTCAACACGAAGGCTTCGCGAATGAGAAGGAGTTGTTGTCTTTCAAACGGGACAAACGCAGATGAACGTTCTACAGCGGCCATCGGTCTCGTTACAAAAGGCGGGCAAATATTGGGAAATTGCACCGGCGTGGGCCGTTTCCGATCCCGAGGTTGCCGGCCGTATGATAAAATCAAACAGAGAAGTTGTCCTCTTGCCCGAATCAGCCACGTTTCTGCGATCGACTACTTTCCGAATGTACCTACCTTGGTAAGTATCCAGGTAGGTAACATGTAAGTCAAAATCAAACAACCGGACAACACAAGAGCGTCCGGTCCCCCGTGCCATCAGATGGAACGGATTACGGAACCCAAGTTCGGACAAATATCCGCGACGGTACCAGCTTCGCGGCGCTGTTGAGGCCAACCTAGGAAACAAACCCTTGAGGGTCATGTGATTGTTGCCGCATGAAACCCACAGGCTTGGGTTCCTTTACATAACTATTAGTGTGCTTAACAAAGGACGGTGGGAGGGTTGGTAAAGAAGTTGTGCCTTCTCTTTCATAATTAAATTCTAGAGAAAAACAGATGGCCATTTCCATACGACACAAAGCAACCTAGATGGATGCAACCTGATGAAGCAGGAGCCGTGCACGCAACGGCCTCCCCCACACAAAACCTCCCACCGTGCCACCCTTGTTCCGGAAGGAACCGACTCCCGCGGATCACTTCATTGGAGAACCGAGCTCTCCGATTCCGGGGGAGGTTTTTGACGCTTGAAAAAGTTTCAACACCACGACAAGAAGTTTTCGTCGACGCCAATTGATTCACGACCATGGCTGCCCGGACTCTCAGGATTGGTATGCAAATTCAAGGGCTCGGTCCCGTTGTAAAGATTTCCAGCGTTTGGACCATTTTCGTGTTTTGCACCCTTTCAAGCTCCCGTAACGATCCCGCCTAACTCTCTTGCCCCTCCTGCAGGCCTTATCCCCGGCGATGGTATCGGCAAGGAGGTCATCCCAGCTGGGCGGCGCCTTCTTGAGGCGCTCCCTGCCTCACTTGGCCTAAAGTTTGAGTTCGTCGACCTCGAGGCGGGTTGGGAGACCTTTCAGCAGCAAGGCGTGGCCCTGCCAGACAAGACCGTGACAGTGCTGAAGAACGAATGCGATGGCGCGCTTTTTGGCGCTGTCAGCTCCCCCACGAGTGCCGTCAAGGGCTATTCGTCCCCCATCGTTGCTCTGCGCAAGAGGCTAGACCTGTACGCCAACGTGCGGCCTGTCAAGACCGTCGTCTCGGCTCCCAAGCCCATCGATATGGTCATTGTCCGCGAGAACACCGAGGACTTGTACGTTAAGGAGGAAACCACGCGCGACACCCCCGAGGGCAAGGTCGCCGAGGCCATCAAGCGTATCTCGCAGCGAGCCAGTGGCCGCATCGCCAACATCGCCGGCGAGATTGCGCTGCGCCGCCAAAAGATCCGCGCCACGGGCAGCCCCAGCATCCATCGCGGCCCACTGGTCACCATCACCCACAAGTCCAATGTGCTCTCCCAAACCGACGGCCTGTTCCGCTCTACGGCTCGCGAGGTCCTGACCGCTTCCCCCTTCCGTGACGCCGAAGTCGCTGTTGAGGAGCAGATCGTCGACTCGATGGTATACAAGCTGTTCCGTCAGCCGGAGGCCTACGACGTCATCGTTGCGCCCAACCTGTACGGTGACATCCTCTCTGATGGCGCGGCCGCGCTGGTCGGTTCGTTGGGCCTAGTGCCCAGCGCCAACGTGGGCGAGGACTTTGCTATCGGCGAGCCCTGTCACGGCAGCGCGCCCGACATTCAGGGCCAGGGCATTTCCAACCCGATCGCCACGCTGCGTAGCGCCGCGCTGATGCTTGAGTTTCTCAACGAGGAGGCCGCGGCGGCCAAGATCTACGAGGCGGTTGACGGGAACCTCTCGGAGGGCAAATTCCTTAGCCCAGATCTGGGCGGCACGGCCAAGACCGAGGAGGTGCTGCAGGATGTCCTCTGCCGGCTGTAAAGGAGATGATTCGGGCTTAGTTGACTAGGTGCTGGAGTTATACCCCGTAGCATTAGGTTATTTGCATTCCCCATGTGGGGGGGAAGAATAAATAAAACGGAACGAGACAGATAAAAAACTAACGATGAGCACAAAATAGTACCCAGCCATGACAATGAGGTGTCAATGTGTACCAGCCAGTGTGGAGAGAAGCGATGGTATCTTGTTGCTCTATCACAAACGCTGCCCAGAATTAACAAACAAACAAACGAATCCCACTCCAGCGTTCCTCATCATATATCATACATCACCACATACAAGGTGCATCTATGCAGCTGGCACCGCGAGCTAACAATACAAGCCACCGCCATCGTCTAGCATGCGTGCGGACATCTCGGCCGCAGGCGGCTTAGCCATCTCCCTGCCGTGATCTATCCCATATGGCATAACCGTATATCCTGATCCTTTTGTTACCCTCATTTTTCCGTTTTCCCCATACAGATCATCATTGCGGGGTTGACGCAGTTCTGCTTCAATACGAGACGGGTCGCGTCAACCTTCCGCTTTTTGCTCTTCCCCTTCTTTAATTGACGGTCTTGACTCGTCACACTCAAAGACCCACCGGTTTTCTCTATCACCTGGGTGCAAAGTGACATGTATCCTGGCCTATTAACAAGCCCAGGACGAAGCAAGGCAGAAATCCCCTCCTAGCGAGAAGTACCTTATTTGTTTCTCTTGGCTTCAAGCTCCTTTTCATACTGAGCAACCAGCTCCTTCCTGCAGTTGTGAAAAAAAATTAGGGTTAGCACGGGTTTCAAGTCAAAATAGGGGGTAAGAGAGGCATACTGTAGATGTGGTGGCGCGGGAGCATAATGGCTGAATTCCATGCTAAACTCGCCCTTGCCTTGGGTCGCCGCGCGCAAGTGGGTGCTGAAGCCAAACATGGCGTTGAGGCTGCAGTCGGCAATCATGGTGAACTCCTCGGAGCCGGACTCGGTGTCGACGATGGAACCGCGCTTGTTCATGAGCATCAGCACGTTACCCTGGAATTCAAGCGGCGCGGTGATGGTTGTCTTCATCAGCGGCTCCAGCACGGCACCGCCGGCGTCGGGGAACGCCTTGCGGAACGCCATCTGAGTCGCCAAGCTGAAGGCGTAATCGCTCGAATCGGTGACGTGGGTCGCGCCGTCGGACACGGCCAAGGTGGCGCCGATGACCTTGTGCCCGAGAAGAGGGCCCTTGTTGCAGGCCTCATCGAAACCCTTGGAGCAAGCGGAAATGTACTTGTCCGGGATGCTGCCACCAACGACATGGTTCTCAAAGCTATTCGCCTCGGCGTTCTCGGCGTTCGGCTCGATCCAGCCGACCACGCGGGCGTAGTCACCGGGACCGCCGGTCTGGCGACGGAGCAAGAAATCAAATTCCGCCTTGCGGCTGATGGTCTCGCGATAGGCGACGCGTGGCTTGCCGGTCTCGCAGTCAACCTTGTACTCACGGCGCAGGCGCTCAACGTAGATTTCCAGGTGGAGTTCGCCCATGCCGCTGATAATGGTTTCCTCGGACTCCTCGTCGACGTGCAGGCGGAAAGTGGGGTCCTCGCGCATGAAGCGATTCATGGCCTTGGAGAAGTTGTCGGCATCGCTACTGCGCTTGGGTTTGATGCTCAGCGACATGACGGCGTCGGGTACGTACATGGAGCTCATGCCGTAAGGAAGGCGGCCGTCAGTGAATGTGTCACCGGAGGCGCAGTCGACACCGAAGACGGCGCAGATTTCTCCAGCACCGATCTCGCTAACGTCTTCCATCTCGTTGGAGTGCATGCGCACGATACGAGGGATGCGGACCTTCTTGTCGTTCCGCGCGTTGAAGAGATACTGCCCCTTCCGCAAGGTGCCTTGGTACACACGGATGTACGTAAGCTGGCCGTACGGGTTCTCTTCAAGCTTGAAGGCCAGGCCGACAAATGGGAGCGAGCCGTAGGGCATAAGCTTGACTGGTTGCTCGCCCTTGGTCCGATCAAGGGCCGTGTTCTCGACGTTTCCAGGGTTTGGAAGGTAGTCGCAGACAGCGTCCAACATGGGCTGGACGGACTTGTCAGCGAGGGCAGAGCCCATCAACACTGGTGTGAACTTGAGGGCAATGGTCGCCCGGCGGATGGCTGCCTTGATCTGCTCCGGTGTAGGAGTCTTTTCGTCCAAAAACATCTCGGCCATCTCGTCGTCGACATCAGCGAGCTTCTCAATCAGTTCCTGCCTCTTCTCCTCCGCTAGTTCCTTGAGGTTGTCGGGGATCGTGTTGGAAATCTTGACGTTGATACCCCTCTGGCCGTCGTTGCGGATCGCCTTCATATTGATCAAATCGACCACACCTTCAAACTCCTTTTCTGAGCCAATGGGAATCTGTACAGCAGCAGCAGGGATCTTGAGCTTCGAATTGATCATCTCGACCGCTTTGAAGGGGTTGGCGCCCATACGGTCCATCTTGTTGACGAAGCTGATACGGGGAACGTTGTACCGCTTCATTTGCCGATCAACTGTTATAGTCTGACTCTGCACACCGCTGACGGCGCAGAGGACCATGACGGCACCGTCTAGCACTCGCATGGCGCGTTCGACCTCAATGGTAAAGTCGATATGGCCGGGCGTGTCAATTAGGTTGAAGTGGTACGTCTCCTCGACGCCGTTCTCGACCTTCTTCCAGTCGGCAAAGGTGGCGGCGGATTGAATGGTGATACCTCTCTCCCTCTCCAGTTCCATGGAGTCCATCTTGGCCCCAACACCGTCACGTCCCCTTACTTCGTGGATCGCTTTCGTACGGCCGGTGTAGAAGAGGATACGTTCGCTCACAGTAGTCTTGCCGCTGTCGATGTGTGCCTGTTGTGCTGCTCAGTCTCCTCGTCCAGCTCCTAGAACCGAACTGGCCCATTCACTAGGCCTACGTACTGCAATGCCAATGTTTCGGACCATGGAAAGCTTCTTGGATTCCTCGGGTGTCATGCGGGCGGCGGCGGCTTCGGGTGTCATGTTCGCAGCAGCGAGCTCTTTGGCTTGCTTCAACCTGGACGAGGATGTGCCGTGTCAGTCAGTGTCGTATATTCCAATCTGCAACATCTGGACGATAGACGAAATAACTAAACATGCAAAACCTACGCTTCTGCAGCAGCGTCCGAGGCCCTGGACACAGGGGTCCTACTAAAGTAACGGAGGCCACTCAACCTAGAGCTATAATACGGTGCTGAATTTAGGGACGAAGACGACGAGGCCAATATGGCCGCACGCCCCGCCAAACTGGCAAAGCGAGCAGCTCCGGCATAGCTGCCGCCGCTGGTTTTCAGCGCGCCCGCAGCCCGTATCACCCTCATCATGAACGGACTCGAATAAGGAATGGCGGGTGAAAAAAAAGGGTGGTTCCAAAAAAGAGGAACCATCCGAACATTCGCCGGCCTGAGATTGTTCGCATGGAGTTTGGTGCTCGGCCCGCGAAATTTTAATGTGGGTCCGATCTCAGGCACAACGAACCCTGTCGCGGGACCGCGAGGTGCTTGGGTGCGCAACCTGCCACAGGGTGCCGTCAAGAAGATACCATGTACTGTACAGATTGCCATCTTGATACCAACTTGAATCCTTGATCACGTCGCCCCATATACACCAAAAGTTTGAAAAATACAATCCTTTCAACGAAACTAGCCTTTAAGTCCGAAACCCGGATATTTACAGTAAAAAGCAACAACGCCCACCATCTATCCCATCAACGTCTTGAGAGAGCGAGAACGAAATTCCTCCCTTCATATCCCGTAAATACCCTGATTAGATCATAGATAAATGGGCTCGTTATATGTATGTACAAATTAAAGTAAGGTATGATTAGAAAGCATAAAACAGCCCAGACCCAAGCGCTGCCAACGCCATAGAGGTGCCGATAACCACGATCTGCGCCATCCCCCAAGAGACAGGCATGCCGACCGCCCCGTTTTCCCTGGCGACGCCCTCCATGAAACCCGGGCTAGCCGCGTACGCAGGCGTGGTAACGGACGGAACCTGGGTGACCTCGCTCTGTCCAGGGGCGACGGTCGCGGACGGGATCGGCGCGCTCATGCTGGGGAAGGGAACAATGTTGCTGTCGGTAGAGTTGAAGTCGGTCGCAGCAATACCGACTTGGTTGTTGACGAGATCATAGACGACGTAGGCAGAGCGGAGGAAGGTGTCCCCAAGCAGGTAAGGAGCGGAGGTGAAATTTTGGATCCCGAACTGGCACACTTCCTGGCCCGCGTAGGGGCCCGAGGTGAAAGTCGGAGCGCGGCCTGAGGTCAGGTCGAGAACCAGCTCGTCCATTGTGACATTGATACGAGGGCCGTTGGGGCCGGCGAAGCCAAAGGAGAAGTAGCCCTTGCTGTTTTGCATCGCGCAGGGCAACACGGCCGCGCCAAGTTGGTCCGAGTAGATTGCGCCGACTTCGGTCCAGGTTTGGCGGGCTAGATCGGTGGGGAGGTAGGAAAGGGTCGTGCCGGAGTCAAGGACGACAGGAATCGGGAATTCGCGGGAAGTGAGCGTGTCCCGGCCCGAGGCACTGTGGCCGCCTAGCGAAGTCAGGGCGACCATGAATGCTGAGAAAATATCCTTTTGCGTCGGGTAAATCTCGATTCTCGTCAGGTCGCCCTTGTACTTTTCTGTGTCGATGCCTCCAAAGAGAATACTCCCCGAGCTGGCGTCTGGTGGAACGGGTTAGCCTAACAGACAAACCGACAAACACCGCCAAACCGCCGTGGTAAAGACTTACCCAGATCATTCAGCCACAAGCTGTATGCGACGGAGTTGATCAGGCCTTCGTCGACCATACTGACTGGCAAGTTGGGGTAAACGGACGAAAGCGACTGGGTGGTCCCAACGATAGCCTCGTTCACGGCATAGCCGACGCCGACTAGGCCGTACGAGATATCCGTACGCTTGCCGAGGCCCATCGTCACGTTCTTCAAGGTGGCACCGCCAATCTCAAAGACGTCAGTGAAATAGTCGCCCTTGGAAGAGCTCCCATCCACGTACTCAATGTCGAACTGGCCCTTCCCCACGACCTTGAAGGAGTTTGACCGCGCGGGGTCGACTAGTAGCATGTTAGTGGACTTTCCTTCTCCAGAGCGAGGCGAGCCAAGACCAAGACTCACAAGTTCCTAACGAGCAGCCCTCGGTGCCGGCCTGCCTGCACACCTGTGCCTCGGAATCCGGAACCCAAATGTCGCTGCTCCCGGTGTCGAGCTGCAGCGTTAGGTCCTGGCCCGGCGTCCCTAATCTGCACGTGGCGAAGTATCCTCCTCTCGCCTGCTCGTTCGTGACAACCTCTTCAAAGGTGCCGCCGTCGCGCCTCCCCAGTCTTCGGAACTCCTCGCGCCGTTGCGTCCGCTGAATGTCCCATTGAACCACACCATTCCCGGTTCCGGATGACGTCGATGCCTGTACTGCGCCAGCGGCAAGCGCGCTGAGCGCTACCGCATTGTGACTCCTCATGTTGTCGTAGTGTGATGTTCAACCGCCGTAATTGTAACCGCAACCGCAACACAAAACGGAAAACTGTCGATGAGCGGGATCCGGGGGAAAAACGAGTGCCCGGAAAGCGGGTGGGTGTGGAGTGCTTCAAATGAGCACGAAGAATGATCCCAACCGCCAAGACTTGGAAATGCGGTTGGCAAGGAACAGCAGAAGGCAGTTACACCGAGTCCAAATATAGTAAACAATGCCTGATCGGGGGAAGCCAAGCTGAAAAGGAAGAACAGAGGTGTGAGAAGAGAAAGGAGAAAGGAGAAACGAAGGTTCTTCGAAGGAAGAGAGGGACAGGCAACGGGCAAAGAGGGAAACCAGCATACACTCGTCACCGGGCTGACAGAAAGAAAACACAGCCACTTGGATGAGGAAACAGTGATGGAAAGTGGGCAAAAAGGGAAATGGGGCCAAGCATTGGCGTTCGGGGAAAACTTGTTGAAACGAGCGAGGTGTGAGCGCGCCAAGGGGCCGAGCAGGCGCCTGGATGCGAGGAAACACCACGCAATATGAAACTCCTACCTGTCTATTGAAGCGCTAGGACCTAGAATATGCTTGTTCAACAACGGACATGCTTGTCGTGTTCTGCGTTTTGCCCCCCCGCGCTTTATGCTGGGGTTAGCCGCCAGTTTTACATCTGCTACGCGCGATTCAAGTCGCCGCAGAGCCGCGAACAACCCGGAGATTCCTGCAGGTGACGCGGCTGACGCCACAGCCCAGATTTCTAGAAGTCAACCGACCCACCCACTAACGTTAAGGCGACATGCATCTATCCGATCCTTTGGTTGCATTTTACGGGGCTTTTGTATTAAATGAAGTGTGCTATGTACATAAGGTACAGGACTTGACGATCAACAACTACCACCATTTGTACTCTCAAGCCACTCATCTCACCTCAAATTCTCGTCGACATACTCTCCGAGCCTCTTCAGCCCTTCGACCAATACCTCTGTCTCACACACGTACCCTATCCGCACAAACCCCCGGAAGTCCCCCCCCCTTCCAAAGCAAGGAGCCGCCGGCACAAACATTACATTCACCCTATTTAAGACATCCTTTGCAAACTCTTCATCTTCCACCCATTCACCTTTTCGGTTGCGGAATCCCACCAAAGCGGTCGTCCCCGCCGTCGGTCGCACCCAACTACATACCTCCCCATACTTTTCCACGAACTCGGCCAAGAGGCCCAGGTTCTTCTTCGCCAGCGCCATATTTCGCGCCAGCAGGGGGCGAACGACTGGCGGCGAGAGCGCATAGCTTGCGACGCGGTCGTCAAGCTGCGAGACGGAAATGGTTGTGTAGTGGCGTACGGCTGCGCCAGATTCGATCAGGCTCCGGTCGCGCGAGGCCAGCCAGCCGGTGCGAATGCCGGCGAGAGAGAAGGCCTTGGACATGGAGCCCGTGGCGATGGTGTTGGGATAGCCGAGGGCAAGGATGGATGGGGGTCCAGAAGATGGAGATGATGATGGCAGTGAGTGGTAGAGCGGGGAATAGACTTCATCAGAAAGAATGATGATGTTGCGCTGCTGGGCGAAGGCCACGATTTGGGTCAATACCGTGGTCGGGATCGTGGCGCCTGTTGGGTTGTTGGGGTTGTTGATGACGATGAGCTAGGAGGCATTGGGTGTGAGCGATTCGTGTCCGAGTCTGATTCAAAGGGGATGGGGGACACATACCTTCGTGTTGCTCTTGACTAACCCTTCCAGCTCGTTCACATCGGGCACATAGCCGTTTTCTTCCTTCAGCTTCCATAGCGACACTTCCGCTCCGAGGCTCTCCGGCACGGAGTATAACTGCTGGTAGGCGGGATACACGCAGATGACGTGGTCGCCAGGCCCAACTAGTGTGTACAAAGCCAGAAAGTTTGCCGAGATCGCCCCCTGCGTAACCAAGACGTTGTCGGCAGGGAGAGGCTCGGCCGCTGACTCCCGGTCATACAAGGCCGCAATGCGCTCGCGGAGTGTTTCCGAGCCGCGAATGGCACCATAGGTGAGTTTATCGGAGGATGAGAAAGGGCCAGGCGCGTCCTTATCCTCGCAAAGACGCACCAGGTCGTCCACCGAGACAGAGGCAGCACATGTCTCGGCGATGTTGAGGACGTTTGGTGTGGTCTCGAACCGGTCCATCCAGTCCTCGACGGCGAACGACTCGATCTTGACCATGTCGGGCAACCTCTATGGATGGGGATATAATAATGAACTGCAATGCGTATGGTATTTTGCGTTCTGAAGGGATGGAGATTGAGACTGCCCCAAAAACTCGTCTTTTATAAACCGCCTGTAGATAGCCTGAGGTGGGGTTTTGGTACGCCCTCCTGGCAACATGAAGTCTCCGCACACCTGACACAGAGAATGCTCCTCCTCTCCTCTACGCTTCAAAGTCAACCGCTACTTGAAGGAGGGTCGAGAAAATAGTCACACCAAGACCTGCAATTGCACTAAATGAATAGAGGTATTCGTTGGTCACGCTTTTCGATTCCTGTTGTAAGAGATACAGTGAACGGGTTACCAGATAGGACAGAACTGGTAGTACAAATGTCGAGGTTGAGGGTTAGGTGTGCCTGTGAGCTCCCAGTAACTAAATACCTAACTAACCCCTTTCCAAGCAAGGTTCTCCACAGCAGGCCGTTCCTGCTAGGGCCATGCTGCACACCCCTGAACATCACGGCTCCAGTTAGTGTAATTGGCGGCCCCACAGCGACATCATCAGGTGCGAGAACAGCCACTCACCTCCGCCGAGCAACAAACGGCTCAGGTCGGTCAACCAGGCCACGAACCACCAAGCAGCCTCGGGACAATCACCGCCTTTGCGTAGCTTGTTGTCTTCATCTTCAACCTTGGCAGTCCTCTTCTACCTGGTGTTGTTAATATTCTCTTTCCCCATTTCTGGGGTCCGCCCATTTAGCACACTCTTTTTAAATTGATTTCCAGGCTTGTTTGTCAGCCCTTGTACTCGCCGTCTAGCCTAGCGCAAACGTCTCGTGAAAGCGCGATCGAGGTGTTGAGTCGAGGTGTTGCGTGCGCCTGTGTCTCCCGCCTCTCGCGCGCGCGTTGCCGATTCGGACCATCGAGCTTCCTGTATTGCGCCGTGGAGTAGGTGTTGTTTCCGCCGTGGAGTTGGTCACAGACCTAGGGTTCCGGCACAGCACTCGCCGAGCCGTTTCCCATTCCCGGCCCTTACATAAACGCCAACTTGCAGCCCCCAACTTCCCAATCAAAGCTTCCGATTCCTTTCCCCTTCGATCCCGTACCGTCCCATCGCCGAGGCCATTTCACGATCCATTGTTACTCGACGACTCCCCCGATTGCCCATCATGGCGCTCCGCCTGCGACGCGCAGTAGCCCTAGCCGCGCTGTCGTTGTCATGTGTCGCCTCAACTTCCCAAGGCTCCCATAGCTACACATCCGCCGAGATGATGCAAGCACGGTTGGCCCTGATGGAGGAAAGGCCACCAGACTGCCCGCCTTGGTATGAGCAACCCAACCACCATTGCGAGCTATAATATGTATCGGCACACTGACGCTTGTCTCCCACCAGCTTCGACTGCAACCTCCCCATCAACTCTTGCGGCCAGTACGCACCGTGCAACAACTATAGCGGGAAATGTGACTGCCCAGAGGGCTTTGGCGGTGACAACTGTCTCGAACCTCGTACGTGCATCCCATCATCCGCTGTTTTGTCCCCATTCCAGGAATTTTGTTGAGGAACACAACTAACTGTTCGCCCGCTCATCACAGAATGCGGCTCCTTGCCCCGCGGCCGCAACCGCCCGACCAGGCAGGGCAAGTCTTGCGAGTGCGACGAAGGATGGACGGGCATCAACTGCAACATGTGCACGAGCGACCGGGCATGCGATGCCATGACGGAAACGGGCGATGGTGGTGTCTGCTACACCGGTGGTGAAGTGGTGAAGCAGAACTACCAGATGTGCGACGTCACGAACAAGGCGATCCGCGATCTCCTGGGAGCTCAGGTGCCTCAGGTCACCTTCACCTGCGACAGGAGCTCGGGAGAATGCGACTTCCAGTGTGCGTACTGAATTCCGCCCCATTTATGTCTGTTCCATTTTCGATTTTCCCACTGCTAACCACATCAATGCCTCCTTAGTCTGGGTCGACGAACGCGAATCCTTCATGTGTCACCTCAACGAGTGCGATTCGAGCGCCGACTTCAACGGTAATGGGGGTAAGAATGCGACCTCCTACAAATGCGACAAGATCCGCTGCGAGTGCATCCCCGATCGTATGCTCTGCGGCGAGAACGGCTCGGTCGATCTCGGCGAATTCCTCGAAAAAGAAATCCGCGGCCCCGCCAAGTTCGAATGCACACAACTCCCGGGCGGGCCTAAGAATTGCGCGTTTGAGGAGCCCCAGATGAACGACCTGATCAGCCAGGTGTTTGGCGACTCGAGCATTCTCTTGACTTGCGGCGCGGGAGAGTGCCTGTACCACACCGAGGTGCCCGGGTTCGCTCCCCAGGTTCCCAAGATTAACACCCCGCTCATCGCTGGTGTCATCGCCGGGTGCTCGCTCTTCTTGGTAGCAGTCATTCTCGGCACGTGGTATCTGTCCAGGAGGAAGTTCAAGTACAGCGTCATCGCCATGGACGACTCGGACGACGAAGCTGTCAAGCTCATGACTGACCACAAACCCGCATCGTTGTACTTTCAGAATGTATGCTACAACCTCAACGGCAAGACCATCCTAAACGGGATTCAGGGCATTACTCACCCCGGTGAAATCACCGCTATTATGGGCGCTTCCGGTGCGGGCAAAACCACGTTTTTGGATATCCTCGCCCGCAAAAACAAGCGCGGCCAGGTCTCGGGCGAGTTTTACGTCAACGGCGAGAAGGTTAGCGATACGGACTACAAGAATGCGACCGGCTTCGTCGACCAGGAAGATACCATGCTGCCCACCCTAACGGTCCACGAGACCATTCTTACCAGCGCCCTTCTTCGTCTCCCTAGGGACATGACCCGTCCGGCCAAGGAACAGAGAGTATTTGAGGTCGAGAAACAGCTAGGCATCTACCACATTCGGGATTCTCTGATCGGGTCTGAAGAGGGCAAGGGGCGCGGGATTTCGGGAGGCGAGAAACGCCGTGTCAGCATCGCTTGCGAACTCGTCACCAGCCCGTCTATCCTCTTCCTCGATGAACCCACCAGCGGTCTCGACGCCTACAACGCCTACAACGTGGTCGAATGTCTTGTCACACTGGCCAAGACGTACAAACGCACAGTCATTTTCACGATCCATCAGCCCCGGTCCAACATTGTCGCCCTCTTCGACCGCCTGATCCTGCTGGCCCAAGGAAAGACAGTTTACTCCGGCCCGCTGCACCAGTGCCAGGATTACTTTGACCATATCGGATACAGCTGCCCTCCCGGTTTCAACATTGCCGACTACCTTGTCGACCTGACCATGCACGCCGGTTCCACGACCTCGTTTGATGACGGCGATTTCTCAGCTGAGGTGGCGAGTGTTGGTCCTTCAAGCACGAGGGCAGTCAAGTCGATCGCGAGCATCGCTGGGACAAGCATCGGTGAGGAGAGCGCCGTTGAAGGATCGTCGGTCCGTCCAAGGGGCAAGCGTCGGGATTCTGTTCGTGTCCGGCAAGAGAGGGAGCTGTACACCCGCCGCAAACCCGTCGACACGGCCGCCTCCTCAGATGCGGGTGACGAACTTGGAGCTTATAAGCTGCAAAAGACGCCCCATCGTGTGCCGGCACACGAGGCCCGTGAAGATGGCGATGAACATGATGAACACGATGACTTGCTCCCCGCCGCGCCGACCGGTACCGACCTAGACATTCTCGTGGAGTCCTACGCTCAGTCCGACATTGCTGGGAACACCCACGATGAAATCCAGCAGTCCATCGCCAGTGCCGCCAACAGCAACGGCCAAAACGCAGCGTCCAATGGCTACACCCCAGATGGCCCCAATATCCACATCGCTAACGGAGGCGCGATGGGCCGTGGCTATACCCGTATCGGTTACTTGCGCCAATTCGCCCTTCTGTCCCAGCGCACCTGGCGTAATTTGTACCGCAACCCGATGCTGATGCTCACGCACTACGCCATCGCCATTGTCCTGGCCGTCTTTGCCGGCTACCTCTTCTACGGCTTATCCATGGACATCGCCGGCTTCCAAAACCGTCTTGGTCTTTTCTTTTTCGTTCTCGCGCTCTTCGGCTTCAGCACACTGACCACCCTGTCCGTCTTTTCGCAAGAGCGGCTACTCTTTGTCCGCGAGCGCGCCAATGGCTACTACTCGCCCGTCACCTACTTTGCCGCAAAAGTGCTGTTCGACATTGTCCCGCTGCGCATCATTCCTCCCATTCTGTTGGGTGCCATCGTTTACCCGATGACGGGCCTGGTCGCCGAGACGGACAAATTCTTCGTATTCATGCTGGTCTTGGTGTTGTTCAACCTCGCGGCAGCCGCCATCTGTCTCTTCATCGGCATCGTCTGCAAGGATGGCGGTGTCGCCAACTTGATCGGCAGTCTGGTCATGCTTTTCAGCTTGCTGTTTGCCGGTCTGTTGCTCAACCACAATGCGATCCCGCCCGCCGCACTGTGGCTGCAGTGGCTGTCCATCTTCCACTATGGGTTTGAGGCGTTGATCGTCAATGAGGTGACGCATTTGACGCTGATTGATCACAAGATCGGCCTTGATATCACGGTGCCAGGTGCCGCAATTTTGAGCTCGTTTGGGTTTGATAACCAGGCGATGTGGCCCGATATCATCAACCTCGGTATCTTTGGTGCCATCTTTATTGTATTGGCGTATGTGGCGATGCATGTGTTATTGGTAGAGAGGAGGTAATTTTGTTTCCTAGCTATTCATCTTCAAGGGTCATATTATTTGGGTCGTCGGCATGAGAGGAGAGAGAGATAAGGGTGCCTGTTGATTTCCTTGTATCATATGTTCCGGGTCCAATTCAGGGGGGTCTAGGCGGGGAAGAGATGGTGGACAAGCTGGGAACTGGAGTTTTGGAGTCTCTTACATGTCTCGCACCACACGAGCAATCTTATCTACGTAGTCTACACGCAACGTAACCGTGAGCCGTACATACACCAATAACTGGGCACTTATTATGTAGAATACAGAACATTTGCAATGCATATATGTGGGCAACCGTTTGCGACCCTCGCACCGGTCACTTTTCTATTTGTACAGATTCACGCGGTATACCTGACGCCCAGCTACCTAGACCCAGCCGCATGCCGTTTTCATACATCGGGCCGTCTCTCCCAGCTGGCTAAAAAGCCAACAACGACCGCCGGAACCTCAATCTCAGCTCCTTCGTGCTCCCTAGACTTCCACACGCGCCACTGACTCGATACCGGTTTTCCCCCTTTCCTGTTCACAGTTTCCCGCCAGTCAGCTCCTCGGCCACCGTCTTCTGTCGCTCTAGAGTCCGGTTGGCCGCACTCCTCTTCGTGGTGTCCGTATCAAAGCCCTTGCCCGTGGCGCTGTTCAGGTTGGCACGCAGATCACCGGTGCTGACCGGTGCGCTTCTACTGTCCCAGATACTCACACCGCTGTTGTGAGAGCCCATGTTGTGGTAGCGAGGGGTGAAGATGTTCTCAATACGCTCCTCGAGCGCGGCCTCGTCAACAATAAAGTCGCGCGCGGCCACGTAGAGCTGTGCCAGCGCGTCGCGCTGCTCTTCCTCCTTGGCCGCCATGCGCGCCGCATGCCGTGCCCGTGCCGCTTCCGCCTTTTCGAACCGCTCCGGATCCGGCAGCACTGCCGTTTGCAGCGCTGTTGCTGCTCGCACCGTCGGCCGCGTCAGGATGTCATCCAATCGCTCGGGCGCCATCGCCGCGGCCTTGTTGGCCGCCCAGATCCGGCTCCCACGGGCCCGTACAATCCCTTCCCGCCTCTTCTTGCGTGCGTAGAGGTCCTGCAGACCCGAAGCCATGGCCTCGCGCCTGGCGGCCGCGAACACGCGATGGCGGGCTTCTTCCTCCGACCGCGGCGGTTTTCCGGCAGCTTCGGACTTGGACAGCGGGTTGGCGGCTTTGGTAAATTCCGGCTTGGCTTTGCGGTTGCCGTCACGCTTGGGGAAGAGGTCGCGCGGAATCGGGAGGTGGCCGCGGACGCGGGGTAGTTTTTGTTCCGAGGCCTGTGGGGGCTCAGGCACGCGGATGTATTTCGGGGACTCGGGTGGGATGGTGATGCCTTGGGCAGCGGTTGGTGTGGTGCTGAAATTTCGCCATTGAGCTGCTGTGTATGGTGGCGTCGCCGTCGTCGTCGCCTTCGTTGTTGTTGAGATGCGGCATGAAGAGAAGGCCGCTTGAAGGCTGCCTATTGACGGCCGTGCCAGTTGTGAGGCCATTTCTTGATGGTTTTAATGGCCGAACAATTGCCAACTCCGCGTAACCGCAAGGCTATTCCGGACGTAACGGCAGTAAGGGAGGTGCAACTCGTGGCGGAGATGTTGTCTCAAACCTCTTCCCGAGAAGAGGGGGACCTCTGTTCCTCAAAGTTGGAATTTGTGAACGAGGCCATTTGCAAGGACCTTGATCGCGCTAGTCCCAGACAGGAAAGGCGCAGCGTACCTTGCACGGTTATGCCGCTTAACACCGCCAAATTTTCCCGGGTTCTGAAGAGACTTTGGGAAGCTCCACCCCGCTAAAAACTTCATTTGGCCTAGTTCTGCTCTTCAATTCCATTCCTCTCGAACTTCTTTTTCTCCCCGTCTTCCACAACAGCTTCCCCCGGTGGAAGACCGCTGCAATTGATCCATTGCAGACGGGGATATATAATACCCCCTTTTCTTTCATTTACATCAATCCACGTCCGTTTGGTGTCAATCAATCGCCAAGATGGGGACCGGTAAGCCGTTTTCTCCCCGCCCATCTGTCGCATCGCCATCGCGGCCAGTCAATTCAGTGAATTAACATACATGCGCAGGAAAAAAGGAACGGTCCCGCATCGAGCGGCAGGGGAAGGTGAAGGGTGATCCCAAGGTTAAGGGCGAGAACTTCTATCGCTCGGCCAAAAAGATCAAGACCCTGAACATGTACAAGGATGGCAAGGCTACCCGCAACAAGGAGGGCAAGGTGGTCCAGGCCGCCTCCTACCAGAGCAAGGAGGTTCCCAAGGCGGTCGTCGAGCCGAACCGGAGGTGGTTCACCAACACGAGAGTCATCTCCCAGGACACCCTTAAATCATTCCGGGAGGCCATCGCCGAGAAGGAGAAGGACCCATACTCGGTTCTGCTGAAGAGCAACAAGCTTCCCATGAGCTTGATCCGGGACGGGCCGAGTCTCCAAGATGGGCTGAAGAAGCACCAGGCGAAGATGACGATTGAGAGCGAGCCTTTCTCAGAAACCTTTGGGCCCAAGGCCCAGAGGAAACGGCCAAAACTCAGCTTCAACACCGTCGACGAGCTAGCCGGCTACACCGAGGACAGCCTTGACTCGTACCAGGCCCGCTTAGAACAAATCAAGCTGCTCAATGGTGCGGCGGGATCTGCGGCGACAGATGGTGATGAACTGGTGGAGGAAGACTTCAGCGTTGCGACTGCGAAGGAAGCCATCTTCTCTAAGGGGCAATCCAAGCGTATCTGGAACGAGCTGTGTACGTTGTTGCCTATCGCGATGGTCTTTTATTTTGCCTTGCTAACCCGCCCACAGACAAGGTTATCGACTCATCCGATGTCATCCTTCACGTAATAGACGCCCGCGACCCGTTGGGGACAAGATGGTATGCGCGCCCGATACAAAACCTTCGTTTGACGCCCAGACTAATCCTTTCGCAGTCGGCACGTTGAAAAATACCTAGCCACTGAAGCCCCACACAAGCACCTCGTCTTCGTCTTGAACAAGATCGACTTGGTGCCCTCGAGCACAGCGGTAAGCGCCCTTACATTCCATTTTTTCCACCCACACCCACGCCAGGCTTTGCTTGGCCCCAGGGCTTTCGTCAGGATCTTTCCGCATTGCTGTGCACAAATCATGGAATCCATCCGTTACATCCCTGGGAGAGCGATCTCCACTTCCAACTTCCTTGATCTGGTCATCAGATTGAGGATTGACAGGGCTCCGTTTTGGGGTCCTATCGCCGGATACCGGACGTGTTTCATACGAGTTGAAGGCCGCTACTGTCCGTTCTGGGCAGCGCGTGGCTGTCTTCTTAGTGATGATTCATACATACCAAACCACCACCGCAGAATTACCAGCGAATGTTTGTGGTTCAGTTACTAACTAGAGTAACAGGCCGCCTGGATTCGTGTACTCCAGAAAGACCACCCGACCTGCGCTATGAGGTCAAGCATCAAGAACCCCTTCGGCCGCGGCTCCTTGATCGATCTTTTGAGGCAGTTCAGCATCCTCCACAAAGATCGGAAGCAGATCAGCGTCGGTTTGATTGGTTACCCCAATGTCGGCAAGTCCAGTATTATCAACGCGCTCCGTGGCAAGGCTGTCGCTAAGGTGGCACCCATTCCGGGTGAAACCAAGGTGTGGCAGTACGTCACACTGATGAAGCGGATTTATCTTATTGATTGCCCGGGTATCGTCCCACCAAACCAGAACGATACCCCGCAGGATCTTCTCCTCCGGGGCGTCGTCCGTGTTGAAAACGTGGAGCATCCCGAGCAGTATATTCCCGCCGTGTTAAAAAAGGTCAAGACACACCACATGGAGAGGACGTATGAGCTCAAGGGCTGGAAAGACCACATCGAGTTTCTCGAGCTTATGGCCCGGAAGTCCGGCCGGTTACTGAAGGGCGGTGAACCAGATGTCGATGGTGTTGCCAAGATGGTTCTCAATGACTTCATGCGTGGCAAGATCCCCTGGTTCACGCCAGCCCCGGCGATGGAGGGAGGAGACGACGCAGTCGTTGAAGGCAGACAGGGGCGCTTTGGCGAGATGCCTCTCAAGCGGAAACGCGATGATAACGAGAGCGTCGCCGGCACCACGTTGACTGGTTCGACCGCCGCAGCGGAGGACGATGAGGACAATGAAGATGAGGAGGAGGATGAAAACTTCTCGGGATTTTCGAGTGATAGTGACTCAGAGGAAGAGGACGGGCCCAACGCAGAAGCCGAGGCAGGAGGTGGAGCAGATATGATACCCCTAGGTGATTCGAGTGACGAAGAGGATGAGGAGGACTCCGAAGATGAACAAGGTTCGGGAGAAGACGACGACGAAGCGGATGACGAATCCGATCTCGACATCGAGGGTGCCAGCGATGTGCTCCCATCGGAGGACGAGTCGGATCCACCCGTCCAGAAGAAACGGAGGAAGGCGAGGTAGTCGTCGTCCAGAAGAATGTAATGTCCAAAAAGACCATGCATGGTCTCAAAACACAATGTGCCCACGGACGCGCCACGCTCGTGATATGTTTGCAATGTTTGCCCTTTCAGTGTCTCGATCCCTTCCCCGTCGTCCGCCATCCGCGTCGTCATGGACAGCACGTTAAGACTTCGCAGAAACAAGGGACCGAGCCGCGCATGCTTGAGCTACTCCGGATTCATTCGGATGCTACCGCCCAGTTACACAACACAGATGCCTCGATTAGGTCCCGGAGGCCATTCCCTGGTCTGCCTTGTCTTTGTCCTGCGCTCCGCAGGGCCAGAGCCGGCGACGGATGGGACACGAGGTAAGCTTCGGCTCAGATCCGGTCACCGCAAACTGCAACCACTCGACATCTTCGTCAAAAATAGGTGTACAGGATTTCGGATGCGTCCAGGCCCGCTTGCAGTTTTGCAAGAGCACAGCATTGGCCCCATTGCACGATATAAAATGGGGTGTTCCCCGGCTTGAAGACCCGAACATATTGACGATTCCCCAGCGTCAACAGCACAGACAAAGAAGCTACCAGCCCATTACAGCCTATCAAAACAACACCTCACAATGATCCCCTTTCTTGCTGCTCTTGTCCTCCTTGTTGGAGCGATAGCGCCAGCCCTCGCTCACTCCCAGTCTCAGCTTCGATCCCTACCCGATGACGATACCTCTCAATACTGTGTCTTCACGCTTGCCTCCAATAACTTGATCCTCGGTCAGATTGAAGGCGGTCAAGTGGTTGGAATCTCCCAGTCCGCGGCCGAATCTAAGTCCAACTCGAGCTCGGGAGGCGGTGGGGACGGCAGCTCGGGGACCATCTTTTTCCTAAGGGGTGAGGGACTTTACGATTTTGCCATGAGAGGGTGCTGGTGGCCGGGTAAGCGTCTCCTGAGAAACCATGTGCAATCTCAACATGTTATTTTGCTTGCGTCTACGCTTCATTATTCTAAATCAGAGATATCTCTCCCGTTCTCCCCGTATCTCCCACCCCCTTCTAACGCTGTGTTGCATTTCTCCTTCGGTCCTGACCGGCTAACGTAAACAGAGCCATCCACCGTCCTCGTCTGTTCCCTCCAGCCGCCCGCCTACCCGGACCCGCTCTTCCATCTTGACGAGAGCGGCCAGCTCGTCTACAACCATACCCGACGCGAGTTCTGGGCGTGTCCCGTTGCCACGGGCGATGCCGACGACAATACACACATATGGTCCTACTACCTCAACCTGCCAGAGGGCCGACAAGCTGGTGCCCATGGAGAAGAGGTGTGCAGGGCAGCGAGGTTTGACGCGGGGGTGATGAACCAAGTTGTCTGTCAGCTCCCCAGTGTCTCTTCTGGGTCACCTTCTGTATCTTCGTCTTCTTCCTCTGTTTCCTTTCCCTTCTCTTCTGTGTCTCCCTCCTCACATGCCTCAACCCGAGCTACTCCAATCTCGCTGTCAGCATCAAGGTCACCACCATCCCCATCATCCTTGACACAGTCTTTAACCAACACTAGGAAGAACGCCGATTCAGAGACGAATACGGAATTCTGGGAGGTGGTTACCGTTACGTCGTCGGTGCCAGCAGCGTTTACAACGGTTACGGTCACACGTGGAAGTTAAATCCGATAGCTGTCTTCTAATGTACTAGCCTAAATTTGTTTCTTAATTTACCAGATCCCAAGAATCGACATCTGGAAAATAAGACACTGGGAACTACTCTTCTAGAATCCAGCCCATCAATGATGGCCATGCAACACCCTGTACTCGAGGCATGAAGAAAACTCTTAGACTCAACCATGTTGTTTCCTGTTTGGCTTTCGGCAAGCCCACATTCATCCTATTTGGCATGGTTGTAACCTTTGCCCCTAACACAACATACAAAACAATGAAACAGTTTTGCGTCCAGCTTGTTACTTTTATGGTATTTCACCTGCTCGCTGTCTCTAATGCGATCACAGGGAGGCCAGATCAATCTAATTTACAAGATTACAATATAACCAACAGGAAACGACAAGTCACAGACTAAGAAACCTCGTGGGGTAATAGTTTTGGATGGGACAAACAACACATTGTTCTCAAACCAGCGCTCCCCATAATGTGGCTGAAAGACCTAGGGGAATAAATACTTGACCATGAAGCGAATGAGAAATTCTGGGTAAACTTATCTTGTAAATATATGTGTAGATTGCTAGCCTTCTACCAGTCGACGTTTATTAAGAGCGAAGCTCAGTTTAAGAATCCGTAAGAAGTAGGTCCGTAAACATCACGCGGCTTCTTAATTATCATCACTAATGATACAAACCAGATCCTAAGACTCTAAACTCTCAACATGGGCAGCATCATCTCCAAAGTCCGACTACGATCTAAGCCCAAGAAACAGCGGCAAAAAGAGCCATGCAGTCTCAGAGCTCAAAGGTCTCCCAGCAATACCTTAGCACCGACACAGGACGAGTTAGACTCCAACAACGGTAATGATTGCAACAGCGGGACATCTTCTGACGGATCGACCATCGAGGGGCAAGTGTTGAGAAACAGTCACTACAGTCGAAAATACGACGAGTCAAAGTCAGTGTTGGAGAACAGACGACCAGAGCTTTATCGAAGTATGTTTAGGCGTGGACGTTCTGGTGGGACAGCTCTGGGAACGTCAAGAACGGCTAATCTTGAATAACTTATTACACGACCGAATTTCAACGGAAATATATGATGACCATACGCCCCGTATGCTTTCTGGCGTAGAAATATACTCTTGGGTTCTGCATATTCACATGTATTAGCAATGGCAAGCCTAGATCAGGGGTTCCAACATTTGTACCCGGTGAATAAGTTCTGAAGTCCACAACCTGTCCGGCTGGTTTCTAGCCGGCAGTGAGGTCCCTAAATATGTATTTCATTAGAAGTCGTTCTCTACTAGTACGGATATCGGGTGTTTTCATGATGTAAGGGGCCTGGGTCGTACTTGTCGTAACCAAAGCTCTACCCCCTGCGATTGCCATTTTTAGGAAAGTTTCTAAGAAGCAACTTCTCAAATAAACTAGAAGCTGAGACCTTGCGATTCAATTTTGCAAAGTAGCAAGGGGTATCAAATAGCAGCCATAGAACCCAGTCTCCCCATCCTACCCGAAGTATCTCACAACCGTTCCGGAGGTTCAAGCCGGCTCAATCAGGATTCCGCTTGGTGCAATGCGCGCCCGGCCCCTCCTCCCCCACTTTCTTCAAAAACCCATGCTGCTATTGTTGAGTAAGCTTCTCATCGATCGCATCATCGGGAGTAACGTTGTCGAACACCTGCGGTCAGGTATAAAATCTTGGACCCTCCCATTTTGAGACCTCACCTCTTGACAACAAACACGCCACGCCTCGTCTGTGTCTCTTTTCCCCGGATTTCACAGTCTCAACTTCCAGCAATATACAAATTCCCAACTCACAATATACAACAAACCAAAGGACACAAAATGGCCGTCCCACCTAAATTCGCCGGGCATCGCCTCGTTTTCCCCTCTCACCAAAGCAATGCTCAAGCCCCCTTCGAAGTACCCCTCCACACTTTGGAATTCTACATTGACTACGTCTGTCCTTACTCTGCCAGTATGTGCCTATGCTCATCCCCCCATCTATCTCTAACCATGCCCTTCGACACGTATCAGCTATACGTTTTTCCTTTCATAACCAATCCTCACAGAACTCTTCAAGTCCCTCACTAGCAACGTCCTCCCGTTCCTTCGCACCAACCCGGAGTACGGCAACAAAGTCCAGCTGATCCTGCGACCACAAATCCAGCCATGGCACCCGTCCTCAACCCTAGTCCACGAGGCCGCACTCGCCGTACAGCGGATCCTCAGCGACAAGGCGCCCGATCAATTCTGGAATTTTGCGCAACGGCTGTTCCAGGACCAGGCCGCCTACTTTGACGAGGCCGTCGTGGACGAGACGCGCAACGACACGTACCGACGCCTAACCAAACTCGCCGAGGAGACGGTTGCTATCGATGCGGGCGAGGTGTTTAAGCTGTTGCAGATCAGCGGCAAGGAGAAAGAGGAGGCAGCCAGGAATGCGGGCAATGCCGTGACCGCGGATGTGAAGTACATTGTCAAGACGGCTCGGCTAACGGGCGTGCATGTCACGCCGACAGTGTTGTTCAATGGGGTGGTGGCGAACGAGATTAGCAGTAGCTGGGGCCCAACTGAGTGGCTGAAGTATTTGCAGGAGAACATCGTCTAAGGAGGTAGAAGAGCTCTGGAACCAGGAGGATGATTCGGGTGGATCGGGGGAAGAAGGGGAAATGCCTAGTTAGAGTGTTGCCTGTTATAAGAAGAGCTCAGTATGCCCCTCCGTACGTCTGGTCTCGTCATGTCTTTTGCTTGCACTTCTGGGGCCAAACGCGCGCTTCATGTTCATTTCACACCTACTACCTCTCTCTCCTTATCCATCCCACTCTATGTGCGATTATGCCGATGATGCAGAACAGAACGGACTCGAATAGCCAGAGCCAGAAAGTCAAGAGAGAATAAAAAACACATGCCTTGAGATGTAACCGTGACACCTTGACACCGCGATCTCTAGATAAGAGCGTAAAACAAGAAGATATAAAGAGCAAGGATAAAACAGACTCAGGAGAGGACAAAACATGAGGGGGCGTGAAGGATGGTGGGTATATTTACACACAGGGAACCGACCACCAGAATAGGTTGGCGGAAACTGGGTTGATTTGGGCCCCTTACAAGCGGTCGAGCTTGCGGCGCTCATTCCGCGTCTTCTTCATCAGCTTCTTGTACTTCTTCTTCTTCATGCGCAGCTTGCGCTGGCGGCGCACGCTGATGGCCTGCATAGTGAGGCCCTTCTGGCGACAGTACTCATCGTAGCGCAGCTGGCGCAACGCCATGCGTTCCAGGAATGACTGTGGCTGCCCGGGCTCTTCAATCGCGCTGGTTAGGCTGTCCATGCCTTCCTCCACCAGTTCCGGGCTGTGCGCCACGACCTTGACCTGCCCTTCCGCATCGACAGTCTCCTCGATAGTCACCATGGCCTTATACACTCGTGTCTGTCCGTCAGCGGCGGACTCTTCGGCGAGTGCGTTGTTAGTAGCGGCGGTGGTAGAAGAGGAGGCTACGCTGTCACTAGCGGCGTTGGTGTTTTCGGTGTTCGCGTTGGTAGCGTTGGACGCGGTCTCGCTGAGCGGGCGGGGCGCTGGGGGTGGCGCATAAGGCAGGTACTGGCCGGCGAGCGGGTTGAGTTGAATGTGCAGGTTGGTCTCAGAACCGTCGGGGTGCTTGAGGCTGAGGCGGGTGGTGCCGTCCTCAGAAGCAACGGCGTCCTGAGCGGACCGCGAGGTCTTGTCCCCACTGCCACCCATGTTCATCCTCGACAGGGGCTCTTCGAGGTCAGACACCGTCTGCGATAACGTCGACAGAACATCGGCGGCCCGGTTGTTGCGGGAGCGGGTCGCGAAGATCTTGGCGAAGACATCGTCAGAAACGGTCCGGGGCATCAGTTGGGTGACGGAGATGGGTCGGTGGAGGGCGAAGAAGGCGGAGAGGGCGAGACCTGAAGGGTTGAGGGGTCAGCTTATCTGCATTCCCCTGAGGGAAGGAAAACCCTTATCGTGGGCTGTGGTGAGTGGAAAACTAACCTTCATCCCCAATATGTCCGGTACTGGGCACACTAGGCGGTTGAGGGGCCTTGGACTTAGCCTTAGACTTCTCTGATTTAGAGCCTCGTGACGTGGGAACTGGCCGAGCGGTGATGTCTTTGGGGCCGTTATCCGGGCTCGACGGTTTTGACGATGAGTAGCGGCGCTGTTGAAGACCGCTGGGTCGGTATGTGATGCCACAAGCAGCGGCAGCAGCGCGGGAGACGGTCGAGGCCAAGGTCGAGGCAGTGGGTGATTGAGGCGCCGTAGCGACGGCTCGTCGGACAGACGGGGGCAGCATCGTGACAATGTGCCGCCTCCAGGCGAGGGAGCAAAACGCACACAAAAGAGGCGGGGTCGGTAGGTTCAAAAAGGATCGTCCCGAAATCCTATTCTGGTGGATATCGCAGTGATGGGGTGTGCACAGCGTGCAGGTCGACAAAACCAACGTCGTGGGAACGATGATTTGAGGGTCGCAGGTTGAGCCCAGTCACTCGTGGTTTTGAAAATCAACGCCTCGCCAGAGTTCGCCTGGTTTGAAGAAGTCCTTGTTGGCCGTTTTCGCCGCGCTAAAATGGATCGCCCGAGGCTTGGCGTGGGACGTACCTTTGTGCTTGGTCCGTGCGTCCAGGTCGTCCTGTGTGAACTGGGCGTTCTGCTGCAAATCTTTACTATGTAAGCTCGGCTACTTTTTCCGTTTTGTTGTCAAACTTGGTATCGCTTTAAACCTTTCGTTCCTTCTCTTTCACAATGTACAACGCCTCTCTCAACCTAGGCCACTTGCCCTGTTGCCGAATACCCCTCAACACCCCACCCGTGGCCAGTGTTCTGGGTTAGCCACGTCACGTGGTGTTTAAAGTTACGCAGGCGCCACTGCACGAAAAGACCAATTCGAACTCGCCCTGGCAGGCATCAAACGCCAAGACTGCCAACCTCTCTGTGGGGGTGCATCTCGTTGCCGGCCACCAGGGGGGAGACACGTCGAAAAGGCAACAGGGGAAGAAAGGATCTCAGGGCGATGGGGTGAGGTTGGTTAAAATCGGGCATGATTTGGGATAGATTCAGCGTGATTTTTTGAGATTCATTATCAACTAACGCATTGATCCTAGGGTATCTTCTTCCCCCCCTGATATCATCAAAGAGTTTATGGACGTCAGGTCATCAGAGGCATCCCGTGATCTCACAGCCCAGATCCTCTCGGTTAGTTATGCCCCTTGCAAGCTCTCCCCCCGCGCCGCCATCGGCAGAATTGCCAGGGAATATCAACCCCGAAGGCGGGCATATCGGCGAATAACACGCCACCGGGCTCCCCAACCACATGCTCGCTTCTGCACAAGCCCGACACTACACTCGAGCACCCTTGTAAACCCTCTGCATCGCTGAAGGCCCCTGGGAGATTCCGTTGATGGCCTCGCAAGCGAACGATGGAAATTCTCGGGTTTGTATGTCGAGAATGGCAAGCATTATTGTTTTTTTCTTGACCCAAGACCACAAATCATAGCGTATGATACAAAAGGCTTGTCAGTGGTGCTTTGGAGCCGCCAGCGTCTGCTCACAATGACTACCTTACAGTAACATGTGTTCAGCTACGAATTAGGGATCCTATCCCGTAGAATGGCCCTTCTTGAAGCTTATGTCGTGCCTGGCCTTTCGGGATTTAACTTGGGGCCATATAAAACAAGCGTGGCTCTTCTCTCAAAGGAAGATGGGGGTAAATACACTAGTCGGTTGTTTGAAGCCACGCCCATAGCTCATCCAACTATCCAGCCCTCCTCTAGCCTTCGCCTCCACTATTTCTTGTCCAAAGCAAAGTTCACTTTCACCTGTGGCTCATTTGACCACCCGGCTTCAAGGCCCATCTCGTCCCAAGCCGTCTCAACATCGACCTCGAGTACATGCCCGTCCTGCTTGCTCACGGAAACCGTGTGTGGGGGCACTGGTTGGCCAAGAATTGTCACCATGAAATCGTCCTCCACGGTGAGGTCTGGGAGTATCGAGATGTAGATGCCTGTGGCGTGTTAGCCGCTATAACATAGTGGGTTAGGTGCCAGATACTTACCAACAATTCCGAGAGCCTTGGACCCGGCCTCCACCATCATCCTCCCGTTCTCTCGCACCTCAAATACCGTCCCCGTTACCGCCGCACCTCCGGTCATCTTGCCTACCAGGCCCAGGTTTGCAAGGAGCACTTGTCCCCTCGATTTCGACTCCACTTCATGCAATGGGTAAGCGGAGAGTATATCACACTCCATGGAGCCCAGTGAAACCTCTAGTAGCGAGCCTCCGGTCGACGAAGTGCTCACCTCCAGCGGCGCCGTCACTGCGCCGGAGGAATGAGATCTCACCACATATTTCTGCCCTTCAACCACGCCAGGAAACTTCTTGAGCGGCAAGATCTCCGTTAGCTTCGTCTCCTCCAAATTGAAAACACCCACGATACCCGTTCCCGTTCCGGATCTCCCATGATATGCCCCAATCTTGAGCAACGCAAGATCGCTGATGCCAAGCCGATACACATTGTACACATCCAACGCCCGCCCCACAACACTCGGTCGGAACACCACCGTCTTCCCCCGCGTGGTGCGCCCACTGATCTGCCGGATCAATCCCAGATCATGTCGGCCGGGGGCGTCCGTGATACACACCGGCCCACCGCTGAGGCAGCGCGCAGCGGCGTGGAGGGTAGGGAAGACATCAGCATATCCATCCTCGCCTTCATCGGCTGACGGCGCGGTCTGGAACATGTCCCAATCCGGAATAACGTTCAAATGCTGCGCAAGCACTGCATTATGCGCGTTCGTCCAGATATGCCAGGGGTGCGAATAACTGTCGTTAGGGAAGAAGTCGTTTGAGTTGCGCCAGACCTGCGCCGGACGGGTATTCGGCAGGTAGCTGTGGAATGACAGTGGGGGAGTCTGCGACATGCAAGCGACGACGTTACCGGAGAAGTGGCGGAGCGAGGCGGACATCCAGGCATCAAGGTAAGGGTTAATAAGGGCGCGACGATCTGATGGGCGGGAGAGGGTGTCGACCCTGTATTGGGCGTCGGTCTTGACGCCGGTAATGGAGCAAGAGGTAAGGAAGGCGTAGAAATCGTTGTAGAATCCTTGGACGTCCGATGGAGCGATCAGAGTCAGGTTGATCTTGTCCGGGACTCGGGGCTGGCTCGTGCTGTCGCAGATAGCTTGTATGGTCTTGTACCGCCTCGCGAGGGGCCCGTCCGGAGCAATGCCGCCCCAATAGCCGAGAAGGGCGTGCCAGACAGCAATGTGTTGGATATGCTTATGCTTGGAACGAATATCCGAGACGAGTGCTTTGAGACCCCTGGGGAAATTCTTGGGCTCGGCTTCAAAATCATTCCACCCGTACTGCCACTGACCATCACCGTGGTAGTCTATGTCCTGCCAGTTGTCGTCTATGATCAGGCTCGCAACGTTTATCTTGTTTTTCGTCAGCGTATCCAAGGCATCAAGCACCTTGTTCTCGGTAAGTCTTTGGCCGAGAGAGTTCCATGTGCCTTGTGAGATGGTTAACGGGCGAAGAGCGATACAAGATGGGGTACGTTGACTCACAGTATCCAAGTCCATCGTACCATTTCTCGTACCATTGTGCTTGGACGTCACCATCCAATACATCCCCGGACACCTCCGTCGAAACAGGCGTACCCGTAACAGCGACAAGCGTACGGGCATGATACATAACGGCAGCGATGGTGTTCTCGATGTTGTCGCCGACGGCTACTAAGACGGTGGCTGTGGTTTCATGCACATTGTCGCTCCGAATCTAGGAGCTGTGTAAGTTTGACATCGTATACGTAGAGAGATACATCCCTGGGCATACATTAAGTAACAGACAGGGCTCTCCGATGTCTCCGCTTTGAAACAATGTAGCAACATCGTTTATACCATTGATCCCAAGGAAGACCATGTGTTTGCCCCGAGGAGAGAGGAACGAGCAAAGCAACGCTCCTGTGTCAAGTCTGAGCTCCGACCTGCCCTTCCTCGGGGCGAGCCAAGGCTCTGATGTTCGAACTAAAGCAAACCATCTGCAGCTGGTGAGCATTAAGTGATAAACGGAGCTGCAGGGTGTCTTTTACCTGACAAACTGTCCCCATGGGTCACCAATTTCGGTTTCAACGTATGCCGAGTCGCCGTCCCCGGCTTTGGGTACCGCAACTTCAATAGACCATAGTCGTGTTCCCGGGGACTGGCTCAACTGACTTTCCCACTTAAGATCCGGGTTGAAGCGATGGATCAAGTCTGGCAAATCCTCGGGGTCGCTCTCGTCTGTAGGTTTCTGATCAATAATAACGACACCGTCGTCAACCCCCTGCTCATTGCGGACCCATCGCCACTTCTCCCCCTTGGTTTGTTGCCGAAACTTGACTGTAAAAGCGGCTGAGACTGGGATGCTCAGTTGCGCCGAGAAGACCTGCCTTGTTGTCTTGTCCACAGGGTCGTGTAGCTTAATAGGGTGGGTGTCAGAGTTCACTGGGACGAGTTCAACCTCCATCCACTCCGAGTTATTCCCAGGAGAGTACCAAAGAGCAAGCTGCCATTCCTGAGGGTCTTCTGTCGGAACCTCGAGAACAGCCTGGAATGTCACATCTCGACAGGAGAGCTGCGTGACTTGCCCGAGCGGTGGGTAGGTCGCGATAAAGACCATCGCATCCCGAGCCCTGCCGTTTCAGCAAGCCCCCGTGCAATTGGCAAACAAAAGAGGGCAAAGGTGGACGATAATAATGGTAAGCCTAATCTTTACACATTGAACGGCGAGGAACAACGGAAGCTGATTAATTAGCGTGATAATATTGGGCCAAAGTATCGTTAGCAGTGATTAGGTCCCGATCGAAGTTCTGGACGAAGTTAGGAAATGTTCAGAGTTGTACTTTTGATGTTGTCAAGAACTCCAAGTAACTCTACATAGTAACGTTATGAGATGCGGGGTTGAGTTCGCCCCGCTGAGGCACAGCAATAAAAGGCTGGATTAGGATACTCAGCCCCGCCGGCGTCATACAAAGCCAGATGATTACTGTGTGAAAATTGAACCTCTGTGCCTCTTGGTTTACAAACCAGTCTTCTTTTGCCGCGTTGTCCTGCTCGGAACTCTGGATGGAAGCTCCGGTGAAGCTTTGGGTTGGCAACAGCTCCGAGTCAACAGGTCTGCGGGAGCCAATGGTGGCCTGCGAATTTCCAAATGCCAAGAAAGGTTTCCCGCAAAATCGGCGGCGAAACCACGTGACTCGAACTTCCATGCCAGGTTTGGCCCGGGCGTTCCCGAGCTCGCCTTGGATGTGAGGCAAAATTACCCTGCGTGCCGTAGTTTTTTGACCAAGTGAGGAGGAGCCAGGACTTTCCTTCAAACCACTCAATTTCCACATACACCCCCCCGCCTCACATCCGCGTCCATGGCGTCCCGGAGACTCGCTCTGAACCTTGCGCAGGGCCTTCGCGGCCGCGCCGGCGGGCTTTCTGTGCCATTCAGGCGGGGTCTAGCAACACCGCATTCATCGCCCGCGATCAAGACCGAGACCACGACCCTCAAGAATGGCTTGACCGTGAGCTCCGCCAGCACCAATTGCGCCTCTCCCGACGGCCGCCGCTGACCACCATTGCTTTCATAGGTCGCGACCCAGTACTCTCCTTATGCCCAGACATCGACCGTCGGCATGTGGATCGACGCCGGTTCCCGCGCCGAGACCGACGAGACCAACGGCACTGCCCATTTCCTCGAGCATCTCGCCTTCAAGGTACGATCGAGCTCCGCATGGCGGGGGGCCAGCTTGAACAATAACCGAGGGGAATTGCTGACGTTTTTACAGGGCACTTCCAAGAGGACACAACACCAATTGGAGCTCGAGATCGAGAACATGGGCGCGCACCTTAATGCCTACACCTCGGTTCGTGGAAGCGTCATGTAAAACATATCACAGGACCGTCGGTCACTAACCCGCCGGACGATAGCGCGAGAACACCGTCTACTTTGCCAAGGCCCTGAACGAGGACGTCCCCCAGTGTGTCGACATTCTGCAAGATATTCTCCAGAACTCGAAGCTCGAGGAGTCCGCCATTGAGCGGGAGCGCGATGTGATCCTGCGCGAGTCCGAGGAGGTTGAGAAGCAGCTTGAGGAGGTCGTCTTCGACCACCTGCACGCGACCGCCTTCCAGAACCAGTCGTTGGGCCGCACCATCCTCGGCCCCCGCGAGAACATTCGCGACATCACCCGGACCGAGCTCGTCAACTATATCAAGAACAACTACACAGCTGACCGCATGGTGCTCGTTGGCGCTGGCGGTGTCCCCCATCAGCAGCTCGTCGAGATGGCCGACAAGTACTTCGCTAAGCTCCCGTCCACGGCCCCTGACAGCGGCGCTTCCCTCTTGTCCAAGAAGAAGCCCGACTTCATTGGCTCCGACGTCCGGATCCGCGACGACACCCTCCCTACCGCCCACATCGCCATCGCCGTGGAAGGTGTTAGCTGGGACGACCCCGACTACTTCACCGCGCTGGTCGCCCAGGCCATTGTTGGCAATTATGACAAGGCCCTCGGCAATGCTTCCCACCAGGCGAGCAAGCTTAGCGGCATCGTCCACAAGAACGACCTCGCGAACAGCTACATGAGCTTCTCCACCAGCTACAGCGACACTGGGTACGTTTTACCACTATTCCTGTCTCCGTCATGCGCGTTGTGTTTGGTTTTAAAAATGTGTCGCTAACAAGGCAAACGTAATGCAGTCTCTGGGGTATCTACCTGGTCACCGATAAGCTCACCAGCATCGACGACCTAGTCCACTTCTCCCTTCGCGAGTGGTCGCGCCTGTCGGGCCACGTCACCGAGGCCGAGACGGAGCGTGCCAAGGCCCAGCTCAAGGCATCGATCCTCCTGTCCCTAGACGGCACCACCGCTGTTGCAGAGGACGTTGGCCGGCAGATTGTGAACACGGGCCGCCGCATGAGCCCTGGCGAGATCGAGCGTATCATCGACGGGATCACCGAGAAGGACGTTATGGAGTTTGCCAACAAGAAGCTCTGGGACCAGGATATCGCCATCAGCGCTGTTGGCAGCATCGAGGGTCTTTTCGACTACGCACGGGTGCGGGCCGACATGAGCAGGAACTATTAAACGACAAAACCGTTGGACAAACAGACATGCGGGGATTGGGAAAAGGCAGGGTGATGGGCGGGTCGGAGTTTTATTTGGCTTGCTGGAGCGGCAAGACACTGAAAGAAAGAGAGGGGCGCCCGGGTTCAGTGTATTATAATCGGTATTGCATCCGAGCCCGACACATGACTGTACTGTAGGGGGCGGGCGGGTAGACATAGATCAATCGATCCTGCTTCTTTTGTTATGTTGCATAAAGGGAGCATCAAAAAGGTTTATCGAAGGTTCGGTTTTAGAGGACTCTTCAATAAGTCTGAGAGAAAGATCTTTCGTGCGAGCCCCCCGGTATGGGGGACTTCCACGAGACTAAATGAATGCTGATACTCTTTATCAATGAAATCGTTGTCGAAAACTACCCACAGCGTCTTTCCAGCTTCTCACATCAGATATAGGTTGGTTTAACAGCGGCCCGGCTCGGTCCATTCTGGCCCGTCCATCATGGAAGCGTGACCTGGTGCGTCCAAAAAAGACCGGGGGAAAATGTCTCACGATAAGTCCGGGAACCGGAAGTTTACATTATGGGTGGTTTCGTGGGGTGGGGAGCGGGGAGAGGGATATGTCTGAGACATGTTGGGTCCGGTTAAGAGTCACGACCCTACTAGGGTTTTGTTGTGCATATCAAGAGGTGGGGTGGTACTTTGTGTCTCCCGGGGAAAGGAGATAAAGAGACCGGGTGCTTTGAGATCACACGGGACATACCCGGATAATATCATGATTCTTATCTCTTAGGTGTCTTATGCTCTGCATGTGTTCCAGACATTGGCCGGCCCGACCACCTGGGAGGAGGTTTAAGACAGGTTTTTCGGTGGTGTGATGCCGGAGCTGTGTCACGACTCACAGGCACGCGAGCAATGTGTAGAAGAGTAGGGACTGAGGGGTTGTGGATTTGAAGGTTTTGCAGATACCATCTTGTGCCGTGATCAGGGCAAAGATAGAGAGCAAGGAGCAAGCACCCGGGATGTCCATAGCGATATCATGAATATCGCGGGGATTACACATGTCAAGTCTACAAATATCCAATCCCTTCCTGAGGTCTCTAGTATAAACAAGACTCAAAGAAGACTGCCTCGAGATTGTCGAGGCGGTCCAGATTGTCGAGACAGGGTTAACAGAGACCGGGATGTCGCATTGGGCAGGACTGACGCCATTTGACAGTCCGTTGATGACCTCATCCGCAAATCAAACGCCGAGGCTGGCAGTTTTGGTGTGTAAGTGCAGGTTGTGTTTGGTGAAGTATGGCCTGGTAGGTCGAGGTCATGAGCGGGGGCGGATCCCATCGAGATGGCGGCACTTGACTGAGGGTGTAACCCCGAGCTACAAGACGGGAGGAGGGGAAGTTGTGGTGTGACGATCACTGCTTTCCATCGTCCTGCCTTGGAGGTGTGCTTGCAACTCCTCGGCGTGCTGGATTGGGGATCTACATGGAGCGTACACGACACTAACTGTGGCCGAGTATGGAAGATAGGTACTGATGGAGGAAAGCACCTTCACCTGAAAACCCCCGACATCTCCGAGATGATCCCCGTGTGTTCCGATCTGTTTGGCAGTTTTCTCCGCCGACTTGCATGGGGTCTGAAGGGCTGTTGTCCGGAACACGCCGAAGATTACTGCCTGAAGTTTGGCTGACGGGGTCTTCGTAGTATGTTGCCTTGTACGATATGAAACAAGGAAAAAGAAGTTAACTCAAATGCCTTGACAGTTGAACCTTAGACGAGGCTCTGGATGTCGCTGATACCTGTCAGCTGGTGTGAGCCCAATTTTGGCGTATTCCCGTGTGGTAAGCCACACTTGGGTCGAAGGTGGCATTGCCTCGATTTTCTTATCCTTGGTTTCTATGGCGGCCTCGGCATGCTCGGCATTTGGCTGGGCGAAGCCGGGAATCATCGAGATGACCCCGTTTGGGACCGGCGGAGGGGATATCGGGATTGTCGGGCGAGGGGCAGCAAGGAATGCCCCACCCCCGCTTCCCGTAATCTTGGCTCTCTTGGCCCTCGTCAACTGCAGTGCTTGCTCTCCGGAGATGCTGAATGGCTCGAAGTTGATGCGCCGCCATGCGTGCCACGATAGCTGCTCCAATCATCAGGATGGGCCGCTGCTCACACTTCTGATCTTTTTGTCATGCTGAATCCCTGGACCATGGCTTAGACACAATACGCAATAAAGATGTTGACAATTCCTACGCGCCACAATTCTCGCCAGTAACTAGCGCCTGGGATCTATTCGTATTGTGTGGGCCATCATGCATGGTATGTTTGTGAAAAGACCGTGGCTGTTCCCAATCAGCAGTGCGCAAACTGCTCAAATCCAGGCTTTGGAATCTGTGGAACTCTTTTCGATACGCTTGGGGCAGTGCTTGCCTGGTTACTGAGGTGGCCGACGACTAGTCGACCTCCATGAGGCCCGTTAGGGAGACTGGGGCTGAGAGACTTTGAGAGAGAGGGGCCATGCGGTCGAAGATTTTTTGTTTGTCATGAGACAAGTACCGATAAGACTAGGATCACAAGCCATCACCAACCTGCAAATGCAAGGGTGATGAGGTGGTTCTGGCGATCTGAGGAAGCCGATGCTTTTCTGGAGAACGACATCCCGCAGCTCTTGGCTGCAGGTGTGGCTCCCCTGTGGTTCCCGCATCCACAGCGGGGGATCCTGGAAGGGAAACAGGGGAGAGCTCAGCAGCGATTGTCTGAATACCGCCCGAGCGCCCCTTCTTAAATGAAAGGGACAACAATCATTTCGATGTCGTCCGGGCCATATTCGGTCAGCCCGCGCCCGTCTCGAGGAGATGAGAAATGACAGCGAAGAAAGGGTACACTAGTGTAGGTTAAATGAAGCACCTCTCAACCGCTTTTCACCGAGACAGCATCACACCCTGCATTTCAGAATCCAAGCTAGGAGGCTAGGCCGGGTTGTTGCCGAAGTCGAGCTGGGTGTCACCAAACCTACCATGGGGTCTGCAAGCGCTGCAGCGTCGATCGCGAGCCTGTCATACGTCCATTCCGTCGTCAGTCATCATCAGGCCTTCTGCCTCTGCAGGGTGCCGCTGCTGAGATCGAGAACCACATCTCACGACTGGCGGCAACGAACCGAACCACCCACATCGCGTCGCTCCATTTTTTTTTTACAACACTAGGCTGGAAAATTCAAGGTGATGCTTTTGTTTAACGAGGTACCTACAAAGAGGACATGCAGCCGTGATAGGATAATACCACGCTACTGTTGTGGTTTGTTTTGTTTGAGAGTGAAGGGGCCGGGGGTCTCATTCTGAGGGGAAAGGTACCTATTCGTTACGAATAATACCTACAGTATCAACACTGCATAGTAATGTCCCAGTAAACTAAAAGTTCGGACATGCATCTCAGTTCATCTTGTTCCATCTGGGTTCTCTTTGATCTAGTTATGGGAGGAGAAATTTCCGGTTCCTATTTTAGCACCATGAAGCATAGATTCAGGCACAGCAAACGAAGTTAATTTGGGAGCTGATGCAGGTGGAAGGCCCGGTTATTTCACCCCCGTTGCCGAGATCGTGGTGTGGTTGCTGAGAAGAAAACAGCCCCTGAAGAAGGAAGGGAGAGTTACAGTTGCTGCCTCGATATAAGCGAGGGGATAACTTCATCATTCGGATCCGACGGTCTATTCTTTGGCTTTGTTGTGTGTGAATTGCATCGGGGGGTTCTTCCTTTTTATTCTCGTCTCTTCGATGGCTGCTGGCTTTGGCCTTATTCGGTAGTGGTCCCAAATTAGGCCGGACAAAGGTATCCCGCACTCGTTTCATGGGCTGGGCATCTCGCATGACAGCATTGAAGGAGAGTTTACCATACACATAGCAATCCCGCCGATGAGTTGCAGATGATGGGTGGTGTAAAATGTAGAGCTTCAGGCTCGTGTTTGGCCTTACCGAAATATGTTAGGGTACTGTATTAGTTAACGTTTGCGTACAAGGGCGTCCTTGGGTGCGTTCTGCGGGAGGCGCTTCAGACTGACGAAGAGCGCGTCATTCTGGTGGGAACCATTGGACAAGCCGAACCCGCCCGCCCGGTTTCATCTGGCTCCGCTCGAGGCACGGAGTCATGGAAGATGTGGCCTTGCGGGTTAGCGGTCCTGGGCAGTTCGTCAAGGGTGGATCGATGAGTGAGGGAGGCTCAGAGGGAAGAAAGAGATGGCCTGGTTGAAAATGGGTTGGAATGGAATCAGGTTTGCCATCCCAAAGATCCAATACTCGGAGTCGACGCAATACGCAGTACGAGGACATTACAGAATAATTACGCAGGGCAAGTACGGAGCACCCATGTCCCAAACTCGAACGTGCTTTCCAAGTCCCGTGAAGTCGTCGCATCAATCGCGTTTTCCTGGATTACGCACTTCTCACTTTGGATTTGCTGGTCGGGTCGCCCGACAGGTTGCCAGTGGGTTGCTTTTGTGGTTCCATGCCAGCAGTGGCCCTTCCCCAGCTTGGCAATGCCCTTGCTCATCCCGCCTGTTCCGGACCCCTCCACGATCCAGCCCCCCTGCACACACCCAGTCTGTGCTTTTGGAAGGACCTGCCCCACTGAGCCTCCCGCTCTCACTCCGACTCGACACAGCCCGTGTCCCCCACCCATGCCTCCCGGTCTCAGCGAGCGAGACAAGCGTCGCCCCTAACATTTTTGCCCACCTACCACCCATTTCAAGATCCTCTGTCCCCCCATCATTTTCTCCACTCTGAACTCACTGTCTGCTGGCGCTCTCTCTCGACCCAACTCTTCTCTCGGCTCCTCGCCTTCCCGAGAGGTTAATCCATTTCCAACTCATTCGCCATCACCAAGTAGTCAACTGCCACAGGAGCAGTGATTTTCTTCACATCTCTTTTGCAGTTCTTTTTCGAACCTGCATTTGCGAAGAAAAGGAGGCTCTTGTGATTCCTCAAACCGATCCAAGTCGCATTCACTCCCGCGCTTGCGATCACAGCGAATACTGATGGATGCACTGCACCCTTAAAATCGGTTTAATTCGCCACCGAGTCATTGATCACTTTGTCTCCGGCAATCATGGCATTTCTCAGCCCGGCCGTGGTGGACGCGGCGCGCATGGTCGTCAGACAGGCGACCACATCGGCCACAACGACCCTTCTCAGCAGCCACGGTATTTCGCCTACCGGATCACCAACCACTCCAGCTAGCGTCACATCGACAATTGCATCGCCAACAGGAAGCAGCACGCTCGCTAATGGCGCTACCGATACTGCAGGAGGTACAGGAGGAGGGGGCGGCGGAGGCGATGGAGGGGGTGGTGGAGGTGGAGGCAATTCGTCCTCCCTCCTTTTCTTTGTCGCTCTCGGATTTGGTGTTGTGTTCACCAATCTCTGGTGAGTTACCTGATTGTTGGTTGAAAGGTGAACCATCCGGCATCATCGTCTAACCGTTTCTAGGATCATTGTTGGTGTGAAGTATTGTTTCCGGTACAATGCGCGGGCCCGTCAAATGCGAAACGAGGAAGGCGAACCGATCAACATGGAAAACATGCCCCGCCCCCACCGCCGTCGGAGGGAGAAGAAATTGATGCCGATCGACGAAGTCAACGAGAAGTTTCCGATGCTTAAATACAAGACATGGGTCGCGAGCCGCGCGCAGGAAGGATTGCCAACCAGAGGTGGTGTGTCGGTCCCACAGAGCCGGCCGAATAGCGTTCGGGATACTGAGGGTGTGGTCGCCGAAATACCGCCAGAGGAGCGGGCGTCAACCGATGAACGACCGACGACAAGCGCCACAGCAGCGAGAGCGACCGAAGAGCCGCCATCCGAGGATGCGCCAGAAATTACGGAGAAACCGCCTGCCCCGACTCCCCATCATGCGCCAAAGGAAAGCACTTCGAGTACAGTCGCAGGTCTCCGCCGAGCGTCGACAGAATCCCACCGCGATCCCGATCCCGATCCCGATTCGGCCGTCGCGCAGAAGCACATGAGCCAGATTTCCCATGATGAAGAGGAGGAGGACGACCATATCGACGCAGCCCTCCCCCCGGAATGTGTTGGGACAACGGGCGACACCTGCGCCATCTGCATCGACGCTCTTGAGGACGACGACGACGTGCGAGGCCTTACATGCGGCCATGCCTTCCATGCCGTCTGCATTGACCCGTGGCTGACGACCAGGAGAGCATGCTGCCCCTTGTGCAAGGCTGACTACTACACCCCCAAGCCGCGGCCTCAGCCGGCCGAGGGCAACGATGGGACCACGGGTGTTGTCCACGTAACTTTGCCCACCAGCTCCCGTAGCAACCGAATGAACCTCCCGAGCAGGCCACGGCCAATATTTTTTGGGTTTGGTAGGACCGAACAGACCGAGGATAGCCGACGCGCTACAGCAAGCCGGTCCCGGCCCCGAGACACTGGTGGCTCCTCTATTCCGGGTCGCCGGGGGGCCCGGTCAAGCCCCAACCGTCCGTCGTCCGATGGCGTCGATCAGGCCGAGAACGGCGGCTTTCTTTCGGGCCTGAGGAACGCGATACCCACTTTCCGATTCGGCCGCCGGGGGCAAGATGCCGAGACCCAGCCGGAACCCTCCGCGTCGGGTGCGAATCCAACCGTGACTCCGTCACAATTAGAGGCTGGAGTTCGGAACCCACCAAATTAGCTAAAGGCGATACGACATTCGCTGTCTATTCTGCCTCGTACGCGCAGGATACGCCCACGTCAACCCTTTTTTCTCGAGATTTATGCGCACCCTCGGCTTATTTTAGTGTGTGGGCGGAGCTTCTGAGGCATGGAGAAACCCGAGCTCTTTTGATTATATTACTCCGACTACTATCCGCCACATCGTTCTATAGCAACCGCCGACTATTTACCCGATGCCCGAGCCCTCTCTACCTACAATTGAGGACATGGATGTCCCTTGCCACCCAAACTTGGTGGTCGCGGAATCATCGTCACACCACTATGAAGGGTCCCTTGACGCTCAGAGGCTCCCATACATCATTGCAGCCCTTTTTGACTGAGCTGGTCAATGGTGTCAGGCCAAAATTTGTGCTCTCCCCGGATTCTGCACTGTTATCTCTAGCCATATTCCTCCACCCGGCTTTTCCTCGCATCTCTGTATCGAATTTTTGCATAGCACATTGGGTTTACGTTGTCTTTTCTCTCTCTCCCCTTTCCTTAGGTCATTGGTTCAGGGGACGGTACATTTGTCCCTTTTGAGCATGGAGTTAAATGGTTTCGGGCGGACAGGGTGGCAGGCTGGCATGGGTAGGTGAATACGGCTTGCGGGGAACGAACGGGATGGGAGGGCACGATTGCTTTTTCTTATTTTCAATTTTCTTTTTCTTTTTTTTTGGACGGATAAGTTGGGGCTCGATGGGAAGGGCCTAACGGGAGGGCGGTACCAGGGAACCAGAGTATGGGATAGATAGCGACGCAGTATGATGCAAAGAAATTTTGGCCGGGGGACAGGGGAATATACGAACGTAACTTCTCAGCACTCGATGCCATACCGTATTGTGCCTGTCCTTGGGGAATCCGTTTCATGTGTGGACTTGAGATCGAGAGGAGGAAGAGACAAGATGATAATCGATTCCACTTGAGCTCCCGCTTTGCAACACCTACCTATGGAGGTCCCTTCAAGATAACATTGCGCTGTCCTCTCCGGCTCACAAGAACTTCCCACTTTGAAACCGTCCCCCAAAGTTCGCCGCCCGATTCAGCAGTTCCCTCCGCTGCGCGCCGCTGATCTGTCCGCCCACCTTCATATCCTTCTCCCAGTTGAATGCTCGCTTACTCGGGTCATCGTCCTCTTCTTCTGCCTTGTCGTTTTTGCTGCCGACCCCCTTCTTCCCATCATCGAGGGTACTGCTTTTCACACCCCACTTGGCTGTATCGCTGCTTTTGACCAACTTCGATCCCGAAGAAGAAGAGCCCGTCTTGCCGGCCGCGCGCCGGGCCTGGTGTTCCTCGACGAGACTGCGGCCGCGGGTTTGTTCGGTGTAGGCGCGCACGCGAGCCGCGTCTTCGTCGTTCTCTGCTCCTCGTTGCGAGCGGCTGGGGTGTTGTTGCTGTTGTTGTTGTGAAGGTGGTGTGTTGTGGGCATCTTCGCGACCGAGAACCGCGTTGGCTAGTCGGCGGGCCTTCTCATCCGGTGTCTCGGTCCAGATCGAGCTGATGCCGGCTGGCTTGCCGTCGGTCGCGGCACGTGGGCCGCTTGCGAATTTGCGCGCTTTGATCTTGGTCGGGTCCGGCGCGCGCGCGCCGCTGCTTGTGGGAGGTGCTATCATCCAGTCGTCACGTTTGGTGGCCGTCGTGGTAGCGGGTTCGTTGTAGGATGATGGGTATGATGGGCCGGCCCCAGGCGCGTGTGTGGTATGTGGGTTGGCGGAGGCGCCTGGGAGCGCCGGGCCCCAGTCATCGTCTGAGTCGTCATCTGAGTCGGGGCCATTGGGCGGGCGTTCGGAGAGGGGTGCTGGAGGAGGTGCTGGACCAAGGACGCGCTTCGAAGGGGGAGCGGGCCCTGCGTTGGTTGGTGCTGGTGCGCGTACTGGGCCGGTGTCGTCGTCGTCAGAATCGAGAGGGATCTCGTCGTTGTTGGCCGACGGTGCTGTCGGCGGAAATGAAGGACCAATTGGCCGTTTGTTGTCTGCTGGCGTGGGCGGCTTGGTGTTTGGGGCTGGATGAGGAAGGGTAGGGCCAACGGCTGGCTTAGGTCTTGTTGATGACTTCTTCACATCATTCCTTGGTGCAGATCCCGGCACGGTTGGCCCAAAATCGCCATCCGAATCGTCGTCAAGTGAGATCTCATCATCGTTGTCTCGGCGCGAAGCTTTTGGGGGCGGCGAGCCCAACTCTTCATCGTCCTCGGGCGTGCGCTTCCGCTTTTGCAGATGCGGCGGAAGTTGTGGACCGATGGACGCCATGTTGGTTACGTGGTTTTTGTATCTCGGGCTGCGAGTACAGTGGCCAGCTTGGGTGGGAAGGCGTTGGAATGGCGGAAGTGCGGGTTGGTGGTGTCGGACACAGGATGCGAGCTTGGATTCCATTCAATGTTGCAAAGTGACCGCAGTGACGTGCAACCACCCGGAACAAGATGTCTTGGGCTTCGTGTCTTATCGATAGGGATTCCCAGGAACCCGGCCATCGCTGCATGTCCAGTAGTCCACTGTGATACCCCCGCTGCAAGGCGGCTTCAGTGGGTCGTTGATTTGAGGCGGACAGGGGCAAGCTACGCAATTGGGGACCTTGCAGCATCCCAAGAGCATTCTTGTCCATGCAGGTTCAGAGCATCCATCCGTCATGGCCAGCCTGGATGCGCCAACACCAAACCGCTAACGATCACAACGAAGCTTGACGTCCCCTGCTCTAACACGGCCCTTAATTGTGACAAATTACTCAAGATAATGTGCCCTTTTAAAATCACACTATAAACGCGATCCGTAACCCCGACCATTCCTTTATCCCACGTCCCACATTGAAGCACGAGCTCGATTGTTTAACTATCCCTCGCTCCGGTCCCTCGGGGTCATACGATAAACGCACCCGATTCGTGTTTTGGAAGCAATGCATTGTCGTTGCGAAGCTCCATGAGTGCGAGTCAAGCCCGGGAGGAGGAGGGGCACGCGGATGCCATGGCCGACGAACCCGAGCTGCCTCCAAGCCACGCCTCCGCCCACGCCCGAAGCTCGAGCTCGAGCGATGAAGAGACTGTCAAGGGCGACCGGGATGAAGATCAGATTGCCAACATTCTAGAAGAGGAGGATAGCGAACATGGCTCTGGCGCACCCTCTGCCGGCCCAAGCTCTGCTGCGCATCGTTATCGGGAACTACTCGAACCTGAGCCCGAGGCGCCCTCCGAAGATGGATCGACCGACGCTATCCCGCGGCTTGCTGTAAGCCCGATGGGCTCCATGCTCTCGGTGCCGGATGATACACCCTCAGTCCAAGTATGTGAGAAACATGGGGCTAAGGACCGTGGCGCTGGGGCCGCCATTGATGCTGTGGTTAGTACTCAAGCTAACAAACTACCTAGGGCTCCGTGATATCCTCCCCTAGCAGTAGTTTGCTGCCTTCCCACGCCTCAAGGACCGGCCTGGCGAGTCCCACGCCATCCTTCCGACCGTTTGACCAAAGATTCCAATCGCGAATTGCTTCGCCGCACCTGTCGTCGCCCAGACCATCGTCACCTGCGTTTTTGCCAACCCATAGCCGGAATGTCTCACTGAGCAGCCAGATACTGCTCGACCCTGGGGATACTGAGTCCCAGTCCCCGCCGTGGGAGGTCGTGCGGTGGACAAAGTTGAAGAAACTAAACGGGCAGGTCTTTTCCGAAGCGGGGAGGCGGAATTTTGGTTCTCCCACCTGCCTCGCTGTGTCCGCTGCTATCGTGCTGGGCACTTCCAAGGGCATCATCCTGGTCTTTGACTACAACCAAAATATCAAGATGATTATCGGCCCCGGAACCAAAGGTAGGTTTGCTCAGACATATCTTATATTCTTGTTTTATTCACTAATCACATGGGTAGCTGTCGAATCTGGCCCCATCACTGCCATCGCCATATCAGCGGATCATACGACCATTGCCGGCGGACACGCGAGTGGAAATATCTTTACCTGGGACACTTCCAGAGCCGCTCGGCCGTTTCTCTCCATCCCTAGTCTTGATCCTGCTCAGATACATAGTCGTGGAGATGGCCACCTTCACAATGTCAAGGTCACTCACCTTGGCTTCCTTGGAACCCGACACACTGCCTTAGTTTCGGCCGATGACCGAGGCATGGCTTTCTCGCATTTGGCAACAAGAGGAACGGGCTCCCTTGGCCGGACTGTCAAGACCACGAGGATATTAGGCCGATATCCAGACTCCAAGCCACCACCGGGCAAGACCCTAAAGCCAAGTACCGTCCTCGCGTTTTCATCCCTACCGCTTGGGAACGTCGACATGGCGACTGATGGCTTGGGCCTGACCGCGATGTTGACCCCTTATTTGCTCGTCATCGTCTCCACCACCCCGATTGCTCAAACCCAACACAAGTCCGCTCGGCCAAAGGAAATTGCCGCTCATAGTGCTATGACGGGTTGCCTAGCTTGGTTTCCTGGGGTCAAGCTAAAAGTAGCAGACCCGGACACTGGCAGCCCAATTTCCAAGGTCAAGTTAGTGTACGGTTGGTCCAATGTTCTTACCGTCCTCGACGTCGACGAAATACAGTCAGATGACAAAGACAAACCACCAAGCCTCCGATTCAGGGCACGGAGTCGGTGGAGGTGTGAGGAAGCCATAGTCGCGGTGCAGTGGCTAAGTAGGTCGGTACTAACTGTGTTGACAATTTCTCAACGCCTCATTGTCCTAGAGGACCGAAGCATGCGTATGACCGAGGCCTTTGATCTCATCCACAAGCACATCTACCACATTGATTTGTTCTCGAGGCAGCTCAATGCTTTGGTGGAACAATTAGACGAGGAGGATCCCTCGATGCACGGCGTCGTTGCTGATGCCTTTTACATGAGCCTCAAAACCTACAAGGGACGGCTGTTTTTGCTCGGTGTTCACGACATATCCATTGGCGCCCTTTCCAACTGGGCTGACCGCCTCATCGCGTTGATGGAGAATGGCGACTATGTCGGGGCCATCAGACTCGCGACATCCTACTACACAGGAGACGCCAATAAGCTCACGGTTGGGCTCCCAGAGGATACAACTTCGCGCCACGCCATGGTGCAAGACAAGCTCATGGAAATCATGACTGCATCGCTCAAGTATGTCTTTGGTCAAAGGCAAAAAGACCGGCATTCCATAAATGATAGCCACCTTCGGGAGCTCTCCGAAACCTGTTTTCTCGCCTGCACTAGTATTGGCGACATCGACTTTCTCTTTGACGAAGTGTACGGATGGTACGAAGAAGCCGGCATTCCAGGAGATTTCCTCGAGACGCTAGAACCTTACATCCTCGAAGGATCTATCACGATCATCCCGCCAATTGTCGTGAAAGCCATGGTTGCCCATTTCGTCGCCAAGGGGTGGGAGAGCCGGCTTGAGGAGATGATCTGCCATATGAATACGGCAACTCTCGACCTAGACCAGATCACGGGGCTTTGCAAGCAACACAGCCTATACGACGCCTTACTTTATGTTTGGAACCAGGCGCTCCACGACTTTGTCACGCCCATGTTTGACTTGCTCTCCCTTCTGGTCCCATTGATGCAGGTCCAGAGTGGGCAGTATCCAGATAACCAACTGGATGCCGAAGCATACGCGGTGAACGCTCTCAAGATCTTCCCATATCTTTCTTACATCCTCACGGGCCGGATTTATCCCACGGGCGAACTTCTTCCCGAGGAAGTTGCGCAGAATGCAAAAGCCGAGCTCTACTGGCTGCTCTTCTCGGGCAAGAGCATCACATGGCCGAAGGGTAGCAACAAGCGCCTGCTTACACGGCCAGGTCAATCTCAAGAACCCTCGTTTCCCTATCTTCGGCTCATCCTTAATTTTGATGCTGCAAGCTTCCTGAGCGCGCTTAATGAGGCATTTGAGGATTCGTTTCTCAACGACTCCCCGGAAAAGGCGAGCGGTACCGCGGGCCGTGACCTACCAGAAGAACAAATATTTGGCTTGACTGTGAATCGGCAGTACATCGTCTCTATTTTGATGGAGATCATGGGCTCTGCGGGCTTCACCTCTCATGAAACCATCTACCTGGACATGTTCATCGCCAGGAACCTGCCCAAGTACCCACAATACCTCCTATTCCCTGGCTCAACGCTGAATAAGGTCCTGATCGGGCTTTGCAAGTACCCCGGGGAAGACCTAGCGGAGGATGCCCAGCTCAGTGCCGAATACCTCTTGTCGGTGTACCAACCCCCAGACGTCACGGAGCTGATTCCAAGCTTCAAAGACGCGGGCTTTTACCGTATCCTCAAGAGGATCTACAGGAGCGAGAAGCAATACGGCAAGCTGATCCATACTTACTTTGAGGACCCTGAAGACCGAGAAGACGTCTTCAACTGCATCGACATCTACCTGCGGCCACAGGCTGGCCTCGCACAACGCCAGATTCAAGACATCCACCAAGTGATCAAGCAGCATGCAGGGGACCTCGTCGAGCTTGAGCCTAGCATGGCAGCCACTACCATTGCCAAGCACGCCCCTGAATTACACCAACATCTCCTCGACTCGACCACCGCGCAGCCTGGTTTGCAATACGCTTATCTCAAGACGATCTTGGAGCCGGAGAAGGACACGACGCTTATCCGGTCGACTGACAGGGACTTGGTCGAGCATTACGTGCGTCTGATGTGCCAGTTTGACCCGCAACATGTATCCGACTACGTCGGCTTAGTTCAGTCCTCCAACCTGAGGCTAGAACAGCTGCTTCCAACGATGGAGCAGACCGGCGTCATTGACGCGGCGGTCATCCTTATGGCGAAAGAGGGCCAGGTCCAGGAGGCTATGGGCCGGCTGGTCAAGCACCTCCGGACGCTCGAGTCGGCGCTGCAGGGTCTACTCTCTGGGCCTCAGGACAACGCGTACGACTTGCAGACGTCTGCGGAGGATTTGCTGCAGGGCCTGCGCAAGTTTGTCCTAGTGGGCATCTGGCTGTGCCAGGGCCAGACGAAGACCGCACGAGCTGCGGCTTCGGGACGGCGAGGGCAGAAGGCCTCATCCGACAGTATGCTGTCGGCGGATGAGAATCTTTGGCTTGACCTGATCGATGCCGCGGTCCAGATTACAAGACGTTTGTCCTCCGCGTTCCAAACTCTATCTAACGATGCCGACGTCGCCCATTCCTCGTCGAACAGCAACGGGGACCATTGCGCATCTCAGCTTGATACCGATCGGCTCCTGTCCCTTCTGCGCTCTCTCGTACAAACAACATTCACCGCTCTGCTCTCCTCCACCTCAACCCCCGCTGCGCTTCCCTCATCCACCACAACGCCACCCACGACGAAAACGACGACCGCAACAACAACAGCCCGCATCGGTGCGAACCTCTCCTTCCTACGCATCTTGCGCGCCTTCCTCACTCGTGCAGCGGCCGCCTCACCCAATCTTGCCGACCTGCGCGCCGTGCTCGCTTCCGTCTTCTCCGCCTATGCGTACGAGGAGTCAATCCTGCGACTGTCAAACCGGCTGCTAGACAAGTCGCTCTTCGTCAGCGTGGCGCAGGCGGTCGAACTACGGCAGCGTGGGTGGCGGCCTCGGGGGTCGACCTGTGAAGCGTGCGGGCGCCGGGTCTGGGGGCCGGGATTGCAGCAGGCCGGGGGGAGGGTATGGGAAGCTTGGGAGGTTGCTGAGGAGGAAAGGAGGAGGAAGAAGAGGAACAAGGCGGCGGGGCATGGGGGTGGTGAGGAAGGACCAGAGCAAGGAAGGCTTGGGCACCCGGTTGACCCGGAAGAGGAGGCATATGCTGGGAAGGGAAAAGGGAAAGGGAAAGGAAGGGACTTGAGCCCCCGAGTGGGCGGGGAATCTGGGGCAGAAGGGAGTAGTAGCACAGCAGACGCAGAGGCTGCGAAACAAGATCCTCGTGAAGGGGCCACACTACAAGAAGGTAGAGCGAGTGTCGGGAAGATGGGCAAGCAGCCAGCGCTAGGCCCGTTGGTCCTCCTGGCCTGCAGGCATATTTACCACCAGAGTTGTTTGGACACGTTACTGGCGAATGAACGGGAGAGGGACACGGGCAGTGAGGGGGGGCGGAAAGAGGGCAAGTATAGATGTCCTATCGACGGGTAGTCAAAGGGGGGCGGTGCCGTTGTTGTTTATAAATGAGTGGTATGATAAAGATGACATTTCGGCGCTTTGGGTTTTGAGTTGAAGTGGCCATTCTGAGGCCATCCTTTTTTTCCCCCTTCCCCCTATTTCACACATGTATGAAGAAAAGGGGCTACTTCCGGTGTCGGCTCCATGTTTTGTTTCTCAATGGCTGCTCCAGCGACACAAACCGGCAGCGCCGCTGGCTTTAGCGTGGATTAGTGGAGCGTGGAAATAACCTTCAGGGCTTCAGGGGCACGAATCCCCCTGTAACTCAAGCTCCTCGGTCTGTGCATCCATGAACCCGGTTCCGTCCATTCGCCAAATTCCAACTTTCCACAAGTTCACACAAACTAAACCAGACCAACCAGCCCCAATGCGACCACCACCACTATGTCCATGACCTCGGAAGAAGAAGTCGACGAAGACGGCGTCCGCCCAGCCGACATTGATGCGAACCGCCCCATCTCGCGCCACGACTCGTCCGACTCGGGGAACCTACCAACCCACTCGGGCAGTGACCGCTCCAACAACAACAACCACAACGACCACCCCAACCACGACGGCGGGCCACAAAACCCATTCTCCCCCGTTTCCATATCCGACTCAGGTGGTGATGACGCCCGCCATGGCGACGACGAACAGGATGAAGACGCAGACGAAGACTTTGACGACTACGACGACGACGACAGTGAAGATGAAGACGACGAAGACGACGACGATGACGACGACGATGACCCTCCACAACCACCCATAAACCAACACACCTTCGCACCACCCTTCTACGGCCGCCCACCTACACCATTACCCCCTTCACCCTCGTTAACATCCCTCCTCCGCCCATCACGGCCCACCACCCCCGACGCGTCGGACGACGACGGCCACGGCCACGGCCACCGCAACGGATACCGACACAGCATAGGGGGCCACGACGGTGGCGGCGACGGCGGACACGGGAGTACCACCGCAGGCGGCGGGTCACATCAACACCAGCCGGGGGAACCCGTGCCGCGTGCCCGGCCACGCGTGCCGACGTACGAGTACTACGGGTTTGTGCTCTACCTGCTCAGTTCGTTGGTGTTTTTGGTGTATCTCCTGTGGAGTTACCTGCCTTCGCCGTTCCTGCATGCGCTGGGGATCTATTACTATCCGAACCGGTGGTGGTCGTTGGCGATTCCGAGCTTTTTGGTCATGCTGCTGGTGTATATCTATGTTGCGCTGGCGTTGTATAATGTGGAGATTTTGACGCTGCCGTTGGAGAGTGTTGAGACGGTGGTGGATGAGGCGGCGATGGTGGCCGTGGTGGATTCGAAGGGGCGGATTGTGAGGGGTGGTGGGGGGGAGAAGGGGAAGAGGGGGAAGGGAGAGGGAGGTGGTGCTGGAGGAGGGAGGAGGAGAAGGGGGACGGTGACGAAGGAGAATAGTGGTGGGAATGCGGGAGAAGGGGTGGTGTTGAATTGGAGGGAGGTTTGGAATGAAGGGACGGATGCCGTGATGGATGTGCCGCTTGCGGGGGTGTGCGAAGTGTTGTATGGCGAGGGGAGGGACTGGGATAGTGACTTGGAGGATGAAGATGTGGTCATTACTAGGATTTAAGGGACAAGGTCTCGAGATGGGACTCGAGATGGTAAGGCGTTGATTTGGCCTCTCTAGAAGAACGACACGGTCGGCAGTGATATGATACCCCTTAGATATTTCAAACTGCTGTTTAACGCTACTTACCAACGGGCTGCTAGCCGTGCTTAAACTGTTGATTACCAACGGACCAAAATCTTGAAAATTTACAGGTTGTTGCTAACTATGTCCCGTGGCCCATCACAACAGCTCCGAAATTCTTCGCGACCTCCCAAGCGAAGAAGGCCTGGTTTCATGCCAAGCCACGAGTTCGATGCAGTGGTTCAATGGAGGGTGGTAAATGCCCCACTTTGTGCCTGAGCTTCAGCGCCTCTGGGATTTGGAGAACCTGGAAGCGATTTGCTCCATACAACCACAAATTCCCACCATCCAACGCGCCAGGTCGCGATCGCAGAACACGCCATTGCATCCCGAAAACCGCCCGGTTCGCCGCCAGATTTGAGACAAGCAATTATACCAACGTCGCGCGCGATAATCTGACTTGAGAAGGGCCCGCCATGTCACAACAACCCCTCTCATCGTCGGTGCAGCCGACCGAGGTCTATGGCGGAGGTGAGTTTCTGCTTTACCTTCATGTTCTTTTACTCAATCAGCCCCCGGTGAGGTCTCTCGTTTCTGACCGCCGTCTTAGATGAGGTCTCGGCGCTCGTGCTCGATCCGGGTTACTGCAGCACGCGCGCGGGTTACGCCGGCGAGGAGATGCCCAAGCAGTTGATTCCGTCCCCTTACGTGCACGTCGACGGCCGCGACCTGTTCGGCGACGAGATCATCACCCCGCGCGCCGGCTTCGAGGTGCGCAACTACATGAACCGCGACAGCGTCGTCGAGGATTGGGACGCCGCCACCCGCGTCTGGGAACACTTGCTCGTTAAGCGCCTGCAGCCCCCGCGCCCAACCCCGCCGAGCAAGAACAACCTCAACGTGGGCGACGATGGCGACGTAGAGATGGGTGAGGACGGTGCCGCTGAGGAGGCTGTGGATGGATTTGAGAAGCCCCTAGCCGAGAACCCCCTGCTCCTGACCGAGGCGCCCTGGAACACGGCCAAGGCCCGCGAAAAGTCGATCGAGGTGTGCATGGAGACCTGGGGCAGCCCCGCCTTCTGGCTCAGCCGGACGCCCGTGCTGGCTGCGTTTGCCGCTGGCAAGGCTACCGCGCTCGTGCTCGACGTGGGCGGAGCCAACACGAGTGTCACCGCGATTCACGACGGCATGGTGCTCAAGCGGTCGATTCAGCGGTCTCCCGCGGCGGGCGTCTGGCTGAGCGGGCAGATCCGCACGATGCTCAAGACGGGCGATTCCAAGATCGACATTGTGCCGACGTTTCTGGTGGAGAACAAGAAGCCCGTCGAAGCCGGCTCGCCAGCCGATGCAAGGCTGAAGACGTTCGACTTCCCGATCAGCGACTCATTCCGCGCCTACGAAGACGAGCGTGTGCTCACCGAGTTCAAGGAGTCGGTCGTTGAAGTATGGCGCGGGCCGGGGCGCTACACGGCGCCTGGCAACGAGGACTACGCGCGCAGCCAACCAGGGCGCGTGTTCGAGATGCCGGATGGGTACAACCAAATGTACCGCGAAACGCGGTATCGCGTCGCTGAGGGCATGTGGGACGAGACAGCGGCGTACCCGGCCGCTAGCCCCGACGATCCGACTTTGACTAAAGCTCAAACGATCCCTGCGCTGATCAAGGCTGCCCTAGATGGTGTCGACGTCGACCTCCGGCCTAACCTGCTGGGCAACGTGATCGTCACTGGCAGCACCAGCCTGCTCAACGGCTTCAACGACCGCCTCAACCACGAACTCACCACCATGTACCCGGGTCTTAAGATCAAGATCCACGCGGCCGGCCTGACGAGTGAAAGGAGATTTGGCGCCTGGATTGGCGGGAGTATTCTGGCTAGCCTAGGCACTTTCCACCAGATGTGGATTTCGAGGAAAGAGTATGATGAGAATGGACCGGGCATTGTCGAGAAGCGGTGTAAATAAAGGGGGCGGGCGGTCAGTCACTGGCGTAATACAACACAGGGTTAACGTTGGGTCTCTTGTTCTTAGGGGAATATCCCTCCCGGGCTGTGGAGTGTAGTGCTGGAGGTTGCAAAGTGGCGTCTCAGGGTGTTTGTTAGGTCAAGCGAAGTAGGTCTAAACTGGCCACACACTAAAAAAGGGGTTAACTGTTTTTTTTTTTTTTTCCACTTTGATATTCAACCGAGATCCTTTTACTCGATATCATCACTCAAATCCAGACCAACTCTCACCACCCTCTCCACCTCGGCCACACATCCACCACCTCATCCTCTTTCCCCTCATTCCGGCTGTCCACGATCAAGTACCAATCAAACCCTGCACCCGCTATACAGCTGTGATTCGGCCACACCCGCACCTTTTGCCCGTACTGCAGAGGCACCTCGTCTTCCGGACGGCCGTGCCACGTCAAGATGCCGTGTTCCTGGCTGATGCGTCCTACTTGCCAGCCGTCATGGACAGCAGGGAAGTCCCGACCTGGAATTGGCTGTTGTTTCCCGCCGTTGTTGCTATCGTTCAGGCCCCACGGTGCAAGGAAGCCCCAGCCTTGGTAGTCTTGTCCTGGGAGGGCGCCCTTGTCGGCAACGGGCTCGCGGCCGAGGGCGAGAGTACCAGAGTTGATGAGTACTTCGGTTGTGTCGTTGGTCCCGCGGCCGGGGTAGACTGTAAAGGATTAGAGAAATATCACAAAATATATCGGTGTGAATGTGGTTGTGGAAGACGTACGAGAAGCAACTTCGGCTACGACACTGATCGCTATGTCATCCGCTGTCGCGTCGCTGGCATGTGTAGCCAACTGCTGCATATCGAGGGTTGGGCTGCGTCTCGTTAGCACCGTTCTCAACGGCTGAGAGAACAAGCCGGAAGCTCTTAAAAAACAAGTAGGAAACAAAAAACATACTACACCCCCGCATGAATCTCCACCTCCAAACCATCCTCCTTCAACCCCGATATCAGCTTTTCCACCTTCGTCTGCAACTTCTGCTGCACAACCGACGCCGTCGGCGTAGCTCCAACAGACAACACAAACCGCCTCCCCGCACCCACCGCGGTCTCCTTCCGGATCCATCCCGCCACACCCGCCAACCCTTCCAACTCATCCGCCAGATACCCCGCCACATCCTCTGTCCCGCCGCGCGCGTAATAGCTGTGGCCCGCATGGGAGTAGAGACCCAGCAAATGACACGCGCCTCGGTGCTCGGCATCGAGGGCCGCGGTGATTAGGGCTGCGCAGGCGTCAGTTTCGGGGGCTACGCCGGAGCGTCCGTAGGAGGTGTCGATCTTGAGGAAGATAGAGGGCGGATGGGCCAGGGAGGAGCCGAGTGAGGGGGAGGAAGGAGAAGAAGAAGGTGGAGAGAGGACGGCCAGCTGGGCGGGGTGGTCGACCATGAGGGTGAGAGTGGGATAGCCAGATGGGTCTGGGCCGAGCGCGGTAGAGATGGCGTTAAGGCGAGGGAGGGCGGAGGGGAAAAGGGGGAAGGAGAAGAGGACCTGGTTGAGGGGTTAGGAAGTGTGAGGATTAGACAGGGGAGAAAGGGGATGGGGGTATGTCGGGTATGTACATTGACACGGCGGCCACGGGCTTGGTATTCCTTGAGGAGGGGGAGGATGTTCTCTGCTTCGGTGATGGTGGACACGATCAGGGAAACAGGGGTATCCAAGGTGTCGCCGACTTGGAGACGGGTCAGTTCGGTTGTCTGAGCATGTTAGTCATGAATTTGATTCAGTTTGAGTCTGAATTTGAGCTTTTATGCACCTTGTGTGACTTGATGTGTGCGCGCCAGAGCAATCCCAATCTGTCGGTGGCATCGAGCATGCGCTTGCAGTTTGCTTCAACCTTGGCCAAGTCCAACACAATCGACGGAGTGGGCACATCGACGAGGTTCTTGCCCACGAACCGGGCCCGGAGTTGGGCTTGAAGCTCGGAGTCAGGATGGGTGTGAGTGCTCGTCATATTGGGAAATAGTACGGGACAGAAAGTTATTGTTGTTAGGCACGGCACGATGTGTATGTGTGGAATAGGTATGTTGGGAACTTCGAGAGGACCCGGGGCTTGGGGAAGGGGAAACCGAGGGTTTGAGGCCGGCCGCTGCGGGGACAGCGAGCCACAGGCCCACTGCTGCAATTTATCAGACCATCCATCCGATGACAACAATAGGTACCGGACCTGGCACAATAATACCCTTTTGTTGTTACACAATAGCAGCTTTGTACCTATTCGGAAAAACTTTCCAAACTGCGGCGCTAAGCTTCATTTTCAACATTCCCGTCACATACGGTACCTACCCCTCCTTCTTTTCAACTTCCATCCTTCTCAATCCCGAGCGCATAGCACTCCTTCGCATCGGGATTTTATGCTCCCCTTATTATTCCCGTTCGTTAGGTACGGAGCTTACACTAGGTTGAGCGTCCTCTCCACCTGAGCTCCCTCGGCGAAATCGTTCTCTTCAAAATACAACATCACCAGAGGTGACTCAAGTGAGGTCCGAATTAGGGAAGCTCAACCTCGAAAGACAGGGATCCACGGACCACTCCAGGCTCCTGCAAAGGCGTTGAGGCCCCACCCAAATCGCGCGGGTCGAGGGACCCACATGTGACCGCGCGCTGCTTGAAGCCCGTTCCGAATTCTTGGCGCAGTGCGAACAACGACTTCAACTTCTTCCACCTCTTTCCGACTTTCCAACCCACCGGCAAATCGTATTTTTCTCTGCAGCAAGCCGCCATTCCTGCTGCCGCGCGTCGAAGCTCGCCTAAACGCGCGATTTACGATTTTTATTCGCGCCATCGCTACCGGATCATGGTCTAGCCCCCGCGCATCGCGCAACTGCTGCCGGGTGCTTCTCAAAACGGCGAGAAAGGAGGAGCGACGAACCGCGAACCGTGAACCGAAACAGACAATTGCGACGCCGACCTCGCCATGGCAGACGACGCCCACGCCGAGTCCGGCACCCTTAGCGATAACGACTGGAGGGCTCAGGAGGCCCGCGATGATGCTACCATCCAGCAAATCCAAGAGGGCCTAGCCAGCGGCGTTGGCGAGCTTCTCAACAAGATCGAGCAGGGCGCCTCATTTGACCAGGCCGGCAAGGCCGACGATGCTATTGATTACGAAGATATCGATCTTAGCGACGATGATTTACCCGACGAGGAACCTTCCGCGAGCGGCACCAGCGGCGATGGCCCCGGCTTGACCGACGACAATGATGACGATGATCTCTTCGGCGAAAATCTCCCCTCGTCACCACTAGCTGCCGATGGCGGCTTCGGCTCGTCTCCCCGTGCCGTGGATGACGACGACGACGATCGTATGCAACTCGATGAAGAAGCCCCCGAGTCTCTCCAGGACCTCATTGCCCTGAACTTCGACCATAGCCACAAACCGAGCGATGCGAATCAGGATCCCAACATTCCCCCACCCGCGGAGAGTCTTGCTGAGGCCGTGAAGCAGGCTTTCCCGGGCTTCAAGGAAAACACCGTGCTCCCTTGGAACGAGATTCTCCGCCCGAAACAGGCGGACTGGCTCAGCAAGAAGCCCGCCAAGCCGCCGAAGCCGCTCGTTCCGACCAAGCTCAGCTTGGACCTAGAAGCCGATCAAGAGAAGCTCTTCCGCATTCCGGGCCCGGCAACCACCTCCGTCTGGGAAAAGATTCGGGTCGCCGAATCCCGCGGCCTCGTCTCACTGGAGGAGCCCGAGCCTCTGGAGCAGGCGGATTTGGAGGTCTTCAACCTCGATGATGACTCCGATGACGAGGTTGTGGGAGGCTACACACTTCGCGACATCGCACTGGTCTGTGATGATTGGGACTCGATGATTAATCTTGGCGACTCACTTGCCACCAAATCGACCGCCGCTACAGCCAAGACGGATCACGTCTCCGACAACATGCTCATTAAGACTGAGCTTGATGGAGACGATGAGGACTGGGACCGCATGTTCCTCGATGCGCCGGCCCAGAAGCAGCGCCGGGAAATCCCCACTGGCCTGCCTCCCATCCCGCGCTTCACGGCACCTAACTTTGACAACTTTGAGGAGGCTACCGCCAAGCTCGGGAAGCGTGTCATTCTGGACATGAACGACCCGTACCTTCTCATTGACGACGTCGAGTCGGAGCGTGTTGCCAAGCGCCGCAAGGTCCAGCCCAAAATGGTGCGCATGGCGAATGGCCGCCTCGGCCGGGAGCTTTCGCAGCGTTTCAACTTCTCGTCCGATACTGCCTACGATGCCCTCAAGGAGAACAGCCAGAGCAAGGTCCGCGCCACGCTCGCTGCTATTCCAGTCGAGCACAGCATGACGGCCAAGCGCCTATCGTGGCCCTACTACAAGGTGAAGCTGTCCGCTAGCGATCCACACAGCTACCACCGGCCCCAATTCCACCCGAAGAAGGACTCCTTCCACCCGATCAAGTTTAAGCCACCTGTGGTCAAGAAGAAGAAGCAGCTCAAGGGCAAGAGAATTCCCGAGATCTTTCAGTCGTCCACAGATCTCAGCATGAACGACAACTCGACCGCCATTCTTTTCGAGTACTGTGAGGAGATCCCCATCGTCTTGTCAAACTTTGGTATGGGACAAAAGATTATCAACTACTACCGCCGCTCTAAGGGAACGGACGCTAGGCCCGAGAAGCGGGAGCTTGGAGAGCCTTATATCCTCATGCCCGAGGACCGCTCTCCCTTTGCCATGGTCGGCCAGGTTCACGCCGGCGAGACCGTCCCGACACTGCACAACTCCATGTTTCGCGCGCCCATCTTCAAGCACTCTCCCAAGAGCACAGACTTCATCCTCGGTCGGAGCACTACCGGGAAGTCCGGATCGTCCTGGTATCTCCGCAACATTGACCATCTTTTTGTTGTGGGTCAGATTCTGCCATCCATGGAGGTGCCCGGCCCGCATTCTCGTCGTGTCACCAACATCGCCAAGAACCGCTTGAAGATGGTGTCCTACCGCCTCCTGCACCGTAGCGACAACGTTACTCTAACCGACATCACTCGTCACGTTGCCGACTCGAACGAGTCGCAGAATCGTCAAAAGCTCAAGGAGTTCCTGGTATTCCGCAAAGATCAGAGGAACTGGGTTCTTCCTGAAGGCGAAGAACTGATGCCTGAGTCTGAGATTCGCGGACTCGTCCGCCCCGAGGAGGTCTGTCTCCTCGACGCGATGCAAATCGGAGCGCACGAGCTCGAGAACGGCGGTTACGAAGTCAATGATTCCCTCCTGAAGGACGACGACCTGCTAGAAGGTGAAGAGCTGCCACCGGACGCTCTTGCTAACAAAATGGCGCCGTGGCGACTCACCAAGGCCTTCATTGATGCTAGTCACGGAAAAGCTATGATTGCCGTCCATGGACCCGGAGACCCGACCGGTAAGGGTCTCGGCGTGAGCTACCTCCGAACCTCCATGAAGGGCGGTTTCCTCGAGCAGCTGCACGGCCCGCTTGCGACCTCCGCCGATGCCATTGAACGGCAGCGCAAAGCCAATGGCGGCCACATGTACAATGTCAAGAACCAAGACAGCCTATACACCGAGTCCTTGCGCGATATCTGGACTCGGCAGAAGCAGAGCCTGGAGGACGCTCAAGAACACGATGATGACGACGTGCTCGCCCAGGAGGACGAGGATGAGCGGTTCAATGTGCAGAACCACGGCACCCAGCCCGCTGCCGTCACGGATGGCGTTAGTCAAGTCAGCCAAAGCCAGGCCAGCGCCCTGAACCACCGCAAGCTCAAGATCATCCGCGAGGTGAGAGATGAAAACGGCCAGCTGCAGACCGTCACCGAGATTGTGCATGACCCAGTCGTCATTGCGCAGTACAACAAGAGGAGGCGGCAAATGGAGTTCGAAAATATTGAGTGGGTCTCGCCTTGATTTGTCCCCAAATTCGCCACCCTCGCGCCTACTAGGCAGAGATCCACCTTGTTGCCTATAAAGCTAACCAATCGCCCCAGCATTTACAACGTCAAACTCACTGGCGACCCGGAGAAAGACGACCTCATCCTTGAGAAGTATGTGTCATCCCCCCCAGTATTTATGCTTTCTTGCGTTTGGTTGTTGCCTTGGCAACGCACGACGCTGACTCCCAACAGGGCCCGCATCGAGCAAGAGCGCCTCGAAAAGAACAAAGAGCGACGTAAGAAGCGCGAGAAACAGAAGAAGCTCCAGCTCAAGATGCGCGACGGTGCCACCGCCAATGATGAGGGGTCGCCCGAGCCGACCACGGAGAAAGTCACGGGCACCACGAGAAAGTGTGCCAACTGCGGTCAAGTTGGTCATATTAAGACCAACAAGAAGTACGTATGCCCGATATGTGGTCACACCCCTACTACCGCGGAGATGGATGAACAGGATTCCGTTCAGCCTCCCAAGAAGCAACGGAAGCCTCGCAAGCGCAGCACCTTTCGTCCCACTGCGCAACCTCGCGAGGGCGATGAATTCTGGGATCCCCGATGCTGGAAAGCAAGCTCATTTGAGAATAACATGGACGGGCGTCGGTCTGCCTAGGGCAACTAGGACGCTCGTGACGGCTTAACAATGATGGTTTAGAGGTCCCATGGCTTTGGTGACGAGCTGTCTCCGAGCCACACCGATCTCATTTCAATCCTCAACAACGCAGGATTATCGTACCAGGCCAGCGAGAGGGTTTGGTCACTCTCTGTGCTGAGCCTAGGTCTTGTCTTCTTAACGATTGATGCATTCTTCTTTTTCTCTTTCCTTGCTGTTTTTTTCTTCTTTTCTTTTCCCGGGGCCAGTGGCGGAAAGGGTCAAGGTGGCCCTCACGCCAACTCAGCTTTCCGTTGCCTTTTTTCCATTTCTTACTTTTATCACCCTGTCTGTGGAATTGCCGGGATTGTCAGATCATGATGATACCCACGTTTCCCGGACTTCTAGCCCACAGCATTCTCTCTCGTCTCCGCCCCACGAACCGACACCCTTTTGCGGACGTTGGTTTTCTCTAACTAACCACTTTACAAAAGGCTCTGCCCACTTCTAAACGGCTCTCGACCGCGAGACCAGAATCCTGACGACAATGCTAGCTTCGGTGGTCAGGTAAACGCGCCGGTTGCCGCGAGCTTTGTCAACCTTGGTTGAGCCGGCAGTTAAAATAGGGGCCGACATTTCTTCAGGGTCTCGCCTATAGAGAGGCAAGACTCTGAATTTCGATGCGCCGGGACAGCATAGGGCAACTGATACTTCACTTCCTGTGAGGATCAATAACCCTTCGGCTCCTGCGAGTTACAGCCGATGGTGGAAGGCTTTTCTGTTTCGGGCCTTCAATACATGAGGAAAGAAGCGGCAAAAGAGGACAGGGATGAAACGGTTATACCACCAGCATGCGTTTTCTTTCTTTTTTCGGAGTCGTTTTCAAGCATGCATTTTTTTTGCCTCCCTTTCTTCATTGGGGAGAGCAAGGTCACGGCAACGGGCAACGGGACTACGGATCACGGACACTGGGCCTGGGCACTGGGCAACGGCGCATATTCTTCTTTCGACACGACGTGCGGAAGAAAGGAAAACCTCGATTATGAATGACGCCACAGTTTGGGGGTTGGCTGGGGCGTTTTGAGGATCCGCGCAATTTGATCTCTGGGAGGAAACGAGATGTGGTTTGGACACCAGGGTTGGGACAAATGGAATGAGTTCCTGATCGGGTGGGACGAATCAATCACTTTGGGCTGGAAGGTAACGGGCCACTCTCGTCGTCGAGAGTGAAGAGGGCTGTCATTCCTCGCCCCTCCTTTTAGGGGTGAGGTCTCTCCCTCTTCCGCCGGTTTCGTTACATTCTTTTAGCCCAACTGTCGTGTTTATTACTCGCCTGACTTGAGTCCCCTCCACCTTGAGTGGCATTTGGGAGGATGGTTGGTGGGAGTGTAGAACTGTCAAAAATACACATATTATTAATACGTGCGATGTGTTGCATGTGAGTGCTCTAAGGTAAGGCTCTTCGGGGGACTCTTCCCGTCTTCAGCAGAAGCGGGTTCACCTTCGGTCACAAAGTAAGGTGATCGCTTTCCCCAAGATCCAGCCTTGCGAGTCCTTCTCACTTACTCCGAAGTTCTGTTCCTTTTGAAGCAGTAACTTAATCGTGATTCTAATTTATGCCCCAGCGCGCTCCAGATACATCCACAAGACGCGCACTTTTTGAGCACTGTTACATCACCCATCTCGATCCCGCGTCTAACGAGGTATTGCATGATGATTTATTCATAGCTATGCAGACGCGCTGATCTTGGTGACGGGATATGTAGGAGGCCGCCCACCATACCATCAGACCGCTCACTTCTGCTGAACCTTTCTTTTCTGTTCCTTTCCCCGAGGGGCGCTGGAACTTGGGGGCCGCGGCCTGGGTCCCGGCCATCCGACGTTACGCGGCATGGTGCCTTCCCGAGTCTTGGCCACATGAGTGGGGGAGAGGTCTGGGGATGGATGGACGATGGATGGATGGATGGAGGCCAGGGCCGGGGCCAGGGCCGGTGCACGTACACTAGGTCTGCGTGGCATGGAAAGTGGGCCGCAAAAGGCGTCCCGAAGGAAAGGTGATTTTAGTGTTTTTATTATGCAAGGTGCGTTTTGTGTCTTCTGGCATTGATGAATGTGTGGGCTATATGAGTCGTCGTGGTATTACATCCACATAGTTCGACCGGGCGGACAGCTATTGCAGGAGCGCCAGGAGTCGAGGACGGACACCCATGCAAGCAAGCTGAACGGGAACAGACAACTACCGACCCACCACCCTCCTCTCGAGCCGTACACTAGTGTATATTCCTTACTTTGTCAGCAACGTTTGCGGCGAGGTCCACGATAACCGAACGCCGCAATCCAGCCGAGCGGATGGGTGGATGGGCGGATCTGCGGCGTGAAGCCGGTTGAGTCCGACTGGTAGACGTTTGTTTTTGTGCCCTTAGGCCGCATGGGGAAGCGGCCGGTCATTACAGACGCTGTTATCGGCGCTTGTTTGTTCTTGGTTCGGATTTGCTCTCTACTCAACTTAGCTCAGTTGCTCCTACCACCTTTGGTTCCATCCAGTGTTGAGAGTCAGAACTCGCCGTCGGGTTTGGGAGCTCTGGTTGGGAATTGGCGGACGGCACAAGACTGGGTAAATTACAAAATGCGTCGGTAGTTGTGGAGGAGTTGGCCAGGGATATCCACATGCCGTATCATAATAGCTGATACGGTAGCTATCATGGTGTTTCGTAGGCTACGTATCTGATGAAGGACGGCACACTGGACGCAAGGCATGTAGATCTTGTGATCAGAGTCTATCTTGAGCATCCGAACAGCGTGCCTCTGATCACACGGTGCACGTGGCCCGAGGGATAAATCTTCTGGGCGCGTACTATGTTTATCTTGCAGGTTGTGATATTGCACACCAGATAAACATCTCGTCCACCTAGCCGCCGTGTTGGCCGTATCGACGACTTACGAGTGTGATCCAAAGCTGCGGGTTGGTTAGCAACGGACGAGTCGTTGAGAGGTTTATCCCGGATCGCCCAGGGGGGGCAAGCGGGATGTGATAGAAGCGGCCGAGAATAGCTTCGGCTGGTAAACCCGATAGAGTGAGGTGCGTGATGAAGGGGTTTATTGCTGGTTCCGCTTTAAAGAACGAGGGTTTGGGGGGGAGAAAATGCAACGGGGCGGCGGGTAAGCGCGTGGATCATGGCTCCGGCCGGGCTCTCGAACACCTCCAATCCAAGGTCCTTCGACCGCAACCAAGGATGAATGAAGGCCAGATGAGCGAAGTTGAGAGGCAGCTGGGGTGGTTCGTCATCTGAAGCTCGCTTCCCACTCACACGCTCCCTTAGGGCTGCATCAGAGGAGGTGTGCAGGTGCTAAAAATAACTAAAAATAGATCGCGCTTATGCAGAAGCGGCGGAGATCGGAAGCGGGCAAATTGCACATTTTGCCCAATGACAACCATTTAACCCTCGCGGCGCCTACAGCCGCCAAGTGGGCAAATATCCGAGCCCTCCCAGCCAATCAGTGGTTGACTCACACTGGGCTCAGGGGGAAGGCTGGCCAATGAAAGAGCGGGAGAACGTGTCACGCATGGCCCACCCAGCCTGCGCCCTCGAGCTGCAGCGCAGGACACTTCCAGCAGGGAGAAGGGATGAAGACAATTCGGTCTTTTGGACATGATTCGAAGAATCGAAGCCCATCTGAAAGCCGGGGTCTGGCACAGTTTTCAGGAAATGGTACGATGACGACGCAGCATCAACGGCCTCATCAGGGGTGCTGGCCAGCCGAATTTGTCCTGGCAAGCCTGGGCACAGGGGGCTAAGGGCAACGGGGTGTTGTGTTACCCCAAAACAGCACACCGCAGGAAGAGCGAATGTCCATTCTTGACAGCCTTTCTTCCACAACGGGGCCGAATTTCCACGCGGTAGTGTACGGAGTCGGTCAGCAGCTGTAATGTACCTCGCTTTGTCCACCGCGAGCTGCAAGCCAAGGGAATGAATGGAAACAATTCTCGGAATGATTCGAACAAGGACAATCGTTCGCGCCACCTTTGCAATTGCGGCTCTTTGGCCTTCTCCGCGGCCCCACGATTCCACTCAATCCACTCAACTCTCGTGCCCGCCTTTGCGGGTCCCGAAATCGTGGGGAGGTTAGTGTAGAAGCCAAGCTGCCGGAAGGGACAGCGCCGCCCGCCGGGATCTGGGCGCGGGATCTGCACGTGTTTGGACTTTGGTGGGAAGGAGGGGGATTTGTTCCGTAGGCATGTTCCTGTACCGTGTACACTACACCAGTGTACGGAGCAGTCGAATGTTGAAGTTGGTGCGTTTGAGGTTCTCCCGTTCCGACAATAGTGCTGCCGATCAAGATCTTGTGCTGCTACTACATGTTGGGTGAAAACGGAAGCATTTTGCTGAGAGTGTACCCTCAAGGCCTGGCGGTCGATGTGAGTTCATCAATTGATAGAGGAACGGGCTGCTCAAGCTTCAAATCCTCAAGAAGTTGCTCTTTGTTTTGGTAGAGGTTTTTTTACAACACCCTGTCCCCTATTTTCTCTTCCGCTCAATGGCTTCAGCGAGGCGGTGGCCGGGGATGGCGATCTGGGAGGCTTACCCGGATATATTACCGCTGAACAACATCTTCCAGAACACCCCGATCAGGAGAACCTGCTACAGTAAAATCCGTCAACCTTCCTTGCTCCGCTATCGTCTTCGCCGCGCCACCATATCCCATACCGCAGTGTACATACACACACAGTAGTCTTTCTTACGGTTCCAGATATACCCCTGTTACTTTCTTTAGGGTTGGCATGTTTGACGCTGCGGACCTCGAAAATCGCTTCGATGTCATTGTTCTGCTCACTCTCTCAACTCGAAACCCCTTTGTCGTTGAACCCTGAAGGCTATCGCAGCAAATGAACACGACACCAGCTTGCTGCTGCATGGTCGCGCGCAGCCCTCACCTTCCTTTCACAGAGCAAAGCGAAAGCGGACACCCCATTTTTGTGTACAAGCTGTTCCGTTTCGAGCATTACCCTTGGCAGGTCCGTGGCGCGCCAATCGTATTCTTGTTTCGGCGCACCCCTTGTCTATGCCATCCCAGTCAGTGGGCTTCGGTGGGCTTTGCCAAGCCCGACTCGTGGCTTTCCGGCTTTTCCTTCCCCCATGCTGCAGCGGACCCCCCGTGCTGAGAGAGTGCCGTGGGTCGCCTTGGTGGCCCCCCGGGGGTCTTGCCTTTTCCCTTCCACCGCCCACCCACCTGCACCCTCATGTCTCTTGTCCTGTCCTCTGAACTTTCTGCGATCTATTATTAGCATCGCCAGATCCAGCCTCAACGTCGAACTGCTGCACGACCCGTCCGTCGCCGCAGGTACCGGACCGGAGGTATCTTTTTGTGAAGAAGCTACCCTTGTTTTTGCGACAAGGGAAAATTCAACGTCGGCCGCTCGCCGTGCTTTTCGGGTACCCAGTCCTCAAAAGCAAGACCCCGTCGCCCCATCCCAACATCACTTCAACTTGTCGCGTTGCGCGGAAGTCTATTCCACACGAACCGTCCAGACCGTCGGACGAAACCTGCCCTCGAGCAGTAACCCGCCACTTGCAGCCTCCACCGACGATCAGTCTTCGTCCCGGGCTGCACAGATCTAGGACCACATTACCGTCGCACATCACCACGCCGAGTCAAGCCAGGTAGGCTTCAAGCGCTGGCGAACGAACACGGGGCCCGTCGCTCCCTTATTATCGGCAGTCGCTTGTTTCGAGTCCGACCGGTAGCACATCACGTCTTCGGAAACCTATTCCCTCCAAGAGTCGACGACGCTTCGGCTGTCGCACGACCATCACCATGGGCCGCAGAAAGATCGACATCAAACCCATAAAGGACGAACGGAATCGTTCAGTGTAAGTCTCAAAAGTCTAGCCTAGGCTTAATCCAAACCTTTGGCTGACCACGGCGTGCCTTTCCTACAATTAGCACCTTTCTGAAGAGGAAGGGTGGCCTGTTCAAGAAGGCGTATGAACTGTCCGTTCTGTGCTCCGTCGATGTTGCAGTAGTCATCTTTAGCAACAACAAGAAGTTACATCAGTTTTCCTCGCGCGACATGCGCGAGATGCTCCAACGGTGGACCCTGGTATGTTCTGTCCCGCCCGGTTACATGCCCTACTAGTTCCTGGTATTGACGTGTATTTCCCCAACAGCACGGCGAGCCAAACGAGTACAAAATCCCCTCCGATTTCAACGGCGGCGCCGACGATGACGACGACGAGGAAGACAATGCCACGCCACCGCAACACGAGGGCATGGACGCCCAAATGTTCCATCCCCAGTTCCAAGCCCAGCCCCAGTTTCCGGGCGTCCGTCACCAGACCCCTTCTGCCTCACCACCAATTCCTAACGGCGTCTTCGGGCCGCGCGGGCATACCCCGCAACCCCAGATGGGCTCCCGCCCGTCGTCACGAAACGACATTCGCCGCTTGGGACCTAATATGGTGAGCCAGTCTGTCGGGCCAGCCGGGTCTCAGCCTGGCGCGGTCAACGGGTTCACATACATGCCGCAGCCGAACATGTACAACGCCCAGAATCCTCACAACCTGCCTCAGAACGTCCCTCACGGGCCGCCACAACCACATTCACAATTTCCCTACCCTCAACAGCCACAGCCGCAGCATCAGATGCAGCCATACGTGGACGAGCAGCGGCGAGCGTCGGGTCCTGCCCCTTTCCCTCACCAACAACAACAGGTCGCACAACCAGGACGCCATTCTATTTCTCCGCCACAACCTTCGCCTGCACAGCTACCCCAACAACCCGTCCCGCATATGTCGCCGCGCCCGCAGCCACAACACCAGCAGCAGCAACAGCATCAACAGCATCAACAGCAACAACAACATCAACAACAACACCAGCAGCAACACCAGCAGCAGCAGCCGCCGCAAGCCCACCCCATGCAAAGCCCACCACAACCACAACAACACCTACCACCCCCACCGCCGCCTCCCCAACCTCAAGAGATACCCCACATCTTCGTCCCGCCTCAAGACTCTCAGCCACCATCATCAGGATCCGCAGCCGCCCCTGCCCCCATGGAACCACGGCCACGGCCAGAACTGGTAGATCGGGCGCGGCAGCCCCTTTTGCTGGATACCAACATCAAGAAGCAGGCCCCTCGCAAGGGAGGCAGCATATTCACGCCTATTGACGAGAACCGGTCGATTCTTTCGCAACATCTTGCGGCTTTCCATCACCCGGAAAGCAAGTCCGATGTGAACAGGTCACAGTCTATTGACGGTACGGGTGTGTCAAGGGGCAGCAACCCAAATTCACCCCCCTCGCTTCCGCGCGTGAGCACACAACTCCAACAGCCACAAATCAAGCGGAACGGTTCATTGGGGACGATCCCAGAGACCGTTTTCACCCCGCCCTCGCGTTCCAACAGTTTGCGCGTTGGCGGTAGCCTCTCGGCACGCCCACAGCTCAAGGTGCAGATTCCCAACGGAGGGTCTGACGGCGGCAGCGCCACGAACGAGTCGGCTTCCCCGCACGGTACTTTGACTACCGCAACGGACGTGACTTCACAACCCTCGCGGCGCCCGACGGACTCGCACTCCTCGGGGGTTGTCCTACCTCCCCCCTCCCCTTCCGCCTCCAACAACCTGCTCTCCGCAGGTGCTACTGGGCCCCCGAATCCCTTTGCTCGTCCTCCTCCGCATCAAAGTTCCAACCACAACATCGACACTCCCGTGTCCGCCTTACCATCTCGCTTCCTTGGTGAAGGCTTGCTGCCCAGCCCCAACGGATTCTACGCGGACTGGAGCATCAAGGGGAACGAACACAACACCCTTAGCCCGCTGACGTGGTCGACGCCTGTCGTTGGGACGGGTCCATCCTTCTTGAGAGATGACCTTGCACCGCTAAAGCGAAAGAGCCCTGACCTCAACAATGGGACCCATGGTCCCGGTGGGGGTGCTGGTGCTGGTGGACATCACCATGAAGGGGCTGGGAGTGGTGAGACGGTGGGGAACGAGCCGAAGAGGCTCAAGATTGAGCACTAAGCCCGTCATAATATATAACCGTTGCCTTCTTCCGCCCATACCGTATTCTACCCTACTTCTTTTCTTCGTCGGATACTTTTTTCTCCTCATTTTTCGAAGTTTCACCTACACAACTTTTTTCTTCCTATCTATTTCTTCAATGACTTGGCTTTTCAAGTCAGAGTCATACCTCGTTTCTACCCGGCCATATCCGGTTCACGTTGGTAGATATAGCCTGCTGTTTGTCTAAATGAAATGGCATGGGAATTTGGCGTTGGGTGCCTCAAAAAGGAGGCGACGGGACAGGTCTGAATGAGACGGAATGGGATAGTATCTTGGTTGGGCGATTGGCGGGTAGCCATGACTGAACGATTTGTGACGGAAGGGGATTTTTTTGACTGGACCGGCTCTCTTTTTTCTTTCTCACTTCTGTCTTTTTCTGCGATTTTCGGTGGGTGTCTGTTCTTCTTATTTGTTACTTTTCGTTTTCTTTTTCTTGTTCATTCGAGGGACTGTTGCATACCCCCCTTCTCATTTTTTCACGTACGCAAATTTCCTGATGTTATATGGGAGAATGATGAACCCTATGTGTGTGTGGCTATTGTCGACAGCGAAAGGCAAGCGGGTTTACAGATAAAATTGCAAAATGCAAATAAATACGCAACAATACTGATCGCACACCTATGAAATGCTCCCAGTTGTGTCGATGATTGTCTGTGATGCGACTCGGGAATCGAGATCACTTTTAGCATTGGATGTTGCCCTGCCTCTCTGTGCCGGTTGGCTACCTACATATGGCCCCCATAGGGCTGAAAGACCAGTGCAATCAATGATACGGGATGGAGGGACGGCCCGCGGCGCTTGCCGCTTGTTGTTTGTCGTTGCTGTTGCTGTTGCTGCTGGCCTGCGGCTCGGCGGCCAAGCCGGGGTGGGATTGTTAGGGTTTGGTAAACTCGTGGTATTAGTTGCAAAGGACCAACAAGGTTGCGGGAGTGAATTTGGTAGTTGGTTGGCGGGAGAGCAAACACATTTAGGGAAACGCGTGCGTGGGTGCCGGTGTGAATATCTCTTGTGTTTGCGAAGTAGGCTGCACCAAAAAGGGTATCATATGATAATTCTTCCTAACTTCAACCTCCAACCTAACTACACCCACATTCACCATCATCATCACCCAAACTTATCATGCTTACCCTTCACCTGAATATCCAACAACGCCTCATGATAATTCCCCTCCCTCCTCGCCTTCTTCAACAACTTCACCTCATCCTCCTCCAGCCTCCTCCCCGCAGCCTCCTCCAACTCCCGTCGACTAATCTTCTCCCTCGCCTTCTCCTCCTTGGACGCCTTCAGCCGCGGCTTGAAGCGGGCCTGCATGCGGATGCGCAGGGTCGTGTTGAAGGTGATGTCGGCTTCGTCGCCGCGGACTTCGGGCGGCGCGTTGGGTTTGGCGGTGCGCGGGGCGCGGATGGTCAGGAAGGTGTCGCGGAGGGTTTGGATCTGGAAGGTGCCCGGTGTGTCGGCTGTGGGGAGGAGGGAGAAGGTTTCGAGGGGGGTGATGGCGTCGGAGGTGGCGGTGAGGAGGCCGGTTTTGTCGCAGGCGAGGTACCTAGGTTGGGGGAAGAAGAATGTGAGGTTAGCGTACGTGGGTGGTTGTGGTGTTGTGTGTTCATGGGAAACTGGAGGGGAAAAGGCGAGCCAGAGGGTACGAAGCTACTCACTTCCCATAACGGCCCCTGAACCGGTAATGCTCGGTCCCAACAATCCGGTTGGCCACCCACACCTGTCGTACATCGTGGGGCTCGGCGCTCGCGGGGTTGGCGTCGAGGATGTTCTCGATCAGTATTGCAAAGACCTTGCCGGCGGCGTCGCAGGCCAGTGCGGTCGGCGGCTCGCTGGGCAGGACAAACATAATGGGCCCGGAGACATCGCTCACGGTATCTGCTGAAACCCAGCTGTCGTCCTCACCATCCCCGGCGTCAGCGCCTATGTTGGCATCGTTGTCGGCTCGTGGTGCTTTGATTTGGCGTTCTGAGTTCTCCCCTTGCTCTAGGCTGGCACCCCCGCTGGAGTCGGTGTGTTTCCTCTTTTTGGTTTTTTTGTCGCCTTTAAAAGAGAGTGGCTTGACCATGATGGGCGGTCTGTGGTGTTGTCGAGGTCCTGGGGTTCCTCAAGATGCAAGAAGACCACCGGTGTATTGAGGTACGTACATACCGAAGTATCATGCTTGCGGGGGACACCTTATCGATAAAGACCAGCTCGAGGTAACTTCGTGGTCCACCGTCGTCATCCACCTGCCGAGTTCAGCAAGTGAGAGGTCAACCGTTGCTTGGCGTTGCCCCACCATCTTGAGGGGCCGGAGCTTGATCACAAGAGCAAGAAACTCTTTCACCAAAGCTTCTTTTTACATCTTTTTGAGTTGCTGGAATTCCAATACCTTGGAACTGATCTAATACAATATGGCTCCCATCGCGCAAGCTGTAACGGTCTCATTGCAAGACCTACAGAATGGTATGCAAGCTCTAACCGGACTACTCCGGCCCCATGCATTAAATGAATTACATAAACGGCGTCCTTACCCCCTCGCTTGTGAATGGTGTAAGTGGCGTCACTAACATTGCTTCACCCTCAACCAGGCACTGTAGCCTCGGAGACGCTTTATGAAGCCTTTGGGCCCGACTCGCTAGGCATTCTTGTCGTCAAGGATGTTCCGCCTCAGTTTGCCGGGCTTAGGAACCATGTGCTCTCCTACTCGTCGTACCTAGGGAACCTACCCGTCTCAGAGCTCAGTGAGTACTTACATGCAAAAGCCAAGCTAGGCTGCTTAACTTGTGATTTACCTGTACTAATCGACCATATCTTTTCTCGCCCGAACTTAGACAAGCTCGAGAATGAGAAGGCCAAGTACTTGACCGGCTGGTCACGCGGGAAGGAGACGCTCAAGAACGGTCAAGTCGACACGCTCAAGGGGTCCTTCTACGCCAACTGTGCCTTCTACGTCGACCCTGCACTCTCGTGCGCGGCGCCAACCGAGCAATTCAACACGGACAACTTCCCCGAGTACCTGTCGCCCAACATTTGGCCGGACGAGGTGACGCTGCCCGGGTTCAAGGAGTCGTTCGAGGACCTCTGCCGGCTGATCATCGACACGGCCGTGCTGGTGGCGCGGGCGTGCGACCGCTTTGCCGAAACCGAGATCGCAGGCTACCCGGGCGGCTACCTAGAGCGTGTCGTGAAGACATCGACGACCACCAAGGCCCGGCTGCTGCACTACTTCCCCGAGGACCCAACCAACCAGCCGGCCCCCGTAGCCATGTCCGACGCCGCCGCCAACACCAACGACCCGGATGAAGACGACTGGTGCGCTACCCACCTCGACCACGGCTGTCTGACGGGGCTGACCTCGGCCATGTTTGTCGATGAGTCCCGCGCCGGGTCCAACCCGCTGGTGGCATCACCGGAAATCGAACCCAAGGACCAGCCGTCGTCATCCGCCAAGGGCTCCAACTCGCATCTCATCCCACTAGACGAGCTTGATGCGTCGCCGGACCCGGCCGCGGGCCTGTACATCAAATCACGCACGGGGCAAACGGTGCATGTGCGCATTCCGCGCGACTGCATCGCGTTCCAGACCGGCGAGGCCCTGGAGCGCATCACCGGCGGCAAGTTCAAGGCGGTGCCGCACTTTGTGCGCGGGGCCCGCGCTGCGTTGAGTGAGGGCCGGATCGCCCGCAACACGCTGGCTGTCTTTACTCAGCCGAACTTGGGTGAGGAGGTTGATATGGAGCAGCATATCACTTTTGGCGAGTTTGCGAGGGGTATCGTGGCGAAGAATACCGTGTCGTGAAAATCTAAGGGGGGATCTGTAGTTGTAGTTTAGTACTCATTGTAGTTTTTTTTTGAAGTTGTGATGTTTTTGCGGGTGGTTGTAGGTTGTAAGTGAGTGTGTTGATATTCCAGAATAATTATCAAGAAAGAAGAGATCCTCGAAAAACCGTCCCGTTTAATGGCCGAATAAAAGTGCAAAACAACAGGATCTGAGCAACGATAGAAACGTTGAAGGTTGAAGAGGCACTTGACCATCTGCGAAATCGCGAAACCCACTGATCAACCCCCTGTCAGCGCATCACACGCCCCCACATCTCGGTGTTTAGCGCGGTCTTTTGCGCGACATCCTGCGGGGGCCCCCCTGTTCGCGACCGAATTAGTGGATAGCTTCCGGCACCCAAAATTGCCGCTTCGACGCAACTTTGACCTCGTCAAGTCCGAGTCCAATCACTCCTTTACACCTTTTTTTCTTTTGCTCTTTTGGCTTATCAAGAGGGCTCGGGTGTTCCATATGCATTGAGGCATTTTTACCGACCCAATTGACCGTCTAATTCAAAGCCGCCGTTTTATCTTCTCCCACAAACCGACCCGAACAAACCTCCATCCAGTAAATATCGTCTCAACACCTATCCCGAGCCATCCGAACCGAGATGCGCACTCCAACACTCGCGATACCAGCCGCCGCATGGCTCCTCCTCTTGGGGACAGCATCAGCAGTGCCCGCTCCACCACTAGAAGAACTCCCAACAACCGCCGACCCAGCCGCGCCCTGGGTCACCGTCGATGAGGCCGGGGCCACCCAGACCGTGACGCCCGTTCCCACTACCATTGACGGAGTCGCGACTATTCTCAACGCTGCACCTGAGGCTACAGACGCTCCTTCTGCGGAGCTGGTACCTGCTGATAACGATGCGGGCGCTGATACCGGTGCGGGTGCTGGTGCTGGGGGGCATCGCGAGTGCCGCAACTCGGACGGCCCGTTCAAGCCCTTTTGTCTGCCCAAACATCACGATGTGTACTTTGCCGGGTCAACACACTATGGTGCGTCTCTCTCTCCCTCTCTCTCTTTCTCTTCATGCGTCCCCAACCCGAGCTATTGACCACACAACTAACCCTTTAACCCTCCCACCATCAGTAACCTGGGACACAACCTTCTTCGCCGACCAAAACACCACCCTCAAAGTCCTCGGCTTCTACACCAACACCTCCGCCCCGACCACCCACCCCCCCACCGACCACGAAGCCCCCGACGCAAGCCAAGAAGAAGAAGAAGCCTTCTCCTCCGACACCACCTCCGCCGCCTGGGGTTTCTACCGCTGGCACCTCGACGGCGGCGCACTCCTCTCCAACCCGGGCTTCGAATCCGCCAACATCACCCTCCGCATCGCGGCCCTCCCCTCCGACGGCCGCGCAGCCTCCTGGTACGACGGTCCGACCATCTCTGTGCAATGGAAGCCGCGGCCGCCGAAGGAGAAGCCGGGGCACGTCCCGACCCGCGCCGATGACCAGGTCTTGTATGTTGCGCTGCCGCTGGTGTTTGGGTTTGCTGCGGTCATGATTGCGGGGACGTTTTGCTGGAACAGGCAGCTGCGGAAGATTGCTATTGCTAGTGCTATGGGCCGGAGTAATACGGCGGGGGGGTCGAGGCGGTTGAATGCTGCGAGTCGGGTGGGTGTGGGCGCGAGTCGGAAGGATCGGGCGAGGAATCGGGACCAGGAGCAAGGGGTGCGGTTGATGGAGCGGGGTGGTGGGGGGAGTAGTGATGATGAGGATGGATGGAGGGGGGGTAATGCGTGGGGGGATGATGCGGCTTCGTCGGGGGCGGCGGGGAGAGTGTTTGATCGAGTGGATCGGAAGAGGATGTAAATGGAAGGACTTGGAAAGGAAGGGAACGTGGGAAGAGAGATTGTGTGTGTTTTATGACTTGGCTGCGGGAATGTAAACATCAACTTTGGGTTGGTTTCTTTTTGGGACATAATTAGACTGGTTGGGCCATGTGTAAGTCGCAGGAGTACAAAAGGGGCGCATACTATGTACAGATGTGCATACGGAGACATCTCACGAGGGAGCGAGTGGCTATCGACCTACGGAAGGCACATAACGTCACGCCGAGTTCAGCCCGGGAATGTGAGGGGGGTTCCAAAGACAAACAAACCCTTACCGCGGCAGTCCACCCAAAGATGCTTTGGGTACTGCAATCAATAATACGCTATTACAAAGTCAAATACATACCAAATATCAAAAGGCCTACCAGCTACTCCCAGTTGATCTCCCAATTCTCTACCCACGCACCCTGGGGAAAGTAGCGATCCAACCCAAACAGTGACAACGCGGCCGCTCCTGCATCATATTTCCAGCTCTTCACACCCAGCACCTGGCTCTTCACCCAGATCCTCACAGGCCCTTTGGCTAATCCCATGACCGTGATATTGCCCAGGGGGTGGTTGTCGACGTAGTCGCCTAGGGGTTCTGCGACGATGGTTGTGTTCGTGGCCGTGAACTATCGTCGTTGGTGTTAGCAATCAAGGGGGATGGCGAATTTGGGAGTTGAACAAGAGGGAAACAAAAAGGGAACCAAGATAAGAAAAAGACTTACATGCACCCACTTAACCGCGGCCGGCTCCAAGCTTTCTCCGTCATCCAGATACAAATCCCCCTCCGCCGTCCCGTCCCGATCCAACGCCACAATCAACCCCCACGGATTTTCCCTGCTCTCCTTCGTCGTCATTCCCGGTTCCTGTACCGGCACCACGTTGCCCCCGCGCAGATACACCGGAATATGCCCTAGCGGCGCACCGATCGTGACGTTCTGCCCTGGCTGCACACCCGCCGTCGCGATCTTGGAGGTGTACCAATCGTACCAGACCACACCGTCCCCCACACCAGGGAACACCCCATCGACAGTATCCGCGCCCTGTTCCAAGCACGGCGTTACAAGAACCGCGCTGCCGAGCAGGAACTGCCGGTCTGCGGCCGCCAGCCACGGCTCGTTGGGGAACTCCCACGCCAGCGCGCGCATGACCGTGCTGCCCGTCAGGCTGGCTCGGGTCATGAGCGTGTACAAGTACGGCAGCAGGGTGTAACGGATGCGTATCGCGGTCTTGGTGGCCGCCGTGACGCTGCTCCAGATGTACGGTTCCTGTGGGATGGCGCCGAGGACGTTGTGGTTGCGGTAGAAGGGGAAGAAGGCGCTGAGCTGCATCCAGCGCGCGCATAGCTCGTAGTCGGTGTTGCCGCCGAACCCGCAGGTGTCGACGCCAAACATGGGGATGCCAAAGACGGAGAAGGAAAGCGCCTGCGGGATGCTGAAGTACATGTGTGCCCAGAGCGCTTCGTTGTCACCGCCCCAGTGGCCGGCCCATCGGCCAGACCCAGCAAAGGTGCTACGCCCGATGATAAAGGGGCGTTTCTCGGGGAAGACTTTGAGCAGAGCTTGGTAGGTGGCGTTTAGGATCTGGTGCCCGAAGAGGTTGTGGAAGTCGTATTGAAGATACCCGCCGTGGTGCGTTGCGTTGGGACTGATCGCATGTACGGCCAAGTCGCCGTGGAAGTTGTTGATCACGTAGGGAGGCCAATTTACGTTCCTCGCTCCAGGAGTCGCGGTGGTGCGGAGGTAGGTTGTCGAACTGGTGGGTGTTGGGACTGCTACCTCCCGCTTGTGGACGGCCGAGGACGCAAAAGCGGCTTCGGACCCATTGGTGCGCTCGAAGCCTTCCGGATAGCGTACAACTGGGTTGTTGGGCTCTCCAGGGAGATCAAACGGAGGATGTGCTGGGTTGAGTGTCAGGTTTCGAGAACCACAGCTACCAACACAGAACGAGGCAACCTACGCAAGTCAGTACGATGCCAGAATAAATTTATAGAATATGAAATGCAAAATACCTCTGACATATCAATCCATATCCCATCAAACTGCCCAGGTTAGCCTCTAGTCGTTGCCTTATTAGACCTAAAGCCAAGTCATTGACACTTACAGACACCTTCTTCGACCACCTCGACAGCTCGTCAATCCACCAGTCAATCGCACCGCTACCGTTGAGCACAGCACCGACCCAGTCGGGGAATACTACACACTTGGTCAGCTCAGAAACCTCGAAAGCCTAGATAAAGGCTGGCTCACCGGTGAAACCAGGCCATACAGCCCCGTAGTAGATGGTACCGTCTGGGTTCAAGACAAACGCATCGGCCTCCAGTCCGCGTTGGAACGGAGCATAGGCGTCGTCCTTTCTGCTCGGGTTCGGGGCGTAAATGGCAGAGTCTACGATGGGGACAAAATGCTGGTGGTTTGCGTGAAGCTTGTCTAGAAATTTGGCGCCTTCATCATAGCTGTATCTCACAGGGTCGTTCTCAAAGTCGCGGTATTGTCTCATGTAGTCGATGTCGGCTGTAAACGAGGTCAACCTAAGCACACAGCTTGCTTCGAGAACATATCGTTCGAATACACTCACTCCAGATAGTCTCCAGTGGTATCTCAAACTTGGCAAAGTTATCCACCACGTCCTGCAGGGCTGCCCAGCTTTCATACCCCCAGCGACACTGATGAAAACCAAAAGTCCAGTACTGCTGCATAGCAGGTAGCCCGGTTGTTGTCTGTTGGTAGGAAGCGATCACGTCGCTCGCTTGGGGGCCGCTGTAAAAGTACAGGTCGATGCTCCCTCCCAGCGATCTCCACGTAATCCCAGACGGCCGGAGGAGGATTTCCTGCGCATGGGCGTTGCGGAGGAACACGCCATGGGTATATGACACATACTTGACCGACTTGTCCGTCGCGTCGGAGGAGTAGGTGAGTGCCCCTGAATCGTCGACGGCGAAGTACCTAGTGTCGAGGTATATTGGATGGCTTCCGTAGAGGTTGGCATCGATCACGTCGCCCACATCGGCAGCAAAGAGTGTCCCTTGTCAACCATTAGTCTCAGCCTTACCCGTACAATACCAATCGGGGCAAACCTACTCGTCAAGTTGTTTCCGAGACGGAATCCATGGATGACCTCTCCAAGGCCGTACAGATTGTAATTCTCGGGAAGCGACGAAGCAAACTCGATGAATTGGTTCTCGTACACAAGGGCTTTGCCCTCTGTGGAAAAGAGGACATCTCCAGTGTCCACACGCGTGATAGAAAACCAAAACGACGGGTCATTCGACCATGATACCGCCAAATTGTACGCCTCCACATGACGCCCGTGCTCAGTCGACGGTTGGGGGACGAGTTCCTCCGGCAGGAGAAACCAAGTCTCGTTATTGGCCCCAATGTAGCGTGGTTGGATCTCGACATGGACGCGGCTGGCCCCCTGAAACTCGATGGAGAGGCTCAGATGTTCAACATCGTTACCGTAGACGTTGCAGGCAGGGCCGGCGAGGTCGAGGTCCGCCCAAAACCCGCTCTCTGTCTCATGGACATTGGATGCCCTGTAGCCGGAACACACTTTCTGGGGGTCGACAGCTTCGGGATCATCGATGTTTGGCAAGACATTCTTGCCAATGTCAGCGGAGGCCGGAAGCGTAAAAACAGGAGACTCGCTGATAGCAGGTGTTGCCGTATCGCCGACCCAACCTTCGACGGGTTGCTGGTGTTGTCCCAGAGTTATCCGCAAGTTGAGCCCAGCCAGAAAAAGGAGCGATATGAGAGTGAACAACGCCATGACGGGAAGGACCAGCTTGAGCTTCTTAGCATGGCCTTTTTGTAGCAGTCTAATTCGACCACGTAGTACATAAAACAGGCCGAGACAGGACAGAAGAAGTAGGAAGAACCCCGGGAGTAAATACTCCAAAGACTCAGCGCGACCCAAGTCGGATAGATCCCTACTCCATCTCGGGGGTGACCGCCTTGTGGAAGACTCAGAGCATGTCCCGGCCTGGTTACGCAGGAAAGATGCCTGTCCATTGCTCGGGTTGTTGCATTCGCCCGTCTGCCCAGCTCGAGCGGTTACGAGTCCGACCGCAGAGAGGTACAAAACGAAACGGACAAGGCCCTGTGCCGGCGGAGTGAAGAGGAGCTACAAAGGCATATTAGCTGGATATCGTAACCAGACGATGGATCCCATATCCGGCTCCGAGGAGGCAGATATCACCAGAGGACAGAGCTTACGTTGCAGGTAAACTCCGTCCTCCTTCCGTCCTTCTTTAGTGCCAGGATGTCCGTCCCACTTACACGGCTGACAGCAGGCATCCTCGAAGCCTGGACCGTGAGGGCGTCCATGATGACTCCTGTTGATGAGTATTCTGGTGCTTGCCTAGTAAAGGAATTTTGTTTCTTTCTTTATTTGATCGTTTGTCAGGCGGTAAAAGTAAAGGTTGGAAATAGAAAGAGAATCGTCGACGACGCCAATCCCCGATGTTTGGTTGGTCGAGCCCAATTGGTTGAACTCGGACCGGTGAAGCCTGGTTGCGATTTACTTGTTCTAAGTATTGTTCTCTCCTAGGAGTTGGGAAGAAAGCGCTGTCATGGATGACCATAAAGGTCGCGCAATTCTTCCGTGGTGTATTGTTTCATCGAGTCCTAGTGTTTGCTCTGAAGTTCTTCCGCTGTTTACGATAATGTGTTGTGTAACCAATGTGTGTAACTATGATGTTGGCGGTCTTGGGAGAACCCACACCTGCAGTTGCAGGTAGGTAGGTGCCCTTGTATATACATACCTTCCAGCCCGGTTGTTATACACACATATTCTGAGCTTTTAATTGAGACTCGGCACATCTGCTGCGAATCACACTCAAAGCTATGTTTTCACTTCTTGTGGATTTTACCTCCTGCTCTGACGGTATAAAAAGGCTCTGGGGTACTTTACACAAGCCAGCCATGGGTATGGCGTTATTGTATAGTTAGCAGTAATCCTACAACGATGGGTCGTGCCATCCTTAATACCAAAGCGTTCGGCGAGAGGAGATAAGATATAAAAGGAGGAGGAGGATGGGAAAGAAAAGCAAGAACGGCAAGAAGAAGGAACAGTGGAACAAAAGAGCGAAGAGGGAAGAGAGGAAAGAAGATAAAACGAGAAAAGGAAAATGAAACCCGGGAAAGAGGGCACCAGAAGTGGGGACGGGTGCAAGAGCAGATGTCTTGCATCGTTCGAACGTCAACATGACGAACCCCCTCCTGCCCTCCCTCTCGCTCGTGCTATTTAAGTCGGCAAGACCCTAAAAACCTCTCGTTTCATATCGTTCACGTCACACGACAAAAAACTGTACGCTCACCAACCAACACTCGTCGAGCCAGAACAGAAACGCAAGCCTGGAGGGGTTTCAGAAATGGACGCGACTGTAGCAATCACGGGTTTACCAGCCCACCAACATCGGCGCGTCGTATCCGCAGATGACCCTCAGCACCCCATCCAGAACGTTCATAAGAGGAACCAAAGCGAACAAGGACCCGGTGTGCCCGACATTGGCGAGCTCGACGATGAGAAAAATTACTACGGCGGCGCGTTCGACGCCCTTGCCCCGGTGGGTATCTCGTTCCGTGGCCCAAACCGCAGCGTACGTACCAGCAATGCGGCGCCAGAACGGTTCGCCAGGGCCAGGGCGTATCTCCACCACAAATTCAATGTTACCTCAGTCCACGTCCATGGACGTTGGCTCGTTTTGGGGTGCGCGCCTGCTGTCCCCAGCAGCAGGATGCCAGGCCTCGCTGGTGGCTTCCTGGCTATCTGGAGGCCGGCCGATAGAATGTACTTTCAGCCATTCATCGGAGAGGAGGGACAAAAATACCTTGAGGGAGAGGAGGAGGATGAATTTAAGATCGACGAGGCCATCTTAGCACGCTTCGAACCCGGCGTCATCCCGAGGACCGACGCGGTCCTTGGCTTGGCCAGCCTGTTCCCGGAGTGCGTTGCACTCACATTTGTTGCCGGGACCATTGTCATCGAGTACCCGACAACCGACGAGCAATCTTTCGAGCAACGGCTCCAAACATTACCCGACTACCTGCCCAAAGCCCCTTTCGCTATTCGCTACCACAATGGGCCCCTTCCCAACACCCCACAGCGACGACGTTTACGCAAGCCAAGGCCCCAGCTTGAAGAGGATTCCCGGGTTGAAGATGAGACCGATTACGTGGCCCGGGATGGCAAATTCTACCCAGGTAGTATGATCTCATCCATTGCCTTAGACGGCACGACATACTGCTCAGTGTCTGCCGGCGTCCTATTGTTCAACCAAGACGACGTAAAGCTCACTTGCCCGTGGCATAACTGGGAGGACCACGCTGCCAAGTACCCCGCACTGCTAGGAGAAAATAACGACGAGGCACGGCGAGTTTTTACAATGGTCCAAGGAGAGCCCGGAACCAAGGTTGGCCACGTGGTGAAGCGCGTTGGCAATACCGACATTGCCTTGGCATCCCTTCTCGATGGGGTCGACTTTGAGAACAGATTCATGGACATTCAGGCCTGTGCGAAGAGGCTCGTCCACAGTAACTCGATTCAAACCGGCGACATTTACGTCATTGATGGGTTTACCACTGGCTCCCAACGGCTTGTGGGACTCGGTGCGCGGTTCGAGTTAGGAATGGGGCCTGCCTACTCAGACGTAGTATCGCCGAGTGGGGGTGAGTCGGTATTGCCGTCCCGAGGGACATATATTGCGGCGAAACAAGGTGTGTCTGGGACGATAGACGATGTACAAGCTAAACCGCCCTATATTCGAGGTAGGGCCTGTGGGGCGGTGTTAGTACGAGTCCGTGATGGCCAGGAGGTGGGCGGTGGCTCTGATCCGAAGGAGACGTTGGCTCGTGGGGAAGTGTGCGGCGTCTTCCACTACGCAGACCTTACATCGAAGTACCGAGAGTCCGCAGCGGATTACCTCGCCTACACCGAGGTGTTCGACCCCCTCATTGAGGAGGGGTGGCGCGTTGTACCAGCCTTCGGTGAGGCAGTGCAGGAAAACGTCGTGGGGCCGCCAGAAGATGTGAGCTCCCTAGAGGCGGCAACGCCTCGGCGTACTGGGTTGAGGAGCCAAGGCCGCATGTCGACGGCTCAGTGATGGCCCCAAGCTGAGCCCCCGAGCCCCCCGGGGCAACCCCATGAGTGGCTTTTGGGCTGGACTGGCACATCAAAAGTCGAGCCGAAAGTGAAATGAGTCAGTTGCAGAATATGGGGGATTTATGCTTGGGGAAGTGGGAAGAAGAGGGGAAAGAAGGAGGAAAATAAGAAGAAGAGGCGAAGAAAGAGGGAAAGGAAGGAGAGAGCAAGGAAGAAAGAGGGAAAGAGCTTCTGAACCGCGAACAAGAACAAGAACAACTACCTCTAGCTTCGCCAAAGCATCAGGTCGCTCGCTGTAAACTACTTTGTTAAAAATCGATGTATTTGATCGCGCGGCCACCCATCCAAAGGAGGTTTAAGGACGGATGAAGGTTTGGGCCACGAACGAATCTTTAGCTACGCTGCCTCGAGCAAACTCTTCAAGGTATAATAGGCCTACACCTTCAACGTCGATGGGCAAAATGTTTAAAAAACGCTCGACACGGTCACGAGCGGCCTTGATTCGAATGTCGGGCGCGCCACGACTTCGTGAGATAGACTAGACCGAGCCCACATTCCAAAATAACACGAAAAACTCCTGCCCCAAATAACCATACCTATAACCGAGTCAAAAAACACCATATAAACCCCAACATTTAATGCCCAAAGAATTTACCCGCCGTTGACGCCTGCCGTTGAACTCCGTCATGATGGAACTCCGTCGCTGGTATCCTTCCCACCGCATCCAAGAAGCCGAAGCAAACAAAACGCGACCGGACAATCCCCAAAACCTTAGTAACTCAAATCGATATGACCCATTTGGGACAGCATTTTCGCGTCCTGTGAATTCGTCGCTGTCGTGTTCGTTGTGGCGCTCCCGCCCGCGTCCGATTGCTGTGTACTAGCATTTGATGGTTGAAGTTCGAGCTGTGGTTCCGTTGGGGGGATCCCGCTGTCCGAAAACCCAAAATCCCGCATTTGCTGGAAACTCCAACTCGGTTCAAAGCTCCTACTGTTCCACGCGTGTTCCACCCGTTCGTACATTTCGTCGATCTGTTCCAAGCTAATTTTGCTGGTTTCGTACACCATCAACCACACGAAGAGGATAGATAGGATACAAAACGCGCCCCACACAAAGAAGACCCGAGAACCTAGGTCGGGGGACCCTGCTGAGTTATCGACCAAGTACGGTGTGCCGTACGCAATGCCGAAGTTGAGGAGCCAGTTCGAGGCTGTGGAGACCGACATGGATTTCGCGCGAACCTTCAAGGGGTAAATTTCGGAGGTAACGACCCATACAACAGGGCCCCAAGATGCGGCAAAGAAGAATATGTATATGGCGACGAAGATGATCAAGATCTGGTTTTGTATCGGCTGGTTGTTGTCGCCGTTGGCGGTAGCGAACGAGGCGATGAGCAGCTGACAGATAGCCATTCCGACTGACCCCACGATGAGGAGCTTCCGTCTGCCCCACGACTCAACAACAAACAGTCCGGGGAATGTCGACACCATGTTAATAACCTGCATGATTAGTGATATGGTAAACGGGTTGTCCACTCCTGCCCCAGTGAAAAAAGTCGTCCCATAATACATGATAAAGTTGACGCCGGTGAGTTGCTGGAGCATCTGCAGGCCGCAGCCGGTCATCGTCCGGCGACCAAGATGAGGCTCGCCGAAGAGGATATCTTTATAGGTGTCCGGGCCGAGTGCCATTTCATACTCGTGGTTGGCCTCGATTTCCGCCAACTCCTCGATGAGGGCGGGGTGCGTGATGTCGAGGCGGCGGAGGCGGCTGAGTGAGAGAGCAGCGGCGTCTTTGAGACCACGTTTTACTAGGTACCGTGGTGTCTCGGGTAGGATTAGCAACCCCAAAGCCAAGACGACGGCCCATGTTAACTGGAGGCCCATGGGGATGCGATATGCCGCGGCTGAGTTTAGTTGATAGGTGAGGATGTTGACGGTAGCCGCAGCGAGTAACCCCACGGTGATGGATAGCTGATATGCGCAGACCAATGTTCCACGAATCCACTTGGGGGCCATTTCCGATTGATACAACGGGACCAGCACCGAGACGATACCCACCCCGATGCCCGCCAACGTTCTATAACCTGAGTTAGCGACATCGGCTATTGTGAAGAAAAGGGACGACACCCATGTGGACGCGAAGGGAACAAACACACCTCCCAACTACAAGCTGCGTTACATCGACGGCGCATACTTGAAAGATACCGCCGACGCAGAAGAGTCCGATGGCGAAGATGAGTGATAACCGACGGCCCCAGCGGTCCCCTATTGGCGCTGAGAACAAAGCTCCGACCGCCGTCCCTGCGCTGAGCATTGCAACAATTAATGAAACTTGGCTCGGATACATTCCCGGCTTGTCGTCTTTGCCGATGAAGCCGGTCGAGAAGTCGTTCTTGAAGGTGTCCATGACGAGAATCCCATTGATCGCTCTGCGAGAGGGTGTCACGGTCAGCGTCTGTCCTCTTCCATCCTGCCGTCTCTTCAACCCATCCTATCTCCCACCCATATCAGGGCGATGCATCCCACAAGACTGCTTACCCAGTGTCGTAACCGAATAGCAACCCGCCCGTGGCAACGAACAACCCGACCATGATCGCGGGCGCTGAGGAGCCGGCGACATTGTCGGGTTTGTGCCAACCCATGGCGATCTTCGCCATGGTGGGAAGAAAAGAAGCGCTCCTCACGCCAGATTTGATGTCGCTGCCGCCGAAACTGTCGTGGGTCGACGATTCGAGGTCGGAATACGTCGTCGAACCATCTGAAAAGTGTGGGTGTTGTTTGTCGTCGTGCACCCCCCAGGAGGTCTTGGTCTGGGGAATGGATAATATGGGGCGGGAGGGAGAAACATGCGGGTGAGAGGCTTCGAGATCAGCAGTTTTCGCCCGCTGCCGGGGATCCGTTCTGTGATTGGCTTCGCTCACCCCGGGCAAGTCCAAGGGAGCCCGTGCATTCGATGAACCGAAGAGACCGGGGCCAACCCACCCTCCCACTTCTGTCCAGAAAGTCACACCTCCGACTTTTTATGCCCCCTGAACACACCATTCCACATCTGTGAAAGCGATGGTCCCAGCCAGCACCAAGATGGCTGCTGGCGCAAAATCATGTCAAGGGCCAGGCTTCCAGGCTGTTGCTCGGAACTGCTCGGGAATTCGCACATTGGTCTCGGAATCCACCCCATCCTATCGCGAGTTCTTTGAAGGTATGTTCCCCCTCTGGGGAGCCAATTACTGCGGTTTCTGAGCATACTATGTATTCAACACACAAAATTCCGCCGGTACTCCGTACACCGCGAACGATTTCGATGAGCCATCCATCAAATCGGTCTGTCAACGATGAAGTTCCACTGTGGGGGATTCAGCCCGTTCCACGCACGTCGCCGTCGAGGGTGCCCCAATATTTTCATCCAATAATATGAAAATGAGGGACCCGCGAAGGACCCGCCGATATGGATTCAGCGAATCAACTCTTCAGTAAGGACTCATGGCAGGCCTGGAGACCGGGGCTTGGGTGGGCCCTGATGCGGAACCCCGCTAGTGTAGCCGAGCTCGCGAGCAGAGACCAATTCCGGGGTTGCTTGCGTGGAAGTATTCTCGCGCCTTTCGCGCAAATCCAGCCCCTTGGGCTTTTGTATCGTAAGACCAGACAGTGATCTGGGATGTCTCGTTCTGTTTCTAGACTCCGAAAACAAAGCGGGCTCCCTGTACGATGAGTTGACTCCGTTCAAGAATGAACTCTCCTCCCTCAAGACCCTGATTTTCACCCCTCTTCTCTCTTCCCATTCCTGCGCAGTGGCTAAAAGCTGAGGTTCCTATTTTCCACCGCCATTGGCCAGCTCTCGAAATATGTGGAGATAAATGCGGGGAGAGAAGATGTTCCACTTGGACATGGAAGGCAGGAAGCAGGAACACGTGCAATTGTCTCAGGCTTGCCGACACATCCTTGTCCGTTTTGGCAGGAAGTCTTGCAAAGTTCTCACAATGCGACAACGTTGGTTCATTTTTAGTGGTCTCGAGTTGGCCTGATGGAAAGGATGGCCCTCTCCCGATTGCTGGTGATGCAAGTAATACAGTGCGTGACTGGATCATGTGCTAGCTGCCCGCACTATGAGTGTCTCCCCCATAAACTACAATACACGGAGTACACAGCACGGGCACTATCTAGTTAACCTCAAGATTTCAACGGTTCTAGGTTATTTTCCATCGAAAGCTTGCTTTTCGAAAAGTCCATGTCCCCTTTCCAAAGCTGACCGCCCTTTTCCCAGCTCGGGACATGTTGGTAGTTGTGATGAACCGAAGTGATTGTCGCTCTTGAGCATCCAGCACTACTTTCGCCCCATCCTCACTGCCTACACTATTCAACCGGTCAACTTCCTCATCAGCGGGTTGAGAGTCTCCAATTCCCTGACAAGTTCCCGAAGGGCTGCCTGCCTCACCATCCAGGTTCCGCTTTTCTCTGAACCTCAGGCCCTTACTCGCCAATTGCTTCCACACACCACATTTTCCAGCCAGCCCCCTCCTCCCCTGTTTCGTTCCCTTGCAGAATCATTTGAACTTACCTCAGATAGGACTCACGATCCGGAATCGGGGGTCAATTCCATAGCATTAGTCATGCTCCGAATCACTGCTCGGGGAAAGACAATGCGCGGATGATTGTTTTCGTGGCTTCATCACCCACCCCGACAACGCCACCCCGACTCCCACAGAAGCATGCTGGCGCCATCCCGAGCCCCCAACCCCAACCGGTGTCAGGGGCAGAGGCCCCAAAATCATCGGACAATTACCGATGTTGTGAGCTGGCATCATCGGGCCATTTTATGCATGGCCGCGTCAAGGGAAATGGGGGACAATCTCGAGGCCGTCACTTTCCTCTAGTGTACATTGTGCACGTACTTCTTAACCCAACGGTGATGTTGGAGTTCGTACTAGTTCTTTGGCAAAGGTCTTTGGCAGGTCGGTAAATGGGCGGATTCGAGGTATTATACTGGATATCGGTCACTGCCAAACAAGATTTATCCACTTCGATCTTCATAGCTGTGACTAGACTGAGCATCCAGACCTCCGATCAAGAGGCCGGAAAGTGTGGGAAATTATCCAGTGGCCAAACCAGTGATGGTTTGAACTTTCAGCTTTCGGAGTCCAACCATAGCCCATCCACAAGAAAATACCTGGAAAAGGCGGCTGCCACTGGTAGGGTCCGGATATGAAAATGCTAAAAGGAAGCTAAACACCTCCAAAGGGATGGTCTTCCCAACTCATGGGCTTAGACCGCTCTTTGAAGTCTCCCGCAACTGCCCTTGGTGCTAGTGACTACAAAACTTTATCTAAGCCATCCGAGACGGCCCTCCGTCGGGTCCGAGGAGCGAAGAGGTGAGGAGGCCATGGCGCTATTGTGGCGTCTGCCCGACTCCCTTTAGAGAAAAGAAAGGGGCAGAGGGGATGGCACCCCTTCCTCCCAGTGGGAGAGAGAGGCTCACATCCGACTCCCAGTATACACTACTCTGGATCTTCTCGCCGACGGCGGAGAAAGCAAGCGCATCACACACAGCACTCGGGATGTGTGCAGGAGAAACAAATCTTATCACCTTCAGCCACCGATCTGAACTGACCGCCAACCAAGCACGATAACTCTAACCTTTAATCGGCAACTAAAGAAGATGCAGGTCAGCCCGCCGCTCAGCCCAATGTTGTGCAACCCACAAGATTACGTTTTGTTCAGTATTTCGGGCAATGAAGGCTTTCACGAATGCAGTCAACTAAGTCAGTCACGAAGCTGCGTAACCTACCTACCTTTAACCCATGAAAACAGTCAGCAGCTGCAAGTTATCCTCTCTCTCATCCCCGAGACCGGGAAGCCGGTGAAAAACATCATCTCACCCAGACATACCTCTCTGTGACACCATCCCCGAGGACGGTCGGCGATTAAGGCACCCAGTGAGGCGTCCATGCAATCCGGGCTCTCAACCAGCCGCGGCGGTGAACCTAAAAAGATAAAGGAGCGAACGAGTAATCAGTTATGGAGTGATTAAGTGCCACAAAACACACAAATCTCCTTCCCGTTACACAGCCAAGCCAGAAGGAATACTTACGCAGCACTGCGTGGCCACATCAAACTCGAGAAAACACGAGCGGAATGGGACTACGAAGACATAATTTGCTTGCCTAGCCGTCCACCCGTACACCTGTCCACCTATCCGCTCATCCACCCATACCCCCCTTTCGGGTTCCCACTTATGAGTTTTATGTCGTCCACTGCGGGTGAGAGACGGCTGTGCTCACAACAGACAGCAGGACGGGTAACGGGTGACGGGTGACGGCAGATGGAGCGGTATATGCCGTACTTGTCCGTGTTTCCCGGCATGATGTTGGTCTATTTTTGTACAAAGTCCACAGGCCAGTCATATCTGCAACATTTTGGAACCTTGCCTTCGCCTGCCAGGGAATCAAAATGTGTCTGAATTAGGTGGGTAGAACCAAAAGGCCAGCCGGCTAGTGGGGGGCTCGGGAACAGAGGAAGGGAAAATTATGTGTGTCTAAAATCGTCGGTTACTTTAACCAGTCTAGATGTCTTGCCGTGTTACGGCATTCGAGACAGACACAGAATTCACCCCGCCCGAGACATGATGTACTGGTCCCGCCAGATCTCAGTAACATCCGGCATCTAGTAATATTTCCGCGGATGATGCCGTCCCACAAAGCAACCTGTATACCACTATGAAGAAAGAAACCGCTGATACCCTCAACAGAAGTCATGTTAGACGACACTAAAAACATGGTAGGTAGAGTATAAGGGCGAGGAGGTATACCGTCCTCCTGTCGCTGGTGGAAGAACGCTCTTTTAAAATAAAGACAGCCATGAACTGGACGAACCAAGGCTCAGGTGTTCTCTCTTGTGCCCTGTTTTCTAGGCTGGCTGTCGGTCCTCTCACTCATCAGGTATGTACACTCGGTTCCGGGGTCAACCACACGAGGGATCATGCAATGCCAGTAGAATTTGAAGATGTACAACGCAAACTACTTGACGAGCTTGATACAAGATGAACGTATAACCAAACTTTGGGATGAAGGAAACGGCCGGGGGCGAGGAGGGAGATGGAATCAGACGGCTAATCGCTGAAAAACGCGGTTGATACATCGAAGGCTCGACGTAACAACTATTTACTCGCCCAAACGGATGTTGCGGAAATAATTGGGGCTGCTCCAACGGGCAGCGGGGCCCAGCACGATACCTAACAGAGGTTACTGATGCACCGTCACTGCCTGTCACAGCATGACGATAATATACCTATCCATGTACCAGGGCGACCACAATGGTTGTTTGTGTTTGCAGCGGGGCGGCACGTTAAGATTGCGAAATCAGCGTTTAGTGAACTTTCTTGAATTACTTCTTATTTCCCCAAAAATGAAAAATGAAAAGACGCTATGGATACAGAGCGGATCATGTCCTATGTCCTGCCAACCCAACGATTTATCCAAACCATCTGGTTGTGGGTGCTCCGAGCTCCTGCATAATGACCCTGAAATGGAATACACGTCAAACTCAAGCCGCCCGATTCCTGTCGTACACGTCTTTTTTTCGACGCAATCTATCCCAATGCGCCCTGCCAGGCTTTGAAACCATGGCGTGGTATAAATGCTATCATCACCTCACAACAGCCTCAAGGGTTTGTTCAAATTTCCAGAGTAACCTTCTGGCCCTTGACCCTCCCAATCACCTGCGAGGGTGCGTACTTGGGAATGACCTCGTCATCGTGGAGCATCTCAAACTCCTCGGTGGCGTCGCGGCCCATGAAGTTGAGCAGGGCCTGAGGACCACCCGGGTGGTCATCAAGCCAGTTGGTGAGGTCTAGGACAACACCCTTGACAACAACCCAGAGGTCCTCCTTCTTGTTGTGCTTCGCGACCTCCTCAAGGGTGTACTCCTTCTCAGGGATGGAGAAAGCCTTGGGTTCGCTCGACTCCGTCTTGGCGCCTGCCGCGGGGGCGCTGGTAGCCGCGGCCTGGGCCTTAGGGCCCTCGGCGCCACTAGCACCGGCCCACTCAACGGAGATCTTGCCCGGGGTGGAGGGGTCGATGTGCAGAGCAATTTGTCCAAGACGAGCCGCACCGGCGGAGCCTGCCAGGGCCTTTTGGAAGAGATAGTTGCTGGCAGTATCACCGGCGACGCGACCGTAGACAACGCAGCCCAAAAGGGACGAGCCACCGAGACGGTTGGCACCGTGAACGCCACCAGCAAGCTCACCGCAGGCGAAGAGGCCGTCAAACGGCTTCTGCTCCTTGTTGAGAACCTGGGCCTTGTCGTTGATCTCAATACCGCCCATGGTGAAGTGGAGAACGGGCTCCATCACGGCGACGTGGAAGTCGTCGTTGATGTCGACGGGCATGTTGTGGAAGAACTTCTTGCCCCATGGGTCCTTCTGCTTGCCCTCAGCAATAGCGTTGTACGTCTGGAAGGTCTTCTGGAGGTGGTCGGGGGTGCAGCCAATCTCCTTTGCGAGTTCCTTGCCCGTCATCTTCTTCATGAGGCCACGGCCTGAGTAGTGGCGGGTATGGAAATCGAGTGTGTTGGAGGCCTTGGAGTTAAGCACCAGGCGGATGGGGAACTTGTTCTTGTCCTTCTCCTTCCACATCATGCCAGAGACGTAGTCACGGTGGCCGAGCTCATCGCAGAAGCGGTCGCCATCGGCGTTGAGGAGAAGACCGCCCTCACCACGGAGCGCTTCGGCAGCCAAGAACTTCCACTTGGAGCCGGGGTCCTTGGGGTCCACGAGACCAGTAGGGTGGACCTGAACCTTGTCCATGTCGATGCCATTACCGCCGATCGCCATGACCATCTTTTGGCCATCACCGGTAGCGTGGGAGCCGTTGGTGGTAGCGAGGCCGAAGGTGTCGGGGCGGTGTTGCTTCAGCAGAGAGCCATCGCCGAAATCGGCGGCATAGCCGCCAGTGGCGAGGACGACCGGTCCGTCAAGAGAGGCGGTCTCGCCGTTGTGCTCGTACTGAACACCGGTGATGGTGTTGCCCTGCTTGTTGAGGTTGGTGACGCGGGCCTTCTTGATGATGCGAACGCGGTGGGGCTCGGTCTCAGCAAGCTCCTCAAGCCTTTGCATAAGAGCGTAGGTGATGGCCATGCCGGGGAACTTGGCGTCGTGGCCACGGTGGGTACGGGGCTGAGAGTGACCACTATAGGAGAGAGAAGCAGTTAGAAACGGGGTGGGGAAGAGCTGCGGGAGCCCGGTTCAACGTACCCAAGACGAGAAACAAGAGTAAGGTCAAGGTTGAACACATCCTGGAGCCATTCCACGGCGGCGGCCGACTTGTAGGTAAGGACCTTGATCAGGTCGGGGCGCGCCTTGTCACGGGCGGACTTGAGGGTGTCATTGTAGAACTGCTTCACGCTGTCCTGAATGTTGTGATCGACTTGTGTCCTTGTGAGAGCGCCGTTGATGCCGGAAGTGGCCTTTGTGGAGTTGCCGCCGAAGAAGCCCTGCTTGTCGAGGACCACGACGTTACCGCCGGCGAGGTAAATGGTATGGGCAGCACTGAGGCCGGATACTATAATCCAGAAAAGGGGGTTGTCAGTCAGCGTCATGCAAGAGGCACATGATACCCGGAACAATGACGACACACGCTCGCGGGGTTGAAGGAGGGTTCACTCACGGCCGCCACCGACGACAATAACGCTCGGAGCCATTGCGATGGGGGTATCGTAAACGAAAAAGAGAGACGTGTGGATTGAAATGAGACGAGCTGGTGTTGTCTGGAAAAGTAGAAAGAGGAAAATGGAGGAATGGAGGCAGATGGGAAGTAGTTATCTGACCGACGGGGTTGCGCCTGCCGAGCTTGCAACGGCCGGGCTGGCGTTGGAATTGCTGGCACGCTGATTCGTGAGCCGAGGTCGAGGCCGGGGACTGCGACAGGGGGGGCGCTTCTGCAAATCCGCCCTCGAGGAGGCGATGCGAGGGACTCTCTTGGGGCAACCCGGCACGCTGAAACTTGCAAACTTCGCCGTGCTTCGTCCTGTTCAATATGTTGCAGCATACAGTAAATTTTGAAGGTGTGATTCTTCCTTTTTATTATTCTTATGAACCAATGATTCCGAAGACAACCTTTCATACAACTAGCTTCCGTGACCGGCGCCGTCGTCCCTCGCGTTGATGTTGGCCGAGGGCAATTGAAAGTGGGTTCCAGCGATGGGGACTCGGGGAGATGGGCCGAGGCTTCCCACGGGCAGTCAGTGACGGCACCTCGCAGCTGGGGTCCTCGCAGGCTCACACCCAAATCGGCGGAGACCCCGGACCAGACCCCAAAAATCGCCTGCTTCCCCCAATGTGGGGAAACGAGTTGAGAAACCTCCACCACCAACTTCTCAGGCGAACAGGGGAATCGTTCGACTGCCGAATTGCGGGAGAGTTTGATGTCTGGAGTCGTACGTTTTCAACACATGAAAAAGGGAACGCGGGTCTTCCGTCTCCATGCCCCTTCTTTCCCATGTGCCAAGGGTCCATTCCCCACGGGCAGTCACGAGTTCCATGCTTCCCGCCCGCGCCCAGTGGATCGTGTTCTGGCATGTGATTCAGGCGAACACAGAAGCCCGCATCTGACCATCCCTCGGACATTTTTCCAAGTTCCTCATGGCGTGGACATCCGGATTGGCTACTTTCATCGGCCGAATTCAAGTGAGCGGCCTGAAGAAGGGCACGCGATATTTTGAACGATAGGCCCTGTCGCAGTATCGTCGTTCTGCCCGTTCCTTGGGAGCGTGACATTCCTGGATGGGCGGGAGCAGATGCTTAACTCCGCCAAGTCCCGCAGCGATGTGCTGCAACCCATCTCCAGCGTTAGCATGTGATTCCAGGTCAATTTGTAAAACTCCCTGCAAACGATGATGAAATAACTTTTACATAGTAGTCAATTGTTGATTCAACTCCGTAACCCTGGCAAGCAACGCCCATGACAGAGACCGACGGAAGATGCCCCAATAACAATAACTTTCTTGAAAGGAGTGGCCGCACACTGCAGAGCTTTTCTTCCAACCGCTTCTCCAAACGGAACCGGACAACCCGCACCAGCAAGTATGGCGAACACAGTCAAATGCGACAAATGTGACGGGTTTAAACACGTCTGCGTCAAGGTTAATACACCATGGCTGTCGGATTCAGAAAGTTTATCGACACATCGTTCTATGACACGAGCTTGAAATCGTGATTTTTGGCACGCAACCAAGCCGGAAAGTCAGATGACCACCTACGTCACCACCCGATCCCGATTGGCGACCCAATCATCGGGACAACAACCGTTTCGTTCGCCAACACCACACCCCTGGCTGACGACAACGCGGGAGACGGGACGGTGACTAGACTATACATGTTGAATTGCTTCTCTAGAACCCACTAAAGCCAAAAAAAAAGAGGAGCACACAAGAATATGAAATCGACCCTTTTGTCCCTCTTCGCTCTAAGTGTTGCTACTTCTGCTTCGGCCCAACTTGTCGTGCCTTTCTTCCGGAACCCTTCCGTACCGCACTCGTTCGACCGGAATCACGACCAAGCGCCTCTAATGGATCCACTCGGCCCCGGACCGGCGATACCCCCCTCGGGGTCCTCTCCTTCTACCGACCCGCCCGTAGGCAGCGGAGGCGGAGGTGGTAGCGTGGTCTTATCGGATGTGATGGGTCGGGATCGCAGTATCACCCTTTTTGCTGGGTGCGTTACCCACAGTCTCCAGAAACCTGCTGAGTCCTTTCCTCTATGACCCCCGTTTCGGACCACCATGTTAACGCCATATTTTCTCCCTCGCCAGCTTTATCCGTGACATCGAAAGCGCCTCCCTCCGCCTCGAAGACGCATCGCGCAACACGACCGTCCTGGCGCCGCTCAACTCGGCCGTCGAGAAACTACCCCGGAAACCATGGGAGGACCCGAAGGAGTATGACACGTTTGGGTCCAACGCATATGAAGGCGGCGACGGGCGCGAGCGGGCACAGCGCAACATCCGCCGGTTTGTTGAGGCGCACTTGGTGCCCGTGAGTCCCTGGAAGGAAGGAGAGAAGGTGAAGACGGTTGGAGGGGACTCGGAAGTATGGTGGGAAGAGAAGGATGGGAGGAAGCTGGTGAGATACCGACCTCGACTGTGGTCTTTATGTTTGTATGATAGGGTAGGGTTGCTAATGCTAGTGTACAGATTCAGCCTGGGGGGATAGAGTTGGTTGACGTCGCCGGGGAAGTGAAGAACGGCGAAGTGGTAAGTTGGAATTTGAACCCCCTGTTATCACGGAACTACTTCTGGGAGACTAACATCAAGTCGTCTAGTGGATTATTAAAGGCGTACTTAACTACGCCTAATAATAGCTTTTGCAGAGAGGTCGGATTATTTTTACTACGCCTACGGATGGCCGTGATTCAATGCTCTATGATACAGGGATATAGTCATCAAAAGGGAGAGTGGCCGTTGAGCCTTCCCAGTTGCTCGCTAGTTTCAAAATACAAACAACTCTCCGAGGATAAGAAGCACACCGTTCCCGTTGGGACGATCCCCCAAGACTTAACTCTTCTCGATCTTACCGTTGAAAGCCTTTGGCGTGAGAACAAGTGCCGATTTGAGGGGACGGAACAATCGTCGGAGGCCAAGGATATTGGCCGACCGGTATTGTTAGAAGAATCACCACCACCCGCATTGCCGGCATTGTGGATTTGACGACTACAACATCTATATCTTTGTTTAGAAATGTGAGCGCCACACGCTTTGAAGGAATCGCCCCATGTGGGTTTTACACAGTACTGTGCCAGGTGGGGATTCTATGGGGTGAAGGAATTGGGATTTGATATGGGATGAAGAGTTTCTCGGCTCATTTGGGCCGGTCGAGCCAATTGAAGCGACGCAAACAGGTCTGAAATACCGGAGCTCCGTCCAACCTATTATGATTAGATTTGTACTTTTTTGGTTTAATGATGGAATGTCGGGAGATCCATTGAAGGAAGCTCGGGAATCCGTGTAAGTGAGCTGTACAGACACTGGTTGCTTATCGCTTCTCTCAATGTGTATTTCAAGGATAATTTGTACCGACAGGCCTACACGGCACCCAGACAAGGACCAACTAGTAGGATTTGAAGAGAACACCTCCTCGGAGCTTGGCAGTTCTATTTTCTTCAATTATATGGCCATCTCCAAAGTCGGCCGCCGTGGGGACATCGGGATACTCCATAAGCATCCCTCATGGATAAGTTATTTACAAACAACCTCTACAGGAGGAGCCAAATGAATGATGGGGATGTGGGCTTGTAGGGCTGCAATGCGGGAGGTAGCCGGCCGCCACAATATAGGGCGCGGGTTTTAGACCACAATTAATGCCGGCGGAAATTTAGGATACCGGCAACGTCGGCGGCCGCTGTCCGGCCCTCAGGCTCCTGGTAATGAGTCAACGTGTCGAGTCCGTACCAAATCTAGGAGTTTCGGAAGATCGGAAAGGGGAAACGATGGAGCTCAGTACGTATGAGACATGTATTGTTGTGGGCGTCTTGGTGGCCTGAAGGTGACACTCCAGAGTTAGTGTATGCTTAGCCTACTCATTAAACATCGGGGGGGACGCAATGCACCCGCCGGCCATCGCGGCACGGCCGCCCTGATGTCAGTACCTTAAGGAGGTATGGGGCCCCGACCACGCCGCCGGCGTATAGACCATACCCACCGTGTGGACGAGCCCGGAGCACACCGCAATGGGACCACAAGGATGGTTTCAAGGCGCGCCGGCCAGTATGGTTGTTTCAGCATCTGTTTAGATCAGCGTGATTGCTTCAGCGAGGCCATGATTTGAGTTGAGAGGACTTGAGCGGCCAGGGATGAGCGGAAGTCCGCCCTCATGATCTTACCGAAGTTGGTGGTTGACGAGCGTCCGGATCTAAGTGTAAGAGACCATTGACTCCCGGGCTTTCTTATCTTCCTCCTCTCTCATTCTCATCAGCACCAGCATCTTCAACTTCACACCATCATCGCAACTACAATTTCCTCGAGCTTCATTCGCCCTCTCACCACTACAACTACAACATACTACCAACCGCCGCCATGTGCCAATACAACCGTACCAACTACACCTGCGGGGACCACATCGACACCAAGATCGCGGACTGCTCCGTCAAGAGGTCCGGACGCCCATGCAGCGCAAAGCGCATCGTTAAGCGCATCGAAGCCACAACCCCGTGCTTCAGCTGCAACACCCCGCCCCCCTAGACGCCTTACCTAGGCATAAGTGGCAGCTCTCCGCGGTGTGGCCGGTGAGTATTCGGCGCCGTCTCAAAGTAACCCGATGGCATAGCGTCCCGCCCACTAACTTAAGTTGTCTCCTCACAGAACTTGCCAGACGGGCCGGGCTGTTGGAGGGTTGAGAGTGATGCACCTCCTAAAGGGATTGGGATAGAAGATAGATGGAAGGAAGGCGCTGGACGCACGATATATGAATGGAGAGAAAAGCCACTGGCTGGTTGATACTCCACTGCCTGTTCCTTTGTTGCCCCCGCTGAACTTCAAGTCCGTGGGTCGTGTATGAACCTCGGCCGTCGTAGTTGTGGCTGATTTGTGATTTCCGCCAAGTCCTAACTTTTAATGCGCCCAGGTTCGGCAGGCGTTTGATACCATCGCCGTGCACACTTGGGGTAATCGAGGGTTTTTGAGCTTGTCAAGGGATTCGGTCTTGGGTATTTGGTTAGGGATGCAGGAGTGCAGACGGGAAGTTCCGAGGCCATGTCCTGCAGAAGATGCATCCGCCCCGAGCGCTCCATCAACGCGCGACCGAGAGGTAGTTAGGTCCCTGATCTGGGCGAAAAAGATGCCGAGGGCGCGCGAAAACGGAGCAGGAGCGAATCAAGGGTCGGGCGACGATGCGAGACAGACAGAATAGCCCGGAGTTCTGCCGCTTATCGCTTCTTATCGGGTTGCGACCAGGGGGCAGAGATCTGCGGGCTCTGTTTCTCGGCGTCAGAACAGGCTCTCAGCCAAGGGTAGCACACACGCTTCTCAATTCTGCGATGCGTTTTCTCACAAGCCGCGTGTAACCTTTTCTCTGCCATCTCGACAGCCCCCTCTATCTTCCCTCCGGAACCCTCGAAGTGGCCATCCTACGAACCTGGGTAGGCCCGCCGAGACCTTATGAGAATACCCTTTGCAGTTGTAAGCACCAGCTCTTCCGATCGGTAGCGGCGAGAAGGGCACAGGGCACCGGGCTTCGCCCTCAATTGTGTTCGAAGCCTCTCCTGAGCTGGATCCCGCTCCCGCCCGTTCACTCCCCGACACCCTGAGCCTCACCCCTCCCGACACACCCACCATTTTGTCTTCATTAGTCGTTCAAGTTTTTGCTTGTCGCATAACGGGGCATCTAATCCCTTTGCCAGGGGCTTCAAGCAGCCAGACAGGATGAATAGCCAGCCGCTGCACGGCAGTGGCTTCGACCGCGACCGTGACCTCGACGAACGTCATCGCGCCCACCACCAGGATGATATTGCGAGACGCGAGAAAGAGCGTGAGCGTGACCGCGACCGTGACCGAGATGACGTTGATCGCCAGCATCGCGACCCATATCCACCTGCCGCCTCGAGCGCGGCCCCTGCACCCCACCATAGCACCGCCGGGTCGCTACCTATTCACCAACCCGTCGCATCTCGGATCGCAAACTCCATTACCGGCCCCGGCGGCCTGTTAGCAAACCACGGGAGCTCTGCCCCATCGTTGCCCATCAGCGGCCCTTCTGCGCCGGCTCCCGGCTTCGGCGGCTCGCTCCACGGCGACACCAATCGGCCTCCCCAACAAGGCGGTCCGCCACCCAACGGAAGTGCTCAACACCAGGTCTTTGTCGCGCCCGGGTCTCACGGCCCAAGTGGATCTAACGGCCCCAACAGCTCCCTTGGGCCGGCTGGCGCCGGTGCCATCTTCGGCGGTCCGCTCCAGCCCGAGAATGGCCGGGGCGCGCCCCAGGACGGTGCCCGAGCCATGCAGCAATTGCCGTTTGGCTCTGGTATGGGCCCCGGGCACGCCATCCCTCAAGGGTCTACCGGGATGCCCCAGGGGCAGCAGCCGATTCTCAACGTAGGCTTGGCCCAAGCCTGTTTGCGCTCATCGTCGTTCAGCACTGACTCGCCGCCGCAGGATGCGCTGAGCTATCTTGACCAGGTCAAAGTCCAGTTCCACGAGCAGCCAGATGTTTATAACAAGTTCCTCGACATAATGAAGGATTTCAAGAGTCAAACGTAGGTGCCCGGTGCCCACTTACCGAATTAGGACAGGAAGCAAAACAAAACAAAGAACAAGAGAAGCGCTGACTCGAATGCCAGCATCGATACGCCGGGAGTAATCAGCAGGGTTTCCGACCTCTTTGCCGGCCACCCTAACCTCATTCAAGGATTCAACACGTTCCTCCCGCCTGGATATCGCATCGAGTGCGGCCTCGAAAACAACCCAAATAGCATTCGCGTCACGACCCCATCCGGCTCCATGATCCATTCGATCGGTTCAGGGCGGTTGACACAGCACGAGCCGGCGCAGTCCGCGGGCGCGCCGCCACAGAACTTCCTGAACCCCCGTACAGGCTGGCAGCCGCCTTTACCTCACGGCGGGGAGAGCCCTGAAACCACTTTTAGCGTACCGGCGCAGAACGGTTCTTTCCCTGGGTCAGCCCACGGGCAGGCGGCTCCGTTTGACGGCACCAGCCCGATTCAACAAAGGTCGGCACCTGCCAACTCAAACGGCACTCCTTTGAACCACGGCCCCGGCCCGCGCAACACACAAACCCCGACTCCCGGTGCTGGCCCTGCCAGCGCAAACGGTAGCACAGCCCAGCAAGGTGGTCTGGAGAAGCGCGGCCCCGTCGAATTCAACCATGCTATAAGCTATGTCAATAAAATCAAGGTAAGCAATGACTCTTTTCTCTTTTTCATAGCAGCACCACTTTGTGCATCTGGGTCGCGACTTTTCTGTCCAGCGGATTCAACCCGAATAAAATAACAAAATAACAATAAAAACAAACCAAAAATCAAAAGAAGAAGACTTCAACGGGCTGGACAGGTTTCTAGGGAGACCTACCTCCCTGCCGGCTTTCCCTATCGATTTATCACGACTGCTAACCGCGAGACTTAGAATCGTTTTCAGGATAAACCCGAGATATACAAGCAGTTCTTGGAAATTCTCCAGACATACCAACGCGAGCAAAAGCCGATTCAGGACGTGTACTCTCAAGTCACCAGCCTTTTCCATACCGCGCCCGACCTCCTCGAAGATTTCAAGCAATTTTTGCCCGAGTCCGCCGCGCACGCTCGAGCTGCCGGCCAGCGTGCCGAAGAGAGCCTGGCCATGGCGGTATCAACACCGACCCCGCAGCCCGGGAATGCCGCCCGCGATGGTCCAAAGATGCCCCCCGTTGGCAACTTTGCTCCGCCCGCCAGCGCAAGCAAAGAGGGCAAGAAACGCAGGCCCGAGAAGGCCGCGCCCCTTGGCGCCACCGGCTCCGATCAAGCACCTACCTCGGGGATGCGAGGCACCCTTCCTGCAACGGCACTCGGTCACAAGCGCGCGAAGCTTTCCCACAAGCCGAATGCCGCCGAGACGGCCTTCATCGAGCCGACATTAACGCCTCTCATGCCCGAACCGCTGGCACCGACATCTCTCGCGTCGTCGACGCAGGACGACTTGGCCTTTTTCGACAAAGTGAAGAAGCACATCGGCAACCGGACAGCATTTACCGAGTTCCTCAAGCTCCTGAACCTCTGGACCCAGGATTTGATCACGACTGATGTTTTGATCTTCAAGGCAAACGAGTTCCTGGGCGGCAACCCCGAGCTTCTCAACGGTCTGAAGGCCATGATGCGGCAGGTCCTTGCGGATGAGGCGATTGGGAACCGTCCGGAGCCTCCTACGGGCCGAGTGTCGCTGAGCAACTGTCGCGGATTTGGACCTAGCTACCGTTTGCTGCCCAAGAGGGAGCGCCTCAAGCCCTGTTCCGGGCGCGACGAGCTTTGCCAGTCGGTTCTGAACGACGAGTGGGCGTCGCATCCCACTTGGGCTTCGGAGGATTCTGGTTTTGTCGCGCATCGCAAGAACGCTTACGAGGAAAGTCTCCACCGTATCGAGGAGGAGCGCCACGATTATGATTTCTTCATCGAGGCCAACCAGAAGTGCATCCAACTCCTAGAGCCGATCGCTCAGCAGATGCTTTCGCTCCCCCCCGCGGACCGGCCCAACTTCAAGATGCCTGCAGGCCTTGGCGGCCAGAGCACCTCGATCTACAAAAGGGTGCTGAAGAAAATCTATGGTCCTGAGAAGGGTTGTGATGTGGCCAACGACTTGTTCAAACACCCCTTCACGGTCGTCCCGGTTGTTATGGCCCGCCTTAAGCAGAAGGATGAGGAGTGGCGGTTCACCCAGGTAAGATTCTCAGCGGTTCCTTAATAGTCATTTTCCTTTCCATCTCGTCTTGGACTGTTCACTAACGATGTGTTCGCTGTAGCGTGAGTGGGAGAAGGTCTGGCAGAGCCAGACTGAGGTTATGCACCTCAAGAGTCTAGATCACATGGGGATTCAAGTGAAGAGCAACGATAAGCGCAGCCTTTCAGCGAAGCACCTTGTTGATCTCGTCAAGACAAAGTATGAGGAGCAACGCCGTATTCGCGTCGCTAGGGGCAAGACGCCTCGCTACCAGTTCTCCTACACCTTCGATGACGAGGATCTTGTCTTGGACCTACTCCGCATTATGGTCGTCTTCGCCAACGTCGGCGGTCAGCATAATGCGCAAGAGCGCCGGCGTATCTCGGAGTTTTTCGAAACCTTTATTCCTCAATTCTTTGACATACCTGAGGACAAGGTTTCCGAGAGACTTGCCGATATTGATCAAGACTCGGCGGAGGAGGATGAGGACGACGCAGCCCCCATGGAACTCACCAACGGCCGCAGCCGCCGCAATGGCAAGAAGTCGGATCTCCTCCGCGGCGTCTTGGATCCTGGCCGCAATGGCAGCCGAAGCCGTGGCCAAAAGGAGGAGAGCGCCGCTTCGGGCAGCAAAGAGACCACGCCCGACGTGGGATCGGCTAACGAGGAGGAGATGCCGGACGCACCTGAGGACTCGTCGGTCCCTGAGGTCTCGAACGGTCGCTGGTTGCCTACCGTCCCTGGCCCTATCATCGTGGAGAAGAGCAAGGGCGGCAGGGGGTCTGATCTGGTTGATGTCGACGGGGAGCTCAAGGCGGATGCGCCGTTCCCGAGGACCTGGTACAATTTCTACTGCAACCAGAACATCTTCGTCTTCTTCACCCTCTTCCAGACACTCTACAAGCGCCTCCAGGATGTCAAGCTCAGCAAGCACAGCGTGGTGGAGGAGATCCGACGCGAGAACGCCGAAAAGCCAGCCAAGATCTTGGGCCTCGTCCACGAGGGCCTGCGCTACTTTGATGGCGAGGATCCTGCGACATTCTGGCCCAAGACTCGGGAGCTGATTGAGGATTTCATCACGGGCGAGATTGACGAGAACCGGTTCCAGGAGGTCATGCGGCACTACTATCTCCGCCGAGGATGGAAGCTTTACACCATGCAGGAACTGCTCAAAACCCTGTGCCGAATTGGGCTGAGCTGCAACAACCCAGATGCCAAGGGTGAGAAGACTAAGGAGCTGGTCAAGGCATATCTGGACAGCCGTCTGCAGACGGAGACGAGCTTCCAGAACGAGATCAGCATGCGGAAGTTTGCCGAGAAGTGCATCAAGGATGGCGAGATGTTTGTTGTTGCTTGGGTATGTATGCCCCTTTCTTTTGACATGATTTCGTATCATGAATACTGACATGAAATACCACTAGTATCCCGGCAAGAAAGAGTCCACCGTGCGTTGGCTGCAAAAAGACGAGACCACGTTCTACATGGATGAGATGGAGCGCATTCAGCAGTGGCAGTATTACATCTCCTCGTATATGCGCATCGAGCATACGGAGGGTGTGATGCGGTCACGGCTGCAGAAGGTTCTTCTAGAGCGCAACCTGCCGTCTGACGTGGCGACCAAGGACCCGTCCGAGGACAACTTCATGACCAAGCCGCTCGTCATCCACGAAGCTCTGGTAGTTAGAATCTGCCTGAACTCGTCCAAGATGGTCTTCGAGAAAGGCACTTCCGACTTCTTCATCTACAACACCACCGCGGGCGCCTCTCGTACTCAGGCCTCTTCCGGCAACGGCGGCGAGAATGAGAATGACAACGAACCTGCTGCGTCCGCTGTCGCCGCCGCTGCTGCTAACGACGAGGACCGCGAGATGGAGGCTGATAAGGAGGCATTCCGGCGTGAAATTCGCGCCGAGAAGCTCAAGGAGAAGATGGTGACCAACAACGCCTGGATGAAGGGTCTCAGCCACGAGGACGTACAAAAGGCAAACAATGACTTCCAGATGTGGAAAGAGACCGAGGCGGCCATTGAACAGGATGATTCTGCGGATGTGACGATGGAGGGGTAGAATTCGGCGTTGCCGGGCGTGGGGATTGGGCAGAGGGGGTGGTTGTTGTTGTAGGCTGGACTTTGTTGGATGGAGGATGGACGGTTACTGGGTTTTGGGGGGAATTGCACCGGCACACATGGCGCTTGGGGCGTATTACGAGTATGGAATATATGGCGTGGGTGGCGGGGGAGATGGAATGGGGATTAAGGACAGAGAAGGAAGGAGACTGGTATGCCGCAACAGCCGTTTGCAGCGAGAGCCGTCTGTTTGTTTTCTTGGCCTTGTTTCCTCTCTCCTTTTCATTTCTCTCGTTTTTGTTTGTTGCAGATTTTCCTCTTTTTTTTCTTTCCCTCTCGTACTATTATTTAACTTTTCCCCCATCCTTCATTCCTCCTTTGCCTTGCGTTTATGTTTAGGGTGCGATTAAGGGGACGTATGCGTTGGGACGTTTGCATTATTCATCTACTCTCCCTCCTCCCCAACTCATTCCCAGCTAGGCCGGCTACTTATACAGGTCTATTTACGTCTCTTGCTTGTAGCTCATTGCGCATCGTTTACTTTCGGATTTTATCAATTCAGGGCCGTCTCTTTCTGCCGTATATTCCACGCGTGTATTTGTCATATGTGCCTCTTCCCACCAGAAGGTAGTTCGCGATCTGAGGTTGAAGCTGTGATAGGAAGGCAAGTGAGGCAAGCAAAGCTAGCCAGAATGCACACTAATTATCTTATTATGAGCTTGAATTAATAATGATTATCGATGGATCAGGTTGTGACTTGAGGAATAAGTACAACCCATCACTATCTGTATGAGCTTGTCCTTGTCCCGCAGCAAAAGCTTCGAAAGGCCCCACTTTTATATTGTAGTCTTGGCATGATGCCGTCTCCACAACGGCCTGCAGCTTCCTCCTGACAGCCGACATTGAATTTCATATTCACTTAAACAACTTCTGCCTCGCGCTTGTGTTCTCTCATTTTTGTTCGCCACCAATGAGACGGTCGCGGACCCCTCACATCTCAGTATGAAATCTCAATTACGGCCCACCGGCCTCATCCTACAACTCCCAAGGTCGGCATGTGGTGGAATACAAGGGACGCTGTGGCAGACTCCCAGATCGATGACCCCACCAACAACCAAGGCCCTTTTCTCCTCGAGCGCTTTCACAGTACCACCCCCATCACTCCCTCGATCGTTATGTCGTGTCAAGCTAAGCGGCGCTTCACACCAATGTCTGCGGAGGCCAGATCAATGGGTCGGGAGGGCGGTGTTTTCATCGGCATCAGCGCTACGGGCTGTTGGGGGAAAACCAGCGGAGTTAGGGGGAGGTGTAGATGAGGCTACACCGGGGAGGAGCAGGCCAGGTGAGGACAGCCAGAACGTCTACTAGTGTTCCAAAGGATATTTGCTAAATGTATTTTTTTTTGTTCGCGGTGGATAGTCTACCCGGAACGGTTGCTCATCTACCATGCGGGGACAGGAAGTGAGTTACCTTTATCATGTTGATCAGGGTTGATGTGTTTGCTTACTGACATATGCTGGCTAGAAACCACCTTCCTCGCCTATCTAAAAGTCACCACTCTTTTCCTGCTCGGCTTCTTCGACTTTATTGTCGTGCCCGCCTACCTGCAAGCCAGTCACCCAATACTCCCAACCATCGGTGGTATGTTTTCTTACCAGCTCAACTCAACTTCAGCCCCCTGCCCCTCCCACTCCCAAACCCACTCACTCACCCAAGCCAACAACCAATCTACCCAACTAACCAACCATGTCCCTCCCCGCGAACTCTAGTCGGTCTCTGCGGCATCATCCCCGTCATCTACGTAACCTGGAGCACCTCCCCCTTCATCGCCTCCATGCACCTGCACCTGCCCCCCTACGCCCGCTGGTCCCAATCCATCCTCGAGCGCTTCGCCCGCACCGCCCCGCCCAACACACGCCTCGACATCACGACGATGAGCCTGATCGGCAAGCCGCGCGTGAGCTCCGTTACGCTGGCCGACCTGCGCCCCGCGCGCGAGCGGCTGGGCATGGTGAACTATGTGCGCGACGCGACGGTTGCAAATGCGAACCGAAAGTGGTGGCGGTTTCGGGCCGTGACCAAGTTTCATGTGCATGATGGGATGGAGAGGAGTGTGAAGGAAGGGTGGGTGTGGGGGCCGTTGGCGGATGGGATTGCGAAAAGGGCGGCGGCGCGTTGGGGGGATGGTGGAGGTAAGGACGATGGGGTTGTTGGCAGTGGAGAGAAGAAGTAAATAAAGGGGGTAGCAACATTTCGTGAGGGTTGCTCTCGGTTCACCTCGCCCCATACTCTATGATCTATGATGATGTCTTGAGTATATGGCCAAAGGCCCTGCCCTAGTTAGGGTTTTGTATCCTATTTGTATTTGTTTTGATCCTCACATGGCATCTATGGCAAGCGTGATACCTGTGATAAATCTTAGCTTCAAACAATCGCAACCCCCCCCACCACCACATCAGTTCGTGTTCCATTTTGCGTATAGTCTCGTACAATGGGTCTATTCCACCAACGCGTGCACTTTAACCCCGTCCCCAACCACCCGCCCACAACCACATCCGGCATCCATCCATATTTATTCCTCAAATTTCCAACATAAGAAAGGTACGGTGAAGGAAGACAATCGTCTCCTCACAGCGAGTGACAAAAACAACGTCAAGCAACAAGAATATGCTGATACAACTTCCCCACGCTCCATTTCGCCTTCCTTTTTCTTTTCACCCTGCCCCCCCTACCTAGAGCGGATCCCCTAGCCCTTCCCATTATTAGACGGTGATAGTGATACATAGGTAGGTAGGTTCGCGCGTATAACAAGAGCCCTGCTAATCCGGTCCAAGGAAGGAAAAAAATAAAATACCCAGGAGTCAGACACAAAAAGAGTTCAGTCCTCAGTTTTCCAAGATCATGAGCCAAACGCCGCTCCAAAGTCCCCGTAAGTGAGAAAGAACGGTAAAGCATAAAACAAAAACGAGTGGCCCGCCCTGCTGATGGGTATCATCTGGACACCCCCATCCAACCAACGTATCTCTACATGCTGCTCTGTTCTTCCATCTTTCCAGCAATCTGTGCGTAGGACGTGTGTCTAGCAGCGACCTCTTTGAACCAGGGTGAATCCCACAACAAAATAAAAAGCCAATGCAGATAAGCGCCCATAGAACGAATAGTACCACCGGCTGATGGGAAACGAGATATAGTGATAGATGATAATTCAAATAGGATGAAATGAGTAACGCCAACCTCTTAGTGTTGTCGCTTCATGGGCATTTGAGAGTCGTAGTCCCACGCTCGCTTTAGCCCGCCCTCGTAAACACTTGCTACCGACTCTTGCCACATGGCGGGGGTGACAAACGCCTGCGCCGTTGCGGTAGGGTATGGTGGGAGGGGTAGCTGGGATCCCGCCCTGAGCTGGCCTTGGACTGCGTGCATGTCCTGGATACTGGGCGACTCGAGGGCCCCGGCAGACCCAACGCTCAGGGAGCTAGACTGCGCGGAGATTGCAGGTGGCGAAGGTTGATGTATTTGCGGCGCGCCAAAGGAAGTATTCCATTGACTGCGCATACAACTGGTTAGTGGGGTGTTATGGTTGCATGGGGGGGGAGGAATAGGCTCAGGGGGGGGTGTCTAGGCAAGACCACTTACTCAAAGATGCGCGATGGGTTCCAAGAGGGAGCCTCGGACAACGGCAACGTCTGCGACACACCGGACGCCTGGGAACCGTGAACCGAACCCATCGTGGTTAGTGATTGTACGACAGGCGAATCACCCTTGGCGTCCTGGGGCCCGACCGAGACCGGTGTGAGGGGGTGGTTGGTGTAACTAACTTGCGGGTGCTGTATCTGCGAGTCCAGCGTTCGCCCGGGCGGGCTCGGGTGAGTTACCGAGTGCGGGCTGCCGTAAGGAAAACTCGGCTTCAGGACAAAGGGCTTCCGGGTGTCGGCCGAGAAGGCTTCGCGGACCGAGTCGATCTGCTTTTGCATGTCGGGCATGGGCCACGCGCTCATGCATTTCTCCAGAATTCTCATATGGCGAGTAAAGTAGTCCCTAGCCTGCGAGTTCAAGTCCGGGTCAGGCGATGTGACAGCAACCTAGTCCTTTGTTAGTCGGTCGATGAAGAAACAGTTGGAAAAGTACCAGCTAAACGCACCAAGTGTAGTACAATGCAGCTAAGCACCGCATAGATGGTGAAGTTGATACCCCGCTGCATACACTGCAGTCCATTCAGCCCAAACGATCCCGAAACCGCCTCTTGCAGCCTACACAGCATTTTGGCTGCGTTGTATGAGACCATCATATGTTGTTTCCATTCCCCTCCGGGTGTTGAGGGCGTGAGAATTGCCAGTTGTGGTCGGTTGAATAGGATTAACGATAGGTAGTAATACGAGTGAAGGTTGCCCACAAATGCCGAGGGCAACCAGGGTGATGAGCCGTCAGCGGGATAGTTGATGGTCAGGTCTGCCGGCAGTCCAGCTAGCCAGGTGCTGAGGGCTGGGTCGAGTTGCATGAATTCTGGGTTGATACCCCATCCCTTGCTCTTTTTGAGGCGCCCATAGGTCTTTGCCATACGGCTTACCGGACGGACCGCCCGGGCAAGGTAGGAAAAGTTGCGCGACACTAGGTACTCGCTTTCGTCCTGATTTGGCTGCGGTCGCGGGGTCCCAAAATCAACGGTAGCCTCGTCAACCTGGAAGTCGGACCGACCTATTGAGAGTTGAGGGTTAGTATCCAAGTCCGAGGCTCACTATCGGACTATGTCGCCCGGACATGGTACTATTTACCTTGCGGTGACCCAACCATCAACTCGATCACAAACAACGTCTGCCAGATACGGTTTTTCAACCCGCACTCGGCCTGGTTCCCACCGCACGTCCCGCCATTCTGGTGATCTTCAAGATGCTCGTCCAAACCGAGCTCCTTTGCGAGCATCACGCATTGCACAACGCTCTGCCACGACCGGTAGTAATATCCCTTCTTTGGCGCTGATTCCCTGGCCTTGAGAAGAATCATCAGTGCTTGGAGTGTGCTCAGCCGCGGCACATCCATAAACGAGTCGGCATGGCCTAAAAAAACATTAGTTCCTAGAAACTGGACACGGGGGGCGGGGCCTCTGCCGGGGAACCATACGTGTTGCCAGCGCTAACCACTGTTGTCCCTGTGCAGGTTCGTCTGCCAGGCGACCGGCAATAGCAAACATAGCTTCTAGAAGTAGGGGAGAGATGGAGCCTCGGTTATTGTGCCATTGATGGTAAAAGTAGCTCTTGTCCAGAACTGGCACATATGGGTGAGCATTGACGAAGTACAAATCGAGGTATTGGAGTACGGTGTCGTCATCCGGCATTAATTCTGGCGGAATCCGGATCTTGGAGCCTGGGCCTGCCGTCAATGGTGGCAAGAAAGTCTTATATTCATCTCCATCTTCCACCGCCGGCTCTTCCTCCCTGGTGGCCTGTAATTTGCTGTTTAGGTATGGCGCAGTTCCGGCCTCGTCGACTTTCAAAGAACCTAGGAGGTCGGCTAAGTCTTGTTGGGCGTAATCAGACTGCAACGTGCCCGCAGGAGAACCTGGGGTTGGGGCATGTTGCAACGGGGGGGTCGGAAACGCAGCAGTCTGCGCGGCGTATTGTTGGTCGACGGGGCCATATGTGAGGTTATGCGCAACAGGTTGGTGCTCTGCATACTGCACAGGGTGGTAAAGGCCAGTTGGGTCTTGGTACGAGGTATGAGCCGGATAGAGAGACCCTGTCTTTGGGGCTTGGGCAAGGAGTTGCTGGTCGTGAAGAGGTAGCTGTGGCCGGAAGCTGTCGGGAACATGCGCCGTATCGAATTGGGATTGCGCCGCTTCGTATACTTGAGAATCAGAGCCGTCGAAACCATTTGGACGGACACAGTGCAGCTTCAAACGGACACACGCAGAGCACGGCCACGTGTTGGTTGTGGCTGCATCGCATTTGATTTTCCTCCTTCGACACCCCTCGCACGCTCTCATCACTAGATTAGGGTGTCAGCAATCGTCCTCCTTGATGTCCGGCGAACAAAATGAACGAAAAAACCGAAACCGGCCTGTACCTTTTAGCCGCTTGTGCCGGTTGTGTTCATCGACGAAAACATAATCTAAGTTAAGGTATCATGCATTAGAACCTGGACGACGTGGGCCCCCAGTGAGGGGCAAGGACACGGCTAAGCGACGCACTCTTCTGAGCCTCACGAGGTTGTTGTTGTGGATAGGCTTGCGGCGCAAAGGAGAAGGAGCCCATCTGCGAGGCGGCCTGGGGGAGTAACCTTCGGGCTGTCGGATCGTTGGACATGATGGATAGAGCGTGGCGCTGGTATGGGCGCTCTCACGGTGGGCGGCAAGCTGGAAGGGGAGACTGAGCGCGGACGACGGCTGGGTGTTCAATACATGGAATCGATGGAGCGTAGAGTGACGAGAGCACTGCTTCTAAGAGCAGATTGCGAGGCGTCTTCGGATCGCGGTGGTTGGCGGTGGGATAGTTCATCAATACAGGCGCACGTGTGGTCAAAGTCGGTTCTCCTGTTGAGGGTCGTCTCTCTGTCGGGGGCGTTGCGGATGCGGCAACAGGTCGCAGAGGATTTGGCCAGTGGGACGGCGCGGAGCTGGGGAGTGGGCGTACAGTGAGTTTTAGCGATGCGCGCCCGGGATGGATCCTCCCAGTCAGCGAGGGTCGAACCAGGAGAGGGTGCCTGACGGCGAACCCCGGGGTTGCTGATGAAGGGGAACCCTGCGCAGCTTTCTCTGGGCCAACGCGATGCCGTCTCAGCACGAGCAACTAGGTACGGCCAAGCGATGCCGCGCAGCCGGGCCCTTGCACGATCCGATGGGACAATGGGCTGCAATTGTGCGTGAATTCTCCAGTCGAGGGCACACAGTGGACCCCGCAGGGCCGGCGGGCGGATGGAAAGAATTCGGGTATCCGTAACCTGGTGGTGTTCGTAAATCGCCGAGCAAGCCAACAGGGGAGAGGACGGCTCCTGAGAGCGACGGTATCGCCTGAATGAATGCCGACTTAGTAGGTTGATGAATGGGGGGCGATGAACGATGGATGCAGAAGGGACGAGCAGGACCTCCTGGGCACCCCCACAGAGCAACTGATATCTCCAACCCAGGGCGTACCTGCCGTGAATGTAACTCAAGAAAACCAGTCGTCCCTGCTACGTCTCTTCCTGAGCCTCCCTCGGCCCAGCTCCCCAAGCCCCCCAAATAACTAGTGTACACAAGAACTGACGAGGCAAAGATCCATCCGCCATAGGTTAAAAAATCTATCCTAACGTTTTGTGCTATAAAAAGACGGGCGACAATACTCGATCTATTACGAAAACAATCATTTGCACAGCAAACCCGAATAAACACAAACCATATCTCTCCGTACACAACAGTGGGATGAGAAATCACCGACAGATGGTGTGCAGTAACTTACAGAATGTGGCTGAATCTCTCGGGCGTAAAACACGCCACAGCGACATCAAAAAAAATGTATCATTTCCGGTGTACCTAAGGAACGGACATAGCCGCACAAGGCTCTCTCGCATTGACACCATCTCGGTGGCATGAATGAGGAAGGGAAGTACTGCTGCAGTGGTGAATGATGGGGGCGAGCGTTCGAGCCCCTCTTCCCCAAATGCGCGCTCACTTTCAGGGGCGCCCACCCACATCCCATGAGACGAATTAACGGGAGTTCGGGAGTGCGAGGTTGCGTCGAAGGCGGATCAAGGGCCAAGGCGATGATGCGCTCAGTTGGAGTTGCTCGTGGGCCGGCCCCCAAGACAGGGGTTGAGAACTGGGGGGGTAAAATCGTTGGCTGGTCACTGGTCAGGGGGCCTAGAGCGACCGCCAGCCGACCGAGAGCCTCCATCCACGCGACCGACGAAATGGAAGCCGAAACTAGCGAATTGCCCTGGCTTTTCCATGGCCTGAGTGGTGTGTGCTTCCAGGTCCTCGTCACCTCGCCCGCCATCCCAAGGGACCACCCGCCCCATCCGCCCACCTCCCTGTCGTTCTCGCAGCCACAAAACAGGGTGCTGCACCCCCGGTCCCATGGGCAGCGATCATCGCCCAGACTTTTCCCACAACCTTAGCTCTGGTCCGGCCCGATAAGATGCTGGAAACTTCCAACATGCGACCCAAGGGGTGATCCCCTTTTCCAAGGAGGAAGATCACACAGCCCTGGGCTCGAATCTGACTTGTTATGGACTCGTCGTGGATGTACACTACGAGTAGGGAGGGTAGTCTCGGTGAGCTTTTTTGCGCTTCAATACCCCAGAGTATCGGAGATAAAGCCATGCCCGTATCCCCCGTCCACACCCAAAACGACCGTCTCATCACGAACCCTTTGCACCCTCCCCTAAAGGGGGAATACTGAAATTCTAACGCAACTCGGCCAGCTTCCCCGAGGTTCCCCAACCAAGCCTTACATACTACTCTAGCACCACACTTACATGAACTTGGTAAGCTCCGATCGCTCACCCACTTCCCTGTTCAACCGCCGTTAGAGGTAGGTAGGGCATGGGGTGGCAAGTCAGGGTGACAACACAGGTGCTTGTTCCGTCAAGGACGGGAGGTGAGGAAGCTGAGCGCCACCCGAGCTGTCGATGGGGTGGTGCCACTGGCGCATTCCCGGCAACGTCCATGGTGGGGGGGAGAGAGGGGCCTGTTGCGCGTGCCGAAGGAGCGGGAGGGCCGGGACGAACTGCGATGTCAATTTGTGTTTGTTCTGCTACTGTCTACGCTTATGTATGTATGTACTAGTATTGCGATGTTGCATGCAGGAGGCTTAATTGGGCTCTAGAGAGCGTGGGAAACGTTTTTGGAAAACGCGAAACCCACCGACGCTGTTAGCGACATAATGTAGTGTACGAGTAGGCTAAAATGCCTAGCGATGGTATTGTGCGCGTGTATTAGTAGTATGTGAGCCGTCGTGCACATAGGAGTTTATACCTACCTGGCGTGCGTCCTATGTATCGCGCCGATATCACCCAACTTTGCCGCGCTCGAACAATGGAGATTGGAGATTTGGTAGAGAATTCCCAGGTCCAGACCGAGCTCCCAATCCAGAACACAGGTCTCCGCACTCCGGGAGAGTCCCCGTGGATACGCATGAACGGTTTCGATTCGCTAAACACTCCTGCCGTCAGGCGACGGCCCAGATCGATTATTGGGCGGATCCCGGCAAACGCAATGGTGCGTTTGGGAAAAGTCGGGAAGTGTTTCAATACCCAGAGCCGGTGTAATGTTGAAAAAAAAACACTCCGGAATAACACTTTGCGCCTATCAAGCGGCATCCCTCTGTCCATTCGTCACAATCCTGCACTCCCGTTCTTGTTGCCCAGTCGTCACGACGCGACGCTGAGACGCAGACACAGCGAGCGACGTGACGTGTGTGGGCAAGTTGAGACTCACCAACGGAACGACCTTCGCCGCTAACGCCGTGAAAGACGGGGGCGTCTTGGCCCCATTTTTGTCACATGCTTGGATCCTTGCAGGCAAATGGGGAAGGGGGGGGTCAATGCCGTTGGATGCCGAGGGATGGCTAATTTCATGTTACACAGTCCCATAAATCCTTGAGCCTTGGAAACGCAGTTCTCGCCGTTGAACACCCTAGCATTGGAAACTGGTAATTTGACACGTTCGACAAAGGGCAATCGGGAAAGCTGAAGCTGAGAACACGCGTTCGGATGAGAACTGGGGTTGTTTGCCGAATGAGGTGCCGAATGTCTCCGCAGCTTCCAGTCCGGATCAGGGGGGTGCGGATCGACCATTCCATTCTTCTCCATCACATGTGGGAACCGGATTGCGTTCGTCACCACGCGTTGTGGGGGAAAACAAGCCCACCCATCCATCGCGTTCCATCCTTCCCAATAAGGAAGACAAGCTTCTTGTCTTATTAAAACATACTGTGTACTCGAGTATAGTCGACAACGACGGTGTTGTTTCCCAAATCCTCGTTTTCGCCCAGCCGAGATGAACGTTTTACGTCGGCAATTCCTTGCATTCCATGCTGTCCGGCCTGTGTTATACAAAGACCTGCCCGAAAGAGAAAGCGGATAGAGACACGGCGGGCTTTGAGATCAAAAAATAGAAGCACAATGGCGGTGCGTGCGTTGCGGGCGCTAACCGCTCCCGAATTGGACAAAGCACAGAACATCCAATGTGGAATGACCCAGCACCATATTCGGCGTTCAGAGGTTCAAAACCGCGGATCTCTATCCTCTTTCTCCAACATTGCCGTACCATCAAGCCGATTGCAGGAAGATAATCGATGGACCTGGCGTCACTGCCGTTTATCGCGGGGATGTGCTTCACAGCCCCGAAGCCATGGCTCTTCTTGTTGTTCGAGCGTTCTCTTTAACAGGGGATGCAATCAGGGACTCCACATGGAGCGGCATGGCATGGCAGGGAGGTAAACCCCCATCCGCCAACGTGTGCATGAGCGGGACGGGATGCTTGACTTCCAGGCGGACCAAACCATTGCTTCCATGAGCGATGGACACCCCGAAGACGACCGGGGTATGGCTGAAGTTGGCGGCGAGGCCCGAGTGCACTTCATATGAGACTGATTGACTACTAGTAAGATAATTCTCAATGAGGAGCCTGCGAGTAAACACAGCACACAATCTTAAGATGGTATCTCGGGATCTCTGGAGTTGTTCGATGTGGGGTATCTGGTAGTTAACGTTAGAGGGTCACTTGGTCCCCACACCTCACGTTAAGTGGCACTGATGGCTGAATCAGCAGGGTTCAACCTCGACATCGAACCCGGACGTGAAGGCGACTCAACATCAACAGTTTCGCACGAACGCGGACCGTTTGTAATCCTTCGATTTTCCACGTCTCCCGATCGGACTTCAGCAGGACCGTTGCTTCGGCGCTGGGAGTATCTTTGTCTATCCCACGGGAACTCAAGTCGCGCAGTTCGAAACGAAACCCCCACACGGACCAACCCCAGCGCTCTTCACCCAAAATGAGCCGAGATCTCGAGAACGCCAACCCCACCATCCTCAACGTCTCGCAGCTTCCCAGCAGGCGGAGCAAGCGCCCGGAAACAAGGCGCGGGCCCGATTCCAAATGCGATAGCATTGTCTACCCCGAGCAGCACTGGTCCTATGGCATAAACTCGTCGTCCGACGAAGGCGAGGATTACGCCGAAGATCCCGTGGATGAGCAAGACATATACGGTACGTGCCGCCCTTCCGAAACCTAACCCTTGTCGACGAGAGAAGGGAGGGGTGCAACACGTGGAAAGAGTCGGACGACTCACCCATCGCAGATCTCATCTCCACGATCTCAGACCCCGAGCATCCGCATACGCTGGGGCAGCTGTCCGTCGTGAGGCTCCCTGATATCCACTTGAGCCCTTCGCCTGCCGAACTCTCAGATCCAGACTCACTGATCACGGCTTCGATTGATCTCACCCCCACAATCAACCACTGCTCTCTAGCCACTGTCATTGGCTTGGCAGTGCGCTGCCGATTGGAACAGACCTTGCCGCCGAACTACAGAGTGGACGTCAGAATGAAAGATGGATCACATGCTCAAGACGATCAGGTCAACAAGCAGCTAGGAGATAAGGAGAGGGTGGCAGCGGCTTTGGAGAACGACACTCTTCAACGAATGGTGGACAAAATGCTTGAGACCTGTACATGAGCGAAATAGGACCGAGGGGGGCTGTGCGCTCCCAAAAAAATATTCCGGTCCGGACAGACCGTGCTAAAGTCAGAGGCTGGATAGCCCGTGTATGGCGGGCATGTGTGCCCGTGAGCGCCTAGCATGAAAGTTCGGATTTTCGGATCGCGAAACCCCGAAACAGGTTTCCCATGCGGACGGCCGGGCAAGCGCAGTCCCGCGATGATGGGTGGCCGGGCGGCTTTTTATTCCAAATCTTAACGGTGTAGCCCTACGTGCATTCCCTGACTTCTCGCACCAGCCTAGGGCGTTGGGTTAGGTTTCGAGTAGGGGATGGGAGTCTACGGCTCACGTGCACCCCTTCACTGTCAACTCAGCGAGTGCCTGACTTGATGGCCTGGCCAAAATCTAGACCGCGTATGGAGGGGACAGGATAAATATAAGGACACTGTCATTACACATGAAGAAGCACGAATTCTTGGGGCAATTTGTTCTACTGGGATACCTGGCACCGTCCCGTTGGCCCCCGTTTCAATACCTAGTATGCTGTGGTATGTTTTCAAGTAATCTAATCCTCGCTAGCTCTTGGGGATATGCTTGAATGATCAGATCGGCCAAGATTCACCGATGGCAAAAAAGTTTCACTTCGATCGAATACTTGGGGTATATGATTGCCGTTCTAAAAACTTCACGGTAAATTTAAACATACCCTAGAACTCGTTTCGATGACCTATTCATCTAGATACGACGATCTGAAACGGCAAAACGGGCGCGGTTTGCTTAGAGAGTGTTACATAGCAACCCTAGTAGTATCTATATCTAGCTCCTCTGCCAATGTTCTCAAAGTCCGAGGGCAGCTTTAAATAGTCCCCTTACATTCCTCAACCGTGCCGTGTTATACCATGCCATCATTGAAACCTCTCTCTACACTACTTAGCTAAAGCAAGACGACCCGCATGACATCTTGAAGTCGGGGTTCGAGCTGCTCCGGGTCGAACGCCCCAACGTCGAACATTTGGAGTAGAGAATTACTAAGTGCCGGTAGGTGGAGAAGAAGATTGGGAGGGCACGTGGAAGCTGGCGGGAAGGGAGAAAAAAGGGGAAACAAACAATATGCCTCATCATTGTCTCGGCTCGTAGCCTTTCCGGTGAGGGCTGTCACCGTGCTATGGCAATAATTATGCCAACCATCGGATAGGGGTTTACTTGTCGGAATGTGGGGAAAACGAAGTCACTGGAATTCTCATGCCATCCTTCATCCTCACATGGAAAGTCTAGGATGGGGGGCCGTTAGTAAGAGATACCGATGATTTCATTGCAGAGAAATAAAATAATTTATAGCGATGTTTACGAAGTGGTACGCCGAAAGCCAACATAGGAATTGGAGTTTGACATCTTCCCCCTTTTTCGCCGATGACATGCAGTCTGCAAATGTCATCAACTGACCCCCCAAAGGGCGCTGGGGTCTCACCACGCTGCAGACTAAACTGCATCTATCAACTTGCCCCCCCAAGCCCCCCCAAATATCACGTATTTCATGTCTCACCACTGAGCAGCTGCGGACGGCTTTCCTTCCCTTGACCCCCGCGGCACAACCCCAAAGTGCCATACATTATCAAGTTTCATAGATACCACATGGTTGCCGCCGAATAACACAATCACAGCAAGGAATATTACGCCACCACCTTGTCTTTACACCAGTTAACAGGGTTCCTAGATCGGGTAAGACATACAGATGGAACGATGTGCGCCATACGACACAGCACGGACGGGTGCCGTATCCGACGGGTGGGATCGACGACGCCACCACGTTGCTATAACGCGGACGATGGTGGCGCCGGCGCCATGATACATGGGAAAATATCCCATGGTGTTTCACGGATTGTGGAAGAAACAGTGGGGCAAAGCAGGGGGAGGACTTTTGGGAGATATTGATGGTAAACAGGTAACCTTGTACAAATTACCAGGCGCGCATTATTCACGCAAACCATCTGGCGTAGGGATATCTCAAGGCACACGGCCGTCATGCTCATTGAACTGGATATAATCACACCTCAACATCCCCACACATAGCCCTGCAACGCCAAAACACCAAGATGCAAGAAGTAAGCGTGTAGTCGCTGGCATTAACAAGCCCGGCTACTCATTACAGAAAGCGGCACGAGGCAAGACCTGAGACCATAGGTAGCTCGGGCTAGGTTGGTCTCCTTACGCGCCATCTAGCGTCCCGTCCTCAACTAGCTTCTGGTAAAACTCGGCCTCAAGGAACTTGGCCACGGTGACATCCTCGCTCAATCCCTTTCTGCGTCTTGTCTTAAGGACAAAGTCCCGAGCCGTGGCTAGTGGGGTAGCCATTTGCAGAGGGCGCGTCACCACCTCGCGGTCGAGCGGATCACCAGGGACAATGTTCCAGCGGTCGAAGACGAGCGAAACCATGGCGCGGCCGGGGGTGTTGATGCGTAGGTCAGTCTCGAAACCGAAGGAGTCGATTACGGGGAGCAGGCCGTCCACACGGTACAGCGGCGTGCCAGCGATTGGGCCATCGGACAGCACGTGGCCGCGCCGCCGTGCTAGGATGTTGTACACAGTACTGACGGCGTCCTGCGGTGCGGTCATGGAAACGGAGTACATGGGTTCCATGAGCCGCGGAGAGGCCATGAGGAACGATGAATAGCACGCTCGCCGCGCAGTTGGAATGATTTGGCCACCCCCACGGAAGATGGCCTCCTGCGCGAGCGCGACATCGATGAGGCGGAATTTGGTGTTGCGGATGGCTAGGATCAAGGGCCGATTAGTTAGTCATTTGAAAGTGATACGTATACAAAGTATGGAGACGGCTGAACGCTGGGAGGCTGCTATAGGGGGGAGGAAGCGCCGGATTTTCGCGGCTGGCCCTGTGAGGGTGTATGGTAACAGAGCTTCCCAACACGATCGAGGGGAAGGAGGGGAGGGGGGAGCCGGCCGATGTAGTGTAACCGTTGCGGCCGCATCTCGCATCGCAGATCGCTCCGCAGAGGCCGTGGGATTGGTAGGGAGAGCCTGGCGTGACGTATGGTGCTGGAGGCAAATATGACAATAGAAAAAGAAAAGAATGTCACATACGTTCCTCGCAGAGGGGCCCTTCTCGGGTCGCCCAACTGAACCCTTGGCGGATCGTTTCCTTGACCGTGTTTAGCCGTTTCTTGTCGACCTGCAGTAGCATCCGTTAGTACATCATGTTCCTGTCACGGAGCAGGGCGCGTCTGGTAGGGTTCGTCCGTCAACTGTGGGGATGGGTGGAGGATAGACCCACCTCTGTTGGTAGTGTGTCGTCCTGCAAAATGTTTGGCCCCATCTCATCGGGACCAAAGGCCCATATGCTCCTGGCCGCGAGCATATCCCAGCCATACTTTTCCTGGAAAAACTTGGCCGTTTTGCGCACGGGATCGCGTATCCGGACCGCCCCAGACTCAATATCCTTGGCGATCCCGTCGTCCAGTGGCTCCGCGGCCATGGTGATGGTATTTTTCTTGTTGGGTGTGATGGCGTAACACTTGGTCGCCGACATGTCTTGGACTGTCTCACAAAAGCGAACAACAGGATCCGACACTCTGACCTCCATGTCGGCGTAGAGCCGCCGCAGGTCGTGGAGCACACAGTCCATGTAGAGCTCACCCGTACCAAGAACGATATGCTCGCCAGACTCCTCCACCTTTGTGGAAATCAAAGGGTAGCTTTTGTTGATCTTTCTGATGCCGTCAAGCATCTTGGGCAGTTCTGATGGGTTGATCGGCTCGACAGCAACCTTCAAGACAGACTCAGTGAAGTGTGATAAAGGCTTGAAGATATAAGCATCCTCGTCGTCCTCGAATTTCTTCTCGACGATGGTAGCCGTCTTGACAATAGAGTTGTCAACACCACCCAGAAGCACCCAATTGCCCGCGGGAATACCGTCCGTCGGAATATTGTATCGTGTTTCCGCAATGAAAACGTCAGATACCCTCCCCAGGGCCATGTCTTCCTCGTCGTCAATTGAGTACCCCTCACCAAGCACCCGGACTTCCGTGCCAGGCTTCACGATGCCACTCATCACACGGCCGAACGAGTAGAAGCTTTTGGCGTCTGATGTGTTGAAGAGCTTCGTTACATAGATGACCAAAGGACCATTTTGGTCGCACGTCTTCATTGACTCGGCCACCTTGGTGTCAAGCGGGCCGGTGTAGTACTGTGCTAGTTTCTTCTCGGCGGCTTCAACTGGCGAAGGAATGTGCTGGCAGACCATATCCACAAATCCAGTCGACGGTCCTGTTTGTAAGTTAGTAATTTATTATGGAGTGAATCTTAACAAGGGCTGGACGTACCGAAGAACTTTTCGCAGACTAGTTTGAGAAGGTCCTTGGGGTCAGACCTGAGCTGGGATGGCTTAAGCTGGATTCCAAGCTTCGCTAACGTCTCCTTCAAGTCCTCTGGGCTCTCGCTGATTGTGTGCGAGTAAAGCTTGTATATCGGCTCTAGAATGAAATTGACGAACGACCGCTTCGCTTCCGGTTCAACGGGTTTCCTGGTGAAACTCCTTCTTCGCGGGTTGAAGTAGACATCGCCCCATAATCGCCGAGCAAACTCATCAATGTTGACACCGCCAAAGCTGTCCGAGTACATCTTGGCAAATGATGCCAAAGTGAAGCACCACCCCATAGAGGTGCAAGCAAAAAGAACATTACCCTTTTCGGGGCTTATCCTCTTCTCTGACCCTCGACCAGGAATCGTGTCCTCAATGACCTTGTTGACCTCCTCGATGACATGCTTGAGTTTGTAGTAGGCATCGTTTGGTGGCAGCTTGAGTTCGAGTATTAACCGATCCATCTTGTTGACAATTAGTGTGAGCGGAATATCCTCAAGCACCGCATGCTTGATGATCTGCTCTGTGTTGACCTGCACCCCCTCCACGACGTCCACCACCAGACACACACCATCCACGAGGCGGAAGGAAGCGGCCACCTCGTCGACGAAATCCACATGACCTGGTGTGTCAATGACGTTGACCAAATGTGATTTCCCTTTTGTGCTGGGGAGAACCACAGTCATCGGTGCGGCCTTGATCGACAACCCGCGGTCCCGTTCAATGGTATGAATGTCTGTGTAGCGGAGTTGCTCGTCCCGCTTCTTCCCCGTCCGTTTGTCAAGCCGGTCGGTGATTGCGTGTGTCTCCAAAACTAGCATATCCATAAAGGCCGTCTTTCCATGGTGCAGGTGCCCGGCTAACGCGACGTTCCGGATCTGGTCTGGGAAGTTCATGAGATCGGTCATGAAACCGCGGTCGAAGTAGACGGGTGGAAGGTCGGCCTCCTCGATGTTGAACTTCTTCTGCTCTACCGGCGCAATAATCGGCTGCGTCAAAGGCTGGGCATCCTCCTCTTCCACCAATGTTTCAACACCTTCCCCGTACACCTGTGCCGCTGTCGGATAATATTGTTTGTCTTCGTGGAGGATCACTGCATTCGAAGGTCCTTCATCTAGGGGTACGTTAGCTTGGTAATCAACCACTACCAACGGTGAAATCATCTATTTTGCCCAACGCCTACCATCAACATCCATGTGCTCTTCGGGTGCTTCTGGGGCAGCCTCGGAGTAGTCATCATAGGCGTAATTGCCGACGTCGACGCCATGTTCGGATTCTTCCTCCGAGGCCTCGACCTCCTCGCCGATGAAGTTTCCAAACTCGTCGTATAAATCGTCATCCATGGTTGCGGGTGGAATTGGGAATTCACTTCTGTCTTCAAAGACTGCCACCCAAACTATCGGTTCGGTCGCGTCGCGTGCTGTGATGTCAGGCTGCTCCAAAAAATTAACAGCCTCGAACGCAGCTGCAAGGCTCAGTTGTGGCTGGAAGCTGGAGCCAGCTCTTGGCACCAGCCACAAATCGTGATGGAGGCGCACCAGGTGCCAAGCCGTTGCTTTTTGACTTCCGGCGATCGGCCTGGGAAAGCTCGAGGCAAGGGCCAGACTTGCCAACCCTGCACAATGTTCAGTTCCTATTCGCCGCTGACTCAACGGCAGGCAAGGAGTCCCTGTTCCTCGGCGAGGGGCATATCTTATCGGGCCGCGCGCTTGCCCAACTGTTGAAATTCCCCCGCTACACCGACAATCCCAACTCTTCACAACAAGCATACAAAGATTTTGTCTCTTGTTGCGCACAGAAACCGTCGAGATGTCCGGCCTTCCTCCTGTTTACATTGTCTCCGTGGCGAGAACCCCCGTGGGTAGCTTCCTCGGGAGCCTTTCCAGCCTGACTGCCACGCAGTTGGGCTCCCACGCCATCAAGTGTAAGTTCGCGTGATTGTAGAGGCGCGTCCCCCCCTGGATTACGGAGACACTGGAGCTGACACGGTGACCATTTTAGCCGCTGTTGAGCGCGTGCCTGAGATCAAGCCTGAGGATGTTGAGGAAGTGTTCTTCGGAAACGTTCTGTCCGCCAAGTAGGTGACCGATCCGCGACTTACAACCCACCATGGGCTCAACATTGGCCTTACCTACCACCACCACTTACTTGCGGGTTGGGTTCCTTTCCGCTAACGCCTTTATTCTCATATAGTCTCGGCCAGGCCCCTGCTCGCCAGTGTGCCATTGGTGCCGGTCTCTCGGAGGCCACCGTCTGCACCACGGTCAACAAGGTCTGCGCGTCGGGCTTGAAGGCCGTCATCCTTGGTGCCCAAACCATCATCACCGGCAACGCTTCGATCGTCGTTGCTGGCGGGACCGAGAGCATGTCTAACACTCCCCACTACCTCCCGAACCTTCGCACAGGCACCAAGTACGGCGATGCCTCCCTCGTTGACGGCGTGCAGAAGGACGGTCTCCGTGACGCCTACGGCAAGCAGGAGCTCATGGGCATGCAGGGTGAGCTCTGCAGCCAGGAGCATGAGCTGACTCGCGAGCTCCAAGACGAGTACGCCATCAACACATACAAGCGGGCTCAAGCTGCCACTGAGGCGGGCGTGTTCACCGAGATTGTCCCCATTGAGGTCAGCGGCGGCCGGGGCAAGCCCCCGGTCAAGATTGACCGTGATGAGGAGGTCAAGAACCTGAACGCCGAGAAGCTCAAGACCGTCCGTCCGGTTTTCGTTCCCAATGGCGGCACGGTCACGGCCGCCAACGCCGCCCCCATCAACGACGGTGCGGCCGCCGTGGTGCTCGCCTCCGAGGCCAAGGTCAAGGAGCTCGGTCTCAAGCCTATTGCCAAGATTCTCGGCTGGGGTGATGCCGCACGCGACCCTCCTCGCTTCACCATTGCCCCCGCTCTAGCTATCCCCAAGGCCATCAAGCACGCCGGGCTGACGGAGAAGGATGTCGACTACTATGAGATCAACGAGGCGTTCTCGGTTGTCGCCCTAGCCAACATCAAGCTGCTCAACCTCGACGCCGAGAAGGTCAACGTCTTTGGTGGCTCCGTTGCCATTGGCCATCCCCTAGGCGCCTCCGGTGCCCGCATCCTGACGACTTTGACATCTGTTCTCCGCGAGAAGAAGGGCAAGATCGGTGTGGCGGGTATCTGCAATGGTGGTGGTGGTGCTTCGGCCCTGGTGATTGAGAACCTGCAGTGAGTGGCTTTTGCCCTGCGAGATGTGGTTGCGGTGCATTCAACATAGCTCTCGGATTGGGAAACAGTGTTTTGAGCGTTGTCCGCAAAAAAAGATAAGAATCGTGACTCTAAAGCATGACGACGTTAATAGATCGGCGGAGCTTCCACAGCTAGCCAGACCCCACTTGTAGCATCTTGGTGTATAGAGGGGTTAGGACTTGCCAGTTTATGGCACAACAAATATGAAACTACATAATAATCACCAGGCGACAGCCCTGTGCAGTGCGTTTATTCAGTGTCGATGCTCCTGGTGGCTAAGCCACTAGATATCGCCCTAGCTCCCAGGTCGCCACGCCTTCACACACCCATCCTCACCAGCCGTGAACACCAATTGCTGCTCGTCATAGAAACAAAAGCTTCTCACTAATTCAGATCCATGGGCACCCGGCAAACCAACGATCGTGTCCTTATCCAGGCCCCAACCTTCAGCCCCTTTAGAGAGATGGATCAATTGGAACATTTCTTGACTATCACGTCGTTGTTAGAAATCCCTCTCGGGTATGGTGGAAGAAAGTATACCAACGAGACAAGAGAGTGAGAAAAGGAAGCCTTAAGAAGACATAATGGAAAGCAAAACTTACTCCTGCGCCCCAACGCCAACTACCGCCCCGTCCCCGCCTTGTTTCGCCACAACATCAGCTAGGTACCTGCACCCTAGCAACTCTCGCATGTCACCCAAGTCGAGGGTCGCCGCGCCTCGCTGGGGTGTCTCATCTGCCGTGTCGTACAGCGCAAACTTCTCGTCATGGGATGCCGCAAACACCTCTGTTGTGCCCACCAAGAAGCCGGCACGATGCACCGAGCCGTGGTTGAAAGTTGCGAGCACGGCATCGTCTTCGTCTGGGACTAGGGTATCGGTGAGGTTGAGTAGTCCATCGGTCGAGCCGGAAAGAAGGTGGGACGGGTGGGTAGGGGAGTAGGTTAACTGTGCGAGGGAGATATGAGATAGGGTGCATCATAACACAGAAAGATAAATAAACGCGGATGAGAGAGTGGATCTGACCGTGGTGATGTCGTCGGAATGGCCTTCGTTGTACTGTGCACGTGGATTCGAGGGCGTGCGTAGGTCCCTGAGAACAATGAGTATCGAAAGACTGGCGAAACCTTGAGGAGTGACATACCATATGATAATTGATGCTTGGTGGTTTGCGAGTTCCGTGCCAGCGGCGACGGTATTAGTCTCGTTGGAACATGCCAGTGATAAAAGCCCAGGCAGGTTTCCTGGTTGTTAAGTTAGTTAGTTTACTTGATTAGGTCAAATGTGAACTAAAACATGATCGTTAATAGAGACAAGCCTCACCACCTATTTGCATCGCTGGCGCACTCGAGGTGGCCTGGCGGAGATCCCATAAAGAGACGGTTCCATTTTCTCCGGCGGTACACACAACCGAATCCGCAGCGCTGTATATTTTAGAGGCGGTCAAGTTGCCGTGGTCAGTCCTGATCCTCTTGACAGGGCCTTGGTCTAATCTTGGGGGATCGAAGAGGCTAATGCTCTGGTCAGAGGCTGCGGTAGCAAACCCGGCCGTCACGGGTAGGATGTCGGTGACATAGATCTCTTGCCCGGGATACCTGTACCGTCCTGAGTTGACTAGTTGGTACATGGCAGAAGTTGTGTCTTATATTCCCCGCCCCGAACCTCTTGCTGGCTAGTTGCTGGGTGTAAGTCACGCTACGGCTGAAGAAATTTTGGGGTTGGGCCGCCGTGTGAAGGTTGTATTGATAAAAGTAGGCCTTAATCAACCCCACCCCAAGTATCTATGGCGAGCCGCTAAAAAAATATTTCTACCTTATAGATGACCTGTGAACGACTTCCTAGGCATTTCGAAGACGTACCTCTCCGGGGTATCAGGATAGTGCGGGCAAACTTTGAAGAATTTGGCAAGGTGGGAAGAGCCGCCGGCCGGCCGCCAGCTGGTTCTGCAGGCGCTGGATGCTGTTCCATTTTCTCCCCTGTCAAACTTCAGGGTTCCGATACCCCTGCAGCAGCTTAGGTAAACGGGCCGCATGCATTGTTGCATCAGTGGGGAGCTCATGTTCTGGACAGCTTACCACACCCTCCAAGCCAGAAACACAACAAGGTACGAAGTAATCGGCCAGCCTTTTTCTGAACGTGTTTGGGCTCGAAGTCAACCACCAGCCATGGAATAAACCTCGCGGACCGCAGCGCCTTTATTTCTGAAGTTCACCATGAAAGGGCTTCTGGGGCTGTCCCGTAAGTCGCTGTCCGGTCCTGACAGCGAGTAGTTCTCGGAGATCACGGATTCCACTAACACCCGTCTCTGCAGTGCTCTTGCAGGTCGCCACGTTAACTCTTGCCGACGCGCAAGCCGACCAGCGAGTTTTGGGCGGTGATGCGACCAGAAACCCGCCAAAAGGTAACTCATTACAGGCAGAGATAGCCGCACAGGGCGGCGGGGAAACAGCACGAGACCCTGGTACGGCGCTTTAACTTCGAGCACCAACCTTCCGAGCACTCCACTGACGATATTAGGGTCCGATCTCGTCGACTCAGCTCTCCTCGAATTAAACAAGCTACACCAGCCGTTGCACAACCGATCACAGAAGCAACATGGCATCTTCGGCACTCTCTTGCACCTCGCTCTCAAAGCGGTACCGACCCTACGGCTGAGTGCCCCGACCCCAGATTCCTCATCGAGGCCCGTTCTTAGCGGGAAGCTCTTGCACGCGACCAAACTTCTCGAAGAGTCCGCTCACAAGAACAACTCCGATGCCCTCTACATACTCGCCGAGATGAATTTCTACGGCAATTTCTCCCACCCGAGGAACTTTCCGGTCGCCTTCGACTACTACCACCAGCTCGCACTGCTCAATGGCAACAGCTCCGCGCTCTACATGATGGGACTTATGTACTCGACGGGAATTGGTGGCGCGGTGGAGCGTGACCAGGCCCGGGCTCTCCTTTACTACACCTTTGCGGCCAACAAGGGACACACGAGGGCTGAGATGACTGTGGCTCACCGGCACCACGCAGGCATTGGGACGCCCAAGAACTGCGAGACGGCGGTCAAATACTACAAGCGGGCGGCGGACAAGTCCATTGCGTGGTACCGTTCTGGCCCGCCCGGTGGAAGAAGTTGGATTGCCCAAACACACAGGATTGCGGACGAGAACGGTGGTGCGTATGGGGAAGGGGCTAGCGCTGCTAGCGCCGGGAGTAATGCTCTCAAGGCGCACCCCAACTCCGACGCCTATGCCTCTATTGAAGACATCATCGAGTATCTCGACCTCATGTCCCAAAAGGGTGATTTCAAGGCGTCGTTTAACCTTGGAAGGATATACTATGAGGGGCAGAGGGGTCTGGACAAAAACATGGCACTCGCCAGGAAATACTTCTTCGATGTCACGCAAAAGTACTGGCGCAAGAGCCGGGCCGTTGATAACCCCAAGCCCGGCCTAGATAAGACAGCGGCCAAGGCAGCGGGCTATATCGGGCGCATGTACATGCGCGGGGAGGGCGCCGAGCAAAACTTTGACCGGGCCAAGATTTGGTTTGAGCGCGGTGACGTCCTCAAAGACGCCCAGTCTCAGTATGGCTTGGGTCTTTTATATCTTCACGGATACGGGACCAGGGTGAATGTTGGGAAGGCCATCGACCAATTCAAGGCGGCCGCCTCCCAGGACTATGCTGCGGCGCAGCTGCAGCTGGCATATCTCTACTTGGATCGTGGAAGTAACGAAGATATAGCCATGGCAAACCACTACTTTGAGACGGCGGCACGGTGGGGCAACATGGAGGCCTACTACCATCTTGCCGAGGCGAATAACCTTGGACTTACAACCGAGCGCTCGTGTGCGGTGTCCGCTTCTTACTATAAGAACGTCGCCGAACGGGCCGAGCCCCTCGTCTCCTCCTGGGCGGAAGCTAACCTAGCCTACGAGAACGGTGAGACGGAACTTGCGCTGCTCGAGTACCTTGGAGCTGCCGAACAAGGTTACGAAAAGGCACAAAACAATGTCGCCCACATTCTTGACCCGGACAGATCTCGCTTACCTATTGCCCAACTTCTGGGCCACCAACACACGTCCGCGTTGCTACAAGACCCGACCCTAGCCTTGATTTTCTGGACGCGCTCGTCGCGGCAGAACAACATCGATGCGTTGGTTAAGATGGGCGACTATTACCTGTATGGAATCGGCACAGAGGTCGACGTCGACAAGGCCGTGCAGTGCTACACGGGCGCGTCCGATTTCCACCAGAGCGCGCAGGCGCTGTACAACCTCGGATGGATGCATGAACATGGCGTTGGGCTGGATCAAGATTATCACCTAGCCAAGCGGTTCTACGATGCCGCGCAAGCGACCAACCAGGAGGCCTACCTCCCGGTCGCGCTCAGCCTACTCAAGCTGCGGGCCAAGAGCGCCTGGAACACACTGACGCACGGTAGAATCAACTCTATTCAAGATGAGCCGAGTATGTAACCTTCCTTGCCCCATACCCCTGGTCCGAATACACCTGATCCCCGGTCTGAACTAACAACCGCACCAGCCCCTAAGAAAGAATGGTCTCTTAGCGATTGGATCAACAACTTCCTGCAGGACGACGACCTGTACTACGACGAGCTGTATGAGGACATGTACGAGGACGAGATGCCTGGTGGCGACCCGCTCGATATTGACGACGGCGTCATGGAGAGCGTCGTTATTCTCGGCCTCGCCGCTGCCCTCGTGTTCCTTGTCATGTACCGCCAGCAGCGGCAGCAACAAGCAGCGAGGCGGCGGGAGGAGGAAGCCAGACTGCGGCAGCAGCAACAGCAAGGAGGCGTCCAACCAGGAGCAGTGGCTGCAGGAAATCCGCAGCAACCACAACAGCAGCAACAGCATGGAGCCTTTGCCCCACGACCGGGTGATCCAAATTTTGGGCAGTGGGCGGCTGGGGGGTTCGGGCATTGATGGTGAAGGCGCAGAAAACGGACAAAACCAACATGTGTACACAGTAGGGTATGATTCTATGGCATTGAGGCATGGGGCAGCGGCGTAACTGGGGCTTCGTTGTATGAATTTTGTGTTGATTACTATTTTTATGAGCGTGCGTGCCTTACTGGGCCATCGTTTTCCGGTTTGTGATTGTGAAAAGATGGTTGTGTGGCTCATGTCAAAGCCCAGGTCAAACTTAACGAGGACAGTAATTTATGACTGTTACCAGTTTTGAGGTAGTGTAAAAATTGTTGTATTTCAATGTTTTGCGGCGGTCGTGCTTTCCCAATTCAAAAAGCAGCCACCCACCGGCATCCACTCATTCGTCCATCAACCAACCCCCAACCTCGGGTTCACCAAACCTACAAATATCGCTCGGCTCGCCCGAAAATAGAGGATGTGATATCCCAAAAATGCGGGCCGACCAGAGCACTCAAGATGTCATTTCAAACCCCGGGCGGCCCGGCCGCTAAGCGACGGCGCATCGAAGCCGCCAACGCAACTCTCCGGAAGCCCTTCCGGTCGCCGCTCGCGGGCCGGCAAAAGGAAAAGGGGGACAAACCCGAACCCCGTTCGGCTCCGGGACTTGGGGATGCCCAACGCCCGTCAAGTACGGGTACTGAACGGCCGACCACGGTTGGGAGTTCTACTAATACTATTCTAACCGCAACGCCGCCACCCACCCATACTCGCAGCGCCAGTCGCCGGCCAGTCGCTGCATCGCCTTTATCGACTGCCACAACCGCCGGTGCGAACTTCTCCCCATCCCGTCATGACACAGCCCAGAACGACGTCGATGGCGATAACCTTCTCCAGCAACTGAGCCGGTCTCAAACGCAGCTACAAACCCACCTCCGTGCCGCCGAAGCCCGACTCCATCTTGTTCAACAAGCACACCAAATCGAGCAACGGGCTGCGAAGGCCGCCAACGATACGAACACCGCTGACCCTAACCCTAACCCCGATACCGTCATTGATGTGGATGCTGAGCTCCGCGGGATGATTGCCCGGTGGAAGACGACCAGCCGGCTAGCGGCCGATGAGTTGTTTGGGCTGATCCGGGACCGGGTGGAAGGTATGGGCGGGGCGAAGGCGTGGAGGGCCAGTCGACAGTGGCAGAGGAGCGGGGGAGGGTTTGGCTTTGCGGATGGAAACGAGTCTGGCAGCGGTGATAGCGGGATGGTTTCAGGTGGCAATTTTGAGGGTAACGGTGGTGAATTGGCAAGTGATGGCGAAGAAGGGACCGAAGGAAATGAGGGCGATGAGGATAAGGGGCAGGGAGAGGAGGTGGATGAAGAAACCGAGGAATCAGTAAGTCCCAACCCCATAAATGAAATGACAAGAACGTCGAGGCCAACACATTTAGGAATTCACAATGACTATGATGCTCGAGAGTCTTAATATTGAGCCAAGTATACTAGGCTACGACCCCGTCGAAGACAAATGGAAGGACTGAGATTGCCTCCCGATGTGGGGGTTATGGAGATGATGTGGTTTAAGTTAAAAGAATACTCGGCAAAGCCATGTTTGCATTTCAAGGAACCTCTAGTCATTGGGAAAACTCTTCTGAGTCTTGGTCTGAGAGCGAAGTTCTTAGATGGGTTTCATCAGTATCATGATGAGCCAAGTCAGAGGCGACCTTCATTGCGAACTAGAGACATCTCTTGATCGACAGTTTCGCACGTGTTGGTACCTCGATGTCTCGGCCGAAAATACTTGGTGGTGGGGTCGCTCGGGACAAGGCCCCGCGAGAGCCCCATCAGCCTGGACGACTAATTCCCTTCCGTTGATTGGCCAGATATCCTTCGAAAAAGGTGGGGTTCCCGGAACTGGGACGCACGTTCGTTGGTGGCGGCAACTTTCTGGGCCACAACCCACACAAGCCATTGCCGAGGATGTCACTCCCGAGGGCTTTTCGACCATCGTGCATCCTATCACGCTTACCCTCTACGCCCACGTAAACCGTCGCCAGCGCCCCAACCCACTGCCTCGTGCGAGCGACCGCGCATCAATTGACCCGTCTCGCGACAGCCATCATGGCCACTCTCCGCTCCTCCGCTTCCGCCCTCGTCGGCGCCGTGTCCCGGCCGGCCCTGCGCGCCACCACGGCGAAGACACTACCCTCTCTCGCGGTGCGCGGCATGGCACAGGTGACCGACGCCCAACAGACGAATCAAACAGCCTCCGGTGACAAGGCCAACCTCAAGACCTTCCAGATCTACCGTTGGAACCCGGATACACCAACGGAGAAACCCAAGATGCAGAGCTACACTCTCGACCTCAACAAGACCGGGCCCATGGTCCTCGACGCCCTGATTCGCATCAAGAACGAACTCGACCCAACTTTGACCTTCCGCCGGAGTTGCCGTGAGGGTATTTGCGGTAGCTGCGCCATGAACATCAACGGCACCAACACCCTCGCTTGCTTGTGTATGTGGACCCCGCCATGATGAAAAAAAAGGAACCGAAACATATGAGGAGGCAAGAGTCGGATGAAGCGGGTTGGGAACGGATATGCGCTTAGGGAGTGTTGGGAAGAAAGGACTGGACAACGGATTAGACTAACTCTTACGCCAGGCCGTATTCCTCCGGAAAACAGCGCCGACATGAAGATTTACCCGCTCCCTCACACCTACGTCGTCAAGGACCTGGTACCCGACCTCACACAGTTCTACAAGCAATACAAGTCGATTAAGCCGTACCTACAGAGGGATACGCCGGCAGAAGACGTAAGTCACGCACTTTCAGAACACCAGCTTGTGTTCTGCCGCCCCCTATTACAGCGAGCCGACCCGGACTGACACATTTTTCAGGGCAAGGAATACCGGCAAAGCAAGGCGGACCGCAAGAAGTTAGACGGGCTGTACGAGTGCATCCTGTGCGCGTGTTGCTCAACATCGTGCCCGTCGTACTGGTGGAACTCGGAGGAGTACCTCGGCCCCGCCATCCTGCTGCAGTCGTACCGCTGGCTGGTCGACTCGCGTGACGAGAAGACGGCCCAGCGCAAGGACGCCCTCAACAACTCCATGAGTCTATACCGCTGCCACACCATTCTCAACTGCACTCGCACCTGCCCCAAGGGCTTGAACCCGGGTCTGGCGATTGCCGAGATCAAGAAGTCGATGGCCTTTTAAAGGGTATTTCGGCGGCTGGGCGGGCTGTGAGTGTTGGTTACAATATGTTTGGGTGGACAGAAGGCGGGGGAATGGGGATTTGAGAATCCGATACTGAGCTTGGAAAGTGTATAGTGTGGGAGTAGTGTAGGTGTTTGTGTCAAGAATGATTAAGAAACGGGCAGGGTTCTTGGGAGGCCCAGAGCCGGCGGGGGTGATGGCGGTATTAGTGAGTCCCAAAAATTCAATCGGACGCGGTAGAGTGTAAACTTATCCTGGTCTCCTGCATGGTCGGAGTTTGCCTGTCACAATAACAGCTCTAGGATGGATGGACGGATGGTTTTCAGGTTCCATGCGGCCCTTACAAATACGAAGCAATTGTTCAAACGAGGTCGTGTTTCACAACATCCTGCAACAGGTGGAGGTGTAAGTCGAACAGCTCTGCTCCGGCAACAGAAAGGGACTTTTATGGAAAGAAAGAAACATAGCTACATGGTTAACCGACAGGTGCAGCGCAACCCTAGGGGAAATACCAGCCAGCAGATGGGTTTGAGCCTCCATCCAGGGGCTCAGCTGCTTTTTTGCTCCATTTCCGCCCTGCCTCAACACCTAGTCAGCGAATGACACTACTCATTCTTGATAAGCTCGTACACGACATCCACCGGCATCCAGTTGCTGGTGGTCCACGCGGTTTCTACGTATCTCTTCGTTAGTCTCGTCTCTCCATCGCCAGGCTCCCCGGTTTCAGGAAGGGGACAAGGGGCTCGACTTAGAGGAAACGGACTCACCATCCTTCCACTTCACAGTCCACTGCTCCTCCGCGCCGCCCACGGGGAACGCAACCCAGTTACCCTTCGAACTGCCACCGTCCTGGCCGGCATACTCGACCGTGCCATCGTCACGGCTGGCGCCCTCGTCCTGCAGCGCAAACGACGTCCAGTCGGCAGTGGTGCCATCGGGCAACTCGACGCTGTGGGGGTCGACGAGAAGAGAAAAGTCCAATAAACCATTGCTACCGACCACGGCAAGGGTGCTCCCGTCGTCGTTGTCCCCAGCGGTGTGCAGCTCGTTGAGCTTGGTCGAGGGGTTCGCCACCGGGTAGAACTTGACAGCAGGAGGGGTAGGCCCCTGGTGCGAAGAGGTGTAGACACTTAGGGTTATGGTGCTACCGGTGGACTCGTCGGCAGCGGTAGCCTCAGCAGCGGTGAGGTAGAGACCGTCGAGTTGCTGGTTGGTACTAGAATGTGGGGTGGTGGGGTTAATGGGGTGGTTCGTGGACGGAGGCATTTGACTCCATTCTTGTTTATTTCCAAGGGAAGGTGGGTTGGTTGATGGCTTACGAGGACAGGCGCAGAGTGTAGACCGACTGAGCAACATCACGGCGTACCGGGGTTGCCAGGCCGACAGAGGCGAGGAGAGATAGGCTCAGGGCGGAGAACTTCATGTCGGCGGGTTGTAGTGGTTATTGGGTGATGGGGGCTATAAATTGAAGTTGATGGGTCGAGAAGGGCTCTCTTGGGCGAAGCTGATGTTGCTCCTAGTGGCTTTTGGGAGAGGTAGGGATCAAGAAGACTCGCTTTGGCGGAAAGAGTAATGGCGCCCTTTTACGTTTGTCTCGGTGTTAAGGGTCGTTCTTTCCTCTTTGTTCATCACACGCAACGCCGTCACACAACTCGAGTCTTTCAGGCTTCCTTGGTTCGATTATTTCCGCCTTAGCTTGCCTACTGCACACATAATCACAATAGGCTCAGGAAGGATATCCTCCGATCCTTCCAGTATCAGCAACAACTAACATTGCTTTTCCTTGTACTACGTCCGCTGCTCGCCACACTTTGCCGTCGCTGTGCCGCGGAAATGATGCAGCCATTGTGTCTCAGCTAATTGTCGATTTTCCCGGTCCAGATATTAAGAAGCTGCACGCAAGACGCAGATTATTATCCATAAATTGACCAAGCACCTATTTTTAGCCCCTGTTGTCTTCCAGAGACCGGGTTCGGATTCCTAGCTGTTTACACGTGTAATTTATCATAACCCCCTTCGTCCTGCGAACGGGCCTTGGGACCAAGTTATGGAAATGCACGGGTACACGGGCCGCATCAAATATTGAATGACAAGTGCTGTAAGTTGTCCATGTTCCACAGTGACTGCCTTTGGGAAAACGAGCTGTGGGTTCTGCAACGAGGACAGCAGTTGACTCTGGAATTTAGTCTTGATATGATGGGACTAGAGAAGATCAGTCAATGACACGGCTTCTCGTGCTAGACGAACTTGCATGGCATGGTGTTATGCAAGTTCAAGATACACAGAGGTGAGGTTGACGGCAGGAAACGAGACTCGACGCCCTTGGTGGGGCAAGCAGTACTGCAGTAGGTACTTTCAGTTTCCATCTCCGGGTTCTCTCCAACCTATCAACCGCCTTCCTCTCTACCTACCGAATTATTTACCATACCCGACTACCTAAAGTTACACACGACACTCTTATAAATTCAAGATATCTACTATATGGAAGGTAACCCCCAAGGATGGCTAACATACCGGATCTTGAGCTTGCCCAGTCAGTAATTTTTCCTAGTGATTTTCTCAGGTTCCTGCTTTTAACTCAAACTTTGACTAGCCCCCTGAAACTATTCAATATCGCAAAAAATGAAAAAAGGTTACTCTACACATCTGCGCCAATGGTGCGCTATAGCAAAGTAATTCATATCGGCTATACCCTTTCTTACTTCTCAGCCCCCTAACAGGTTCTAGCTCGCCTTTCGACAAACTGTGTTTGCCTACGGCACAGACTTATGCTGGACTCCCATGGTATTAGCTAAGGAGTTCAACAGGAATCGTTTTGCCCGAGATAGCGGTTTGTTTAGTTTTATTATTTTATAGTAGTCTTCCCTTGAATCGCCCGCTAACTCTTCCCAAGACTTCACAATATCCACCAAAGGCCCTCAACCTCCCACGATTGTACAGTTCGGCGCCAATGTGCCACAGGAATTAGCGAGAGCCTCGTCTCTTGTCGTGCCATTTTCTAGTGGAGTCGATCTCAACTGTGGTTGCCCCCAATCATGGGCTTGCGCTGAGACCTTGGGTGCTGCTCTTATGGAGAAAAGGGAGTTGGTGCGGGATATGGTCGTCGAGACGAGGGACCAACTCCGCCGAGACGGATGGGGCGTCGGTAAGGAGAAGGATATTGACAATCCCAAAGGGAAAAGTGTGAGTGTTAAGATTAGGGTGCATAAGGACTTGCGGTAGGTTTATCTAAACCAACTCTCACTCCACCCCTGAACATGGAAACTGACCAAAATCAGAAAAACAATAGACTTCATCACCACTGTCCTGGGCCCCGACCAAGACCGTCACATCGACTGGCTGACCATCCACCCGCGAACACGCTCCACCCCATCCAGCACCCCCATCAACATCGAAGCCCTCGAGATCTTGACTTCAACATTTGGCGACCGCGTCCCCATCCTCCTCTCCGGCGACGTCTTTGCCCTCAGCGCCCTCCCCTTCACCTCGCCCCTCCTACATCCCAGCCCAACGTTCACCACCACGGATACCATCACCATCACAATGCCCCCAACACCTGCCCTTCCCGCGGTATCTTCCGACGCTCCCATCCTCGCACATCTCCCCAAACTCGCAGGTCTCATGTCAGCCCGCGCCATCCTTGCCAACCCAGCCCTCTACGCCGGCCACGACGCCTGCCCGTGGGAAGCGGTCGAGGCCTTTCTCAACAACGTGGCGCGGTGTCCGCTGCCCTTCAAGCTGGTGCTGCACCATCTGAGCGAGATGTGTGCACCGGGGATGGGACCGAACAAGAGCGCGCTGCTGAGCAAGGCGGAGAGGACGGAGATGATGGCATGTGGGAATATGCTGGATTTGGTGGATTATTTGGAGGATAAGAAGGGGGTGAGGAGGGATATGTAATTAGGTGAAATACATCACTTGGTGAGGCCGGGAGAGATATTCAAGAGGGGGTGTGTTGAAGAAGATACTCAATGTTCGTTTGATTGCTGTCGCTGCCGCCCTTTTTGATGGATGCTCCTGTAACCCACGAAACATGGTATTTCATTGCCCATTGTTATCCCGGCTGCCCTCCCACCTTCATTCTCCTCCCCCACTCATACTTTGCTTGGTCACGGCTGTCATGAGAGACATTCAACGATAGTAAATGAGTACCATAAACGTGGCCCACATCCCAGCAAAACTTGGGACCAGAGACGAATAGAAACGTTTTATGTACAAACACCAATTGCGAGGTCAGTGAACCATCACCAGTAGCGCTGCTCCGTGTCTTAAAAACCCCCCAAATGTCCCAGAGGCTCACCAAACCGCCCCGAAAAAAGAAGAGATAAAACCGTTGTCGTGACCGAACACTCTCTAGAGTTCGCTCCGCCCCCGTAGGCCAACAGCCCTCAAGACCTGTGGCCCATCATCGACGACGGTTTATCGGCTGGCTATTGACGCTTTGCTCAAAATCCACAGCTAGAAACGAAACATAAAAGGTGAATACGACCAAAAGAAGTGAAAGAGAAGAGGAAATAAGTGGGGAGAGAGAATCATGACCCCTTGATCTCCCCCTCATCCTCGTCGTCGTCCAACTTGATCCTCTTTGCCTCACGCTCCTCCAATCCTTCAGGGTCCTCACTCCGCCTTTTGCCGATCCGTGGCGAGACTAATCCACCCCCATTGCCGTCAGTTCCTGAATTCTCGTTAAGAGTACTGTTCGGATCCAACAGCTCGCCTTCCCGACCGTGCTCGTGCGTCGAGAGGTGGTTCGCTGCCTTCTTAAGGGCCGCGTCCGAGTCGCCGTTGGTGAAATTATTATTAATATTACTGCTGGGTTGTTGTTGCTCTTGCTCGTCTGACGGCAGCTCAGCCGTTGCCTTGAGAGCGGCTAGTGAATCAACCGGCTCCTCTGGCTTAATGGCAACCGTGGCGCTGCTGCCCTCGCGACCATTCTCGCGAGGCGCCGAGACGCGGCTGTAGGGGCTCTGTGTGCCGGCGCGGTGGCCATCGGGCCCGAGCGGGGTGGGTGTGTTGCCGTATTGGCTCGAGTCGAGGTCCATCTGGCTAAGGCTGAGCTCACCGCGGCGTCGGGTGCTCTCGAGGTTGAAGACGGGCGACCCGGGCACCTTGGAGTCTTGCTTGCGCAAGGGATTCTCTTTGTAGAAATCGGTCATCAGCTGGACAGCACGTATCGTCAGCGTCTCGCTGCCCTTGAGGTGGTGCCACCAGGCGTCACCGGCGACATCGTCGATTTTCTCCTGCGTGACGGACGAGGCGAAGAAGATGGCCGCGATAGCCACGTCCCGCGCATTCAGGAGTAGTGGCAACACCGTTAAGCAGGCGTCGTTGCAGAAAGCCCACGCCGAGTCCCGTAATGTCTTGTTGTGCAGGAGCTCAAGCTGGCCCATGTAGTCGTGCAGCCGCACGTACGGGTTGTCCACCAGAAGGTCAAACGTGAGGGCCTCCAGCATCAACTCCTCGTACGCCAGGATGCTGTCGCGCCACTTCCAGTATTCCTTGCTCTGCTCGTCGATGATGAGTTTCGTGTTCTTCTGCGCCACCTTGGCTACGGCGATGATGAGGTCCTTGGTCTTGCGGCAGTTCTCTTCCGTTTTATTAGCCAGGAACAGCGCGGTGGCGGCGATGTTCTGGGCGCAGAGAACAAAAGAATCGTTAGCACGCCAATGTAACCATAGCTAGGAGAAATGTGTGGCTACACCCGAGCTAAGGACGGGAAGGTGATCTCTTACGTAGTGGTGAATGCCCCCCTTTTGTTCTATCATGCTGTAGCGCATGTAAAACCTGTGGAAGAACACACCGGCAACCCACAGCGTGATCTGCGGCAGCTCTAGTAGGATCCCAGCCTGGTAGATGAAGTTCACTCCCTTAGCCCTCCTGAGCCTGTCCTCGGTGAGTGACAGACCCTCGACGATGCTCGGCGTGCTGGCGACTTCATCAGCAGTGAAGAACCACTGATTTGGCCACGGCTGTGGCCCTCGGGCCGGGCTTGACGGCTGCTGCGTGGGTGATGGTGCGCTGCGGCGCGAGTGCGGTCTGGGCGGCGAAGTCCGGGATGTGTGTGTCGGCGGGGAGGGAACGGCGGGGGGGATATCGCGGCGTCGGGATGGAGATTTGGAGACGCGGTCGACAGCTGCTGGGAGTGGTTTCGCGGGGAGCGATGGGGGCTGATAGCCCTCTCGCAGCGGTCGGTATCGGTCGATGCTCGACATGGTTTCTTCCGGCGGTTGGCGTCCTTTTTTGTATTTACTGGGCTGGGAAATGGTGGGTGGGCAATCGGCTAGCCCTCGAAGCTTAGTGGTTCTCTGTGTAGAGAATGGTAGGGAATATTGGTCGCATTGATGGTGTGGTGGAAATGAACCGTCGCGATCATGGGTTGACGGGATGAAGAGATGCAAGCACTTCAAGTTGGCGCGAAAGAGAGCGCGAGGTGTCGCAGAGTAGCCATGCAATGTGAGGCTTGGCAGCGCATGCCCGAGAAACGGGCATGTGGAGCCGGCTTTGGCGATGTGGGGGCGGACACGGGGGCGCATCTTGGCACGGCACGAGGGGTTCCCTATTGTCGCATTTTGCACTGTTTTCAATATTTTAGGAACAAAGATGTCAGTCGCGAAACAATAAGAAACTCGGGTCAGTTCTAACAATAGGGACGGAGGTCCATGGGTACCACAAATGATACAAGTGCACGTATCGCGGATTTGGGTATCTGGTCTAGTTTGTTTCCGCCTTAGGTATCCGTATTCCTCGGGCGCCCCTCCGATCCCAAGCCTACCTAGTCGTCGAACATTCCTGTCGAGTCGTTCCGCCCCCAGAGCTTGACCGTTCGGTCATGCCCACCGCTCACTATCCATCTCCCATCCCTACTCACGTCCACGCTAGCCACAGGCCCTGTGTGCCCTGAGAGCGACTGGACTAAGCCCCAGTCGTCAGCCGAGAAAATGTTGACTTTGTGGTCGAAGCCGGCAGAGACCAAAAAAGTCCCCGACTTCTTGGGAATTTGGAAACCTTTCTCGTCTTCGCCTGGGGGAATGCCATCCACAGGGTCGTCGAGCCCCTTGAACCACCTTACGTCGGACACGGCGCTCGTATGTGCGCCAATGCCCCCCGAGCGCTGGACCTTTCTCACGTCCCAGCACTTGATCCAGCCGTCGGCAGAAGCTGTGAGCACCCGGTGGCCGTCTGAGCCCCAGTCGAGGCCGTAGATGGGTTTGATGTGGCCGTCAGCGCCGCCGTCAAGGATCATGACCGTCCGACCAGAGCGCAAGTCCCAGATCCGGCCGACGCTGTCCAGACCAGCGCTAGCCAACAGGGACCCGTCCGTGTTGAAGCTCACTGCGTATACCCCACGCGAGTGGCCCTCTTGTAAGAGCAGCTCCGTGGTGGTCTCGACATCCCAGAACCTCCACGAGGTGTCTTCGGAGGCGGATGCCAGGTACTTCCCAGAAGGGTGGAATTCTACCCGGCATACCCGCTGCGAGTGCCCCGACAGTGTCGAAAGCGGCGTGTCCTGCGATAATGACCATAAATGGATTTGCCCTTCCGCGCCTCCCGATGCTAAGTTGACAGTCTCTTCCGAGACGTTGCTCTCCGGTAAAGTTGCTCCAGGCATCCAGGCGAGACCGCTGATCTTGTTCGTATGACCCCTCAATGTCCGTTTCGGTTCGAGTGTTGGGATATCGATAAGTTTGACCTGCCCACCCCAGTTACCCGTGGCTACCATTTTCCCGTTTGGCGATATCCTGGTCATGGACACATGACGGTCTCCCGCCGTCTGGCTGCCCTGAAGTTCAAATGTCTGGAGTCGATCCTTTACCTCTTTCCGAAACTTGGCGTGTGCGCGTAAAGAGATTGTTGCCTCCTTCTTTTGAAAACCGATACGCTTCTTTGCTCTCGGTATCGAATATTGAGCGATGTTTATCCGTGCTTGGAGGAGTTCATCAGTTCCCCTCGAGTAGAATTCTTCCTCCCCTTCCTCGGCCTCCTCGTCCTCCTCCGCGTCAACATCCTGCATGTCCACATCTGCACCTTCCTGCCCGCCCGCTTGTTGAGTATGTGCTTGTTCGGTCAAAAGCTCCCGTAATCTGTCACGTCGGTCCGCGGGGCCCTCCCCAAAGAGTGTGACCGGCCGTCCAAGCTCTCGAAGTTTCGCGCGCACTCGCCCGTCGTCGGTCGGAACGGCAATGGTTGCTGCCAGTCGCTTCCTCTCGAACTGCGAGAGAAGCGCAGACGCCTTCTCCGGGGCAATGCCGGCCCCAGCTCCAGGGATGTCATAGTCGCGGTCGATAGCTATCGTATATATTAGCAAAATGAAACCGGTCATATCGGGTATTGGGAAATGCGCTCACGGATGGAGTTGATGTCAATGCCGCCTCCTTGGTGCTATGCATGAAACCGCGTGTTAGCTCTCGATGGGCTGTAAAGATTCAGAGAACGAAACATCGAAAGTAAACCAAGCGTACTAACCTCGGGCTCAGCCTCCTCCACGTACGCTCGGCGGGACGGGTGCATCATTTTCGGGGCGTCGTTGCTGAAAACCTATTCTTGAGGCTACTGCGTATTGGTGAAGCTCTTTTGATGGACCGCGTTTTGGAGACTTTTAGGTGGTGGGGCGCTGTTAGCGCACTGGCAGGTCCGTGGCTGTTCAGTTGACATAGATAACCCTAACCCCCGTTTTGCCGGTATAAGACGACCCAAGTGGTTCCGGAGAAGCGTGAGTAGGAAGTACACGAACATGTACCATTATAATCTGGTATACCTGGGTGATCCTGAAATCTTGCTCGCAATTTACACCACTGGATTTCATGCAGGGCAGCTCTCTAAATTTTGAGGTTCTTGCTTCACAAACATGAAAAAGGATTACCACTTGATGCCCTGTGAACAGGTGGCGGCCTGAGCTGGGGATGTATCATTGGCTACCTTACTTTCTTCCTGCATATGTTTCAGTGTGTTGCGCCGAAATAAAGTAGCTGAAGCAGTATAAAACAAGAGAGTCCAATCCCTGATGTTATGACAGAAAATTTATCGATTTGGTAGGGACAATCCTGCCGGCTCCATGCGACCAAGACCTTGAATGTTTGTTGGTTTCGGAAAGAACAGCAGGTCAAAATGCGGAGCCTTTTTCCCCGGACTCTGTCCAGGCGCCAAACTGGGGCGATGGGGCTGAGATCTGATCTGCGCCCAGTCAGCGCGACTCTGTCAGCCAATGAAATACCCACGAATTTTTTTTTTTAGGTTTTCAGTTTGCTGGGGCTTTGAAGGTCAGCGCCGCATGTGAAGCGGCTTTCAGTGAATAAAACTGCTGGCACCCCGCCACCTGTCCAGGCTCTCTTGCATTTTCTCCTTTCCACAAGCCCGAATCAATTCACTCAAAACGCAACCCCTCAATAACCCAAGCATAACTCAATGCAGATCAAGACGGACGATCAAGACAACTCTTCTTCTTTTTTCAAGTCCCAGATGCGTGCGATCCCGAGCCACAAAGGACTGAGCAGCAACAGCGAAAGGCGCGCGGACGCAGGACGACGTCGGGGAAAGGCTTGAATATCACGCCTCAAATCTGATTAATTTCGATACCGCACACATTCAGCCGTTTTAGTTTATATATTTCACTGGATCACACCCACCCGTTTTGGCACCAACCGTTGTTTCGAGCAGCCATCAGCAACGGCGGCTCGATGCGTTCCAAGGGCCCCACCGCACTCAACACAGTGCGCGGCTTCAACGGCACTCCCGTAGCCTCTGGCGATGAGGATTCGGACTCCTTCCCAACGCCCCAGTCTGGGCAGAAGGCTCGGAAGGGCCGCACAAAGCGGGCGGGAAAGACCCATGCCATAGACGATGTCGTCAGCGCCAATTGCAGCCCCTCTCTACGCCCTCTGGCCCCTCAGGGCGGCCTAAGCGGCATCAGCAAGCTACGGATGCAACTTGATACATTGCATATCGACTCTGGATCGACTGCCAATTCAACCGCTACCTCGTCCCGCACTGCCTCTCTGACGTGCAGCGAGAATTTTCGCTCGCCCGTCCCTAGCGATACAACCACGGCTAGCTGCGGCCGAGACAGCGGCTACAAGACCCGCACCGAGAGTAGCCTCAGCAGCGAAGACGATACAGCTTCCCAGAGCAGCACCCGGTACGAGATTAATTTGCAGGATGATTTTGAAAGCGAGGCCAACGGTCGCACCGTTGAGGACCCCGTCCCTTCTCGTCGTAAGATGACGACGGAGGATTTTGAGCCTCTTCGATGCCTAGGCAAGGGTACCTACGGAACAGTCTTGTTGGTGAAGCAGCGCGCAACCGGACGACTGTATGCTCAGAAACAGTTCAAAAAGGCCTCGCTTATCGTACACAAGAAGCTGGTTGAGCAGACCAAGACCGAGCGCCAGATTCTAGAGAGCGTCAACCGGCATCCCTTCGTCGTCAAACTGTATTACGCTTTTCAGGACCAGGAGAAGCTCTACTTGATTCTAGAATACGGTCAGGGCGGCGAGCTGTTTACTCACTTGAGCACGGAGCGCATGTTCTCCGAGGACACGGCGGCGTTCTACATGGCCGAGATGGTGCTGGCGTTGACCCACCTCCATACCGATCTAGGCGTGGTTTACCGTGACCTTAAACCCGAAAACTGCCTTCTCGACTCCGAGGGTCACCTGCTGCTGACGGACTTTGGCCTCTCCAAGGTTGCTGTCGACTCAGACGCGTGCAACTCGATACTCGGCACAGTCGAGTACATGGCGCCTGAGGTCATTCAGGGCAAGAAGTACGGCCGGGCCGTGGACTGGTGGTCGCTGGGGGCGCTGGGGTTCGACCTTATGACGGGACACCCCCCCTTCCGCGGAGCAAACCACGCCAAGATCCAGGACAACATTGTGCGCCAAAAGCTCGCCCTACCCTTCTTCCTTAGCCCTGACGCTAAGGATCTGCTTACTCGCCTGCTGCGCAAGGACCCTGCCAAACGCCTCGGCTTCAACATGCCGAAGGACCTGGCGACGATCAAAAAGCACCGATTCTTCCGCAAGATCGATTGGAAACTCCTCGCCGCACGCGAGCTCGAGCCTCCGATCCAGCCTCTCATCACAGATCCGGAGCTGGCCGAGAACTTTGCACCCGAGTTCACCGAGCTCAGCCTGAGCCCTGTTGTTACTCGTTTTGCGGATGCAATGAACGGTGATCGCAGCGGCGGTCCGTGGGACGATGCCGGCGGCGACGGGCTCGCTAAGGACGATCCGTTCGGCGGCTTCAGCTTTGTTGCGTCAAGCAGCTTGCTCGAGAGCCATGGGTTCCGGATTCCGGCTTGAAATGGGACGCCTGTGCCAGCGATCAAGAAGTTGGCCAGAGAACCTTGCTGGGTTGGAACTTGGGAACTCGGGGGACCGGAGGAGGAGGAGCCGAGTGGTAGGCCCGATGGTCTTCTCTTTTTTGATGTTTCGCGTGGAGGTTGTCGTTGGGAACTTATACACGGGAGTTATTTATCCTTCCCTTGGGTTTGGTACCGGCCTTGTTGGTCGCTTGCCCTGGACCCTCACCATGTTTATAACGGGTGACACAGTCGGCGATTTGACATCGCCAAGCTGATGGATGGTTCGCTCGATCCTTCATTTCCTCTTCTTCGTTCAGGTGCAGCTTTTATATAAACAACCTTTTATCTACCTTCTAAAGGGTATTATCAACCTTGATATTTCTTCTAAGTCGTTCCTGGCTGATCTCTTCGTGGCAATGTGTTCGGTCATACCGTATCTGAAGTGTAGTATAAGTTAGGTATCGTTCACAACGCTTTAGACCCCTACCTCATTTGAACTAAGCCTGGCTCTGTCTTTCGCGAGTTCAGCATGTAAGAAACCCCACAGCTCGAATTCCTGGGCCGTATCAGGCGCTTGCTAGAGTGCATGCAGTGTTCTGCCCTGTGCTAGTCGAGTGACTCGTAGGGTGGTCGAGGTATTGAGAACTGCGGCACGGCGGCGCAAAGCATAGGTCTGCAGAAGAATCCGAAGAAAATGATGTTCTTGTCATTTGGTCGATGCAAATACTTGAGGGTGATTATTAGGGAATGCCAAGACCCCTCATCACTCCGAATGGTGGTTCAGCCCCTGTTACGAAGTCCCGGGTATCAAATAGGGGAGTGGCTGTTACTCGACGATGGCTTTTCCTGGCACGATAGTTGAGAATACTGTGGTAGGTGCTGGCTTCAGGCCCTGGAGCCCGTTCTTAGATAGCTAGGCTCGACTACTATGTATTAGCAGGCGGAACGATATTTAGTATTGGTACGATCATTTCGGAGGGTTTCTTCTTCGTTTGAACTTCTCGCTACGAGCTGACGCTATCGAACATGCTTTATAACGCTGAACAACATTGATTCCACTTTCTTTTGGAATCTGACTTCTGCGGCTTGGAGATGACGAGAGAAGCGCGGCACTGATATGCCAGGTTGCGGGCTTCGTCAGCTTTTAGTCAACAGTCTTCTCCAGAAAGCACTATGTATTTATAAACTGCTGTGATCAGTTGAAGCAGCCATGCGGCGTCGAGCGCCAAAAGGCACACACGTATCACCAACAAGCAGAAAGTGCAGCCCCTTCCCTCAGACAAGAGAAGTGCACCGTCGAGTAGCAATCGTCCGATCGTTTTCGCAAGCAACATTCTCACCCGCCCAACTGCGCTTCTAGGATGGGAGGCCGCCCACAGAGTACAATAATCGGATGTAGTTGTGTTTCTAGTTCCTTGACCGACGGGACCGAGACGACAAGAGCGGTGATTAAAACAGCCGAGAACTTCTGACAGCTTGGGCATTCGGTAAAGGACCGATTGGTGGTTTTTCGTCGTTCGATGAGCGAGACAAGGAGCTTCCCGTGTACGTGTGCCGGACAGAGATCCGCGATTCCCCCACCTTCCAGCTCCGGGGCCGATTTGCCAGGCACCAAGTGCCAAGGGAAGCCCAGACCTTACGCAAAACTGACAAATGGCTCGTTTCCTATTGAACACAGCCGCATCATTGTGCTGTTTGCGTCGGGATGAAACAAGTCAAGGGAAGCATTGTTTGGTAACCCCAAGAGGTGCTGTCGTCATTCCAGGGGCTTGGAGAAACGGACTGCGTAATGCAGGGGAGGTTTGGCGATGGGTTCTCGCCAATTGGGCGGCAGATCCACTCGAGTCTGATAACGCCGTGTGCTTGCAGGTCTTGGCCCGGGTCTTGTGAAAGTTCTCCCCTTACACGCGGGACCGACCCCGGAAAAATCGCCAAAAAGCCCCGGCGCCGGGCTGGGTTTTCACTTTGAACGATGGATCTCAGCTGGCCCTCAGCGTACATAGTAAATCCATTTGTTGCTTACAGCGACACGTGTACAGAGTAAAATACACCCAAGCCGGCGGATTGATGAGTCTCGAGTCCCGAGTCCCCCCACCTCGAATCCCCGGATGCGTCACCAATCCCGTGAAAGAAAAAGAGATGAGGTCCGGGATCAAAGGTTAAAGTGTGGGCGATTGCCGTGCGCTAAGCCAAGCCTGGTTAGGTGTTTGGATGCGCCAACGGCTTGGGCCCAAAGCCTGGGCTCTCATCCCACGAACCCACGTCCCACCCGCATCCCGCCTCGTGGTCATCGACGTCCTTCCGGGGAAGGGATTTGCTTTATGGAACTTTAGGCGAGCTCGTTAAGGAGAGAACGTGCTGCCGTCTTGACGGCTAGTTGACTACTTGACACAACGACACTGTCGTTTGAAAGCGCCACACCAATGGAGACGGCCACTCAGATCTCGGACTTCAAATGACTTATCTCTTGCAGATGGCAACTCCCGGACCCAAACTCGGGCCAAGTGCGTTGGAGAGCGTGGCTGTGCCTTCGCGCCCAACAGCTCCAACAACAACTCGAGTTGGGAGCCTGCATGGCTAGGCTCGAACTAGGCTTCTTCAAAGTAAAATGGCAACGAGAGAAAGCAGTCCCTGCTTGGGATGGTGGAGGGGGCGCCGCGTTGATGCCGAGAAATGTTGATGCCGACAAATCGATGCTGTGCCCCGGATGTCAAATCACGCCCCGGGGATTAAACCAATGTTCCCTGCCGCTCCCCTCCCATGCACTGCATGGACGATCTGTGCTGCGCCGGACATCCAAGAGAGCGATCCTCAGACAAGGCTGGCTGGTTGTTTTGGTACTAGTAGAGGCCGCTGGTACCTGCCAGCTGCCGATGCGCCTCAATGCATCAGTACTTTGTGAGATCATCCCTCGGGAACCGAGCGCGGTCCCTTTGGTCGTTTCCATCCTATTTTATAAGCCGGGTACAGCCCTGAACGGTTTTCTTTTCATCTCTCCTGAATCGCCTTTTAGGGTCTGTGTGTATCAATCCTCCTTGACACACCTCATTATTCCCTAACATAGACTCGATACAAACACGACACAAGTCACACGAAAATCGAGCCGCGAAGCGTGTGTTTGGGTCACCAAGGCTCCGGGGACCTGTCGTGTTAATTACATCTTGTATTACTGGAGACTTTTGATTTTGGGGAAGGAAACAGCGTGCGCGTTGACGGACGACTTCTGCCGCTTGTTCGCAACCATGAGAGGTTTTGGTTGGCCTTTGTTGGCTGCCACCCTGTTGGGTACGTCTGACCTGTTTGCGGGAAAGGGTATGGGCTAATCCACAGTTGCAACCGCAGGTGCTGGCCCCGTCGTGAGCGAACCCGTACAGTTCTGCCCGTCCGGCGGAAATGGCCTGTGTTATAGCATTGCTGTGCCTACTTCGTCGGCGAATGCTGGTTCTGGGAACATCTATTTCCAGCTCAAAGCCCCTACGTCTTTTCAATGGGTAGCACTTGGTACTGGGAGCAGCATGGCAGGGTCCAACATCTTCCTGATGTATCAGGACGGAAAGGGGAACCTGACCTTGTCGCCGCGCACCGGCGTAGCACACACCGAGCCGAAGTTCGACACCAGCGACACCGCGGCTCGCTTGACCCTCCTTGCGGGCAGCGGTGTCAGCAGCGATGGAGAGACAATGACCGCCAATGTTGTCTGCTCAAACTGTCAGTCCTGGAGTGGCGGAGAGATGTCCTTGGCGAGCACTAGTGCAGGGTGGATTGGCGCGTGGAAGGCTGGGTCATCGCTGGCCACGACAGATCAGGCCGCAACCATCACTTACCACGACGACCACACCCAGTTTAAGGTCGATTTAACTAAGGCAAGCGTCAGCTCCGACAGTAACCCGTTCACCACGTCACGGAACAACGAAGGTGGCGGCGGTTCTGGATCCGGGTCGGGGACTGGCAGTTCCGGCGGTCCAGGCGGTTCAGGTGGTTCGGGCGGCTCAAGCCCCGGCGGTGTTACCCCAACAGGCGGGTTCGCAAAGCCCACCATGCTGGTGGCACATGGTGCTATCATGGGGCTGGTCTTTGTGCTATTGTATCCCCTGGGCTCAATAGTGATGCCATTGCTTGGCAGATGGTGGCTGCACGCTGCCTTCCAAACCGTCGCATTCTGTCTGATGTGGGCGGGATTTGCTCTGGGCTATGTGACGGCCGACAAGTTCGGATTTGTAAGTTGGCGCATACAATGGTGTCGTCTCAATCTTTCGCTAACAGCAAGCATTAGTTGTGGACCCAACCCCATGCTATTTTCGGAACCGTCGTCGTCGCGCTGCTAGGTCTCCAACCTTTCCTAGGTTTTGTACATCACCAGCAGTTCATCAAGACTCGCCGCCGAGGAGCGGTTAGTTATATCCACATTTGGTGGGGCCGTCTTCTGATGGCGCTCGGTGTGATTAACGGCGGATTGGGCCTCAAATTAGCCAAAGAGGAGAACGGCCCCGTCATCGCATACGGCGTTGGCGCCGGTGTTGTGTACCTGGCGTACATAGGCTACAAAACGGGCGTTTTCTTTCGTGACGGGACGTCGGCTCGACACAGCTCCAAGGAGTCGAACGGCGGGGCCCAGATGGAACATGGGGCGTAGGAGGGGAAATCGCCATTGCGGATGCATTGATGCCCTTGGGGGGAAGTGTTTTCAATTTTTTCACCGGTATAGCCGGCTCATAAACAGCGTATTAGCAGGCCGGAGTCGCCACAAATCTTGGGATGAACGATGGGGCGGCTTGGGTGGTGAGCAGTTTGTGGGACGTTTCGAAATAATGTTTCCTTTTTGAACTGGAACGTCTTGGCGTAGGTCATTCGAGAGCAAGCGGCTTGGTTCAAGGGTGTCGGGCGCGTTCTTGAGCGTTCTTTCGGAGGACGGTCTTGTGACTTGGGAGCTTGGATACCGAAAACGTGAACCTCGGGTCTCCCTGTGGTAAAAAAATAATAAAGAGAAGACCACATGAAGTGAATCACGAGAAGGCGTCCCTGGTTCCAAGCTATTATCTGCTCTGTGGTTGGAGGCTAATGGCAAGCTCGGGAGTATTGTCGAATCACGTGATATCACAACCGGTCTCGCCCGAATCCCCAGTCAGTGCACGGACCACTTCACTCACCTCCAAAGGAATGAGGGACACACGCCGCCTTGACCGGGGGATTTTGAAAACCTCTCAGCGACGGACCTCCACCTATCTCAGCAGCTTTTGACTGCCACTCGCCCCCCCCCTCTCCATTCAGGTGTGTTCAATCGCGACACCGCACATCGAATCAAGATGTTTTCCAGGGCTTCGGTATGTTGTAATTTTGATTCATCGTTCGTCGCTTCTAATGCTGCAAACGTCGGCTGTCATGCTTGATCAACATGACCGAGGAAGAGCTAATCGCTAATTGTGGCTGCTATTGCAGAGCGCTCGCAAGGCCGTGGCGGCTGTCTCCCGCCTCGCCATGCGCAATGCTGTCCCCGCGAGGACGTTCATGGCCCCGACTGTCTCGAGGAGAGGTACGTCTATCGACACATTGGAGAATTGATTGATTGGTCGGAGATTCAAATCTTGTTCGCGTGCGGAACGGCCGGTATCAACGGTAAAAGTTGGCATGAGGGATCTGCCAATCTTGACGACAACGATTCTGGGAACTCTTTTCGGACGCGGACAACACAATCCTCAGACACACATTCCAACTTGACAACTATCCTCAAAAACTAGAGCCACCGATTACCACCGCCGTTGCGCCGCCTTCTCCGCACGCGAACCAAGATCCAACCCCCTCAGCAATCATCTTCTCCTACCTCACCAACAACCTCTCTTCGTCCCCGCCAGTACGCTTACTAATTATATCCCCCTTCAAACAGCCGATTTCGTCCAGGAACTCTACCTCAAGGAGCTCAAGGCGTACAAGCCGGCTCCCATCAAGGAGACCGACTCAGTCGGCCAAGTCGCCACCTTCAGCGTGCCCAAGACCCCCAAGTCGCCCGAGGAAGCCGACCTCGCGTCCAGCCTAAAGGAGTACGAGAGCATGGCCGTCGAGGTCGAGGGACAGGAGGGTGCTGCCGCCGGTCAGGCCGCCCCAGTGGTTGAGGACTGGCTGGTTGAGGAGGAGGAGGAGGAGGCCCACCACTAAAGGCCAGGTCGAATTTTTTTAGCCGGTTTTCAGTGGAATATTGGGGCAGGAATATGGTAACGTGGGTGGGGAAGTAACGGAATTTTACGAACTGCTGCCGGCTCACCTTGCCTGGGCCTAACGGGCACAGTTCCAAGGATAGGACGGACAGAAAACAGACCGATTTCCTCATCAGTCTTGGTGACAGATGGAAAGGATGGGTTGGAGTGAGTCTAGCCGGGAAGGTTCGGGGAGGCTGGGAATATGTTCCTCTTGCGAGGAATGTATCCGTGTATATTTGTTCTTTAGTCCTGGTACAATACCACGCCCATTGCCGTTGGGCGTGTGCATAACGCATCCCCTCTCTCTTCCTTTTTGTTTTTTTTCCTTCTTTTTCTCGCCCGCTACCGCTCGCCTCCATGTAATCTTGATCAGTCCGACATTCCCAACAGTGAAGGCATGGTCCTCAAACTTGTCCTAGTCTTTAGACACACAGTAAAGGGGGTTAAGCGGCGCACAAGAGTGGAAAAGAGAGACCCTTGGGTAGTATGTATGGGAGAAGGAAGTGAGAACTGATTGTTGTCTGGCATTAGGCCGTTAATCCAGACTAGGACTTCATTTCCCTTGATTTTGCTTTGCATGTTGCTGTGAAACACGGATAACACAAATGGGTCTGGAATCCAAGCGTATAATGCGACTGGTCTCATTCAGCGTCTTTGAATGTTAGGTTGTGTTTTGGGGCTACCTTACTCTCCTTCCACATCTCGTTGAGCAGACAACAAGCGTCTCTCAAACGGGACACATCCACCGGGCGTGTCATTGGTATCAAACACCGTGACAAAGAAGAAACAGCACCAGCAACAACCATGTTACCATAAAGATACCGCAATACCAGTTCGACTCATCACATCGTCATAGTCGTTCCTGATGATTTGACTAACAGAGCATAGTGAGGAAGTGAGGGAACACGGGTGCAACAAGAAAAGTAGAAATAAAACAAAATCATTAATCAGGCAGCCGACTCCTTCGCCCCAACGCCCTGCCGAAGTTGTGTGTGTGTGCATTGTGCGCATCTGTGTTGTTTGTTTGTCGCAGCAAAACCAACAACACCCCGATGCCATTATAAAAAAGCCCACCCATAAATGCAGCATGCTGTGTTTGTCCGTTATACGTCATCAACAGTAAGTTTCCCTTTTCTCATCATTGTGTTCTCTCTTTTTTTCTGTACCACCCCATCCAGACAAGGACAAATAAAGGGAGTAGACGTAAAGTAAAGGAAGGAAGAAAGCGGGAAGCCTTCAAACAGGAGATATAGTGAGAAAGATAAGTCCATCGATGAAGAGACAAAAAAGATAATTGCTGATGAAGCCGCAGACTGCCAGCGGAGGCCAGGTCACATGTCAAAACCTGATGAGCCAAACATTTGCTCGTCGTTATTGTTACCGCGGACGATCCCACTCATACGGTTCAAGTTCCGGGTGTCGACATCATTGAGGTCATCCCAGTCGTCGTCCTTCTTGCGGTCCACATCATCCATCTCCTCGTCTTCAAACTTATTACCGTACCGGTCTTTCATGTGGTCGTCGAGGGCGCTTTCATCCACGAAGGTGAAGCCTTGGAAGTTGGCCTGTACCGAAGGCGACAGCGGCGTGGAAGTTGCATATCCCTTGGCCAGAGCAGCCGCGCGCTCATTGAGTGACCCGTTGGTATTGAGCGCGTTGGTAAACTCGGGATCGAAGTACGAGACGTCAGTGTCGCTCTTCAGTTGTGGTTTGAATGGCGGAGTGATCAGTTTCCGAGAAAGGGCGTCCCAGTCGATATCAGCGAAGAAGGCGTGTTCCTTGAGCTCTTGCGCATCATTCGTGGCACCCAATCGGTGCTTTGGATTCCTGTTAAGCAACCCCTTGACGAAATTTCGACCCTCCAAGGATAGGGTGTCACGGGGAAACCTGACCTTGCCAAAAGCGATGTTCTTGTACATTTGCTGTGTGTCCTCTGCATAAAAGGGGCTCCATCCACAGCACATCTCAAACACCAACACACCCAACGACCAGAAATCGACCATCTTGGTGTATCCTGTCTCATCTAACAAGACTTCTGGGGCTAGGTACTCCGTCGTGCCGCAGAATGTGTTTGTGGTGTCGTTCTTGGTCAAATTTGCCTTGGAAAGGCCAAAGTCGCAAAGCGCAATGTGGCCGTTGGCATCGAGGAGAATGTTCTCTGGCTTCAGATCGCGGTAGACGATGTCGTTTCGGTGGAGGTGTTGAATGGCGAGGATAAGCTCCGCAATATAGAACTTCGCCCTCTTCTCCTCAAACTTCCCGTCCTTTTGCAAGTGCCAGAAGAGCTCTCCTCCCGACATGTAGTCCGTCACGAGATAAAGGTCGGATGGCGTCTGGAAAGAGAACTTGAGGCCCACAATAAAGGGAGAATCGGCCATGGCGGTCCGGACCAAAATGTTGCGCTCGCCAACGGTGTGGGCCACCTCTTTCTTCTGCACAATGACCTTTTTCGAAAGAACTTTCATGGCATAAATGCGCTTAGTATCCCTCTTCCTGACCTGGTACACCTGGCCAAAAGTGCCTTTGCCAATGAGGCGAAGAATCTGGAAGTCTTCGGGTCCAAAGTGCTTCTGCTCGGCTCGCTGGTAGAACGACTCGACGTAGATCTCGCCCGTGGGCGCGTTTTCGGCCATGGTGTCGGCATGGCCCGTTAAGGCAAACCAGCCCCGCACGGGTGCCTCTCTCTCCGTGGTCACGGCCTGGAAGTTGACGTGGCCCAGGAACTCCTCCCCGGATTGGCCGCGGCCATAAACAGAGATGTCGACGAGTTTGTTGGAGTCAACAACATCACTAAGTACACACGTGTTGTTAGCTACCCGAGAAGTCTCGGAGGCCAGTGAGGTATATACACTGTGAGAACTCACAAGATCGCCTCGGCATCCCACTTTGGGCTCGTAAAGGACCGACGCGAGTCACGATTACGGAACGTGTTGAAGTCGCTGAGGCTTGTGTTGCTGCTTTGTCTACTTCGCATTGGGATGGCCATAGTGCGGCCGGAATCACTCCCCTGGCGCTTCATTGGCACGCCCGTGACAACGGCAGAGATAGCCGCTTGATCATCGCCTTCCGAAGGACGAGGACCGGACGAAATGAGCTCGCTTCGCTGAAAAACGACGACGACGTAGGGGTCCTGGCACTTCCTTAGGCCTTTGGCTTCCGTGATCTTGATGGTTAGCTTGCCCTTGGCCGCGGGAGCCTGTGCTCCCGCCGGGGTGGGTGTGCTGGTCGCAGTGCGGTCAATCCCGCTGCCGTTTTTGTGTCGCGTATCATCGTGTCCTTCGCCGTGAGAAGGGTAGGCGGACGAGAGCGCACGTTTCGGGGTCGAAGTACCGCTCTTGGTGCTTGTTAGTGTCTGCTTGAGATTGACCAATGAAGCTGACTCTAAAGAAACGTCTCCATGGCTGGTGTCCTGGGTTGAGGAGCCTGGCCCAGTCGAAGCAGGGCGCCCCGCGGGATTCGACAAGTGGCGAGCGGATACACTAGAATCGCTAACCACGGTTGTCAGGGGCGCCAGCAAAGAGGACGTCCGTCCTCTGCCTCTCCCGAGTTCCGAGACGCTCAAGTGTCGTAAGCTGGTTGATCGTGAAATAGGGGGAGTTATGGCTGCTGAGTGTTGGCCGTTTGAGTCCCTGGTGGTGAAGTTGCGCAGAGAGGGCGTCTGAGAGGTTGGCGGCGTCGGATATGAGTGCTGCTGAGGGCCTTCTGATGGCGAGACGGTTTCTCCGGTAGGTTTCTCTGGCAGTTCGTGCGCTAGGAGAGGGGGTTCTTCGGGCGAAGAGCCCGTCCAAGGCGCCGCCTCAACGGGGGTCGGTGGCAGCTCGACCATTGTTGCAGCTTGCAACTGTTCTTCAAGCGCGGTAGGCGTGCTGGCAGGTGTCGGAGTGCCGGTTGTTGCAGTTTTCCCATTTGTCCTAAAAGAACCAGACCACAATCGTTGAAAAGAGCTTGCACGAACCTGGTTGAAGTAGCTCATAATTCCCGGCAGCCGTTTATCATGAAGATCGGGCTGCGGAGTCGCAATGCCGGACCGCGGGGAGTCCACGCCGATCTGATCCAAGCCATCGTCTTCTGCCGCGGTCGTCCTGCTTTGTGGGTTAACACCGTCCATGGCAGCGGGCCCTTGAGTGATTTTCGTCGCGGCTCGGAGAAAACAGGGATGCGGTAAAACAGGGTCGGGAATGAGCGGGGTGAGGAAAGCGAGAAGAAGGCAGGCAGAAGACGGTTGCAACCGTGGAGATTTGATGGCTAACTCATGACAATAGTTCGGAATGTGCAAGGGTTGAGCTGGGTTGTCCCGGGGGAGAGGGGCAGAAAACCCATCTATGACGAGCGCCGGAACAGGGGAAAAGTGGAAATTTTCTGCCAGGACGAGATCGGCCCCAGGAAAAAGGGTCTCTCTCGGCAAAGAGGAGGAGAGGGGAAAGACGGGGCGGAGAGGGGCTGTCTCGCTGACTGTAAAGTTTTTCTCTCCTCTTTCTCTTTTTTGCTCGTTGTGTATTCCCCAAGCCGAAGTGGCCACTTGGGCGCTTGACGAAAGGGGACGAGAGACGGCAGGAAGGAGCACTAAAAAAAAAATTCATAGTCCCCTCTGGCCGAAAGCGCTTTCCCTGTTCCCCGGCGCAGCATGCATCCCTGATGCTTGCCATGTGGTTTTTAAGGGCCATGGGTGGAGAAGAGATGACACCGGATTGTCTTCAAGCAACATGCGGTGGGACGATATCTGGGAAGGGGTGGAAGTCTTGAAGATGCAAGCACCAGCAGCGGCAGCTCGCTCACCCCTCGCCTGCCCATCAACGAGTCAGGCAGCTCGGGGGATCTTGATGATGTTGGTGTGATCAACCTGTTGCTCCCTGCACCACAGAATTGCTGCCACAAAAATGCTAGTGAAACGATGGGATTTGCATGTGCAAGTTGACCGGGGCGCTTTTGATAGTGCATGGGATATTTGCATGTTGATGCAGCCATGGTGTGCTCGGAGTGTTCTCGGCTGCAGGGTTTGAACTAGGCCGGGAGGAAACATCGCTGCGCCGAAATAACAAGAGTATGACTGGGCCCTTGGGACGACGGCCGTATCCGGGCTCGGCACCCTCTTGGCTGGGCGAACCGCAAACAACATGAGTGTTCGGCGGTGTTCTCTGCCGGTGCAAAGTTTCGTGGACGTTGGAGGGAATGGCCTGCTAGGGCCAGGGGAAGAACAGGAGAGCATAAACGACAACACGGAAATTGTCAGTTTCCGTACCCGTTCTTGCCACTGGGCGTTCGGGGTTCCCGTTGCTCCACGTCCCACTCCCAAACACTCGCTCGGGATGAGAAGCCTTTAGAAGTTGAGGTGAACCCACACTTCTGGGCAGACCCGATATGAAAGGGTTAACGATGGTGATCGTGTCCCGCTGGGGATCAGTGGGGTTCGAAAAGGGATGGAAGCCCGAGCCGAAAGAAATTAGAGACCCGGCACATTGGCTCGGGGGGAAGGTGACGTGTGGTGTTGAGTGAGCAATGAGCGGGTTCGAAGCCGAAACAACATAATAAAACCGGCAACGTACTTTGACATCATGGCCTGTGTCGCCCTTCGCAACAGGTCGTGCTGTCCAGCACTGGCGGTATCTGCGGGGCCTGACATTCTGCTTTTCGAGTCGCTTGCTCCGTCGCGGGCAGACGCCAGGCAGGGGTTGGTGTGTGTGGGTTTGCCGTCTAGATGTTTTGGCCCGATGCGGACCGGATTGTTGATCCGAAGCGACTAGGCGAGTCGCGCGACTCGGATATTCAGGCCGAGTTGTGGTGGTTGATGCCGGGTTTTCTTTTTAACTGGTGTAATAAGCTTGTAAGGTAGGTATTGGAGGGTATGTATGAGGGGAAAGAAAGCGGCACGGAATGGCGAACTTTGTGACCTCTGCCGTCTGCGCGAGTTGTGCAAAGTCCGGTAACGGGTTTTTGCGGCTGGTTGGGTTTTCGCATTCAAAGTGCTGGGGAAATGGTGCCGTGCTTTTAAGAGCCAAATGGAGAGGGGTTGCACTCAAGGTGAGGCTTCCAGCTTCCACCCGTGGAAATGTGCCCCGCGCTGCTCTTGACGCACCTACCACGATGTGGTGGTGCCCGGGCGTTCTGGTGGGGCTTTTAGCTAAGGTGAAGTGACGCTTTGGCTGCCGAGACCTTCCGAAAGCTGGACCACCAAAGAAACGGGAGGTGCTTCAACAGCGGTGGGAGTTTCGTCCCAGTTTTGCCGTATACATACCCGTAACCAAGATGTTTTTCTCTCAACCGTTAGGTGCTCAAACCATTGTAACTCCAGGATTGGAAGGGAAAGGGTCTGGATGTGTAAATCCACGCGGATACTGTTGGTTCGACAACGGACTTTTGTTTGTTGGCGGGGTCCAGTGTGGTCACCGTCCCATCTTTTCGGAGCCAATCCCCTGGGCCTTTTTCTTCCTCGAGATTTAAATCCGGCCACGCCAAAATATGGGTGCAAGAGCGAGTCGCCACTCAACCTTTTAGTCTTACTTTGCAGGTCAGGCCTAAACCTACCTCCAGTAGGTAGAGAGGAGATCTTGCTGTGGTTGACAAAGGGTTGGCGTGATTTTCGGATCACTATCGGAGATACTGGCGCAGTGTGATTACGTTTATTCGCGAGACGGCAGACTGGCCATCTGCCAACCGGCGGCCTGCTATTTTTAATCGTAACACCTGCGACCACCCGGGACGCGGGCCAGCGACCCCCGGTGACCGCCGGCCCAACCCGGGCCCCAACGGCCGAGCTGACGGTGGTCAAGCGGCAAGTAATAGTTTCAAAGGGTTGGCATTGAACATTCTCCGCAGCCGCTGTGGCACTCTCTCTCTCGGCAATTAAACTCGAAAAGATCCATTCTACTTCACAGATAGGCCAAAATCAAAGGCCTCGACGTGGCATTGGGCGCCAGAAGCCATGCAGCTGGTCCGATGTGGCCGACTAGCACGGTTCTCTCGTGGCCCAGAACGTCCTAGCCGCTCCGAGAGTCCTGGGTCCTGTAGCCTTTAGCGGCAACCTTGCTATCCCAAAACATGATTGTTCTAACCTCGAACAGCACGCACCGTTGACATATCCATTTACATCGATTACATTGCTGTTTATATTACCGACCATGAACTTGTTTACCGTGTCACCTTGTCCATCACCTCTTCCATCCTGTTGCCAAGGATGTTTCCTGTCAGGTTGTAAGACCGTATTGTTGATTGCATTATCAGTCAGCTTGCAGACGGGAACACCGCAGAAAGCCGCCCCGGCGGTTTCGTATATCTGGCTTTTCAAAACATACTTCGTACAAAGCGCAGCAGCCAACATGGCAGGGATGATACCTCAACTTTTTGTCTACCACATCTGCGCCTGCATCAATACCTTGTCGCCTTGTGGCCGGTGCCAAGTCCTTCGTCTTGCTTGAGCAGCACTAGGCGAGATGGCCCCCGAAAATAATCGCGGTATCACCATCCTCGCGGCAACATTATTCTCTAACATCTCACTGCCGGGGCCCCACAATTCTTACGATTCAACAAACTCTCGTGTTGAGGTGGTTGAGACGAGCCGCCATTCTAGACCGTCTCGTAAAAATCAAAGTCGTTTGTCGCTCAAATTATTGGTCTCTGACCTTGGCGCCTCAGCCAACCGAGTAAGCCGAGCTAGCCGCTGACGCACGATGTGGCTAGCTCACCCCGCTTCCAGTAACGTTTATGTATGGATAGTTAGTTACCCAAGGTTGAATTCCGCCCCGAACTCTTCCGCTCCTTGACGGAGTCTAAGTTAGGGGCTCGGCGAGTATGAAGTATCATCTAAGACCTCCGGGGCTCGGCGAGCTGGCCGTCGAGCATCTGCATCTTCCAAGCACGTATTATAAAATGTGAAAGGATGGCTTACAAGTAATTACCTGGCACCCCGTGATAGCATTCGTATGGCTCTCTTTCCTAACTTTACAACAACGCAACTCCTGATTCACCTGACATTTTAATTCAGAAGAGGGAGAAAAGGGGGGGCGGCCACCGCCAATATGGCCCAGTATATTTCTAGTGCCTGTGGTGTGCCTTGCGATATGGTTTTATGTTGGCTTCGTCTGGCTTGTTCTCGCCCCAACAGGGAGGCGTCTAATACAGTGTGGAATGGTCCTTTTGTTTCCCATCCATATCACTGGCTTTCAGAAGTGGCAGCGGCTGGGCCACCGGCCTTAACCCTCGAAATCAAATCTTGCAGTTTCCGCTCCAGGTCTGGGGTCGTTCCTTTGGGGTACTGTTTCGGGTGTGGTGGCTGAGGGGAGAGAGGATCAGGATAATCGGCTAGTTGAGGGGTCCAGGGCGGACATCGTTAGCCAAGACCCTTGATTCCTCAAACTAGATCTAACTCTGCAGCTAGGTGTTTCTCAAAAAGTGACAGAGGAATGGGAATTGAATAGGGTAGAAGTTGGAATACTTACCAACGCTAAAACTCTGGTCGTGAAGTCTGTTTTTGTGCATCTCATACTCTTCACGGAACTTCTTGGTATTCCATGCAGCCCCCTTGGATTCGGGGCCTGGCCCCATGGGCTGAGCGGGGTCGGACATAAGGTCGTCTGAGTTCATCGTTTCGATATTGTTGATGTTGCAAGATTTGCACCCACAGGGTCTTTTTAGTTGTATGTTGAGCGAGTTCTGTTCCACCTATTTGAATATGAGCCTAATCCATGCATGAGTTTTCGCGCCCCCAAGTATGTTAAGGTGAAGTCGACAGTGATGAATCGGGTAGTGTTTTCCATGGAGCTATAGTCAGGTACATGTACCTCCATGCAATGCGCCGCAACGCGGGGCTTGGGAAGCGGGGTCATACTCACTCGCCAACAATGAAATAACCACCAAAACTGGTCGGTATTTATACTCAGGGAAGCATATGTTCAGATGGACTGCTGCTTGAGTGTTGCTTCCGCAAGGTACCAATGGAGGCGGTCGCTCATTCGAGGGAGATGCGGGGGATTGTTTCTTCAGAGCTTCTCCTACCTGATTGGGCACGCAGAGATCTCAGTGGTTGAACCCCCGCGTGTCCTGGCAGCAACCACGGCCCGCAGCGCCTGAGTGGGGCAATTCGAGGTTGTCCGGGACCCGTCATGTGGGCAGAAGCAAGAAATAAATGTTTCCGTTGTTCTTTAACTTTTAAGTCCAGTACATCCGACAGGCAGAGCACCTGATCCGGAACCACCCCTAATCACCCCCCTACAACCTTCAGACCTCAAAGCACGTTCTCAAGATATTAGTAGACAGGTCAATTCTAGTATTGCAATGGGCAACGGCAACAAAGTCCCCGACGCCTGGGATGACGATGACTGGGAGGTGCAGGCCGACCGAGCAGCAAAGGAGGTGCCAGCAGCTCCAGCAGCTCGAGAACCTCCAGCGCCTCTGTCCCGGGCCGAACGCTTAGCAAAACACGCTGAGGAGCAGCGCAAACTTTGGGAGTCAGCGTAGGTGCCGTCTGCTGCTGGCCCCCTATTCTCCCATCTGATCCTATCTTAACTAATAATTATGAATAGAGAAACCCGCTCTGAGCCGGCGCTTTTCCTCCCTCCCCCAGCTAACGCCGTCCCCCTCACAACCCCCTTTAAACCAGCTGTTAAACTCCTGAGCCGCAAACCCGCGCCGCAGGTTGTCACCCGACGGGATCCCATCACCGGACTCGAGCAATTGACAGTCCGAGACGACGACGACGACGAAGACGACGCCGATAAGAAAAAGCAGGAGACGCCTGAAGAAATCCGCAAACGGCAACAGCGCGAGCTAGAAGAGAAGCAGAGACGGTACGAGGAGGCACGGGCCAAGATCTTTGGTGAATCCAAACCGAAGTCGAATACTTCCTCGGGCCAGTCATCGCCGCGCACGGGGACACCGCCGTTAGGAGGTGGTGGAGGGGAGGGGAGACAAAATTATAGGGGTAGGGGGAGAGGAAGAGGCGGGCGAGGAGGGGGACGAGATCGGGATCGAGACCGGGACCAAGAAAACATGCGGCAGGATAGGAGACAGCCGAATGCCCAGCAACCAGGAGGCACAAGGGAACTGTTTGACCCAGGCTATTCACCTAAACCTGGGGGGTTCAACAGCCAAAAGCGCGGTGATGCTTCTCCTCAGCTCGGGAGCCGGACGCCCCGGGAGGAGGACCAAATCATACGTGCACCTAGGGGACCAGACGGCAGCGGAAGAGGAGGGTTCGGGTTTGCGAGGCGCGGAGATTCTAAAGGTTGATTCTGGTATCAAATCCTCTCTATGTGCTCATGATGACAAGAGCAACAGCAATGGACGGCACAGCTTGATTACCATCCGCCACCAATCTTGCCGGCCAACTGGACAACACGCTCGGTATCGCTGATGGTCTTCCCGACATCGCTGACCACCTCGCGATAGCTTGTATACACCAATCTATCCAGCGGTATGCCTGTTATTTCTTCCCAATGCGCCAAGGTATCCCGGATATGGGATGGGGAAATGCCGGCGACAAGCTTGCTGTGGTCATCACCGGATTTAGTGGCGGTAGCAGCATCTGGTTCATCGCCGGAAAAGTACGCTTCATCGACCTGGGCAAGCCACACCTTTTGCTCGGCTGGGCCGGGTTTCTCGCCGAACCCTTGACGGTCGATGATAACCTGATCGTCGACCTTGATCTGGCCGCCCCCGTTGGTGCAGCCGCCTGGGCAGGCCATAACCTCGACATAGGCGTATTCCAGACCGGCGGTCTTGCCTACTGGGCGTCGGGCGCCACCGACCGGTCTGGCGCCGGGCATGCGCGACTGCTTGGCTGGCTTCAGCTTTCGAACGAGGTTCTGGATGTTGCGGAAACCGTAGTAGCGTGCCGCCTTGAAGACGGTCTCGCCGGAGGCGGAAATGACGGCATGCTCGACAACGTCGGCATTTCTGCCGCGTGTCGTTCGAATTTGGGAACCCGGATGCCTCGATCGGACGTCCTGGAGGACGTAGTGTAGGTATCCGCCCGATGTACCGTCTTCACGCAGCTGTCTGCGCGACCGCTCCGGGAAGAGGAATCTCCCGATAGTCGGGTCGGGAAATACAGGCTGCTTCTGCTTAGAAGCCGCCGCTGTGGGTATAGGCAGCGTAAAGAAATCTAACCCCCTTGATGCAGCGAGCATCAGTACCTCTTTACTTGTGATGACGCAGTCAACGTCCCTGACTCCCTTTTTATTCCCGCCTTGGTCGTTAGACCAGGGAATATCCGTCAATTCCTCTCGGCTTGCCTCGAGTTTCTTATCAAAGCATGGCATCACTGCCAGATGCCATATTCGCTCGGGCGGGATACCTAGTGTCCGGCTGAGAGACGTCTTGAGTAGTGTACCCATTAACGCCTGCGGAGACTTAACCCGTGACAGGTGCGGTAAAACGTATGGGTGTGTCTTTTCCGCGTAGCAAACCCACCCCGGGCACGACGAGGTGAGAATGGGTGGAGTGACGGCAGCGGGCTTTTCAGGATCAGAACCCCGTCCTCGGGGGCCCAAAACCTCATTAGACCCTAGAACCAAGCACGCTTCCCGTGCGGTATTGGTATCAACGGCCCATGTGAACCCATTCCCATGTTTCCCTCCGCTCTTCAACCCTCCCTCACCCATTAGGAGCTGCTCAATCATCCCTCCGGCCTGCCTTTCCGTCACCGCACCGCCACACGCCGCCGCCAAACTAGCTCGGGTTTGCGGCGAGACACTGGCCACGAACAACTTGGCGTTTGGGTCTTCGAGCCCCGCGACCGACCACCTCCCACCATCCGAAACAGGAGGGACTATTCGCAGCGCCGGGGCGCCATCAAGTACGCTGAGAACTTCGTTGTGGCTCTGCAGGCTAACTAGTACGGCCTCGGCCGAGGTGACGCAGCCAGAGCAAGCGAGGCAGTCGGTGAGGGATATTTGCGCTGGGGCTGCGGTACCGTTGGCGCCTGGTTGTAGTTGTTGGCCATCGAGGATGACTTCGAACTCGAGGGACTGAGCTTGAGGGTCTGGTTGGTTTGTTGGTAGGGTCTCCACGGGTTTGATGCAGGCGACGCCCGGCGAGATAAAGTCGTTGAGGTCGTCTGCGGAAAGGATGGCTGACATGGTGGGCGTTGGGGTTTTCAATCTTTCCGTTCCGTTGCGTCTTCAACTCTGCGGGTGTAAGAGAGATGGGTGGTGATGCAGGATGGGGACTGCGAATCCAGACGTCGAAAGTTGAAAGGAAACCCCACCTTGGAAGAGGTTATGATGGGAGTCAGTTCTCATGTGGCGAGGTTGGAGTGCCGTAAAGAAACAACACGAACATGGGTAACTAGGAGAAACCTTGACGTGGGGGTGTCTCCCCGTTCTTTCGTTCTGGGTGGGAGAATGCACAATTTTGAGGTGCCTGCTTTGAAATGCAGCCACCCACTGCGGTATCGGCTCTGGTGGTGGCGGTTTGGTTGCCCCGCTGATAAGAGGGTCTCCCGCGCGCGTGGGTGCTTTGAGCAATCAGGGGACTGCTATTACAGACAGGCAGTTACAGGGGGTCGGCCAATAAGGAGCGCAAATTCCAGGGGAGCCTGCCGCTGGAATGACGTAGGGTGCTTTTTTCCCAAGGGTTTCTCTCCCAACGCCGTGACTGCTTTTCTTAAGCTACCCAGGGAATATCTGGACATTGCAAATACGCTTGGATTAACTCCATGTATAACGGCATAGGGTATCCGTAGATTACTTATATCCCTCAATCCCCGACCGCTGAGCTTCGCACGAATTGTTCTAGGATGGACGTAAGTGACAATCCTCAATTAATTCAGCTCCCTCCTCCGTACTCCCGTCCTTCTTCTTCAGATTCTCCTTCTAGGTAAGGCAGCACAAATACTAACGCCCAATTACTAGTCTGTATCAACCTACGCGGTTGCCAGCTCCGCCTGGCTCGCAACCCAAGCAGTCCCTTTAATCATCTGGCCCTCCCTAATCAGCACCCTACTCCAAATCGACAGCCCCTCACGAGGCAGCTCCGAATACAGCGGCAGCCACTACGTCCATGGCTCGGTCGAACAATACTTTGCGCGCAGCCTCGGTCTCGCCCAGCTCGCACTTGCCGCCCTCCTTCTCGTCCTCTCCGGTGTGCTCGCGCCGTCCTCGGGCACCACGGCCGCCCCGGACTCTGACACATCGGTAACGCCTACGGCCTCCGGTACAGTGCTGGTATCCGCGCTGCACCATGCAGCCGTGGCCTCGTACGCTTACTCGCGCTACCACACCACGGGGGGGCAGATGGGTTATCTGGTTGGTAGCGTGGCAGCGGGCGGGCTGGCGGTGGCGGGATTGTGGGTGTTGTTGTTTGCGGGCGACAAGCAGCGGATTAGCCGGCGGACTGGGGCGGACAAGGATACAAGCGGGTGGCCGTTTCGGAACGCGGAGGCAGATAAGAGGAAAGGGAAGAAGAGGTTGTAGGGGGGGAGATGGACGAGCTTGGATGGTAGGATAAAGATCTAGACGAGCTATCATGGGTGTCGGCTGCTTAATGGATAACTTTAACAAGTTTTCGGTTCAGAGATCACAAGCGGCATCCCTCGGTGCTCGCCTCGAGTACCTGAACAAAGAACAAGTCACAGTCATGGTCCATCACCACCGCGGCTGTATTTCAGCGAACCGTTCTGTCTTAAAGAAGCTAATGATCTATGTCACGTTGTGTCCTAGAAAGGGCCGCCACCCCTGAATCCGCCCCGACTGAGATATCCCTTTTGCGTCCCAACCCTAACTCCTAAACACACCTAAACGCCTTGTTTGCCGCAGACCGACCCATTGCGAGCCACTTCCAAGCCCTCCTAGCTGGTCACATACCCGGCCCCGATCCCCGTACGCGTGGACTCCCTAAGCCTCAATCTCCATCGGTTCCTTCACATCGACATCGTTGGCATCTGCCGGTGTCGCAGCGGCGGTCGTATCAGCGGTAGCACCCGCCGGCACCTCATTGTCATTCCCCGATGATGACACAACAACATCCGCTTCTCCCGCGAGCACTGCGTTGCGGCGCGTCTGCCATGCCTGTTCGCTCTCCACGACTTGCTCTAGCAAGACCTCTTTCTCAAGCCACTCTCGCTTGTACAGTGCTTCCCACTCTTTACACTCAGTACGCAGCTGCTCGCCCTCGTCCTCGGCCCACTTGACCTGCAACCGACACAGCCGCATGAGCCGCTCGAGAGACATGCGCGTCTCATCCGTAGAGAACCCCTGCTCGGCCGTGAGTGGCGTGAATATGTCGGCGTTACCGGAATGGGACGAATCGTCGCCAGTGCCGTCGTCGCCCCCGTCGTCTTGACCTGCGGAATGTGATTGGGGGGTTTTAATGATGATCTTTAGGTTTCTGGACTTGCCCGTCGCGGCTTGCATGCTCTTGGGGACGGGGTCGGAAGGCCGGAGCGCTTCGGTTTCGTGCACGGTGCGCATGTGCTTGGCAAGCGCGTCGGATCGAGTGAAGGCGCGGTCACACTCTGCGGAGAGGGTGAGGGAGGTTAGTCTAGGGAAATGCTAG